GTAGCAAATGCCTGTCTGAAGGGCTTGTGCTAGCATCGCTGGGAATGCCACCGCACAGTAAAACTTGTCTGTACCCAGTTTCGCTCTCGCTTGGCAAACACCCTTCATTCCCTGTACCAGCTCTCAGAAGCTGCTTGTGCCGAAACCTTTCCAAGACAGCCCCGAGGACGCTCCGGACAACAGCGATATATTCTTGTATGGGAGCGATGGATGATCTCGATTCTGTCAGAAGTGGGGGGCGGCTTTGTTTGAATCGGAGGCAATGGCCAACAATTCGGATCCGAAGCACCGCCTGCATCTCTTCCGAGAGGTTCGGCTTGCCAATTCGAGCGCACTGTCTTAGCACCAAGCACTGTCAAGGCCAGCCACTCGGGCGAAAAAGGGAGAGCCCTCCGCAAGTTGCGTCGATTCCGTGTCTCAGGGAAACCGCCCGCGGAAACCGTCATCCCAATACCTGCTAGGGCAAGCCAGCCACAACCACCAGAGCTGAATTCACTATACCGTTACGAGACGGAATAGAATGGCTTTCTCCGTCTGACATCTAGTCCAGCAGTGCGGGCCTCTCGGCGGTATGACCTACAAAGTACATGTTCAGAGGCGATCAAACCAGAACCCCTCCCGGTGGCGGCCTCGGGAGCACAAAAGCAGACATCCCCACTCCAAAGGTATAACGGTGAGGCTCGTGGCACAGAACCATGAAGATTTGGTGGCCGCGCGGCGGCGGTGACAACGCGAAAAGCTTCCTACAAATCCCCCACTGTAGAGGCTCCAATCCTATGCAAGGAAAGGCGACAAGTGCGGCATAAATGGGGCAAGACGTAGCATTCCACCATTCCTCCCTCATGTGTATAGCTGCAGCCAAACATATGTCGGATTCCTCCGTGAAGATGCTATCAAGACCCCCTTGCGGTTGGGAAAGGTCCATACAAACCTTCCCAAAAATGGGCCCGGGTTCCTGACAGTCTGAGACGTTGAGAATGCGGAGCGCGCTGGTTGTGGACACCGAAGAAGAAAGGGAGCTTAATCTCTAGGGGAGGTAGCGATGCTCAAAGAAGAGCCCCTCTCCCTTTCCTTCTGACAACGCAGCGACGTCAAAGCCGTTGGCTCGTTTCTTATCCATAGAGGGTCTTAGGTGGCCGGGTAGACTACCCGGTGTGCTATATTCGTTGAAGAATATCCCAGCTGAGTCCCAGGATGGGGGATTGATGCGAATCCTTCTCTCGGGGCATGGGTGCAACGAATAGCAGCACGCTTGGCCACACAGTGTTAGCAACTATCTGCCAGCGTAAGAAGATGAGGATTTGCCCGACTGGGTAGCTCACAGCTCCTCTCTTGGCGGGGAACAGACGATCCTGAGATGCCATATCGAACCACACCATGACCTCGTCCCATCTAGACGTTTCGAGACGTTGTACCTGCTACTCGACATCTGCCAGTGTTTGAGGTACTTCTCCCGAGCCTTCTAGAAAGTCACATACCTAAACAATATTCTTTGCCACGATGAGGTGGGTGTGGCTTTGCGAACATCAGTTGACTCGCTTTTGTGTCCACCCTGTTCTCCGTTCCTCATGAATGAGTCAAACGTTGAGCCGAAGCCACACCTCAGATTAGGTTTTTCGGGAATTCGTGCGTCCGCTGCTGGCTTCCAAGCAAGTCTAGACCGCAGGTGCCAAGTTCTCGCGTGTGACAGGCACGGCAAGCCCATGGGCAATACGCGTGGGATTTTTAACTTGCCGATATTTACTCCTTTGGATGCCTGTTCTGTCGACGTAGACATGTGTCCGTTGTGTGACCGACGCTTACCTTGGGTCTTTCACGCTTAGAATGCAATCCAGTGGAGAAATATGGCCGGAACAGAGTTGATGCGTCGCTAACTGAATCGAGTTGGGGTGTTTTCTCTTCTGACAAGCCAACACACCTGCCATGCCTATGGTTCCGAGGGCGGGAGTTCCCAGCCTATTGCAGCCAAACAAGTATCGTGGGCGTACTTCCACCACATCAGAGTGTCTTATTTCTAATCTTCTATCAAACCTTCTTACCTAATGGCACCCCAAGCGCAGCATTTCGCCGACCCGCAGACAGTTCAGGCAGGTAACAAACGACATCATGAACGATGCCGCATCCAGTCACGTCTGCATACACCAGTGGCAAATCCGTGACCCCAAATGCGAAACGTTATTCAGGATCGCCGCTTCGCATCACAACCCTGCGAATATTATGGACTTTGATCGAGATTCTCCGGAGAGTCTGATGATTCTGGCGAGAGAGTCGGCTGCGCGGCATGCGCGGTGCTCCAGACGAGCCAACAAGGGAGAATGCAGGGGATGGAATAAAAAAGTAAATGCAATGGGGGCCGATCGCCTTTTTCATTCAAGCTACAGAACGTATGATCCAATTGGCTCCAGCGCCTGAATGAGGCATTTATTTTGTGGCTCTTGTTTGATCTGTCCCGTCGGGACTGGAGCAGCTTTCGGGCTGAGGCCCTGTAAGCGAATTCTTGAAATTCGTTTCTATCTCAGACCCATCATTGCTTATCCGAGAATAAGGCGTCTTCATTGCGTATGTTCTTGGTCATTTGCTATTTTGCTGCGGCGGCGCACGCTAAACATCATGTCCACTCGCGTGAAACGGTGTACACGTATTACGCACCATTGAGTCTCAAGTGCATTCTATGAAGAAGGAATTGGTTGCAAGATCGTGCCATCCTCTTCTAACAACTTTATAGTCTCTCAAAACAACTGAGGGTTTGCATCTTCCTGATGGTGCTGCTTTGATTCTTGGGTCACTGTCACGTGTGCTTTCCTCGGTTATATGAATATGACTTTACTCGGCTATATAGGTATGGCTTTCGTCCGGATGTCTTATCTGCCTTCCCTTGGAAATCGATCTATGAGAGAGATATACTATGCGGGGCTAAGTGGAGGTGCCTCAAAATGGGTTGGACGAGTGTGGTGATCCCCGCGGTCGAATCTGCCTCCAATATTCTCAATATCTGATGGACTAGCTCTGAAATTGTACTGTAAGTTCAGCATATCTTCAAGGCCAATATGTCAAGTCCTCGATCGCACTATATCTACCTAGTCAATCGCTAGGTTAGGCTCTAGCTTCCGCCCCTAACTTTGTTGATGTATCAAAAAGCCAGTGGAGCAGGTGCAATCAATTACCATCATAATAGAATTGGCTCTCAAATGCTGGCCCGAAAAGCTTTCGCAGATGGAGGCAACGGGTCATACAATAACCAGTTTTTGTTTCTGTACCGGCGGTCAAAACTATGTTTATACGGTTCTGGCTTACCTCAGTGTTACATTAGACACTTGAATTAATTGAAGTATTTGCTGCTTCACGCTATTATCTCTCTGCGCTCCACAGCCATAAACAGTCATGTTCACATGCGGGGGGCAGACCGGACAGATGGCTATTAAGCCTACAAAGAGCGAACTAGTAACAGCCGTGACACAATAAATCACTTTTCGGTCTCGTATTTTCGTATTTTCGTCGTCTGTTTTGCCGGCATGCGGTACAAATAACATCGGAAGATTTTAACTTTCATCTGAGACCACTTGGAAACGAAACCTCGGCAGATCCTTACAGCGGGTGGATGTCTCGCCCTTTTAGGATGACAACGTACCATCAGCCCAGCCATTCTCGTAAACTATTTCCTAGATGATTCTATTCCGAGGCTGGCAATATACCCGCAACTTGAGAAGGTAGTATTGGCGGCAGTCACATGGTCTCTTGGACGGGGCAAGATTACTTACATGAGAATCATCATTCACAGCTGAAACTGTTGTCCTTGGTTGGTTTGCCAGCGATATAGCTCGGTCCGATTCAATAGGTCCTGGACCAATCTCACTGCCATTCTCTGAGGTCGCCGTTTCGATCAACTGCGTAGACGTGCATGTGTTCGATACTTCTCTACGTGATAGATGTTGAGGAAGAATCCCAAGTCTGAGCCAGAATTCGGCTGGTTTTGAGACTATATGGACTGTTAGCGTAGTAAGGAGAAAGTTCAGGATATGAGGAGCTCGTACAAAGTTACGCGGACAATGGAAGAGGCCTTCATAGTGAATCTATGCGGATCAGATGAGCTTCGAAACTTTTTCATGCCTTGAGCACGGTGCCTTAGTTTGGTTTCTCGATATTCGATGGCTCTGCGCATATAAACTCGTCTTACATGCTTCATTAGGACAGTCGCTGAGCCCGGCCTTCTTCCTAGTCATACGACGTTGCTGGAATGCTGGTGCGATCAGATGGGCGAGACTTCAGTGCGCTTCCTTCCAGCATGCGGCCCGGCGATTCGAAGCTACGGAAAGGTACGTCGAAATTTGATAGCACAACATACTCGACGAGAGCATCACAATAGCATGCCCCGTAAGGGATCATTCAAGGCACCAGCGCTCTTGCAAGTCAGACAGTCTTCAGCTTCTATGTCATCTCGCCGCTTGTTTTGAAATACAGCGCTTGAAAGAGCTTGAGCCAAAGTGTCATTGTTGATTTTCATCGTGACGCCATTGACCACGAGTCGTCCTCTCTATGCGCAGCGCATTCACCAGAGATAGTCAGTCTCGTATACGCTCCATGGGCGTATCAATCGTGCTTTTAATGTTTTGGTCTATATGGCCAAATTCCCCCTCGATCCGAGAAGGATCACCTGTCCGATGAGAAACTTTGGTCGCTCAGAGACTGAGCCTTGTAGTGATGGGTAAGCGTGTCTACCTTTGGGCGGAGCAAAGCGCCCGGCTCACCATACGTTGTCAGGGCTTGGCTGCCCGGGCAGACTGCAATCCAAAATCCATCTCGCTGGTTAATTGGACAATTTGACGCCGAGATGTGTAGAAGTGAATTGGAGTAGGTGCATGATACTAACGCACCCAGGTGGCGCAGCAGCTTAGTCGGAAATGGGAAGATGTCATGTGTGACTTCGGGTCCAGGGAAATGCTTCACAGCTTTGATGATCTGTGTTACATTGCTCAGCCCTGAAGATTGACGACATTGAATAGATGGACAACTACAATCCTACCCAGCTGCCCGTAGAGAGCACGGAAGAACGAGGCTATGATAAAGACTCATACCAGATCAAAGGCGAAGAGACAGCAGCTGGACATCCATCTAACTACACTGGCGTCGAAGACCCCGCACAATTTGTCTCTCACACAATTCCGGATTATGAGCTCATTGGAGCAGAAGCAAGTTTTCAGTCACCGTCGTGTGGATTGAATCAAGGCGTCCAGGCTCCAGCTCTAGAATATAATGGCTATGTTCTCTATGCTTCGTCACAGCCTGTGCCAGAGGAGCTCATGCGGGAGCCGACCGGAAGCTCGATCGCAGAACCAGGTGCTGTACTAGACGAGGAGAATGGACGTACATACGTTGCTCATGAGACGGGCAAGTACTATTTGCCCAATGATCCCGTACGTACAAGTCATAGATCACCAACACTGTTATTCGTTCCGCCACTGATGGGGATGTTGCGAGCAGGCAGAACAGGATCGATTAGACCTCCAGCACAAGGCCTTCACAATCTATCTGGGTGGTGCACTCTATCGTGCTCCTATTGGGCGCCCAGAGTATGTGCTCGATATCGCCACTGGGACGGGGATATGGGCGATTAAATTTGCCCAAGAACATCCTCAGGCGACGGTCATTGGAACTGATCTCAGCATGATACAGCCAAGTGAGTATACAGCTCCATGTTCCCCCAGGTCACCATCAAATTTCTGATACCTTTAAAATGCCCTCTCTGTGGTACATGATGTTCTGAGAAAACTTCAAGAGATCGTATACCCTGGAAAAGCTCGTCTGTATCAATCAGCAACTGACTATCGCAAATGCAGCCGACGTTGTACCGAACGTGCAATTTTTCAAAGAAGACTCAGAACACTCTGACTGGATTCACCCACACCCTTTCGATTACGTGCATCTGCGTCTCGCAGTCAGCTGCTTCGACGATCACCGCACGGTCATTCGCAAATCCTTCGAGAGCTTGAGACCAGGCGGCTGGATCGAACTTATGGACCCTGTGTTCCAGACACTGTGTGACGACAACACTCTTCAAGGCACGCATTTAGAAAGGCTGAATCGGATAATGATTGAGGCAGGACTGGCCATTGGTCGAGACTTGAAGAAGCCACTCAATTACAAGCGGTGGCTAATTGAGGCTGGTTTCGTGGATGTTGTCGAGGAGGTCGGGCCCGGCCCGGGTAAGATCATCCACTCCCAGTCCTAAGCATATGACACCTTCGGCGATGAGTCTCGACGGTGGTTATAGTCTACTTACGTCTGCAGGGAATCCGTGGCCCGTCGAGCCACGATGGAAAGAACTCGGTCGATGGCTAATGACGAACACGCATCGGGCCCTGCGGGGGATGTGTTGGAAGATGCTGAGGAATTACGGAATGGAAGCAAACGAGGTCGAGGAGCTCCTCCGTATGGCCAGCATTGATGTTCGCGATACTCGTATTCACTATTACTACCCGATGTGAGTACATTTTATGTCTGATCTTTGAAATCATTTTTCCCATTTGGTTCATCAGCTGCTGACCAGGGCTTTAGTTATGTGGTCTATGGCCGGAAGCCCCTTGAGTGGGAGACCGGGCAGTAGTTGGACAACAGAAAGCGGCCTCAGCGTTTTGAACTTTTTCTAGACATTCATGCACTTTTTCTCTCAAGGACTCAAAAGCGGTGGCTTGGCTTCAGGGCCAAAATTGACGTCTGCCTTCGGAGTAGCTGTAGCTTACGCGGACTCTTGCAAAATCCAGAAGGTGGTGCAGGCAGCCATCTCACTCAAATGAAGCACACATTCCTTTTTCACAACGTTTGAATCGAGCAGATTTTCAATTTCATGGCATTCATGTTCATTGTTATTTTATGCGTTCATCTTAGCACGGCCATCTTCTCCATCACGACAATGCGATACTTCCACACCCGAACAGCAGTTTTGTTAGGTTTAAGTATCTTTGGGGCAGGACTTATAATTATTGAACGATTGCGGTATCGGCGATCGGAACTCGAAAGGGCACAACAAGCGAGCGCTGCACGTGAGAGAAATAAGGCAGCTTGCGGTGTTTTTATTCGCAAGCACGGGTTCCCCGAGCATGGTTATATCGTTTGGGCCATAGATGGTGTAGCGAGACAAGTTTCACGACAGGATTTCTGCGAGCTCGACCAGCAATCGCGGCCAAATGCGCTGCAAGGATGCCACAGAGAAAGCTACGTCGTAGTAAGTACGACTTCGATAGTCAAACTTAGAGGAGGTATTGATAATTTGCAGCCCGACGATATGGAAGACCAGGATATCGTGCTGTACGAGCGTTGGGGGTTTGCCCACATTGCTCCGGAAGAGACTAGGCAGGACTCGCCTGTGATCTCGCTTCCAAGACAGGTGAAATGCGGTTGGCAGCCACCGCCAAGTTGGGCTTTTGATGGTTGTTCAGCAAAGCTAAACGAGGCGCTGTGGCGGAAGTGCTTGGAGCAAATCGAGGCCGACATTTCCAGAGAGAAGAAATCGCAGTCGCGTGACAATATGAAAGCCTGTCTTGGCTGGATAAAGCTCTATGGTTATCCCTCATCCCACTGCTTCATGGTGTGGGCGGCGTGCGGGATCGCAACATGCACTACGCGGCGAGAGTTCTCGAGGTTCTGGGTAGCTCACGGCCAGTGCTCAGAGCGCACGAGCGTCTACGCCTTGGAAATACACGACGACGGCACGATCGTGAACTGGCGGTATGGTTTAGCTGTAGCTATGCTAAGTTCTCCTCCATTGAAGTTATTCAATGAGGAGACGTGGCCGGAGCAGTTCAATCTTGCCGAGTGGCTGGCTGAGGTATATAGTACTAAACAAACGTAAGAGCAAGTTGACCAAAATCAACTTTCAGACTGATTGTCCTGCCCAGGCTCCTTGCGTACCGGGATATAGAGATACCGTCGCGGGTCTTCACAGCTGACGTGAAAGCGTATGGTGGACAGGTTTGCTGAAACCAAATTGTCCAGACACACCTTGGTTGTAAGGATTGGGAACTTTGAATACGAACTTGGACCGCAGTTTTCTTTGTGAGATATATACATGAAATCCTTGATGAAGGTAACTTGTCAGGTCGATCAAGGTTTCAATAGACATTGTCATGCAAGGTCAGTACAACAGTTGTTTCACAGAAGACACCTGCACCACGTCGAAGATTTTGAGCATAAGGATCATCTTGGGCTAGGAGTAGAGACTTTCCGACATGTACTACGTGAGAGGCGAAGAGGTCTCGCAATACTTGTGTTCAGTCAACACGTTCTCTGTATACTGTGCATATCACGTTCTGGCAGAATGGTGTTTCCGTCTTTCTTCTCGCCTCCATGGTGAGTTCCAGCTCCTTGGTCAGTATTCAGCTCACCTGTCAGTATTTTGAAGGTTCGGATAATCCTTTCCTATATGATGCTGGATTAGCTCTGACAAAACGTGCCGATGGTGAAGTTTTCGGCAGGCAAAATGTGCATTGGAGAGGATATGGGAACAGTCACTGTCCGGTGGATGGCGATGTATTTGATATCTAGGTCACACAAGCTGCGTGGCCATACCTTTCGCCCAACGCTGTGGGTGGCCTGGTGATTGCCTGGTGGTGATCAAACTCCAGACTTAGACCAAGATGGCAGCGGCTCTTACTGCTAATTGAGCGAAATGCCGAGATTTCTGCGGCTCAACAGGTAATGCTGGGACTATGAGCGGTGTGCTCACACACTTACGGTCACAAATGCGGTGTTAGGGGCTACAACTGGGTTCTGAATCCGTTTGGCTGAGATTGCGGCGGTCCTATGCAGGCGCAGTATCAGATGTCAAACACAGCGGCCTTGTATTCGATCCCAAACTCGTGTTAGCCCGATGCAGTCGAGCGTGAAGGCTCTGCCCTGATACGGAATTTTTCTCCTGTTCGTTTCTCGTCACTTTTTCTATGTTGCACGAGTGTTACTAAATTAAACGTTGGCTCATCCCACGAGACAATTCTGCACAAAACCCTTGTAAATAGTCTCACCCTCCGCACAATCACACCAGCGGTCACCTCTACGGAGGAGTCTTGCAACAGCACCTGCATTTCTGTGACATATGGGCCAATCCGCTTGAAGAACAACTACACGTCCACGACATCTTCAATATATTTCTATTTCTTCCTGAATGTCGCACCACCGAGTGGCGCAATAATGACGATGAGCCTAATGACACCGTGACGGTTGGTGACAATCAACCTCATTGTATAATCTCTCAAAAAACGCATGGACGAATGAGCTGCGTGCAATAAGATCTTTCAGGTGCAGTCGCTCACTGCGGAGCTGTAAGCTATAACAACAATTTGGTAAGGATCCACACGATAATACGCTGGTATTATAGGTAATGTTTCTCAAAGAGAAAAAGACATGGAGAGAGCACAAGTCAGCAAAGAAGCACGCGATAGAGATTCCGCAATAGGGTCATTAGAGACAAATATAGTAATTAGTAACAACAAAGAAAAAGAAATGTGCAAATTGGCGGTCTGAATTTGCAAGCTCTGCCTGGACCATTGACCAACCTGAAGGCAATGCAATTGGCTCCTCTATGAGCTAGTATACTCCTTAGGCAAAAGCCTATGCAGCAGTGCTGTCCATGGCGTAATGTGAGGGTCGCGAAGACGACTTCACCGAGAACGTCTGGTCTGGGGTCATCATGATTGTTGGATCGAACTTCCGGGCCGGAGAATATTTGAGCGTTCGCATCCAACTTGCGGATTGTTCGAAATCATACCTGTATTGCCAGGTGGCTGGAAGAACAACACTCTGGCCCTGTCCACGATAAACCTGAATTTCAAATGTTGCTCACGGCTCGAAGTGAGAGATGATGAGTTGTTGCGCGGCAAATTGTAACCCGCATGCATGACTCCATGGTCGATGGGAATCTCGACACCGCCTTCTGGTTCCTAGCGGTCGAAAAGTCGTGGCAATCTCTGTTTGCCAGTCAGCGTGTCGCAAGTCATGGCTTGCCGCGGGGATCTCTGTGCCTGACTATAGCGTTGACGGGTCTGCTCGTCATCACTATCACTTATCAAGTCAGCCATTGATTGTTCCGGCTGCAAGCCTTTAATTAGACCGTCTCCATAGAGCCCAGATTGCTCCGAATCTTGCAACCTGCCGTGCGTCTCGGTAACGTAGGGGACGTCAGGTGCAGCATCCGCAATCTGTTGGTGTTTGTCGACGGCACCGAGGCGTTTTGTAGGCGGAGGGCCGACACTATGAACGCAAATGGCGGCATTCACGGAGGGACTTGTTTGGCTTGGCGACGCGGTTCGCCGCGTTTGTGTTTAGACCTCGCAGGTGATGTCAAGAGTTTTCTTAGCGATGTCACAGGCCAAGAAAAGTAAGCGTGGAGCGTAAATATATATAGAACCGATCGACCCCTCGCGAGAAGCTTGATCAGGCAAACAAAACATGCCCCAGAATCTGGACCTAACACCAGCGCCAGCGTCCAAAGAGGTTTGAGCCGCGGTCTATTTGTGGCCACATATGCACGCTGCACGTCCGGTGGCTGCAAAGACGCGGCACGCTCGGCCCTTTGTCTAGATAGTGAGAAACGTCTTCGGAGTCTGGGTGTGGTAGTCGAGGAGGAATGAGTCGCGGCTGGAGTCGTGGAGAGGAGAGCTAGCCAGGTTGTGTTTATCCGCCCGACGAATAGGTCGCTGCGGAGCCATCAACATAGTTAACCCGGTTTCAAGTCCGAGATCAGCGCTGGCCGCTAGCAGTGGGCTTCAGCAACCCTCTCGACTCCTCCACGTTCCAACCTTGGGCCCCTCGAAACCTCGAAATGTGTCAAGTCTAGCCGAGTCCAGACGTCAAGAATCTCGAAGCTGTCTGTTCAATGCACTCGAGGGGCGGCCTCACCGTCCTCGACTTTATATTTCAATACTCAACCTCGTCCGGCAGTCTGCACTCCCGAGAACACGAACTGTATCTGTTTTGATTCGCCACGCCGGGCCACTGTTCCGTTGGTGTGGGCCATTCCGTCACATCCACAGCTCAAGCCTCTCGTCTCCTTGCTGTTATCACTTCGCTCTCGCTCTCGCTAACCTAACGCAAACCGCAATCAACCCCATTGGACCAGACCGGGCATCTGAATGAAAAATCACCGTCTCCATGCCGCGACTTGGGTATACAAAGTCGAGGAATGGGTGTATGAGATGCAGGCAGCGACGTGTCAAGGTGAGTAATTTGTCGTGACCCACTGCGCATCCCTTTGCAGTTGGGTGCCATGTCCATTTCACCTCCTGGCACTTCCTGCTGGACCCATTCACCCCCCAGAATATGCCTCGATTTCTTCCCGCCTACCCAAAACCAAGACTTCGATACCGTCGAAACACTTCAGCTGACGCCATGGCAGTGCGATGAGAAGAGGCCATGCTCGGCCTGCATACGGCACGATGTGAAGTGTAGCCTGTTGGACAATCCGCCCCCGGCGATCCTGCAGAGGGAGCAGCGGGAGCAGCGGGAGCGGGAACGCTCATCGACAATCAGCTCTGCGAGCCCCGAGGGCTCAAAGTCCAGCTTCTCGACTATGGATCATGTAAGATCCATTCTCCCAGCAGCGACTAGTCTTGTCATCTAGGCCGGGACGCAACGGATGTGTAGAGTCTGACAGTTCTGTATCCAGAGACACTCACTGCCTGACTTGCCCGACTTCAACTCTGTCGTCAACTCTCCTTTCCAGAGCTTAAGTCCTCCGGACCCTTCGGCAATACAGACGCCAACGGCAACGGCTAATTTCTGTCCTGACCCCGAGAGGCACTTGACGACGACGCCGCCCTCCGCGGATGAGGACCCCTTCCCATACTTCGACAAATTCATGCTCCCAATAGGGGGCGAACGCGAGGCAGCTTGGATCCAGGACCTCGAGCTGATGCATCACTATAGTGTCGCGACCTCGCTGACCCTCCCGAGAGCGCAGGATGAACTGCACGTGTGGCAGGTGCAGGTTCCAAAACTCGCATACAAATACCCATTCCTGGTTCACCAGATCCTCGCAGTGGCCGCTTTCCACCAGGCTTACCTTCACCCTGGACAAAGGAGCGACCACTCGCTCCACGCATCGCAGCACCAGAACCGGTCTATTGAGGGTATGCGCGGCCATCTGGCGGCCATTACTTCCGAAAACTGCCATGCCTTGTTCATGGCGTCTTCGTTGCTCCTCGTCGGTGCCTTTGCCTCCTTTGCGAACATTAGGCCCAACGATTCACCACTAATCGAAGGCCAACGGCCACCGACCGTCGAAGACATGATCGATGTGTTCATCCTCGACAGAGGCGTCGCCAGCGTGCTGCAGTCTTCGGAAGAATGCATACAAGCGGGCTACTTCAAGGACCTTTTCCACTTCCAGACACATGACAAGAACAACGCGTTCATGCCCCGGCTGGCGGAGGAGCTACGCAGCCTATCCACAGCGATCAAGCAAGAGCCGGATTTAGACAACTTGGTGGTAGTCCTGGTGGATCTTGAGATCAGGAAGCTCATCGACGCCATCGAGAAGGCGGTGATCACGACCGACGATGCGGAGATGCGCGTGACGACGTACTGGCCTATCACCATTGCGGAGGACTACATCCAACTGCTCAGGCAGAGGAACGAGGTTGCGCTTCTGGTCCTCATGTACTACTGCTGCATCATGTACAGGGCTGAGGGGAAGACATGGTTCGTCAAGGGCTGGGGCATCAGCGTCGCAACGGACGTGGAAAGGCTCATCTCCCGCCGCTGGAAGGAGGCCGTCAAGTGGCCTCTTGAGCAGATGGGCCAGTACCGATCGTTCGTATGATTCTTCCACAAAGACCGACTAACCGGCATGAGACCGTGATCGGCTATAGACACCGTCAGTCTCTACTTTCAGCTTCGCATGTAACTTAGTATTATGGACCGAACCACTACAAATGTACGAAAAGAATATTCTAGTAATGGTATGCATTGTGTACAATCTGGCAGATTCCGCGGGTAACAAGGTGTTGCGCACAAAAATCCCAGTGGCTTGACGTTCATATTCCCGGGGCAAAAAAAGAAAGAAGATTGTTGGCACCAACGACGAGTCTGATGCTCACTGGCACACGATCGGCTGCGTCCACACAATTGTCATGGATCGTGTGGTGAAATCCGGTCAAGGTCGGAAAAGGCTTGGATATGGCCTGCCATGTATCATTTGTAATCGCCTCCTCAGCAGTATCACTAATAGGTGCCCTGGCAGTATTCGAGACACGGCTCGAGACCGGTTTGACGATCGTACCCCTGGCGAGGACCGAATGTCAGAGAGCAGCAAGTTTTGCTTGAAGTCTTCAAGATGTTGAAGCCTCGCATTGCGTCTACGAAAGTGCTCTTTAGGGACTGACAGTTTGCGCTCAAAGGGAACGGAGGGTCCGATGGTGCCCCAGAGTCGCTCTTGGTCCCAATCGAATTGATGCGCTGCAGGAGAATCCCATGAAGTACATCACGCAAAGATATGAGTTTCAAAAGGGCTAGGGAACCCAAACATATAACATCAAGCATATTTCGACAAAACAAGAAATACCAGTGTCACATACACCTTGGAGGCCTCGTTGGGTCCTTCTTTGATCTCTAACATACCTTTCGGGTAAATGTGTGGTGCACCTCGAACAGTCATCGCTTAATCCACACGTCCAAGCATCGAATGTAGGTTAATGTGATATATTTGCACAAGATTGAGGTGCCACGGACTTGAGACCATTGTGCAGGAGTAGATAGAGCGGACGGTTCATGTCACATCAGTGTCTACTACCCATAGACCAGACGAAGAAGTGGGAGGGGGAGGGGGTTTAGAAAACATTTTTCTCACAACACTTGTATTCTTAACTATGGCCCTGACGCAGTCCTCCTTCACCGCACGGGGCAGAGTTTTGGCAGTCACTGAGGATCCGGCTCCATTGTGAGGTTGTCTAAACATCGGGCCGCTTCTATTCGAGTGTGCTGGTCTCGTCTTTCCAAAAGTTATCAATAAGGCAGTAGAAAATTTTCATTGACGAAGCACAAACTTTTTGAAAATCATTGAAGGGGTCAGGCTATTGTGTGGCCTCTCACAGCTGTCATCCACGCCTTGGTGAAGTGTTTTGACTTGGAAGAAAATGTCTATTGAACCCAGCTGAGAGTCATTTCAGGCTATCTTTTCAGTGGCTTGTGGACATCGCCCAACATGTGGGTCACGAACCGACATTGAAATCCACCGTGTCTTTTTACGAACTCAGCTCAAGCTCTTCGACTCTTCGACTATCAAAAAAATCGTATGTCAAATCTGCGGCCCGTGGTGAAGAAGGTCTTGCGTGGAGAATGGACTGTAAATGCACAGTACGTTACTACTGTAGGCCTAAGATGGAAGGTCAGCTTAGAGTGTTGTGCCTTATCTTGACACCTATCTGATGCGATCCGGTAACTGGCCACATGTTCTGGAGCTCAGGATTTAGACCCTGTCGAAGGATGAGCAGAGCCGGCGTTACCGCAATCAAGTCATGTGCCACTGTGTTGCTGCGGCACAGTTCTGATCGCAGTGCCACGTTGTCTGACACTTTTTTCAGATCAAGCCTGTTGTACTCAAGACTCGAACCGATCGGTGGTAAAAGCTGCAGGCTAGCGGGCGATCGACACCTGACATCACACGAGGCGTCGTTCAGCCAGAAGCATAATGGCGATATCCATATCCGTCGTTAATATACTGGCGTGCATCGGCACAATCGTGTGCCTAGGCCTCGCCGAGCGCATCGTCGACTTCCTCTTCTTCCACTTCAGCACACCTGCCAAGCCCCTCGAGGCCTATCGCCGCCGCGGCCCGGAACCAGCCTACGCACTCATTACCGGGGCCAGTGCGGGAATTGGCTATGGCATCGGCCAGGCCCTAGTGAAAAATGGATTCGGTGTAATTTTACTAGGGCACAAAGAGGACGAGCTAGCGGAGGCGGCAAGGAAGCTCGTGACGCAGGTACCAGTGGAGCAGCGCGCCGAGGCGGATACATTCGTCAAGACCATCGTCATGGATGCGCAGACCGCTACGCCAAAGGAGATGGAAGATAAGCTGCGTGCGGCGATCGTCGAAAAAGGCCTCCGCGTGTCCATTCTCGTCAACAATGTCGGGGCGGTTCCCATCGCGACGCCCGTCTTCCGTGAGCTGGCAACCTACTCGCCTGGCGAGATCGACGCGATGATCGACCTGAATACGCGATTCATGGCGTGGCTGACGACGCTCATGCTCCCCGTGCTGGCTCACAACGGATCTGGGACTGATGAGCATGGAATGACTTTTGGAACGCACAGGCGATCACTTATTATCAATCTGAGCTCGGCCGGCTTCGTTGGCTTGTCGTGGATGGTCATGTACAGCGCGGTCAAGGCATTCAACCTGGCTTTCAGTCGTGGCCTAGCCAGAGAGCTGGAGACTAGTCCTGACACACAGCATATCGACTGTCTCTGTGTGATACCTGGGGACGTGAGGAGCCAGTCCAACTGCGTAGGTTCCAGTAGAGGGGCGCCAGACTCGGATACGTACGGAGAGTATATTGTGACCAGGGTAGATGGTGCTGTCAGCCGAGGATGGAGGGAATTCAGCCCCTACTGGCTGCATCACTTGCAAAGGATTCTCATGGATATTCTGCCGGAGCGATTTGTGACAAAGGGGGTGGTTGATTCGATGAGGCAAAAGAAGACGGCTTTTGATGAGTTCCAGAAGCCGAAGGACGAGTAGACCTACTAATGTACCGCCACCAGGTGACAGTCTGACTCATAGGTATATCGTTTCATCATAGGATTGGGGCAGAAGTCATCCGAGTGCAGGCATACATGGACGATGCGTTTACAACTGAGATCGTCGAAAGCTCAACACACTGAAGACTGTTTAGTGAAGCACTCTTGCCAAACACAATGCATCTGTGAGAGTGAAGACGATCATTAAATGGCCAGAATTTACATTTTTCTAAGCTGCCTAGCATCTACGAGCAGGCCGGCCGACCGTATTAAAACCGTCCCATGAATGGTCACCTCTTGACCCGACACACACTATATCGCTGGTATGCTAAGAAATTTAGGCGTCCTCCTCACCCGCAGCAATCTCCTCCTCCTCCTCCTTCTCCTCATCGGCATCCTTGGTCTTCCTGGTGTCGAGCTCGTACCCATCGGCATCAAGCTGCTCGTCGTCATCGTTGACCTTGCGGGTGTCAAGCTCGTACCCATCAGCATCAAGCTGCTCCTCGTCGTCAGCAGCCGCCTGCTTCTTGGGGCTGCGAGTGTCGAGCTCGTATCCATCAGCGTCAAGCTGCTCCTCGTCATCATCGGCAGCCTGCTTCTTGGGGCTGCGAGTGTCGAGCTCGTACCCATCGGCATCAAGCTGCTCGTCATCATCGTTGACCTTGCGGGTGTCAAGCTCGTATCCATCAGCATCAAGTTGCTCCTCGTCGTCGGCAGCCGCCTGCTTCTTGGGGCTGCGGGTGTCGAGCTCATATCCGTCGGCATCCAGCTGCTCCTCATCGTCATCAGCAGCCTGCTTCTTGGGGCTGCGGGCGTTCCTAGAGAGGCAGAACATCAGCGAGGGGAACTTTGCAGTCACTTAAAGCACATGAAACTACTTACAGAGCGCCTTGAGCAGCCGCGGCATCCTCTGGGCTCTCGGATGAGAGAGCAGCCAGAATGCTGGCGACGTCGTCCTGGCGAGCGTTCCTGCAAGGCCAAAGTGTTAGCGACTGAAAAGAAATCTTCACTCCAAATCATGACTACATACAGAGCGCCTTGAGCGGCCTGGGCATCCTCGGGGCTCTCAGTCTGGAGAGCAGCCAAGATGCTAGCGACATCGTCCTGACGAGCGTTCCTGGTAGTCAAAAATGTAAGCGGGTGGAACAATGTGACCACTTGAAGCGGAACCACCTACAGAGCACCTTGAGCTGCTTGGGCATCCTCGGGGCTCTCAGATTGGAGGGCAGCCAGAATGCTGGCGACATCGTCCTGACGAGCCTCGAGTCCTTGGCTGACAGGAGCAGCAACTGCCAGAGCAGTGAGTGAGAGAACAACGGCGCAACGCATATTGATTATTAAAGCAGAAAAATGAGCACAGCTCGATATAATTATTGCTTTGTTGAGGATGGAGTCGAAGTATAATATTTACACCCGAAGAATTGGACACGCAGAGATAGGTTCAGCTAGTTCAGCGAGGACGGTGCTGCCTTTTAAACCAAAGGGATGTTCAAACTACGTAGTATGTGCTGCTGATCACAAGGCCGCTCGAATATGGCATTAGTTTCAATTCCGTCCAAGTCTTTGACAGAAAGCCCGACTGCTGCATAGTCCGGATGCCGAGTAGGTGGCAGAGTCGAGATGCGATTCGAGGCCGTCTTGGCTCCACTGGGCGACGGGCGGTGGGGGTCGAAACAGAGCTGGTCTCGGGTCGCCAAGGCCCGTGACAAGCCAATTGAGATGATTTCACGAGTTGTTTGAATGTTTGGACGACCTTGACGTTCCTGGGCATTTCACTGCGGCGTCCAATGGTCGAGCGAGACAATGGCTAGTGGTCGAGGCGTCGCAGACTTCGGCACACTTTGGGACGGAAAATCGACACACGTATGCATGTTTGTGGTGATCAAGCCCTACGGGCGTGCATGGAGCCGCACCCAACCTTGATTCAAGCTTAAACCTTTCCCCAACAATCTAGCGCTCGTTACCGTTACTCCATCGGTAGTATCGAGGGGTCGCATCATTGTTCTGATTGGCCTCGTCAGTGTTTTGGACCTTGATTCGGCCGGCGGGAGCTGCCGGATTCACACCAGGGACTAGAGGATCAGAGCTTCACCTCAAAACGGACCTCTGAAACACCTTGAGCTTGAGCAGATCTTCTCCATGCTGCAGACAGTATGGAAAATTGCCCCGAGATCTACATTCCAGCCCGGCGGAAATGATTATGATTGAACGAGCGGTCAGCGTCCCGGCGGCAAGGCCAGCATGGTTCAACCTAGGTAATCATGGCCGAGTAGAAGCTGATTCAGCCCTCTCTCTCACCCAGCACCTGCGTCATCGCTTCAGCTGGAGGCACTCTAACCAATTCTATGCTCATTGCCACAGGTCATGTCCATGGCCGGACAATGTGGCTCATTACTACTTCCATCCGTCTTATTCTTTTCGCAAATACTGATCTACATGTAACTATCCTGAGAACGGCAAGTTTCTGGACAGAGCGACGCAGCTGGTTATCCCGTCGTAACTTGGATACTCCGGAGATATTCGATGACAGCTCGGCTCGGAGGCTTCAAGTGCTTTGCACCAGCTGCCCGGGATCAGCATGCATCATGAGCACCCATCATGTCTCGGCCCTGTGGCGACTGAGAGCGTGGATGCGTGAAGACCAAATTACCGGATTTGTTTTTGATAGATCAATCATTGCCATTCGAAAAGAAAATTCTAGAATGCTACCCACTGGCCATTTGCGTCTCAGCAACGCTGTTTTACCTCGGACATCCTCCCTGCAGCACGCCCTAGTAATAATATCCTTCTCGTCAATATGATTGATGCATGCTACGTGTATGCTACTGTCGCTTCATCCAGAAGCCACCGAGGATATTGCCCGGGGTGTTGGGGAGGGTGAAGGGCGCCCATCGCTTCGGTGGAGATGGAGTTCTGATCTTACCATTAGCTCACGAGCATGGATACAGCTGTCAAAGCGAATGAATCTTTCCTTTTTGATACAATGGAAAATAAATTGTCTCGGACCAGATCTCCAGCCGCGCAATCGCTTTGGGTCGACAAGTCGGAATCTGGTCCTAATATAAACTCAACCACGGCCACAGCCACGGCCGCCGGTCGTCCTTCGATTGCGAACCTCACATACCATGCTGAAAAGCGCCCAGGACGCACTTAACGAAAATAATATGTGAAGACGCGTCAATCCATCAAACCAAACCTTACCTGTCAACTTGACTTTGTCCATAACGGTCAAAGTATGCACTGCGTCCAACTGGTGCTGTCCAAGGTGTGATTTTCTTGTCAGCACAGGATGGCTGTAATGTTGACCTTCAGACACGATGAGAAAAGAATCTTTTGAAGGTTGGTTTCATTGTGGGTTAAATTGCTGACAATACTCCCTGACAAAATTAAATTAACACATGGTCGACTGTCCAGTGACCAAACTCAGTCCTTGCATTTGCCGTAAGACGGCATAGGCTCATGAGTGGGTGAGGAAGACTTGGTCGACCAAGATGACATGGTAAGATAGACTGGTCAAAACTTCAACAAGTAATCGATAGGCAATTCAAACTGCACAGGTTGCGGCTGGCTCGTATTTCCCATGCCAAACTCAAGGATACCGGAGGATGTCAAAGAACAGTCATAGGATTGCCAGATCACCTAAACTCTGGCGGTCACTCCGCGCTGGGGGAATCGGCAAGCATCATCACAGGTTGGGCTGGCGAACGGATGGCAACACCAGCCAGGTTACATGCAAGACGATGATTCAGAGAGGGTAGCATTGGCGAACGGCCCATCACCCATGCATTCAACACTATTTTCGCTATTCATTTCAAAACTCGGATTGTCTGAAAGCCAGGCATCTGAGAGCTCTGCACTGCCACGAGTCGTGGTCAAATTAATGCGTGGCGGTCGCTGTTGGGCGCGCGAGCCCTCGAGTGGTCTTTCATATCGCTCATAAAACACGGCCATTTATTGCTGTCTCTCTCTCTCGGACATTATCTGACCGGTTTGTCCACCGCTTCTCCAGATCCAAAAGGCTGGAAATTGTGAGGCGAACAATGTCCTCGACCAAACCGATTCGGAAATCTGAAAATAGCTCATCACAACCTAGGTAGAGGTAATCTTCTATAAGTTTCCACCCGGCTTGTCCTAACCGCGTTAGTCAGCGACCGACCTCTGATCCGCCAACGCCTCACCCACGCTCTGTGATGCCCAGTGTATAAATCACCTTGACCACCCAGCCTTCTGGCCCCGGCTCGCTCCCATTCGAATTTGATCAACTTTGACCGACCCTCACCACAGGCCACCCGCCGGGATTCCGGCCACCGCCGCCAGAACGATAGCTACGCGCGGGCGGGGTAAGAGGGCCGGTTCCTGGGGGCCTCTGGGCCAACGACTGGCCGCCCGGCTGCCAAAATCCTGGTACTTGAGGTGGTCGCAATCGTGGTCGCTCACCCTTCTCCTCCCTCTCCTCCCCCTCCTGCTTACTACTTACTACTGACTACTGACTAGTTTCAACAACTGCGCCTGTCTGCTCTTTCAAGACCCTGCTGTCTGTTCCCTCGCCTTCCTCTAGAAAACTTGACTCTCACTATGCCGCCGCAAAAGACTGTGAAAGACTTCTTCCGTCAGGGAAGATAAAGGGGATCTGCGCAGTGCCAGAAAGGGATTAACAATTTTGTTACCTTTAAGACGCTTACGGTTCAGGTGCAACTTAATTATAAATGCATGATTAGCTTGTAGAATTAGTTTATTCTCGCTAGGCATCCTACCCCTTTCTCTTTTATCCCTATTAATCTTTTCGGTACATAGTTTCGATAAAAAGCATGCTCAAGATAGCCCTAACCTATATCATCGGAAGTCCTTAAAGGACTTTATGGAGAAGGTTAGTATTAATAGCGTAATAAACGATCTAGACCTGGCAAAAGATACAGTCATGGTATACTGGAAAGAGTCTGATAGCTAAGAAGATAGTAGATAGATAGGTATATAGTTTAGAAGAAAATATAAGGTGGCTGAAGCCTCATTTGGTATTGTTACTACTGCAGCGTGTTGTTAATGCGCCAAAACCAGAGTAGGCCGCCCAACCAGTCCGATTGCAAGGTCCATTTGGTGTGTGCACATCCGACGCCTTGTAAGTCGTTCAATTGCTGTCCAACCTGCCGTACCTAGCATCTCATCTGTTTCCATAACACATGTAGAGCACGACAGCAGCAGCTGGATGCCTTTCTGCGAAGCCATCCCGACACTGAACGATTTCTCTAGAGCAGACTTGAAACCATTCCATCCAGCGAGCCTCAAACGACATTGCAACCCACGGTGGTGTGTATAGTTGGATGGTTCTGGGCCAGCCGCTACATGTCGAATATTCTGTAGCTTTCGTGGACTTAGACTGTCAAAATGAGGCTGCGTGGGGCTATGAAGAGTGCACGATGGAATGATTCAAAGTGTGTTGGCCGTCGTTGGCACGGCAGCTGGCGATGTTATGGTTCTAGGTTGCTTCGGACTGGTCGATTGGGAAGAAATGGTCCGACTGCTCGCCTTGGGGGACATAACGAAGACCCGTAATCTGGCAGGGAGGTATATTCTGTAAGCGCGCCGTGGCATCTACTGACAAAAGGATGGGTGCCGGTCACTCACCTTCTCCAAACCATTCCGGAACACAAAGAGCCAGACAATTAAAGAGATGAGGATGCCAAAGATGAGGAATCTGGTGAAGCTTGGTGTCCACATGTTGCCTGAGTAGTACATGGGCTGAAGGGAAAAAATGTAGGAGTAGGAACTTTGAAAGTGCAAATGACAGCACCAGATGATTGCTTTTCGGGGGGAAGTAAGGGGACGAGTTAGTGACCCTGGAGACTTAGCATGTCTTTTATAACAAAAGTTCCTGTTGGTAGCGAAAATGGCAATAGGCACTTCTTGGCCCCATACCACACCGGTAAAATGTAACCAATCCAACCCCTGAAGACAACAACCGCGCGTGCAAGCAGTCATGATAGGTCGATTGCTCATCAGCAGTTGGTCGGTAACAGGATTTACGGCTGGGAACTGTGCTGTGCCGCAACGAGTTCTCACGCAATTGGAGTTATCAGGTCGCCCCCCCCCCCCCTCCCTCCTTCGATTAGGGGCATATTGTCGACAATACCGATTCTGCCAATTTCCATCTATGTACGGCACTAAACAGTATCAAATTATACGGTCAAAGTGCATTGTCGGAAATTCCAGCACTGACATTCTTGCGCCACACTTTCACACATCGAAGACTCTTAATCAATCAATTCTCTGACCTCATGCTTCCAGCAGAGAGAGACGGCCAGCCGGCTCCTGAACCTGTCCTCGTCGGGCATGTTCCGCTTCAAGAGCAGGGTCTGTCCGTGCCAGGGCAAGGCTATGACCGTACAATGGATGTTCACAAAGGCAATATTACCATCAAGCCTGATCACGAAGGTCTACAAGCCGACCACTCCCAATTCTTGTCCGGAGGCACGTCCGCAGATGAACAAGTCGGTACAGCCCCAGCGGTTGTAACCAAGACCGAGAAGGAGCTTACGACTTCTTTGAGTCCCCCTGGCAAACCGAGACGCAGAAGAAAACTTATTTTTGTGGTCATTGCTCTCACTCTTGTGATTACTGCAGCAATAATAGGTGGTGTCCTTGGATCTAGGACAGCTGGCGGCAGCACGAACACCTCTCCGAGCGGCTCTCCGAGCGCCTCTCCGAGCGCTACAAACCCTCCAAACACTACATCCGATACATCGTCTCTTATCAAGCAACAATCCGGTCTATCAGTGGCTGCATGGAGGAAGAGCCAAGGAGGTCTGCAAATCTTGTTGTATTACCAAAGTCTAGACGGCACGCTTCGATGGTCGACCTACGACGATCCACAGAACGAATCTACATATAGCAGTTCATACTGGGGAGAAAGCAAGCCGCTAGGTGATGCAGACTCAGATCAAGCTGCCAATGACACAGGTTTGGCAGCTACGATGATTCTATGGGACACGAATTACATGGTGAGCGATTTACGTGTTCAATGACACCCAGAGTATTGACCGGTTAGAAAATATGACTGACAACGACCATACAGCCCCAGATAAATGTCTTCTATGTCCAGTCGAGTGAATTCCCGAAATTACGCGCAAAGTGGAACGTAAACAGCGAGCCTAAATACCATCAATACCAGGGCGTCATCAACTCTTTCAACCAGGCAAGTACGGGCAGGACCTTGGCAGGATACTGGCCGTACTACGCCCGCCTCGATGGGGACAATGCAGTGGCCATGTGGCGTGATGACCCGTACTCTTCCAATTACGAAACAGGGAACTGGAGCGTTTGGTTTGTGTCTGACGCCAATCCTATGACTGGGAGCAAGTTAGCAGTGGTACCAACAGGACCAAACATGACGAGCCTGGCCTCGTGGTGGAATTATGGCTTGATCTTCCAAACCACAACTGGGGACTTGGCCCTTTCACAGCCTCACAAGGCACAGGCCGAAGCCAATAACACTTTCGTAGACAGTTGGCGCAGCGGTAAGTGCAAAGCAAGCCCTATGTCTGCAATATCAATCTAATTTGCCCGGATGGTCTAGACACAGGGTTCCCGTCGATTTCCTTGGCGCCCGGCGGGTCCTTCGCAGCCTTCGCTACGACTAGGCCGGACAGTAGTGAAGGAATCGTGAACACATATGTGCTCTACCAAGAGCCTTCATCACGGATCAGCATGGTTTACCTTGACAACAAGTCTCAGTGGCTCATCACACACCCCGAGGCTCTCAGCATCGCAGACAATGGGACAAACATCGCATGCGTGACCATGCCGATGACGCTGAGGGATGCTGATGGGAACGATTTACGCCTCGAATTAGCTTCAAACCATACCAACAGATGTTACTTCCAGCGAGCTGGACATGTGATTGAAGTCGCGATGACCGGGACCGATTGGACCGAGCTGGGAACAGTCCCAATTGAATAACTTCCTTATCGACCAAGCGGTCGCATCAGAAGAAAACGCGTCGATGCCCTGAAATTCGTGAATTATAGGAGGAAAGGGCCTTGGTAATCTTCTACATAACCTGATAGTCAGATGTTAGTCTTTTGTAACTTCAACCACATGTACAATAGTTCCTGATGGAAGAGTATAATACTGGATATTGGTCTGCTTGACATTCCGCTCAGTACATTTCAGCAAACTCTTAATAGCATGTATCTCGGAAAGAAAAGAGGTTGTCATGGCAGACGGCAGTTTCCACAATACGTCTCTCAGTGTATACTAAAGACATGGTCATCTGACCACATTGTGAAATATAAAGTATTCGGACGTGTTTCCGGACTCATTTCACAAGTGGGAGGGCAAATAATATGCCCGCCTCTTTATAACAGAAGAAATGGAAACCTGCATTGAAGCTAAAGATCAAGAAGACTGATACAATGTAAACCTGACATTCCACAAAGCTAAACCTATATTCTTTTGAACCGAACTGAGCCAACATGGCCAATGTACAGTTAGGGACTCCTCTTGTGTGGCTTCAATGCCTGTAGCCATGCTGACCTGGTCGAAATCGCTGAGTGTTTGGTCTCCAGGGGTTTTGATTTGGATCCAGTTGTGCAGAAGGACTTAAATTTCGAGTCAATGTATATTTGTGGACAGGCGAGTGATAAAAGAAACCTGGGCGTGCACCTATCGTCATATACTATCCGGCAAAGGGATAGACAGTACCTAGCCGGGTAGATTTTGTCCTCGTGCATCAACCAGCTCCCAATGCAGTTCTTCCACATATGAAGGGAATATTGATACAATACGCCGAGTGAAATCAAGGTCTTTGCTTTTATCTTCCACCCTCCCTAGCCTGTCAACACTGGTCTCTTTTCACACAAAAGCCCACCTGAGCAGCTTATGGGGAATTCACTTCCGAACTGCCAAGACTTGACCTTCTTTTCCCAGCAGCAACCAAACGAACCGAACACAATAACACCAGCCCAGTACTCTCACGCAAGAATTTGATGCCCCTCTCATCACATCAATAATGACTCAAGCTCTTGAATTTCTTGCTTGTCCCGAACTTTGACCCCATTTCAAGGATCTGAGAGTATTCGCACCATGTCAGATCGCAAAGACAGTGAGAAGGGCTCAGGAGAGCTTTGTCGAGAGCCGCAAGACCTGTCTCTTTCAGCAGATAATGACTTCTCACGTGTCTCAGGCGCTTCTGGCCCATACCATCCTCTCAAATTCATGTCAGTCACATTCAGTGTGGTGTTTGGGCGGCCGGAATAAGCTTATGCTGACCCAAACCGTAGGGAGTTTCCTCGCGAGATTCGCAACGCCATCTACAAACAGAGTCTCGCCTACCCAGACGGAGTGTTCATCATCGGAAGCAACCACTGCATCGAGCGAGGCCGCCGCCGAGCCGTTCTCGGCCACAGGCTGAGCCCCTTCATGCCCCTATCCGGGTATACCGCCGAGTTCTCGGCCTCCACTCGAAACCTGGCGATCCTTCGCACGAGCAAGACCATATCCGCCGAGGTAGGCAAGATCCTGTACGGCGAGCCACTCGTCTTCACCGAGATGGTGGCTCTGCAGAGCTTCCTGACCGGCCTCAGCCAGGAGAAGATCAGCCTGCTGCGCCACGTGGCCGTCGACGACGACGTTTTCGGCATCTACGACGGCCAGCAGGATGTTATGCCGAGCGTCTTTGCTCTCCTGAAGGACGCTGGCGGCCTGGAGAACCTGCGCATCCCCGCCATCGTCCCCATCAGGGCCGTGTTCCGGACCTGCATTGACGGTACCCACGACGCTACAGACGATACGATCGGCGTCGCCTGTTTCGACCCCGTGCTTGCGAGGAACTTGGCTGCCGAAGTTTATAGCCGTACCTACACCTATCTCCGGGTCGCAGTTTCAGCTCGCGGCATCGACAAGGTCATGGAGGTGCTGCGGGCGTTCGAGGATACCTAGTTATCTTCCAGCTCGGTCATTCTCACGGGGGGGGGGGGTCGCTTTCCGGCCAGCCCAGGTGACAGACGCTGAGTGGACTGAGGAGCGAAAGGTCGCCATGAAGAAGGTGATGGCTGAGGAGATTGCGAGGCTGCTTGAGGCCGACAAGAACTAACGGTGCTACATTGGTATGAGCGGCATTCAGGGTGCGGCGGAGAAGTCATTTTTGGGCCGGTTCAGGCATTAGATATCAACATCTGAGCAATGTACATGACGCGTGGGACTTACCCATGAATTCAAGACACCTCAGCCAAGGATGTTCTGTATTCAAAGTGCCACTGAATACTCGATCTCTCATTGCATTCTGCGACCAAGCCTCTATCGGCACTACCCCCGACGAGACGCGCCGCCCTTTGTCTCGCCTCCCTTTAGCTCCCCCTTCCACACCCCCCGCACCTGTTCAAGTCTTACAAGGATCTAGATATCGAGGTAATTTCCTCTATTGGCACGTCTTGAAGGGCCCAGCATCTCTCCTCGTCGTCCTCGTCAACATGTTGCTCTTCACCTGGTGCACCTGCCGGTAAACACCCTAGTACAGAATGACTTCCTATTAACAGGATGGCCTTCAGGAGACTATACTGCTGCTCGGACAATGGCCGTGTATACGGGAGTCTAGTCACGGGCTCCCATGGGAACTTGTAATTTTGTAGCTCGTGAGTGAATCTAATAGTGTTTTGATCATGAAAGCTATGGACTCCAAAGTCTTGATGAGGAAAGGGAGTGACTCAACCCTTCCATTGTGACCAGTTATAGGCGGCCGCAACGTGACATCTCACAGGTTGCTCAAAGACTGGTCATCGCACCCCAGGCTACCCACTCTACGCCTGAGGACCAGTCATCGCCCCTGGAGTTGGAACCAATCAACCATGCAACCAGTCATCGCTGTTGGTGTTGGAACCAGTTACACCCCTCCCAAAGCTGCCACAGCCGCCTCCCGACCAGTTATCGCTCTCCTATTGGGACTGGTCACGCTATAGATACTGGTTAGCATCCTTACATTATTGACCAGTATAGGTTCTGTGACTGGTTTTAAAGGATTCCTTTTCAGCCTGGCAACCGGTCAACAGTCCTTAAGACTAGTCACTATGCAAGGCCTTTCCACATAAGCGCTGTATATTGGTATCAATTGCATCGCTTTTAGATACTACCACTACCTTAGGTATCAGTATACTGGCTATGAACAGCTAGCTACTGCTAATTATGGTTGGTTGGACCGGTATAAAGGTGCCCAGCTCATGACTGCGGTACTGGCCCCTCAGCTGAGGGCTATAGTATCTATGTACGACTGCCTAACCACTGTCCGGCAGTTAGAAGGGGTACTGCGTTGCTTGCTGACTAGGCGGTCACGAGGCTGCTAGTGTGGCACGGCTGACAAATTAATTATGAAAGCAGCAACGCTGATAGCATCACAGATATTATTATAATCATTATGAGTGACGCATATGGGCTGACTTAATTCTCGGCTTGGTTATCCAGCCTGCAGTCTGGTCGAATGGTCTCAGGATCCGGGCTGCTGGCATATCCCGATACAGGGTGTCTTTATAACCGGGCTAGGCCTCACTCAGGAGAGCTCATCTTAGGTTCACGCCCTCTCACCCTTAGCACAGTCAAAGTCCGACTTCACAACTATTCCAGACTCAGGGCCAGGTCAACTTGGGGGATGAATATTCAGGTTGAAATTTCAAGAAACGAGACAAGCCTCATTGCGTTGGATTGGTTACCATTCCGTCGCTTCGCCCCTCGTTCAAGATATTCCCAGATTCGGCTGAACAGCTGGAAGACGATTCGTTCTCCGAGAACAACATCATAAAATCCAGGCCTTCACACAGTAGCAGTGCCGAAATGACACCTCTGGTCGTTCACAAGATGGAAGTCAGATCACCTTAAATGTGTTCTCATCCCATCCATACACTCTCTTGAGCCGACGGGAGATAATAGGCAACTGCCAACCCTCGATATTGGACTTGTGAGGCCGATGCACAGTGAATGACCTTGTTGCACCCATGGTCTCAGGCGGCAGGAAGGTGAAGACCGACCCGAACTTCGGGATGACAGAGAAGCCCAGGTCTGCCATGGCTGCCTCGAATGCCACCCAGCTGACTGAACCTCGAGCTTCGGCTTTTGAGAAGAAGGTGGAGAAGACATCAAAAGTGGAGGATTTGACCTGTTTCTTCTCCCGGGGCACAGTGGCAGCTGGGTCCTCGTCATCGCGCGCCTCGGCAGGCGGGCTGATCTCGTAAGTCAATGGGTGTGCTGGTCTGGTCTTGTGCTTCTCCCTGCGCTGTTTGATCCGCGTCTGGGAAGACTCTGCTGCCTGATCGAGAATGGGGGAAAAATTTGTCTGGATCTGCTCTGTTTTTGCCTTGACCTGCCGGTACTGTTTGTCGAGATCGCCAATGGAATCATCGATGGCATCTTGGTACAGAAAATCCATATCTGAGCCTGCTTTCTCAACAACAAAATCACGAAGGGCCTTCAGTGCATTTTCCGCCATCCCAGTCTCCAGAAGGTTGTCGATGGGAACGACAAAATCTGTGAGGTCGAGTTCTTTCTTCAGCTCGCTCAGATCTGTCTCGAGATTTCTCAAACGGGAGACGAAGAGTTGACCTTTGTTTCGTGATGGAGGTGGCATTGAGATGCCAGAGTATAGATCTTGCATGAGAGAAACGATAGCAGCGGTGTCGCAGACTGCGTCAAACTCCCTCTCCGCCAGCCGCTCCCGCTCATCGATGTGCGACTTGTGGAGGCTTGACACCTGGTCCAACCAGACCACCGCCTTTGCGGCTGTGGTCTCGGTCTGGCATAGCCGTAGCAAGTAGTGTAGCTGGGGATTCTCGCGCGTGAGTGTCTCAGGTTTCACCTTCATTACCACGCGTGCGTTGCCATAACCGGTGGCATTGGCAATGCGCTTGAAGAATTTTGCGCCAGCACCGGATTGGACATGGCGTTTCAGCAGACTCTGAGTCCTGCTGAATTCCATCTGGCAGGTGTTGGAAAGTTCCTGATGAATAGCTACGCGATAGACTTTGTCGGTTGTGTCTTGGAGTAACTGAAGGAGACAAGTGATGTAGTTCCATACTGCGACAGTCTTGACAGCATTTTGGATAGCGTCGAACATAGTGGCGCTGATGTATCGATCGGTCAGTGCCGGAAGGATACGACCCTTCTCGTCGGCGACCAGCTCTGGGCGACTGTAAAACCAGATGTTGACGTAGTGGGCGAGAACGACAGGTTCGATGTACATGAGGTTGAGCTCATCGTTCATTGAGGCCTTTTGTTCCATGGCAATTTCCAGGAGATCTGACAAAGCGAACTTGGTCGGCTTGGATCTGATGGTCAATTTCGCCAGAGCAGCTGTGGCGGAAGCCGTGTCTCGCTTCTGAAGGCGCTCGTTTTGTGCTCTGGTGGTTGAGCCAAGCTCGAGAATATCGTCGATGATGATGACGAGCAACTGTGCCAAGTTTAATTGCCTGGCTACAATGAGGTCTCCAGTCGCTTGCGATACACAGGTTCCGTTATTTATGCATGGCCCCATCTGAGACAAGAAGCTGTCACGATCCGCTTTGACTCTGATATACTTTCCGTAATATTCCTCGTCAAAGAACAGTGACCAGCAATCATCATTTGTATCCGGGTAGCGGAGGGTGTTTTTGCTCATCATCTGAAGGACGAAAGCATGATCACCCAAACTGCTGTCGTCCATGCCCTGGGCATACTGGTAGTTGAGCGAGGTGGTAGCACGGTGGCGAAGAAGCTCCAAGAAGAAGTCAGAACCAGGCTCCGTGATACCTTTTAGATTCCACTCGGGAATGATGCTGACGGTACCAGACAACAGGGGATCTCGGCGATGTCTAGGCACAGCCTCGCCTGCCGCGCCAGCCTTCATAGCCTTAGAGCGCTGCGCCTTGGTGAATGACCTCCAGATATCCTGAACCTTGGACCCGTGGAGGCGGTATTTCCGGGCCAAATCGTGATGAAGGTCCTTCAGGACGTCGGCATTGCCCAGCATGGCCATGCTGGCCGTTTGTAAGGCAGTCGTGCAGACTGTCCAGGTGTGGCGACCTTGGAAGCACGCAAGGCAGTAATAGCGGGCGAACAGTGGTTTGTACAATTACAAAAGCAGATCGACGTATCGAAGTACTCGGATTCTGGCGCCCCGGTGGAGGTGTATTTGTTATGACAACCATTGACCGCAGGAACGTTGCGCAAACGAAAACCTCTGGGGCAAAGTCCGCTTGACATACGAAAGGAGACGATGCAGGTGGCAGAAATTACTGGGCTTTGTGGCCATTTGATGTGGCGCTAGAAGCCTGTGAATTGCCAACTGGGTGTGAATCGTCACGAGTGAATAATTCCAGTCTTCACTGCGACTGATTAGGAAGAGCGCAAGTGTGGGGCGCACAAATCATTTACAACCAATGCATCAAGCTGTACGAACGCTTACAGACCGGAAAGTCACAGGAAGTCGGTAGCTTGCCAACGAAGTAGCAGTGCAAACGAATACGGTAGCATTTCAACGGCAAAGGAACTTTGGCTGCTAAATGGCACGTGCAGGATGAATCAAGTCCTGCCGTTGAATCACACAGTACGCAAGTGTGTAGACTGGGGCTCGGCTTCATCATGTGTGCGCCGAAGACAGGGAGAGAAAAGTCCAATGGCAATTCTGAACGATTTTATAGCGCTTTTGCCAGCAAGTCGAGTCGGTTTGTTCTGCTTATAGCAAGCTGCACTTTCTGCCCAGTTTCCAATGTCACGCGAGCAGTTTCTATATCTGTCATGACCGCCCTTGGCAGTCAGAATCTTGGCACACTCGAGACGCGCTCAGCTAAGCATCTGTACTTCGGCTGAAACCATGATAGGCAGTATCACCGTTTGACCCTCTTGGACCAAGACTATGCTGAGTCCACCTCTTGCGAATGCCGTCCCTTCAGGTCTAAATCTACAAACTTCACAGGGCGCCGCGGCGCTGCCGAGATCAGCGCGCTCAACGATGGAACGGGCAATAAAGCGCTGTTATACGGACTCCGCGTAAAGGCGATTACGAAGGCGAGCTTTCCACAGCTTCATGCTGCTGACTCGAGGAATGGCGCTGGCAATAAAGACTCCTTCAGTCCTAAGAAATGCTGGATTAGAAGGTCCTGGTCTTCTCACCTCATCCCTCTGCCTTCTTTGATCGCGACCGAGTGTGTGTGTGGACTAGGTATGCCCTGGTGGCCAGAAATTGTTGCGAGTTGATTTACCTCTGAACCCTGACGCTCATTAATCATGGATTTCGACCTTGAGGTGAACGAGAATGGACTGGATTCCTTCGAGCTAGTGTTTCCTCTGGCATATCGCATCGCTTTTATGGTTGTTTTTGGTAAGTCAATTCAATTCGTTGCCATCTAGGTAGTCCTACTAAACGCGAGCTAATTGAACTCAGCCGTTTGGTCGTGGGCTCTTATAATACACTACCTGCATAGTCGACATATATGCGTTTTGACCCTTCTTAATTATAACCCATCCGGTGATAAACCACTCCACATTCTGATATACCGCCTTGCGGGCTTTCTTTCTTTGACATTCATCGTATCCCTCGGCCTCTACTGGGTCATTACCCACAAGGACCCACAACTCACTTCTTATTTCAATTGGCTCGCTCTAATCAACCTTCTCATTCTGGGCGTGCTACTTCTCGCACCTCCTCACAATTTCGCGGCCTCATCTGGAGGTCGGGACCGATTCCTAGCCACGCTTCGAAGAATCAGCTTGGGTGGCTTGGCACAACCTCACCATGGAAAGTTTGCAGACACCTTGTTAGCAGACGCGTTCATTTCACTAGAGGTTATTTATGCCGACCTGGTGCTTTATATGGTCCTTCTCTTCACACGGACTAGCGAATCGCCCGACGACCCTAAGTACCAGGCCATCAGACATGTCGTCAAGCCCATCGCCATGTCCATTCCTGTCCTCATCAGGTTCCGCCAGTGCTTGACCGAATTCAGTCGTGCTGGAAGCACACAGCTCTCGGAAGGAGTGTGGGGCGGGTGGCATCTTCTTAATGCTGGCAAATACATCAGCTCCATTCCATTCATCATCTTCGACATACTGCGCAGGGAGGCTGAAGATACTCCAGCAGGAATACCCGAAGACATTTTCTACCTGTGGCTAGTGAGTCACACTATCAACACCGTCTACAGCTTCTGGTGGGATATCTCACGAGACTGGGATCTGAAGCTGCTGGTTTCCGGCGGCTCTAAAGGCTACTCATTTGGCCTGCGAAAGGACTTGCTACTGTTTGGTCCTGCTGGCTATTACCTGGCCATATTTTTGGATCTCGCACTGCGGAGCACATGGATCCTGAAAGTTAGTCCAGACATAGATCGAATCTTGGACAGATCCACTTGGGTCTTCATTTTGACGTTCCTCGAGTTGGTGAGACGAGCTGTCTGGGCGCTGTTCCGTATGGAGACAGAATGGATCAGGATCCAGAACACAGAACTCAAGGACCCAGGATCTAATTCCAAAACCCTGAAGGACGAGGAAGCTGGTCTTTCTGAAACGGCTGTCAGATCACCAAGATACTCTGTAATGTCTATACCAGTGTCTGTACAATCAAGCACAAACGCGCCTCCCGCCTATAAGCCGCGGCTGGACCCTATCAGCCTCCGGCGGGCCTCGATCTGAATAGACACTATACCAATAAAAAATTGCCAAAACTTGATCGGATTTCCGTATATTCTATAGCGACATGTGAAAGAATTAGCAGGTGACGATTTCAATGTAGGTCAGACGTATCAGCCAAGGAGAAATTGAACTCTCTACGCCCTTCGGACAACGCTAGACTACTGACACTCCTTTGACAGGTGCTTCTCCACCAATCAACGGCGAGTCAGCTTTTAATCTTCGATGACAAATCCGATAAGATACAACAACAACAAGGCTATATATAGCGTGGCTTCATTTCGCACATTACACACATCATCACGGTTGCAATCCCAAGATTCCGAAGTTGTAAGGACATAAACATGGCATCTGGATCTGCCCAGCTCATCCTTCCACGTCCTGGAGCGGAACCCCAAGCTCCAAGCTCCCCAATTCCCGGACCCACCGAGGCAATTTTCACAAACACCTTTGGGACACTGCTGCCACCAGCGCAGTTCTTCACCACATCCACAGGCAAAGCCGCGTACTACGAACTGCCACCGACCTCAAAGAGCCCGTCCAAGTCGCCAGACCGCGTCGTCTTCCTACATGGCGTGCAGACGCCCGCTCTAGGCATGCTGCCTCTTGCTAGGGCGCTGCACTCGGCATTCCCACAGGCACATTGCGTCTTGATGGACTGGTGGGGCCACGGGCTGAGTGAGACCCCAGTGGTAGCTCACGAAAACAAGCTGTTTCACGCCCAGGTAAATGCCCTTTTGGATCATCTGGGCTGGCCGTCTGCGCACTTCGTGTCCTACTCATTCGGGTGCTCTACGACGATATCGTACGTTGCGGCTGGACACGGCCGTGTCAAGAGCATGGCGCTCGTGGCTCCTGCCGGGCTTCTGCGCTCGAATGACTGGACCGATTTGCAACGCCAGTATCTCAAGGGCGGGAATGGTATCGAAGATGATGCACGCAGGTGGATTCTGGAGTTCCTGGAGGGCGGAGAGCTCGTTGTACCGACGGACTGGAAAGAGCGTGTGTCTCGGGGCGAGGTAGTGGCTGAGGCTATTCGACAGTGGCAGATGCAAAACCACTCGGGCCATACGGCTTCTGTTGTTGGCATCTTCAGAGATGGAGGTGTCTTCGACCAACATTCCGATTTTGCAAAGGCAGCTGCAACTGGGATCGAAACACTGTTTGTGCTCGGCGAGCTCGACGATCTGTGCTCCAAGGCAGATCTCGTACAGGCTGGATTCAACAATATCACAGTAGTCCCGGGGGCTGGCCACGCAGTAGTTAGAGATAAGGTGTCTGGAGTCGCTGTTTTCATTGATGACTTCTGGAGGAACACAGTATGAACCTTGACTCTAAGACGTCTCCGGTTTCGATGACGGAACAACACTCTCAGATAGCTATCATTCAGACAGACTACTGGGAGATGGCGAATGGAGGACCTTGCTATCGCTGGAAGCAATGTCTCAGGAAAGGGTTGATTCAACATTATAGACGAAGATCAGTAGACAAGAGACTTATGCGGCCTTGAAGCAGTTTCCGCATATGGATTTAGATGCTTTTACCGCGCATATAGAATGTGCAATTGCAATGATTTCGGTCTGTTATCTGTTCAGATTTGAATAGCTCAGAGGAATGGTTCCTTAGAAAGGACAATTTCTTGTGTAATAGCTCTGCTTTTACGGGTACATCTGAGGGAAAAGGACACCACCTGATTTCTCTCGTGTCCGATCAGAATACGATCTTCTAGATACCTCTACTTTCCATGACAGATCTTAAAGTCTTGGCGAATCTGGCTACATGATCTGGACTGATCATTGTGTAGTGGGAACCACCGACGCTATGAAATTGCACGTTGGTCTCGCAGAAGTCCTGCCACTTGCTCAGTTGGTCTTTGATCCAAACATCACGAGATGGAGCGGCTGATTTCAGTGGTATCGCATGGAACACATCAAGGACGGAAACCATCCCTGTCGGCTTGTACTGAGTTGCCATGCGTTGTAGACCGTATGCGACATCAGTCCATGCCGAAAGGGATTGCTCATCTTGACTAAGTTCCGACAAACGACCTTTGTCCACTGATCTGAACAGTGATTCCTTGGCCTCTCGTTTAGTCATATTTGACACGACACCAGCAGACTCGATCTGCTCCACATAGTCCTCTGAGTGGAGCCCTAGAAAATAACAAAGATGTAGAAAACACAGGGGCCAGCTGAGTTGTTGCATGCGGGCACCGATATGAGGTGGCAAGTTGAAGCTTGCCAAGAAACGAACATCATCACCAGCGCTGTTCAAGGCCTTGACAGTCTCGAACGCCAGCATCGCTCCGTAACTGTAACCGGCAATAGCATAAGGACCAGTGGGCTGGATTCTTTTGATCGCGGAGTGGTACATAGACACGGCTTCGGCGATGGAGGCAAAGCTTGTCTGACCTGGCTCAAAACCGCGTGCACGGAGGGCATAGATGGGCCGGTCATCACAGGAAAGCTGTTGCGCCAACCCGACAAACACGAGGACTTCTCCCACTCCTGGATGGATTAGCCAAAGTGGTATTTTGTTTCCTTCTTCCTGAAAGGTCACCACAGGATCGTATGCGGTCTCCGGGTGACCATTATGATGCTCCAAGGCGAGAGCTAGCTTTCTGAATGTGGGGTTTCTTATAAATGTGATTATAGGTATATTGGTACCCAAAATTTCATCTATAAGGCGCTTCATTCGAATCAAATCCATGGAGGTGCATCCAGCTTCGATCAAAGGAGTGTCAACGGTAAGAGTCCCTGTCTGACTGCTGCCCAAGACTTCAACAACCTTGTTCAACAAGAATGTTTCCCGACGAGTCGTCAATTTCGGGTGTTCTTGAGTGATTAGACATCGCTGGACTGCTTCTTGGTGTTGGCGAACGAAGTCGTCAAAAGTACCGGCTTCGAAGAGGGCACGCATCTCGTTTCGAGATACTTTTCCGAGCGAAGTCCGCCCCACATAGCCTTCACTGGGCAGCGCAAATACCATTGGGGTCGACCCAGAACATACTAAAGCTGCCTCAACGGCAAAATTGTGCACTATGATCGGATCTGCTGCGTGTTGTAGCCGCGGAATATACGCGACTATGATTCGTTCCGTATGACTTCCAATCAGCCTGGCAGGGAATATTACAACCCTGGCAACCAAGCTTCTCAAAGCTTTTTCCAGAGCAGATTGGACAGCTGTGGCCCCAATTTTAACTCCATTGATGTTGATGACGTCCTTTGACCTGCCCATGAGGCGCAGATGGCCTTGCTGATCGACGATGCCTTGATCACCAGTTCGGAACCATCCGTCTGCAGTGAATGCCTTGGAAGTAGCTTCAGGGTTTCGGTAGTATTCTTTGAAAACCACGGGTCCATGTATTTGGAGCTCACCCAAGTGCTCAGATGATTTCGCGCTTGTGCTGGCATCAGTCTCGTGAACCACGCGCATCTCGATACCGGGCATGGCACGCCCTAGAGACGCGAACGGGTAGCCGTACTGAGTATCGTAATCGGGACACTTAACGTTGAATATCGCGCCGGCACATGTTTCCGTCATTCCGAACCCCGGTACAACCACGTTGTTTGGGGCGCCGTATTTTGAGAGAATCCGAGAGACAGCAGCGCAAGTGTCCATGTCATTTGCCTCACCTCCCGAGGCCAACAATCGAAGGCAGCTCAGATCCCATGTCTGCTGTTTCCCCGTATGTTGAGAAAAGCCACAATCTGACACCATTTTGGCGAGGAAGAAATTAGGCGCGAAGCTCGTCACCACACGATGACGGTCAATGAGGTCAAGGAATGACCGTGGCGACGCCACAACGTCGGCTGCATGCACATGCACCTGGTCGGCGCCGAGCCATAGAGCCTGGATGTGGATTTCGACGAGGCTGGCTACGTGGTCAAGACCAACCCAATTAAGAAAGGGCCCTGTACGTCCAGGACGTATTGAGGCCTTGCCATTGACCGCCGACAGCACCTGCCTGTGTGTGAGGCATACAGCCTTGGGGCTGTCAGTGCTTCCAGATGTCAGCATTAACATCGCTGTGGCATCTTCGTGAAGATGAGAGTCTGTTTCAGCTGTCCAATCGATGGATTTTGCTCCCGTCAGATCTCTTAAGGGCTCGAGTGGTGAAGCATGTCGAAGTGAGAATGACTCCACCGTATGCAACGACAACCCGTGAAGACCCCGAAACGATTCAAGCTCTTCTTCCCTTATGATGCAAATTGGGGTGTCCAGAAGCGTGGATATGTTGTCGACGAAGGTATGTCGGCTCTCTCCTCCGTTGCTCAAAATGGCTGGCGGGCACTGGACGGGAAGACCGTCGGCAAGCAAGACGGACCAGAACCACAGCATTGCGTCCCAATGATCATACAAGCACAGAAGAATGGGGTCTCCTGGTCTGAAATTTGCGACTTCCCGAAGCAACAAGCTGTTTTTGAAAGCTTGAGTGTATAGATGGCTGTATGTCGCCCGCAGGGGATCATGCTTATTGCCCAAACGGTAAATAATGATATTTCCATTGGGCTTGAATTTGGCTGTATTTTTGAGGACCTCTTGAAGACAACTATGGGCCAACATAGAGCTTTTCAGGCTGTATTGTACCATATCCATCTTGTGTATTGGATATTTCAAGTCTAGAGGAAGCTGGGGACCAATATCCACTTAGGATTGCAACCAGACGGGACGAGGAGACAGGCAACAAAGGCAAAGCTTCTGAAGAAGACCTGCTTCAGGTACACATTAAGGAGTGTGAATAAGTCATGTCCGTGGCATTACGGGCCTACATTACCCGAGTCTATGCATGTCTTGGATGGTGCCGTACTCTTCAAATCAGCTTTGTCATCGCGTCGATATCACTCAAATTTGGCTACGGGATGCGATCTGGACAAGACTCAGAGCTTCCGGAGTGTTGGCCATGCTCATCTCTGCATGGCCCGAAAAAACTTAAGCAACCACCAACAGAGGAAGGGAGGGAGGGCTGCCTAGACCCTGAGTGGAGTTCGGGAGCTATCATCAACAGTATCCAACGTTTTTCTAGTGCTGCGAAGTGATAACCCGAGATTGTTTTCGGGCCCATGTCAATATTCCAACGGTGTCGCAGTCTGACCGCATGTCATACCTACCCACTTTGCACTGAAAGCTACCGGATTTCACTGGACTTGCAGAAGTGAGACCTGTACCTCACCAGCCTACTGGTCTGTGTGACTGTTACTTCGAACATGATCGACAAATAATTCACAATTGAGCAACGAGATCTGCATGCGCAGCAGCCACTTGTGCATACTAATGCCCCCAAATGCTCGGCCCCAAGGCTCTCAGTTAACGAGTGAAAGTTATCGGTACCTTGGCTGCACAATTCCGCAGAAGATGGTGTGACCACAAATGCCGGATACCCACTTGGCAGGTGGGCGCATAAGTAGGAACGCCGGTCAGCGGATGTAAACCGGGTAATCACACGGGTGGGTGCGTTCAAAGATACACCACAGGTGTGTGTCTTGGCTCTCCAACAAGCAACGCCCCAGGGACGTAATATTGGCTCTTGGCTGCGGTCACTTTGTCTCTTGTACTGCCATACGATTGCCAGCTCCCGCAATGTTGTGTCACAGTACACTAGACGTTCACAATTCCGTGGATTGCATGAATTGAGGAGAGCGAAAGAAGCTGGCGCTCATTTTCTTCCCCTCAGTCTCCTTAGATTGCTCGAAGTCCCATGCTCGTGTGCCAGACAGTCTTCCTAGCCCCTTTGAAATTGCAAGGGGTGGCTATACTCTTCGTTCTCTACATTTACGATCAGCCATCAGATATCCACCGCCAAGCATCAACAAAGCCGTAAATCTAAAATTTGCTTCTTCCAACCGATCATGGCTACCTCTAATACCACTCCACGCATAATCCAGCTGGCAGAAGCGATCAGTGACTCGGTTGTAAAGCTCAAGGCAATACTTGGGGAAGATGGGCTACCGTCATCGTTCTCTGAAGAGACGGAGCTGCCAGCTTTATCACAGGAGGCCTCTGACCTCCGCGATGCAGTCATTGACGCAACCTCAGATTTGCAGGATCTCTTACTGGATCCCCTGAATTTGCTGACCAAGTATGCTGCGGTAGGTTCAGATCATGAGAGGATCTTTTGAGACAGACATGCTGATGGTGTGTTGACATTCAGCATAATAACATGGTTAGCCTCCAAATCATAGCCCGGTCCAAGGTCGCCAACATCGTCCCTGCGAGAGGACAAGTCGCTTTCGAAGACATTTCGCAGCAGACGGGATTGAGCGATACAATGACCAAGCGTCTCTTGCGACATGCCATGACAATGCACATATTTCGGGAGCCAGTGCCGGGTATGGTTGCTCACACGACGGCATCCAAGGCCCTTCAGGTCGACCACTTGAATGCGTGGCTCGACTGCGGTACTCACGGTACGCTTCCAAGATCTAAATACGCCGAAACTTCAGACACAGGCACTCTTCGACAGAATTTTCATACCTTCTTCTATACACGTGAAATTTACTAACAACTTTGGGTAGAGATGTGGCCAGCTGCCGTACGGGTAAGATCACTCTACTTGTGTCGAATAGTACCGCCCAGCACACCTACTGGACATGGAGTCCGTCCACAACAATGCATCATATTTGCTCTGAGCGTGACAGGAGAGTACTCTAATCATTCAGAGACAATAGATGATAGATGCGGCATCGCAATGGCCCGATTCACAGGAGCCTCATGAGACGGTAAGATCAATCCATCTCTTAAATTAGGTTTGGTCTAGCTCCGCGTACCTTACAGCTTAAATGGAGTTTTGCAGGCCTATGCTCTTGCCAACGGCACAAATCAATCGATTTATGACATTGTCGGTACAAATCCACTCAGAGCTCTGCGATTTGCCGGCGCCATGGAGGCCTTTGCCACCAGTCCTGCGTATGACACGGACTACATAGTCAACCATTATAATTGGGCGGGACTTGGTGATGCCCATGTTGTTGATCTCGGGGGCGCCCAGGGTCATGTAGCTTTGGACATCGCCCGTCGATTCCCGGGACTGAAGTTCACCGTGCAGGACATGGGGCAGGTCATCGCCGGCGCCGAGGCTAAAGTCCCGGAAGAGCTGAAAAAGCGCATCAGTTTCATGGAGCACGACCTATTCGCACCACAGCCAGTTCAAGCTGACGTGTACTACATTCGGTGGGTCCTACACAACTGGCCCGACAAGCCCGCGGTAGCAAGTAAGTCCACCGTCTCTTTTCGGGGCATTGCTCTCGACGAGGGAAGATAGAACAAAAAGATCTGACCTATGTCTCTCAAGTCCTGCGGGCACAGATCCCGATGTTGAGACACGGCACAAGAATAATCATCAACGAAACTTGCATGCCCGAGCCAGGAACCATTCCTTTGTGGCGAGAAAGAAATCTCAGGTAAGTGCAGTATCCTAACAATCACATTCGAAGAAGCTTCACAAGCAAGATGAACGTGTACCCATTTCTGACACGGATCTTGATTTACTTGTAGAGCGGCGGACCTGAACATGGGCGCTGTCTTCAACGCGCGGGAGAGGACGGTAGAGGAATGGCGCTCCTTACTTAATGAGGCGGACCCAAGGTTCTCACTGGAGAACGCAGTCCAGCCCAAGGGCTCTGCCCTGTCCATCCTTGACGTTGTATGGAATGACACTCGTTAGGTGAATTCCTTATGGCTCTCTCGGGGCATACCAGCCATCTTCGTGGATTATGGACTGAGCAAAGGAGGACCATTGGCTTGGTTGAATACAAAGTGAAAGACATAAGCTTTTCCAGTTGTTGAAATGCTTGGATGCGCTCAGCACAAATGAGAACACTGAATGGCCCATCTGTATTTGAACCAATCAGCGCTACATACAAGATTATGCGGCCCGGCATGGCTACTAGTATTGTGTGCCTTGCAGGTCAATTGCATGACTCCATGCAAGGGCATGGATGTAGTTCCTTTAATCCTGTCGAAACTATAGCAAGAAAGAGTGCTTTTGCCAGCGCAACGGGATGCACAAAGTTCGAGTTTCTACGCTTGGGGGAAAAGAAGAATCGCGGACTGCGCTCATCATCAGCAAGTCCTCAGACCGCAAGGTCCCTCATAATGAATCTTCGTCCTTCGTCTTTGAATATGTGGGTATGAATTATCGATACTTGGAAAAGTGGTTGCCTATCGACCAGCTCGCGTTGCTCCGGTGAAAGATGTGTAACCCCTTTGTTGTGTAATGCAATCATATCGACATGGTCGCAGACTAGTGACCAACGCACGCTATATCCATCGTTGATGTGTTTTATTCCCGGGTGCTGCGTTGATGGTGTAAGGAGCACACCCCCCTGAGAGTGGCACAAACTTGGCCATGTACCGTATGAAGTGCAGATCTGCAGCCCTGTGTAACTAGACGATGCTCAATTTTGCAGGCGCAGCCCGCGCCAACAGCTTTAAGAAATCGTCAGGGTTTCTCATGGGACAGGTCACTTGCATTCTGGCGTGACAGGGTTAGAGGTAAAGGTGTGAACGGAATTGGCATATCCGAGGCAACATGTACAACACAGGACTAAGCCTCGTTCTGAAGGTCTTGGAACAAGGCTGGCGAATGGGATGGATTTGATAAAGTAATTGATCAACACACCAACAGCGAAGTCGGACGCGGGTGATATCTTCTCAGTTCCCCAACGCCCAAGCCTGGGACCCGGCCGGAAGGATGAACAATTTTCGTTGCGTCCTGCAGGCCATTTGAACTAGAAGGTGTCAAAACATTGAACAGTTCAGCTCAGGTGCGAGCCTAGATTGGTCAAGCCCACGGATGACGCGTACCCAGAGCTAAAGGATCGCCTACTAGTCATATACTTCATGCAATGGTTGGTCAGGCCACCCCTCTCCTGCGATATTTTTGTAGGGAAGGACTGGAATATTGGATGATGATCTGCCAATGGAATTATCAGCGTAGGCTTGAGAAGGACTTGGGCGGAGTAGATCTCCTACACCGTATGGATTCAGATAATACTACTGGCTTAGGGCAGAATTGGTTGAGCGGACCGGGTCGAGCCAGGCTCTGTCCATCTCTCTCTTCCTGCCATTCACGCATAACCTTTCCAACCGTCCCTATTGGCCACATATCGCTCAAGTTGCCGTTCATTTTCACCAACACATATCTTGGCAGAGTGCCATGTTACTCTTCGTAGCCCCCAAGTGGTATCCTTGGCCTTCGTTGTGTCACTATATCCCGGTCGGCCAAAAATGGCAGTGCTCATCTAGGTCATTACGACAAACTCATCTCAAGTATTCTAGACTTAAGAGTCAAATTCAATGTCGAACCCGTTACATTTCTACTCAACTTGGACACAGTCTTTGCCGATCATCATGGGTTCCGAATAGCGCAATTGATCGAGCCATAACATTCGGTCGAGAGTCCACCAATGTGACTCATCTCAAATCGGGCAAATTTGTCCCAGAAGAATTATGTCAATGTGGAGACACAGACTGCGGAGTCTGTATTACGTTCCAATTTCCTACACAACCTTTTCACGCAAGTCCAAGAGCGGGTGAAAGGGCCATGCAGGCTGTGTTTTCTTAATTTAAGGCCGAGGATATTGCTGGAGATATGGAGCGGTTCAGTCGAGCAAGACCGAGCTTGATTTGATGGAAATCAACTTAGCCTCAGACTTTGTCTCACTGACCGAGAGCCATTCCCACCTCACCGGTCCATCATCCTCTTAAGGATGAGCATGTGGCTGATGCTTCTGGTTTGAAAAAGTCGTTGGTGTCAACCCGACATCGGCCACAGACTGTTGATGTTTTACTACCTGAAACCTGTTCTGACTTCCTTCACTCCTGGAATACCTCGTCCATATCCTTGAAGACTTAGTCAACATGTCTTCTACCAATGAAGCGAATTCTACTGACCCAGGTCGTGGACCTCTTGTAGCCGGAGTCACGTGGACTTTCACAAGTCTTGCTACTATTGTTGTTGCGTTTCGACTCTACGTTACTACGAATACCCAACAAAAACTGGTAGTAGAAGACTGGTTCATGCTCATGGCGACGGTATGGTTCGATCCTGAGAAATTCAACTCTAGACTGAATCTAACGTTTTCATTGCATGCTGCTACAGATCTGCCAACTTGGCTTCCAATCAATTGTCCAGAAAGGACTTTCCGAAGGCCTCGGAAGACACCAGAGTGACCTCTCCATCGAGCAGCTACTGACCTCAACCAAGTGGACATATATCTCAGTTGCACCAGCCCTCATGGTCGGCATATTGGCGAGAATTTCGATCGCTGTCCTGCTCGTCCGGATATTCGGCGGTAAAGGCGGGCATTGGTGGCTCCGCTGGTTCCTGATAATTTTCACAAGTTTTCAGACCATCAGTGCTATATTGAGCATCATTTTCGTCTGGGTTCAAGTGAGCCCCGTGCAGGGGTTGTGGGATCCTACCATTCCAGCACATCGCTGGGATGAGAGGATTTCTACAGACTCTACATATTTGACTCAAGGTAAGATTTGCCTTTGATAATGGATTGGAACGCGGGACCTTGTATTTCTCTTCATATTACCTAGGTACGTTCAATGAATTCTACCTGCTGATTGTTCGTATGTACTCCATAGGGTTCTTCGCCTTTTCTGACCTTGCCTACACGGTGCTACCAATTGGAATAATTTGGAATCTCAATATGCGCCTCCGTCAACGAATCGGGTTGTCTGCTGTACTCGCTCTTTCTCTCCTAACTATGGGAGCAACAATTGCGAAGACGGTCATCACACAAGAAGCGTCGACTCGAGCCAGGTCCGGAGATACAAGTTACGATTTGCCCTATGAGACCTGTTTGGCTACCGTGTGGGGCGCTGTTGACCAGTGTCTACTCATATCTCTGGGATGTGTGCCCTTACTTTACAAAGCAGTAGGACCGATTCTGGAAAATTCATTCTCACACATTTCCAACATGTTTTCCGCGACCATTTCCAGGCTCAGTGGTAGCAATCAGGGGAGAACAACCAAATCGTCTCAGACATCTAGCGGGAGATCTGGTCCATTCAGGAACAGGAGTGTGGGAAAACGCTCAGGCTATGTGGATCTTGAGTTGGATCCTCGAATGAAAAAGTTAGGGAGCGGTAGTGGCGGTAATACTGAAACGGAATTGCTGCAAGTCAAAGTCACTTCGGGAGAGCGACAAGGAAGTACGAAGCAGAACGAAGAGCCGGGAAACATACGCCGCACGGACCAGGTTCAAGTAACATACGACGACCGCGCGAGGGCCACAGAGAATATTGGAACGAAAATATGCTAAGCAGATATTAATATCTCTCGATTATGTATTTTGTCTGGTTGGCACCGGCCGCTCAATGATTATCAACCATAGAACGGCGTTAACTCCTCAACCAAAGCAACAGATCTACCGACTTGAGAAGCAGTAACTCCGTGACAACAACAGTCTTAGTTGGCTTTTTTGCAAATTCCAGCCTGCCCTATCACAGTTCAATATTTGTCAAGAATCTTACGGCCACTGAGAATCCGTATTGCGGTGTGGAGTATGGAATTTGTCCGACTATGTGCTGCTACGGCCATGGTCACTGAAAGAAACAATTGCCAACCAGCTGTAACTTCTACCGGCGTTTCTTGTGGCGTGTCTTTGATGCATGCCAACAGACCTGTGGCTAGCGCAGGCCAGTTTTGAGGGATAAATATTGGTTGTATGATCTTCTCAGGTCTACCCAGCCGTTGTGTGCAGTATCACTTCTCAGTGCCATTTGCCAGCCCCAAACCGGATTACTTGTCACGGCATTATATGACAATCAGCTTTCGCTTTTGCCCAGACAGGTTGGATCGATCCCCTAAATTCAAAGGCAAACAGTCAGACCAAAATAAGATTGACGGCGTTGCCAATGCTTCGCTGAAAGCCCACTAATTTATTTCGTGGTTCTGCAGCATGCCACTGCAAGAGCCAACTAGCTAACCCATTTCCACCGGTGCAGACTTGGAGCCTCTCCCCGCTTCGCCTGCATGCAGATGTGCATGAGCAACCTGTCAAAGGCAATAGTATCCGATGTTATTTGAGCGATTTATTTTCCAGAGCAATATCACATTAGGGGAGGGAGGCTGTATGTGACAGAAGTACCTAACAAGTTGATCCAATGTACTGGGTACTTGCTAAAGTTGCTCGCTTTGCTGTGGCCAGCAAGTGTGCTTTGCTGGTGAGCATTTTTCCACGTCCGGCCTGATCTGATGATCCCCGTATAAAATAGGAATGGCCTTACTGTCAGCATCAAGAACCTGTTGCCATCACTTACCCAGCCTGGGAGCCCGATGGTCACAAAATTGCAGGGATCACAACTCACGCCAAGTTCGGAATACCAGAATCGTCACAAAGTCATGCAAGTGACGTCCCTTAAGATGCAGTTGGTAGAGTACTAATTTGGAAAATGATGTTCTCAAGTAACACCCTTGCTGCAACAACCCAATGCGAGCATTGGCGCGCATGCTGCTTGAGGGACAGTCGTGCGACAGTGAAATCCGCCGTGTGAACGAATCACCCACGTAGGATGTCAACACCTTCAATACATGTCTTTTTTATATTTTATCTCTTCATGAGCTGTGAAAACTCAATTTCCAGTGTGTGTGAGGTTTACATCAGCACTTTATCCCGCCTTTGTATCTCCCAGCGATTGTGCCATCTGGTTCCAATACTTATATCACCGTCAATGGAAGCTATTCTAGATTCAATTCGGCATTTCGCCTCCACAGCTGACGAAGTCGCTCAAAAAGAGCTTTTGAACAAGCTGCAAGGAATAGTGTACAGTTTCGAAGACGTCAGTGACACTGCTGATCGATTCGGCCATGCGGTAAGGCCTGCATTTCGAAATGGACAGACTGAGTGTCTGAGATATGATCTGCGATAGCTGAATTCAAATCTTCTCAGCATATTCAAACTGCTGTCATCAGCATTGGATATGACCTACAACTTTTCAAGGACCTTGCATCTTCCCAAGACTCGTATGGCGTGGATCAGATTGCGGCAACTAGCGGGGCTGATCCAGCTCTTTTAAGTATTGTCTTAACTCGTGATGCAAGGAGATGTCTTTGACCTTACTGACAAACCATCAGGCCGTATCCTGCGATACCTTGCGTCCATTGGAGCGATAGAGGAGGTTGGCAAAGACAAGTTTTCTGCTAATTCAGTGACGAGGAATCTTGCACACGCGTATGCGGAAGCGGCTATCACACACAAGTAAGTCTATCAATGCTAGGTCAAAATAACTGAAAGAAATCTCATCCGTGGGATATTCAGCTTCGAGAGCATTGCGCCGCAAATCCAGGCCATGCCAGCATTCCTGCGCAGAACCGAGTACAAAAACCCAATGGACGGTTTACACGCAGTTTTCCAAGACGCTTGGAATACATCGCTCACACCGTTCACCTGGTTTCCTCATAATCCTGACAAGTTCGCCTACTTCCAGAAGTGCATGGCTCTCAGGCGAGGTCCTGAGGTTTCTTGGCTGACCGTCTACCCCTTGAGTGAGCAACTGGCTGCTAGCAACTGGGCAGACGTTTCCAAGGATCGAGCTGTCTTCGTCAACATCGGCGGCGGCATTGGGCACCAGTGTGCTCAGTTCAAGGAAAAATACCCTGACGTTCCGGGACGTGTGATCCTGCAAGATCTGCCGCAAAGCATATCCCAAGCGCTTTCAACACCAGGCGTGGAAAACATGTCGCACGATTTCTTTGAAGAGCAACCCGTGACCGGTAAGTTGTGGCTAAATAATTCCGATAGATACACCAGTGTTATGTTGACGTATTGATGGAAATACGGCAGGCGCGAAGTTTTATCATATGCGAGGTGTCTTGCACAACCAGACAAATAGCAATGGGCGGCGACTGTTGACACGCATCAAGACCGCCATGTCTCCCGGCTCGATTCTTCTGGTCGATGAGTTGGTCCTTCCAGAGCAAGGCGTCGACGCCTACAGTGCTTCGGTGGATCTCATAATGATGTCCGCTTTCGCGGCAATGGAGCGGTCCGAGGCTCAGTGGCGTGATCTGTTCGCCAGTGTTGGGCTGAGTCTGGCAAAGACATATACATACAACCATGTCACTCATGAAAGTGTGATGGATGTGCGGCTGGCTTGAAGCGAACAGAGTTCGTTGGCGCATTGCCCATCGATGTCTTTTGAGGATATATTGCCATTTTTGTGACGACAGAAGATCGCTAAGGGCGACATTTTGTGTTAGCCCACGACTCATGTATGCAAATGACCGGTGGTCCCATATTTGACAGGCCATTCGTTAACTCCATAAACTTTGCAAGCAGTCACCGTAGAGCATCGCTGCGCAGAAGCAGCACTTTGCTAGAAAGATGCTACTTGTCACAAGCGCATTAGTCAAGAGGTAAAGGATAGCCGTGGCCGGTCCCCGAGCAGATTCTAAACGTAAAGTGGCTTTAATTAATGAAAATTATTTCTATGGGCAAGACTGGTGAGTTCGCAAGCTTAGCCTTTAAGAATGAACAAGATGTGAAGGAATGTTCACAAACATGGATGTTTGTTTTCGTTGGTTACATGACTGATGGGACGGAGTAAGCCTTACAGTGGAGTCGCTGTTGGTGGTCAGGGTTGTTGGGTTGAGGCTGAATTCGAGCGGCCACCTCTCCCGAAGAGCCATAATAGTCTACAGGCTTCACTTTCCGCGACCATATTCCCTCTTTGTGACTTCCACCCAGATAAATAAGACCGTCTTCATAATGTCATTCATATCTTCATTACGGACCCTCTACCTGGCGTGGTCTCAATCAACGCCGCTCCCAATCCTGCTAGATGCGTCAGCGACTTTCCAATCCTGGCACACCTTCAACGAGGACAACGGAAAATGGACGCGACTATATGTACAGGCACCAGAACAACAAAATGATCCAAGCCTTGGCACTCAGCCTGGTAAATCCACATCGCGAGAGCCACTACCTCGGACCCTGACGCTGGCGACGTGGAATGTAGATGCCTTTGGCAAGCACCATGAAGCCCGCATGGACGGCATCCTCTCAGCCCTCCAGTCCCACAACCAAGTGCCTGACGTCGTTTTCTTCCAAGAAGCCTCGCACAAGGCACTGATATACCTGCTCAGCAATGCGCGGGTCCGCGAAGGGTGGATATTGAGTGAGGCAGACGACACCAACTGGGCGGGAGTGCAGTTCGCCACACTGACGATGCTCTCAAGGGCCCGATTCAGATCGTTCACGAGCCCCGGCATGTTGGCTTCCGCCCTGTGCAATCCATTTTCTGCCGGCCCCGTGTGGCGGGTTAAATACCCGACCCGCTTTAAGCGCGACGCTTTGTGTTGTGATGTGTTCTATCAGAACACCCGCATCCGCCTCGTGAATGTCTACCTAGACTCACTTCCCGTCCAGCCGAACCAGCGCCCGCGCCAGGTTGAGATCGCAGCCAGTCTCATCAAGCACGCCGGTGTGGGCTGTGGACTGGTGGCGGAGATTTCAATCCCGTATCAGAAGAAGACGCGTCGCTGGTGTCAGAGAATGGCTTGGTCGATGTGTGGGAGATGATCAACCCTGCAGAGGATGGCTTCACATGGGGATTGGAAGGAAGCGGGGAGCCATTCCCGCCGGGACGATTTGACAAGGTGGCTGTGTTAGGCCTGCGGCCTAATAGAATAGACGTCATACACCCAGGCTTCGTATCAGAAGTTGAAGAGCCGGAGCAAGGAGGTCCGTCAAAGAGCGAGGATCAGCATGGAGCACTCTTAGGAGAACATTCAGTGCCTTGGAGTGACCATTCAGGGCTGTTAGCATCGCTTGATCTTATCGATCTCCGGCAGTAGATTAACATGCCATACGAACGTGGCAACGAAAGTGTACGTGGTCGAAAAGCCTTTATTATTAGGCGTCATGGCAACTTCTTCATACTCATTGTTTGACTTAGCATTCTTTCAAAGGGAAATGAAAAGTAAGTGAGAACCTAGGATCCCTGGCCAAATTTGAACAAATGCAACCAGACTCCCTTTTAACGGCCGATATCGCGAGCCATTTAATGTTGTCCATCTAGGGACGGCAAGTGTTACTGAACGATCACTTGCTTCACGAGTCCTTAAATCAAGTGCGCCTCAGTCCCACTACCGAAGTGGTTCGTAGCCAGCGTGTTACCACATTTCAAGCATCTGTGCTGGACATTCTTGGAAAAGTCCGTCACATAAGGCACGAAGGCCCCAACACCTGTGGTAAAAAAGAGCAGAGTCGCGATCCAGCTGTCATCATAAAATGTACATTAGCCATCAATCACCACTAAAAAGTTTGAGCCTCAGGGAGTGAGCCTACTGCGTCCCCTTGCCCGTCTCGTGCCTGAGCGTAGTCCTGGTGAGCTCCTTGCAGAGCGGGCACTCCACCACAGCGGGCCAGCGTCCAAGCAGCGATAAGGGCACGACGTTGGCCCATGAGGGCTCCCCGTTCGAGCGCGATGTGTTGGCCCGCTGAAGAATAGAACGATGCCACGGCCTTGCCGGGTGATTATGACCAGAGGCCGATCTCGACCTGGCCGACGACGCCGCGTAAATATCTTCTTCTTGCATTGGCTGGAGATGGAGGAGGCCGGAGCCGGAGTTTTCGGCTGCGGGAGCGGCGGGAAGGTCGTCTAGGAGGTTCTCTTGGTATTGTGGGAGAACGGGGGAGCTGGGTCCTCCTGACCGTGAGCCCCTTTGGAGTAGAGGGACGGAGGACTCTGTTTCGGTGTCAATGTTAGCAACCAAGGGATCAAGCCGACATACGCCAATATGAGGGAAGGATAATGAACATAGTGTAATTGAGATGATGCAGACCTGCGTTGACATTCTTCCGATCCATTGCGTCTGCAGAAGTGGGTAATGGAATTGTATGTTTGCTGGAAGATACAATCAGTCTAATTGTCCACTCAGGAATGTTGCCGATTATCAGGAGCACACTGTTTTAACAGACCGGAAGTTATCTTCCATATATTGTCGGCCCAGATATAATATCGCAGCAATCATAAGTGACAAACTGAAATGTCATCTCTCGTCTGCTCAACTCCTCGTTGATGTTAGACGCGAGTCCCTCGCTGCGGCACGCAAATCATCGTTTCATAACACGAGGTTGTCGTTCCTTCCCAGCCAAACAAGCAGCAAGTCACCGTCAGTTTCCGGAAGCGATTCGCGCAGATACAGCGGCTCGTGCATACGCGGCGTGGCAGTGCAGCCGTATTTCAGCGAGGGTGATTGGCGTAGTTAGGGACGAAAAGCTGCTGCCTACTCCTTCGCCCAGTGTCAGGGGTGGAGCGACGCTCATCCTGCGAGGCAGATTCGCCCATGGAGAGGGCAGACCACACAACACGTCGTCTGGCAGAACATCCTTTGTGATCGTGATAGAATTGCAGAGCGATTCCTATGGGGGCTGATCAAACAGTGGCCACCGGCCAATCTGCCGAAAGCGATACACGTAAATACATCGCTCCCAATAACAACTTGTACCGCCAAATTTGCGCATTCACGTTGTGCTTTCACGTCGTTGACCGCAAGAAAGACTTGACTGAGCCCCGGGAAGCTAGGGTTGCACAGCCATATTGAAGAACAAGAGCTAGAGATGTAAAACATCCGCTCAAACGTGTACTATTTTGGTGTCACAGACATGGCGGGCCTCGTACCTCCTACCGATTTAGCTTGTACTCAGGACAGTATCTCTACAAGGCGAGAGAGAACCAGCATAATTCTCTTGTGATTTCATCTGATAGCATTCATCATACTTGTTACTGAGTCAGCCTATTTGGATTGCTCCGAAGGGAGCGCATAGAGCACCATGCACCCTTTGACAATGCCTATAACATTTCTACTCGTACCAGATCGCAATACCACGCATCTCAATACTTGCACGCGGGTCCTGCCCCTCCGGACAGGAGGGATCATCGAATGCCCCATGGGCAACCGCATGTGCGACCCCAGGTGCGGTGTCGTTTGTCTTGAAAACCAGCACTTCGTCCGTCCGCATGTTTGAATAATACCACCATTTCTGGCTGACACCTTGCTTAATAGCCAACCCCTCAAACGAGTGCACTATCTTGCCGCTCCCATCAGGGTCGTCAAACATCGCATCTGCAACGTGGGTATCCCCCGACGACAAGCTCCGCGCGTCACAAACAGCAAGTGGGACATCCTGCGGCGGCGGGGTCAGAACGCGCCAGACGTTAAGGTGCACGGCGCGCTTGATCCGCTTGCCTTCGGGAAGTTCCAACTTTGCGTTCCATTCCGCAGCCGTTTTGTCAGAAATGTCGATGTGTACGAATCGCGCCGGGCGTGAGTTGTTCAGCGCGCCGGAGTCTTTGCTTCGCTCCCCGAAGCGGAGCACGCCCATGCCTCTCATCTCTACGTGGTCTGCGCCGGTTACTCGAAGGAGAAGGACGCGGATCTCGTCGACGTGGACGCTCTTGACCTCCGCTTGGTCTCGGAAGTCCCGAACTGCGCTGGTGTGGCCCACTAGCATGAATCCTTCGGCATCGAGGGATGGTGGCGGTGAGAGGTCCCTTGCATCCGAGATGGTTGCATCTCGTTGTGTGACATTCATCACATCTAGACTCGTGTCGTTCGCGTGGAACTTGAAGCGGATGCCCGGAAGAGGGTCGCTGAATCCTAGAGCCCCTGTGACTTTTGCCATTTTCTTGATGTGGGAAGACGACAATACTTGTGAGTGGATTATAGACGATGCTTCTGCCTTCGCATTATTCAACTGTATCCCAAAGATTTGACGGTGCGTGGGTGCATGGAAGTGAATGCTTTGGGTTTCCCATGATGTGCCGAACCTTGGCGTCCTGGCCTCCACCCCGGCCCCGCATCCGGATCAACTTTACATCTATGCAATGACTTCCGAGAACGCATGCATAACGGCGTGAGCAAGTGCCGTAGTAGCTTTTGCCAAGTATAGCTTCTCAAATGAGCGACTCGAGAGGATGGCAGTGCTTGCGAGCGATGACAGTGTCATTGGTTTCCAATCACTTAGGCACCCTATGATTCTAGATCGAGTGGGAGGTGCGACTAAAAGCACAATGATTCTGGCAGAAGAAAATTGATATCACTGATATCAAGACTTGACTGTGAACTTCACAGTATGCCCGTATGCTTGCTCCTGTGAATGCGGCTTGCTTCGTCAAGGAGGCCTACCCATATAAAGGCTCAGAACGACGAGCTTTTGTCAAAAGCAAGCTTGCGTGGACTGCATCGACAAGACCACATCACCATTTTGAAACTCATCAGGTCCCTCAAAGTTGCTTGGCTCGACATCACAATGTCTACCATGGTGTTTGATCTTTTTCTCGGCACTGCACACTGGAGAGCTACTCCATGTGTCTCCGTCGTCGATTCAGCCTTCTCAGTGGGACTGCGTAGGGTTGTGGAGTGTAGCATTTGCTAGTGAAGAGCTATAGCCGCCCTGGACCAACATTGCGTATGTTTCGACCTTTTGCTTTCAACGGTAGGTGACATCAATATGCATTCGTCCGATTTTTTCTGCGGTTGCTGATGGTGTCTTCCTCGTGTTCGCTCAGCATCGAATCCAATGAGCTGTCTTCTCTCGCCCGATCTTGTGTGTTAGCGTTCTCTTCTTCAATTTCTTAACGATGATGGAATATGACGTATATAAATGAATGTACAGAGACTTCGACGCCGGCTGGGCATGCGTCTCGTACAGAGCGCGGTTTGTGGTGTTGAGCGTGATGAAAAGGCTCAAGTCCAGGCAAGCGACAGTAGGTCTAGTATGGGCGCTCCGTACGGCGTTATGGACTCGCCAGAGCACCTCGTTTGAGCTTCTGAAATTATAGTATTGCACAACATCGGTGATAAATTCGAAATTCATCCAGATGCTTCGCACTTTGCGTCGTGCCCGCGGTGGCCGTATGGCTTCAATAGTTCGATGGCAGCAACTTGTAGCAGGACTTGAGAGAAGAACACTTTGAAGTGAGCCAATACCGAAGGGGTTCGTCAGTCGTGGGAATTTTCCCCCGCCTTCCTCCTTTTCCCTCAGGACCTGGCGCATATGGTCGAGACTTGGGCTGTAATTTGTCAACTGACGGACAGACCTCTCCTTACCACATCGACCATTCTCCTGAAGATCTTGACGAAGGCATAGAAAGCGTTATACGGAAAGTCAATCTTCATGCCGTGGAAATTTGCATCTACGTCAAACTCTTTGCCTCGCCGCGCGAAATGACCTCTCGCCCAATCGCATCTCTTGAATAGAACAGATTATCGCCATCGGAAGGCCCGGAAAACTCGCAACGCCGTGTACCTGGAAAACAACAATTCGTTTTCAGCCTGTCTTATTCGACAACGAAGCAACAACAACATAACGCATCCCTATGACACATCCCATGAATCGTCCTGGTCCACAATATTGAAATGAGCATTTCTAGATGACACAGCCTGCCGCCTTAATTACTGCTTGAGGCTTGATCGGACGACATCCATCCGTCGCTCTTCAGAATTTTGCTTCTGAAAGCCAGATTAATATTGTGCTGTTCGCATCGCCAATGAGACAGGAGGAACAATGTTGTCCGCCACAAGAGGCTTGCCGAGGTCCGTTTGGATCTAAGACAGGCTGTGTTATCAAAGGAGGAAAAATATGTGGACCCTCAGCCAAGCGGGCGGAGCAGTACCTTATGCTTGGGGGTCGTTCCATGCACTAGCCAGGGCCCCAATCGCAACCCTCCCACGAGGGCCCGTCTGTATGATCACCAGTGTGGAGTCGCCCACCTGTGGGCTTGACCCGTGTGGCTAAGACTGGCGCTGCCGTCAGCCATGTTCTTATTGTACGCAATTTAGCTTAGCACGTTTCGAGTAGCCCACGCGCAGAGAGCCGTTAATAATCGCATGGAAGGAAATGTTCTTCGGGATCGGCACTAAGAGTAACAAGCCTAGCATCTTGGAACCCGCCGGATCGCCAGCTTGCATGGGGAATGCCGAAGGCCCGTAGATCCCACACTATTCTCCGTAAACTTTGCTCGCGTGGTTAGGTGGCAATTGAAGGGCGATCAAAAGGCGACTAGTAATATGGTTTCGAGCCTCGTCATTTGTGATGTCTTGCACGATATCTGAATGAGGTCATGAATCTGTCCGCAGCTCCCGCAATGGAGGGGCGGGTTGCTTTCGGAGATCGAGCCGTTGTCCGTTGATTTTGACCAGCACGAACTGTCCAAGCACCAATGAGGAAAGAGACGGATAGGGCGTGAAGGGTGTCAGTGGCAGTTGAGACGATTCTGTACGTCAGTGGAGAGCAGCGCGCGCGAGTCCTGCCATCTATTACCAGTTATTGAGCGTAGCGTTGTTTCGTTTACACGGTCGTGGAATTGGACGGATTCTAGGCTGTCGAAAGGTAACCGAGGGGATCGTCCTTGAGGGAGAGGGACAGATGCCGAGGCATGTTCAGTATTGTCGAATCGCAAGGCTGGATCGCATTCGCAGTGTTCATACAGTCCGAGGAACCGTTTCGTTTCGACGGCCAGGCTGGCAGACGACACCAGCTTCTCGTTACATCTTCTGCTTTGGGACAAGTTAGCGGCTTCTGCATCGTTCGGTCGGATCTTGGCACCTCCCCAAGATTCTGGGACCAGCCGGTTTTTTGCAAGGCTGTGGTGCACACACGTGTCAAGGGGGGTATCAGACGTGCGATGTTTCGGGTCGGGACATTGTCCCAATACGGTTTTCGTCCCGACTTTGGCTCACGAGTCAAACTGATTGGTGTTGCGAGCGTTAGTACAACGACCGAGTCTTCATTAGGTCATCTGAAGTCTGTAGAACATCTTTAGAACGAACTTGTCTGTATAAAGGACGAAGAGCGCCACCCATCTCAAAGGATAGGATGGATCGGATCATCAACGAACAAGACTCTCATTCAATTATATATTGGCCAGGCCGCCATCAACTTACTTTTCAGTCGCAGTCTTTCCCGATCCCGCCATAGCACCTCAACAACAATACCACTTACACGATGAAGTCCAGCATCCTGAACGTTCTTGTCGGCCTCACCGCTGTGGCGGCTGTCCCCAGCGACTATGCCTCCCTCGACACCCGTCAAGGAGGCGTCGTTTCCAACGACTTGAAGAACGGTGACTGCAAGCCAGTTACCTTCATCATGGCCCGTGGCTCGACCGAAACCTCGAACATGGTAGGAAAAATGCTTCTCATCAGTGGAATAAATCACCATGATGACTAACACACTTGCGTCCAGGGAACCGTCGTCGGCCCACAAACCTGCGCAGCGATCAAGCAGAACCTCGGCGCCGACCAGGTGGCCTGCCAGGGCATCGGCACGGAGGACGGCTACGCAGCGGCGCTCCCGCCCAACTTCCAGGCCAAGAACACGGACGACCAGTCGATCAACGCGGCGCTCAAGATCGTGAACCTGGCGACGACGCAGTGCCCCGACACGACCATCGTCATGGGCGGGTACAGCCAGGGCTCGGCCGTCGTCGACAACGCGATCCAGCAGATGCCCGCCGCGACGCAGGCCAAGGTCGCCGGCGTCGTCGTCTGGGGCTTCACCCGCGCCGAGCAGGACAACCTCCAGATCCCCGGCTACCCCCAGGCCCAGACCAAGGTCTTCTGCGCCACGGGCGATCTCGTCTGCAACAACACGCTCACCATCACCGCCGCTCACCTGTCGTACGGCCGTAACGCCGACGAGTCCGGAGCTTTCCTCGCCCAGATGGCTAAGGCTGCACCTGCGGCGGGTGGCGCGGCTGCGGGCGCGGCTGCTGGTGGAGCGGCTGGTGCTGCTGCCGGTGGTGCCGCTGCAGGCGCTGCCGGAGCTGCCGCCGGAGGAGCTGCTGGCGCTGCTACTGGTGCTGCTACTGGTGCGGCCAAGGGCGGCAAGAAGAAGACTGGTGGCCTTACTTCCCTGTTCGGTAACTAAGTTGGGACAGGTTGAACGTGTGAAGTTGTTGAGGTTGCTCGACACTAGGTGGACATTGTTGCTGTGCAATACGATACGGACACTTGAAGTGCTATTTTGTTCATACAGTGTGAAGTTTGCATATATCTTATGTGGAGGTTCGATTCTTTTGTTGATACGTGTCAGGGTACGATATCAAGGCATTCATCCGTCGAGTTGCAATACAGGCGGGCTTCATTTCATCATACATAGAGCAGATGCAGGATGCAAGAAGTGCGCTATGGTAGCTTCTTGTCTACATCTTTCAATAAAAACAGAAATTTCTGAGTGTTCACCGGGAGAAATGACAATTGATTGTGCACGCATACGAAATCACTACTCGTGGACAGTAATCAAACATGAGCCTCATAATCTTTACTTGATCCAGCGCAGAGACTCTTGCTTGGCCTTCCAAGACCCATGAGACGCGATGAGCTCACTTTATTCATGCGCAACTTGAAGCAAGCCCTCCCTCCGGCAAAATAGGTGATTGCTCAACTCTCAATGAATTATCATGAGGCCGCCTGTGTAGCAGCCTCCACGGTCACCGGTCAGATCATTCTCTTGATTTCGTGAGGGGCGGTTTTGAAAGGCAGAGTTCGTGTTTGACTCAGTCTCGCGAGTTTCATCCGAATTTCTCACGATCATTTGGGCTGTCATTTTTCGAAGTCCGATGCGACACATCGTTAGAGCACGGACAGACAATATTTCTTGTTCGACAAAATCTAATCAGACCATTACCCGTTTGGCCTCTTCAACCTATGGCGTGTTGTGGCGATTTTATCGTATGAATGTCGTATGCCTCTGGCGAAGTTGGGACGAAGGTGCTATGCTCATCATGCTCATCGGCTCAAATCGGTGTAGTCTGGTTGGCCTACCGTTCTTTTTGTCCGTTCGTCCACCTGCCCGTTGTGTCGATCATGGCATAACGCTAAGTAAAGCAGTCTTTCTTTTTGGCTTTTCGTCAAGCTTACCGATAGGCTGCAAAATTCCGAAACGCATGAGCGAAACTCAACTGAATGGGCCATTTCCATAGGGCAGGCGGATAAGCTTCTTTGGGATTATTCCAAGCAGTGTAACCATAATATTGCATGCTAATTACACTGTCGAATTCCATTGGCCAAAGCCTGATGGGTTATCCCTTGTTCACATACCAGGCTTGGTGATCCAGCGCTTGACTCCCTGAAGGCTAATGACGAGCCATACGTCAGTGTCGCTGCGCATGCGCATCGATGAGAACGTATGGACGCACAGAGGCTTGGTGAAAGTTTGGTTCGCCGTTCCATAAGGCTATTGAGGCTTTTTGGCACGGGCTACCTATGAGTCAGCTGCCAAATCCTAGCAGCACAATAGAATTAGTAGAGTATCCACGATAGAAGGTAAATAGGTTGAAGACTAATAATTTTACTTTGCTTAAGGATGAGCACACGGTGAATAGGAACGCTATGTCAATTCTTTCACCAATATTCCACATCAGACGTCCGCAGCTGACCTGCGTACCTCCATAGTATGCTAAGCCCCATAAATAACATCTCCAGCGTGTACGTCTAAGCTCGTATATCACCAAAACCTATGGTATGGTTCTGCCCGCTACCCCTATCTTGTTGCAGGCTGTGTTAGGTGGATCATGTCGAGCAGCCTGGCTTATCCTGAATGGACGGCAGCAGGTGTCGCTCCCACCAAGAGTTTCAACGCGGGCGAGAGGAAGCTCAAAAGAGCACATGAGCGCAGTTAGCACGGAAGCACCTCTGTGGTGCCCACCGGGTGTTGGCGCGAATGACCTACTGGCCCGGGGGATGGTCTCACGATGTCCTGGTGTGACCCGAGGCCGGCGGCCAAGAGCAGCGGGCCGTCTTGCGACCCACGCGTGGAACTGTGCTTGGCAAAAGCAGTCTTGTAGAATGTGGCTGGCGGACTAAGAGGTGCCCGTCGTTTGAGTTGATCACTGGGACGGTCTGTATGGAACCTCATCGTGTAGGGCGGCTCTTCTTTTCTTCTTCGATGTAGTGGCTGCGCTTCGGCATAAAGCAGATTCTTCAAGTCAAATCACCATGGTGGAATAATTGACAAGGGCTTCGAGGGTCTTTTTCGCTAGGTAGAATAATGATCGAATACATAGTCGCAGTTTCGGTATTTTGCAACCTCAACGATCAAGCATAGGCAAGCAGGTAGCCGACACTGGTGTCTCCAATTGCGTCCAACCAAGTCTATCTCCTTTAAGAAGGCACTGCCCATTCCTGTTCACATATGGATCTCACATACCAAGAGAGACACAAAGCAGGACCTATTTATACTGATGTATCTCGTTTTCACTCGCCGTAGCCGCCAGGTCCAAGTATGTAACCTTTTCTATTGAGTGTACAGAATGCTAGGGTATCTGCGATGCAACACAACTATGGACAATATCGCTTCGAACATGCTCACTGTCATGATTTTACAGTCTCTCCAGTCCTCGCCTCCGTGGAAGTCACAGGCTGTTCAACTCCGGCGCCACGGCCATTTTCTTTTACAACAGCCGTCTTCCCAACCCTACCCGCCACCACCTTCTTCTCCTCCCCTTGGCTGCTGCCGCCTAGGAACGAGACAGCAGCATACGCCAGCCCGAGCCCAACCGTGATCAAGTCAAGCACGTGGATGCCCCACCAGACGTACTGCGTCCCCAGCGCGCAGTTCTCAAACTCGAACCTCCACTGCCACTCGTCCTCGTCGAACCACGCGCTCAGCAGCCCGGCGTTGCCGCCGTACCCGCCCATGATGCTGCGGACCGTGAGCTCGCGCACGCCAGGCAGGCCGGGCCCGCCCGGGACGCCCTCGGCGGCGGCATCGCCGAGCCGCATGACCTGCCACTCCCTGTCGGCGGGGCTTTCCCCGTAGCTCTGGTTGATGTAGTGGTAGGTGTCGCAGCCCTCGTGGTCGTGGCCGTTGAGGATGACGCCGCGCCTGCCGAGGCCGTTGCCGGGGGCCATGGAGTCGCCGCTCAGGCCGAAGATGCCCTCGACGATGCCGCGCGACGCGTCGGCCGAGAGCTGGTTCTGCTCCCTGAGGGTGCCGTCGACGTCGTGGAAGGTGAAGAGCGGGGCGTCGACGCACACGCCCTCGGGCTTGTACAGCGGCACGTGGGTCAGGAGCACTGTGGAGTGGCCCTTGAATTCGACCGCTGTGGCGGTGTTGATGATGTCGTTGACGAAACGGTAGGTCTGGTCCTGCAGCTCGGATGACAGGACCGGGGTATCGAGGTTCATGTCGTTGAGCACAACAATGCGCAGCTCGGGCACCAGCCGGTCGTCCTGGCCATTGTAGTTCTCGTCGTTGGACGCGGAGTCGTTGCGGATGGTGCTCGCGCCGGCGGGCGACAGCACTGAAGTGGGCAGCTCAAAGCGTAGCTCGTAGTTGGCCTTGCCAAAAGCGCGCTCGAAGCGATCCATGCGCTCATTGTTCAGGTCGCCCGCGTAGCCGATATCGTGATTGCCGGCCACATTGATGATGCGCCGCTGCCATGTCTCATTGTAGACGCTCTTGCCCAGGTATCCTGCCAGGTCGTACTCCTCGGCAGGCCATGATGCGCTCTCGTCTGGCATGCGCTCCCCGCCCTTGAAGGCGCGGTTCCAGTATCGCCATGCTCTCCATTCAAACTCAGTGTCCGAGATCCACTGGCTTCCGACCAGGTCTCCTAGTACAGTGGTGTGTGTTGGGACAGTCCACCAATTTAGAGTCCTGTACATGTGAGCAAGGTAGAAGTCGTTGCCGAAGAGGTCGATTCGCTTGCGCACGCTCTCGAAGGTATCAGGGATGTCGTCAAAAAAGAAGTCGACGAGGTCGTGGAAGGCTTGTCTCTTGCTGGATCGAAAGGTAGGATGGTCGTCGCTGCGGGAGACCAGAAGGGAGTAGAAGGTCTTGAGGTGTGGGAAGGAGGAGTCCTTGTAGTAATTGGGAATTGAGGTATCGCCTTCAAGCTGGGGATCGCCCAGGGCCAGCAGTCGGAAAGGAGCTATTCGCCGAGGGGACGAACGGATGGGGCCGTCCCCGTCCCTTGTCGTCGCGGTCAGATCCGTGAAGGGGAGATGGAGTTTCGCTGTTTCGAAGAGGGCGGAGAGTCGACCGTTGCCGCCATTGTGCGAGCTGGAGGTGGAAGATTGAGGCAGAGGAAAGGCGCAGGAGAGAAAGAGGGGATACGTGTACAGGTAGACGGTCAGGAGCAGGCTCAGGACCAGCGACACGGGGAAGACGAGTCGCAGGCCATTGCGAAGGAGGGAGAACTGGAAAGGGGATAACATGAAGATCAAGACGAATGCCACCGCGACATGGAGAAGAGGGGGTGACCGAAAGAACAACGCAAAGAGGGAGCAGGAGAGGTGAGTGGGTGGTAGGATGGTTGAGTGGATAGGATAGTATTCGAACGGGTTGGTGTCGACAAAGGCTGCTGCTCCTCGGAGCCGAAGAAGACAAAATGATGGATGCTGTGTCGCATGCTTCTTCTGGTCTGGTCTGGTCTGGTGTCACGGTTGGATGACAGGTCACAGCACAAGGCCAGTGCACCTGTGGACAGGGATCCTTCAGACGGGCTCGGTACCTGCAGCTGGGGATTGGACCCCTATTCTGCTGCATGGCAGGGGTCAAGGCCGCGCTTAGTTTTTCTCCCGATTCCAACTCAGTCTTCTTATTCTTACAATTAAAAGATTTGCTTCCGTCGCTCATTATTTGAACATGTACAAATATTTTTCAGCGACCATTGAATTTTGTAAGAAAAGGTAACTAACTAACGGGAGTTCCACTTCTCTTGTCCGCTGAATGTGGCCTGCTGTGTAATTACCCAAACCGTCACCATCTGCAACTTTACATTGGTCTTTTGTATTCTACAGTTCCCTGAGTTTGTGGAGAACTGAATCCGGTTTCTGTCATAATCTAACAAACTCACATAAATGTTGAGGTAGACTGATTGATTCTCATGTTCGGCCAATTCAGCCGCAATAGCACCTCTCTCAACTTATTCAAATGTTCACTCTCAATCATCGCTTTCTGCCAACATAGCTTCAAGTCATGTCCTCGTCCTGGTCCAGGTCGATGACTGACTTTACACAAAAGACGCTTCATTGACAAAAGTGATTTTGTTCTTCTCAACATGAGCTGTTCCTGGGCATGTCTGTTGCTGCATATCGACAATGACCACAGACAGCTATTTCAGTCTACAGGATAGGAACGTGATACTCCCTGCCGTACACGCTTTCTGTTTGAGTCATTGGCTCGCAACGTGTCTTGATGGTTGCCATGGATATCCGAGGCGTGTTTCCATATAAGGGCTGGCAAACACGGCCGCTCTGAGCAGCGCATCCTTCATGATCATTGTGCCTCTTAGAAACTCGATAATGCTTGCGTTTCTCATTCTATTCATTACTCATCATTGTTTACCATCCTCGCTCCCCTCCTCCTTCTTCTTGGTCGCCTCCTCCATCTCCTTCAACCCCCTCGCAGGCCTCCACTCATAATGATGCTTCCCCATGACCGGCTCGCCCGGCCCCTCGCTCTTGAGGTCATACATGTGATTGCCAAAGAAGTCTAGCTGTGCCTCCTGGAAGCTCGTGGGCAAGTCCGTCGAGATCGAGTACTTGAGGTACTCAAGGCTTGCGCTGAGCGCGGGCACATACGCGTCCAGCCTGATGGCGTCGACGACCAGCCCGCGGAACGACGCCGTGAGCGGGCTCAGCTCGTTCGCGATGGTCGGGTGGGCCAGCAGGTTGTGCTTGTCGGCCGCGCCGGACTTGTACACGCCGTCGAGCATGTCGATGAGGGCGTCCGACTCGATGATGCAGCCGCCGCGCCACAGCTGCATCACGTCGGCGTAGTCCAGCCCCCAGCCGTGCTCGTCGTCCGCCGCCGCGATGAGGTGCATCCCCTGCACGAAGCACAGCAGGAAGCTCGCGTACGTGGCGTCGCGCAGCCACCCGGCTGCCTTCAGCTTACCCTCGGCCGTCTGCGCCTGCGCCGGGCTCGCCGCGGGCACGACGTCGACGCCCGCGTCGCGGAACGCATTGTGCGCCGCCTCTCTGCGACCCGCGTACGCCGACTGGACGCGGAACATGTGGCTGGCTGCGATGCTGGGCGTGGGCACATGCAGCCTGGCGGCCTCCTCGACGGTCCAGGTGCCGGTGCCCTCCTCCTCGCACACGTCCTGGACCACCTTGTCACGGATGTCGGACAGGACAAACTTGCTGCTGTCCTTGGGGTCCCTGGTGCGGCAGATCTCGGCGCCGATCTCAACGAGGAAGTTGTCGCGCAGCGGGCTGTCGGGCTCCGTGTTCCACCGCTCCAGGACGCCCGCCATCTCCTCGTACGACCAGCCGAAGCACCGGCCCATGAGGCCCCACGCCTCGCACAGCGCCGTCATCATGCCGTGCTCGATGCCGTTGTGCACCATCTTGACGTAGTGACCGCACCCGCCGAGGCCCAGCTTCGCCGTGCACGGCTTGCCCGACTTGTCCTTGGCCGCGAGTTTCGTCAGCAGCGGCCACACGGCGTCCCACGCCGCCGGCGAGCTGGCCCCCGGCGAGATGGAGGGTCCGTGGCGCGCGGCCTGGTACCCGCCACTGACGCCCATGCCGACAAAGTGCACGCCCTTGGGCCGTAGGCGCTCCTGCCGTTGCTCGGTGCTGGTCCACCGCTCGTTGGATGCGTCCAGGATGACGTCGCCCTCGCGCAGGTGCGGCTCAAGGCCGTCGATGGTCTTGTCGCCGGCGGAGCCGTGCGGAAGGCTGAGGATGAAGACCTTGGGCGCGTCTGAGGGCAGGGACTTGCACAGCGACTCGTAGTCCTTTTGATGGAAGGTCTTGGAGTCGAGGCCGGCCTTCTCTGCCTGCGTGAGGACGTGGTCTACGTTCTCCGTCGCAGGGTCGTACATGTGCACCTCGATGCCGTGCTCGGCGCACAGGAGCGTCATCATGCCGCCCATGCTCCCTGCGCCGACCATGCCCAGCTGTGAGGTGTTAGTGATGCGATGGCAAGTGAGACAACTCAGATGAGGGGATGTCTTGGTACCTTCTTGACCTCCATCTCCGTCATCTCTTGGCCTTGTCCTGTGAGCTCTTGTTCGGGTCGATGGCTAGTGGATGAGCAGTGTACTGAAAGGCGAGTGCTCTTGAATGTGACGTATTGACACTGCAGCACTTCAGTCGTCTTGAGTGTGTAATATTGTATCCTTGCAGCTGTAGACAATGACCCTGAGATTGAGGAAAAGGTAGGGAAGAGTGAGTTTGGCTTGGCATTTTTGTAAGGAAAGAAGATGCAACACCGTAGGTTTAGCTATGGTATAATGATGATGATACCGTGTGGAATGTCACCGAGCTGGCTGTGCGTTGGAAGCTGCAAGCCTGTCACCTTGTCTTCCATTTCTCCATTTAATTCCCCGAATTGATTCATTACCAAGGCATGATGTCCAATGCGGCTCGGGTGATTTTGTCTATTCCTGTTCCTGTTCCTGCTATAACCTCTCTGTCTCCTTTCAACTTTCTGCGTGTTGGTCAGGTCAAGCTTCTTCTTCCAGCTGGCCAGGCCACCAGGCCACATATCCGACCCTCTCTGGCTGGCCTGGATCTGATCTAATTGATCGCCAAGAGCTGTCTTCTTGTCAGCTCATTCAACCTGCTCCATAGTCGATGGCCCGTCTCAATGGTGGTAGTGGTGGGGTTTGACTGGAGAGATCGCCCAGTGACATCATGGCCTCTGGTGGCACCAACACCAGACTTTGCCTAGGGGGCGCACGTATACATCATCGCTTCATCATGATAGGCCGCCATCCCTTATGACGGCGGAATTCCGCCACAAAGTCGATCAAGTCGATCAGGGTGCTGCCAAACAACTTGTGCTGCCCTGCAGCAATTATCATCATGCAGCTGCCTTGTTATACACGTGTAACAGTAATTACCGACTGGAGGCACTTCCCTTCACTCTTCCACCATTAGATAGTCTCCAACAAAACCCCCTTGGCTATTTTTAATCTAGCTTGTCCATCTACACAGCACACTACTCCACATCTGCCCATTACTTTACTCTATATGTCGATACGATCGATTCGATCGATACACCATCCTGCAACATACAACACATTGTGCTACACTGCATCGCAGTTGAGCTGAGACAACAACATCAAATTCGCCAATAATATCAAATCCAGACACACACGCAGACACCGACACATACATATCTACCCACAAATCTCACCGCAACCATGGCCCGCCTCGACGTTGACCCGTCCAAGATCCCCCTCTCCTTGGCCTCCTGCTCCATCGGCCTGCCCAAGCACTCACTCCACCAGAAGCTCGAGGCAATCTCCCAGGCCGGCTTCCAGGGCATCGAGCTCTCCTTCCCAGACCTGCTCTCTCACGCCAACGAGCTCGTCCGCCTTGGCCAGATCAAGACGAAGTCACCATCAAATAGCAAGGATGGCTCCTCAGATCAGGACCAAGTAGCAGAGGACGACTGGCCCTCCCTATGTGAGGCAGCCAAGTCGGCCGCGCACCTGTGCTCAACGCACAACCTGCAGATCCTAGTCCTGCAGCCCTTCGCCAACTTCGAGGGCTGGCCGCGCGACAGCCCGGAGCGCAAGGCCGTCTTCGCGCGGGCGCGCGGCTGGCTGTCCATCATGGAGGCCAGCGGGTGCTCGATGCTGCAGGTCGGCAGCACCGACTCGCCCGGCGCCAGCGGGGACCGCAAGCAGCTCGCTTCAGATCTAGCCGAGCTAGCTGACCTGCTAGGAACCAAGGGGTTCCGCATCGCGTATGAGAACTGGTGCTGGGCGACGCACGCGCCCGATTGGAAGGATGTGTGGGAGATTGTGAAGCTGGCCGACCGCGAGAATATCGGTTTGTGTTTGGATACCTTCCAGTCCGCGGGCGGCGAGTGGGGTGACCCGACCACCAAGTCGGGGAAGCTGGAGGGCAAGGACGGCGGCGTGGACGAGGCCGCGTTACAGAAATCGTGGGAGGACAGCATGCGCGAGCTGGCAGACACCGTGCCGGCTGACAAGATCTACTTCTTGCAGATCAGCGACGCGTACCATGTCCAGCCGCCGCTTGTGCCTCGCCCAGAACCCAATGACGACACCGGTCTGCGGCCTCGCGGCAGGTGGAGCCACGACTACCGCCCGCTGCCATACGACGGCGGATACCTGCCCATCGCGGACTTCACGCGGGCCGTGCTAGGCACGGGATTTCGGGGCTGGCTGAGCGTGGAGGTGTTTGACGGACAATTTGAGAAGAAGTACGGTGAGGACCTGATGGCGTATGCGGAAAAGGCGAAGGCCAGCACCGTGAAGCTGATCCGTGAGTCTGCGGGGTTATGAGACGTAATGAAGAGCCAGAGTCCAGAAGCCGGTCGTCATGGCGGTGATGAGGACCTGGGAGACGGCCAGGATGATGAGAAAGAGGAGGTGGACAAGGGCGAGGGCAAGCCGTTCTCCATGCAGGCCAAGCGGATGCAGAGGATCCGCGGTAACTACGAGGGCGAGACGAGGGCGCTGCCGAGCGGGCAGGACTGGCCTGAAAGTCACAGCATGGTGAAGAGGAGGGTCAGTATGGTGGAGGAGAGGGACAGCCTAATGGAGAGCAAGGGCGGGCGGGCGGACGGAGGCGGCGATGTTTAGTCTAGACTGCCGTACAGTAATAACCCGAACTCATCAGTTCGGCCATGTTTTCATCAGCAGATATTTTCACGTAATCCGTGCCTCACTAGACATCTTATTCTTGATATAGTCTCACGATATAGATCAAAATAAGTATATTCATTGAATTTTATCATCATAGATTAATGGATCAGATAGCAATGCATATCTAGGTAGATCTCTCACCATCACCCAACAACCTCTCTACGCGTTGGCGACCCCAGGTGCAGCAACAGCCAGCAGCTTGTCAAAGAGCGGCGTGCCAAGCCCAGTAACAGGGTCCCAGCCAGCCGTAGCGTTCCACCTCGCGCCGGACGCAGGGAGACCACCACCGGCGCCCTGGCAACCGCTGGAGTACCCAGCCGTGATGTCCAGGAGCGCCGCCGAGTTGTTGTACAGCCAGGGGTTGAGGAAGCCGAGCGGCGCGCTGCCCTGGGACTTACGCGCGGCGTTGAGCAGGGCGACGACACCAGCGAAGGCAGGGGACGACGCCGAGGTGCCAGACAGCAGGGAGCGGCGGCCCTTGTCGTAGACGACGAACGACTGGCCCTGCGCCGCCACGTCGGGGATACCGCGGCCGGAGGCGTTGAACAGGCCGGCGTACGTGCTGCCGATGGAGCTCAGGTACGCGGGGACGGCGTCGGCCTGCCACTCGGGCTGGGCGTGGTAGATGCTGAAGCCGCCGGAGGAGAAGGAGACGGCGCGCTCGGGGGCGGAGCCGGTGGTCGCGCCCACGGCCGTCACGTACGGGCAGCCGGCGGGGAAGGTCGGCAGGAAGGTGGTGGTGGTGTTGTCGGCGTTGGACTTGCACGAGCCGCCCGGGCCGGAGTCGCCGCTGCTGAAGAGGACGGACACGCCGCGCGCGCCGAGCTGCATGAACAGGTTGCACACCTTCAGGGCGTACTCCTCCGGCACGGACTGCTCCTCCTCGCCGTAGGAGGTGGTGAGCGTCTGGGGCAGGGCGGCGTCGTCCTGGGCCAGGACGTAGGTGAGGAATTCCAGGTAGGGCTCGTTTGTGCTGGGGAACCCGTTGTCGAGGGTCGGGATGAGAGGTCCTCGGCCGCCCGTGCTGTACTCCAGGATGGGAATCGGCTGGCTCACTCCCAGGACGTACTGCAGGTCCAAGTTTGCCTCGCCTGAGAATAGTTAGCATTGGATCTTAGCAGCATTGTGCTGGTGAATTTTCTCATTTTACTCACCAGAGTCGTCAGTGCTGGTCTGGTCGTTGAGACCGCCGTTAATGGTCGTGACGGAGAAGTTCTGGCCGGCAGCCTCAGGGAGAACCTGAGTCTCGAATGTCTCGAGGTCGGCGTACCGCGCGTACTCCTCCAAGTATGACGCAAATGCAATCAGGTTGCCGTCAGTCGGAGGCGTGTAGGCGATGTTGTACTGGGACTTGAGGCACTGGGGAGTGACAGTGGTAGTGCAGGCGGCGGCGGCGGCGGCAGGAGATGCGGCAACATTCTCATTGAGGGCGGCCACGTTGTCGTCCTCCTCGACGATCACAATGTCGAAGATGGTCGACCTCTTAGAGCCGAGCTGGCCGAACCGCGTGGTGGGCTGGATGAGGTCAACGTGCTGGGCGACCTCATCTGGGACTGCGTAGCTGAGGGTGCGCAGCTTGAGGCCGCCGCCCTTCTCGTACTCGTACCAGCTGAAGTCGGCATCCAGCATGGCATTTGCAGTCTTGACGTCGGTGGTGATCGTCATCCAGTCGTTGTCCACGGCAGGGACAACATCGTACTTGGCGAGCCAGGCGGTCACGTCGGAGACGGACTGCTCGGTTGGAGCCACGTATGAGCGAAGCTCGTCGCGGGTCAGATGCTTGCCGTAGTCGGCGTGGCCTGGGGAGGAGACGGCCAGGACAGCCTGCTCGAGAGCAGCGGCATGTTGCTGTTTCAGGGCGATCTTGAGAGCGAGCTTGTCAGTAGGGAGGGCATCTGAGGCCTTGGTCCATCCCTGAGGAACGGCTGGGACGCTGTCGAGCACGCGAGCCGAGACTGCGGCCGCAGCTGTGAGAAGTGCCAGGCAGAGCATCGTGACCAGAGCCGTCAGAGGAGTGGTCTGGGAAAGGAGGGGGGATGAGAGGGGCGGAGAGGAACAATCTGGGAGGCTTGAGGAAAGGGAGGAGGGTCACCCACCCTTTATCATTCATACTCCAGAGCCAAGCAGTCAGAGCGGGTTTGTTGTCGATCCATTGGGTCGGGTTGTTGACAAGATGGAGGTGCCCTCAGTTACAGTGATTGCTCGTACCTTGGTTCCTGGCTCCCCACGTAGTTCACTCTAACCTGCATGGATCGGCATATTCCCGGTACTTGGTGTGATGTGCATCTGGTGGTCATGACTTAACAGATCCCCACTAGATCACACGGTCATGCCGTTTGGTCATGACACGAGACTTTCCCCTTTCACGAGTCCATCTTCGATGGCACCCGGGAGCAGGGCCAACTTGCATGGAACGTTAAGATGGATATCCCAGCCCGAAGCTTAGAACCCACTGTTATAACGGGATGATAGCTACGGGTCCTACAAACTCAAAATTAAGGACGAGATTACCTTAACTTTACACGGCACTTTTTAACTCGCGGGTACTGCCTACGAGCTTGCTCTGTGATAGCTGCGTGTTGTGAATATGCGTTTCTCGTGGGTTTGGATCTGCACTCAGTCGGGACTGTGTCTGACATTTTCAATTCACCCGGATCTCTCTCCCATCTTCTGATCTGCTGATCTCCTGCTGCATTGAAGATCGCCCGAGTAATATCCGTGATAAATGTCGGCGGCTCGGTTCGCCAGGCTAAGCTGCAACTGGCAGGACATTTACTCTGGCCTCCGCTCGGCCAAGACTTTTACCCCATCGCCGCTACCACCTGGCTTGTTCTGGGCATACCGTCGCGTCATCCACCAGTCCGCCAGGCGTGCCAGGCTCGACTAAGCATTTGCCAGTGCCTACATCCAGCTTAGTTGTGCTGGGCGATAAGAGCTTAAATCAACTGCCTCACTGGCGGGTCGAGAGGGAGGGGGCCCTGGCATTGCCCTGAACCAGACACGAGCCCGTCCATGTCACCATGTTGAAGTCGTGTCGCATCATAGACTTCATACGACTTTTTCGGCGCACTGCACACATTGGTACGACGTCAAGGTGCCATCAAGGGGCTGCAGTAGCACATGTACGCATCTGCATACGTATGCAAAGCATGTTACCGACCCGACGAGGTCGGCACATACTGCAATGTTTTTCGATACAATTCAATCGTTGAGGCTATCACAACGTGCATCCCGACTCCCTACAGGCCATCCGAACGGGTGGCCTGGTTCTGAAACAGGCTGGGCGATTGCATGCTTTTGTGCATAAAAACCCCTCACTGTTATGGGCATTCAGATATCCGTCATGCTACCGGCTAAAACTCTAACCAATCGCACGGTCCATCTCGTATCTCTGTGCCCTTACTCGGTCACGCAGTTCGATCGGCTTCTCAGGGACCCCTGCTCGCCTTCTCTCTGGCTACCCGGCCTGACCAGCACGATGAGATGCGATGAGATATCGGCTTGAATGGCTGCTCGGTCTGTTCGGCTCTCATATTTTGTTTTTAAAGGAATTAGATCAGTCAATAGTAGTTACGGAGCTGGTTGGCCGGCCGCCTAGGTAGCCTTCAGATCATGAAGTGCTTTCTCAACTCATCTTCCCCGAATACATTGAGAAATTGAAAGCCAGTTGGTTCTCACCATGTTCTTGACCTTTATATGATCCTATTTACTGGATTGAAAGTATTCACCAGTCGACCGTGTGTCACTTGGCAATACTTCTGCTTTCTCATCAACTATTCGTTCAATCATCTTGACTGATGGCGACCGTAGATTGGTAATATCGGGTATTGACCATGCCGGTGAGAGTGTCTGAAAAGCAAGAGATCCGCTGTAGTGAAGGAAAGCATCAGTTATGCCGTCTTAGAAAGCGTGTAAAATTCATGAACAAGAATAAATGACGGTGATGATGCAGACATTTGCGATTCCGAAGTAACCAAGAGGATGCTTCTGACAAGCTTCACGCGGGTCTGAAGCCTTTCATATTCTCTTGGGAGACACTTGCCGGGAAGAATCTCTATATGGTAGGTAGGTAGGTGATTAAGTTGAGAAGAGATGTATTTGAAGGCTGACGAGACGCGCCTGGAACTTCCAATGTCTCGCCCGCCCATCCAAGTTCTTAAATAGAACGGATGAGGGCAGCACATTCGTTATAATATACCTTCGACAGATCGTGTTATAATTTGTTCCATCTTCATTATCTATTGCTCTGCTACATCTGGCGAAACTGGAGCCATAGAGGTACTGCACATGTTGTTAATAGTATTTACTTAAAGACTCAGTGCAGTGACATTGAAGATGTTGGCTCTTACTTAGTGACGTGGTATTGACAGTGGGTAGGTATCTGATCTAACGGCTGTAATTCGCTGGTAGGATGGGGCTGAAGGACTCATCACGGACTGGGCCATTGCAACCAACACACATAGTTGAAGCCATCTAATTGGTGACTAGTACGCCCAACACGCAACCCGCGAGGGAAACCTGAAGTAAATCAGACTGTGCCATTCCCCTCTCTACTTTCATATCAGACAACCAAAAAGCTTTTGATTGAGTGAAATATTCCTCGCCTACCTCCCAACATATCCCGTCTCGACAATGTCTGTTTCTTTTCCCACCATCTGGACACAATGGTTTCCCCCTAACGGCCCGCTTAGCGAACACAACCTGCCGAGCCAGGTTGGCAAAGTCTTCATTATCACTGGCGGCGCATCTGGCTTGGGCTATTTCCTCTCACGTATCCTTTATGGTGCTGGGGGGAAAGTATATATCCTTACACGCTCGAAAGAGCGTGCCACTGATGCAATTGCCAATATCAAGTCCGAAGTAAAGGACAGTGGCAGGCAGCTAGGGAGTCTTGAATTCATTCCTATGGACCTCATGGATTTCGAAACGGTTAAATCAGCCGCGCTTGAGTTCCTAAAACGCGAGGGTGGTCCGGATAGTAGACTCGATGTGCTTTTCAACAATGCAGGCACTGGAGGGCGCCAGAACGCTCCGAAAGGGGCTCAAGGCCATGAGTACCACATGTAAGTTAAGGAAGCTTTGGAACACGATTTCGACCTCTTCAGAGAACATTATCTGCTATAGCCATGGCCTGTTGCACTGTCTACCTTGAAACCCCATGTTAGGCTGCAGCTTTTGAGACAGACGACGGGTACATAGCGGTCTATTTCACCTTGCTTTTGGAGGAAAAAGAAATCTTCCATAAATGTTTTTGAGCTAATTGTGAGTTCTGCAGGACAACCAATTTACTAGGGAGCTTCGTTTTGACCCAGCATCTACTGCCCGTTCTTTCTCGTACGGCAAGCCGTCAGGGCTCCCTTCCTGGTACCGTGCGAGTAGTTTGGCCCGCATCGATTCTTGTCGAATTGGGAGCTCCACTGTCTGGTATCAATAAAGACTGGTTGCGAGACCCAGGGGTAGCTATGAACTACGTCGATCTCTATAGCCAGTCTAAAGTTGGTGTCTGGTTTTTAGCATCCGAATTTGCACGTCGCCAAAGTCAAAGCCGAAATGGCGTACTCTTTATCGCAGGGAACCCGGGACAATACAATACGGGCATGTGGCGATACACCCCGACTTTACTTAAGTGGCTTTTCAGGCCGACTATGAGAGACCCTTCAGTGCATGGTGCTGATACATACCTATGGATGGGCTTCTCTGATTCAGTGACGATGGACGATGCTATCGCGGGCCGCTGTATGTATAAGCACCTCTACTACGATTATCCATTCGTCTTTTGAAATCTTCTGGGATGCACCACATCGTGCTCTGGAGTATTTTACTAATGCAGAACAGATGCGATGTGTGATGGGAGGTGGCATCCTGGACAGAGAGGCGACCTTCTCCTCGCGCTCCGTGGCGAACAGGAAGGTGGCTCGGGGATGGCGCGTGAACTTTTCGAATGGTGTGAGAATGTGACGAAAGATTTCCTACCTTAGGGGGGCATAGCATGTATAAATAGCAACGATGATCACATCGACCTGTGCAGACTCTTTCGCTCTCTGAGAAATAGAGCTTGTTTAGCGTCGTCGTTCAGCTCAAGTCGAACGAGAAATATTATTACGACAGTGATGCGCGTGCTCAAGGTGGACCTCGGAATGTGGAGCGGGCTACAAGATTGACTCTGAATGGCTTTTTACATTTCCCCCAGTGCGGCCTTAAATGAACCCCTCTGGAATTGTTCATGTAGTGCCATAATCTTTGGATGCATGGGCGGAAGCATCTGGCAAAAGGCTGTTCCGCAAATGCCAACCTTGTGATCCATGAACCACATCATACTTGGAACGCCTCCCCAAAATGTACTTCCAGGTTTAAATCTACCTTCTTGGCCATCAAGTGCCACCATACCTGCGAGGGACCATGTCTTGCGAATTGAACTGGGAATACCCATACCGATAAACTGTTCATGAGCAGGTGACAGGACCAGATACTTGTTGAAAGCTTCCTCGAGTTTGCTGTCAAGCTGTGGTCGGAAGAGCTCGGTGTAAGAGTCAACTGTCAGGACGCGGGGATCGCGCTGAAATACGGCTGAAAGGAAGGTATAGTATCCTTGGGCGGACCCAAAGCCGCCGCCGCCACCGAGACATTCAGTCCCGCCAAACAGGATGTCGAAAGTCGGCTCGTCCACAGCCGGAGGCTCCCCCTGTCCATTCAAAGTGCTAATATCGGCCATTCGGTTCTTCATCTCGGGGTTGGTCTTGGGCCAGAAAGAGAATTCCTTCTCAATTCCCAGAGGTGTGCACTATGCAAAACTTCAGCTCAGCTACCTTGCATGCTCGGAATGGGAACAGAGAAAACCCCGAAGAGGTCAGATTCTCTCGTTCAACGAACAAGTTTTACTGGTCAAATTGTTCATGAATATCACCTATGATATCCTCGAACAAAGAATTGGGGGAGAAACTCTGGGAGCTGGAAGCAACTCACAATATGCTTTTGCATGAACTCCTCTAGAGTCATACCAGTAGCTATCTCAACTGCTCTTCCTGCCCAATCGCAGCCCCCGCTGTACGCAAAATTGGTTCCTGGTTTAAAAACAAGTGGAATGGCGGATTTATCAGTCAGTAGAGGGCCTGACCATGGTATTTCATTCCGAGAAGCACGCCATTTCCCGAGAAGCGGGTTAAGCCAGTCATACTCATGACCAGATGTATGGGTAAGCAGCATTCGAAGACTGATGGGTGTGGAATCGGTTTCGAAGATGGGCAGGTTCTTCTCATCGTCGAAGCCAGTGATGATCCCATACTTGCCCATGTCAGGCAGGAGGGGTCGAATGTCTTTGTCCAAGTCTAGTTTACCTTGCTCAACACATTGCAGGACAGCCACAGATGTCATGAGCTTCGTCATCGAGGCAAGAGCGCAAATGGTTGAGGACGTAAAAGCCTGATCCTGGCCTTCTTTCAAGCTTGATCTTCCCAGAGATTTAGAGTAGATGGTATGGCCTTGAAAGATTCAGTAAGGCCTCATATCACGATTGAGGGCAAAATCTGGGCGCCAGTGTCTCAGTCCATGAGTCTGTCCTGTGGCCGATCTTACCGTTCTTGTCGCCGGCAATGGCTGTTACTCCGGGAAGAAGCTTCGAAGCAATAGCATCTTCGTAAGTCTTATCGATTATGTTCGTCATGTTGCTGAGGAGTGAAGCAGCTTCTGTCTTGTGTTATCCTTTAGGCCAGCGGCGATTTGGTCTCGCAGGGGGGATGAAATCTTATGAAGTTCAAGACAGAATACCAAGGTGAGCAGAACCTCTTGACTTCAGGAGCGGGACATGGATTAACCCCGAAACTCTGTTTGAATTAAGTAAGAGCTAAGGGCTTCGCATAGCTGCCTGCACTCTCCACTAAAGGATTGCCAACAGCAAGAGTTCCGCGCCGCAGACATGCATACATGCCTGCGCGCCAACATCCAAAATGACCCGCGCAATAGGCGCCGGGTGCAACTCAACCGACGATTTCGGGGTGGTGGTGACCCGATTTCCTCAGGATAGTCGAATAAGACTTTGCAGGCAGGGGAAGAAGCAGCGGGGCAGACCCGACTGTTGGTTGTGCACTACGACGCCCGCTGGGTCCATCACTCTCCCCTGAATCAGGTAGTTGTGGTGCATCACAGACGCCCTGTAACGTGCACAGGTCCCGAGCTTTTGGGGCAAGGAGCAGCTCGGCAATGCTACTGTAGCGCCGGTCCCACAACAGCAGTACAGTACATGAATGAGGCCTGTGAGCCCTCTCTGCCATCATGGCTTTTCTCAATGTTATTTGATCCAACTTATGCTGATTCTAACGTACTATCAAGTGCTCCTCTATCGGACTTTGAACAATATACTTGTCAGGCCCACCCGACAGGAGCTCCAGTATCTGGGACTGCTGTTGCTGTGGCAGAGCGCTTGGTGGTGAGCTGTGCCGTTAGATCGGTTCAGTGAAGTGTGAAGATGCAACCGTCAGCCCATCTGTATTCACGAGCATCGTACGTATATCATTCACTACATTGTGTAACGGTCAATTATCTTCGTAAATATTTATTTAGTCATTGGCACAGCTAAAGAGCCAACCCAGATCTTACACTTCTACAGTAAACCAAGTCATAAACCATGGCGGTTGGTTTCCCACGCCCCCTCATCGTCGGCTTGACCGTTATGTTCGAGGTAATCGCTATCACCGCTGTCGCTCTGCGGTTCTGGGCGCAACGCTTGCTGAAGCACAAGTTCTTTGCACACGACATGTGGATCGTGATCGGATTTGTAAAGTTCAAACGATTCGAACGCTCAGGTGACCTGTGTACTTTGCTCAACTGCGCTTTCAATAACGATCATCCTCAGCGTTGTCCTAGGTGGTCTCGGACAACATTCTATCGAGCTCTACGCCACGCCGTGGAAGATTGTTGCATTTCAAAGGGTGAGTATCGATCACTGAAATATCCCCAGGCATCTACCACTTGTCCATCTATAACTGGATCTATTTTTTATAAGTAGGGTGGGCCCTCAGAATCATTTTGATGTCTGTAAGAATTTTGACGCCGACCAAGTGTTCCGCGGAAATCCTCCAGTGACCACCGTTGGGGACACATCTGGGCAACAAAGGTTACGTACTTGAGCATTACAGGAAACACAAAATGAAACAAAGGAAACAAAAGTAAGACTGAACCACCATGCCCATACTTCTCTTGATCGCCAAGTCTCTCGAAATAACCATGCCCAAACGAGCTGAGTGTTTGAGCCCTCCGCCGCGAGCCATCCCGGACTCGCACCCTTCAATGTTTGTATGCATCAAGCTTATTCGAATGGGGATCTAGCACTTTGTTTACCTGGAACACTTCTATGCATCCAAACAGCAATCGTATGTGCATGTAGTCAAGTCCACGCTCCATGGTGCCGCTCCTATGGGGCAGAGCAGTTGTAGACTTCCTGGTGTGGGTCTTCTCGGGCGTAAAGGGGGGGGGGGGTTGTGGGGGTGGGGGCGTTACGTTCCTTCTACTTATCCAGCTCTTCTACTTCATCTGGACCCACTAGCATTCCATTCTGGCGCCTCTGGATTCTACGTCTTTCTTTGTCTCCACTCACCTCATACCTACCACATTGTGTCTCCCATTGCAGATGTAACCGCCCGCTCATAGTCAAAGAATACCCCGGCGCCTGCGGAAGTCTCAAGCCTCTGCGTTGACCTAACAGACTATATGTCATCCTCCTCCATTCTCAATTCCAATACCCTCCACCTTAGCCTGTGCTCAAGGGATTCGAGTGAGCTGAGAGGTTCCACATCGTCCAGCAAGTTTTTCCATTTGCCTGGCGGACCATTTTTGGAGTCGTCGCTCTTCTTGGGAGCCTTTTTGTCCTTGGCAAGTTGCTTCGTGGAAAGGCTGTAAAGGTGCCCTGTGAAAGAAAATCACTCAAGTCAGCTTCTCCCTCATATTATGAGCGCCTAGAAAATTCTCGTACTCACTTGAGATTTTGAGGACGAGCCCAGCAGTCAGAAATGATTTGAGCACGGCTTTTGACATCGCATAAATAGGAAGCACAATCATGCCAAGTATAACCTTAGAAACTACCCCAATCGACCCAGAGATCGTGTTCGTTGGTAGTTCAACGAAAAGATAAGCCAGCCAGAACCAGGAACTGTCTGTCCAGTTCTTTAAGTAGACGTCGTCTTTATCCAATACCTGCTCATTCGCATCATCGGATCTAGTAATGCCTTTGAACAGGAGGCTCTGCTCCCGAATTTCGTGCGAGTATCGTTGAAGAGGAGCCCGCAGGGTATGATTGATGGCATCCTTGATGGCATCCTTGAACATAGAGAGTGTGGCAATGAAGGTGCGGGCACTAAACAATAGGACTGCTGTGACTGCAAAGGCGGCGGCAGAAAATTTCGCAAGGGAGACTGTCAAGTCATTTGTTGGCGCACCGTTCATGCTGAAGAAGCTTGTAGCGAATCCAAGAGGCAGAAAGATGATCGTGACGTACGTGAAATACGCAATGTTCTGCTCTCTTTTCGCGTCAAGCTCCGACTGATTTTTTGCTTGGACGGTTGTTAAGATCTCCTTCAGATTGCGAATTTTGTCGCGGCAAATCTCAAGGTCCAATCGTTGTCTTTCAGTCTGGCTGCGCAACTTATTGATGTAGCCTCGATATTTTCTCTCATCGTTTCGTGTCCATCTCGGTCGTTCTTGACCCCGGTCGCCTTCCCTGGTAGCCCATTTGGACAACGTGTTCAAGGAGGACGTAAGATCTTCCTCAGCTTTCCCCAGAAGCTCCTCGTATATCTGCCAATGATTTGCCGACTTCGAGTAAGCTTCTGTATTGAATACAGACAAGATCATCTTTCCCTTTTTTAGACCAAGCTCATCTTTTATATCCTGGAGTATATTGTTGGACTTGGTCAACATGACGCTCAGGATGTGTTGGAGAAGCTGCAATTCGAGGACCTTTCTCTGCCAAAGGTGTTTGTCGATGTTGAATCTCGACATCAATCGCTCTTCAAGATTATACGGATCTGGAGCCAGACCAGGAACATACTCGACGAAGTGACATGTCCAATACCGGTCGAAGAAGTCTCCATCGAAACGGAATCCTATCGATGCACGCCGAAGCTCCTTACTTTGGCCAGCGGGCCATGGCACCTCGAGTTGATCCGGAATCCCGCTGTGGAGTGGTTGACTCTCACCCTCAGCAAAGAGGACCCAGAAGCACATGTGAAGCTCTGTTTGCCAATCGTTGAGAACCATAGTAGTATCGTCCCACATATGGTTTTCATATGCTGCGTGTCGGTCAAAGAACAAGGAAATAGGAGCCCTTTCCGCTTCGGTACTCGCTAGCCAGCAAAGAAAGGCTGTCTGTGAATCGGATTGTGCAGGCAGCCATAGGAAACGCTTCTTCGCATCGGCTGCAGTTCGCCCTTTGCTGATTGATTCCCACAGCGTCATGTTGAACATAGGGTTTTGGAGAGAAACCAGGGATGCGCGAATGTTATCTTGTTTTGCTCGTCCCTGTCGCTGATGCTTTTGCTTCGGTAAACTTGCCACTAAGCCATTCTCGGAAAGCCCAGCTTTGCTCTCCGTATACGAAAACGAAAACTTTTCCTCCCGGTAGGCATCTAGCTCTCTGTAGATGAGTGAATTGGAGGAACTAGGTATGTTTATGTACCTCTCAGATTCTCGGTCACGCAGTTGTTTGAGTTCCTGACGCCGATCAATGTCCCTGGTCAGCAGAAAGTCTGGGTAGTTGTACAGCCACTCTTCATCCAATGTAGTGATACTGCTGGCATCAATCATGCTGTTGAAAGGCATGGATTTCTTCATGGCCACTGAATTGGGGTTTTTGTCAAAACGGCCGTCTGCTGCGAAATGTTTTGACAGTGCTTTCGAGTCGGTTCCGTGGGGATGGTTCGACAAATTTTGCTTCTTCAATTGCGCCAGGATCTCACTGAGGAGGTCCATCGTCTCGCGCTGAACTTGTTGGCTATTATCCTCATGCTCCTTCCTAGCAGGGGTATGTTGGGGTCGAAACGATACGTCAATGTCTCTAGCATACTTGAAAAGAATATGGCAGGCTTCGAATCCAACATGGTAGTAGTAATCTCTGTCCCGCTCTTCGGAAAATATTGACGGTTTTCCAGTTGCCACGTCAATCTCCCCGGGAATAAAAGCGTTGTGGGCGCTAAACTGAATCAAGGATTCCACAGATTCCCTGGCTAGCTCGCCAGAACTTCTTCTGTCAATGGAGAACTTATTCAGACCAGCCACTGCTCCCAAAGCAAATCGTAATGGGCTTTGCCACTCTTCTTGAAGAGTCTCTTCATGATGGCTCTGTGATTTGATGGTTCGCTCCCACAGCTCGCCGAATGACTTGTCGGGGAGAAAGAACTTCGAAACGTGACCATAGAATAGAGCGGTGTCCCGAGTGTGGAAGAAAAAACGGGTTTCCCTTGCTGAGCGAGTGACGGCCAGCATGCGTTCCTGTGACACATCGTTTTCAACGGTGAACCGCTGGAGCACTGCTTTCTTGACCTTGTCAGGCAGAAGTCGTCTGGCTTTAGAGCAAAAGTCCTCATACGGCACTCGAACCCGACCAACTCTCCAGGCGTTTGTGGAAGTTCCTTGATCCGGCTTCGCTTCAGGTGCCGGAGAATTTATTTTGGATATCCGCCAGCGTTGAGAAAAGCTCTGCAGTTTGTCTACTCCAGCCAGACTCCACAAGCCGAGGGAATGTAGTTCATTCAGACTACTCCATATCCAGACATGATCGTCGAGACGGTATGTGTTTAACCCGTCCTCCCTTGCGTGTCGCCATGCAAATACCTTGCGCTTGTCCAGGTCATCAAGTTCATGAATGAAATAGCCCCATACATCTCGTAACAGAGCCATACAAAGCTTCAGTGTGTTATCCTCGACGATTTGAATGTTGTGAGGTGTTCGGCACCATTTGATGTATGCCGTGACTTTCAGAATCTGGAACGGAGTGTCGATGATGGCATCGTCTGGTTGCCATGACCATGTGCTCGTGGGCATCGTTTCGCCACTGACCCAGTAATTCGCCGCAAAGCATCCTGTGCTCAAGAGACTCCTGGTATCTTCGAGCTTGCGCCAAGGCTTCCGTAGCCATTCAAGCCACCTGATGTGCCCGCGACATGCTGCAATAATGCGTCGTTGGAGCGCGAGGATATATGGCGTCTGGTTCACTGCCGGCAATCTTTTGAGCACATCGAGAAGAAAGTCAAATGCAAAGCTAAATACAGAGACTCAGTGTGAGTTCAAATGCACATCATTGTGAGTTCAAGAGACGTACAAGCTGGCCGAAGTGCATATGCGATGACCGGACATGTCTCCACATGTAAGGGCTCGCGGGACATTAGGCTCATCTTTACTTTTTGGTGTGCCTGACACATGGATGTTGCTTTCGATGATATTTGTCGCTAGCATGTCAGGCCCAGATTCCTCTCCATCGTCCAAAATAGGCGGAACCCAAAGAGGGATGATACACACGGAAAGAATGTACTCCGTATGGCGCCATGTCAGATACTCGATGAAGCCGCTGGGAGTGGGCTCCTGAGCAATTCCCGTCGTATCACCATTTCCAGGCCTTGCACTTGGATTCTGAGTCTCTGCCTGCTTGCCGGAAAACTCAGCGGCTGCTGTCACCTCTTCTGTTCTGACATGCGTTTGTGGATTCGCGTTGACAGCCGTGTCGTCCTGCTTTGTCTTGCTCTTCTGAGTATTCTGGTCCTCCGGTTCCGGAATCTCCGGTGCCTGCGCTTGGGCAGTTGCGTCTCCCTCCATATCCCGCTCGTTACGGCCATTCATGGAGATGCCAATGTCACATAACGAGTTGCTGCAACTGCAATCATCAATGACGGAATGGCCCCAAAGTAGTTCCGTTTCTGCGGCGAGAATCGCGGAAACATCAGTCGCTTCGGCTGGAATCAGGAAATTCTTCCAGTGCACCTGCCCTTCTGGTATGGTGATGATTCTGTACGCCAGCGTAATCTCGAGCACGGCTGAACCGCTTTCACTGGTTCCAATAGTCCGGAAGATGGGTCCTGTTGGCATCTTTTGTGCGGTCCCGTCCACAAACAAGCCCATGACTGAAACGACAGCATGGGCGTTATTGACAGACCATGTGTCTGAAATTATATTTGCTCGCCACAGTTCGTCATCATCAGAAATACTCTTGCTTTCACCCTTTCCAAGGTCAAAAACGCTGGGTAGGACCGTACCATCGCCTCCGGAGTCGTTCGTTTCGCCCGCGCTTGACCTCTCACCGTCAATTTTGTTCGCTGTGATCCAGCCGAATCCGTTCGGTCCCGGCACTCGAGTGTAAGTTTTGCTGCTATCGCGGTTATAACCAGGATTTTCAAGATAATCGAGGTCCCTGATCAGCATCTGAGTCTTCACTGCGAATGAAAAATCTTCGATAGGGTAGTCCCCTGTGTTTGTAACGACAGTCTGCTGAAAAACAGTGTTGTTCTTGACCAACCACTGAAATGACACTGTCGCGCTGGTATTACTATCTGACATCGTCCCTGTGGATATAAAGAGTCAGAATTGAGATTCTAACCCGTAAGGAATATTGACGACACTTGTATGAACTAAGTCATTGGGGCTTGTTCATGTCGGCACGACCTAGATATCACCATGCGTGTAGCCCTCGAGGGTTCAAGTGAGATGATGTACTGTTGCGCTTACATTCATATCTCGGCCATCTCCAATTGACCCACTTCACCTTTGGGTCCCCGAGGTCTGGGTCTGCCAGATATCGTCCTGGTAGGTACAAGCCGAAAGAGAGTTCGTCATATCCGAGGCTCAAATACTCTAAATCCTTCGCTCTATGGACGATAGAGTATGGCTCTTCGGTCGATTCGTGGTCGATGGAGAAAAGCCCGGAGTTTCCCGCTCCAAGGAATTGGCTCATTTGCATCAGGAATCCGTAGCAGGACACCGACGCCGTTGTTCCATGGTCGCCGAAAGAGGCGTGACATTCTTTGTTCGGCGAATCTTTCCATATGCCACAGTGTTGGTCTTTTGGCTCGAAGAGTCTATTTGCAGGTAGTGGCCCTACGGCCAGCATAACCTTCAATCAGCTGTGGTATCGGATGAGTAATCACGCATGTATACTCACTTTTGATTAGGCTCCGGAAGGAAACGTCATTTTCTGAGGGGACGCTTCCCGTCCTTACGTCCAGCTTTCCCGCCCGAAGGGAACATTCGAAAGATGAGGGCACCTCGCCATCCCTTTCAGTGGATGCATCACCGAGGGCGCAAGATCTTTGTTCTGAACCCATAATTGTAGTTGTGATTTCGTCCAACCGTAACAAAATAGCGGTAAAAGGGGGAGATGAAAAGCACGAGAGATAGAGCAAGAGAGCAGGTCATATGCGGAGGCACAAGCGCCGTTGGGGAGGTATGAGAATTGTGTCGCGAAATCGTGAATGTCCATTGTGAGGCTGAAAATCACTTTCGACTCGAGATACAGCTGAATCCCCGCTTAGTCAAAAGGGTCACCGAGGTGTAGCTGGGAACTATCTTGGAAGATGTGGCTGGAAGTATTGGATGTCTGCATGACGCCTAAGTGCTGTTGGTTGGTCTATACTTCTGCTGATAAAATCGGTGTAGGCGCCTATACAGCTTATTGGCCCAGTAGATGAGGCTTGCGACGCTGTGCAACCCTTTGTCCTTCCGAGATTGACCTCGAAAGTGGAGAGTGAGGAGACGCAGAGGAACATGGTGTTCATGTTATCTACCTGAACATTAATCAATTGTCGATTCTGTTCTTATATGTCCGTCTCTTTCATGAGCAGAAGAGATTCCGTATGGCTTGTTATGCCATAATGGCAGTCAATATCCTGTGGTTTGTTGGCGACATGTGCGTCGTGTGGCTGCTCTGTCTACTAGCTGCCAGCAACTGGGACTCATCCATCGAAGGACACTGTGGGAACGTTGCAGCTGCGTATCTAACGGTACACGTGAGCAGCCTGATGGTGGATCTCCTTGTGGTGGGGTTGCCAGTGCAGGTTCTCTGGCGTCTGAAAATGCCCATGGCGAGGAAATTCGGAATCATGGTGATGTTTGCACTTGTTGCACTGTGAGTTTCGAGCCTCAACAATTTTGGTCATCGAAATTCACATAGGAAGCGCGTCACTAACAGACAGTGTCACAGTATTTGTGCCATCACCATTGCTCGACTTGTTCTTTGGCGTATTGCCCTTGGGTATGACAGCAATGACTTTACATATACTGGCTGGACACTGTACCTTTTCAGCGCCATAGAGGTATCTGTAGGCTGTACTCTCGCATGTATGCCTCTGCTCAAGCCGGCAGGAAAGAGAATTGCTTCATCGTCGTTAGTATCTTGGTTGAGAGCCTTGGCCAACGCCACTCGACCACACACATTCAAGGCATCATCGAGGCAGCATGGCTGGGTGGAAGGACCCTATTCTAAACCTCGTGTGGGCGGCGAGAGAGACTCGGAGTCTCTCAAAGACAGATCCAGCGATGAACGATCCATCTACGTGAATCGTGAAGTCAACCAGCACACCATTATGAGCAATGACTCCTTGGAGATGGAGCCTTGAAGCGCTACAGGTGTTTCAAAAGGAGCTCGAGGGCTGTGCATCGGTCCATTATAGGCACATTGGTGACATTCTCAGCACTGACTTCCCAATTCTAATCAAGGTGTCGCAACACTTTTGCGAAATGGTGGTATAATTCAGTGGCGACCTAAAGACATCGCACCAAAATTGAGAATTTCGACCCAGGCTGTGTATTACTATGGATGAAGTTGCGATTCAGGCGCAATATGTGTTTCGTTATGAAATACAGATGAGACTAATTCTTGACCCCATCCGTTGCAAACTGGACCTCGGTGACGCCCTCGCCCATGCTTCTCGTGCTCACCATCCCGCCCGAGACCATGGCGAGCAGGCTGTCGATATAATTGGCACCAGACCACTTCTGGTGCGTCAGAACGTCGACACCCTCGTCACGCTCCGGCTCCTGGATCTGCTCCACATAGGCCTGCATGCCCTGGGAGGAGAAGGCCCGTGCAAACGTCGCGGTGCCCAGGGCGGTTGCATGCAGACCCGCGAGGGTGATGAACTGCCAGACGTAGCCCAGCTCGCCGAGGCGATGGATGAAAGAAGCCTGCTCGGTGGGGTCAGGGATCGCTCGCTTCCAGTTGAAGCTCGGCGATAGGTTGTAGGCCAGCTTCTTGCCGGGATGCACGGCGTGAATGCCCTCGGCGAACTCCGCCGCCTGTTCGTAAGACGGGGTCTTAGATTCCATCCAGACGAGGTCTTACATTCATAACACCACATAGATTAGCATGATTGATTTGATATGCAGAGAGGAGGAGTTTGGGTGACCCACCTGCGTAGGGGGCGTAATTCACCCCACGAGCGATAGCACACTTGATCCCGCCATGGTAGCGATAGTACCCTTCCCGGGTCCTGGGTGAATCCCAGTCAAAGAAGATATCGTTTCCATCAAGGAGCTTCTTCGCCACTTTGCGACGCTGGCTGAGGGACAGGTTACCTTTGACAGCTTCCAAGTACTCGGCGACGGTGGACTCAGGGAGTCCCTTATCCGCAGCGGCGTCTTTGAAAGCGGCGTCTTCGAAAGCGGCGTCAAACGTCTTCAACCCAGCATCGGACATCCACTTCTTCTCGAGACTTGTGAGTTCCTGTGCTGTACTTCCCTTGGTCTGCGCGGCGATCAGCACGTCGACAAGTGGCTCGACCGACGGATTTGTCGCGCCCAGGATAAACGGGTGGTCCCGTGCATCAATGGTGGACGAGATCAGCGTCGCGGCCTCCGAGTCGGTACGGGCGACGATGACGAGCTCTGTGCCCATCATGTCAGCCTGGGCCCGGCAGGCGACAAGGCGGTTGATGTGCTCCTGCATCGGTACCATCACCTTGCCGGCCATGTGACCGCACTTCTTGGTGCCCGGGGCCTGATCCTCGATGTGGATGCCGGCAGCGCCAGACTCGATAAACATCCTGACCAGCTTCAGCGTCGCCGTAAGACCTCCGTGACCCGTATCTGCATCAGCTATGATGGGTCTGAGATAATCGACCTGGGGGAGATTCAAACGCTCCCGAGGAGGCAAGCTAAGCCGGTCCTGCCTTTGCTTGCGGTCATGGAACAGCTGGGCTTTGAAGAGGTGGTCGACCTTTCTTGGGACAGTGTCCTGTTGTTGTCGATCGAGGCGGAAGTCAGTCTCATGGATCTTTTTTCATTAGGTAATGTGGAACACGGTCAAGACATACCATCGGGTAGTCAGCCAGGTCAGGGGATGGCTCGTTGGAGGACGAGGCGGTAGCAGAGCACTGCCAGCCGGACACATAGACAGTGTCGAGATGCTTTGCCATTTGTGTGACTTGGACAGGATCCATACACCCAAAAGTTGCGCTTGTCGTTCGAGTCTGTGATGATTGGCATGAGCGTTCGCTCTCTTAGGACAGTGACTGTGGCACAGAATCGCCAGTATGAGTCACAGCTACAAGGTGGATGCTACTGACCTTGGCCCTATTCTCGAGAATAGCCCAGAGCTTCTTGCTCAACGTATCACTGATATACGGCATGACGAGGCTGCCTCTCGCACTGCAGATTTGTTCTGCAGTATACGGGCGTTGAATGCCTGCAAACCGGGGCGAAGACCACCACTTCTCTACCTCAGCAACCTGCGATGAGAAAGCCATGTCTTCGAGATGGAGGTTGAGGAGAGTCGATGTTTCCAGGCCAAAAACCTCGGCCTTGGCGCCGGTTGTCTGGAGTTTTGAGAAATCCAGAGAGACACCTGAGCCGGTAGAGGTACTCTCATCAACGAAGGGAGCCATGTCAGCAAATGAGAGGGAGAAATGCTGTGGGTAATGGAGTCACCAGACGAATGCTGCAACTAATTATTTCTCTTTGCTGGTGAAAGGGTAACAATGAAGCCCAATGTTTTCCGAGAGGTGGAAGATATGGCACTACTGACAGCCATGGCGATTTAGTCTTTACAAGATATATGTGTCCCTTGAGTGCCTGTGACCGGACTCAGCCAGCTAGCAGATACATCTTACGATCTGATAGCATGTGTTGTGCATCCGGGATCCCCTTCGCCAATCGTGAAAATTGACATGGACATAAATGACATTCAGGGAAATGATTGCCTCATCGGATGTTGATTCGAATCCTGTCCGCTCGGTGTGACCAAACCTCAGAGAGTGGAAACAGGTGATCGTCACCGCCATGCACAGCCCGCTACAAGCCGCAGTACACCACGACCAGCATACTCGAAGTTGCAAAGACAAAGAAGTACGAGAGGCCTTCTGCGTGGATACTCTGCTCGGTGTACTGTAATTACCGACATCAACAACCGTCTACATGGCCTAGGAAACATGGCAACCTGGACCGCCGGAGGACACCCGTGTGGACCGTCTGCACTCTGCCGTCGTCATCGTCTCAGTCTTTTGCCTTTCTTTGATGCAGGTATGGTTTTGTCGCCTGCAAATAGGGCAAATAGGGCTGCTTTCTGAGCCGCCAGCTGACGTACAACAGCCTGCGGACGGCTGGACGATCGACGACGGTGATAGAGTTGTTGTCCAAATGTTGAAGCGTCGAACACGTAAGCTCGAAAATGTGATAGATAGATACTCTACCGGTATCTGCTTGGACCCTTTTGCAGTGGCACGTGGGTCTGACTTGCATGGAAAATACGCTGGATGGGTCCCGGGTGGCTGGCTCTCCGGCAGCTGTGGTGAACCCGCGCTCAGCGTCCAACGGCGTAAAAATGGGCCGTCCCTGTGGGGGTGGAATGGACGCAGGGGTTCATAATTGCCTTGTTTGCTTAAGTCCCGCGTGGGGCCGTTCCTGACTCCCGACGTTGCATGCATAACTCAACTCCAACGTTATTTATTATTATGGTCCCTGCGTGAATTGGCTCGCAGAGGCAGAGGCGGCTATTAGTAATGGTCGGACAGATAAGACTTTGGTCAATACGCCTGTATATGCTCAAGTAGTAAGGTCTGTTGGTCTATCAACGTTGTTTAAGACAGATCCACAGGAGGCGACGGATTACCGCTCCTGGCAATAGAAGTCGAGTATCCGATAGCTTGTCTAAAGTTGAAGCCGCGTGTCCATTCTTGATGTTTTGTGTGTTCAGCACTGACCAGAATCATGCCATTTTGTTGGATCACATACTTGGATCTCGATCAAGGCGCTGATAACATCATGTTTTAGTTGGAACGCGTGCACTCCGGCGAGGATGACCCTGTCTTCAACGTCATCTCTCATGAGAGACAGAGAGATAGCATACGTGTGTGTAAGTGTTCTCACACCTTGAAAAGACCTGGCGTATCAACTTGCAGTCAGGACAGTCTCTTGGCGTCAATTTCCAGTATTACGACGTCTGATCTACAATAGATACATAGCACTATTTGAACAGGGTTCGGACAATGTGGGCAAATATCGGGTCAAAATGACATCTAGTTACGCGATGTCGTGATCCATTTTATATAGCGGGACTAAAACGTAGCCCGACTCTACCATAAACCTTTCTCCATCCGGCTGCAGCACCTTGCTACATTCTTACATTATCCAGCTGCCGCTTGAAGAATTCATAGGCCATGAATGTCACTGCCTGTCCGGGTGCCACCCGCATCACCCGGGGCAGCAAACCTTTGTACAGGGCGCCGGGGCCCTCTTCCCTTATCAAGCTGGTCACCAGCCCCAATATCCTCCTGTCGCCGTGTGCCGCGGCGTTCTGCAACCTCGTTTTGATTGTGTCGATCGGCGCGTTGCAGAGCGGGCCCATGGCGCCCGAGAAGAGCCCGATGGGACCTGTCACATAGGTTGGCAAGGCCCCTTCGTCGATCCCCTTTTTGCTCCGGTATCTCTGCACTGCCCGTTTTAGGAAGGAGTAAGTGGTGAAGTTGGCCGCTTGGTTGGTCCCCTGACGAGTGGCTGTCAGTGAGACCCCACGCCAGAGTGCAGAGATACCCTCGTTTCTGGCGACGCCGCGGGCGGCGTCAAAAGCGTTCCGGTACTGCGGCAGGGTCGCAATGGCCCCTCCCTCCACTCGGTGCTGTCCCTGAAGCCTAATTTTGACGACCTCCATTGGGTTGACGACACAGACTGCCTCCGTAATTCCTGCTGCCAGCCCTGCGAGGAACACCACGGAACTGCTCGGTGTTGACTGCCCCGTAAGCGAAGCGCCCAGGTGCTTGAAACCTTCAAATGAGGTGAATCGGATGGCCATCTTGGGACCCATGCCCAGGACAACAGCATCAAAGCCTCTGTAGAGCCCAAGAGGGCCCTCTTTCCGCACGATATGTCCCAACGTACCGATGAATCCACTCGGACGTCGAGACTGAGGACGAAAGATTAGACAACAACGCTGACAGAAAACATGAGGGCAGGGTACATCACTCACGTGTGGGTCATTGCGCAACAATTGCATTCGCACTTTGATCGTGTCAAGTGGGTGGCAGGAGCATGCTTCCATGATGCCAGCCCCTCCTCCCGCTGCGATGTGTCCCTCGTTTGATCAGTCTGGAACTCATCTCATTAATTCTGAATCTGGTCTTCGTACCTAAGAGGTTTGTGGTGACAGTATTGAAAGGCGAGGTCAATCGCCTCTCGATGACTGGGTCGGCGTGAATTGATCGAACAGCGACAGCCATGACGGGTACGGTATAGAGATGACACAATACAAAGCGATATAAAGAATTACAGGTGCAAAGTCGGACACCTTGACCGGCTCGAGACAGAGGGTCGAGGTGATGAAGATATAGAGAGCGACCGATCTTAAACACCAACCAGGCGTGATATCAAATCTCTAACCAATCAAGGCTTCCACTCCCACCTCTGACCCTTCCTGCAATCAGAGCGAACAAGAAACAGCTACGCATGTGTCATTTACTGTGATTTCCTGTTCCCAGTCACAGACATGTTTTCCTTTCGAATTTGCCTTGCCCACGCAAAACCATAAGATCAGTGATTTCAAACGCCGCACGTCACTACCAAATCCGTTGTCTGGACCTCGCAGCCGTAGATCGCTCTGTGTGCAGCGATCTTCCTTACTCGGAAAGTCTCAAGATAACGGGAGCACATGTCGCAGAGTCACTCTTCACGTTAGTAAACAGTTGAATAGAAACACGCCATTCTCGCATCAGGTATGGACACAACTTCTCAAATAATACGACGCCAGTGAGGAAAGCTTACGCGTTGTGCATTAGACAGGAGGAAGAAACGCAGAGGCTCAATTATTCCTTGTTTACAAGGGACGGGACGGCATTGACGCATGCTGTAGGTATGGTGCACAAGGTCCAGTTTAACGCAGCTGTCGCCACAGAACCGGAGCAAGAACGCCGTGGAAAAACTGGTAGGTGGTAGGTCCGATTTACCTCTAGTATACAAACATTTGCTGGGCATGTATGAGGCTCAGACTCTTATTCATCATCGGTTGACGCGGCCAAGAAAAAATAAGGTCGGACAGGGCCATCAAACATATTGCTGGGACTTACTGTTGTAACTTGGGCCGGCCAAGATAGGTACACACTCCAGGCAATATGCGTCACTGTCGGATGTGAGGACGTTCAAGCTGCCCCGTTTCAGCACATATGGGGTCCCAGTGGCATAGTGGAGCGAAGAGCCCCGGAAAAATTGATTATCTATCACATCCATGGAGGCTTGACACTTGATTTACTAAGTCCTCTTCACAGTTCTCTCTATCTTCTCCTCCCTCGCTTTCATCCTTCACAGACGCATTTCTCTTCTCCCTTGGCCCGATACCTAGATCATCTTTCGTCCCAGGAAGGGGGAACATACTTCGAAAACATCCATCTCTGTGCCATTTTCTTTTTAGAACCTTCACCAATACTACAAGAACCAACCACAAGATGTCTGCACAAAACGTCACAGCTTCTCTTTGGTGGGATACTCTTATTCGACCATGGATATGCGTTCCCCTCAGCATCATCTTCATGCTATACTGCATTGTTGGAATGGACTCTCTCATAGGACTGGGGACTGTCGACTTCCCGTCAAGCGTGGCATGCCTCCTTATCTTGTTCTTCTTTCTTCTTGTGTGTGATTGGCTGTTACCGTCCAAGCACATGGGCACCTTGTTAAGTGTACTCAAGGTGCCCACTGAATTTGCCCTCCGAACGATGAACCTCTATTTCACGCCAAGCTTTGTCCTCCTCCCCACTAGCACTCTCATCAGTGGGGAGCAAATTGGTGCCTTGGCCGGGGTATTCATCGTTGGGTACGTTGTTCAGTATGCCGTAACGGGCTACTCGTGCGTGGCTGTTCAATGCATATCTCGCAGACTTCGCGGGGAAACCACTCTGCCTACAGGATCCGACACTGTCGGAAACCCTGAGAAGACGGGAACATCGATGCAGCAGCCTTCCGTCACATCACCAACACAAAACAGTGCAAACTCAGGTCCCTCAGGACAACAACAAGAAACCGATCAAGAGTACGTCAAGGAAGATCAGAGTCCTTCTCAAATTTCAGATCCGATGAGGGAATCTGCCACACCATCAGAACTGGAGCAGGTTTCAGCAACGGCAGCAGAGGATTACAATTCGACTGAGAAGAAACGCCGATGGAGACCATGGCTCCTGAAGAACATCGATCGTCTCACTTGGTTCACCCTATTTCTTGTCATCGGGCTCCCAGTATACTATGCAACTGGCTATACCATGCCAATCTTCCTCTGCATCAATGTTCTCTGCTTCCAAGGCGCCAACGCCGTCCCACCCAAGATTAAGCGCATCGCACACCCCGTCCTCGTCTGCGCCCTCTTTTCAATACTATTCATCTGGGGCTTTTCCGTCTCTCGGGGTCTCACCCTGTACAGGGGCCTGAACCTCTACAAGACCGGCACTTCATACATGAACTATCTCCGCGGCGCTTCGGGGCTCCCACGCCCGGGTGCAGGCGACATCCTCGCGAGCCTGCTCGACGCCAGCATCGTTTCTCTCGCCATGCCGATGTATCAGTACCGTCAAGAGCTACGTCACTACTTTGCTTCTATATTCCTGCCAGTGCTGTTTCTGACCATTCCATCTCTGTTTGGCTACCCTCCTCTGTGCTTCTCGCTCGGCATATCTGCGACGATCAGCCTCGCAGTTGCGCCGCGAAGTGTCACGCTCGCGCTGGCACAGCTGTCGACCCAGAACCTGGGCGGCAATACGTCTGCCATCTCGGTCATTGCCGTAGTCAGCGGCATATCTGGACCCATATTTGGTCCGACTATTTTACGCATGTTGAGGATCCCAGAAAGTAAGTCTTTTGCTCCAACTTCTTCACCGGTGGTTCTTATCTACGCCACAAAAGAACACTTGAAGTGCTGTTTATTTTGTATACCATGAAATCGGATACTAATGTGGTGTCGCTCACAGAGGATTTCGTGACCTGGGGGGTCGTTCTGGGGGCAAACTCATCTGCAATCGCTACGGCAATGCTTCTAGAGCGGGACAGACGGGCCGCTGCTCTTAGCTCACTTTCTTTGAGCCTCTTTGGTATTGTTTTTGTCATTCTGACGGTCATCCCTCCCTTAGCCACCTACGTTCGTAGTCTTGTAGGGCTATAAGCCTCCAAGACCATTCGAGCTGGCGTACCTGTGTTCTTGAAATATGATTTTACACAATGGTCGAGAGGATCAGGGTGTTAAAGACCTTTCAGAGCTCTTAGAGGGCTCAGAATCGGTCTTCGGAGTATTTTATCATATTGCACGACAGTCGAGAGGTCAACGTCATGTATATATCGCATCTTATGGGACCGATGGAAAACATTAAATCAGTAGGCAAAATGCGACTTCCGGTAACGGTCAAAAGAGGCGTTAAAATAGTTGTTGGATATTTAGGTAATCCAAGGAATATTGAAAGTAATCGAACGCTGAGACAAAAAGGCGGCAAGAGACGACTGGCCATACTAGAACAATCTCATCCATGTGTTATTTCACGTTTGGAATTTTTCTCAGAGCCTACATTCATATCGCTGAGAGGGAGGAAATATGTACGTCCCGCACCGTATGGGACATGAACGTGCCCTGATCCGGGGTTTGAGTGATGGTGTGCGCGTCATCGGATGCGAAGATTCGGCATTGGTGGCCGGCTAGGCGCTCGAGAAATTCGCGCTCAACACCAGCACATATGCGACTAAAGATGGATGGACAAGCACTGCTGTAAATACTGGGCACAGAATGCGTAGATGAATTCCATGCAGAGCCATGACATGCCAAAAAAAAAGATGATTCTTTTGAGACTATCTATTTGGGGCCTGTCTCAGGCTACACCTGCTCAAAGACTGGAGGGTGCCCCTAATCTATCCTCTGGCCCGATCTCCCATAAAGACGATTGTCTGTAGTGAAATTCCCTTGCGCCAGACACCTTTCATCGTTCATGTCCATGCTGCTCTGCACCTCAATGCAATTTCAGGAGACCGCATAATTCACCCCAGAACTCGAGCCAGAATGAAAAGAAAGACCAGGCACACAGCGTCCGCATTCTCTTCTTCCAGGTTCTCCTCAACCCCCAAATCCTCTGTCCCTTCATGGGCGGAAATCAAATTCTCCGACTGCTGTCGATGCTAATTAAGCTCCACTGAGCCCAGTGGATCAGCATGAATGGCCTGTCCATTATCAGTGACCCACCACATCTTCGTCATTATCCACCTGGCTTCTTTTTTCGTCTACTTGCCTCCCTCTAGCGATGGATGTCACCCCGCCATCCCCTTCCAAACCCCTTCGGCGATCTCTTCGCGGGTCGATCCGTCATGTCCTCAAACGGAGTAGGTAGCTGACGCGGTGTGTCGTCGACGGCAGTAGCTCCCGACAGCGATTCCGCATCAGCCATGTCCACATCCTCTTTGCTGCTCGCCGCCAGGGGAGAACTGGCAGCCACAGAAGACGACAGGGCACGGCTGGATGTCGTAGGCGTGGCCAACTTCTTCTTAGCCTGGGCCTCCCTCAAAGCCTGAACTCTCTCCCTGAACCGCGCCGCCGTCTCACAGCCCTTAGCCGGACGGCCAACATCAACACCAGGCAGCCTCAGGTTCGCCGCAGCAACCCACTCAGCAGGCAAGGCCTTAAGGGCCTGCTTTGAGAAAGTGAACGCCTTCTCAGGCGGCGGAAACGTGAAGTTTCCCGGCTCGCCAGGCGTGTCGTCGAAGAACAGCACGGGGAAGACGCGCTCCTTGGCCTTGGGGCCGCCGACTTCAAAGCCCTTCTTCCATCCCTTGATGACGGGCTTCATCCTACGGCCCTTTGCCTTGGCACGCACGCGGTCCGTTGTGTAGCAGTCCGGCAGGTCTTTGAACAGGTTGGCCTGCTGGAAGCTGAACTTGATGCCGATCTGGCGCTCCCAGGAGTCCCAGGGCAAAGGTGTGCACATCCACCACCCCTCATAGTGGGCGTCTTTGTAGAAGGCTTGGTAGAGCTCGCCTGGGATTGGGTCTGTGACCCCAGCGAACGTGTCGTTCTGGTCTAGCTGGGTGGTGAGGTCTAAGAGGAGGGGTGGTGATGGGACGGGTGGTTCGGCGGCAGGTGATGCCTGCACGGACTGGGCATTCGATGCTGTCTCTTCGGCTACAGATGAAGACTTTGCGCAGCCAACAACGCTCCAGAATTCTGAACCAGAATCGTTATTGGTGCATTCTGGTGAAGGCTCGCGTTGGCTCTCTACACCAGGTTTGGTACTCTTTGGAGTGAGAGAACGGGGCGTCAGAGCCTTGAAGCGAGATTTGAGACCGTCTTCTTGCTCGGCTGGAGCCACTGCCGTCGCGGGGCTGGGTAGCGGGTGTCGCTGCTTCTTGACACCGGCATGATTGTTTGGATCAGATGGTGATCCACGAGCAAAGTCGGCTGGTGCAGCGAGGGGGCTTGCGCCTTCGGCTGCTTGCAGAGCAGCGCCTGCGAGTCCTTCCAAGTCTTGAACAAAGTGTTGAGCTTGGGACTTCGTGGCCTTTGATGTGACAATGGAGAGCTTGGGTAGAGATAGAATTGCTGGACGTCCGTTGCTGTTGATACCTGACTTCTTGCCACTGGTCGAATGCGTGCTTGAATCACGCTGATCGCGACTGCTGCTGTGAGATACAGGCAAAGCCCCGTTCGCTGGGCCATCGGTAGATTGATGCGGAGTAATAGACACCATCGCAGACGGCGTCAAGCCGGAAGACGAAGGCAGCGGCACAAGGTCCTTAATGATGTCCACGTGCTTGCCCCACGCGCCCCAAAACTCGCCATCGACCGTTTCCAACTCCTGCTGCTTGACCCGCGCCTCCTCTCGAAGCTTATCCTGGCGTTTCTGTACTGCCTCTGAGAGCTTCTTCTCGTTGGCGCCAAATGCACTGATCCACTTGCGGGTAGACCACTTTGGGTTGGAGTCAGCGATCTCGGCAAGGCGTTGCTGGTACTCTTGCCAGTATCGGCCCTCGATGGCGTAGGATTGCTCCTCGAGCTTTCGAATCTCAGCGCGCAGTCGCTGGCGCTTCTTGTGAATCTCCTCATTTTGCAATCGTGCGTTCCTACACAGCGCTGAAATGAGGCGTTCATCTCGGATATCCTCAGGCGAGAGACCGCCATTCGAAGGATCTGTAGCCGCCATGATCGACGAGGGGCGTCTGCGGGCCTTGACGGCGAGACGCAGATATTTCGTCGCAGTTAGCTGAGCTATTCGCTCGAGAACCGAGGACGCTCTCGAGCTTGGATGAGATGGTGATACTCGAAAGGTTGTTGATTACTTGACCGGTTGCTTGTTTGTGTTTGTGCCTGGCTAAGATGATGAAAGGCGAGTGTGATACTAAGGCTGCAGGGCGGCGCCACGATACTGCAACTCAACCGCTGCAGTGACCGCGATGAAAACAACAGCCGGTGAAGATGGCGATCAAAAGCCTTAATGTTTGTTTGATGGTTGTGGGTCAGATGAGGTCGAAATAGTTGTGGGTCCCCTATGTAACAAATTTCTCACCGACCCAGCCTAGATGTTTATCAAGGGCAGGGTTGAGACTGCTTTAGTCGTTGAGTCTGATGGAAAAAGGGACAGTCCAATGATGAGAATGCAAATGGTAGCTCTTGCCCTGATTATTGTCGGGTTGAGCAGGGCTGTGTGATGGATGATGTGAAGTTTGCTGCCTGCGTACATGTGTAGGTGTTATTTGCATTTGGTTGATTGATTTGTAGTAGTCCGGGTGGCAGGCTACTTAGTGCATGTGAGTAATCTTGGTTGTGTGATGTGAAAGTTCCTTCTTTGAAACGCCACAAGCTTCCAAAGGCCCCTGCGGAAACCACGACACGCGCCACCCGTATTTAGACTAAATGGCCGCGGACATAAGGGCATAAAAGAGAGAATGGGCGAGCGAGGGGGGTGGCAGGGAGAGCAGCCACTAAGGATACGGGACTATGACGAAGGGATTTTACAGGCGAGGCTTGTTATTAGTGTGGATACAAGAACTCGGGACGTGTCATCCCCTCTCAGTGCCCGACTCCCAGATGCAGCGGGCTGAATCACGGGACAGCAAGACTTGCGGTCAGATGCCAAGCACGTAGAGAGTATAAACCTGAATCTTGTTTGCCCTTTTCTTGGTCGCATCTCACCACAGCAGCCAGTGGCAGTGCAGTACCTCCTGCTTATTCAGATCCTAACTCGTAGATGATCATGCAATACATGCACATAATCGCTGCATTGAATACAGCCAGCTGTCTATGAGATGGGAGCTTTACTCGCTTGGTATTGTCTGAAGAAATGACTGGTGTTAGAATTGTCACCCCCGTCTGAATGATTCTTTTCACAGTAAAGCCCTAACCCTCGGATCTCCTTCAGCCAAATCTCTAGCCACTCATTTTAATGTCGCGTCCCAGTTTGGGAAGATTCACCTCCAGTGTTGACTTCGCGCTGACACACAGTAATCCACTGCACTCCTTTCCAGGCATCCAGACATGACTACAACATCAAACAGTGAGCCACGGGTCGGCGTAGCTGCCGTTATACGAGGCCCAGATGGACGTGTCGTGTTTGGGCGCCGAAAGTCGAGCCACGGTGCAGGTCAGTCCATCTCCCCGAACTTCATGCGCCTTATCCGCAGATGCCGCAGATGCCGAGACCGCCGCGGGGACATGCTTCTAGCAACTCGCACCCCCTGGCATCTCTTATCATCTAGCAAAATGGCACACTATCACTCACTGACTTGTGGTTCTGCTCAGGGCAATGGGCCTTCCCTGGTGGACATCTCGAGTACGGCGAAGAGTTCGCAGAATGTGCTGAGCGGGAGACATTGGAGGAGACCGGTCTAAGGGTGAAGGGTGGCAAGGTTGCTCATGTAACCAATGCCGTGTTCTCGGATCTCGGAAAGCACTACATCACCATTTTTGTCCTCTGCGAGATGCTTGACCCCAGCGCACAACCCGCGGTGAGTCTGCCACTAGGCTACAGAATTGTTCACAACCCTCTGTAGCTGACTGTGAACATCTTCCCACAGCTTCTTGAGCCCGACAAGTGCGAGGAATGGGTTTGGAAAACCTTTGAAGAGATCAAGCAAGCGAGTTCCGAGGAGCTTTTCCTTCCCATCCAGAACCTGCTGAAGCAGACGCCAAACTTTGACCTCTTTCTAAACCCAGATGCCTAGAAGCATGGAATCCAATGGTGCTGAAAGGCACCCATGGATTCATAAGAGGCGCGATATCGATAGAATTGAAACAAACACTGTCACTACCCTTTAACATCTCCAATATCAAAAGACCTTGAATTAACAATAAACGTATCTCGCATGCTGCTGCATGAAGAGGAGGCAGGGAGCTGTTTGTCCTGGAGGGAGAACTACCGCAGGCTAAGCAATGCAAAGTATCACAATGTCCGTGATAAAAGTGTTCCTCCCCTGTCATCGGCCGTGTACAATACCCTTTGCAGCTGGTGCGTCTTATCCAGTATTTGAATCATTGCCTGAATGCTTTACTAAGATTCAGTGCGCAGAATTCATGCAGTGAATAAACCTGGGTGTTGAAAGAAATTGAGGATTGCATAGCGATGGGATCATCTCTAAGACTGGTCCACTGGGCCAGTCCTCGGGAGTGACTATTATCAGAATCGTTTCATGTTCTCGATAAAGCAACAGTCTGGACACATCAACTTTGGACCATTGGAAGAGAAAGCCATCTTTTGTTGTATCATACAATATGACTGCCTTTGACTGATCTCCTCCCTGGTGGGCCGAATATCTTCGAGGTCCTTGCCAAAGTCACGGAACGAGCCCACTTGGTCTGTTTGCAGTCCCTTCACAAATCGTCCCTTCTCAAGGCACATAAAACGTATTGGCGGCGCAGGGGCCCCGCCGTTTGAATACACATGTGGTGATTTCCGACATTCGCTCGAGTCAAGTGATAAGAGGAATCTATAAACTATGACCACGGGTGAAGTCAGTTCCCAATCTTTGATTGTCACCCCTTGAAATAAACTTTCCAAAGCGCAACAACCTTGAAATCGGCTAGACGTTTCAACGCCCGGGCCCATCAGATTGTAAGGCAGCTCTGGTACTTCACACTCGCGCATTATCGGCAGCTTCTCTACTTTTCCCGAGCAGAGGACATGCTTCCGAGTGGTTCGCATTGAGTCAGGTCATCCAGGTCCAAAGCTCCAGATTCAATCAGACAATGAAAGCTTTGATCGTTCCAGCGCCCGCAACGATGTGGGGTTCTTAAAAGTGACACAGGCTAAAGTATTCCGCAAATGCGACAACATCCATATGTTTGCAGGTCGATTCGAAAAAGCGAAATTTATGGGCCAAGTAACCCCGAAAGAAAATTGAGGTCACATTGAAATGCCTTGTGTTCTAAACTAGGGCCGCGGAGTTGATCTGGGAAATTCGGGGGATGCAGGCGGACTCAACTTTCTTATAGGTGATAGAATGGACACACTGTGTATCCTATACTCGAGTGCCCGGGTCAAATTGCCGCTGCGTCGGATATTGGTAAGTGAGGTGCTGGCAAATTACGCCTCGAGCCAAATATCTCCGATAGGCCTGGATACGGCTTCCAACGAACATCTGTGCAAGTTTTTCCGTGCACACCCTTGGCCTTATCAATACTGTTTATAGTCTTCAATACCATCGAGCCGTTGGCAAATGGAAATCTGGGCTCACGATTGGAATATCAAATTCTTTGATGCTGATGTGCTCAACCTGGCGGGTGATTCCTCCTCCACCCTTCTGAAAATCCTGTTATCGTGACCCAGTACCTGTCTCCACCCGAGTCCCATCGGTGTCCTCGACCAAGATTTCCACGTAGCCGAGATCTCGGTCATTGGTTTAAATGGGATCAATCTGACCCGCATCATTTCTTTTGGGCTAACGACATTATCGCTGAGCCATGTTGAGGGCCAACCAGCATATTCAAAATGTGTATTTTTCCGGGCCTACACATGCGTGTTTCGGAGCCTAGACCACGACGAGGCGCTACCCGTTCACCTTCCATAAGCACTACTGACCATCCTGGGATAGTGGATATTGGGAAGACGAGACCCCTTCCGCGCGCCTCGTTAGCTTGCCCAGGTGGCCGCCACTAATTTACTAGTTTGCAGATATCAAGAACTATCAGAGCCTGAGGATTCCGAATGCATATATATCTGCAATGTGGTAGTCAACATTTGTGTAACCGTAATGGAACCCCTCCCTTTCTGTTTCCCTCCAGGTTGAGTGACCAGCGAGCCCTTTGTCCCGGCTTAATCCAGTTGCTGTCACGATGCGCTGTTCAGGCTTCATCGCTTTCCTCGGTCTATTTGGAGGAGCACTAAGTGCTCCGGCCCCTGGCGCCAATTATACCGAGAACAACCATGTCCTGGCAAAATTGCAGAGACAAGCACTAGCATCACTGAAGACTGCTGGGAGCAATTCGACCAGTTCACAGAGCTGCAGCCTTGAGAATGCCGCTGTGCGCAAAGATTGGTATACACATAACCTGCTTGCATCTCATTAGAACTCGAGAGCGAAACCTTTGCTGACGAGTTGACTGAAATAGGATTGCCCTGACTCCTGAAGAGAAAAAGGACTATATTGGCGCAGTCCAATGTCTCCTGACATTGCCATCTAAATCAGACCCTGCTTTTGCCCCTGGGGCAAGGAACAGTAAGTCACAGGCCTTCGGATCTTTTTTACCTGCAGTGAAACGACCTAGTTGAATCTGAGGGAATTCACACGAAATATTACATTTCGAGATGATGAGCTGGTGTTAACATTCACCTCCAGGATATGACGACTTTGTTGCTGTGCATATCAATCAGACCCTCTCGATACATGGAACTGTGAGTCTCTCATTTCCTGTAAAGCCCGTGCTTCAGAGAGAATCTAATTCTGGAATTATGGACAGGGCAACTTCTTGACCTGGCACCGGTACATGACCTGGGCCTATGAGACGGCGCTCCGTGAAGAGTGTGGCTACCAGGGATATCAGCCGTACTGGAACTGGTTAGACTATACAGATGATCTGACGAAATCACCTCTGTTCGACGGTAGCGACACAAGTATGAGCGGAGATGGATCCTACCTCGCTCACAACGGCAGCTTGTCAGGGGCCAACAACATCTTCCTCCCCTCCGGCAACGGTGGTGGTTGCGTAACAAGCGGCCCTTTTACAAAGTAGGCTTCAGACTTTCAGCTCGTGTTATTGTTTCCGATGAACTAATATTCCATTTATTTAGTATGACTGTTCATCTCGGCCCCGTAGCGCCGGGAATGGCTGGGTTGAAGGTCAATCCCAGCCCTGACGGCCCGCTAGGCTACAACCCACGCTGCCTCAGCAGAGACCTGGGCGATTACACCAGCTCGACATGGTTCACGTCAGAAAACCTGCTGAACATCACGATCGGAGATGCATCCAGCAGTATTGAGCTCTTCCAGAACGAGCTCCAGGGCCGCTTCGCGGACCAGTTCTTGGGGATGCATGCAAGTGGGCACATGGCTGTTGGTGGCGAGGCGTCGGACTTGTTTTCATCCATCAATGACCCGAGCTTTTGGTTCCACCACTCCATGGTCGACCAGGTATACTGGATATGGCAGGCTCTTCACCTCGACCAGGCGGCGACCATAGCGGGTACCATCACCATTTTGAACACACCGCCGAGCCGGGACGCATCTACCGCGGATATCATTAACGTGGGCGTTAATGCTCCCGACGTTACCATTGAAGATGTGCTTGATACGCTTGGGGAAAGTCCACTATGTTATATATATGTATAAACCGATAGCCAAAGGGACAGATAATCACCGATGTCGGTCATCACGCTGAGACCACACCCACTGAACTCCCTACGTGCATTTCACCTCTGTTCGTTAAACTCCAACTCCTGCATTGATGTCGTACGCTTCCGAAACCCCAGTCACGCTGATGTCCTTTTCTGGATCATACCGTTCAAGGCTATCTAGGGGAGCATACTTTTCGCACAAGAAAAGCATGTCATTGTATGCTCTTTCAAAAGGGTGGAATCATCAGTGTGTGTTCAGATGTAGTGCAGTGTGCAATATGACTCACATGACTCTTGATTTGCTCCCACGATGCCCAGCCGAGTCGCATATAGCCGTTTTGATTGAATACAACCGATTGCGGTCGTCCCACTCCTCGACCGGCTCAGATGGCTCAACCTCCATCTGATAATGTTGGATGTAGGCAGGCGACTTGAAATGCGTCGCCCAACTGCATCGCCATGTCCCGAACTCGATCTCGTTGTGCGCGTACATGCACTCATCCGGATCAAAGATGATGACTTTGCCAGTTTCCATGTCAGTGGCAACATTGCCTTCCCACAGGTCGCCGTGGCATAAAGCTGGCGTTATCTCGCGCCCTTCTGTCTGCAAGGCTCCCAGCAGTCGTGGGATCACGCCATCCATCAGCTGCTTGCATGCCGCGTCAAACTCGATCCAGGGCCCGTTGACCTGATTGTCCAGCTTGATCAGGTCTTTGAGCAAGTAAGTGAATTGTTCTGCCCAGCTGTCGCTCCAGTGCTCTTTGCGATCTACGGAGCCGCGGCCTGTGACGATTGCATAGCCAAATTTGCCGTTCGGAGACGTTGCTTTCGTGTGAAGCTCTGCTATGGCAGTTGCCAGTCCGGCTGGGTCGGGAGGTGTCTGTGTATCCATGTCATGATACTTCTGTAGATAGAAGTAGGCCTGATTGCCAACTTCATCGATATACTCCCCTTTTCCGACCGGTGCTGGGCCAAATTCTGGGACTTTGGAATCAATTATGGTGGCAGAGTAATGTTCTCCCCACATATGAATCTTCGCAAGTTTTCCACTGGCACACTGGTAAATTTTAGCAGTGTCACAGCCTCACGATATTTCGATGTGTTGGTACCTTCAGGAAGTATCGCTGGTTGGTTCCATCAGCGAGCACAGTGGAAATCTTTGCAGTCTTGGTCCAAGCTGAAAGCCCCCATGTTTCGGCTGAGATGACTTTGGTCCCCTTTGGCATTACTGCTCGAAATTTCAGAACCCATTTGACCATTTCATCGTTCAATCTGGGACGTCCTCACCTTCAACCACTGCGCTGTGGAGAGCAAAGTCTCCGTCGACATCCGTAGCCCATGACATTTTGCTGATGCTTTAGACAGTATGGCCGATGCGTGACAAATAACTGGTTGGGATCGAAGCCGTCTATATAATAAGTCCCAAATTTTCAATGCTACGCAGCTGACTTTCACATTCGCGTGTCCCTGTCTGTGACGAGCAAGGGGCTATGAAATGGTAATCTGCACGTGAAGGAACTAGCTCGCTCATCAGCGAGACCTGGTCTGGAGCCAATCGCCCGAGGTCGCAGCCTCTGACGCCTGGAGTGTACTATAATTGAGTTGCTGCAGGAAGAAGACAGTGGTGTGCGGCTGAAGAAAGTGGTTACTGTTGCTGACCAAGGATCGATTTGAAACGCGTTGGCTACGGAAGCCCGGGGAATAAATACATTTAGACACCCTCCGGTCAACTGGTGCTGACAGTGGCGAACAAGCCTCCCCGCATCCTTCAGGAGCATTGGAGCTCAGTCCCTACAATTAAGCTCCTGGCCCAGCTCCAATTTTCCCAGACTACTGCTGCAAGGACGACTAGCCGCTGAATGCTGGCACGACATTCGAAATGGTTAGTCACTGCGTGCATACCTCCTAACACTCTTCCTAGACTGACGAGAGAAACAGTTCAAAAAGATCAGCGGTCTGCGGAAGAAGACGACTGATGCCGATGGGCGTAGTCTGGCTGCCGACGACGACAATGCATCCGTGATCTCTGGGGCTGAATCCAGAAACTCCCTTGCAATCACGCCGACATTCGGGGTACCGGATCGACGGCGTGATCCATCTCCGTCTGGACTGGTTGCTGAATCAGGGCCTCTTGGTCTTAATGTTGTTTACACACCTGACAACGGTCGCAAGGTCGACATTGTTTTCATTCATGGGCTTGGCGGCACCAGCAGGTGGACATGGTCAAAGCACAAAAACGCGGAGTTGTTTTGGCCGCTGACCTTCCTGCCCTTGGAACAAGACCTCTGCCTAGCTAGGATATTGACATTTGGGTACAATGCGGCTTTCCAGAAGGCCGGCAATGTTTCATTGTCGCTACTTGATTTTGCGAAGGATCTGTTATTCGATCTGAAATACGGCAAGGACCCAGACATGGATGAGCTGGATATGGGCAAGGTGCCCATAATCTTTGTGGTCCACAGCATGGGGGGACTCATAGTCAAGGAGGTGGGTGTAAACTCGATTCCGGGCTTGACTGGGCTGACAGCTGGTAGGCGTATATGCAAGGGCAAAATGACCCAGAATATGAATCAATCATCAAAGCTATTACAGCCATCACGTTCCTCGCAACACCGCATCGAGGGACAGCGCTAGCACAGACCTTGAACCGTATACTGGACTCCGTTATGATCAACTCAAAGCAATATGTTGCCGAACTAGCACGAAACTCGCTCACGCTCCAGAAATTGAATGAGCAATTTCGGCACGTCGCTCCGCGACTAGATATTGTCTCATTTTATGAGACGATGCCTACTCGAATCAAAAGTGCCCGCGTTGTAAGTCCAGCTACCATGCCTTGATCCAAAGAAGCCAGCATATTGATGGTGGGAATAGATGGTATTGGAAAAGGAGTCCTCGGTTCTAGGGTACCCTGGAGAAGTGTCCAAAGCGCTGATTGCGGATCACCATGGTGTCTGCAAATACGAGGGACCGCAGGACCCAAATTATATAACAATAAGAAATGTCCTCAAGTCCCTTGTCAGCAAGATCATTACAAAAGACAACGGCAAACAGCCAGAGCTTTCGGATCGAAGAGCAGCTCTCGACTTGAAATCTATGCTCGCCCTCTCCGAACTTCCTGGACTGGATTATATATTTTTCCGAGATCAATGGACAGAAGATACGAACAACTGGATTAACAACGACAAGACCTTGCTTCAATGGCGTGATTCAGTCGATGATCTGAGCCTGCTGTGGTTAAATGGCGGTGCGGCCACCGGCAAATCCATCCTCGTTTCAACGATCATCAACAACCTAGTTCAAGAAGGTCTCCAGTGTCAATACTTCTTCATACGACATGGAGATCGCAAGAAAAGATCATTGAGTTTCTTGCTTCGTTCGCTGGCCTTTCAAATCGGGCAGTCCGTGCCAGGCCTTGCTCAGCAATTGAACGAGCTAAAAGAGGAAGGCATCGACTTTGAGACAGTGGATCCCAAGGTTATTTGGGACCGTGTATTCAAATCTGTGATCTTCAGATCTGCAGGGGAACAACCATTCTATTGGGTCATTGATGGCTTAGACGAAGCAGAGTCCCCTCGCAACACTATCAAATTGCTTCTGGATGTAACATCGTCGTCGCCTATTCGTATTTTGTTCGCAAGCCGGCGGACCCCGGAAATTACGAACGCATTCGAAAAACGTCATGCGAATGTCAGCCTGCAGACTATTGACATTGATGAACATCCCGAAGACATTGGTATCCATGTTCGCCAGGAACTCAAGGTGGCGGGTGGTTTGCAACTAAGAGAGACGATCGAGCAAAAGATTGTGGAAAAGTCTCAGAAAAACTTCCTGGTGAGAGCGTTACCTAGGCCCCGTCTAATCTATGAATCCCTCTTTCGGATGGTCATTAATCAGATTGAACAGTGGGCACGTCTGGCTGTCGAAAATGTGAACCAATGTCACACGCTCGAAGATATCGACTCCGCACTTGAGCAACTTCCAGAAGGCATGGAGGCATTATACGATCGAATGGCTTCGTCTGTCAACGACATTTCGAATCCGCGTGATAAGTTGCTGGCAACGAAAATACTACAATGCTTGACTTGCTCACTCCGTGTGCTGTCCGTGTCTGAAATGACACAAGCACTCGGTGAGACCGCTTCGGGTATATTGGACCTCCCACACGCCATCAAAGACTTGTGTGGAGGCTTCGCTTCTGTGGACAACGATGGCAACGTCTCTATCATCCATCAGTCTGCTCGTGAATACTTACTAGAAGATTCAGACCAGCGGATATTCAGTCTCGATGAAAAGACCGCCCACAAGGACTTGTTTTTGAGTTCGTTGCGATGTCTTACGTCGACCGGGCTGAGGACAAAGCTGGCTCGCGATCAAGCGCCCGAATTCGTGAAATACGCTGCAGCTTCCTGGTCGACTCACCTCCTGCATATTATAACTCTTGATGACGAGGTTATCAAAGCTCTGAAAAGGTTCTTGACAGGAAGCTGGATGCTCACTTGGATCCATGCCTTGGCGACCACGGGACAGCTGCGCATCCTTGCTCAAACATCTAAAGACCTCTACAAACTTTGCCGCAACGACAGGAGTACTCATTCAGTACTAGAGAGTCTCGATCAGGAATTGGTATCAAGTTGGTCTGTAGATCTGCTCAGGATTATGGGCAGATTTGGCAGTCTACTGCGTCGAAACCCAGACTCGATCTACAGCTCGATCCCTCCTTTCTGTCCCAAAGGATCATCGGTCCACCAGCTTTTTGGCAAGACGGACGCTCTGTCAGTGAATGGTATTTCAAACGAGAAATGGGATGACCTCTTCGCGCGCATTTCTATTGGAAAATCGTTCGCCTCATCGATCCAGGTCGCTGGATCCCAAGTAGCAGTTCTTGCCGCTCCTGGGAACGTTCACATTTACGAATCGACCGATTTTCGAGAAGCCAAGAGTAGCCCTATACAGCATGGCGAGCGCGTAGACAGAGTACAGCTGAACAAGGCTGGATCGTTGCTAGCATCTTACGGCTATCGCACGACCAAAGTCTGGAGAGTATCCTCGGGCGAGTGTATACTGACGGTCGATAGCGTTGAGTCAAAGACAAGGCCTTTGGCGATGCTATTTACGAATGATGATTCCACGCTCTTAGTTGGCTCTGATGATCGTCGCGTCCGGTCTCTGAATCTTGTCGAGAAAGAGTCAGCATGGGACGTCATTGCGGACATGGAAGAGGCCGGACTTGAGAAGCACTTTACCAACTCCGCGAGTCACATGGCTTTCAGTCCAGATGGTAGCATGATTGCGGTTGGCTACCGTCGTCACCCTGCTTCAGCTTGGGAGCTAGAAGGATCCACTCATATTGGCTACTGCCGGCGTGAGGATGACGTATCCATGGTTCGTGAACTCCGAGATCTTGTTTGGCATCCCTACCAGCCTGAGATACTAGGGCTTAGCGTGGAAGGGGTTGTGTCTAGATGGTCTCCCTACGAAGATCGTGTCGATGAGCTTTCCGCTGGAGCGAGCAAGCTGGCCATTAGCAACGATGGTGAGCTGTTCGTCACGGGTGATTCACACGGAAGGGTAAGACTATACACGACGGCTAGCTTTTCCCTCCTACACCAGCTATCCTCCCAAGACGCTATCTTCGGCTTGGCTTTCAGTCCCGACTCCAAGCGCTTCTATGATATCAGGGGCTATCATGCAAACGCATGGGAGCCGAATGCCTTGGCGAGGTATGCAGAGAGCTCCGGCGTGGATGTGGACTCAATCAGCGAGTATTCCATGTCGCATGTGTCCCAGAGGTCGGCTAGCGCATCTGCAGCAGTAGACCCCATTACTGCAATCGCTGGATCTCCAATTGGCCAACTCTACTGTTATGGCACTCAGACGGGTGTGGTCAATTTGCACGACACAAAGAATGGCAAAATCGCCACGCTTTATGCTTCGCGAGCCAAGTTTGCGATAGATCACATCGCCTGGAGCCACGATGGAGAGCACATCTGCTGCTCCGACTTCAGCAAACAACTAATAGTTTTTGCTGCATCTAGCAGCACTGGAGACTTAAAGCCGAATTACGACCAAAAGGCACTCATACCGATAAGAAAAATCACGAAGAGTCCTATCATCCAACTACTATTCCATCGCACTACAAGTCATCTCCTCGTGTACACCGCGTTACAAGTACACACGGTATCCTTAACGTCATACGCGGTAGAATCTTCCAAACAATTGGACTGTCCTATTTCATGCTGGGCTGCTCACCCTTCAGACGCCTCACTTCTTGTCGGCTTTGGAGCGCTCAAGGTTATGATATTGGACTGGAGCCTGGAAGAGAAACGGGTATTCACCATCGAATGGCCACATAATCCTGGCACCGAGAAATCACAGACCAGTCAGGATCTGCAGGTCGACCGAGTGCTTGCTTCTCAAGATCAGAAACACATTTTACTCCAGGTTTCTAATCTCGGGAGGTCTTCCCGGGACAGTGAACTCCTCTTCCTCGAAGCCGCGAGTCTTTCGGCATCGAAGTGGTCAGAGGACCATGCAGAGACTACGTCACCGACAGTCTGCCTCCGTCGATTTTCATCGGAGCTATTTCATGGCATTTTACTTCCACTTGGTCTCGTATGGGGAGGTAGATTGATTTACATATCTCGGGACTTCGCCGTCTGCTCGACACAACTCAAGTGGACCTCTAAGCCGATGCCTTCTTCCAACATCGCGCAAGCCAGGAACCAGAGGAATTTGAGGCAGAGATCAGTTGATAAAGGTGCGAGTATTGTTGGGAATTCTATTAGCGGTGTGAAGGAGTTATTTGCGTTTCCAAGCGACTGGGCGAACGAGCAGGCGATGGCTTCATGCAGTCTTTGGGGCGCCGAGAAGTCCCTGCTATACCCCCGGAACGGAGAAACAGCTATAGTGAGATGCATAGCTCTTTCTCGAGGCTAATTCAGCCTATGTTAATATTATTAGCGACCGTACCTCACCGCCGCAGCCCGTCTCCAAGCAAGCCCTCGACAGTACTCGACTGTAAGGAGACCAACAGCGACAACAATGAATCCTGCAATTAACGTGAACGCCCAGCCGATGCCCATTGACCGAAACATGTCCTCCAAGAATGCCACTATCACTGCTGCGAATGCATATCTCACTAAACTTGTGGACGCGTTGGCAGCTGCAGGGGCCCGGTGATTTATGTCAACGAGTAGCGTGTTGAATGTCTATGTCATTGTTCAGACCGTGTGCGAATGTTGAAAACTCCGACACGAAGGATTCCCTACACTGAAGTTTGTCTGCAAGGCCATGCCAGTCATAAACTGAAGGACCATAGAGATTGCAATGTGCTGGATGCAGTAAGTCATCGGTCACTTGATCACATGCTTATCTTAAGACGACTTTTGGCATACATACCTGCTTGTAATGAAGAACCCACCCATAAGCCACCGTGCAAAGAGTAATAACCAGCATCGGTATCCACATAATATTTAATCGTGCCTTTTCAATTGGAAATTCGTCCAGATCATCTCCTTTGATGCGGTCCGTCGACAGCCCACGCGTGGAACGGGTCTGGCTGTAAGCCGTGTCGAGCAAGTACCCGGAGAAGAACGTTGAGACAGTTCCACCTAGAGCGAAAGGTAGATATATCAGGCCTGCTTGCCACTCGGTCAGACCGTAAGTTTCGATGAAGAGTGTCGAAAGACTCGCTGTGAGGCTGACATGGTTCAGTGTCAGCTATGCCAGAAAGTAGCCGCTCGCGTTTACCAGTGTTCGATGTACATACGCAGAATAAACGGCATACATAAACCCCCAAGCCAGAACGATGACTGCGTTGTCTTTTCGGAGCAGAGTCTTGAGCGACCTGAAAGGATTGGGCATATGGAAGGCTCTGGCCTCGGACTCTCCACCGACTTGACAATGCTTCATGAAACTTGTGAATGGAATAGGAAGCCTCAGAATCGGCTGGGCTGGTTTTGAACCATTTCCCACGATATTTCTAGAAGTCTCTGGAAGAAGGAAGACGATTAATGCTAGGCCAGAGACGGTCACAATGGCAAGGAACCAGAATATCCATGCCCATCCAGCAGCATACGTCAGGGCACCACCGAGAACGGGTCCCAGGCTTGGTCCGATTGTGATACTACAGGTGCTTTAGTTACCAAAATCAACTTTCAGACAGAGCAGCGGAATTTCGGGCGTACAGGAACGACACGGCACTCATGTAAGAGCCTCTGTTTGCTGGCGACGCAATATCACTGACGATGCCATATCCGATAAGGATGACTCCTATTGTGGCGTCAGCATCAAAAGCTCAAGTATCATCACTGTCGCTTCCATGATACATACCAGACTGGCCAACAGCCTGCAGTATCCTCAACCCAAGAAACGTCTCGTAGGAATCCGCCAGCGCAAGACAGACGTTAGCAGTCGCGAACAATGACAACGTCACTACATACGCGGCCCGTCTACCCAGAATATCTGCAGCATCTCCAACAAACAACGGGACGACTGCGCCAACAGCCATATACACGGTGATGATGAGATTGATTCTATCCACTGACACTGTGAAAGCCTCGGATAAGGGCTTCAGAGCTGGTAGGAAGATGAATGTGCTGAGGTTGGCGGACCAAGATACGTAAGAGACCATGGCAACGATGATGCATTTCTCTAGCCGCGTGAAAACTGTGTATGGCTCGGGAGTCTCGTCAGTACGGGCGATACGCTCATCACACATCGCCTTCTGGAACCGAGCAGGCTGCTCGGTGGATGAGGCCATTGTGTCGCAGAATTGGTTTTCTTCTTCGATGTGTTCAGACTGAGCATCTCGATCGCAGTGTCTTGTGGCTTGTTTGCTCATGTGCATGCGGTTGGAGTGAACTCTTTTGCAATAGATGGACTGTCCGTCTAGTAAATTCGCGTCTGGTGAATTATGCGCCGCTTCGACGGAGACGAGTCGCTTCAGTTATTGGAAATGATCACATGGTTGTAACAATGCTGGATTCCGACCACAATACAGATGACAAAATTAGACTTTGACGCACCTGCAACTACTGCATATCCCCGCACATGTGCCGGCTGATAGCGTTCTTGGGCTTGAGAGCCACCGGCTTGTTCGAAAGGGACTGGTTACAGTCAGCATGCACGAAGGCCTGCAAACAACTTCGCTGGCCAAATTCGTGGATTAAATGGAGATCTTTCATTTGAAAAGGTGCTGAAAAACTATCAGCCACCGTGCGACCTCATCTTTGGACGATCTAAAATCATGCGCCATCTCTGCCCAAACCGTTTCACACTCACTCTGGTGCACCCATTGATACGGAAGCATGGTCAAATCGGCCCCCAGTCTACCAAGTAATATCGAAGAGTGATATTGCAAGAGTTTGCGCCAATTGAACACAATGTATACCAACTTCGATTTGGGGGTCCGCCCCATTGAAAAAAGTAGCCATACATCCCTCAGTACGGATGATCTCTACGCACAGGGTCATTATACCTGAAGACCTCCGGGCCCTCCGCTTCGTCCTCCCACCTGTCAACGGACTCTAAAATGGCCTTCCTGGAGCCCTTAGGCCGTGGCAGTACCCGCCAGGCAAGGTGCCCGATCTTGAGGTATTTAGTCGGGCACGACTTCGACTCAGACATCGTGGTCGCCATCTCTGTCCACTTCTGTCTCCACGAACTGTGCAAATGCAGCTGCTCGTCAACCAAGCTCCCGTCCTTCAGCCGGACCGCATTCCCTCTGTGGTTCGCCTCGTTCTGGCCATCCACCAGAGGGTAATCGATACCAATACGGATCCACAGATGATCTGTACACGGCAGAGTCTGCGAGATCTTCTTCAGCGCGCCCAGGGTGGTCTGCTTCTGGAGACAGATCGTCAAGGTTTTGATCCAGTTGCAACTGCCGATAACCACGAGATCTTTGTGACAGGGCTTCAAGATGGACAAAATAGAGCTTTTCAGAGGAAGGTTGGGGTGGTTCCGATACTTGTGCAGGAAGAAAGTCCGTTCGCCTATTTGACCGATGTGCCGGTGGATGTTGTTGTTGCGTACGTTTTGCACAGCGCCTTGGTCATCGATATAGCTGAATGCGAGTTTCTCAGTTCCGACGCCCATGGCTAGGCTGTTGGCAAATGTCGGGTCTGGATGTTGGCCGAGCCACTTCTGACTTCTGATCGAGAGGCTGGTAAAAGTGAAGCGCTTGAGATTGGGCAAGAAGGATGGTGTTATGAGAGGCCAGGCAATATGGCCTACCGTTGTACGGATCTTGAGCGGGCAACCGATATCCAGGTCATTATCAATGTAGAGTTCCTCGAGGTAGGCCCGGTGGGTGAGATAAGAAAGGTACTCATCCTTTTCAAGATCTCCATCATATAAACTTCCGTTTGGTGTATTCAGAAGGACGCCGTAGCCCATTTTGAGGATACGCAGTCTCAGTGGCTCGTCTCCTTGGTCATGATAACGTTCGACCAAGGAGGGGAAGAAATTTAAAAAGGCCTTCGACTTTCCGGCAAGGGCATGCTGTCTCTCGCACTCTGCTGACATGGAAAGCCCTAGTTCCTCCAAGAACCTGGATTTCCCGAGCATGGTAGCAATCTTCGGTATCCATACATCAAGATCACCCGTTATCTCGTAGAGGTAGAGCTTGCGCAGGTTTTGCAACTCTGGAGCTGGTAGAGGTATCATCTTGGGTTTCGCTTCATCGAAGTCGCTCTTCCCGTTGCGGTAAAATCTCTCAGTCCGTGAGAGCCTGGCGATGTTGGGGTACAAGATCAAGACATCTCGCAAGGAAGGGCAATTTTCTTCCAACACTTCAAGGAGAGACTGTGATATCGGCCAATTCTCCCATCTGGAGAACATTAGTGAGAAGATGGACAATGTTTCATATGAAAACATACTCAAATTTAAAAATATGGGGCGTCAGTGACAGGATTTTGATGATGCTGTCATTATACATGCCCGCCCAGTGTCTGACGTCTCCCATGCGGCCATAACCAGGCGCGTCAACTAGTCGACCGACCTCACGGTGATTGCCGATGGCCCATGAACCTTCGATGAGTTTGACGGCGAGCGATTTGGCGAACCTAAGATTCGTATTAGATGTGAAATCCCTGAGGAGCTCTGGATCCCGGAGGATATGGGCGTTTCCATCATGGAAGACGATGCTAGAGTAGAGGAATTGTGAGAATGTCTCATTGAATAATTTCGAGACAAGACAAAGATTTCGGAGAGTCGCTCGAGATGGTGTCTATGAAGAGTCAGCCAGGCCTTGATAAATGAATGCTCAAGCCTTACGGCCGTGAGTGGCAACACGCACATATCTCGCGACGCAGTAGACCAGGTCCTCTGATGAGATGATGGCCTCCAAGGCCTTCGATGGCTCGGCAGCAGGCATGCGGGGCTGGATCTCAAGATCGAGGCCGTGCTTGTCCGGTGGTTCTCTTGGTCATGAATGGGAGATCTTGACGGCACATAGATGGCACTCGTGTCTTGTTGTGAGACATATGTGCTCCGGCATTGCTGGAACAAACACCAAAGGGTCGGCGCCAGGCAACAGTCATTCGGGAACCCTGAACCCTAGGAGGGGGCAGGGGTGGCTGCAATGTTCGTATTGATGCCCCTTGCCAACGTGTCAGCGCCGCAACTTTCGCAAAGTTTGAGGCGAATCGATGCAGCTGACACTTAATAGTTTCGTGGTTGATGATAAATGGATTTGCCTTGTGGGCACTGCTGGCGATTGAGGATTGGGTTGCTGGGTTGCAGGGCAGTTGGGTCAAATACGGTTGCGGGAAGCAGTAAGCCACGGATCTAGTCGTGAGTGGTGGCAAGGTGATGATAATGAGAGTGTGCCTCAAGTAGAATAACTTGGTCCCTGACCGAAGGGTGCTTAGTAGGATTATTGATCCATTATTCTTCACAAAGCTGATATCCGAAGGTAAGAAGTATTTGCTAAGTCACTTGGAGTAGCCTTTTTCATCTGTGCTTAGGTCTTTGTATTTGTTGCGATGCGACGAAGATGCCTACATGACCAAATATACGGGCGGTCGCGAGAAAAAAAAGTAGGAAGATACCGCTGGCATTACTAGTCCGATAGGTACGGCAAGGTGCATAATCCAAGGGCTACTGGCAGCTTTGGTGCATGGATCTCATGAGATTCTCTAAATCGGGTGTGGGGGGGGGGGGGTTTGTCATTCTGTTTCTCGAGTCTCGAGTTTCACAACAAATCTATATACATCAAGTTCTACAATGAAGGAAGGAAGAAGATAATCATCAAAATATGACTCAAACATCAACAGCTTCTCAATCGTGGCATGCATGTCGTCTTCCGACCTGTGCGCGTAACGCTTTAGCCTCTTCTGACATGCGCCTTCCAGCAAAGCCGCCGACATTCTTGACATCAGCGGAGGTCGTGTTGATGTTGGGGAACTTGGGCGTGACAACTTCGCTAAAGTCGGCGCCATCGGCCACATAGACGACTTCTCCACCGAGCATCGTCAACAAAACCTTCTGTCGAGCGATCTCCTCCTCAGGGACCTCAAAGTAGTTACGATCCAGAATGATGACGTCCGCAACCTTGCCCACTTCGAGAGAACCTATGCTGCTATCGGCGCGGAGGAATTTGGCCGCCTCGATAGTAATTGCCCGAAGTGCAGGCTCACGTTCCATCTTCTTGCCTGGGAAGGTAGAAGTGTTGAAAGGCGCACCGTGGGATGCGGGTGAATGAGAGTTTTCAGGGTCTCCTTGACGGGTAACTGCGGATTTGAGTGCGAGGAACTCATCAAGAGGATCGATCTGTCCATAATCCGTAAGCAAGGGATTCACTTGATTGATATTCAGTGGGAACAAGGATCTTACAGGCCAGTCACTTCCATAGATTACTGGGCGCCCCCCTGAAGCAATATCCACAAAGGCCTCCAGATATTGCATGCGATCGGGCCCCATTGCGTTGAAGGTCAACGGCTGCCAAGTGGCACTTGGCTGAGCCCACTGGAAGCTTAGGATAGCATCGACACCGAGTTCCGCGAAACGTGGCCAATCGTCAGGACTGGAAAGTTCAGCGTGCGCGATGGCGATCTTGTAATCAGTCACGTTAGGTAAGCTTTCACGGAACCGCTCGACTGCGTCAAGAACCCGTCGGACAGCGCCGTCGCCATCTGCATGGAGCTGGACGTCGATGCCGTTACTGGCCAATTGGCAGAGAAGAGCAGCTAACGGCTCCAGCTGTATGTAAGGCTCCACGATCGTCGCATTCGGAGGAACAGTCCATTCAGACGAGTTCCCGACTTGCTCGAGGTATGGTGAGAGCACTGCTCCTGTTTTGGCAGGTGATTGAATGATGCCATCCATGAACAGCTTGATAGCTTGCCACTTCTGGACCGGCTTGGGACCAACCTGACTCTTGTCGTTGAACGTGGTCGTAACATTGATAGCATCCTTGATGACTGCATCTACGGCATCTACCGTAGCAGGCGGAGTGACCTGATAGTCGAAGTAAGGCCGGGCACTCAGATCTCCGCTTTGTTGGACTTGCAGGAACAGACTATGCTGCATCTGGGTTGCTACAGCCTCCTGGAACGTTGTGACTCCGGCTTGTCTTAGCTCTCGAAGGGCAGCATTAACGGCTTCAACCTGCTCGGCCTGCGTCAGAGGATTGGGGCCAGCAAGAAGGGCGTAGGCTTGGTCTTGAAGCAAGCCAGATGGTTCATTACCACCTGGAAGTCTGTCAATTCTGCCTCCGGCAGGATTCGGAGTCGAGGCGTTGATACCGGAAATCTTGAGAGCAGCGGAATTGACGAAGTAGGTGTGATGATCCGTGGTGGTGAGGATGACCGGCCGTGTAGTGTTGAGCTTGTCCAGGTCCGCCTTGGTAGGCAAGCCGCCCAAGGTTGCCAAGCCACTCAGGTCGAAGTTGACAACATCAAGCCATTGGCTTTTGTTGTTCTTCTCGGGCTCAGCATCTATGCACTTTTGCAGGTGCTCCAGAACCTGCTCAATGGCAAGTGTCGCGTAATTGAGGTTACACTTTACGAGTGCTTCACCGGCGGCTTTTGTATGCATATGCGCGTCGATGAGACCAGGCATGGCCATACGCCCGTCAAGGTTGATGACTGTGATATTTGAGCCGATGAAAGATTGGACGGCATCGTCGCTGCCGGTGAAAACAATGACTCCATCGTTGATTGCCAATGCTTGTATCTGCGAAGATGCGGCGTCGAGAGTATAGATCTTTCCATTGCAAAGGACGGTATCTGCAACAGTGCTGAAATTCTGTCCGAGCGCCAGTGTGAAATATTGTGTAAATAACCAGAACGCCCGGCCTGTTAGACTTTTTGAACCCATCTTTTAGGATCAGTGGAGAGCGGAGCACTGAATAAACGAGTGAACGATTGTTGATAGCTGACTTGTGTTGGCGCGGGGGGTCGCGGTGATGAGAACAGCGCTGAGGAGAATGAACGAAGATGTGTTAGTAGCTGACTGGCGACTCCAAGCACTTTGTCTCATGGATAAGGTATTGTGAATTATATACACAATAAAAACACAATAGATGCGAAGGGCATGCCACCACTTCCCCAGGGATATTGTTCTTCCATAATGGTGTCGAGTGAGCAGTTTCCGGACACCAGCCCCGGAAGCCCTTCTCGAAATAGCAACATCGCCCGTACACCCACAACTACACCACACAGTCCTTGCAGGGAAGAGGCTAGGTACGTTGGCTAGGTGTACGAGGTTTACAATATAGTTTATAGTCACATCACGCGCCACAAACATAGAACTATACGCCGTACGCCCACATCACCGCGCCGTCTTGTTATTTGATAGACGCCGGCCGAAGTAGACGTCTGTCTGGCCCCGTCATCCTAGAGAGAGATTGGCTTGGACATACAATGCTGCGACGAAGTGCCGCGCAAAGGGCAGTAAAGTACCAAATATATTTCCACTAAGGGATGTATCCATAGCTGCGGCGAGTCATCATAGTCATGGCAAAAAAGCCGGCAGTCTCTCCGGATTGCAGGGTGGTAGGGTGGGAATCGCGGTATAAGGATCACCCTTCTCTTAAGACAACTTTCCCCTGTATCTCACCATATCGGCCATGTTTTGTTCCTGTTGCTACTACATGTGGGACGATGGAAAACGATGGTCATGAAGAGGCGCAGAAACAATTATAGGGCCGGCGGTCTGTTTGTCCTTTTTGGCGCGCCAAGCCTGCATGCATGTCTATCCCAATCAGGGCCTTCATCGCCGCGTGCTGATCCCTGTACATACGCTGAACCCAATCACAATGGAGAGGCTCACAGCTGTTCCACTTCTCCATTGGTGTGTCGTCGGCTGGGGTCTCCACACGCGGCCGATCTCTCGCGTACCTTTTTACATAGGCTGTTAAGTGTCCACGCCTTTGACCTCGCCTGATCAGAATCAATGGCTCGGAGCTATTTCTCGAGCAGACCCGCTTTGATCTCCTTTCCTACACAGTACGATGAGGAAAATTCCATGTCTCGCCTAGAGCGGTATGTAGGGAATGTTGGCAAGACCTCTGAGTACGAAAAGACATGGCTGCCGAGGCTCGTGTTTGATTACTATCACAGCGACTCCCATATGCACGACTTTTCCCACCGATATGTTGCCAATTGGCCGTAGCGTACATTGGTCCTCATCGGCTCCGGTGCATCCTTCCAGAATCCGCTCAACATTCGCCGGAACTGCGGATCGACACTGCCAACAGAACGAGAGAGCACGACGAGAACAGATGTCATAGCCCCGGAAATGATAGAAACGATGTAAATCAACAAAGGTTGGCCTGCATCAATCCGATGTCATCTTTGCCGGAGCTCAGGGCTGTTGAAGGAAGGCACTATTGGCTTGTTTACAAGCAGACACACTTCATGTTCAGCACCGCTGGCCTTCGGCTTCGCTTTGCTTTCTTCCCCCTTACACACTATGCCAAATAGCTTCATGAATAAAACAACGTTAATTCTTTAATAGGGGCCATCTCTATCCTCCTACGAGTAAGTATACCAGACTTCGATTGGACCAATCTCTCCACTCTCCGAAAATGCGTGTCTCTGAAGTCCTCAGCCTCTCTGGTAAGAACATTCTTCTTTCTATCGTGCCCCCGGTATCGTTTGGGTGGTGTTACTGATACAGCAAGTAGTGCTTGTGCTACGACACGCCGTCGCCAGCAGGGCGGTCACCCCCGATATCAGAGCAGACACCAACAGAGATGGAATTGTAGACCTAACGGGAGACACTGACATCCTGGGAAAGACAAATTGGACTGAAGCTTTCGGTGCAATCTTCCTCCCGAATATCGGAGACACCGACAGACGATGCTCAAAGCTTGCTCTTAGCGGGCCTGCACTGAGCAACGAGGCTCTTGACGACTGCAATGATGCATCGGATGACATTCAGCGAGCTCCTCAGTTCTTGGCCCCTCTCAAGACTGTCCCCATTGCTGGACTGTCCAAGTCAGCAATCGGGTCCGTCTCGGTTGCAGACCCTGTTGCCCGGGATTTGGTACGCATCTTCCGCAAAGACGGAAATACCTGGGCTATCACCGGCAACAACTACACCTTCAACGCAGAAGCCCTTCAGTCAGGCCTGAACCTCGGTATTGATAGCCGAGACGTCCGTCGTCCAGATGGCTGGGACGGAAAAGTTACTGTTCGCTTCACTGTTCGCGACGGTAATACCACCTCTTCTGACAATGTCGCGCTCCGCGTTGCCCCTGTCCTCACCCATCACCACCTTCAGACAGTTGAGAAGGTGCTGGCTGTTCAAGGAAACAAGATCGACGACCCCGACCTTCTCAGATTCACCGAGGATCTGTCAACCATCGTAAAAGAGGCAGGAGTTCACAGTGAAGTGTATCTTTTCAACCACAGCAACGACATCTGGGCCCAGGATTTTGTGGAGCCTGGTTATGCTAACATGCCTGGCCCGAACGGTACCGTATCCATTCGTGTCATGATTCGATGCCCTCAAGACGATCGTGTTGCGGGCCGTCAACTGTTTGAGTACTACCGCGAGGCTGGTGTCGGTGCTGTTCAGCACCTTGGAGGAGCCCTCGAGGAGATTAACTCTGGGGGCAACATCGAAACCATCCCTCCTTTCACCTTCAATGGCAAGACTTGGCCGGCCGGACGGGTAATCCTAGGAAATCACAAGGAGCAGAAACACCATATCTACCCCTTCCTGCAGGCTCAAGAAACTCAGGAGCCCGTTCTTCTGGATACAGACTGGTTACTTGTCGGCCACGTCGACGAATTCCTCCAGTTCTTGCCTGCCAACAACGAGCGCGGCTGGGTCCTGATGGCTGACGACCCCCGTGCCGGCATGAAAATGCTGAAGGATATTCAGACGGCTGGTCATGGCTCCACACCGGCCATCTCGCGTAAGAATGACTCCGAGTCAAACTACCCTATCTACTCTCCTACTGTCGATGAAGCTCTCGCAGATGTGAACCTCTTGAGCACCAACGAGGAATGCTCGAAGAGGATCGACGCCAACCTCGAGATCCTCAAGCGGGAGACAGGTCTGGAGGATGCTGAGATCCTCCGTATTCCAGCTTTGTTCGAAGCAGACCCATTCGGTAACGAAAACTCTCCTTTGAGGGTCAGCGCCTGCTTCCCTGCGGCGATCAACAGCCTTGTTCTGTCGGGCTTCAAGACGAGCGTCGCGCCCAATCCTTTTGGTCCTGTCGTTGACGGAAGGGATGTGCTCTCCGAGGCCGTTACGAATGAATACTCAAATATTGGAATGAACGTCACATTCATCGACGACTGGTACACACACCACAGTTTTGGGGGCGAGGTGCATTCCGGAACCAACACAATCCGGGACATGTCTGCCCCATGGTGGTGATGTGTCTTCTGATGTGCTAAATTACCTATAGAACTGTATCGATTTCTTGTCTCCTAAGTTCTGTTTTCGATTTTATTCTTCGATGTTTGTGTAAGGGACAAACATGCACCCATTTCCGAGGTAGTGTCACAATGAACCTGGCCACTAACAAGCAATACCCATGTCGCTTGAGGCCGGGGCTGCAAGAAGACGCTAAACACTCTGCACCACTATCAGTGTAACATTATTGACGCAGCCCCCGGGCCTCTACCTCGTCTCCACAATTAGAATATAGGCTCCAGGTGCGGAGCCAGCCGTAGGTTTTGCCCTCTCCCTCCGGTTTTCTCCACCCCTGTGCCCGCTTATGTGTGATGGTGTAGTTTCTTTGTGATATCGTTCGAATGACATTAGCTATCAACTTGCTATTGCGAAGACCAATGCTGATTTCCTTGTTTTTTCTCTGCTCTAAATCTTCAAACTAGTCACGACATCGTGAACAAGTTTCGCCTTCATCCTGCATGAAAGGCTGACCCCGGAAGGCATTTCTGGCAAGATCCCAGCTTGTTATGATTCGACACAGCCCGGAGTCGCTGAATTGATGCCGTCTTGGCGTCGAGCGGCAGACTACACGGGTACCCCCCCTTACTTAAGCCTGCTGTGATCCGGGCTGATCATCAAATTCTTTCCCTCCTTACTCCTCCTGGCTGGGAAGGAACAAGTACTTACTCTACGCAATATCAACATGCAATCGTTAGCCTCCTCCATGTATGACCCGGGAACCCAGAATTCTCTACACCACCATAGTACGACGCTCGACTTGTAGCACTCACTACCTTCTGACAATAGATCTACAGACATACCTCAACGTCGATTCGTCTACAACTCTTTGGCTCTCAGATCCTGCACTCGCTTAGAGGTATTCGGTGTCATGTCATCCGGAATGCAATCCCAGAAACGCGTTGAGAAGAAGAAGCCAAATCGCGCCTTTGCCCCGAAGGTCCGGACCGGGTGCCTGACATGGTACGCTTCAGCTGAATCAGATGTCACCTGCGCAAAGACAAGGCTAATGAAACAGCAGCAAGTGAGTGTAACTGGTTTGTACGAGAGCCTGGCGAGTATTTATTCTGAACACAAGGCAGAATCCGACGGAAGAAGTGCGACGAGGAAAAGCCTGTATGCCGACGCTGTCGTGACTTTATGGTTGTATGCGATGGATACGCCAGTGGTCCGAACAAAAGGCCACCGGCCAAAGGCACCGACGGAGAACAGCAGCCTTTTCGTCCATTCTCGGTTGAACCGCGGCGGTTGGTTTGCCCTGATATTTGCAGCAACTTGGAGGAAAGCCGGTTATTTCGTCATTTCAGAGACTACACCAAGAGTGCTTTCAGTTCACTCGGCCCAATCGAATTCTGGGACCACTTTGTTGTGCCGTTGGCTATGACATATGAGTCTGTACGGTATGCCAGTATCGCAGTTGCGGCAGCGCATCAGCTGTTCTTGTTTCGGTCCGACACGCCCGCCTTTTCTGCTCAGACGTCGCAATTAGAATATGTCGCCATCCAACAGTACAACAAGGCCATCGGGTACATCAGAAAGCTCGATACAGTGGAGAGCTCTCACGATATTCAGTGCGTACTGACATGCTGTCTGTTGTTTGTGTGTCTGGAGAGCATGACTGGGCGCTACTCTGAGTCGATTCGGCACCTCAGAGCAGGAACACAGCTCCTAATTCACTCCCGTATCGAACATGATGCTGAAGAGCTAGAGATGGCAGAAAAGATGGCCAACATGTTCGCAAGGCTTGGCATTGGAATATCTATCTTTATTGAGGAAGAGATCGTGCCTCGCAGACTAAATGATGGTGGACCATTATACATTGATCACGGGCCGCACGTGCCATTTGCCAGCTTGACCGAGGCAGCTCTTGCACTGAGGCGAATCGACGTCTATTACATCCACTTGATGTTCTCCAGAAGCGACTCCGTTTGTCAGCCTCCACCAGCTGAGAGGGAGAGGGCTTTCGACTTGTTGGAGGGTCGGCTCGTCATCTGGAGCTCGCGATTCGACCTGACCGTCAAGTCCCTGCAATTCCAACCCCTTTCGGACGCGGACCAGGAACAGATGATGCAAATGAGGCTCACCCAAGATTATGGCAACTCTTTGTACCTTACGGCACAATTTGCCATCCCATTTTGGCATTGAGCTCTTTTTCAGCATTCCTTGACGAGGCGGAAAATTTGGCCAAGCCCTTCATAGCCATGGGATGTCCCACGTATGCTGTTGAGGGTGATCTCGTCTCGGGCCTGTCTTTGATCACGACCCTTGCGACCAATGCTCAAATTCGGTCCCGTGCTCTCAATCTCCTCCGTTCGCTGAACAGGAGGGAAGGTGTATGGGACAGCCGCGAGATCGTCGAGCTACATGAGGCAACCCTATCTCACGAGGATAGTCAATGCTGGTACGCCCGAGAGGTAGAGGGAGGCATACCCGGATATATGAGAGTTCTGGCGGCAGCCACGCCAACTCTAAACGCCAACAACGCAATTCTTCGCATGACTAGTTCATGATCCTCAGGTGTATGGTATCTCCTGGAGTCTCACGTTAGCATTTCGGCTGAGACCAAGGTTAGGAGGGCTTTCGCTGACATCGGTCTTGGAACTAAAGTAACATCCGCTGAGGAAAAGAAAACGAGGAAGACAGCGAGAGTCCTTGCTAATTTTCAACTTCGTCCCATAAGAAAAGGTTGTATTAGACAGCTCGAAGTAGAAGACCACAAGCTTTAATCTTGAAGACTGCTGGTTGAATTTACAGTGCAACATCCACTTCAGGCATTTGTCTCTTCTTCACTTGAAATTTCGACGTGCATCATATCATATTTCCAATGCCACTGATGTTGGCCTGAGGGCGTAGTATCCATTTCACACAACCTGTGAATTCGAGCTTAATGGTAGTCTGTGACTACCATTCGATGAGGAAACCGTATTTTGGAAAGTAATATGGAATTCCCGGAGACAATTTACAGCATAATACATTTCAGCAATATCAGGAAAATAATTGATCATGGTGTATTGTACAAACTGTCATAGCCTTCTCTATCTTCAGCTAGAGGAGTAAGATTGAGCCAGTCGTTCGATCATGACTCCAAAGTGTGAATTTATGTCTATCTCCTCAATATAATGACACTCAAACTAAATGTATATCCTCAAAGTCTAGCTTGTTTCCCTCTGTTCTGAGTGGAATGGGGTAAACCGAATGACCTTCCTTGACCTCTATCTCAGGCTTCCAGAGACCCCCTCGCATGATACCATGCACATAAGTCTCGCCCACTAGGGCCCATCTTTTCTTCGATGTATCCTTCTGCCTTAGCACAAAGGGAGTATAGCCTCCAACAAGATTCCAAACCTCATCCCCTACTTGGGCCCCACTGCTGACGATTCCGATAAGCCTGTTTTCAGTCTTGAAGATGACTCTGCCGTTAAGAAACGTGTACATAGCTGTGATGAGACGCTTAATGGCTATTTCAGGTTCCGTTGGAGTAGCAGAGGAGCCGCCGTCAAGGCCACTGCTCCACCACCGGTAATTTGGCACGAACATGCTCATACCGACCAGGTGTTCTTCGTCCACCCATGTTCCCATTCCCTCCTCTCCGACTCCACCACGGTCAGCTGTAAGTGTTTTAAGCAGGGCCTGGGCGATGTTGCCAACATAGTCATCACTTCTTGTCTGGCCATAGTACGTTGCGAGGCCGAGTTGCTTGGACAACTTGTTCAAAATCTTTCCACACCTCTGTACCAAATCTCCACGCCTGGGTCGACCGCAGCCGTAGATGTCGGAACTGGTGCCTTTGCGATGTAATCGAGCAATGGCTTCGGATTGCAGACCCTGACAACCTTATCTATGCGCGCTGCTTTGACAACCAGAATCAATGGATCAGAGCCCACGTCGTCTGGTATCTTATTTTCAAACGGCGCACCCTTGTTGATCTCGTATCGATGGGTTGGAGAAGGCCAGTCGTAGCCGTGCAACAAGGCGGTGCGTCTCGGAATCCGCCAATCCGGTGCCCAGGACGGCAGACTCGTGTCCCGAGCAGGACCGTCAACACTCGACAGCACCGAGAAGCCTCCTTCCTACACTATAGTTGCCTTGGCAGCGGTCGAGTATACAATATTGAGTGGAAGTTTGTATGAAGTGCGGATAGGTGGCAAACCCTCCTTCTCTACCATTCCCAACAACGAGAATACCTTGTCCCGGCCATCGGTGGATTGAAGATTGCGCGTCAAGGGGAGAATCACCGAGAGGTAAGGCACCTGGCGGGAGGAGCTCGCAGCCGCGAAATGGGCGAGAGCAACGATAGTGTCACTCGTTGAGCCGAGAACACGGGCCATGCCGCGAGAAACAAGATAAAGTGTGGCAGAGACGAACACCTGCCAAGCCAACTCATGTGTCCCGCATCGGATAATTGTGTCAGGCGACAGACATGCCTCCTGGAACGTCCAGGCACGAGAGAACCACGGTCGCCCTGTAAAGGCTTGAATTCTGGCAAAGTCGTCCTGTTTGTGCTCATCGAGGTCAGGGGACTGTGGCGCCTCGCCACTCGCCTTGGTAGATTCAGCGCTGTCCCCCTCCGGACAAGAGCTCAAATCCTCCGCCTGTTTTTCACATGCCTTCCCAGAGTCATAACGCTCGTGCATGATTTTGAAAAACTCAAATACACTGCGAGTGTGCTTATCCGACTCGCCCAGCCAGACAAGCACATTAGATGCACCCGAGTAAATCGCGTGCATCAAGGATACCTGGTGACTCCTCTCGGTCAGATCATCCTGATTGATACACACACCGTCTATCCATACTCTGCGGGACTCGTCTGGCCTACGCAGATTCCGCAAGAGCGCTTCGGCATTCTCAGTGATCTTGACTCGCTTCCCGTCATCGCCCAGATGAAGGACCGCATTCCGCTTCGGGCTGCCCCAGACATACGATAGGGCTGTATATGGCCTGTCCAGATCACCGAGTTTGTGCCGCTCCAAGGAGCCTCGCAGCTGCTCATCGCCTTGGCCAGCCTCGATGACGAGTGTCCGAATCTCGTCCGACTCGAGCGGCGAGTAACATGAAATATCCTGCGCGGAGTGCAGGTACAGACTCCCTGCCGACTGTCAGCATCCAACGCACATAAATAGCGAGCGGGCGGTGAGAATATACCCCGAATGCGATGCAATATGCTGGACATGGTTCAGGCCGCCGCAAGTTGGTCAGATCATTGATATGACCCATACAAGCCCACAGGGTAGGAAAATACGTTAGCAGGCCAGAAGCCTGGTATCCATCATATTAGGAGGGGAAGCATATCACGTGACACCATACCAGGATTGTATGGCTGCGCTCACCTGGGTCAACGTACCTCGCTCGCTCTATCCGACCATGGTGTTATTTCAATGTTATACGAGATGCAGGGATCTTCCTTGACCGCATCCCGCCCGTTCATTGATATGGATTCCATTGAACATTTGAAGAAATAACAAATGATATGACTTTCGTATCCATCAGCCCCACAACAAGCTGTCTTAAACTCACAGACTGGTTCTTTAGACTCAAGGCGCGCCCAAAGACGGCAATTTCACTTTTTAGAACCTACCGACCCAATCAATCGTCCTCGGATACCAACCTTCCCTGGAGTCGTTCCGTTGTTCTGTTCACGTGGTCAATGACATCCAGAACATGCTTGAATCCAGATGGACTGATTTTCGCAAATCCCGTTGGGCCCATAGAGCATTTCAGACTACGAACTCAGCATCGTATAAGACTGGTCAGGTCGAACCAACTTGTATGCAAACCGTTGTAATAAGATGGTACCCATGTTTCATGACCGGCCGGTGATGAGCTTCGCCAATGAAACCTTGTTCCAATTTTGATCCGTGGTAGTATGGTCTTTCTTGCTGGACTTCCATTCGTAAAAGGTCTGCAGCTTGCAGACTGATCGAGCCAACTCGATCTCGGATTCCAGACCATTCTCTTGTCCATTCGCACGAGCTTCATGAGCACGTTTCATTTCTATCATTCTGGGGGAGAACTGTTAGTGTGCCATGCTCCAAGTAGCATGCCTGAAATTTAATTCAGGACTTACAGGTTCTGAGTGGCGGCATTTAGTTTCAGCAACGCCTTTCCCACCAAAGTAGGAGCGGCGGGAATAGGTCGCCCAGTGGCTCTTTTGTACGATTCTGAGATGCTCTCCATGGTCGCTGCTTCAGATGTGATGGATAATGTCTTGCACAGATATTTGTCGTGGTGCTATGTCCTGGTCAGCAGAGGTATCTCCAATTGTTTGTGTTGCGGCAGGTACTGACCCTCAATACTCCCGCGGCAACTCTCCCAATATCGTCAGATGCCTTGTGAGATTTAGCAACATAGAGACTAGACTTTACGTCATCCGAGTGAGACTCACAACGAGATTTAAAGTGGTATCTTTGCCCAGCCCAGCCCGCATAACGCTGACTGCGAGGGCTCCCACGAGGCCGTCAAAGTTTTCCATGAAAAAGCCAGGCCGAATGATGCTAAGATGTCTCATCAGCAGAAAGCTTTCACCGAAAACGATATCCGCAGACTAACATCCAGTTCATTCCTTGCGAACCCAGCTCTTTGCAATAGTCCTCAATTTGCGGCTTTGCACGGTGCGAATTATCAAGATGGTCATCCTCTGTGGGGCCAACCTGGATCGCACTCGAGTACACGAACACCTCAACACGGAACTCGAGGGCAAGATCGGCCAACAACTACACGAGTAAATTTCAACACGTATGGGGCGAGTAGCGTAGGTCGTTAGCAGAAGCCTTACCTTTCCTTGCCTGATCTCTCCAGCCGCGCTCTCACCCAGTCCGGGATAAGCCAGCGCAACGAAGACACCCCATATTCCATGACCGTCTGGTGACGCAGCATTCTGGAAGATCTTACGGATGCTTTCGGGCTTTTCAAGATCTCCCTGCACAAGATCAATCCTGCTCGCGTGCTGTTTGTTCCGTTCGAGTAGTTGACGCGCAGATGGTGACGAGGTGTCTCGTGTGAGGGCCAGTACTTTGAACTTGGTGCCCTGCGGTGCTTGCTGATCGGGATCCAGCAGGTATTTGATAGTGCTCCTACCCTGTTTGCCCGTTGCGCCGACTACTAGGATAGTCCGTTGAGCCTCCATCGTTAAGTCTGTTGTCTGGCGTTTTGCGCCGTTCTGGCTGTAGTTGCCGGGCTCATTGAGCACTGCATTGCCATCGGCTCGCCCGGCTTGTGTTATGGGAGATCACCAATTACAAAAGTCTAAATTGATGCAACTCAGGGGCCGAAACTCTAATGGAAACCGGCTTCTCAATTACATGTGTTCCGTCTGAAGGTCAGTGCAAGGCATCGGGCAGTAACGACATCACGGATTGTCCACCAGGCCTTGGGGAGATCACAATTCATACAGCCTTATTCGTGGCAGCCTTTCTGCATGAATTTTGACTCACTCAAGACCTGGAGGCTGATCAAATGTGAAAGAGGATAAGGCCAGATAGTGAAAGCGACGATGGTATAAGAGTGCCCAAGTAGTGTTAACACCCGGTGTGGCGCTAAGGGGGAGGGAGGGTGCATTGCGGGAACCTGGGCCATCAGGGTTAGGACTACCCCAGCCTCCCCAATTTTCCAAACTCCCATTCTGGAGACGACACCACGTGATTACGCTCCGCTTCCCAACGTCCAATCTTGAGCTGGGCGCGTAACAATGACTGCCTGTGCACTCACCTCATCTCCACCACATTCAATCAACACATCAGCACACCAACGCAACTTCAGCCATCACTTCGGGTACCTCTCGGGATCTTGTCCATAAGCGCCTACATCATTAGGCTGCTGTGCTGCGTACAGCCGAAGGTCAAAAACCGCATCGCACCCCTGCGGTAATACCCTCAAGGGGCACAGGCACCTCGCACCCTTTGCCAGGCGACAGGCTGCTGCCCATCATCGACTCAGCAGTGGTTGCAAACCCTGTCTACATCTTTGGTGGCACGGCTTGGGCTTAGGGACAACGTCTTCTCCCCGGAGAAGTTTCTGCTGGACTGCGAAGCCCGTGTTCCTTGGGGTGTCCTTCAGGCCAAGGCGGCGTGGACAACTCCCTCGACGCATTCGATCGTGCATGGTCTGGTCGCGCGACCTCTTTCACAACGGACTTTCTCCCGAAAACAGAGTCAAGGCTGCTCCTCCGACTGCAAGAAAAGCCTGGGTGGGTGGGATCCTGTGTCGAGTGCACAGGTCACTGCCGACACAGGGGTTCAACTTCTAGTCACCTGCTGTTGAACTGATGGATGCGTAAACCTGTCAGCCTTACTTGGGCGACGACTTGCTGCTAACTTCATTCTCTCTTTGTTCACAGGAGTCTACTACGCGATGGCGCAACCTCCAACGACTGGGTCGGTCGAGCGTAGTCCCGATGACGCCGTCCTCCGTCTTGATGACTTTCCCGTACTCGTCGAATGGGCTGGGGCCGATGCTCAGATGATCCAACTTGGCGACACCATCTACACCACTCCAGTGTCTCTCGACTTGAACTTCGATTCGATGGCCAAATCTGTTTCTTTAAGGCTGCGGGTCGTCGTCCAGATTCACCGCGACTCAAGTAATAAGACACCGCTGTACCTACATATCGGACCTGAAGACATCAAGACGATTACTTCCCGAGGCCTCCATCCAGAACTGGCGGCTTCAAAAGCAAATCGCCTCGACATAAGGTTGAAACGGCCCGTGGCCTTGATCGGTCCTCCGTTCCGGCTGCGGCCATCCAACAAGGCTCGGGCCGGTGTTGTCAACTCTACGAGAGACCTTGCCATGCGACGCGAATTTTCTATCTATGTTAAGCATGGCGTCATCTCAGAAGCTCAGCACACGGCAATCAGCCAAGCCGTGTACAGCGAGTACAGTTATAGTGGACACGCGGACCTCTCCTCTTTGTATGGAGGCCTCGGGGGCAAGCAAGTCGCGACAAGAGCTGCTGAGACCAGTTCTGCACCCGCGGGTGATGGGACAGACTTGCCTCCTCCGTCATATGACGAGTTGGAGGCCCCTCCGCCGATGGCACCCCTCTGGCAGGGTAAGACTAATAATGCTCCCATGAGCCAGCTTGCGTTCTCAAGGAGCTGACGCGACACAGGGTCAGATCCGGGGCCATCGAGCAAGAAGCGGCGGTTGAGTAGCCCAGCCGCCGATCCCACTGCATCCTTACTGGCCGTAGAGACTATCTGCAGGAAACTCATGGCCGAGCAGCAAGCCAAGACGGAGCAGGCCTTGCGTGCTTTGGAGGACAGACTAACCACGCACTTGGACAGCAGGTACGACCGTTTGCAACGCGAGAACCAAGAAGCTCAGCACAAACTTTCCGACGAGCTGAATTCAAAAATGAGCGAGCTGAGGGGCCAGGTCGATGAGTTGAAACAAAAAGTCGACGGACTTGACGAGAACATGGCTGAAGAGCTAGAAAAGCTGTCCGAGGAGATCCAAGTGGTCAGCGATGACATCGAAAGCAGGGTCGACTTTAGAGTAGACGACACCGCTGTGGGTGTCAAGATCGAGCTCGAGGAGTTCATACGTGATGAGCTGAAAGACGTCGAGGAGGCTGTCAAGGGCAGCCTCAGGCGGGCTAATGTGAGTATAGAGTTCGATGATTAGTAGATAATTATAAGTAAAGGAGATTGAGCCTATGCTTAGCAACTTGGACTACTTTCAGCCCTGCCTGGGCGATTCTATGCCATGATTACCCCCCATGACGGTTCCCTCTCGTCGGGGTAATGCATTGTCTCAGAGCGTCGCGTCTACTAGGGTATTGCCGGGTCGCTGGCCATAAATTCCATGTGCCTGAGCAGAGAGACGCAGCCTGCTCGACTGCTCAAGCTCGTGTGTTGACAACCTGCCCTCAGCTATGCATCCCAAGATGTCACTCCAAAACACAGTATCCGTAGACAGATCAGCTGATGGGGTCTCCGATCTTTCAAGGCAAGAGCATACCAAAAATAACTTAGAAATTCTGACTTAATTACAGCTAGAAAATATACACAACCCGCTGTCCCATGTGAAGACCGTCAATATTTCAAGCCCCCTAAACAGCCACTTCAGGAGAATCCCATCTGGCCGCCTCCACCGAGATCTGCAGGCTTCATATCCTCTGTCTCAATAATGCAAACTGCTGACTAGCTTCGAATATCCAGAACAATTGATATCATAGGCGTATTTCACTGGTTCTTTCCTTGATCATCGTCTCAGCCTTGGGCTTGACGTTCTACCGCGACCACCTTTTTCTTTGATCGAAAATGGCGAAGCCCAAGAAAGAGACAAATTGAAATGGCGACCAGGGAAACAATTCCGACTATTATACCAGCAAAGGCCCCATTGTTGAGGCCGGGTACCACACTCTTCTCAGTGGGAACTAACTACCGGAGTTAGTACCTTGATGGAGTCAAAACGTCTAGGAGGGATTCGCGGTGACTTACGTGCAGAAGGCAGCGTCTCAAAAGACGTGCTCGTCAGTGAGCTTTCCAGTGTAGGGGATGGAGTGACCGTTGTTGTTGTAGTTGTAGGCGAGGTCACGATCGTCGTCCAAGTCTTTTTGATGGTGTGAGGTCTCCCCGACACGGTGTTCCACGCCGTGGTGGTCGGGGACGCTGTTGTCCACGTGGTGCTGGTTGAAGATGCTGTTGCCCAAGTCGTAGTGGTTGGGGACACGGTCTTCCACTGCGTGGTAGTTGGTGACACTGTTTCCCACGCTGTGGTAGTTGAGGACAGTATTTCCCACGCTGTAGTGGTTGGGGATACTGTTGTCCAAGTCGTGGTGGTTGGGTTGACTGTTGCCGTTATTGTAGTGAATGTTACCCACGTGATGGTGATTGAGTCTCCGGCCTCTTCGGTTGAGGATGAATCGGGAGACAAAGTCCAAGTTGCATCGGTGGTAGTGGTAGTGGCGGTGGTCATGCCTACGGTAAAGGTTGAAAATGATGTCGCGGTGGCAGTTGAGCCTAAAAACTCTACATCGTCAATTACGGTTGGCTCACTGAGAACTGCCAGACTATCCATGATAGCACGGAGTAAATCGGTTTCACATCGCCGATCTTCGTTCGAGCCCTCAGTCGAGCAGTTTGCCGGTATGCTGACCATATCAGTGAGTTCGCTAGAGAATATCGTCCTCGACTTGAATGAAGGAAGGCTGGGCTTTCGACGACAATTGGCAAGCAACAATGATAACCTGTGTGTCAAGGAATTTTCACACAAGCCAAGGAATTTTCACACAAGCCTTCTTGGTAAGGAAATTGAAGAGATGGCTTTATATACATACGGTAAGAAAGGCCAGATCTCAGTCATGACGAAACGACACACGGTGTCACTGGACAAAGTCTGGTTTACGCTGACTCAATATGACTTCACTGGATTGCATGCTACGAGTTTTGAGAGCGAAGTGGCCGTATCACGGGAGCAAACATTCCATGCGCATCATTCAAGTAATCGCGATGTTTCGCGTTGTGGGACCACAAACGAACTCGTCACAAGGCCGGACCAGCAGTGTTGGATTTCGCCCGCGCAGATTTGTTCACCGGAACCCATGACAATCCTCTCTGCTTCCAGATATCGAAAACTCATCTCGACTTGGTACTTATAGATGTGATTCGAGCTGGTCAGACTCTAATCATGACCCGAGAGATGCTCTACATTTAGGCTTGAGAGCGTCACATTGACGATGTTACTTAGCTCTAGGTGAGGTGATTGCAGAACAGCCAGTTATGAATATTACTTGAATCACTATTAAGAACGGTAAATCGAATAAAAAAAAATTAAATATTACAATAACATTTCAAAAAACCCTTTTTTTTAATTAATAATCATATTTCATGATCCATCTTTTCATATTTCAGAATAAACTTGATCGCTCAATCTCCCAGTAGACCAGATTCTCTAGCTCAGCTTGCGAGAGAATAGGCAGCTTGCACAAACGACGTGATAAACCAGCCCTTTGGATCGCTAGATTCAAGAGAAGCTACCCATCTCCACGTGCCAAGCAGTATACACTTAGCATTTTATCTATCAACACACTAGTCACTAATGACGAGGTTATCATACCCGTCATCAATTGACTCAATTAGAGTATATAAATTTACTGATGTTACGTGATAATAATAACACGAAATTAGCTGGTCGGGCGGGTCTAGTAGTATGATAATAAACATGTTTAGTGGACGAATATGCCACCATCGCTGGAAAAAACATTTCGATCCCTCATTTTCGGATTGTTGGCGACGTTGTATCCAATCCCTTCAGTCGTCTCGTCTGCTTCTCGTAGATCTGGTCCTGTTGTCTTCTCGTCTCCTGTGCCCAGTGCCTGGAGCGTTCTGTCTGTGGCTTCTTTCATGTCCATGATGACTCCATCCCCTTGAGTTTCGTGCATATCTGTTTCGGTCATCTTGACCAATGCTGTCACTGCTGCCGATCGTGGCCCTGTCGGATGCATATCCCTCATCGTCTGAGTCTGAGGGGGGAGATCCTAGATCTCGTCGTTTTGAGTCCGAGTCATGTGTTGTTCCTGGCAGCCATGAAGAAACCCACTCTAACCAGGTCGTCTCGCGCTGCAGTCTTCCGACCCCATCTAGGCATGACGCTTGCTCCTGTGGTAGATTGATCCACACGTACTCCGTACTGTCGTGTATCTTTCCATGTATCCTCAGCTCGCCCAAGGCCTCGGGGAGGCGAATTGGTTCTTCAATAAGGAGAAGCCTATAGGCGGGGATGATCAGATGCAGTTTAAGTTTCTTCCCGGGCTCCTCCTCCCTCTCGAGTGTTTGTAACATCATTATCGTTGCGAAGTCAAGATTGCTGGTTCGACCCCGGTATCTTCCTTCGCGATCGTGAAGTCCTCCGTTCCAGAGAATATCGGCGAATGGAGAAGTCCAGTCTGTGTCGGGGTGGTAGACGAAGAAAGCATGCTCTGTTCTGCCTTTGTCAGGATGCATATGCATCTTTTCATTGATGAAATCGCATACGTTCTGAGCAAACTCGCGTGGGGCAGTTAGGCCGATGTGCGCCACAGTGCTTCGGCTAATGTTGTTCAAGTCCCGTGCGATCCGGTTGAGAGCTTGAGTGCCTTGGTAAGCGATGGCCAATCCACCGAATGTACCCACTGTCGAGATGACAGATGTAAACGCTGCGGCGTAAGCTGCTTTACTGGCGCTGCTTGCGATGGATTTTCCGGCAAGAACGACCTCTGGAATAGCCTCATTCACTGTCTGCGCGGCACTAGAAACGTTACCAGCGACCTCAGTAGCTTTCCACACAGTATTGACAGCATTGACCACTCGAAGGCCTGGGATAGCCCATTCAAGCTGTGTCTTAACCCGCTTGGCCGTTGTTTTCAGGCTCTTGGATGTCTTCTTGTTGAAGACCTTGGACCAGAAGTCGCTCCGACCCATAGTTCATGCTTTTGATGTCTCCGGTTTGTGTTTAACGTTGTATAATTTCGGCAGTAATGAAGGTGTCGTATCTGAACATTGTTACGGAAGGAAGGACATCAGAGGCACGATGCATTCAGACATTCCGCGGTCTGCAACCAAACTCTTTCTTGTGGGACGTTTCTCAACCCCGCTTCCCACATAGATACCAAGATGACATGCAGGAGGATGGACAAGCACCAAAATTGGATGCTTGCTCCCGAGGTGCGTCTCTCGGCTCACACAGCATAGAAACGGTCCAATCTTGCTCAATAGAGGTTGATCTGGTCCTAGTGACACCAGCCAATGCGCTTTACAAGAACTGCAAAGGTAACTGGCTGGCATAGAGTCGATGCGGAGAGCGGGTCGTATGGTGTGACACTAAGACTAGCATTGTCCACTGAGATGAAGGGTGCTGTTACGGTGCCTGCACCATGTCCTACATTCAAAAAGCGCATGACAATGACAGGGCAGCATGAGCAATTGTGGCAACAAAAAACGATTGAAATATATGAAAAGGTAATTATATTGAATTATAGTTATACTAATATATAGTAATATTATTTTGTATTTTAGTATATGATTTACTGTTAGAATTTAGTGTGGATAGCTCCTTATCTAGAAGCTTATATAAGTTGACATTAGTGGATTTAAGTTATTTCGGTAGTTTCGTTCTTAATCCGTATACATCCGAAGGCGTATGCGGTTGCTTCATACAGTGGTAAACGCTTATGAAGTTATTTAACTCACATAAATACCTGCATGCCTTAAGGCTGATGTCCCAATTCTCTTCCTATAGTCGGCTTTATAGAGAAATTGGGCTTGAGGGAAATATTTATTAAGAATATTATTGTTCAATTATTAGCTAAGCCCAACCGACTTATCACTCAGTCTATAACAGATCATGTGATACAGCCTAATCGCGTATAATAAACCTCAATCACTTCCCTTGGCGAGCTCGTGGTGTACGGCAATGAATTCAACTTCTTATACTCGTAACTGAACATGAACGATACAAGAGGAAGAGGAAGCGAGTATGATTCAACTCGCGGCTCAAGTCTACTTGAAGGACGACAAGCCTCTTGCAACTCGCCCACCGCAAGGCCAACAGTCATCCGGAGCATGATCGTCATGATCGTCATGAGCGGTACCTGAGAGCCATCTAAGCAGACGGGCGCTTGCTGACATAGACAGGCCAGTCGTAGGGAACCATCGTGAAAAAGGCTCGCCACTTCCAGGGTTTGCCAGGGTCGACGAGACGAAGGTCATAGTCGCGGACGATCGTCGACAGTATTTTGGACAGCTCCATCTTGGCATAGTGCTGGCCTGGACAAGACATGTAGCCCGCACCAAACTGGAAACACAGCTGTTATTAGCCCACAGGTTCCTGAGGCAAGCGTGCAGAAAGAACAGCAGCTCGGAGACTTACCGGGCACCAATACTTGTCGAGGTGAGCGGCATCCGGGCCGAGCCATCTGTCGGGGTTGAACTCGAGCTGGTTGATAGGGCAATGTCAGTCATGTGTCTTACTCGCATTCGCATGAACGGTCCATATTGGAGGTAACCCGTACCGCATCAGGTCCCCAAATCTCCTTGGAGTGGTGAATGATCCACGGGCTGACCGAGACGGTGGTGCCTGCGGGAAGCGTCCTGCCCCCAATGGTCAGGCCTCCCTTGGGCGCCACGCGCGGCAGGCCCATAGGTACAGGGTTGTGGATCCTCAGCGACTCCTTGAGGCAGGCCTGGAAGAAGGGCAGGCTGGCGGCGTCGTTGTAGTCGATGACTTTGGAGCCGCAGCTCCCCTCGGCCTCCCGGGCCGCCAGGATCTCATCCCGGGCCCTCGCCCAAAGCGCCGGGTGCCGCGCCATGTGATACAGGAAGCTCTGGGCGGCGCACGAGATGGTGTCCGAGCCGGCGCCCACGTTGGCCACGGTGTTGGCGAGGATGTCCTTGTCAGTGAGGCGCTCCGGGTGGTCGGCCGAGGTCTTGAGCCAGTGCGCCACGACGTCGAAGCGCGCGTCCGGGTTGGCGCGGCGCTCCTCCAGTGCGCCGAAGGCTGTGTTGAAAAGGTGGCCCCACGGCAGCAGCTTGGTGGTCACCGGGTTAAGGGCTGCCAGCTGGATGCCCCTGAAGTGCGAGACGAGTGCGTGCACGGCGATGAGCTTGGCGTTGGTGGCGATGCTGCCGCCGATGTCCGCCCCTGCGGCGAGATACCCGAACGGCTTGCTGAAGAGGACCTCCCCGAGCAGGTCGAAGGTCATGAAGGTGATGTAGTGGTCCAGGTCCATGGCCTTCCCCGAGGCGGCGTAGCCGTCCATCCAGCCGAGCAGATTCTCCACAAGGCCGTTGATGGCCTCCTCGGACTTGAGGGCATTGGTCAACGTGTAGCCGGAGGCGAACTGCTTCGACAGCTCTACCTTGCGCTTCGGGTCGGTAATGGACATGGGGTTCTGGAAGCGCCAATCCGGAAACGTGCTCATCTTGTACATGTCACCTTTCTCTAGGGGTGCCAGAAGCACCCTCCGGATGGCGTCAGGGTGGCTCACGCTCACCTCATTGTTGGCCAGGCGGACGAAGTGCCCGTACTTTTCGTGTGCCTGGGTCAGCTGCTCGTTCTGGTTGCCATTGATCGTGATCCACAGGTGCCAGAGCCTCGAGAAAGATGCCCAGAACGGGCCTGGGATGTCTCTGAGCGGGGAGAAGTATCGACGGTAGATGATGATGGTGATGAGTAGGACTACCGAGCCGATAGCCAAGGCGGCTGGCCCGCTGCTCCAAGACAGGGCAGCTTGGGGCCCATGGAGGCTTGTGCCGGAGAGCGTCTTGTTCGACATGACTACATGCCACAAAAGCCCAGCATCTGAGAATTGCACGTATGGTAGCGAATACGACGGAGTGAGTAAAGCGCAGCGACCCAAGCGCAGGATGGAGCGAGGTTATCGCTGGTACCTTTTATAGGTAATAAGCGCTATGTATCAGGAGTTGCTTTGCTTATCGGGCACCTAGTCGTCCAGGGTCCAATTTTCAGGAGCCTCGGCCTCCATGATTGTGGTCTTACTTGCGCAATGGTCATGTTGGCTGGTTGGTTGGTTCACTAAGTTTATGGAGTCATCTGATTATCTACAAGGCCATTGGCTCTGCGAGAGAGGACTCCGCAGCGCTGCAGGTTCTAGTGTAGTTTGTGATTATTTGGCTTGTTGACTAAGAACCGAGAAATGACAGCTCCCGGGTTAAAATTTCAAGTACCATAGCTACAATAGGTATGAATTTAATAGTGAAGGAACCATATTCTCTAAGAAATCACACCAACCCTAAGTATAGTAACCCTGGTCTGGTAACCGCCAGCTGTGCTTGGCCGGAGGTACGCTGCAGGCTGAGATAATTCGCATACATAAAGGTGCACAGCGTGCTGTAACATCACTGCGCCCTCAGCCAGGGCAACAGTATATATAACTACCTAATCACTATCCGGCAGTTAGGAAAGATACTAAAGGGCTCGCCTACCAGATACCTCTCAGGACCTACAAGGCTGCCAGTACGGCGCGGATGATGTGGCCAATCACGAAAGCGGCAGCGCGGACCGCACCATAGGTATTACATTTATTTACAACCCATTGTATAAAACCTTAACGTTATAAGGTCCAACAATTTTGCATTCGGGACTGAATGTGAATTGCTGACGATCTTTTACCCGATTTGTCACTGAGGCGGAGTTCAAGCATGAATATGTGGTCAGCAAGGGGCTGAGTGGGCCGCCTCTGCAGAACTAGTCCTAAGTTGATTGCGGGCATCATCTCTAGGCATCTGAGCTTCAGACACCAGGATTCGACTCCTTGGTCACCGAGTTTGTTTCTCTGAACCATCTGGAAGAAGAGACGGGCGTACCTGTCATTGACTGCCTAAACATGATTGGTGGCGCATGTTCATCCACTGCCAGGTTGGTATCCAAGAGGAGACAATTGACTGAGGCTATCATCCTCGAATCCAAGATCACAGGTATTTGCTCAAGCCTCACGAAAGATTCGCATTGGACACCATCCTCATTCATCCTCGTCTCTTCGTGCATAAGAGAATTAGCTTTCAACAGGATCTGTTCAAGGTCTCAAATCGGCTGGCATGATGCGGCTAATCCATGTCCACACGTTCCACCTTCACGAATTCGTGGGCAACCCATCCACCTTTCCTAACTACGCTATTCTCTCCCATACATGGGAAGATGGTGAGGTGTCGTTCGAGGATCTCCAGGACGTATCTCTCGCAAGACAGATGAAAGGATTCAACAAAATCAAGTACTGTTGCGAGCAAGCCGCCGAAGATGGGTTCGAGTGGGCTTGGGTTGATACGTGCTGTATCGATAAGACCTCCAGCGCCGAGCTTTCGGAAGCCATCAACTCAATGTACAACTGGTACGGAAATGCAATGGCCTGTTATGCGTATCTCAGTGACGTTGGTTCAGCGGGAGCATTCAATCACAAGACGGAACTACAGCATATAGGAGAGCTGCCTCGCTGGTTCAAAAGAGGTTGGACGCTTCAGGAGCTAATTGCCCCTTTGAGTGTAAAGTTCTTCACGAAAGATTGGCGTTTCATCGGCACGAAGAAAGACAAAGCATTGCGACTCTCTATTATCACGGGAATCGACGCTGGGGTGCTAAGACACGAGCGCTCTGCATTTCAGATACCTGTTGCTGTAAGAATGTACTGGGCATCAAGTCGACAAACAACGAGACTAGAAGATACTGCTTACTGCCTGATGGGATTGTTCGATGTGAACATGCCGCTTCTATATGGAGAAGGCATGAAAGCGTTTCACAGACTCCAGGAGCAAATCCTCAAAACTACGAATGACGACTCACTGTTCCTGTGGCAAATGCGAAGCCCACATGAATGGTCAACCTGGGACAATACCGAAAACACTTTGGATTCGAGCAGCATGTTGGCCTCCAGCCCAAGCGAATTCGATAGGCAGGCGGACTGTTTTTCGCTTCAACCAGAATGTTTCTTCTGCGAACCACAGCTCATGCCTCGAGAATTGGGTCTGCGCATGACCCTGCCCATGCGGAAGATGGCTATTTCCGACGTTGATCGATTTCAATTCCCGTCCCTTGTTGGCCATATTTTCAAGCGTGTTTTTGTGGCGGCGCTTGGGTGCCTGGTGCAAAATGGCGAAGGCAGCGACTCTCAAGTGGCAATATTGCTCCAAGCGGTATCAGAAGTGGGCTCACCGGAGAAGAAAGTCCTTCGCCGAATCAAGTATATCCACTGTTTGATTCCTTTGCTGGAAGCCCGTAACTGGCAAACGTACACGTGTTTCGTGGCCGGCGATGCGCCATTTTCTTTCGCAAAGAAGGAAAAGCGTTTCCTCAATCAAGTGGATCTGAACGCCGATACGACCTTTGCCATCGAGAATATCGAAGCGCCGAGATACTTGGACTGCAGTGGATATATGAGCGCTGCTTTTATTATCCAATGCGGTGTCACAGGTCAAGACTATCTTCTTACTTACGCTATGGACACGCTCAACAATGCCCCAACGAGGGCCTTTATTCAATTCGAGACCCTCCCAGCGAGATATAATACCCTGGTGGTCCAGAATAGATACAAACTCCAGATTCCGCAGCCTCTCGACTGGACGCTCGCCTTGCGGGAAGGATATGGGCCAATTATGGAGGATGAAATATCGCTCGAGGGGGACCTAATGCTTTCGATCGTACTCAAGTGTGAGGAAGACAGGAGCGGGGATACGTACAAGCTACGTGTTAGATGTACTCGCATTTTAGCGTCTTGATAGGGGTGAACTGTTTCACGTAATGGATTGAGAATCGCATATAAGTTTTTCTGCGAACAAAGACTGATTTGGGCTGTTACCAGAATTGCTTGCATCAAAACATCAAAGCTGACCCATTCACTTGCACATCTGCGCCGGTGTCTCTCTGACTTGACTCAACCACGTCGCTTAGTTTGGACCATTTTAAAAGTCTACGACATAAAAATTACAAGAAATTTACCTTGAATCGTGAATTGCATGTCCGAAATCAATAATCCATTGCACCATTCCAACTCTTCTGCGACACTGTCCGTCCTGAGAGCCATGTTGGCACGGGCTCTCGGCGTCAATGTGGAGGATGTGGACGGCGAGAAGACACTGGCGGACTACGGTACAGACTCGCTCATGGCTGTCGAGCTGCGTAGTTGGATGCGGAAAGACTTTGGGGCCGACGTCACCGTGTTCGACATGACGAGTGGGAAATCGATCAAGGCTGTTGGCGAATTGGTCGTTAGCAAGGTTGGAGCTAGGATCAATTTTATGTAATTAGTATATACTAGGTATTTTTATGAAGCTATTCAATTCTCTATTTCATTGTCTTATCTAATCCATCATATATTCAATGTAGCGGGGGGTCTATTTGCGGAATATGTACTGAAGAAGGGAAATCGCTTTGATCTCAGTTGCATTCTAACTATCACAGTGAGAGTCCCACGTTTCGATCCTCTCTTTCAACCATCCACTTGTTGTTTTAAGGGCCGTCTTCCTTTGTGACATCTCTGGCGCATACCCCTTTCCCATGATCGCCTTGTCGTCCATCTTGCAGAGATCCTCTACGAAACTCCATTGAATGCATTCGTCCCAAGCCTTACAAGCCGCTTCACAAGCCTCAACAGATTCCCATGCCTCTGCCCACGTCTCGGTCTTTTTCAAACCTTCTGGCATCGGCGGGTTGGCCGCGTTGGCTGATGTGACCCGGAATTTGTCCGACATGTTATCCCACCACTCAGCCCTCGTCTTAAGCTCTGGGGCGATCATATGCGTAAAGAAATATCCATGCCGGAAGGGAGTCTATAGTGTCTTAGTCAGTCTTACTATTCCACTTATTACCCACGATAAAACTCACCGAATAGTCCCAGCTCCTCTCCAGCTCGTAGTACCTCGCCACGTCCCGTGCATGAACTTTATGCCAGGAGTAAAGCGGCAGACACCAGCTCCACTTCTCAAACGCGAACGTCCAGTGGACGAGCGGGTTGAAGCCGTATCTGAACACCTCGTCACCTCCGTTCTCGCCAAGCTTGACGCCGTACTTGTTGAGCGCATGGCCTAGCACCTGATCGCCGCAGCAATGGTCCGCGGTGTACTGCTCGTACTCTTCCGCCATGCGTGCATTCTTGCCGAAGCTCGCCTCCCACGCGCCCCTGCTGAGCGCGAAGCCGGCGCCGCCCTGGGCGAATACCACGTCAGACTTGGCGGCATAGCTACCCAGCCAGTGGGGCTCGCGGTGGTCAAATCCGGAGAGATAATTCAGGACACTGGGGAGGAACAGGTATGTATCGTCCTCCATGTAGATGTACCATTTGGCGTGCGGCCAGTTCTCCCCAGCGTGTTGTACGAGGGGCACGAACTTGTACTTGTCAACGATCCAGCCGCCTTGAGGGCCCCAGTCGTCGCCATCTACTCCCGCGGCCTCAAGGTAGACATTGTGGGCCGCATATGACGCCTGAGAGCGATAGACATCGAACTCTGACGAGTTGAGCGTGGCAGCCGTGGTGTTGGCCAGGATGTCGATGACCTTGTAGGCGCCGATCTTGTCAGCACTGTCGGAGTAAATGACGGTGTTCTGAAGCGGGATACGCTCTGGCGCAAGTGTGGTGAGGAGGTGGGCCAGCAGGCGTTTCCACATCGCGGTGCCGCCAGTTTTGACGATAAGTAAGACGTCGTCAGGTGAAAGCATGCCATCCTGGGTGTGGTGGGAGGTGGACGACGAGCTGGATGCATGTTGAGTTGCGCTTGATGGTGTTGTTACTGGCAACCTCTGGGTCTCTAATTGCGATGATTCAGGTTCTGGCTGCCAATGTGGCTGTTGTTGCGTAGGCTCTGATTCCACCTGCACCATTGGCGGTGTTCGTTGTGTGTGGTGGAGAGTGACGGGATCGAGTAGGATGAAAAACAGCCATAAAGCTGCTGTGATGATGATCGCCGGCACCAACCGGTTGTCTTTGTAGAGTACGCCCATCTTGGTACCACGCACGTGAACGGTGCGGGATGCGGAACTCCTACCGAATGATGCAAATAGTGCCTTCTTTCGTTGCCGCGACTTGGGGCAGCAGAGGTGTTGTGAATATAATCAACGACGACTTGAGGGTTATTACACCCCTTGGTACCAAAGGCCCTGATTGCATGTGCTAACTATCCTTCACGATGTTGCATGTTACTAATTCGGGCAGAGGGTCTGAATACGACATGTAGTCATCCGGCAGATATATATTTCATGCCAATGATTGCACAGACCGGTGTCGCCGTCCCATCAGCTCGTGTATGTATAGGCAAACGCACGGCGGTTTGTTATGGTGTGGTTACTCAGCCTCAATCTCCTTACTGCACCACTAACTTAGGCTGCCTAGCGTGCCTAGGTCTCGTAATATGCAGTCATTTACAGTGCCAGGGGAGGGGAAACGGTTTGATTCCACAAGGCCGGTTTAGGGTGATCCTGCAGGATGATAGCGCCAGAAAAATTATGTCCCGCATCAAAAGCAACGGTTCTAGGCTGCACCAGTGGCGTCTGTGGCGTCAAGATCCCGTGCTCGTGAATTTCATGCTAGTACTATATCTGCAAGTTTATATGCTTGGCCCACATTCTGCCTGCGCTCGCTACCTAGTGTACCACGGTTAGAAGGGCCGACCATCAGGCTGGAACAGGCATCCCTCAGTCATCTTACATGTTCCAAGATGGCACCCTGCGAATTATACGATGCTGCCTTGCTACCACGTGGAGAAGGGGGTTAAAAGTTCCCATGGCCAGGGGTACGGGGCTAAAGAGTCACTACGGGCACCGTTGAAGCGATGGCTGACATTGACGTGAATTTGGTGAGATACGGCACCCAGTTAGGGGTAGCGTATATATATATACCTTGTTTAAGAGGGAGGGCATCGCGAGTCTTGTTTCCAAGTAGATCGTCAGCTTTTCACCTCACTCGTTTTCTCGGCGCCTCCCAGCTCCTCTCTTTGTCGTCCTTCGTTCCCAACGGCCCTGCATCACGAACCGTCCAATGTTGCTGGATAATGACTCCGGGGCTCACGTCCCTAGCATAGCATATCCACGCCACATTCCAGTCTGGCGGCAATGTCTCAATGTGTTTTGCTGCTTATTTTCCATACCAATTTATTTTCTGATGACTGTTTCGAGCCACTACCCAATCACGCTTGATATGCTTTTGACGATCATATTGGCAGAGTCAAACCGATTTGTCAACCAGAGAAGAAGAGAGAAGTTGCATGAATTGAAACACCAGGACGAAAGTCCAGTACGAGAAAAAGAGGACTGGCTGAGGTGGGAGTTGAACGTCGAAAAAGCAGCCCCACGACTGGACTGCATGGCCGCTGTCGTCGGATGGAGGGAAGATCCAGAGCTGTTTTCACGAGCGCTGGAGAGCTACAAAACCACTGAGGGATGCACATTCCTTCTGGTTGGTGTCGATGGTGACGAGGCGGACGATCAGGATATGGTCGACGTCTTCAACCAGGTCAGCATCGGAACGTTCAAGCATACCTCCAGCATAGTGCTAATCAATTGCAGACATATCCTGAACGCTCAGCCGTCATTCACATCTCGGAGCCATTAGGTGAGCTTGCAGAGCGCACCAGGGCCAAGCTCGTCGCCATGCGCCAGCAAGACAATCAGCCCATCAACGACGCCGAAATCGACGGGATGGTTATGCAACATTGCATTCTCCTCGCCCGGACCATTCTCGAGCAGCATCAGCTCACCATCGGAGGCGACTATCACGCAGGCATTCGCCAGATCTGCCTACGACAGCGACACATGCACAAGAAGGGCATCATGTTCACGACCTTTGTTTTCTCCCTAGTTATCGCCGACATCCTGGGCATAGAGTTTCTCTGGTCCTCCGACAGTGACACCATCGTCTTCCAAGACTCCCTCTCCCGGACTGTCGACACCATCGCCGCGGACCCAAAGCTCGGCGGGGCCTCCTCAGGGTTAGTCGTGCACAACTCCGCCGAGACCACTGTCACAAGTCTAGCCGCCACGATCTACTGGGGCGAGCTGTACCTGACCCGCTCGTCGACAGCTGTGACAGCTACGAGCGACTGCCAGAGTGGGCCGAGCACGGTATTTCGTCTGGCTGCACTGCCGGACATCTTGGTGCCATGGTACCTGCAGACTGTGCTGGGCAAGAGAATGATCATCAACGAGGATAGGCATCTGACGACTAATTTGCTGTTAAGGGGTTGGGGAGTGGTATATGCGAGCGATGTGCTCACCTCTACCGACACGCCAACAACGATGAGCAAATGGTTGAAGCAGCAGCTGCGGTGGGCGAGAGCAACTCACATTGAAAGCTTGCTTATGCCGCGGGTCTATTTAAAAACGCATCCTCTGTTGTTCTTTGGCATGGCAAAGAGGGAGTTTGGACCAGTGCTGGGTGCTCTTGCGGTGTCGTACTACCTACTCACGTCTCGGAAGCTTGTCTCGGTGTGCTTTGCTGATGTCGCGATAAGGCTCCTGCTCGGTGTCGCGTACAATATTCTGCGGAACCCAGATCGCTTAGGGAGAGGAGTTGGCGCGGCTGGGAAATGGGTCATTCCGGGTTTCTTCTTCTACTACATCCCGCTGCCGGCGGTGCATGTTTGGAGCATGTTGACCTTGACGGCCGATGGATGGGGAACTAGCATGCGAGCAGACGGAGAGACTACACCGAGGCCAGTAAGCGGAGAAAAGCCAAAGTTCGACTTGGGATTCTTTGTTGTGTGGATGGGCATGCTGGCTGCAGCCGCAGCGAAGTGGTTGGCGTGGCATTATGGTCTCGATCTATTGCATACTGGACTCTTTATAATAATTAGCATGGGCGCAGCGGTTTTTGGAGCATGGAGACTAACGGCTTAATAGATGTAGACATAGAGAAAGACGGCTCATAGAAGTACATATCCTCATACGTTACGGTTCAAAGAGTCGATTTGTGATATCGTATACGTGGTACCTTAGGGATCTGCGATGTAAGTCTTCAATAGTCTTTGGGAATTGTTTTCATTGATCATCCTACTCAAACATGCTGTTGATGTGACATTTCATCACCACCGTAGTGATGGAGGAGATGGCTCGTCATGACCGGAACTTCACATCTTGCGCCTTCTCATATGCATACGGCGTACTGCCAGAGCTCCACTGCGGAGTCGTGCCCTCGTCTCCATCGATCTTGACAACAGGCTTCAGGACGCTCAGCCTTTGACCACCAAAAGCACTGTTCTCGAAGCTCTGGAACCAGCCGTTCTCAGGTTGTAGGTAATCACCCAGCACCTGCTTCCATCCCTTCCACACCGTCACCAGCAGGTCAAGCACATGGTGCTGGCCCCTCATCTCTCCCCAAGCAAATCGCTCCTTGCACTCCTCGACAGTGCTCTCTGGATATAAACCGATCTCCTCGGTCAGCGCGTATGCGTTGACACCTGTGAGACTAGCATGTGCATAGTAGCTGCCGCCCTCGGTAGCCCTCCTCTTCAGTCCCAGCATAGCACCGACGGCGCCAAGTACACCCGTCGACATGTCTGAGATGGGCAAGCTAGGCAGGACAGCCTCGTTGTTAGGCAGCTTGAGGCTCTTGCCCGTAACATAGGCTGATCCCGCCGCGGCGTCCGCAATCTGCTGCCAGCCAGGCCGCTCGGCGTAGTACCCATCGGGACCGTAGCAGTTCTCGCTCACGTACACGATGCTACGGCCGCGGTCGCCAGCAACCTTGAGGAGGTCGTTCAGGCCAAGGCCGTACTTGGGCATCTTGTTGAGGCGGAAGCCCTGGATGAAGACGTCGCACTCGCCGACGAGCGACTTGAGCAGCGCGGCGTCGTCTTCCTTGCGCAGGTCGATGGCTATGGTGCGCTTGCCGGCGTTGAGGGTGAGCTGCAGGATGGTGATGTCGGGAAGGTGTGGCGGGTTGACGCGGATGACATCGGCGCCGAACGAGGCCAGGATAGTGCCGATCTGGGGGCCCGCGATGACACGCGTCATTTCGACGACCTTGACGCCCGCGAGCGGCCGCCTGTCGCTAGGGTTCAACGGCGGGAAGGCCACGGGCGGTGTCGGCACGGCGTGGTCCTGGCTCTTGACGTTGACGAGCGGGTGTGCGGCCAGGGTGCGGCCCATCTCGGACTCACGCCACTCCTTAGGCGTAAAGCAGACGCTGCCGCAGAAGCCATTCAGTAGGTTGGTCATCTCGAGCTTCTCCGGGCTCAGCTTAGACGTGTGCTCGGCGATGAGACGCGCCGCGTCTTCGTTGGTCTTGATCGGTGCTGCCGGGTCGATGCCGATGGATCGCAGCACGGGCTCCGCGTTCAAGCTCCCATGGAGAGAGTACCACACTTCAGGGTTGCTCGTTGGGTACAGCGCTGTTGTGCGGTATTTGAGTGGTGTGTCAGTCCATCCCCTTTCCCAGTCTGGGACGAGCTTCTTGATCTCGCCTGTCTTGCTCAGGGTCAAGGCGTCGACGCCGTTCAGGTAGACAGTGGCGACACAGCCAAACCACAGAGAAACGTGTGTTGTGTTGACGACGATGCGACGCTCGTCATTCTTGACTCCTCGCAAAGCCAGGATCTCGTCGGCCAGGACACCGGTCATGGCGTGCAAGGCGGCGGCGACAGACACGGCTTTTATTGGGCCTGGGATGACTGGATAATCCTCGCCGGTAAATTGGACTTTTGACAAGAGGGCATCATCTTGCGTAAAGCCGGGGGTTTGGCTTGCTAGGAGGCGGAAGATGCGTTGGGTGTCCTCAGGGACAGGCGTGAATGACTTGTCCGTGAACGTGCCCGATCCGTAGACGTCGGCGATTTTCTCAGACGCCATGATAGATGGTATTGTGTTGGAGGATGTGATGAATTAGTACAAGAATAGATTGGCTATGCTGGTCGCTGGAAAACAAAACCGTTTCTGAGCCAAAATTATTATCTTCTCAACCATATCAACCCAGGGCCACCTCCCTGAGCGAGGGGTGGCATCTTTTAAGGGTTATTGCATTTGTAGGGCAATCGTACGACCCCCTACGTAACTCGCTACGTATCACTGGACCTGGTTGAAGTTATCCACATGGTCGGCGGATACTGACAGGCGAATTCTGGTGCTGGATCTGTCGAGCATTGAGAAAAGAGTCGATCCGGATCGGCCGACTTTGGCCTCCCGAGTGTCAAAGTGCATGCATCCGAGACGCGAGTACCGAGCCGCAGGAAAACGCCGCCGGGGGTATGACGTTAGCCGACGCCTGGACAGGTTGCATGGGAGCTGTGCAAGAGAACTTTTCTAGAAGCTCCACGCCCCCTGTTACACTGATCGAGTCTTGATGCGGCGCTGATGTTGCATGCCGAGGTCCACCCCACGAGTCAGAGAGATCTGAGCAGCATTTCCGCAGTGCGGAATTGTCCCCACGATGGCATGGTTTTCTCTCCACGGCACTCCGCCGATCCACCCAGTTCCTCGGTCGTCCATACCAGGTTCCCCAGAATGCATCTGTTGCCATCACTGTGGATGCGCCTCTTGGTCCCAACAATTCGGATACTCGCCTTCACAGGTTGAGGCGAGTCGCCTGGTCGTGTTCAGTGTCGCGGCCGAGCATTTGGTTTCACGAGTACTCAAAGGACGACCTTGGTGCGGGACACAGTCGAGAAGTCCGTCTCCGTGCACTCCAACTACGTAATCTCTGACAATACACGTTATAATCACCACAAATACACATCTAGTCAAACGTATCTTCCATTGCTATACTCCGTAATTATCAGTTCAGCAGTTGGGATACAATTACCTTCTACTACAGTCCTGCACCACGAAGTCATGTCCAACATCCAGAAGGTCGCCATCGTCGGCTGCGGCTCCATCGGAGCCTCCTGGGCAGCCCTCTTCCTCGCCCAAGGTCTCACTGTGTCGGCCTTTGACATCAACCCAGCCGCCCAGAAATTTCTACAAAACATCGTCTCAGACGCACTTCCCGTACTTTCGTCTCTGGGCTTACTCAAAAATGCCGACGCCAAGCCCTCAGATATACTGTTCACAACAACAATGGAAGACGCGCTCCAGGGCGCCGACTTCGTGCAGGAGAACGGGCCCGAGAGACTGCAGTTCAAGCAAGAGCTGTTCGACAAGATCGCACAAACAATCGCGGAGGATACCATCATCGCAACAAGCAGCAGTGGCCTAACCTGTTCCAGCATCCAGGACGGCATGCTCCCATCGTCGCATCCTGAGAGATGCGTGGTGGGCCACCCTTTTAACCCGCCGCACCTGATCCCGCTGGTTGAGGTTGTTGGTGGTGGGAAGACATCTCCAGAGGTCATCTCGAGGACGATGCAGTTCTACGAAGCTGTAGGCAAGAAGCCGGTGCAGGTCAAGAAGGAGGTCGTGGGACACGTGGCGAACCGGCTGCAGGCAGCGCTAATGCGCGAGATGATGTACCTGATGCAGGAGGATGTCGCCACCATCTCAGATCTGGACACGGCTATGAGCTTCGGCCCGGGGCTGAGATGGGGCGTTATGGGGCCGAATACGCTATTTCACCTAGGCGGTGGAGAGGGCGGCATTCAGCACATGGCGGACCACCTGCTAGGGCCAATTATGAGTTGGTATGCTCCCAAGGACCCTGTCGTTGATGATGAGCTGCGGAGGAAGTGGGTCGATGGCACAATGAAAGAGGTTGATGGGAGGGATTACCGCGAGCTGTCGAGGCAGCGTGATGAGGAGCTGGTGAGATTGTTGAATGTCAGGAAGGAGTGGGATGATTATGCGGAGAAGAAGAAGACAGAGTAGAATCAAATAGTCGAATCACTGTATTCGATTTGCTCTTGGCTACAATACGTGGAGCTCTCGGATCATGCTAGAGAAAGACAGCTCAGCATTCCTGGTATGTTCATACGGCAAAGGCCGTGGCAGCAATTGCGCAAATCCAGATTTGTATGGTGTGAGCTTATATTCATGTCAACGACAGTCCCTGAGACTCTTGATAATGTTCTGCTACTGCAGACCGAATTTGAAGTCTAAATTCTGAAATCATCATAACAAATGTGACTTTTGAAGCTCTCAGTTAGACATAACCCAATTTCCTCAAATTTTGATAAATAATACTAATGTCCGAACATATTACCAATGTCACGAACCCGATTGAGCGCAGTGTGGCATTGATGTTTCTGCTGGCCACGAAAATGCAGGGCCGGAGTGAGCGACATCTCAGGGATTGCCTGTCCACATGCGCATTCCGCTGTCAACTTGATGATTTCCGCACCCGACGCGTCGGCCCCGTTGTTATGACATATAGTTGCGGGTCTTCCCGTCCAGAGCACATCCGACTCTCGAAAGAGCGAGAGAAAAGCGAATTGTGGGCCGTCTCGCCGCTCAAGCCGGTCCCTTCGCTATCCTGCCGACTGGCGAGGCAAACTGTGTTGCATGATATAATGGAGTGTCCACCAAAACCAGGGTTGACAGGGGTGGTCAACGAGGCCGTGATGTCAAGTACGAATAGAATAAAAGCACAGCATTTCAGGTTTTTTCCCCAGCATTTCAGTCGGGAAAAGGTGAGTTTGTACTGATATAGCAAATCTTTTCTGACAAACGGATATAACCTCTTTATCTTCACACAACAGTAAAAATGGGTTCGCAATCTCAAGCCCATCGACATCTTTACATTCTTGACACCGACCTGTCGCAGCCGCACCCACGATGCGGCCGCATTCTATCATGCCTCACGGACGGCACCGACAGGCAAACAGTCATCGATCACATCACCACGATGCCTGATGGAATCACTATCGACCACCACAACGGCCACATGTACTGGACAAATATGGGCCGGAATCTAAAAACAAATAGCGGATCAATCGAGCGCGCGAACCTCGACGGCTCAAACCGGAAGGTAATCATCCCTACCGGCTCAATCGGTGTTTTTACGCCCAAACAAATCACCATCGCCAGAATAAGCCGCAAACTGTACTGGTGCGACAGAGAGGGGATGAAAGTGATGCGCAGCAACCTCGACGGCTCGGACGCTGAGGTCCTGGTCTCGACGGGAGATTCAGAAGAAGACAGGCTGGACCAGCGAAGGTGGTGCGTGGGTATCACGGTGGACGAGCGGCGCGGCTTCTTCTACTGGACTCAAAAGGGCCCGTCGAAGGGCGGGCAAGGGCGCATACTCCGCGCATCTATTGAAGGGCCGCCGGGGTTTTATCCCGACAAGCGGTGGGATGTCGAGGTTATCTTTGACAAGCTGCCCGAGCCCATCGATCTTGAGATGGACGAGGAAGCTCAGACGCTTTACTGGACAGACCGCGGTGATCCTCCGAATGGCAACTCCCTGAACAGGGCGGCGATCGGGATGCGAGGAGTGCCGCAGATTTTGGCGACGCGGTTACACGAGACTATTGGGCTGGCATTGGACAGGGAGGAGGATGTCGCGTATGTGACGGACCTGGCGGGAGGTGTTTACGCAATTGATATCAAGAAAAGGATCAAGACAGTCCTATTTCCGGAGTTGGGAGACATAGCGGGCATAGCACTGGTATAGGCATATAGTCGAGTCTGTTGTGAAGCATTTATACGACAAAAGTTCAATAACTCCTCACGCAAAGACAATAATATCTTAGTCATGCGACCAATTGAAAGTAGTTGATATCCGCGTTGATCAGAGTCACTGTCTATTAAATGAGGTCTCGACCTAAAATCAGCGATGCATCTGTTCTTTGTCTTGCATATGTCTCTAGTCGAGCTAAGGCCCAATTGTTACCATCGCCACACTTCTATGTGACTTCGTGTGTTTTCAGAATCTTGGCCTCTTATCCGCTGCGCATGTTCAGAGTTGTGTTTTCATCTAGAAAAGCGTCATAGGGAGCTATCGAATATGGACGGCCATGGTTTTGTGGCCTTCCTGCCTACTTCACTGCGTACATCGGGCAAACTGGATTTGGTTAGTCTTATTTACCACGCAACGATCGAGAACCCAAAAGAAAGTGTCCTGACATACCCAAAGACAGTAGGGCCAGCCCTTTTCAAGCCTTCCTCGGTATACCAGATAGCTGGGGCGGGCATCGCAATGATATCAACTCGCAAGCCGTAACGGACTTCCGTCACACCAATCGGCATCCCGTCGGCCGCATCAAGCATCTGCCTAGTGTCAGTGATATTGTTGGAATTGTCGATTATTCTCCAGGCATCCTCACGCAGATCAAGTCTGGGCTCAAAGCAAGATACTTATCCTTATAAGCATCGCCGTCCCTCGTCTTCAAGACTGCAGCCGAAAATTCATTCGTGAAAATTAGTTCAAGATACTCATCATCGTCATCGGTCTCAAGCCCTGACGATTGTTCGGATCGAATCACACAGATCCCCTGGGTGAGGCTGTCAGCCACCTTCCTCGACACGGAATGGATCTTTCCTGAGAACAGGACATCGCCGTTCGCTGGCGTGACAATCGCTTCGGCCACGTTGCGCTTGGCTTGGCGTGCGAGATGCATGTTGCGTCCCATTATCCAGGCTTTTCATTGACATCAAAAGGCATGGTCAGCTTGAAGATGGTAATAATAGGGCATGTGTGCTTAGAAATATCTCTCACCGATAGAGTAACTATTCTGTACGAAGAGCTTGCTCTCCTCACCAACCAATGGCGCCAAGCACATTCCCGCAATGGACTTCATGGCTCCACAAGTAGATCGCGCCAGAGTCTCCAGGTGCCAGTCATCCTTCGCAGTCTTGATTTGCTACACAAAGAATTGTTCCAAGTTAGTCATTTTGGACTCACTGTCCTCGGTTTTTACGCGCTCAGGGGCCAGGTGGGTTATGGACAAGCTTACCATGATATTGCCATTTCCGTCTGACAGAGCTGCAGGGGTCAAAGTCTTCCCATGCACTCCCAGCACCGTCATGTACACGTGGGGAAATGCTCGACCCATGAGATCCGCGTCCAATATTGTCTTGCCCAGTAGTGTGGCTGAAAGTAACCCTTCGAGTGCATTGATTCCCCCAATTTCGGTCGGAACGATGTGAGAGAAGTCGGAGATCCCAGCACAATCCAATGTTGCATACATTGCTTCTTTTGTCCTTGAAGTCCATTACTATCGACGAACATACAAAGTCACGTTCTATGTCACGCCTTCTCGGATGACTTGAGAGACGACAGAAAGCTGACTTACTCTTCTCCGCCTGGCAAACGCTCCACGAACACTGATGGTGACCCCTGCGTAATTACCCCGTCAGCCCTTCCTGAGCATTTTAATCAAGAAAACGAAAAGGATGAAGGTAGAAATGATTCTGCTTACAATAAACAAGGGAGGGCAAATTACATCATTGGCCCCAACAGAGCTGCAAGATATGATGCGAATGTTTCGACCCTCTCTAAGGCACGCCTTCAGCGATAGGAGGTAATTAGTTGCTTCTCCAATGCAGCCAACTCCCAGCACCCCAGTGCCAGCGATCAAGAATTCAATATCCGTTTCCGACACATTCCAACAGCCATTCGTGATGTTGGGATGGTATGTGTTGGCATCAACTTGACTTTGTTCCACGTTGTCAGGATAGACATCGACGCCGTTGGGTAATTTGTCCGGAGAATCCGGAGAGTTGAAAAGCAAATCCCCGTCCAATCCTTCGTCTTCAGTCTCTTTGCGCTGTCGACCCAGAGCAGCGATATCCTTGATGGTAGAGACAACGCGTATCACTAGACGAAAAGACCCGTCCATTGCATACGGTTCAGGGATCGTTTCCAACTCCACAATCTCAACATTTGATGGGTCCCCACCGGCTCCCTCACAAAGTGCAATGGCCTGTCTTTTCCCATCCTCGATAATGTCCTGGACGCGACGTTCACCTGGTATGATTGGGCTGTCAAAAGTGCTACTGATCTTTCCGATCTTACCCGCAACCAAATATCAGCATATTTCGCCAGTAGAAAAAATAAACGTCTAAGTGCTTCCATTTTCACTTACCGCGGCGCCAACCGCATTAGCCACCTGATAAAACGGTGGCCGGACGACCGACTTCGTGCCCTCGATCTGGTCGGGAAGAACAAAACTGCCTCCACCCACAAGAAGGACGGTGGCATCCTCGATCTTTGTTTTCGATGCGGTCACAGCATCCTCTATCATCCGCCTAATGGTGCTTGTAGCAGAGTCAACGGTCTGCAGGCTGATGCCTCGTTCTTGCAGCTCATTCCGCTGTAGATGTATGAGATCTCCGGCCTATGCACGTGGTGCGATGACATTAATCAGCCATGTTCAACTGAGACCGGAAACCAAAAGTGGCGATTGGATGAATCAGTCGACTTACTGTGAGAACTGGTCCGCCGGCATGGAGCGACTTTGTTGATTCTTCCAAAGCCACCGAATCAGGGCCCACAGTTGCATGCGAGTCGTGATCTCTGATGACAGATCCGGCACCAAGAGCAATGCTGTGGACATCGGGCATAGAAAAATTGGTTTTGACACCAGCAACCTTGACAAGAGCAGCAGATTGTCGCGGATAGCCGTTTGGAAGGAGGCTGCAGACATCGGTGGTGGTCCCCCCTACATCAATGACCAGCACGTCACTATCATCGTCCTTGTTGCTTGTTAAAATTTCTTGGGCCAGAAATGCTGCACCTCTAGCACTGTTTGTCGGTCCGGATGAGAAACATCGAAGTGGATTGGCAGCAGCGTATGACGCGCGTGCGAGCGTGCCATCGTTCAGGGTGATGTACATGCCGGCGTTGACGAGGAACTTGGTTGCCTTGTCAAGGCTGCGGACAACCTGCCGGGAGAAGCGGCGAATGCTGGCGTTGAGGATGGCGGCGTTTTCGCGTTCTAGGAAGCCAGCTTGACCAATGGAATAGGAACAGGAAATATCATACCCTGGTCCCAATTCTTCAGCCAGGAACGCGGCGGCTTCCTCTTCTTGCTTCTTGAACGATGGCGAGTAAACTCCCACAATTGTGATCACATGAATGCCCAACTCTTTAATCTTCTGTGCATGGGCTCGAAGTTGGTCGTTTGATACTGCACTGATTTCTTGTCCGTCAACTAAGAATGACTCGGAATTAGCTTTGCCAGAATTGTTGAAAAAGGCCAATGCTATAGCTCACTCTGGTACCCGCCGTCAAGGTAAGCATGGTAACCCTCCATCACTGACTTCAAGGTGTGGGGAAATCCATCTAGTAGGTCGTAGAATTAGATTGCGGCGTTTCTATTTTCTTCCAGGCCCCTAGCTTACCAAAAGGTATGACACTTCTTGTATATGGGCCACAAAGACGTAGTACCGCGACCTTGTCCAATTTGGTCCGGTCTAGTTCCAGAATGGCGTTGATGAATTGCTGGTGTGATCATGTTAAAACTGAACTATCCCAACCTTGTGAGGACTTGGCCTACCGTTGTCCCTATCTTAACAGCCAGAATGGAAGTGTCGGGCACATTAGCCATTCTCAGAGCCTCAACAACAGATTTGGTGACTCCCGAGTGAATGTCTTTAGTTGTTGGTGACTTGTGCCATCCTATGACTCTGTCTCCATCTAAAACGACTGCATCTGTGTTTGTTCCTCCAACATCCACGCCAACTACCCTGACATCGGAAAAGTCTCGTGTGTCCATGCCGGGCATACCAATCGCATCAAAGTTCGTGGTGCAGTGGAGCTCGCGAGGGCAATGCAGATTTTGTGATAGGTGTTCACGAACGGTTCAAGTCTCGTTGAACGAGGGTTCACCTCAGCGTAACTTTGAGGTGCATCCCGGACTCGACCGGGTGCAAATCGAATGTCACGAAGCTTCGTGCCACTTGAGGGGGAACTCGAACTCATTGTGCCGAGACACGCTGAAACCCTTGTAGGGTGCTGCCAATCTATTGGTTACAAACGCGATGTGGGAGGTGGATGTCTTGCCATTTCGGGACCAAGCTACTGCGGTGATCCTCAATCCAGTCTCAGCCATCGATACCCATGAGCCGGATGGTCCAGATCTCCCGGGCAATCTTATCATTAATCGGGTCCTTGCTGCAAACACTATTGGATATCTCCTTCTTAAGTCAAGGGTGCGAACCTGACGTGAGCCTCTAAGTACGTGGGTACGCGCAGCTATTGAAACCATACATGCACCCTGCAGGGTGACATCGTGTGTTAACTCGGTTTTCCCCTCCATCTCAGAGTTCTTTCAAGTCCGACGTATTTCTGCTCAGCTGTGACTTGGCAAAAAGCTTCCCTTGGACTTCGTGCCAAATCGTCTACAATTCTAATAGTATGGACTCGCAGACATCTGGCGACAAACACCCGGGCCACATCGCCCTGGAGGAGAATATGTCACGTGAAGGAAATGCGCAAGGCACAGTAAAGCAGGATGGCAGTGATGACAAAGGCGTCAGAGCTGAGAAATATGCGTACTACAGTTTTTTTGCGGCTAATAATGGCATCGGCCCCTACCAATAGTGAGTGAAGAACACAATTCATGGGGTCTCGAAATGAATCTAATATTTGTGGTTCAAAACAGTGCCTATTCTCTTTTCCAGACGCTGATCTACCAAGCTGCTTTCAACCCCGACATCTTGCCATGGGGCAGCGCTTCTTGTGACGAAGATCCGGATGCGCCTTGCCACGTCACTTGGGCAGGTGGCACCAAGTCATATGATTCGGTCGCCTTGATAGCCTCGGCATTGGTTTTTGTCGGCCAGTCCATCCTCTTCATCTTCATCGGCAGCACAGCGGACTACGGGCCATGGGCTCCTTGGGTCCTGCGAATCTCTGTTCTGATCTATGGCGGCTTATCGCTCGGGTTCTTCGGCCTGAAGACACCAGATGCTTGGCCAGCAGCAATGGCATTGTATACACTGACAAGTGGGTAATTCTCTTTTTGGCAGTATCTACTTTTTCGTTGTCATTTCTGACCAAAAGCTACAGACATCGGCTTCTACATTGTTTTCACGTTCGGCTATGCCTTATTTCCCAGAATCGCGGACGACCAGCCTGAAGCGAGAAAGGCTCAGGTGGCCTTGCGGAACCAGGAGATCAATCGCTCGGATTACGAGAGAAAAATCGAGCATGTACGCTCCACCATTGCCAACCACGCCTGGGCAGCCAACAACGTTGGCTTCGCAGTAAGCGCTTGCTTGTGTGTGGCCATTCTAAAAGGCATCAACGCGGATTCCTCGGCGGCAAAGAACAACCTGGGTTACGCGTTGTGTACCGGAATGGTCGGGATTATTGTGCTTCTCTTCTCGGTGCCCTGGGTATTTCTCGAGAAACGCCGACCCCGGCTGCCGGTGCCGGAAGGCCGTAATGTAGTCAGCTATGGGCTTCAGGAGACATGGCATAGCTTCAAGTACTGCAAGAGGATCTCTCAGACCTTCATATATCTCTTCGTCTACTTCTGGCTCAATGACGGAGTTAGCACGCTGTTCACGATGCTCATCATCTCGCAGACAGCAGTCGCTCAATTTTCAGCAACCCAGAACAGTTACTTCCTGATTGTGCAGGGAGTATCGGTGTTCTTTTTCACAGTCTTTGCTGTATGGGCTCAAAAGCAATGGTCTATTCGGACCAAGACGATACTCCACATCACTAATTGGTCCTGTTTCTTCCTGGCCGTTTGGGGCATGATTGGCTTGTGGACAAAAAAGATCGGATACCATAATTTATGGGAGTTTTGGGCTGTCAGTGTGTTCTATGGACCTAGCGTGGGTCTGCAAATGTCGTATTCACAGGTATTTCTGGGACAAGTTATTCCACATGGCGAGGAGAACAGATACTTCGCCTTGCTCGGGTTTATTGGGAGAGTTGGCTCGTGGATAGGACCGCTCATTTGCAGCGCCATAGTCGACCGAACAGGCTCGCAGAATGCGTCCTACGGGTTTTTAGCGGCTCTCATCGGCGCATCGTCCTTGGGACTGATCTTCGTGGACGAGGAGAAAAGCAAAGTAGAATGCGCAGAATACGCGGCTACAGAGCACCGAGCAGATGCAGAACGGGAGTCACCAGCACAGGCGAGTGATGACAGCTGGGAGGCCAAGATTTGATTCATTACATAACATACCAGATGGTGGACGCCGTAATCACCACTGAGCCATGTTGGTCTAGCTGTCAAATAGAAAGTCCAAGCGCTTGTTGCCCTCATCGTGACTGTTCTGGAGATACCAACTCTTCTCTTCGCTTGTCATCTTGCTCCAGCGATCCCGCTTGTACTTGTTACGTGCTGTATAGTAGACCTTGGCAAGCGCATATGCTATTATTGTGCCAACTGTAATTGCAATGAGGTTCCTGTTGCCTCGACGGTAGTGTGGCTTGTCGTCTTCGCGATAGATGTTGGATGAGGCGATTCCAGAGAGCTGAATGGTGATGTTGTACATAGCAGCGCTAACAGTTCTCGTCCGGACTGCATTAGACAGACGAGAACACCATCCAACTTGAGCTGCATGGACTGATGGCTGGCCAAGAATGATGAACGTCAATGCGTACTGTCCCCATGATGAGAGCTCTGAGATGGACGTATACTCGATGATCAGTAAAGGGAGAACCCATATCTGGGTAAGGAGACCAATCATAGCGATTTGATGAAAGCGCTCAGTCAAATATGTGACCCATAACATGTTGATAGCTGCGAAGATGGTGACCGGGATGGTGAGAAGCGTAGTGTTGAAAGTGGTAAAGCCGAGCGCCTTCAGAGACAATGTAAGGTACGTCTTCGGCGGCGCGGTTGGAATCTCGAAGAGGATACCAATGATGTAGATAGGCCAAAGATCAAAGTCTTTGAGACTTTTCCATAACATTGATAGTGTGATCGCTTCCCTATTGTGCATATCGCTCTTTGATGGGTCGCCTCTGAGCACCCTGTTGACGATGATCTTTTCTTCGCGCTCAGTGAAATAACCGCGCGGATTCCACCAGGTCTTTGTTTGTGTTGGTCCAGGAACGAGAAACAGAAAACTTAATATTCCAATCACCAAGCTGATCAGTGCTTCCAGTAGGAATAGCCATCTCCAGCCTTCTATTCCGGCGACGCCGCGCATGTGTAAGATCCCGTATGCCAAAAAAGACGCAACGACACCTGACATGGAGTCAACGAACCAGAAGAGAGCCAAGCGAATCGGCATTTCTGTCTTCTTGTAGAAATATGACAGGTAAAGGATCGAATCGGGGATGAACCCTCCCATGAACAAGCCGATGAAGAAACGACAGGCGAAGAACCCGGCGCGGTTGTGCATGAAGAATTGACCTCCGGATGCTATGCTCCAGAGAATAATTTGAACGGGTATCCACCGGTCTGGTCCCAGACGCTTTCCTATCATCTGAGAAGGGATCTCCGCGATCAGGAATCCAACTCGATACATGTTCTGGGCGTTGTTGTAGTCATTGGTGTTGATTTCGAGGTCCCCGAGCAAGTTGTCGGCTGGAGCATTGCCGAGGTTCCCTCTGTCGATGTTGAGTCCAAAGAACATGACAAGGATCCAAATGAAGATTTTGTAGTCTGTCTTGCGGCGTACAGCCTGTTCTTCGCGGAAAGTCCATCGCTCCTGGGGGTCGTATCGGTGGAAGTTCTCGTAGTTGGGACGGGGCTGGTAGAACTGCGCGAGTTCAGGATTGTCAAACACGCTTCGCTCAGTGGCGATGGCGTCGAGATCCCTCGGCGTTTTCCGTGGCGTGAGCGCTTCCCAGAAGCCAATGTTTCGGCTGGTATCCTCGGGTTCAGCTAAATCATCACCTGCTCCCTTTGGCCCAACATCGTCCAGAGATTTCTTGTCCTCCCTGGGCGGACTATCCGACCCCTCGGATCCGGCATGGATATCGATTGCCTCCTTGGTGCCCATAATTGGCAATTGTAGTCCGCAGACTATAGGAGATGAAAGAGAGATGGTTGGAGAGAAACACCAAACCCAATCCTCGGCCTTTTGCAGAAAATGGACCGATTTTATTAGGCCGAGGCCATCCCTTCGATCTAAGAAAGAGCCACTATGGCGTGCTATGTAAATAAGAGCAGCGCAAATGTGCACAGGGGATAGGGAATATTACCACCAAACAAAAAGAACGCATCCCAAATCGTCTCTGCTCGAGTCCTTCATCATTCTTACCGGCTTCGGGGTGTTAATGCCACGAGATATCCATTTAAGTTAGATAAAATATTCATACGACGTCTGATTTGTCGGTGTTTGCAAGGTATCCGACCAGGGAGAGGATGATGGTTCGTTATCACGGTATGGCATCATTCGGGTGCAGCATCACGCCAAGCTTTGAGGCAACTGTCTACCTAGGTACACAATGAACGATTCCATAGGGTTCTCACATTCTTGCGGCACGAGAGGTACATACCCATCACGCTCATTTACTCCAAAATTCTTGTATGCCGAAAAAGATCACTGCCGTCCTCAATACTTCCCTCCGTCCCGCGCTTTTCAGGAACACAATGTATCTATAACCAAAAATGATTCATTCTATAAGTCTTAGAAAGACGGTTAAGCCCCAGTTGACGCTTTATCTCAAGCCTTCTTCTTGCCCTTGGGCATGCGAACCAGCCAGTAGAGGAACAGAGCGCCGGCAATATTGACGACGATGTACACCATTCCAATACCGAAGTCGCGCCATCGGTTGTCGAAGTTGGAGCTGATGGACGCGAGGAAGGTATTTGTATTAGCAACAGAACAGAAGGAGCAGTCGCTCGTGGCCTCGGGGTTCTCGAGGTAGCCTCCCATCTGGCCAATATAGCCGGCCATGAAGTCCTTGCAAGTCTGGCTGTCTGGCGGGTTGAAATGGACATACTCATTTGAAGAGCACGTCACATCGGTGTTGGCCAGACCTGTGGATAAGATGGATGACATCAGGTATGTGAATGGCGACACCCTGTACATGAAAATCCAGAAGCCAGGCATTGCGTCGGGGCTGGCTAGCACGCCGCAGAACAACAGACACATCAGAAAAAGGACATTAGCGAGGTTGCCGCCCATTTCAGCAGTGTCTGTGATGGCGATGCAGGCGTTGGCGAAGGTGCAGGTGAATATGAGAAACTGCCAGAACAGGAGCCACATCAAGATGCCTCGCTCATGCTTCTGGCTCGGGTCACCGTTGCTGTCGAAACCAACGGGATAGTATACACAGATGAACATGAAGACCGACATGAGTGTGTTCCAGGGTATTTCGGTAACGATTTGCGAGAGCATAAACACCTTCCAGCTGTACGTTTTAGAAGGACGTTCGCGGACCTCATAAAGCGAGCGCTGTATAACAAAGTGCGGCATTTGTTGTTGTACTAATTGACCGAAAATGGATAGAATCTGAAAGATGGCAAACATTTGGTTTTGTAAGCCTTGTATAGTCAAGGGCGCATTGAGGAAAACCAGGCCGATAAAAAGTGCAACGGAGCAGCAAAGAATAAACTTGGAGTAGATATATGAGGGCGTCCGCCAATATTGTTGAAAGACGCGGTGGGTGACGATCAAGAACTGTTTCCATAGGGGAGAGGCGAATTCGCGGTATGAAGCATTGGCATCTTCGTCGGAAGAGTGATCGTGGCTTGAACCCTCGGATTTCAGCCGTTGGAGCTCGTCTTGAACAGCTTGGAACTCGGGGCTCGATCTCCACGCCTGGGGCCAGTCAACCTCGGACGATGTGCCGGGTGCTGCACCAATGGCAGATAACATCCACTCGGCGGGATTCTCGCCGGGAGGACACTTCGGGGCTCCGTTCCGTTCAAAATAAGATGTGAGAGTATGGGAGTTTTCGCCAATGTCGCCAAAGTAAACAGTTCTGCCACCCTTTGCCAGAAACAACAAACGGTCGAAACGCTGAAATAACATGGCTGACGGTTGGTGAATAGTACACAGAATCGACTGGCCGGCCTTGGAGAGCTTTTCAAGCAGATTCAGAATCGCCCATGAAGTTTGAGAATCCAAGCCGGAAGTCGGTTCATCGACGAAAAGAAGTAGGGGAGGTTTCGCAGCCAGTTCAACGCCAATCGAGAGTCGTTTCCGTTGTTCAACATTCAAACCCTCACCAAGTATGCCCACCACAGCGTCAGCATAGTCTTGCATGTCTAAAAGCTTAATAACTTCGTCAACATATGCGATCTTTTCGGCCCTAGGGGTGCTTTCGGGCTGGCGGAGTAATGCACTAAACTCCAATGCCTCGCGAACGGTGCTTGTTTCAAGGTGAAGATCTTGCTGTTGAACGTAGCCTGTCTTACGCTGAAACGACATATCGCGGATTTTACCATCAACCAACATCTCTCCAGTAATAACTCCTGTAGAGACACGGTCCGCAAGGCAGTCGAGCAGGGTCGTTTTTCCGGCTCCAGAGACGCCCATTAGTGCCGTGAGAGTTCCGGGCTTCACCCAGCCGTCCACGTGGTCGAGGATTCTTCTTGTCTCGGTCTTGATCTTGACATCGTAGCAGACATTGCTCCAGTGGAAGACGCTGGTGGAGGCCTGAATCGCACCCACGTCGGCAGATGAAGCGTCGCTCTTCTCGACAATAGTGACGGGACCGGAAACGGAGGCTTCGACGTCGCTCTTCGTCTTAGTGGGGGTGGTCACGCCACGACGGAAGACGAGAACCTCGCCCTTTGACTTTTTGGCAGCGATGTACTCGGTAGCCAAGAGGTATAGTATATGAAGAGCGACAACGAAGCCAATTAGAATGCCGATATTGCGCCACTTATGAGAGTTGAAGTACTTGTACTGGGAGTTGATGTACGCGTCCCCATTGACGGCGGAACGGCCAGCAACAGCGCCCACCGTAGAACAAACTCTATTGGCGAGTGTGACATTTTCATAGCCATCTATAGCCGGGCTTGGTACAAAGGCATCGCACTCGAAGTCACGGTTGTGGAACTCGTTGATCATAAGCTGTGTCGGGAGTGGATTAGCGTGCCATCAAGCAGAGAGAGGACTCAAAATTTCAACTCACCGACTCAAATCCATATGCGACAGGATCCAGATAGTTGATCCATCTGCACCAGCCAAGCATATAGTCGACAGGGATGACGAAGCCAGTAAAGATTACAAGGGCGAGGATCAATATCGATGCTGGGACCATGGCCTGAGACAAGGTGCGTGATAGCGAGGCACTGTTTCATGTTAATTGTTATTTCCATAGCAAGAGGACAGGGAAACTCACATCGACCTGAAGAGACCTGACATTGACATCACCATCAGGAAGGTGGTCAAAAGGAAGAAAAAGAAGTTCCCAGGCTGTCTATTCAAGTTGGTCATGAAGTAGATGATCAGGTCGTAGAAGATGGTGTTCGTGATTTTGTATGGCATGTCCATCAGAACAGATGAGAGTGCCTCAGCTGAAGCGTGGTAAAAAGCGTACCGCCGTTGTTTCTCAACAATTGGTCGTTGGGCATATTGCGTGAGGATTTCGAGAGCGCTGGAGAAGGCATTGGCCAGAATAGCAACGAAAAGGACCGCAGACCGACCGTAGAAGGACGAGGTTGTTGCCGGGAGGTTATAAAACAGCGACGACATGATGAGAGCTGTAGAAGTGTTCGTCAACAACGAAAACACCGTCAGGCTAGGATCTCCTCGCAAAAGTTTGAAGCCACGCCAAAGACACAATTTGACTTGTTGCCAATATGAGAGAATAAATGGAGATTTGAGGCGCTGGCTTTTGGCCTGAACCGACTGCTTCTGGTTTCGAAAGACCTCAGCATCGGTGCCACCGAGCGGGTGATCGGCCTTGTACTGTTCGATTTGCTGCTTCAGGGCCTGGGCTTCCTTGCTAGCCTCCCAGCATGCAGCAAACTCGTCGGCGGTTCTGGGCACGCGGCCTTCCCATCCGGGGCGCACCACGCGTTCATTCGGCGCTGTCATAGAGGTCAAGAAGTCTGGGGTTGTTTGACGTGCCGGGCACTCAAATCCCAGATTGATGAAGTACTGTCTGGCCTCAGTTGTACGCCCAAAGAAGATCTGTCGTCCTTCATAAAGGATAAGAACCTTATCAAACAGATCGTATGCGGACTGAGGTGCTTGATAAATAGACACGGCGCAGGTCTGACGAAACAAATTTGACTGTAAGCGAAGAGTTTTACAGAACTCGACGGCATTGGCAGAGTCCAGTCCTCTGGTAGAGTTATCCCAGCACTGCAAAGGGGCGTTGGATAGCGTAGCCTCTGCAATAGTTACTCGCTTACGTTCTCCCCCTGACACACCACGAACGTAGTTGTCACCAACTCGCGTATTCACCGTGTGGCTGATTCCGTACATAGCCATTACGACGTCACGGAGATGATCGCAGTACTGGTCGGCCGTCACTCCAGGGGGTAGATTCCGGGGACAGCGTGCTCGGGAAGCAAATGTCAGGGTGTCTCCCACGGACAGCTGAGGATAGTGAACATCGACTTCAGCAGTGTAGATGGCATCGCCTGCATGGTGGTCATGCAGCTCCTTCGCAGAGATGCCCTGGTAGTTGAAGTAGGCGCGCTCATCGGTATAGATACCGTTCATCTCACCAGCAATGGTCTTGAGGAAGGTAGAGCAGCCAGACCCTGGAGGGCCCAAGACGACGAGCATCTCTCCTGCCTCAACAACGCCATTGAAGTCTCGAAGAATGTCAATGCGGCGCTCTGATCCCTCCTTCGAGATGAGCTTGCGAGTGAGGCCGGGGAGCTCGAGCCACACATTGCCAACGTCTTTTTGATAGTCCGTCTCCTGGCCGTATCCGAAGACGTTCAGGTTTTGGTAACAGAAACCGGCAGTTCGGTATCCTGAGCCGTGCTCATTGGTGACATTTGCGATTGTCTGTGCCCACGTGTGTGCGCTGAACTTTTTCCCGTTGGGATTGAGAGGCGAGTCGGGGTCATCGCTACCGAAAAGGGCTGTGTGGCCCCCGTCGACGTTGACTGCAGAGTGACGCGTGTATTCTCGAGCTAGCTCCTGCACAATAGAACGACGGCGATCTAACTCCGTGTCGTTGCCATCGTCATCCACTATCGACGAGGATGCGTCCTCGTCTTGTGCCGCAAAGGACCTGCTGCCTTCAGCAGCCCCTGTGCCGGGTAGTGGCTCACAATTCGAGGTGAGGACTACCTCATGGTCGACGAAGGTCCTTTGGCTGGTGGCGGGCGACTGGTTCTCCTGTGTGTTGTCGTATGGTGTATTCATGTTTTCGATTGGGGAAATTAATGTTAAGGTATGTACGGAAACGTCTCGCTGATGCTGCGGTTGCAGGTGAATCTTGCTATCCTGTAGACGAGGGCAATCTGGTCAGTGTCCAGTTCTCGGGGGTTGAGAATTCCTTGCCTCGGTCAAGGCTCACCGGTTCGCATCAGCCTGGTTATTGGCTTGATTATTCACAAGTGGCCGTGAAGCCCCCAGTCTATGTCCACTAAATAATTAAGAAAGAATGCAACCAGGCTGTCACCAGGTAAGAATGAGCAATAAACTGAAGTGTGGGACAATTGAACCCCGACCACAACCCATTTAAATACCTGCCTGCGTAAGGCTAGGCCTATACCTCGATATTTCCTCGGGAAGCCATGCACCCCGTCTAATCACGCTTCGTGATGCCAACAAATTCAAGGGGGTCATCACTGATCCGGTCTATTGATTCATTCTTTGGGCTATCTGTTAATCTGGTACCAGGACCCGCGGCTTCCGTACCCACATCGTGGCAAAACTCCGCATACTGGCCGGCCAAAGACGGAAAATGCTCATAAAGCAATCTTGGCCAAACTGGAGTCTGCGTGTACACGTGTAGATGAGGGACGTTCGTCGGAAGATGCGGCTATCCTTGGCGGTGTTTATAATCACCTACTGCATTAAGTCCGTGTGGTTAAGCTTAAACCATTTTGCAGGGGTCTTCAGAATCGGAGCCCGCGAGGACACCGGGAACGCGTATTTTTTTCCGAAGAGTCCCAATGCCCCCTTCAAAATTCCCCTGCATCCCCCACACTTCAACCTACGTTCAATTGACCTCAAGTGGTCGACGCCCAGATACCTGCAAACTCTTTTGAACTGTATTGCTCACTCCCATCATTTGGAATATGTCTATACTCGCAAGTCCGACAATAAATGATATACTAACTCAAATTCCATACTTGAATAACCTCCATGGCTGGTCGGAATCAAATACCTATACATTGGCTGCAGACCCTGCGGCCAACAAAACGATGATTCCGGATTCCATCCTATCTATACAAACATTGACGACACATCGTAAATCTGAATTTATACACACCGGTACGTCATTTGTGCTATGCTGTTCAATCCTTTTTCGTCCTCTGGGGATATATCGTTCAAACTCTTATGCAGCTTTCCAATCTGCTGAATGAGATCATTGGCTTCATAAATACTCCCCTCCTAAGGCCAAATCACGATGCGCTAGGGCAAGCGATGTACGACGATCAACTCGACGCCCTGCGAATTGATGATGAAGATTGGAAGAAGGGGTTCTCCTCTGCGTATGGTGCAGCCTGCACGAACGAGACTTTCCTCTTCGGGCTGGACCCACGACTTCACGAGAGGACTCCATGGAGCTGAGTGCTTGGGTTCGCCAATCGCTGGCCATCACTGCTGAAACAGGATACACGGGGTCCATCCGGGCTTTTGGAAATTTCCGGCCTCCGGTCTCGCTTCCTTCGTCACCGCATTTGCGGGATTTGACTGAGAAGTTTAGAGATTAGATCTCTTGTTCAACTTCTGTAAACAACAGGTTTCTCAGCGCAGATGGTATGGCTTGGGATCACGGGGATACAATGAATACCCATGACAGTGACAGACATGTCTAGCGCTATGACGTTGGGGATTGAGCCTAGGACAACTCAGAGCTATCTCCCGACCTTTGGCTATGGTGGTGCTTCCTGCGTACCTGACGAGAAGATACGTACCGACTTGCCGAGACCCTCATTGGACACGCAGGTGAGGTGGACGTCTACCATCTTGGCCCGTGCAAGGATTTGGGTAGCCGATATGGGGTGCAACACTGGAGCGATAGCTGCGGACATCTCCGAGTGTCCGATGCACTCTGTCGCCGGATGTTATCCTTTCTCTGGTGGGTACAATAGAGTTGGTGCGCTGTTGCAAGATACTCTATGGCGACAAAACTTCGCTCGTGCTTGACCCATACAGCAAGGTGAGGGCCTATCGAGGGACTTATGTCGCAGAGACGTATTCCTTGTCCATATTCTTGGGCACAGGCTGGACTGAAATCGTGGCTTCGTGGTTCATCGAGTGGGAGCGACGTGGACTTCGATGGGAACAAGCGGTTGAAAAACTCCGCCATTAGATGGCAGGTGCTGGGAGCTTGAGGGGTGGATTCATGACTGGGTTGATCTCCTATGACTTGGAAAGCAATCGCATCTCACCACCACCCAGTGATTCATGCAATGATAGGGTGGTTCGGATTTCCCAACCGTCCGCCGCGTTCAACCTCGTCGAACTTTGGTCAGAAATTGTTCCGGCATTCGGGGCAGTCCTGCCTGATGGGTTTCTCGATGCTTGTTTATTGAGTATTGTCGGTTTGTAATGCCAACTCCGAAGGACAAATCGATCGCTATGGCAGACCATTCAACAAACTTCAACTTAGGCAGGGCCATTCCCATCTTACAGCTTATGCAGCGGTCCATAAAACCGATGCAGATCTGGCTTCGAGGGCCTGGAAGGAGTTCTACACAGGGGATAGCTATGGTCCGCACGTGCAACGCAATCGCCTAACTTTGCATCAGGGTCTAGCGTCCGAAATTGTCGATGAGACTCCATGGGTCTCTACCAACATCTCTGGTCGATAAGGTCTGGCCGCAATTCAGAATTTGGCCGTGACTGCAGGTCATCACTCCAAAGTTTCTATAGAGGATTTAGACAGTGTTGATACCGTAGATCTCGAAAACAGTGACAGACGAGGCTGGGTAGTATTCTAAGTTTGGTGAGAAATACCAGGCAGTAACCGTACCTTTGACTTCAAGAGAAGGTGTTGGCGTTCTATTGATAGGTAACCACCCGGGTGCGGGCTTGTCACGCAGTCATGACGGACACCTGTTGATGAGAGCCCAGCAACAAGACACGGACGCTTCCTTCCTGTGTCTCTATCGCACTTGCGAACGAATTCACAAGGAAAGTCCGGCCCAGAGGGATAGTTTCTTCCTAGTTGCAATGTTTATTGCAATTGGAATTCAACACCGCCCTCAGGAACCTTCAAACTTTCAAGGTCTCACCTCATTCACTCACATTCTCTCGTCTCCATTTAAACGCTTGCATAATTCAGTCAGATATACCACTGCCAGTCATGGCAAGTAAGGATGAGGACGCCAACGACAACGTGAGGGCCAACCATGCCGCCATCAAACCCCAGTCACAGGACCAGAGAGATCCTCCCGATTCAGGAAATGATGGCGGGCATATCATCCTTCCTGAAGCCGGCGATGGGCATGCAGAGTCATCACATCAAGACGGATCAGCTCCCACCCGCGACCAGTGTGACACGCCTGGGTGTCGGGGTCATGACCCAGATGAGCTCGCCCCGAAGCTAGCCATACAGTGCACAGCTTGTTTAGAAGAGCTCCCATCAATCAAGATGTTTCAACTGACCTGCAAGCACTAGCACTGCTGCAAATGCCTGGCGGACAATTTCAAAATTTCACTCTCCTTGGGCAGCCGATTCCCTCCCCGCTGTTGCAACGATATCAATCTCGATATTAGGATGTTGAAAACGCTACCAAAAGAGCTAATACTTCGTATCTTGGCCAAGAAGATAGAGGTTGAAACGCCTGAACGCACATACTGCCATGTCCCGACATGCTCAACCTTCATCCCTGAGCATCATATCTTAGGGAAGGTGGGAGTATGCCCCCAATGCGTTTCCACGACTTGCGTCACTTGCAAGAAAGAGTCCCACCATGGGGAATGTCAAGAGGCGAGAGAAAAAAGCAGGGCAATATGCCAGTCTTGCAAGAGTTTTATTGAGCTCAAGCCAGAAGAGGGTTGCTACCCCATAAGTGAGTGACTCAAGTACCAGTGGAAAGACGTTCGCACAATGGTCTCTTCATACATTCTGACAAGTAGGACAGCATGCCCCTGCGGTCAAAAGTTCTGTGATGTCTGTGGATCGACATGGCAGACTTGTAAGTGTGCCAGTGGGGAAAACGAGCCGCTACGCAACAGAGCCGCCAATGCGGCAGACCTTGCCATGCTCGATCAAACCGTACCACACCCTGAGGATCGTCGTCAATACCGAGAACTGGTCAAAACGTTTGAAGTCAAAATAATGCAGATGGAAGATTGTGAGCATTTGTGGAGGACCGTCATGGGCGAAGGCATGTGCGAGACCTGTGGCAGCCGTGTGCTCCTGTGGCGCAACGTCTGCCGAAGATGCAACATTGCGGTGTGCCGGCTATGCAGGGGTCGTATCGCATGAAAAGCAGTTGGCACACGAAGCACACCGCCTTCAATCTTTGGCACTGCCCTCACAATTGGCACGTGGAACATTTTGGACATGCTTGTCTTGGTATGAACACTCCAGCGACGACGCGACTGAATCAGAACCATCAAGTGCCTATGACACAGGAAGCGACCACATAACCATAGCGAGAAAGACTACATAAGTAATAATTAAGACAGGTCTCCTAAATGAAAGCAAGCGAAAATTTACACAACATATCTGAAATGAGGATTCTGTCGCGCGAATTGTGAGTGAAGGTCACGTGAATTGAGGGAAGGTGATATCTGCGTAGCAAAACTCACTTTCAGATCTGTAAGGTCGTCCTCGTAAGCGTGCTCGAAGCTCTCCAATATACCTGCCTCGTCCCGCTTGCGATTATGCTGCAAGCACACGTAGCGATAGACGAGCAACAGCAGCGCAGCAATGGCAGTCGAGACGAGAACAACGATGAAGCCCGGCTTGTACCGCGGCGCGTCCTGCTCCCTGAACACCAAGGGCCCGATGATGTTGCCGATGCAGTACGCGACGTAGATGCCGGCCGACGAGGTCGCGCGCTTGGTGTACCCCGCTGTGTTGGCCAGCTGGGTGCTCAGCATGAGGATGTACCCGGGTATGCCGCATCCGATGGTCATGGCCCCATACAATAGTCCACCCCTGTCAGACATTGGCAGAAGCCACAGGAGCAGGGCGGACAGCATGCCGACGAACTGGCAGGCGATGCTGATCCAGCACCGCCACATGGGTCGCTTCACGGCCAGGTACGATACTCCCAGGATTTGCAGGAAAGCCACTGCGCCGGTCGGCATGTTCAGCAGCAGCGAGGGGAATGTGCCGTAGCCGAAGCCCTTGATGATGATTGGAATGAATGAGGAGGTTGGTCCATTGGGAATCAAGGCGAAGACGGTGAAGAAGAAGCAGAGCCAAAACTTGAGGTCGAGAAGGGTCTCCTTTACCTGCTCAAGCTTGAGATGGGTGTTGCGCACGCCGGCGTTGTTCGATCTGATGCGTGCGACGGCGATGTACCGCTCCCTTGCTGTCAGGCTGCGGGCACTGATCGGATCGGCGGCCAGGATGAAGGGTATTAGCAGGCCCCATAAAGTAGTGACTCCTCCGGCGAACAGGAACATGATCTTCCAAGGCGCAATACTTCCTTGGATCTTGCCGAAGCCGTAGTTGACAAGGGTGGACAGGATGACGGCGGGTCCGACGAAAGCAGCGAAACAGCCTATCCGCAATGGCTGTTCCACCTTCTTATACCAACTGCCCTGTTGGTTTGTTTAGTTACAAATTCGACTAGGGAGTGGAGGGCCCAGGCAAGACCTACGCTGATGAGGATAAATATCGGTGAGACACCGCTTTCCAGAAACCCAAGGAAGAAGCGTTGGGTGTAAAGGGCCCGATAGTTATGGCATTCAGCCGTTAACATGACGCATACACCCCAGATTGTGACAAGTATAGCAACGACGCGCGCGGTGGGAAACCTTTGAGCCAACATTGTGATCGGCCAGCACCCAATGAGATAGCCAATGTAGAATATCGCCGACGAGAAGGAGTAGCGGTTGCCCACTTCGAGCTTCAGGTCATCCCTCAGGCCGAAGATTGCCTATATTTGTCTCAAGAATCAGCATACAAGATCTTACGCACATGAAGACTGTTGAGAAGGGGGAGACAAGGAGAAAACCCCCAGGTACACTCACTGCTTGTGATAGTATTCCCTTGTCATACCATGTTAAAAAGAACGTGAAGGCCAAGACAGGCAGCAACCTCCGGTCAATTTTTCGTATCAAGTTCTTCTCCTCTAGTGCGCTCCATTCCTCTGGTCCTCCCGCAGCTACGTAGTCGGCCAGGATCCTCGCCGCCTCATCGTGATGGAAGCTGTCGACTGAGCCCACATTTCTGATGGTCTTTTCGTTGCTGAACCTCGTACCGTCGTCATCCTTTCCGTATATGACCTCAATATCTTTGTTTGCTTCTCCAGACATGACTGTGTGTCAGAATAATATGGTCTCTAGGAAAGTATACAATAGTGTAGGACTCGGTGGATGGTGAATATGGTGCGAGAAAGCCGTCGACGAACGGTCTTAAATCTGAAGTGCCTTGTCCCTCATTATTGTAAACCGAGGCATGTTTAAAACTCAAGGTAGATGGCCGACGGGGACTTTCGAAAGTCCATTCTGGCATTGGTAGGGAGCATCCGGCAGATGTCACCTAGGTATGCAGGTGATGTGGCATGCTTTTTTTTGGCATTTCAGTCTGGTGCAACTGTGCAGCCGTTGGAACCTAAAGCCTCGTCACGCATGCCAGTATTGGATGACAGTGCGACCGACATGGTTTGGATAATGCTGGTTTGCCTTTTTGGGCTCCAACATTGAAAGCGACCATGCCCGGTTCCTAAGGAGGTGTCTCCCTGCTACAACAATTGCATTCAATCGCTGGTCCGCGTTATTTTGAAGCCACAAAAACCAGAGACTTGTACCGTACCCCAGATTGATAGAGATTGAAAATAGAGATCGAGGGAAGAGAGTAACGTGTAAGCTTACTGAATGCATGCTGACATGCGTCCAGCACACATGTGAAGGAGTTTGGTGCAGATCTGGGAGAGTTCTGGCCAAGATGTGCCCGCACTGCTTGGTATAGGCTTAATTTGAGGCAAGTTTGCATTAATGGGCAAGCTGACTGGTAACTCAGCAGGCTGACATGCGCTGCGACCTTCCCATCTCCAAAGATAACGCCAGTGAGACAATTCAACGGATGTTTAGATTCTAGCTTTGCAGTCGGTGGAAAGATTGTTTACTCGAAGGACCGATTGGCTGTGCCTGTGCATTGCTTCTCTCGGAGTCGGAGGTGAAGATTGGACAAGGTTTCGACGGCACGGCTCGAGTATATCCCGCCCCATCATCTTGCTTCAGGGGCGGAAATACGGTACAGTGGCGATTAGGTTTTGACTCCTTTTGTGTTTGCTATTCCGGCGAGGGGAAAAGGAGAGGTCTGCCATGTTAAGATGAACATTAACATGAACAAAAGCCTCGAGCTTGCGTGTGATTGTCAGAGCTTGGTGACGAATCTGCCTTTGGATACCGGAAAAGTCGGATGCTTGCATCCCAATCAAGCTTTTGAGGCTCGTCTCTGACATCTATTGAGGATTTCTCTGTGGGCATGGAGCAATGAAGAATAGGGGATAGGGGCATTTAATATTTGGTGCTACATGTTGTCAAACAGAAGATCGGAAGTGAAAGGATGCTCCTGGTGGTTCAGGGGGAGTCAGTGGGGGGGGGGATGCCACGAGGGTTTGACCACGCTTACATAACACGTGGTGGGGCAAATAGACGTCAAGACTCAACCTCGATGATTCGTCTGCGCCGGCTCATGCTAGGATGTGGCCCTAGAAAACCTCACCTCAAGATCAATCATCGATTCATCACAGCACAATCTGTGAAAACGTGTCAACCAAAAACAGATTGATATTTCTAACTCGACAGCACTGAATGGCTCTGATGAGGTAAAGCTCGGCTGTCGCTCAGTGCCAGTGCGTGAGCCAGGGCGAGGATGGCCGCGGCTCTGAGCCCAGAGGTCCAGTTGATGCGGCGACGCGTTCGCCACGTCCACATACCTGACCTCCCACCTGTGTACGCCCCGCGACGTCTCCCTACCAACATCCGTGATCACATCCAGGGTCAGATCACCCGCCAGCGCGCTTTTGCTGAGGACCTCTCAATCGACGATGCCGCTCATGGCTTTGCCAAGGCTCCATCCTCTTTTGTCTCCTGGGTAAAACGAGCTGGCCCACCGCCGACAGTCCTTTCATTCACCCGTCGTCCTACTTACATCCTTCCAAAACACCTGGTTCAGGCCCAGGAGCCATGGCAGGCCGAGTACCTCACGAAATCCCTCAAGAGCAGGATGAACCTCCATTTCCCCGAGCCGCCCGGATGGTCCTCACTACCTTGGAGGCCTTTCTGGGAACAGAAAGTGAAGGAATCCGAGTGGAAGCACGATCCTCTCAACCACGAATGGCCTGACGTGGGAGTTCTTATCATGCCCTGTGCAGAAGCAATGTTTCTCGGACCAGGCCAGGTGTCTATTTGGCCCATTATCGATCTTAAGGACGAGATCCAACGAGGCCAAGCCAAGCTGAAGACCAAGTATGAGTACGAAAGAATATTGGAGGACACCACCATTGAGATTTTGAGGCGAGAATTCCACATACCAGCATTCGCCATCCCAGGATCAACTGGCATCTGGGTTGAGTCTAGAATTCCGCCCCCAGAGGTTGATGTGGATCGAGTGGACGGAGCCGAGACTCCAAGCCGGCCAGAAAGTATGGATGTCGCGAAACGGCGAGACAATATACGACGCATAGCCACCATTCATACCTCCATCACTGACGACATCACCCAGTGGGGCGTCTCGATTCATGTCGGCCAACCAACCCCCACAGTAGAGTCATGGACCAGCTTCACGAACCCATGGACACCTATACGCCAGCACACTACCACTACTAGCATAGCAGCTGAGCTTGCATACATGAAAAGCACCGCAAGCCCCTTAGGTCCGAGCAAATACATGTTGACGCACTTTGACCAAAACGCCGTGCCTGCTCGGGCTGGACAAGGCGCCCTGCCCTATAGCTTGGTAAAGGTCGGTTCGGGGCGGAAAAGCCCCGCACCCTTGGGCATGGATAACCGTGATATATCCACTGCATGGACGTACGAATTCGCCCGTCAGCTAGGCATGAAAGATGGCCACGTGGATCACTATAGCATGGTCGACACAGATGACACAGATGCAACCCAGGTGCCGACCAAATCTTCCGGTGCAGGCTTCAGGTTTAAGGGAGTCTTCTCGGAGGACATCATGAACAAAGCGTACCAACAGGTAGACGTTCCACCGCTCCTGGTCGGCCAGCATGAGACGGTGTCGCCGGGCATCATGGAGGACTCTATGCGCATAGAACACCACGACGGGAAGATCGACTCCACTACGCACGACGGATGGCTGCTCTCGTGGCCGCTGTGGGAATCAACGCTGATCCAGAAGCTTGACGAGGCCATTTGCGGCGGGCCATGCGACACGCGTCTGAAGGCCTACGGGTTGCAAAAGCAGGTTTCTTCGCAGCTGCAGCGCCGCAGGAACGAACTGAAACGGGCAATGGAGGTCGGCGAAGAGTGGCGTGCGGATATGCCGCACCTCATCCGGCGGCCTCTCCATGACGATGTCATTAGGGAGCTGGCCGACCGGTCGCGCGAGATGGAGCGCATTCTCAAGACAGTGCGGATAGGCACAAAGTCCGCGAAATTGCTGAACAGCACGATCCAGATCCGGAGGCTGCTCGAGAGACGCTTCGCAGGCGCGTTCGACAGGAACGCGGGGAACCCGGTCCTCAAAGAGGCCGAGCTTTCGCCTGTGTCTCGCGTGGCCTCGAAGGCAGCTTCGACTACGAGCGCTGTCACTTCAACTACTAAGGGAGCCACCAAGCTTTCTCCAAAGCTGGCTCGGACTACTAATCCAGCTCAAGCCTCGGAGACCAGACCTCCCAACTCTACACAAAATCAGACGAAAACCACAAAAAAACAGCCGCATGAGCTAGAGGCCCAAAGCGGCCCGATGTCATTTCGACAAAAAAGGCCAGGCGGATTGGTTGAGTTCGCGGAAACTAAAGCACAGGAACGCAGAAAGGTGCTTCAGGAGCGTGGCAAGGGCAGTGTCCGTATAAAACGTCTTTCCTTAGTCGAATCCACCGATCCAAAGCTCGAGGTAAATTGGGAAAAGGTTAATGAGGACGTGAGAGCGCACCAGGAGCACCTAGAAGCAGCCAAGAAGCTCGGGAAGGATCTGGTCAGGAAGTTCCGGTGGAAAGGCCCTCACGCCAAAGACGCCAGTCAAGGAACAGCTGCTGTAGGAATCTCGCAGTTCCTGCCAAATACACAGCAGATAGGAGGGCCTTGAAACTGTGGTCTCGGCAGAACCTGTACCATATCGGCGCGTTGTACGAGTTTAGACGGATGTAATATGCATAGACACTACATAACCCATCATCAGCTTTGTATGTGAACCAACTCCCGACACTTCGGCCCCAGCAGTGGGTCTCGAGCGAGGCGAAAGGCATCTTGCAGGTCGATGATACACGACCCGGTACGGGACACGCTGCACTGCCCGAGGTGGAGGGACTGGGTTCCCTCGAGAAACAACGGTGATGTTTCGGAGTCGAAGGTTCGCGTAGCGCGGGGCAAGCGTGATCGCATCTATGGTCACTGGGCCCTTGAACGAGGCATGATGTTTCGTCCCTCTTCTACTGAGCCATTGACTTAATCACTGCGCAGACTTTTACACTACCCGCGATCTAAAAGAGAATGCAACGGCCGTGCCCTACCGGAGTTCTGCCCACTAAGAGAGCTGTTCCTCCGCGCGATTCCTGGTCTCTCCCACCAGACGCCTCGCTATTTTGCCCGTTCCATATGCCGCCCAGGATGTCTGGGTCATATCGGAATAGTAGCCCAAACAATGCAGGTTGCGTCCCGTACTGTACAATACACGTATAGTTGGAAGGGGGTATGATCCACTTCATAGCACACGCACTCCCTGTCTCGTCGCCCCTCCTTGCGGGGTGAGTACCGCCGAATCAAGATGCTCGACCTCGAGCGACGACATGATGAAGGCGGAGGCGCCGAGGACGCTGTTGTAGGCGATGGGTTGCTCGATGTAGTACTGTAAGCCAAAGGCACCGTGTCAGCATCATAGTCTTGTTGTCTGCAGGAACTGCTTCCGGAGAGGCTTGAGAGAGGATGGCTCGAATGGGGGCTTACATCGTAGCTCGCAGTTGAGTTCAAACTGCACACGCCGACCGTGCCATTCCACCCCAACGTCCCGTCCTCCTCGATGATGACAAACTCGCGAGCAAGGAAGTCGTGCGCAACACGACCAGCTTTCTGCGCCCGCGGGACATCAAAGGTAGACAGGTAGCCCAGACGGGCGCCCTTAAGCAGAGCGTAGCTGAACATGGCACTCGCGCTGGACTCGATGTAGTTGCCCTCGCGGCCAGCCTGATCGACGACCTGGTACCAGCAGCCTGTGCGCTCGTCAGCAAAGGTCATAACCACGCCCGCCAGGCGCTGGTACATTCCCAGCAGCGGCTCGCTCCAGACGGCAGCCTGCGGCCCCGTGCCCAGCAGCTCCATTGTGTCGACGAGCGCCATCATGAACCAGCCCAGGCTGCGGCCCCACACGATGCCGGACGCGCCGTTGCGGGCGTCGGCCCAGACTGCGGTGCGGCTGGCGTCGTAGCCGTGCACGAGGAGGCCCGTCGTGCTGTTGTAGCAGTGCTCCCACAGCAGCTGGAACTGCAGGTGCATGTCCTGCAGGGCGGCGGTGTCGGGGTCGACCTTGGTCTCGGCGCTCGAGGTGTTGTTGCTGTTGTTACCGTGCACGGTGGAGAGGGCGTCCAGGACGGCGAAGGGTCCCAGCGAGTACATGCCGTCCAGGTAGCTCCACTGCGGGTAGCTCTCCCAGTACCACAGGCCGTTCTCGTCGTTGCGCCGGTTGAGGCGGATGCTGTCGCGCAAGGCGTCTAGGGTGAGGTCGTAGGCGCCGCCGTCGCTCAGGAACAGGGCGTTGCCGGCCGAGAGGCGGTCGAGGGGCCAGAGCTTGAGGTCGTCGATGGTGTCTGCCATGAAGGCGGCGGTGGCGTCGGCGCTGTCGACGATGTACTTGTAGATCAGCGGGTGGCCGCCATACTGGGCGCTCCAGGCGATCATGGCCTTCTGGGTGATGCCTGCCTGGAGGGCGAGGCCCGCCTGCTTGGTGCTGTTCATCAGTCCCTGCCGGCGGGCGATGATGCTCATGGCCATGTCGGTCGAGTAGATCTTGGTGGAGGGTGGTTGGGGATGGGAAACGTTGCGGAGGGCGCCGGCCGCTGATATGACGCCGAGGGTGACGAAGGATAGCACCAACAGGATTCCGGCCATGTTGTTTAGTTTGAAGATTCTGGCGGTTTTGATCTTGTGTATTAGGTCATCTGCGAGAAAACACGAGCGTTGTGATGCTTTTCTGATGAGCGCAGTTGCGGCAGTACGTGTTTGTTCGAACAAAAGCGGTGGGAAAAGGTCAGATAATTTCATGAGCCTGGATGACGACGATGTGGAAGAGGAAGTTTTACTCCAGTCTGTTGGGATCAAATGTTGAGTGGGATCTCACTGGGAAGCACAGATGGCCTTGATATTTCGCACCACCGACTACTTGAGTGAAGTCAAGTCGACAAGATGCAACCGACAAACATTACTGCATGATCATCAGCAGGCGGACGCGCGGGCTGGATCAAGGAAACATTTCAAGACCAAGCGACACGTGATGCTTTCCCATTCACTTTCGTCGGAAAATTGGACTTGCGATCGTGACTTGAAGGTTGCTGTTTTCATCGTGATGTAGTGAAAGACGATGTGGGAGCAACTTCTTGTCATCACTCCTTTTCAATGTTCAGGATCAAAATGGTCTCTCCACAGTCCAAGGCTAGAATGCACAATGACTGCACTGTTAGAAGTCATCGATGACCAAATTCGCACCCGAGCTATGATGGAGTGATGGTCTCTTGCAGTCTTGTGACAGTTCACCCGTATGTGATCCATCAGGCTATGTGCAGAACAAGCAAGGTGCAGATCAAATAAAAAAGCCGATGCTCACCAGGTATTTTGAGTGTATGTTGTGCTGAATACAAGCACATACCATTAAAATTGCACCGTCACATATTATTTGCCCGGAATTTTGATTTGGCACACTGTGAATTAGGGAACAAATAGTGTCGTTGACCTGGCAAGACCTCAAGTCTTTGAATCTGTCACTGAGTCACCGAGGTCAGGCCAGCTCACGACATGCTCAGTGCAATGAACTGCTTTGAATATACTGCTGCTTTCCTGTCCATCAAAATGCAAATCTTTGTATGAAATGCTGGATTGTATTCCGCTAGGAATTCCAGTCTTTTGGGTTGAGATCGAGGCTGGCACCGCGCCCAGGGAGACCAGTGGACATCATGGTATCAATGTATCAGGTGCAAGAGGATGGGCCATCAATCTGGAAGATTAAAATCAAAGTGTTTCTGTCCAGCTTAGAGGTTTATGGCATGCACCTTACCAGATGCTCAGATATCTGGAAGCTGCATTATTTGCAGGCTGACAAACAACCAAGTTCAAGTTTCCAGCATTGCCTGCATGAGTGTGGAGCGCCCTTAGAACTGGTGATCAACTTGTCAAGGCAACCCCTCTGTATTACTCTGGAACTGCGGGCCTCTCCTGGTGTCCTCCTGATGAAAATGTATGTAATGGAGGCATGTCAAGAGGCGAGGTATGACATTTGCCCAAATGGGAAGCCTTGATCACCAAGGCTTTGGTGGCTTCCGCTTTGGTCATGCTCCTGGACCGTCAAAGCTGCAAACACAGGTTGAGCCTCGTTCCTCATTCACCTCCAGCTTTGCACTTGGCCGTGAACTGCGGCTGCGAAGCAAGGCGTCCTTTGCGTTTCCTCCACACTGGTCTTCTGTCCGAGTTCCCTTGGGCTCAATCTCAGCTGTCCAGTCTCTCTCGCCCTGTCTCTTGCCGTCCAGTCTCTTTCGGCCAACCCTTTCCTTCTGTCAAGTCATTCAATCCTAACTCCCCACTACCAGATTATTGCGTCCCAAGTCCTGTTACCCCAGATCTTCCTGCTCTATCTACCGTCCCGTCAGTGTTCTTACACACCAGGCCAATCCCCAAAGATCGCCAGTCGACTACTCGAGGTTACCGTCGCGATGCATACTGAGGTTCATAAGGCCAAATGGGACCTTATCGTGGCCATGATCGTGCTCCTCATCGCGGACACGCTGGTCATCGCCGCGCGTGTTTACGTTCGAGCCAGAATGATCAGCAACTTTGGCTGGGACGACCGCCTGCTCTGCCTGTCGTTTGTGAGTACACATCTGCGTTCTCCTTCCACATATGCCAACGTGAATGGTGACCTGGACAGAGACTGACGCCTTTCCCAAGCTTGGATACGTCATTGCCTGTATGATGGGCTTTGCCGCCATGTACTTTGGGTATGGCTATGACGGACCGCCCGAAGACTGGCCCCACTACGACCCAAAGATGGCCGAGAAGGTTTGTTAAGCTGCTGTTAGATACCTGATTTCTACATGCTAATCTCCTCCGTGAATGGCAGTTCTTGTACGCCAACCAGCTGACTCTGTACATCACGTCCGGCATCGTCAAGCTCGCAGTCGCCCTCGTTCTCTACCGCGTCGCCGTCAAAAAGTGGATGAAAATCACCCTCGGCTTCTCTATGGCGGTCGTGGTCATCTGGACTTTTATCACGACCATGTACTCGTCTTGGCTTTGCGTCGCCAATGGCACCACCAGTTACGTCAGCAGCTCGACCTGCACTTCTGTGGGTTTGTTCCGAACGATATCAAACATTTTTATCGATTACTTCTACGCCTTCTTCCCAATACTTATCATCTGGAACGCCAAGATGAACTTCCGCATGAAGTTGTCAGTCTGCTTCCTACTGGGTCTCGGCTTCTTGTAAGTTGTCCCAGAGCGTTACGAAATTGATCAATATTTGGAGCAAACTAACCCCGAGACTTGGCAGCGCGAGTGGTGCGACCATCGCCAAGCTCGTGATCGTTGTGAAAATTCCGAATGCAGATGCAGAGACACAGAAGATCTTGCACTACTACCTCCTGTTGTGGGCCGGTGTGGAACTGGGCCTCGCCATCTTCTGTGCTTCTGCCGCCGCCCTCAAGCCCCTCCTACGAAAGTTTCCTAAGATCTGGGGCTCTGCAAACTCTCGAAGTAACCACACGCCATACGGACCCATGTACGGACGATCAACGGACGCCAGCGCTTCTCATCGTCCTCAGGGCAGCACCGAGCCTTTGAGCGGAGGCTACCGCGAGCTGTCGAATACGGGCAGCAGATCAGATGGTCCTTCAGGAATTCAGGAATACGAGCTGAGCCAGATGGACACAGATCCGTCCCTCGAGCAGCAGAAGCGGTACAAGTACGAGAGACAGACCTTGAGGGGATGATATGGACGCGAACGAGATCATCTGCAGCAAAGGAACTTGGTATATAGTGAATAGTTCAGGTCAGGAAGATGTGGCGTCGGCATGGCAACACAGCTTCCATCCGCTCCAGACGTTCTAATTTTTGAGACAGGGCGGGCTCACAAGGCTTCAGAGCCTCGCGAATGAAGACCACCAATGGTACTTCCTCAGACTTGTTGTAACATGTGGGAGTGTAATCTTCTCTGGCTGTAGTTGCCACATCTGATTGATCTGTCCAAGCAATTGTGTTAGAACAGTAGAGGCATTGGAATACAGAAATCTTTTTTGAAATTCGCGAGGCAACAAACAGCAGTGTTACAAACACCAGGAGTCTCAACCCCCATCACTAACTACATTGAGGCCTATGGTGACTTCAGGTAAGTGAATGTGAAAGAGGCAGATCAAAGCTCTCGGCCACTCATGCAACCCTTGCCAATATTATCTGGCCACTACCCCCCCGAATAATACAAAGACTAACTCTCCCATCACAATCAGGCCCAAATATGGATGCCCTATGCGAGAAGCTATTTCTTGTGGCTTTATACGCCCGAAAGAGATAAAACGACCTCGGAAGACCTTAGTGGGGCAAAGTAAGCAATCGAGGCCACACACAGGCTATCTATAGACATCTGGACCTTTGCGCGCTTAGAGCACCTGTTCGAGGTTGTTGGATGCGAGTTCATCTGGAAAAGGTCTAGAACCTCACCTGTTTCACTTCATCATGAAACGGGGAGCGCCCTCTTTCACAGATCGCGCTTGGCAAACGAGGACGAAATAGGCAAGGAGTAGTGTGCGGCTGCGGACTAAGCGCCAGAAGACTTACTACTTTACGCGTGCGCTGTGGCGTAAGGGGCTCGAATGATCTATGAACAGATGCCTGACTGAATGAAGAAATTCTGTTGACGCATGGAACCTATCGAGTAAAGCGATAGGTTTGTATCTTCCAGCCGCATTTCTAGCCTTCCCTACACAGCTGTTCTACGTTATGTCGAAGCCAGCAGTGGTGATCCGGAACCTACTTCCCCAGATCACATAATCGGACTGTATATTGAAAACCAGTTGGAATAAGATTGTCTATCTCAGACTCGTGCCCACAATTCCGAAGACGATTTGCCCTTCGAAACAGCAAGGTTGGCGCTCTCGGCATCAGCTGCGATCGCCTTACAGCCTTATAGAATGAGGCTAGACCACCTGTCATAGACCCCAAGAGCGCCGCTAGGCACAGACCGAGGTAGCGCCCGCTTGAAGCAGCCTCAAGTGCTTGGGCACTGTACCTGGTTTCATCGTCCACATGTGGTATGGGCCACTGCCAAACGACCCAAGATAGCACAGAGATGCGGCTCTCGACCATCAAACGGACCGGAGTGGCGCGGTCAAACACGCCCACCCGGGTTGAGAGATCGTGAGGCTTGGAGCTAGTCACGAAGCGCGCGGTATTCGAGATCGAGTGATCTTTCAGAATTATAAATACCAACCAAGTTCTCCGTTCGGTGTATGAGCTATGAATTATCACATTGTCACTACACGAATAATAAACGCAGCTCAAAGACACTCACTAATAACTTCTGCTTCTCTCTCACGCCTGTTCAACAACAGGCCAAACAGCAACAATGAAGGCCAGCCTTTTCCTCTTTTCCGTCCTCGCGGCCATCGCGGCGGCCAAGACTACCACCGCCAAGGTTGACAACAAGCCGAGCCCTACCCTCAAAGACACGACCAAGACCATCGTCCGCAAGGCCACTCCCACCGTTGAGAGCGAGACAAGGCCCACCATCCTGGAGCGCGAGGCGGAGACCACCGGTGACTTGGGTAATTAGAGAGGAGGATGACATCGATGAGGCGACGGAGAGAGCCTGAGGAGAGGAGGCATAGATGGCAGGAACCAGTTTTCTTAGTATTCACAAGGCACAACGACACGTTATAGAGTATAGATTCCCAGCGACAGGTCTTTCTTCCCAATAGATTGCATTCGTGGTATCATCATCTGTACAAAGTGCCAGTCCCCATCCACAAAGCGCCTAGAAACGAGTGGAAGGCCCCGCAGGACCCGGAACGAGTGTGTTAAGAAAGTGAGAAAATGAACGTGGTCGACCATGTGAAAGCGACCGTGGTGGGGCACTGCCCCAAAGTCAAACGGCTTGCCTCACCTACTCGGCACGGATACCACCTAACAAATCCAGAAAGAAGTCATCAATCATAAAGCTCATAAGTAGCCATCCTCGGCCCGCCGCCAAGGCCGGCCCCGAAACGAAAGATCCCATCAACAAGCAACATTCCCCCTTTAAGAGCTCTTCTGCTTAGGGTTCGCGGGACACCCGTCGTCGGTCGAACCGATGCAGCACGTAACCTCGGCGCCCTGGCACTGGCCCTCGGAGTTCGCGTCGTCGCGGGGCCACGTGAAGGCGGCGCCCTCGCAGGGGGCGAAGAAGCTCGTCGCGGTCAGCTTCTCCGAGTTGTCGGGCCTCAGCGGGTTGGCGCACGCGCCCTCCCCGTTGTTGGTGCCCGCGTCGCCGGTGCAGTTGCCCATGCTCCACAGGTCCAGGGAGCAGCCCGACAGCACCGACTTGTCCTTGTTGCAGGTGCAGGTTATCGGGACGGAGAAACCGTTGCTGTGTGCAGGGGTGGTCTGTTAATTGTAGTCCTTAAAAGACGGGGACGACAAGGGGGCGGGGCGGTGATACTTACACGTACGACACGTCCATGTCGACTCGGTAGCCAACGTCGCCCCATGACATCAACGACCCCTCAAGCAGTGAGCCATCACCGTTCATGGGGTACTCGGCTAAATTGACAGCAACATTGCCAGCCCATTCCTGCGGTGCGACAAGGGTGGCGGTCTCGCCCGGCTTCAAGGTGCCGGTACCAGTGCCACCGGAGACAGGACCGGGCACGCCCGCATTGCCGACGTACGAGGTGCTCACGGGGTCGGCCATCTTGTTTACTACGGTGATGGTGAGCTGGCTGGGTCCCGCGGTGACGCTGGCCTGGCGGGGATTCTGGGCATGGTAGGCACGGAAGCTGTCCTGGCGCTGCTCCAGCGAAGGGGGGGGGGTTTCCTTGGGGCCGCTTGGAAGAGCGGTGGTGAGGGCGAGGAAGCCCATGAGGGAAAGGAGCGAGATGTTCATCTTGGAGAACATGTTGGTATATATTTGATCGAAAGAAGGAGTGGAATGTTCGTCAAGAACAATGGAAAGGAAAGCCTGCTTGTGGTCTCTTCACTCGGAGCTCAAGGAAAGACTGGAGATGAGCAGTGGTTTTATTGAAGGAGAGACTGGTGTGTGTTAGAAGGAATGACTGATGTGAGTGTTTGAAGGAGAGACTGGTGTGAGATGGTGTTGTCGTCCACAGCCCAGGGGACACGACGAGGTTTAAGAAGTCATAAGATGGCACCACGTTTTTGACGTCGGTCAGTCGACATGCTGGCCCTCCGAGACGGCCGCCATAATATCAACTCGATACCAGAGGGCCACGATCCCCTTGGGAAATGCTCGCGACCGACTGTATTGTCCTTCTGGGGCCCGCTAAGATCGAATGAACTACTAGTAGAGCATGTCGTGCTGAGGGGGGACGGCCAGGGGCCAGGGAAAAGAGGTGTAGTGTAAGCCACAAGAATAGTAGACCCCGGGCCAGAATCGAAGTGTTCATCCGGTCACTGCCACTTACGACAGATGACGAGAGTCTAGAATGCGACATGGATCGAGCGGAGGGAAGCCAGGCCGTCATCATTGGTGGGCCGGGTGGAAGGCCGGACGATGTTGGACATACATTGCCCCCTGCCTGATGTCTCACCCTTGAAGAAGTTTCGACATCTCGAGTCTCCAACGACAGCCGGCAATGAGGAAAGAGTAAACGCAGTCAGATGCACGTCAGCTCGAACTGCCGTGAGACATTCCGAGTATGTGCAGAGCATGTGCAGCCCATCTGTCATGCAGGCCTTACAGGCACGTACCGGTGCAGCCGGCCCATTCCGACGACCCAAGCCCCATCAGCAAGCCACATCTGGAATTTAGAGCCCGCGAAGGAGGCCGCGATGGCTGCAATGGCCCAGGAACAGACCTGCGAGCCATCTCTCTCCACAAATGAAAACTCAACCACGCAAGGGAAGGATACACACCCATGAAACTGGGAGGATCAGCTAGGGCCCAGGTCAGCAAAGCCGAAGTAGTTTTCTTGTCACACACGATCTTGACGGGGTTTAAGAGGATGATAAACATGATTGGATAGGACTCTTAAAACTCGACATTCGAGGGGGGAATCGCACGACAGGCCCCAACGCCATACAATGCTCCACGGTAGCAGAAAGAACCAACAGGAATGCGAATCCCGAACACAGCGAAAGCGCTTAGCGGCTGAGGGAGATAGGAGATGGACTCTTCCAATTACAGCCCTCCGTTACCCTCAGCTCGCCCCTAGGGTCTCGAGAGCGCGCCTCAGCTCCCGAACGGCGGTGGGCACATCTTCGAAGTTCAGCGCCGAGATCGCCCACTTTGCATGCTTCTGTGCCTGAGACATGGCCGCGTCGTCCGCGGTGAACGCGGCCGGGGCCTGTTGGCCGAACCCGCCCGGCGCTGTGGGGGCCGGAACCGAGCTGGCAAAGCTGGTTGGAGTAGGGGCGACGGGCCGCGGGATGCTAGCCGGCGGTGGAATGTTTTGAGGGGTTAGGTTTGTAGGTGGTGGGGAGAACGTGGGCGGGGGTGCGACGGCCGCGGTCGATGGAGCACTCGGGGCGAAGGTCGGTGGCCCTGACGGGGCAGATGGTGGTGCGAATGACGACGAGGCCGGCGGAGGTGTCGGTGTCCATTCAGGAGCTGAGGGGCCAGGGGCGCCAGCAGTTGGCGTAAAGCTGGTCGGTTCGTTTGTTGGCGGCGAAATAGGGGACGGCAAAGTTGGTGGCGGGTCGAAGTAGCCAGGCGAGGCAGTAGACCCTGCCTCATCACCGTAGCCCGGCGCACTTGGAAGCTTCAGTTCGTCGTTGTCGGGGACAGAGGCAGGGGGATCCGGGAGGACCGGAGTATGGGGCAAGGAGACTCCTGCTGAGTCCCTCTTGAGATCTGGATCTGGTGCATCCTCCACCGTCGCAGCTTTTGGCACCTGGTCTTGTCCCTGTGCGGATGGACTCCCCAGCGCTTGAACGTCAGGATCGGTAGGGTCAAGGGCCGGTTGCTGGGGTGGCAGGTCCTCCTTCTTGGGGTTTGACTCGTTCGGGTCCTTGCCCTCCTTTATAGCCCTTGTGATACGCGCGGCATTCCACTTGGCGTACTTGATCTTCTGCTGCGTCTCGGTGTCGGGTGGGCCCCAGATATTGACGAGGTTGAAGAAGGTCAGAGCAGCGTCGAAGGTGCTAGCTGTCTGCTGGGTGACCTTGCCGGCTTTGATAACGCGTTCTGCCCTGTCCAAGGTCTCCTGCGCGAACTGCTCGATGTATGCCTGGGCGGTGGCGTCGTCCATGATCGCATCCTCGTTCGCGTATTCGTTCTTGGTCTACAACAAACCCAGTCAGCAGATGCGTCTCGTCAAGCTGTTGGAAGGTGGAAGACAGGCACATACCTGTTCCAGCTTGTCCATCAGGTTGGTTGTGTAGTTGAGGGTGTCTGCATCGGTGCTGTGTAGGTTCCTCGCCAGGATCTGGTTGACAACGTAGTATTCGCCTGCTTTCGGTCAGTCATCTCCTCATATCATGCGATACCGCAGCGCAAGAGAACATACACCAGTATGCGACGATGGGCTTGACATTTGACAGCTGGGTAGCTCTGGTAGCCGTCTTGTAGAGGTTGATGTCGGCCTGCTTGAGGCCCTGCGGTATTTCGTCCGCCATGGCTGGAGATGTACTTGTTTTGCGCCTCGAGATGCGACTCTGTGGGATTGGGCGATGGCTTCCAATGCACTCGGCCGAGTCTTTGAGCTACTGCAACTGTATATGGTGTCTTAAAGAGCTGCGGGACAATGGCGATTGTCAATGTCGAGCAGTGGGATGGAGGAAGGGCAAAGAGTACGGTGCGGTGTGGTTGTGACTGTGCTTGTGACAGGCAGCTGTGCTTTGGCTGCTTGGCTTGGCGGGGACGTAACGTAATGGCGGGCAAGGCCAGGGCCAGGGCACCTTGAGATATGGAGACCTGCACTTGGTGATGATCGTCGTCCTTGACCCCTCGAAGCTCGTGCCACAGTAGAGTTCAGAAACGGGTGTGGCTGAAGCTGTTCATTATGCAGGCAAATGTCTGAGTAGCAGACGGCAGAGTGGCATTTGCATGAATTTACCCCGGATTTTGGTCGCTGCTGCCGTCGCTTCTAGAAGCTCTCCTCGTCTCCTCATTCGTACCCCCCCTTCCCTCGTATAAGTTGCATCCGTCCATCCTGCAATTGGGTTTCCTCCACCGTGGCCTTTTCGAACAAGGGAAGACACTCAACCTCAACGTGACACCTTTCACTTTAAGACTTGCCAGCATAGCATCATCTGTTCCCAATTGACACGAAGCAATCAGACTCGTCTCACACATATTTGTTTTGCTTTTCTCAGCTCCTCTTCCGCCAGGACATGCCTCTCCTTCAGCTTTGAAAGTCCCCATAATTCGAGAGGCACCTCGAATTAATTATCTTGCTTGCATACAGTAGGGACCGTCAACTCAGATCGAATCTATCTGCTCTCCTCCATTCGACAAGCCATCCGGCCCCGCCCAATTCGAGCTCCACGGACGAGTCAACGTCTGCCAAAGCAACATGCATCACCCCACACTCTCAACCGCAGCTGTCGCCCTTTTGGCTGCTCTGCCTGCTGCCAATGCAGGCCTCTATCCCAAGAGCTCTGCCGTCCTCTCGGTCGATGCAAAGAACTACGACAACTTGATTGCCAAGTCTAACCACACCTCAGTAAGGGTTCCCCTCAGCTCTGTCTCCCTCCATTCGAGAAACCAGGCCTAGCCTGTGCTAGATCACCATCTCCCGCCTCCCTTGCTCCCAGGTCGACCTACCTAGGTAGCTAACAGGCCTTTGCTACAGATTGTCGAGTTCTACGCCCCCTGGTGCGGCCACTGCAAGAACCTCCAGCCCGCCTACGAGAAAGCCGCCAAGAACCTCGCAGGCCTCGCCAAGGTCGCCGCCGTCGACTGCGACGATGACGCCAACAAGCCTTTCTGCGGGACCATGGGCGTCCAGGGCTTCCCGACCCTGAAGATCGTGCGTCCAGGTGCCAAGAAGGGCAGGCCCATCGTCGAGGACTACCAAGGTCCCCGCACCGCCAAGGGCATCGTGGACGCCGTGGTGGAGAAGATCAACAACCACGTCCAGCGCGTTTCCGACAAGGAGATCGACAGCTTCCTGTCAACTAAGAACGAGTCGGCCAAGGCAATCCTGTTCACGGAGAAGGGCACTACAAGCGCGCTCTTGAAGAGCCTGGCCATTGATTTCTTGGACGTCATCACTGTAGGACAGGTCCGCAGCTCACAGAAGAAGGCGGTCGAATTGTTTGGTATTGAAAAGTACCCAACTCTGGTCCTGCTCCCGGGCGGCGACAAAGACGGAATCGTATACGATGGCGAGTTGAAGAAGGAGGCTATGGTCAAGTTCCTATCCCAGGCCGCAACTCCCAACCCTGATCCCGCGCCCAAGAAGTCCAAGACGAAGTCCTCCACACCGAAGAAGCCAGCAACCACCGCGGAGACCGAGACCGAGCCCTCCACCGAGGCGGATGAGAAGATCACCGAGCCAGCGGGCGATGAGAACATTCAGAAGCCCGTCGTGTTCGAGGGCCCCCTGCCTATCCCGATCATCAACTCAGCCGAGAAGCTGGTCTCGAACTGCCTCAGTCCCAAGTCGCACACCTGCGTACTGGCCTTCGTGCCCAAGGAGAGCCGCGGCGAGCCAGCTGACAAGGCCCTGGCTGCGCTTGCACAATTGGCCCACAAGCATGCCCAGAGCAAGCGCCACCTATTCCCCATGTACGAGGTGCACACCGATGACGCGCACTCAAAGGACATCCTCAAGGCCCTCGAACTGTCGGGAGACGTCCAGGTCCTGGCTATCAACGCCCGCCGCGGTTGGTGGAGGCTGTACGAGGGCCAGGACTTTGGCCACGAGAGCATCGAGAGCTGGGTCGATCAGATCCGCTTGAGCGAGGGTGTCAAGCGCAAGCTGCCCGAGGGTATCGTAGCGGCTGCTGCTGAGGAGACGGAAGCCTCTTCCGAGGCCACACCAGAGCCTTCTGTGGAACCCACCCCTGAGGCCACCGACAGTGAGGCTGCTGAGAGCACCGCCACGCCTGAGCCGGAGGTCACGCCAGACGCGGAGAAGATCTCGGAGAGCAACACTGAAGAGGAGACGTCGTGGAAGGGTGCGGATCCTACTATTCAGGAGGAGACTGCAGAGGAAAAGCCGACCGAGGCGGCTCATGACGAGCTCTGAGAAGGGGTGTGTCACTATGGAGTGAATGTAAAGTTAGCCGGGCGTCTTGGTTTGGGATTGATCCTTTCTTATACTAAAAGTCGAGAGGCCAAAGGCCTCAATAGTACCTGAAGGGATGCATGCTGGAATGAAATCGAAAGGTTCTCTTACCTCATATCCTATTCATGCTTTCGTGGGTATCATGACCTGATAAATTGAGAAAATGCCCTTCGTAACGCGCGCTCATTCTCAGAGGCTCGTTAACTCGTCTCCCTCCCCTTCGGATCTTCTGGCAATCACCCATCAAGCTCCATGTCCCCCACGCCAACGCCCTTCTCCACTGCCCCCTCGCGTATCATCCTCGCACCCTTCTCCCTTACACACGCATCCAAAATCTGCCGCACCTGCTTGCACCCGTCAACACCAACAGCCAACATACCCTCAAGCCGGCTGACCTGGACGCGGCTCTCGCAGACCAGCACAGCGACGCGGTCGCCCGCGGCGCCGAGGGTCGCGACCGTCAGGCTGGGGAGCTCCTGCTCCTCCTGCTGGTTGAGGTCCAGCAGCGGGTCGGCGCCCTCGTCGCCCGCGGCGTGCGTCGAGGTGCTGCCCGCCGTGCACGCCGAGATGTAGTCCGTCATCGGGATGCCTGCGTCCACGGCCGCCAGCGTGCAGGCGTTGATCAGCGCCGCCAGCAGCGAGCCGTCCTGCGACAGCACGTGCAGCGAGAAGGTTATCGTGCTATGCGGGTAGAGGTGTGTGTGCAGTGTCGAGGAGAGGGCGTGCGAGAGGGTCGATTGCATCTCTGAGATGCGTCTGTGTGCGGGTGCGCCTTGTCAGTTTTGTCCAACGTGTTCCGTCTTTTGCTCTCCGCAGGATGTATGGTATTATGGTGCGACATACTTGTCTCCTCGTCCTCTTCGTTTCCGGTCCACGCTGCTGAAGCCAGCAATCACTATGCTCACAGCCACCTCGGCCTCCTTGTCCTGCTCTGACCTCTGTCCACCACCCCCTCCTCCTCCACCTGCTCGTCGCGCGGATTGCTGGTCGGTAGGGCCCGTCACGACGCACATGACCTTCGTGTTGCCCATCTCGAGGTAGCTGGACCCATCTGCCGCGGCCTGAGTGCGTATCTGGGCGTGGCATCGGCGCAGCTCGTTCCATCGCCGACCGTCGACGCGCAGGAGCGCCAGCGAGTATGAGGATGTGTCGAGGGGCATTGTGCTGGTGCTGGTGGTGGTCTGAGATTGTCTACCCGGGTTGTCGTGTGCAGCTGTCTCGCAATTGGTTCTGTGTCTGGCAGGTCAGAAGGTAGTTCGTGTTAAGGATTGGTGGATTGTCGAGGTACTGGCAAGCAAACGGTTGTGCTGCGAGTTGGCCGTGATTGAAGCTCTGGAAGCTTGACGGAAATTTTGGTGGGGCTGTCTGGAGTGCAGGGGACCCCCGTATGATCGGGGGCAGGGGTGTGCTCTCTTATATCATCGACATGACGTGGGGGAAGAACCGCTGGAGGTGGTGATGGTTTCCAACTCCTTCACCATTGTGTAATACCTTTGGTTTTCTAATGATTTCAAAGGCCATTCCTCGACGAACGTTCCTACAAACGAGAAATTTCGCACTATCCAAAATGCCCAACCCCGTCGACACCAGCTTAGAGCCGCACACATCAGGCCTGGCGGCCAAATTCGCCGCCGCCCACTCAGCAGAGCACCCCCTCAAGCTGTACGGTGGCTGGTTCTGCCCCTTCGTACAACGATCCTGGATCGTGCTGCACGAGAAGAAGATCCCTCACCAGTACATCGAGATCAACCCGTACCACAAGGCGCCGGAGTTCCTGGCCTTGAACCCGCGCGGCCTCGTCCCAACCCTCGGCGTGCCCGTCGACGGCAGTGGCAAAGAGCAGAAGCCACTGTACGAGAGCCTGGTGCTTTGTGAGTATCTTGATGAGGCCCATGCGGACGAGACCAAGTTCGGGCAAAGGCTTCTCCCCGAGGATGTGTATGAGAGGGCGAGGTGTCGGCTCTGGATCGACCACATCAGTACCAAGATCATCCCTGGGTTTTACAAGTTCATCCAGCACACGCCAGACAAGGCGTATAGTATCGAAGACGTAAGGAATGAGTTTCTCAGCAATATTAAGACACTAGTCGAACAGATGGACGGCAGTGGACCCTGGTTCCTCGGGGAGCAGTTCAGCCTCGTCGACGTGATGCTTGCGCCGTGGGCGAAAAGACTGTTCCTGATCGACCACTACAAGCCCGGGGGTGTGGGTATCGATAAGGCTAGGGCCGAGGATGAAGGTACTTGGGCGAGGTGGCAGAAATGGTTTGATGCCACCACCTCCAGGCAGAGTGTAAAGGAGACGTGGAGTGATGATGAGCAGTACATTGCGGCCTATAAGAGGTATGCTGAAGATACGACTGGATCGATGGTTGGTCAGGCTACGCGCAAAGGGGATAGACTACCTTGAATGTTCGAACATCACGGTCGAGCGGCCGAGCTGCACTGTCAAACTAATGAACAAATGGTGTACGAAGACACGCTTGTTGGTACGCTTCGAGAAAGCTTCCCTTATCATGAAATTAATTTACCATTTGTTGCAGATATTCTCAGCAAGTACGATATCAAAAGTTGTGGATTTTACTGGGAAAAAAGGCGAAATCCACAGCGACCTCAAGGTTTCTGATGTGTGCCACACGGAGAGACGCCTGCGGCGAATCAATTTGCTCTTGCACGCCCGCCTGCGCCGTCTTACTCATTTTTCTACCTTGTGTGGTGGCGCAGCCACTTCATCTGACAGGAGATAACGACGGTCGTTAACTCCTCCAGCTAACGATATTTAGGCAGCACAAAGGACCTTTTGTGATGCGTGTATCTCGATGTTGCACTCTGAACTACTTCAAAGTAGAGTATATTTCCGAATAGTTCGTAGCCGGGGCTCTTTCTTAGAGTATGCCATGTCGTCAGATTGGCTCTCCAGCTGTAATATGTCTTGTCAAGACTACCCTCTGGGAATTGATGATATATGTGGTACTGGAGTAAGTAAAAATCGATGTATGGCCTCAGCCTCGGTCCTCGAAGACACAGCTGATTTCTTTGCTGCTATCTTTAGGTCATCATCGGTTTCGTCGGTGGGGCTGTCATCGCCATAGCCTTCATGATCCTAACTTACCTTTATGCATATGATCCCGACAACATCATAATAATCACAGGGAATCCCATCGATAAACGGATTCTCAACAGTGTTAGACGTTTAGTAGACACAAGGTTACCTGTGATCGCAAAATGTCCTCCACGATGGAAACGTCGCCTAGCTCACGCCCTGGTAGAGGTAAGTGTCTGTCTTCAAATACATGGCAACAGAAGCACCAGGACAACTAATGCCTCTTTTCCTACAGTGCAACCTGAATATGTGCGACTTGCAGATTTTAACGGGATTCGGTATCCTGATCGGAGCTTTCATGTCCCTCCCAGTTCTAAAAGGAGCCCACTGGCAGATGATTTGCTACCTGGCCTGGTTTGCGGCCGTCACGCACATCTCCGGGTTGACAATCATGACGAAGCACCTACATAAACGCTCGCTCGAACGCAAAATCCGTATCGCATTAATGGGTATTCTGCTCATTATGCTTGTAGTTGCAATGGTACCCATGGCGGCCATCACAGTGTCTCTAAATGACGATTGGGGATTCATGTTAATGTGGAATTGCAACGCAACATGTTTCTTCAATCTGCAGTTTATGGGCAAAACTCTGGATTCAGCAGCTGTTGCTCTTAAAGACGGTGACATACCTCTCATCACGCAGATTGCGGCCCAGTTTGGTTCGACGATTCTGGCTATCATATTAATGTGCTTCAGCTTCTTTGTTCGGGTTGGGAGATTAACCCCTAATTTGCACTCCGCTATAGTGTCAAGAAGGGTTTCGATCAGCGCATTGAGTCAAAGAGTTCTGAGAAGAGTGGCAGAGAAACAATTCTCGAGTGAATGGCAGGCTGTGTTATGGCGAGAGCTACTGGCTCGACCACTTGTGTGCCTCTTCCTCATTTCGCGTACGTCGTATATTTTGTGGTCTTCAATGCTATTCGAGGTGTGTACTCTCTGGATATGAGAACTATCAACTGTTCCTCAGGCTGACATCCATAGGTCATCTGGATTTGCTTCCTGGCTCTTTATGGGCTCAGCAGAATTCTTCAAGTCTCAACAGAGTTCTATACAGAAGAGGGCATTCTGAATGGACCCGACCCTGACAGACGTATTTCCTACTTTAAGCCGCCTATAGGCGACTATCGCGGTGGCGTACGAAGCTTTGGGCAAATACTGCCTGTGTTCCTACTTTGTGCACCCATGTGGGGGTTATTCAGGTCCCTAATTCCGGGGGATTTCTTGCTGAGCTCCACTCCTCATCCTGAGGATACTTCTAGCCACCGTTAGTGTTCTCCGTCCTTGTCCTGAGATACCAAAGAGGAACTAACATGGTTTAACAGATGATAATCTTGCGATCTCTCATGACGAACCAACGATGTTGTCTTTCCAAACGTCCGTTACTCCTGCATCTCCTGTGGATGTGCTTTCGACCAATAAAGTCAAATGCTTGGAGCTCCTAGACAAGGACACTTTCGGTGCCAGCCAGCTGGCCAAACATGCCTTCATATTCACATTGTTGCTTGTTACTGCTTTCATGGCATGGGTCTTGGCTCTGTTCTTCCGAGATATTGGTACCTCGTACTCGCTCTCGGCCATTATGTCGATGCTTCCCGGTGCAGCCCTGGTTGGCGCCCCGCTGGCTAGCTTCTCCTACTTTTTCCTCATTACAAGCATCTTCGATGCATTCCCGAACCCAAGTCATCGTCGTTCCGCCCATTTTTGGGCTGTCCAAATGTTCACATATGCTGTGTTGGCCGTTAGCATTGGCGTTGCGTCAAAGAATTCAGCGACAACGCAGGAGTTCTGGCCTGATACAGACTTCGAAGGTGGAAGCAGCACCGAATTTCTGATACAGTTTCTTCTCCCAAACTTCTATACTGCCCTCTTCATGTTTTGCTCTAGTTCTTTGGTAATTTTGGTGGCGATTAGCACGAATGTCTGGATATCATCAAGAACACCAAGGCCCTGACAAACAGAGTGATGCAGTTGACGATCACTTCAAATGATGTGCAGGAGGTACAATTGAGGGGACTTATTATCACATTAGTAAATCGAGTTCGTGGAACTCGGAGAAACATGTGTGGGAACAAGTCTCAATGATAGAACGGCATGTTGAGAGGAGGTGATTCAATGTACATTCATACCAGCACCAACGGAAACTCTATAACGGAACGATCAGGGTGGACTGTACTATAGTCATTGCCATTCTGCAAAATCACCAGATATTCCATCATTCTCCACATCAGAAATGCTAAAATCATGTCGAGATCGTATCCGACAATCAATCAGAGTCGAGCGCTTGGTGCCTTGCCGGTACTTCACGCACAGACTGACCGATCAATAGCCCCTTTCAGACGGTCCGATTGACATCAAGGCCTGACCGAGTTAACCTAATTGTGACACGATGCCAATTTGACTGACTTTGTGATCTCAAAGCATCGCCCGTCGTATGATACTGCTGCGGAATAATTTCGAGCATTGCCCTTTGTTCAGCCATGCCAATTCACATTCAGCCTGGGCTGCGTATAGAAATCTTTCAATCTTGCGTCATGTATGGTACCTAGTTTATGATCAGGTCACTCTCGGCTTGTGTCCATTCATTTGAGGAACAACTGGGCCTTTTTGGGTCCTCGACACTATTACTGAAGAAGCCGGCACAAGCTGTCACAAGAACGCAGCTTGGCGATCGATGTCCGGAGCAGTATACTGAATCACACCACATAACCAGCCCTTGGAAAGGAAAAGGTTTTGTATCTCGTGAATCACACAACGACTGCAGTTCCAAACCACTAGCCTGATTTTACAATGGGCCGCCAGTGAATCATGCATTTACCTCTTATATAAACACGGGCAACCTTCCCACCGGTCTGCCCGTTTCCCTTTTCCTTATCACCATACAACCACAAACCACGAATTTACCACAAGAATCAAAGAAAAAAGTCTCGAACGTCCATCATACTCAAGTCATCATACCCTTCGTCAAAATGCACACTACCAATAATAAGCACCCCAATCGGGATGTCTGCAGCCGATGCCAGACAGACCCTTGCTCTTGCAAGGGTGGGTGAGGTGGATTGGCGCTCCTGGAGCGGAGGAAAACTTCTGGGTCTGCTTAGCTGTGAAAAATCAGTCCAATTTGAACCATAGATCACGGTAGAAACAATCAAGTTCCAGTTTGAAAACCAATATTGCTCTGTGAATGAAAGTCCCGTCGAGTGATTAGGTTTGTGTTTGAATTCGGGAAGATATGCCGTTACCCACTTCCCGAGGCTCTCACATCCCCATCGTGTTCTTGAACTCAAGCAACTTTCCCATGCCCAGATGGCTCAGAAGATATTACAAAACCCCTGTCTGCTTATCGAATCGCAAGAGAACGGTCTTTTTTGCTATTGACGGGACGACCGATGCCACGGAGCAACCTTCGCCGTCCTCTGCTCTGCTCGCGTCCAGTTGGCCCGTTCCAGGTCCCTACCACGGTGTCCCCGGCATGACCTCGGCTCCCACCCCACACCAGCACTCACGATCCACCCACGATATCCACAACTAGCAAAATCTTCCTAAACACCACTCCCAGGCCGGAGATCATCACAGGGCGTCTAGCTCAAATGGTAGAGCGCGCGCTTAGCACCTCCATCTTCACCTTGGAATTGCGCGAGGTACACGGTTCGATCCCGTGGTCGTCCATCAAGCCTAGAAGTTGCCATCCTCGAGCGAGCGTAACAGCTCCTAGAGGGTGGAATCACTTTTTCCCGTTCAGGAAACTGTCCCGGGCACTGCTGGTGCAACGAAACTCCCATCTATTCGAAAGAAAAAGAAATACCTTTTGCTTTTCGGTTGCCGGCAAGGACACGAATCCCGGGCTTGGGACTTACCGAACTTCGCATTCCTGTTCCTGTCCCCGGGTTGCCCGCCCAGTCGGTTGTCTGTGAGAATATGCGATTCGTCCAAAGAAGATGCGAGATTCGAACCTTTGATCTCGAATCTAGCTGTCTAGCTTTTGCGGTATTTCGACCGCGATAGCCAGGTTCATCATGCTATTAATACCCTGCGACAAGGGCAAGCCATGCATGAGCCGGGGAAACGTTCTTCGGTCGGGAGGCTTAGTATGGCTGGGCACCAGCGTGAAGCTCTTGTCCTGCATATCTTGGTCCATCTTTTCATATCATCGAAACCTTGAAATCGAGAACTTGAAACCAGAAGGATTCCGGCTGCGATTGGTCTTCGTTGTTGCCAGGGACATCTTACGCCTTCGGACTGCAGTCCCTATCTGGGTATGGATCTCAAACGTCACTAGACGGTGCCAGATGATGATGGGCGGGAGATCCTCCTATAGGGCTCAGGAAGCTGACCTATACTAGGCTCTTCTATAGAGGCTAGCAGGCCCTGAACTGCTTCCTAACGTTCTTCGAGATCTTCTCCCGCGGGAGGTAATCCTATAGGGAGGGCCGACGCGATCAAATCACGCGCTAAGGTTTGAGATGCCTGCGGGCTACTGCTGTATTTGTATGTGTTACAGGTAGATCTGTACGTTGCTTGGCCGCCAGGGCCGTTGCGCGTACAGGGATTGGGCGCCGACAGTCCCCGGAAAGATAAGCCTGGCGCCCGCATAAATTCCCCGAGAAGCGTGGGCGAGTCTGGTACCGGCTGGTATCAGATAGAGTTGCAGCAGACAACCCGCAGATCACGCGACAGCAACGCAAGGCTATGCCCTTCGCTGCTTCGGTGTGAGGACGGGTAGGACGGCTGGACAGCTGGAACGGTGACAGGTCTTGGGAGGTGGTGGGAAGCAATGACGAAGTGGGCGATCGTGTTACGGTAGCATTTACGAAGGCAAAGGTGGTTGGAAATGTCGATCCGTGCCGCGCCAATTCTTTATAGTTTTCGATACCGAGCCTATCCACCGGCGGCACCGGGCAAAAGTCTGTGGCACCACGCACGTCAAGCGGCGCGGGAGTCATGTCTGAGCGCTCGGGGCCTTGCATTGACGCAACACTGCTGCGTCCTGACAGACAGTGACAATAATGACAGGAGTTAAGCTCCCAGCCTCCGCCAGCCAGCCTGCGAGCGTCACAGTAGTGCGGATAGGCGTCGGGAGGCGCGCCGTGCACTCTCGCTGCATGACACCTGTCCCTTTTCTGGTCCACGGCCCCGGCCGCCGGCAGACGCTACAGAGGATTCGTCTCGGATCGATTCTTGCCTCCCCAGGTCGCATTCCGGAGGTGTGATGACATCCTACACTCGACGTTGCAAGTCTTCTCACTCTCGTGTGTTGTTAAACAATAGGCGCTCCTGCCCCACAGCCATCCGAGAACCTGACTCTTTCCCTGCTTTTGCACAGCTAGCTTTCGTTTAATCATAGTCAATGTTGTCATAATTCTTGCTCGTTTATTCTTCCCGACTCCGAGACCCGCTGCAAGGGGCTTTCTAAGTCATGAGTACCGGGAATGCGACACTAGACGCAGTGGGCGCCGCTTCCGGGGCAGCAACTCTCGAGCTGGCGATTGAATGGATCGCCTATCTTGTCATAATAATAGTCATCACGGCCTTGCGTACCTATGCGCGGGCTAGCATACCTGGGAGGAGCGGGTTTGGCTGGGACGACTACCTCGTCTGGATCGCTGTGGTTAGTCTCCGTCCTGTTTTCCTCTTTGAACATGCCCACATGTAGCTTGGAATACTGCTGACAGCTTCAAGGTCTGGTACGTTATTCTCACAGCTGAGGTCTATGTAATCGGCGTAACGGCTATTGGCATTGCCAATGACTCCATGTCAAACGAGTACCGTGCTGCGCTCGCAAAGGATGGCCCTAGCAGTCAAGAGTTTGGGCTTCGAGTGTTGGGATCCAAAGTGCAGCTAGCTGCGTGGATATCGTACTCGCTAGTACTGTGGCTACTCAAGGGATCTTTGCTTTGTTTCTTTGTGGTCCGGCTTACAGTAAGTTTTCTGGGCTTTGCTGGCAATTCTTTCTCATTCAATTTAATTGTGAAGACTGACACCACGCAGGAAGGAATTACAGGAGCGAAGATGAGGGCCTGGATAGGCGTGGTTCTACTAGTCGGCACCTGGATTTCTATAGCTGTGACTGTCCTCGCAAGCTGTCGGCCACTCAACAAGATGTGGCAGATTTTTCCCGACCCTGGGCCGATATGTTATGCCGGCGTGTCTCCGGTTCTGATTGGAGTGACGCTTGCTGGCAACATCTTGACAGACGTCTACCTGATTTCGATCCCGGTCCCCGCCTTACTACGAGCCTCGCTTGGGAGGGTACAGAAGATCTCACTTATCAGTCTCTTCAGTTGTAGCAGTCTCATCACGGCCATGGCAATTGTGAGAGTGGTTCTTATTGTTACGGTAGGAAATTTTGACCAGCCACCTGAGCTGTTGAATGCTAACGTCTCCCAGAATTCTAACAGCAACGGCGATGGCGCGTGGGCCCTACGAGAATGTTTTGTAGGCATGGTTACAACCAACATGGCACCTATAATTCCGCTATTTAGAAAATGGCTCTCACCTTGGCTGGGAAGACTCGAGTCAACATCCGACAGCAACACACAGCGAACTACTGTAGGAACGAGCAACCGCACGCTGAGATCTCGGAATCGCGATCCTAAAGGCTCGGGTCTCAAGATCAAGACTGCTGGGCGCCATCACAGCTCCGACAGCTCAGAGCACATTATAGAGGTAAACGATGTCGAGATGCAGTCATACACCAGTCCGAACGAGAGCAAGGCGAAACTCGACCGGACTATCAGCAGGAAGCCAGTACCGACGTCGGTGAGCGGAAATGGAGCGCGCAGTCCGACGCTGATCATCCAGAAGAATGGCGACATCCAAGCCTCGGCAGGGGGGTGAACGAGACAGCCTTCCAACACTATGGGCCTGTGCGGGATGCGCGAAATCTGGATGTGTTGTCTAAGTGAAAATGAGTTAACGAATTAATGTGACCTATGAATCACGTGTAATATCAACGGTTGAAACAAATCCTTTCAGCTGCGCACGAGCTCCGAATCGATCGATATGAAGCGAACACCTCACGTTCCTCGCTTAGCTGTCTAAGATGCAGCGCGACGTCGCGCTGTGACTCAGAGCAAAGCAAAGCAAAGGGCGTGGCCAATGCCTGAGTAAGTACGAAAAACCGAAACGCATGAGCAGAGTTAAATCCGTATTGCGCGTACTTACGCGTATTTCCTAAAGTTTAATCCGACCCTAGTTTCTCAAAGCCTCTGTGCATTGCCCTCCACCTTCCGGGACAAGCCTTAAGTGCGAGATCTCCGAGGCCCGAGGTGGACGGCCGGCCCCTTTTTTCTCAAGCCTTTTTAAGCAAACTCGGGTCCACGTCTTCGGGCTCGGAGTGCGGATGAAACCGCAAATCCAGCTTTTCGTCATCTTATCAATCTGATCAGTTCTTCCCGTGCTTGTGTCATTACCCTACATCGGCTCTGGCTCTCAAGATTTCGTTATGGGACAGGCTGCGTGACTATTTAAGACATCGTTGCTGTTCTTCATCACTGGCATCTTATCGTCATACCTCTTAGGATTCTTCTCAGACACTGGAACGTCTTCGAAAATGGCTTCCGGACTTAGAAATGTTGTGGTGGTTGGTGGATCATACGTCGGAATTGTAAGCGAACGAGCCGATCCGCTACGCATGCTCTCGTGCATCATAAGACAGACCATCGATGGCTAACGAGAACAACGAAGTAGAACGCAGCCAAGGAACTCGCCAACCTATTGCCTGCAACGCATCGTGTAAGTCCATCCCCGTACCTGTCATGATGCAGGCTACTAAACCAATTCTATAGGTGCTTCTCATAGACCCTCACAGCCATTTTAATCACCTTTTCGCTTTTGTAGGTGTACTCACTGCCCCTGTTGCGCGTCACTGTTCCGTAATCGGAGTAGCCTCAACGCGACCCACCCCTGTTCTCATAGCACCTGGGTGCAAGGGTGAGATACAGTATGGAAGTAAACGCGATAATGTCTGAGATTGAGGGGCATTCTTGAAGCTCCTCCTATACTTCGCCTTCAGCACATATCATCTTGGTCGCCCAAGTCGTACAGAAATGCTGACAAGCCTAGCCACGATTTGCCATCCTCCCCGATTATGAGCACAAGGCATTCATCCCGTACTCGGGCGTCTTCAGTGCATCGCCAAACAAAGACCTACACGCAATAGTGCAAGCAAAGGTCGTGTCCCTCAAGCCCAAGGAGCTTACCCTGGACCGAGAATGGCAGGGCTCGAAGCAGCTGCCGTTCGAGTACCTCGTCGCCGCGACAGGCACGCGTCTGGCCTCTCCCGGCTCAATGCCGTCGGATGAGAAGGGACCCGCTGTCGAGTACTTGAAGAAGTACAATCAAGGCATCAAAAACTCCAAGTCCGTGATCCTCATCGGTGGTGGCGCCGTCGGCGTGCAAATGGCGTGCGACCTCAAAGAAATCTACCCGGACAAGGAGGTTACGCTGGTTCACTCGCGGGACCATATCATGCCTGTGTACCACGAGAAGCTGAGCGACATGATCAAAGACAGGTTGAAGGAGCTAGGTGTGCAGTTTGTCGGCGGCTCACGAGTCAATATTCCGGCTGGAGGTTATCCCCTCGGCGGAACCGGCGAGCCCATTACCGTGAGCCTCCAGGACGGACGAAATCTCACGGCGGACTTTGTTGTCCAAGCGACCGGGCAGATCCCCAATACACAATTCCTTCAAGACTTGCCGCCGTCCTCAAATGATTCACTCATCAACCCGAAGAATGGATTTATCCGGGTCAAACCGACGCTGCAGTTCCAAGACCAGGCTTATCCTCATCTCTACGCACTCGGAGACGTGGCAGATTCCGGAGCGCATAAAGCTGCCCGTCCGGGTGCTGCCCAAGCGGTTGCGGTGGCGAAGAATATCCAGGCTATGGTCGAGGGCAAACAGCCCAGCGAAGAGATCGTAGTTGGGCCACCTGGGATCCATTTGACTTTGGGATTGGTAGGTACCATTCAGACTACCCCAGACCAACGCTTTGCATTGACTGACGGATTGCGTGTGATATGTAGACAAAGAACACCATTTTCAGGAACCCTGACACCAAGGCAGGAGACACTGAGCCGTTCATCAACCTCAAAGATGATGGTAGTGCCGATATGAACATTGATGGTGTTTGGGTGAGACGAGGAGTCAAAGTTACGGATCCGAGGGATTATCATTTGTGAAAAGCTTCTTGACCAAGCCGTCACTGTGTGCGCATACTTGAAATATCCATTCTATAGATAGATAGACTCGAGGACGCCCTCTGCTTGCCAGCTAGCTAGGGGTTTTGCTCCTGGTGTGCAGTAGTATGTGTGGACTTTATTCAATGCGACCCAAGCTTTCAGGCGGCACAAATAAGCTTACATTATTTTTATGCATTTTTGGTGTCTATTCCTATCTTGTCGAAGTCCCCGATCGGTTCTGAACGTACCTCCCCTGGCCCGATGAGAACACAATTTCGGCCCACTTTGCTCTCTTAGCTCGATGATCCCGTACACTACTGTACTCCCTTGACCCTTGCTTTCGTGCAAGCTCGGTAATTCGGGACGATATGTTCAGAGTGGCCAATGGGTAATGGCCGTCGAGTTAATTTATTGTTTACAGCCGGACATTTGGACCGAGAAAACGGCCTTGACCAGAAAGATTCGGAGCGGAAGTCATGCTGGCCTCCAATTGTGTCTAAAGTGAAAGTCAGGTAGCCACCTGGATGCAGAACTAAAATACAATCAAGCCACCAAAGGGCGAACGATTTGGTACAGTGGCTCGTTCTACATAGGTAGTCTTGCCCTCATAACCTTGCATACACTCTGCGAGTACCCCGCCCGGAAACGAAAACAGGGTACTCTGCTTTTGTCTTTCCCATTTCCCCTATGCAAAGGTCTAAAGAAGAACCATCCGTCTATAAATTGTCGAATAGTCGACAAAGCCTTACTCATTCTCGTGGACGTCAATGACGGTCGACTTGAACTTCCTGGCAGGAACCTTGCGGTTGAACAGGATGTCCAGCTCACGGTATGAGCGGTCCTTGAGCTCAGGTAGGAAGAAGTAGGCCATGACCCAGCAGACGCAGGCAGTGCCTCCCCAGACGAAGCCGCACTTGCCCGCGACGTTCCACCCGGTCGGGTTGAGCAGCTGCGAGGCCAGGTAGATCATTGGGATCTCGGTGACGTAGTACGCGGCACGGCCGACACCGGTGCTCAGGGCACGGAGGCGGACCGACGACGTCTCGGCGATGATGGAGTACGATATAGGGCCAAGGGTGCCGGCATAGACGAACGAGATGAAGATGCCGAAAACGGCCTGGGCGTAGTTGGTCGCGTTGTTCTGGGCTATCGAGGCGCATATGCCGAGGATGAAGAGGAAGGTGATGTTGGTGGCTGTGCCCCAGAGATAGATGGTTCGACGACCGAACCAAGCGGTGACGAACCAGGAGCCGATGTTGGCAACGAATTGGAGACAGGAGTTGATCAGGCCGAGCTGGAACGAAAAGTTGGTCGACATGCCGGCCTCTGCGCTTGAAAGTCAGCCAAGTCTACTTGAGGGATGTCAGATTTCGGATAGGGGAAGGCTACATACGCTCAAAGAAGAATGTGGCCTGGTTGGCAATCAGGTTGCCTGCAAAGTTCTGTGACGTGTAGATCAAGCACGTAATGATTGTTCGCCTCAGATCGGTGCCCTTGACAAGGTCGACCAGGGAAGGGGCACCGCCCATCTTGGATTCGATCTCGACGGTTCGCTCAATCATAGCCAGTTCATTCTGAGCATTCACCTTGGATTTGCGGCCAAGGCGCTCCAGGGAGCGGAGGGCCTGATCCTTCTTTCCATGACGGACAAGCCAATATGGAGACTCGGGAGCGAACCAGATGATAAACATAAGAGGGAGCTAAAAATGTCAGCTGTTGGAGGCTCGGGAGAAGATATAAGTTGATCTGCAAGGATCTGGAGACTCACAGGGAAGATCCACTGCAAGGCAAGAGGGATACGCCAGGACCATTCATCATTTCGCTGATTTAGGGCGTAGGTGGCACCGCCGACAATAATGCTGCCGATAGACCAACTCATTTGAAGCGTAGCCGTGCAAGCACCTCGAAGAGACAATGGAACGATCTCACTGGCGTACGCAGGGGAGTTCGCGATGAAGAATCCCCAAGGGACACCTTCGAAAGCTTGCCCAATCACGAGCACCTCGAGTGAATTGGCCTAGTTGGATCAGGTTAGGCGACAAGTTCAACGATCAACAATAGAGCCTGCGCGGGCTACTCACAAAGAAGGAGATAAAGATTGTGGCGTTCATAAGCACCAAAGCCAAGAGAGTAGTCCATCGGTAGCCAATCCGGTTGGTGATAGGTCCGGCCAAGAAGACCCCGACAAACGCACCACACTGACCGGCTTGGAAGAGGGAACTCTGCCATTTGGTCTCGATAGACTTCTCAAGAGCTCCAGCAACATGAACACCATATTTTTCCTTGAAAGCGGGAAGCGCAACAAAGTTGCCGTTGAGGAACATATCGAAGGACTCCATCACCTGTCAAGCAAAGATATTGTGTCAGCCGTAAACTCTATACACATTGGGCCACATTCATGGCAGTCTGGGACTTACAATGGTGAAGCACATGATAAAAGCCCAGAAACAAGCCCAAGGGTAGGTCTTGACGGCCTCCCAAGTGCCCATCTCATGCTCGCGGTTCTCGCCATCGAAGGCATCGTGCATCAGGTCCGCGTTGACCAAGACATCGGAATTCCGGACGTTCTTCTCCTTGAGATCCTGGATGTCGACATGTTCGGTCTGAGACGAGTCCTTGCTCGGCTCGAGGTTGTCTTGGGGCGACATGTTTAGATACGCGTGTTTGAGCAACGCGAACGTGAAGAGACAAAAGCCAAGGGGCCAAGAACAGAGGCAGGCTCGGCACGGCCCAGGAGAGCTGGGCAAACTCACATTATCTACAACCTGGCGCCTCACGTAGGAATGCCCCTCGAAAACGCCACCAACGCCCTTCAGTGGGTGGATTTCACCCGCATCAGCCGAGCTTCATGGGAGCCCGTATTTGCAACGGTATGTTATAATTTGTGCGGCTAAGCTGACCCACCGCTGGTTGAGACATCCTCGGCCAGACTGGGCCAGTCTGCACCAGTCCAGCGGGCCAGTTGGGGTTCTCTCCACAGAAGTTGGGGAAAATACGGAGAATCTGGGGGCCTGTCCTTACTGATTGTTTTCCCCATGATGCTACAATTTTACAGAGTAGCACCCTGAACCCTGGACCTGCGTTAGAGTTCGGACAAAGCCGCAAGGGCGCCACCGGACTCGAGGGGATACGAAACAGCCGCCTATTTTGAACTTGGACATGATGTTGGCTATAGTAGATGCTAACAAGTCACAGTCACAATTTCGCCTTGATTCTATGGTGAATAGAGACCGACACGACCCCTTCACCGACTTAAACGCCAAAGCCCTCGTGACTTGGGTCCCAGGGGCGTAGAGTTCGCCAGGGGCCAGCTGACAGGGAGCATCCCCATCGCCGAAGTGGATGTCAGTGTTACCATACCCCAGGCCTATCACAAGCAATCCTTAGATCCCGTCGCTCTGGGTCGCATGAAGAAACCGAAGTAACAAATCCTACCTTGGGTTGGACAAAGAACACGTACCGTCAGCGGGCTGCGAGGCGATCCTGCGCGAAATACAACTCTCCTTCCTGTTTGGGTGCAGCATCAAAGGACAGGGGTCAGACCTGACAAACCGGGCCGACTCCATAGTTTCGAGGTTTTTGCACCCATCACGAGGTCGTAAATGGTGAGTTGCTGGTGCGCTTGTGACCCGATATAAGCCATGTCTCCGTACACCAACATCAGGACGTGATGTTTACCTGGGCTTAGAAAGGATGCTGGCTGCTTACTTGAGCTATGCAGTGATGTTGCGGACAAAACTGAGAGCTGATACGGGCTGCCTGAATGTGTGGGTCAAATGCCTGCCATTGGCTGGTACTGTGGGACAGGAAGAATACAGACGCTACAGTAAAAGTCCATGACTAGATCCGGAGCAAGGTACCCACCGCGCTCCGCAGCTGCGATTCTTGACAACCTTCTTCATGTGCGGATTTCGTCATTGCAACGAAGTGAGAGGCAGAGGGTAGTTGGATTTATGTGCGTTTCAAAAAGCCGCACGCGTAAATGTCAAAATGAGACTATAATATACACTAGTCTCAGTACAGCAACCAACCACATATCCGCACATCCAAAGGTATGTCCCCTAAATCCTACTTCAACCACAGGATGGTAAGAATGGAAACTTTTCATAATTCCAATCAGAATTTCGAGGACCCAAGGCGTCACGGTGAGAAAAAATGACCAAAATACGACATCGAGGCTAGAGATGCCTCTTTCGCAGTAATATTTGAATGTGATTGCTTGCATAGGGAGTCGAACCCTAAGCTCAACCTTGGAAGGGTTGAATGTTACCGCTACACCATACAAGCTAATTGTTGAGCAGAGGGTTGACGGCGAGATTATAATCCATTGCTGACTCGTAGGGCGCGATCCTCCGGCCGGAGTAAGGATACGTTCACGAATGGAGGCCCGAGCTCAACCTAGGGAGAATGATACTGCTACACACCATAGTCCTCACCATGCTTATATATCATGCTGACCATTACCAAATTGCAAACATATCTTTATATATACTATAAACTACGATACTATAGTCCATATAACATTATATATTTCTATTTCAACGGTCTTTCTGGTATAGATCAAAGTCCATCAGGAAATAATTGCTTGCGAGACAATCTCCTGTGGGAAAACTGCTTACAGAACAAAATCATATGGATCAAATTCGTATGGAAGTAGTCTTCATGGGATACTCTGCTATCAGATCAGCTGTAGGATAACCGGCGGGATAAGTGACAGGCTATATGATAGGATGACCATCTGAAAGATGGCTTGCTGTAGGACAGCAGAGTCGGTCATTTCTACTTAGGACCGTTCGGGCTCCTAGGACGAACAGTAAATCGTGCACCACGACGATGGGACCTTTCATTGCTTTTGGACATGACTGGACTCTTGAGGAAGCTCGCAGATGCCCTGCTGTATGCTAGCTATTGTAAAAGGCTGGATCCATCGACAGAAACCTGTTTGTAGGATTTTGAGTTAAAGTATGCGAAATGAATGTGTACATTGAGATAGAAGTCAAGAGTTGTCAATTTGGGAAAACTTGCGAGATTGGGATCAATGAGGTGTTCTATCTCCTGGACCACGATCGCAGGGTACTAGCCAGTAAGGAAATAGGCGCATATGACAACAAAAGCTTTGCTAAATTGGACCATGGGTTGTACGTTTGTTTGCACGTATGCTTGACGATCTACGATGCAAGCCTTCTAGCTTTGTTACAGGTTCAGTGCAAATATCTGTCGTCAATCACGTTAATGCGTCTTCCTGCCGCCAACCTCACAACTTAATCTCGAAAAAATGGTTTAGACGAGGTGGCCTCAAAGATACTATCTGTGGCTTTTAGGCAGCCCCCGCCATACGAAAGTGTATCCTCATGGGCACTCCTTCTATGATGGCTCTCTGCTGTTGAGCATCTCAGAGTTGACTACAGGATGCATTCCTCAATCTTTATCGAGGCAAAGATTTCCCATAGCTGTCCAGTAAGTACCCCCTTTTCACAGATCAAAATTGTCCCCATGAACTCTCACGTCATGCCTGTAAAGGCCACCTCCAAGCTGCACTTTGCCAGTGAAGTTAGGCCTTGCGGCTAGAAGCATTGCCAGATCGCTTGGCTTGTATCCGACCTTCGTAGACAGCCCAGGCCCCAGAGAGCAGTTCCCGGTCATGACCCTGCAGGAGCTCCTGGTCCATGGTGTTAATGAACCGCTCGAGACCGCCCAGGCCTCCGGTCCACTCCATCGCCCGGCGCTTGAGGCCGACCATGATGGGGCTATTTTATCTAGTCAGAAATTCCACGTCGTTGTCGAGACCGAAAGCCCGCAGAGCATTAAGGGCATGTATCATATCGACGACGTTGCGTTGGGGTTGATCATGAAGCTTGTTTGATCCTGTTTGCTCTTGGTAAAAAACCTTCCACTGAAACTGCCCTACTTTGTCTTATTGCTTATGTCTTCTACAATGTACTTGATGCTATGGTTGGTGACGAGCTTTATGGAGTCAGGGAGAAGTATGACGTCTCTGATGGCCGTGGTAAATTTGAAGTTCTCGACGATGTGAGGGACATCTATTTGCGATAAGTGATTTGTCTAGGAATAGGAGTGACGGATCTTGGATGTTTGGAAGGCGAATGAATGTAACTCTGCAACTGAAGGAAGATCGTACTTACAGTGGTGTAGCATGGCGAGGTTGACATTCTCGCAAAGTATATCATCAGGTAGAAGGATGATGTTTATATATCCCCACAAATTTAAGGACATTACTTATGTATTAGGACAGATTAACCCACGAACTCTTTAGCTTGATGGCACCCAGGATGCATTCAGTATCCTTTGCAATTTTATCAGGCGGAGAGGTGTGCCGGTTGCCACCTAGGTAATCTGTCTATCCTCCCACTCCAAAAAAAGAACCGATGACAGCTCTATGCTTGCGATGATGTCTGAGATCGCCGTACCTTGAAGTCTTCTGAAGACTCTAGGAGGCTAAATATCTCCACAAAATCTTCTCCAAGTAATCAAGCCTTGCGCTTGGACGCAACGACGGAAGACTTGACCCGAATCCACTCCTTCCAAACTGCCCGCGCCTCAGAGAGAAGCTCTCGATCCTGTCCATCCAACAGCTCGTTGTTCATAGTCTCGATGAATCGCTCAAGGGTCTTCGGTCCTCCCGTCCACTGCTGGGCCCGGAGCTTAAGTCCAAGCATGATCGGCCCATTCTTCTGCGCCAGAAATCCCGCATCGTGATCCAGTCCGAATGCTCGCAAGGCGTTCAAAGCATGGATCATATCGACCACATTGTATCGAGGACGAATCATGTAGAGGCCATCGTCCTTAGGGTTCTTGGTAAACGCCTGACTGTGGTAGCTTCCCTTCTGGATCTCCTGCTGCATGCTCTGGATGACCTGCTTGAGACCTCGCTCCGTGACCCGGCTCATCTTGTCGGGGAGAATGATCATGTTGCCGAACTCGGTCGAGGTGACGTAAAAGTTGTTGACGATGGTGGGAATGTCTGATGAGTGTTAGCCACGTCTTAAGCAAGCAGGAGTATTGTTCTATGGGTTTATTGAGGAGGTAGATACGGTTAGCTTCGAGATATGGGAGAATTTGATGCTTACAATGACGGAGCATAGCCAAGTTGGCCTTCCCAATGAGAACGAGCGGGTTCTCCACAGGTCCGTATGCGATCTTGACACGAGGTTCGCTCTTCATGATTGCAAGACGGCTGTCGGAGTTGAGACCAACGATGTGGCCCTGAAGAGCAGGAGTCTTGTCATCCACCTGCTCAGTAACGGCGACTTGGTCGACTGGCTTCGCAGCCTTGGCCGCCTTGGCCGCCCTCGCCGCGTCCATGCGAGCTTGGGTATGGGCTGGGAATGTGATGTGATTCATCTTGCTGTCGTAGTTGTGTTATTGTGGATGATGTTGGTAGAGGATTGATGACAACAAATTGATGAATACTGACAGGCTTGAGTCTGGTTGACGTATCCGACTGGTGTCAATGTCGAAGGTGGTTGATTATGAAGAAGAAAAGAGTTGGGAAGTGGGAATGCTTCTTGGGTTTAAATACTTGAGGAGAAGGTGGCGTCTGGCCTTCACTGATTGAGATCACATTGAATCAATATCTGTGAATATTAGCATTCAATGAAGCCCTGTGACTGGTTGAAGCATTTACATCTGGAATCTGAAGGACGCATTGTAGTCCAAGGTATCCGGGACCAGCCACTAAATGACGCTTGAGTACAGTCACTCAGTGCGTAGCGACTTGGATACACTTGATTCTGTCACCCTCAAAGTTGCAGCGTTGGCTAAATTGAGTACCATTGATCCATCTTTATATAAGCAAGTAAGTAAATTGTAAATGCGGATGTAGCTCATGGGCTCAACTCAACAGCCAATTCACTTCTAAAACCATGCTTTTTATATTCACAGTCTTCTCTACAAGATACATCTGATGACTCACAGTATGACAGCAGCAGCACCTCACATAAATAATTCAATTCAACAAACAAACTATGCGTTATGTACTATTGTGTTTTTATGGAATATAGGCACCTCACCTCTCATAATGCGGGTCAACTTGTTTGCAAAGCTTCAGCTCTCAAGTTAGCACAAGTGACCACATAACAACGAAGTTTGAGGGTTTTAATTTAGTTAGTATTCTTGAATACTCAATATTGTGTCGCCACCAATTCGTATCCGTCAATCGTTTCCATGCATCTCAACAACTGACCAAACACCCAATGATTCAGAAATCTAGCCCACATGTGAGGATAGCGTACATTAACTTAAAGCAAAGCTCTGACACCTAATTTGGTTGAAACCCGTGTACGCACTTGCTTCTCCGCTCTTTTTGAAATTCAAAATACGATGCTTGACGTACGTGAATCTTCATATCCTATGACAGTGGATTGATTAGAAAGGTGGATACTCTATGTGAGCCAGGCCGGAGGGAATCTCGATTCCCGTGACTTTCTGTTAAGAAAACAATGGTCATGGATCGAAGACCATGAATTGAAGATCAGGCATTCTCAAGGTAGCCACGGTATGCCTCTGATATTCACCGTATCAAGCTCCATTCGAAGGTCATTGTAGACGTATGTGGGAGGAATGTGTGATTCAACTATGAGCATGAACTTGTGTCCAAAGAAAATGGTAGATGAAAATTAATCATTAAAAATTACTAGGTTACTCTCAGAAATGAAAGAATAGAACAACGGGAACGAAGCACTATTCGACAAAGACTAGCCCAAAGAAATCCGCGAAGAGCGCAGCCTATTGCTCCGTCGTCTCCGTCTACAACATAACTGTGAAGAAGAACGAGAGCATGACTATCGTAGCACCAGCGAGGATCCCAACATTCCTGTCCGACGCATCAGACTGGACATAAGTTGGCTGAGCCGCTCCAGTACCCGTGCTGGTGCCAGGAACTGGTGCAACACCAGGAGCTGAGCCCGTCGCGGGTGTGGGGGTAGAGCCTGCTGGCACAGTACCCGGACTTTGTTGGGGCCCAGGGCCCGGCTGAGGACCAGAGCTTTGCTGAGGGCCAGGGCCCGGCTGGGGAGCAGGGACTGGGGCTGGCTGGGGAGCAGGGGCTGGCTGGGGGCTGGAGCTTTGCTGAGGACCAGCACTTTGCTGAGGACCAGCGCTTTGCTGAGGACCAGCGCTTTGCTGAGGACCAGCGCTTTGCTGAGGACCAGCGCTTTGTTGGGGGCCAGCGCTCTGCTGGGGGCCAACGCTCTGCTGTGGCACTGTGGAATTCTGGAATGTCGGCTGAGGTGCTGGAAGAGGTGCTGGGGTCTTCTGGCCTTTCGGCGTCTGTTCACACGTTTGGTTTCGTTAGCTGAGCTTCATCTAGACGGCATGGGAGAGGTCGGATAGTGAGAAGAAGGAATAGGATGCTTGTGTGGCAGGCTGAAGAACGATAGCGGTGCTCACCGTCGTAATCGTGCAGGGACAGTTCGTCACAGTGATCATGGTAGGCTTTGTGGCGGTGTAGCAAACGCCATTGACAGTAATGACTGTTGGTGTAGGGCAATAGGTCGTGTAGGAATTGACGACTGTGACGATGGTACCGTTGAAAATCCCGGGTACAATAGTGGGAATAGTAGAGTTGACAAAAGGAGCAGGCGGTAGACGTTGTGCCGTCGTAGAGGTCGCGGCCCCAAGGACAAGGAGAGCCTTGAATAGTTGCATGATGTCTGTCCCGGCTGGTATCAAAGATTGAAGTCTTGAAGGTGTTGATTATACAAGTTCAGGAGTTTTGACTTTGGCGAACGAATTGAAGCTGTCGAAACACACAATAAACATAACCAACGGCGAAAGGCTTTGCAAATATATATATAAATCCTGAAGCACTGACGAAGCCTAAAAATATATCTCACGCCAAAATGGTCACGACGAAAGCAGCGGGATTAGACAAGCTGATCTTGAAATTTGAGACAAGGCATTGTGCTAAACTCGGGACGTTCCGGTGGCTCCATTCCAGTGCCTCATTGCGTACAAGTCACATCCACATGGCCAACTGGAAGCTAGCGCGATGGGCACAGTCCCTCCAGGACGGGACTGAGGCTAAGGATCTGCACAACTTTACCAACTTTTGCCTAGGCGACCTATCTGATGGCCGTTTGCGGTCATCAATTGTGAATTTGACCCCGAGCTACAGCAACACAAACACCGACCATGTTCTCCACCGCGACATTATTGGCTTCAGAAAGTCCTTATGAATGATCTTACGTTCGATTTTGGGAGGGATGGGGTAAGGGCAGAAGGCTAGTCTGTTCCTCTGCCAAGATGATGGTGTTGATCCTCAACAAAAAGAAATACGATTCCGGAAGTGCCTGGCTTATCAGCCATACCTTGTTGCAGAAAGCATCTGAGTCAGGCATTGTTTTTCATGCTTACAGTTTGGGTCTGTCTGATAGCCGCCGAGTCAACAGCCCGGGCAAAGTTGACTTGCGCGGTTTGCATCAAAGTGCACGTGCATGCTCAGCTCTCACACAACGGAGGCGCCGGTCTCCGTCTCAAGAATCGATCTTAGTCCCGGCAAAGGATCGTTGAAAGAGGCATACAAATGCACTTCCTGTATTGCAACGCATTTTGCCTGCGAAGATTGCCTGTTTTCCTCAGAAACGCTGGGCTCAGATGACCTCGCCACGGAATAAATCACAGTCCTGTATGTCTAAGTATCACAGTACATAATGTATCGCTCATGCCAAAAGATCATGAGCCGATCTGTGCGCAGAACTTCCGAGGTCCTTGTTTTGGTCCCAGAAATCAGGCGTAGAGGCTCGCTACCTTGCTGTTTGCTGATGATTTTGGAACTGTTGGAGATCCTAACTTGCCTGAGGAGCTCAATTTTTGTTAGCCCGTGTCAAATCAGTATTTGGTTCTTGGCTTCTTCATGAACAATAAACTTCCAACCAATGACCTTTTCTGTGATGCTATCTGTACCAGTCAAGAATTCAAAATTCCAAACGTCAGAGCTTTTCAGCCTCTTAAGAAGCACCGGGGACTTCGTTTGGTCCTCTGTTTGTGCTGCTGCTGCTCTGGGTGACCCGTAACGGGTCCTGTATTCATGCGTAACAACGCAGAACCTATTTACTCACGCCACAAGTCTGAGGCTTCGTCATAAACAAGTCTAATCAAGAGTTGCAAGGGTGTCTTCAGGTTCAGAGATACATTGGCTGCGCTATCAAGATTGTTTGTGTTCCTCAGGCGCAAGGGTACTGCCATTCACTCTACCAAAACATTCGGTGCCATCCCAGATCTTCCAAATCCATCTTTATGGCATCCCAGCGGGGTGGAACTCGGTCCCATCTTCACTCGTTGACATGACCAGCTGCGACGGCCGCGAGGTAGTCCTGATCGTTCTCGAAGACAACGGTGTTCTTGTCCGCGAGACGTGCGTCGGAACAGCAGGTGTTGAACTATTATTGGCAGGATTAGCGATTGTTAACGAATCTGAGATTCCTGTGCAAGCAGGTGCTTGGCAGGGAGGGACTTTGTCGCGGTGATGTGGGAATAGAAGTACATACAATCGGGCTAATGCAGGGGTTCCAGCGGTAGCACTCCTCAAGAGTACAAATGCCGCAATTCGGCCGGCACTGCGATAATTGTCAGTAATGCTTAATCTTGAAGTCAAATCTCATCTCCGTATAATGAGCAGACATGTCGACCGAGCAGTGCTATTTCGAGGCGGTACGTACGCAAACGCCGTTGGTGGCAAGGGCCGAGCCGACAAGGCCAAGGCCAAGGACAATGAGGTTGCTGATCAGTCTCATGTTGATGATGTTGATGTTTATCTGTGCAATATCTTGTGAGTTGTTGCTTGAAGGAATGGCTGAGAACAGTCCAAAGTTTGGAAAAGTCTTGATTTTCCTGAATCTTATATTAATTGAGTACGGGGGCAAGTGTGTCTCTTGGTTGTGACAGACACAGCGGTCAACAGGGTGAATATCTACTGGATTCACCAACAATCAAATTCACCTTATATCATTGAATGGACAAGCAAACGCCTTGCTGGAAAACCCCAAAGAGCTGGACAACCCCGATGTCGGGTCTGGGTTGAAGTCCAAATTGGTGTGAGAATGCACACACACCGAGTTTATGCCAGCTCAAATAGAAGAATACCAATGTGTCTCGGAGGCTGGAGTTGAGCGAGAACCTCAAGTAAACAGGTTTTAGTCTATTTCGCCAATCACGCAAACGGACAGTCCTTGGACAGCTGTCAGACTACACACGTTTGTGCTGCTTTTCTCCATACAATAGATCGAACACCGTCCACCATCATGTGCGCACATACGGCGAACCAAGAAAGGAAGAGTCTACAGGAACAGTGATATGAACTTCCAGATTTGAGATCTACCTATCGAACTCCACAGCTACCTACTCTTCCTGGCATCCTTGGATGTGATTAAGGCGGGCTCGAGGAGCATCATGTGCGGTGATCATCACAGCGGAAACTCTGTTGTACATTCTTTGTGCTGTCATTTGAACAATACCATTGTAACTCATCCATTCATAACAATCGCTTGCATCAATCTGAGTTCGCAAGACGCAAGTCCAACTGGGAGGACTAAAGCATAGGTTAAGCTTCAAACCCAGCCAACGTTGCCTCCGATATCTCTATGGCTGAAAAGCCTTCACTCATAGTTTCAACGACTCAAAGAGAAAATTTCAAGGGATCCTTGGATTTCTGCAAAGATCGCAATAGTCACACACAGTCGTTTGCATTCTCGTGAGAACGTGCGCATTCAGACGCGCGTCCATGTGAGTCACAAGACCAGACATCGGTCTGTGAAAACGCTACGCAAAGATATGGGTGTCTGAATTATACACCGATTCAAGCAAGACGAAAGTAAAGTAACGAATTGTGCCTTGCGCTCTGCTGAGGTCTGCGATTTGGATTTCTGGTCTATAGCAAGCTCCGTCCCAGGCCCCTTGCCGGTGGCTTTCAGCCTCGCAAGAAACATCCTGACGGTATTCTTAGTCGTTAAGACCAGCGATCCGCGGCATACATTCGAGTTTAGTCAGAGTTTATAATCCGTTATGAATTCCATGCATGTAAATTGTGGAGCTAATCGAGCAAGCTGGAGTCGCAGTTCAATGGGACTTGTAATCCTGCGAACACTGCCGAGGCCAAGTCAGGTTAAAGCCTAGCTAGGCGTGCGCCCTTGAGATTCCGTTGACCTGGGGCGGCACGCACTACGTTCCACCTCGACCTATGGTATTTGTCATCTACTCCACGCCAGTATCTCGCGTCGAGCCCAAACGCCGAACAGCTATCGCAGCTAGCAAGGGTGTCGGGGTGTAAAACATAACAGGTTGCTCTTTAAAATGCGCCTGCCGAACAGGCTCAAACATGCAATTGATTCCAATCACATGATAAAGGATCATTTTGATCGATTTCGAATGAGCAGCTCACTTGTGACTGCCTATCAACAGTGCCGCCATCAATCGCACTCATTTCATATCCCACAATGTCAGACACATCATCGGCAGACCAAGGATTCTTGGTAACTTGTCAATGCAACTACATCACCTTCCATACACCGTCGAAACAGCCCCTGCGTGTGGCGAGCTGTCACTGTACCTCATGCCAGAGACAATCGACATCCGCTTTTGGGACCTCTGCATTTTTTCCCACAGACGCCTTCTTGTCCAACCTGACGCAAGAGGCCAAGGATAGGATGCAGTTGTTCACTCATCCAACTGACAGCGGCAACACCATGTACTGTTACTTCTGTCCCAAGTGTGGGGTGCGACTCTATCAAAACGCAGGGAGGCCTGATGGAACTCCTGGAGGCATTGTCGCTGTCAAGGCTGGCTGTGTGGAGGGCTTGGATTGGAAAGACGTGGTCCATATATGGACGAAGAGTGCCGTTGTCCCAATCCCGGAAGGAGCAGAGCAGTATGAGAAGGGTCTGACTCTTCCATGATGGAAGCACGTTAGCGGCAAGGTGGATGTGAGTCTCCTCGCGGATGATGTGACGTGGGTAATAGAGAGACCTCCGAATTGGGCGGCTATGAGTGCATTGATTCACACTGTCCTAGGTAGAATCAGGTTTTTGAAATTCAAGGTCGTATGAAGCCATCCTGCAGCTTGGCGACAAGTTCTAGTTCAAAGCTCATTGGTTCCGCCCATCAGCGGAGGTGCCTCGAAGTGGAATGTATTTAAGAGGTCGAAGTTGAAATATCCGTCAATGGCATCAATGTCCGAGGAGAGGTCAAGGTTCAAGTCGAAAGCACCCTCTGGTGCCGTGCTCGACGGCTCTACTGGCGGCGCGTTGAGGGCATAATCCAACACATGCTGGATAACGGCCTTGCAGGAGCTGCACAGGTCACCATTGGGCGCCGACGGGCTGACCCAGTCTAGGAAGCCGCTCAAGAGGCTTAGTTGCTGGATGATACCGGAGCGTGTGACTCCTCGAATCGGTGTGTGTTGAAGGGACGGCTTGAGGAGTTCGTTGCAGAGAACTCCACCGGAGGGTGCTGCGAAGGCCATGACCTGTTTGTGGGCAGTCATTTGTCAGCTTCAACCTGAACGATGTGGTCTCGGCAGGAAAGAAGCCGTGTTGGCTTCTCTAACTCACCAGCCATTCGAAATCCCCGTGGAGCCCCGCCAGTCGGTCCATGTGTGTCCAGAACACCAGCGTCACCGACACCATTTCGAAACTAACGCTCAGCAGGTCGGCGTTGCTGTCATACCCCCATTGGACCAGCAGACGTGAAATCAAGAACATATTTTGAAGATGTTCGAGGTGTATCAGGATCTTAGTGTACATCTCTGAAGCCGGAATGCTCGGGTCTCTCACCGCCTGCGATGAGTATTTTAGAACGCTCGGTATTCCAGCAAAAGCCGTGTATTCGTGCTCTTTCAATGCCCTTGCGCAGTTCAATTAGCATGGATCGTTCTTTTGTATTGATAAGCACATTGCATCTTACAACAAGGCGTCAATGGACGTGTATACTGGGTTGCCCAGAGCAACCTCCATGATCTCATCCTTGATCCGTCCAAGTTTTGTCCTCGCCCGCACAATCGTCGTGGAGTAGTACTTTCCTTCTCGATTCCAGCCGTTCTCATCCAATGCGTCGACAGCCTTTGCTATAGTCTCGCGGTCCGACAACAGCGTCTCGTCGCACAAGTCCAGCGGCAGTGGTGTCAGCATGTACTTCCTGCTGAGCAGCGGTGGCCGACCGCTAAAAGAAGCAGAGACCTTGTCAATCACGAAGATCTGCGAGACAAGGCGTCTCTGAACCTCTTTAGCAACAGTTGGTACGTATGGGCTTTCATTTTGCAAGGCATGCAGACCAAGATACGTCACCAATGCGACGTTCTCGCCGTGTAATCTCCAAAGCGATGGAGCCGCGTCGCCCGCAATCATTGAGTCAAGGATTGCAACCTTGTAGTTGAGGTACAACAGAAGACTGTTCGGCGTACACCCTTTGCAAAGCTCGACGCAGAGTTCCGCAGCTTCTTTGTATACCAATGTCAACTTGGCTGGGCCCACATCCGGCTTTCGAAGTTCAGGACGATGTGGGTGGTCTGCAAGCGCGGCGAGCGCCCAATACGTGAACAGTATGCCCATGCTCTCCCACCGCATATGACGACCAGAAAAAGATGAAAGCCATGCCTCGGCCTCAAGCTCGTCCTCAGACCATGGCTTGGCTGTGTTTGAAGAGAGCAGGTGGGCCAGTTCCTCAAGCTCTCTGGGCTTTCGTGACCTAAGCTGACGACCGAAGACAGAGTGCAAAGCTTCGATGACACGCTTTGCACCTAAACGAATCCATCCGTCGTTTGGGTTGATATGCTTTTCGAAGAGGGAAATTGCAAAGTCCTCGTCAGGTATGCGATGAAGCACAATTAGGCTGGTCTCGAGTGATCGGGGCGACAGTACAATTGTGGTGGCATCGGCGTTGCCATTCTCTATCGCTGAAACTGGAGTACTTTCGCTTGCATCCGTATTAAAGCCCATGAGCGGGCCCTTGACAAGTGAAAGACTGTTCTGCGTCTCTTGATATACAGCAGAAAAGCTGGTAGACCCCAAGTAGCCAGGGCCGGTCTCCGAAGGATGGGGCCTCGAGTCGGGTGAATCTGACAGCACATTAATACGAGGCGATGTGGTACCGCTGTTTGAGCCTGGGGATGGCCGTGCACTTCTATGTACTCCAAAGTCAACACTGTGGCGTCTTTATCATGATCTGGACGTCCAGACGCTCACCTCACAGCCCTGAGCGAGCTCCTTGGGCGATCTTGCGCGGGCTTTCGGCTCGCCTTTTCAACGCCCAGGTACACACAGCCACCGTGTTTATTGCGGGCCCTACACCGACGACAAACTGGGAAAGCATGGTCGCATGAGACTTTGCGCTGGCGGCAGGGCTCACAGGCCTGCAGTCTTCCGTTTCGGCGACGACCAGGAGTGCCGAGCGCCGAGGCTGGTGTTGAGGACGGAGGTGGCTCCATAATACGGTCCCAGTACGTTCAGTACAACGATACAAAGCCGATGGGGTGTACACAGATTCTGATCAGATAAGATCACCAACGATTAATGGCCCGTTAAGACCACGGCAAGCAGCTTGGCCGATGTGGTTGTTAGAGAAAGAGGGAGCATCGGTTCGTGCCGTTTGGCTGAGAGCGGGGCTCGGCTTGACCCAACGTAAAGGTTCTCGGCACTCGGAGTAAATTCTGTGTGACCTCCACAAGCCCGCCTTCGGAGATCCCAGTGCCCCCTCAACTATCCACTAATGGTTGGAACAAAGTGTCTAACTTGTTATAACATACTGCCGGTGTTTTCTACCTTTGAGCCTGTATTATGGTCCGATATTGATACGGTGAACAAGTTCTGATGTATGCCGACTGGGTTGGCGAAATTCGGGGGCGTGCTCATTTTGAGTCATTATCACTTAGACGCGCCCTAAGTTTGAATTATGACCCGTCTTACTTGCAGCCGGCTCTCGGATGCCAGCATGCGCCGCACATCGGTAAACTGATCCAGTAATTGACGTTGACATCGACAGGGCGTGTCAGATCTAGTTCTCATCGGGATAGCCAGGATGGCAGTCTAGATCTGAAATGGCCTGCACAGGATGAGTGTGGTTGCATACCGTATGACTCTTCAAGTGACTGCGCGTCTCACTGCGCGTGCGGATTTCTAAATATATTCGACGCCTATAAGTTTTCCATTTCCTTAATTCTTCTACTTCTGAGTTTGCAAATCCGCTTGTATTTTCACCCTTTGCCTCCTTCGACTGCAGTATTCGAAACCCTGTACTTCGTACCAGTATTAAAGCCCTGTTTCTAGTAGACACATCAGACATGCCGGACTTCTACGACGTCGCAATGTTCTCAGCGGCCCTTGAGAAGAAGCCGCATCTGCTTCCGAATGGGACTCGAAAAGCAGCCTCCAAAAAAGAGCCCACATATAAAGCCGCTAGGAGCTCTGAAGAAACGTTGGTGGAGGCCAACTCCACTTCACCGCTCCAAAAGGAGCAATCTCCAGGTAGCGATGAACTCTCGTCACCGCATCACCTTTTCCTTAGCTAATAGAAGCTGCAGAATCGAAAGCAAATAAGTCAAAAGCTGCAAGGGATTAATGGAAACATGGTAGTACTAAGGGTCTTGATTTATGATTTCACGCACATATTGGCAGGCGAGGTAAAGCAAGAAACTGGCTTGGAAGTCCATCTAGCAAGCGTTTACAGGCAAGACGTAGCGATGCAGTATATTTCAAATTTTAGACAATATTTCGTTTAACATATTTTCCGTGCGCCTTCTTGCCTGATCTGTGACTTTGCACTCGCATGGATCGATCATGCATCTATGCTGACAACGGAGGCACAGTCACAACCTCGGTCCCATTCATTGTGCCGCCTCTGTACGCATACGTGAAAGTCCATCCGGATGCCGCACCACCATGCTCTCCCCGGTTATTGACAACCACAATACCTGTTGATGCTGTCGGATACTTCTTGATCATCCGCAGAACAGCATCTTCAGCAGCCTCCTGAGGCGTCATGCCCCGCCGCATGCTCTCAACAGCCTGATAGCAGGGCAAAAAGCGCATCATAATATCGCCATCGCCCGTCGCGCCGCACCCGCCCACCTCTCCGTCGACGTATGATCCGCTCCCTGTGATGGGCCCGTCACCAACTCGTCCAGGTACTTTATGCGACGCACCGTTGGTTGAAGTCCCAGCTGCCATCGTCCCGTCGACGTGGATCGCAATCATGGAGATGGTGTCGTGCGACCTCCCCGCCGATGTCTCGTACGCGATAGACCTCCTCGTCTTGAGCTCCACCTCCCTGGTTGCGACCTTCGGCTTCGCGGCGCTGCTAGGTGTAGCAGGTGCGTACGGTCCACACGACGCGCTCGCGTCCGGCACCAGCAGCCCAGCACGATAGTTGGGCTGGCACCCAGCTGCCCTCCACTCATTGCATTTTGCCGCGCTATCTGCAGTGGTCAAGTTCTCCTCAGTGAAACCGCCGAACCCAACCGCAAACTCGGTCGCCAGGTCACCGGCGAGCAGAGTATGCTCGGTGTAGTCCAGCACGAGCCGAGCCACGGCGATCGCGTCCTTGACGCGCCTGAGCCCAGCGACCGCGCCGGATTTCATGGTCGTGCCGTCCTGAATCATCGCGTCCAGGGTCGTCTCGCAATTCTCGTCGGGCGAGCCCCCGAAGCCCACACTGCCGTCGCACTGGTTGCGCTCACAAGTCGCGCAGCCGATCTGCACAGCGTCTAGGGCGGATGCGGAGGTGGCGACCAGGGACAGGTAGGCGGTATCAGTGGCCGCGGTGAAGGGACCGCCCCAGGTGTTGATGACCATTGGCAGGCCCGGCGATGCCTGCGCTGCGGTCTGAGCGGCCCTGAGGAGGGCGATGAGGGCGACGTAGAGCCTCATGATGCCTCTTGATTGGGCAGATACCTGATGTTGTTTTACCTCGGCAGGGAGTTGAAAGTGAGACAAGCTGAATTGAGTCTGCAAATTTGGGTAAGGTGGTAATTCATCTGTCCGTTTGCATACCAACGGGATTGCTATGCCCATCACACGCTAGACATTGTCAAGAGGAGATGTGATCGTCCTTCCTCTTCCGGGTCGAGGGTGGTATTGAAAGTCTTGGAATCTCGGGCAGCTCGAAGCTGTTGACAACAGCCTGATAAGGACAGTGTGAAGGTCAAATGCACTGTACGTGATCTGCTAGAACTCTGGGCAAAACAGAGGGCACTTTCAAGATTCCGATTCGCAGAAATCTCAAAGCCGCGGGTTGGTCAAGTCTCACCAAATTTCTCTCTAAGTCACTGAACAGGTAGTATAGATGAAACAGTCCAAAGGCGGAGGAAAATGCTAGACTGCCCGAAACTTGAACTCGGATCTACCTTCCCAAGTATGAAATACGAGGGTATTTTTTCATGACACCACCATACTACAAACCGCAGAATATCGATGGATATATTAAGCTGACCTTTCTTCCAAACCAATATCATATACTTATTCCTTGCTCAGGAGGGTGATATGTTGTGACAGGGACCACACGAGGATTTCCGCCATACAGGAGGTAGGAGTGTAGTGAGAGAACCTTGATATCAGGTGGCTCAAGCTGGCGGCAAAGTTGAATATCTACTATTCCCCAACTTTACCAGTCATAAAGACGTCCATTTTCTCCCATACTGACGTTTCTACCTGTATGTTTTCATTATTCTCAACCCACAAAGCGAAATTGGCGACCCCGATATAGCTTCACGGCAACTACCTTGCCGTCTTGAAGTGAAGTCCTCTTAGCCGGTATGATAAACCACTATATTCGTACCTTTATCGTCAGCTAGTCCATTGAATCAGTCTACAGACGCTAACAGCTAGTGGAGGCTCGAAGGGAAGCTGGAATTCTGACTGAGCAGCTCCAAACCAACAACAAAGTAAAATTTTCAAATGACCCGGAAGAAAAAAACCCATAACTGGTAAAATAAATCTTTCTCGAAAATGTTGCCCGCGAAAGCCGCGACGTTAAGAGACATCGATCTCTCAGTCTGACCGCGTCATTATGGGTCCAAGGCCCGTCGGATGAGGATCTGGAGGAGGCCCTTGTTGAATATCCTTTCGGCAGCGGGTTTTGCCTGCTATAGTTGCTAAGAGAATAGGAATCTGCGTTAGGGGTAGCTGATCGATCACATTGGCTGAAGTACTTTGGCATACGCCGCGAGCGGAAGTCTCCATTGATAATGGCGGTGTCTTGAGTCTTTTTTATCACGACCACCGCCACGCTCATTGAAAACTCCGGAGGCCTTCAGAGTTTAGACGAGTACTGTTTCTGGAATAGCTTCTATTGTTTGACTAGAAGGTAGTTCGAAGACTTTCGTGGATCTAATACTTTGACTTCGGCAATCGGCTGCATGATCTGCGAGAAATACGAATCGGAACTTTGCTTTTTCGTATGTAGGGCACTTGAGTGCGAACAATTCCTTCAGGGAAAGTATGTGTGTGAAATATAGTACCTAGATTTCACCAGACCAAGTCATTCATTGCTCGTCCCAATTTCTAAAACTGCTCGGACACCACCAAGTCTTTTCTTGAATATAAAGGATGTTCGATCTGGGAGCATTCCCATCCACTTGATCGATTTGAGCGCACACGTCATAAAGCGTTTCATGGCGTCGAAGCTATGCCCAAGTGTGTCTCCGTCTTGTTCTGCTTTCAATGATGTGTCCAAGATAAGAGAGGCCCTCATTTACCCTTATGTGCTCTGGCTCCGCTATCTTAACTACCCAAGACATATCATAAACCGGGATCAAAGACTTAGCAAATGAGATCAGGCTAGCCAAATACCCCATCATTCGCCGGCTCGAACTCGACGTGTGGTCGAGCTTTGGCATACTTTGGTACCTCGACCAACTTGTCGGCATTGAGACCTTCTAGAATCGGTGCCGACATACCCAGCTGATGTGAAGAGCACAGTTAGTAACGTCGCAGCCTGCCGGTGGATGCCGGGGAAAAAATAACTCACCGCAAAATACCGCAGCTTCACCGCATGCACCATGGTTGCCACCCCAGAGGCAGCTCTGAACCGCACGACAATCCACCCGAGAGGCGGCAGGTCGTGCACAATGGCTCGACCGGCGTTGTCAAGGTTCAGAGGGCCGAAGCCTGCCTGGACAGCCTTGCTGACCGTCTCGTAAGGGAACGGGCTATCCCTGCCCGACCCGAGGACCCAGTGAGGCTCGCCATGCTTGTACAGAGGGAGCGTGTCGTTGAGTGTGTTCTCGATGATCAAATCAACGACGGCGCCCTCGGGAACACCACCGATGATGGGCTTCTCAAACTCACGAGCCGCTGACTCGGCGCCCTGCGCAAAGCTGAATAAGACAGGTGTCATGGACGCTCGGAACAGCTGCCAAGGTTTGCCGTTGAGGAAGTACTCGGGGGCGTGCGCCTCCGTCTTAGACTTCTGCACTCCAGCCGTGAGGCGGAAGGTCAAGTCTGCAGCAGCATGGTCCTTCTTTCTCCAGGACTGCTTTGCCGCTGGCACCGGCACCGGATCAGCAGGATAGGGAGGCAGAAAGTTAGCCTCGACCTCTTTGCAATGCGGACGCACGGTGGAGTCCTTGAGCAGGCACACTTCTTCCTCGGACGGCTTTGCCTCGGGCAGCCTCATCGGCTGGCCATACACAGGTTGCCGTTTTCCCTGATGGCACAGAAACAAAGTTCAGACTCTGTGTCTCGTGATACAAAGTGTTTGGGGAGGGGAGGGGCACTGACTGGATAGCGCAGAATGGCATAGCCTTGAAGATTCTGCAGTGTACTGGTGGACGATATCCTCACCGCATATTCTGCAGCCTCAGAATCAGTTTTGATGAGCACGGTGATTCTGGCCGCGCTTGGTATGTATGCAACCTATTTGGGAAATCATGCCGTGTCAGTCAGCTCTATGGGCTCGCTTGGTTTAGGCGCTGGTAGTGCGGTGTGGAGGGATGGGGCAGCAACACTGACATGAGTAGTGTAAGGCTCCACAAAGCCTGCATCGTTGGCTACAACAACCATCTCGTGACCGTCAATGGCAACCTTGACAGAATGCTCGAACCCCACATTGATAATGTTAAGCATCAGGTATACCTGGCCTTCTGTTTCGATAACCTAGGAAACAGACTTTCGGTTAACGCACGTGCAGCCAAGGATTCAGGAATGGTGAGACCCACCTCATAGTCTGCGGTGCTTGGCGAGCAATTCGCCTCGGGCAGGCCCTCAGGCTGGATGCATCCTGTTGCATCTAGATCTCGGCCATTCAACTGCTCAAAGCCAGGCTGACGGCAATGGACTCGACCCTTGCCTACGACATGACTCGGATTAGCCAGCCGGACGAATAACTTCTCTGACTCGGAGACAGGACGCCTTACCGTTGACAATTAGAGAGTCATAGCAGTAAAACTCTGAGCCTTCCGCTCTCATGCGCAGCAGCTTCCAGCCTGTATCACGATGCTGGTGATTTTTGATTACCACATGTCGAATGTTCCGCTCAGCCTCTCGGATCTGGCGGAGCGCGAGAGGGTCGGACGTGATGAGATGGTAAGGACGTTTTCGTGAGGGGCTCGGGGCCACATAGGCGATGCCGTACAATCCCTGGGATATCAGGTCAGACTGTTTCCTCATGTCGTGTCTTCTTGCTAAAGAGCACTCACGTCTGCGGAGCCGGCTGTCGTGTGCTCGGCATACCAATTCAGCCCCCATCTGCCCGTTGTGTCGTGGACTGTGGAGTAGTTGCCTCTAGGCAGGGTTGGGTACTGTTTAGGACTGGTTTAGTATCTTCAATGGGCATGACAAGGGCCGGGCCGTACCTGGTCCAGTCCAGCGGTTCCATCGTTCCACGGCCCGTATCTGTTTCAACAAATTAGCATCATGGGTCCTTTTGCGTGTATAGGGACTGTCCTCTTTACCTCGTGGATGGGTATGCCATGCCAGACCTGAGGAGCCGGATCTATGTAAGCAGGTATTGTAACAACCAACGGTCAAGACCCACGACACTCAAAAACGTACCAATGGATTGAAGATTGCGCATAAAGGTCATTTTGAACATTCAGCTCGACAATGTCGCCTTCTTCGGCGTACAAAGTCGGGCATGGCGTCTGTCCGTTGCATACGAGCATTGGACGCCATCGGCCTCCGTCTGGAGGACTTGTCAGTCCCACTCGACAAGTAGCGAACTCCACATAGGGGAAGGGAGTCTCTCATACCTTGATTCATCCAACGTGTACCCATCTGTAGGCTGTATGAGCGAAGAAGTTTTCCATCTGAGCCAGCTTTGCCACTTCCGATGAGTGGTAAAGTCAGTCGTGCTGGTACGCCATGGTACCAGATTCCGAACACCGGCAGAAGGGCTACAATAAAGAAAAGATGCACTTTATTGATTGCAGTGGAACGACGAGGCATCTTTGATACGGCACATGTTTGCGAGTCTGGCTCTGACTTGAGCAAGTCTTTTGATGCCATTTTCTTACGCGCTGAGGAGGTTGAAGCTGTTGGGGCTAGCGCGGACGAAGAGGCGTCGGAGCACTCGAGCAGAAGTCAAGCCTGCTTTTGTAACGGGAATCTCAGAGCAGGGAGCCATAGCCATACCATGAAACCTCGTTCACCCCCGGCTGATCCATTACCCCAGGTCGGTGAGAGACCTAACTATCTTGGGGCTAACAACCCATGAACGATTGTGGATACACTGAGGTGGATGCCAGCCAGTCCACACTGGCCTGCCCATGTTCGGCGCTATACTTTGCCACTTTGACGCCATGAACTCGGGATTCACACGGCCCAACTCGAGGACGTTACCTATCTATGTAGGTAGATACCTGCATATTCTGAAGGTCTTCCACCAATAATGCTGTACATGTTCAACATTGCAACCCCATGACCCGGGGCCCGAACTTTTTAAGGTCCTTTCCTATAGGTCACTTGAAACCGGGTTCATTAGGGCCTAGAGCGCGGGTGGTTGTAAGGCAGGTCAAATGCGTAGCCGTGCCCATATCTGCCGCGATTGGCTGTCTAAATAAGATTTCGCTATGTAGTACAAGGGTGGATCACTTGAGATATTTACCAGTCATGAAACCATGAATGGCCGCGAGTCCTCAATGTTCTGATCGCTGGGGCTAAGCTCGACCATTTTCGTTTCCCTGAATCTTCAAACATCTCTGTCATGACGACCATGGCTAGGCAAAGAGGCGTACTCGTTGTGCTACTTCCATTGTTATTCTGGACAGTGCAATGCCAGGTGAAAAGGTCTTACAATTTCACAATTACAAACAGATGGGTTTCTGGGGATGGGCATGGCAGACCTGCATTTGCCATCAATGGCCAAACTCCCGGTCCCCTGATTGAAGCGGATGAGGGAGACGAGATAGAGGTCTTTGTCGACAATCAACTTACTTTCGAGACAACGATGCACTGGTAAGAATGAGTTCGTCCCAGACCCGTCTGAAATCTGACGCTGACAAGCATGCCGTATGCGCACAGGCATGGAGTCTACCAAGTTGACAGACCTTGGAATGACGGCGTTCCAGGTGTGACACAGTACTCGATTCAGCCCAAGGACAATTACACATATCGCTTTACCGTCCAGCAGCAGTATGGAACGTACTTCTACCATGGGCATTTCGGTCCAGCATTCGCGGATGGAATGCGTGGTCCAATCTGGATCCGTCCAGCAGCATGGCGGCCACGTCCTTACGAGCTCATCTCGTCCTCAAAGCACGACATTGAGGCCATCAGAGAGGCAGAAAAGAATCCTCATCACGTCGTGATCAGCGATTGGAACCCTGAGCCGATGGACATCCTCCTCATCATGTACAGAGACACTGGCATCGTGCCATGGTGTAGCAATTCCGTCGTCCTCAACGGCAAGAGCAGGACCTTCTGTCACCCTCCAGAACTCATTGAGTCGGTTGGTGGGCCAGGTAGGAACTCGCTTGGCTGCCTCATGCAGCCTAATCAGGATTTGTACGCCAACGAGCAAGTCTGTGAAGAGACCTTCACGCCACTCGAGGTGTTCCAAGCAGCGGACGGCCAGGAATGGATCTGGATCAATTTCATTCATTCTGGTGCGCACCACGAGTTGCAAATCAGCGTTGATGAGCACGAGTTCTATGTCGTTGCTGCCGACGGGGAGTTTGTCCACCCACAGAAGGTTCATGCAGCCAACTGTAACCTTGGCGAGCGGGTCAGGTAAGCGACTCATCGCAACGCTGTCTCAATGGCATGAACTAACATATCGTCTAGCATTCTGATACACCTGAATCAGAAAGAAGGCGACTATGCCATTCGGGTTACATCACTCCGCACGGAACAGATCATCCAAGGAATTGGGATCTTGAGATACGCCAAGGGCCACTCAAGATCAGATTCAACTACATCCGGTCCTGACGCTATCCCAAAGACCAGACCATGGGTTCATCTCAACGGCAGTCTCATTGACGACTCCCTGGTTGCTATGGATGAGACTAAGCTCACCCCCTACCCCGCGCGGCCCCCTCCAGCCACATCGGACAGCACTCTCAAGTTCTTTGTGAACATGACTGGCACAGGCTCTTGGGTACTCAACATCGGTCCCCATCAGGCCTTCCGCCAACAACTCCCTCCTCTGCTGTGGGACGATGACTCTCGCGGGGAGACTACATATAGCGAGGGCTCTTTGCGCAATGGCTCTGTTGTTGACATCATCTTCGAGAACGGGGCCAACGTCACCACACAGCACCCATTCCACAAGCACAACAACAAAGCCTTTATTATCGGCACTGGTACAGGTGGATTCCCCTGGGAGAGCGTTGACGAAGCTATCCGCCATGGTGGTCAGGCAGCAAACTTCAATCTCGTTGACCCGCCTCTCCGCGATGGGTGTCGGTTGGGCAACCAGACGGGCGACTGGACGGTGATCCGTTACGACATCGCCTTTCCAGCAGCGAGCATGTTGCATTGCCACATGATTCATCATTTCGGAGTAAGTCCGGCAAACTATCCCTTTCCTTATCTACTCGACTATATGCCGAAACGTGCGTTCATGGATGCTTACTTGCTTTACTAGGCTGGGCAGCAGGTCGTACTCTTGGAGGGTGTCGAATCCATGGCCAAGATCCCTGCGGAGGTTAAAGATAGGATCCACGCGGAGTTCATGCCCCCTTTGAGCTATGGGCCCTTAGACTGAATCAACACCGCCAGTCATCTACAACGCCAGGTATGCAAGCCGCGAGGGCAAGTTGCCTAGTCAGGTATAAGTAATGTGGGGTGGATATCTCAAGGCAAAAACTTTAAACATCTGAGCTGCGTTTCAGTCTACTTGGGTTTGCAGATTGGGTAAAAGTATGTTTGGAGAGACTGAGGTGCATGGGTCATCGATTTGGTTAGACTCATGAAGGTCTTCAGCTGAGCGGAGGAAGATCCTTCTAGATTCTGATAAGGTTCCGAACCCTCAGGGGTCCGCTGTCAGTGCCAACCACACATTGGAGCCTGACGTTGGAACGAACCACTCTCTTGTAGCGTCGGTTATAGAAGCTCTACCAATAAGGATGTGAAGTTGTTAACTGGCGTTAAAGAGCCTCAATGGGGCTGAACTACTAGGTTTGCGAAAATAGGGGTGGGGTTTTCCCTCGGAATATAGTGCTCGATGTCACCCACTGATGTTGCTTGCCGACCCTCCACGTGTTTTCCTGGATGACGGAAGGCTCGGACCAGAGTGGCTAAACCGGGAACTAAAGAATCTTTAGTCTTGGCATATGCATTTGACAAGTCCCTGAAACATCCTAGAAGCACAAGCCTTGGGGCGACGCATAAAGTCCTCTACTACTTCGTGATTATACTGCAGACGCCAGTTGATACGAAGACAGCGGTTAACAGCGTAAGAATGGGAGCAGCTGAACAATCGGGACCAGAATCCCTCAGTTGTGACAACAAGGCACGTACGGACACTCAAGATAACAAATGCCAGTGGTTGGACCTGGCGCAGATGTGGAAGCCACTCAGAATGTTTTGGAACGACACCTTAGCCAGCAGCTTTTGCCACGAGACTTCTGTGCTATTCCAGAAGTGCAGGTCCCCGGGTAAATAGGGTAAAGTGATCGAGAGCAGCAACGCAGAATGGGTCAAAGAGTCACGGATACTATCCTAAACAAGAAAACCTCGCATCACACAACGTCGCATCAGCTAGTGAGAATTGAAAGCTTATCACACAAGACGTCATGTCGTATCATTCAGCCCAATGACATGGGCTTCCGTGAACATGAGAATTAGGATATGTAAAGTGGACTGGGGGGTTGAATTCATGATTTTCCCCTGACAGAATTACGAAGGGGATCAACAGACAGCAGCCGCCACCCGAGCCTCTGCATTACTGCGGAGAGATAAATGATGCAAGCGCTGCAAGCGTTCGTCTTGTTACATCCGGCATGTCATGCAGGACTTCCCCGGTATCGACGTCCAAGCAACGATCAGCGCGCCTCACATACTCTCGTACAAATACCGATCCCTAAAGGCTTACCAAGGTTGAGCTAATCTCAACAGGATCTTATGCATAGCCTGAAATCGTAAATGGATGGAAACTACGACGAAAAGTATAACGAGGTCAGGTGCTATCTTGGGAATAGTTTGACGACACTGACAATGACGCATCTTTCCTTTCCGTCGGATATGATATCGTTTGGACGGGAAATGGCAAGGGCCGCGATAATTCGGTCACCGCTGGTGCAAAACCCATTACCCCTACCCCATTAGAACAGTTTGTTATGGACGAGGTTGGATAAGGAGACCTATTGGAAACTTGCGGGGAAAGCTTTGAGACTCGAATCTGCAGCGCAACACGCTGGGCCTCATCTTCTTGTGATTTTCTAAAGCACTATGAGATTGGTCTCATTATGATTAACTACTGCGTTAGAACTTTTGAAGAGGCCTTGAAGACGTAAATACTGTTATCTTTTGCATTGTAACAAGCTATCCAATAGTCAACGCCGGAAGATCTGGAGAGACTGCATCAACCGCCTAGAACATAAACCAGGTGGAAAGCCCCTTTGGGGCCCTGGGAGCTATTCGTCTTGGGGTTCCTGCTGGGAGGCCACAACGCCTGGCAATTTGTTCAGCACCCGGACCAGGGCCAAGGACCAGTCAGTCGTGAGGATCTCGACCAATCAGCTGTGAGATTAATCGATGCCATGTCGAAATCCCGTTCAGAGACTATTCTAGACGAATAGCACTATTCTAGACGAATAGCAACTATGTCCCCAGCAGTGGCAGGAACACCGGAAGGCGGTATACAAAGGAGTCTTCAGAATGTCACTTTCAACTCATCGAAGCATGGTTGCGAGGCAGACTTTCCCGACATCGACTTCGTGGTGGGTGATCATCGAACCCGGGGGCCATTTTCGGCCCAGTGCTAAGGCAAGGGACCAACGCCCCCCGGCCAGACAGAGGCCTAGCCAGTCAGAGGCCTAGCCAGTCAGAGGTCATAGGTCCGAGCCCTGGCTGAATTTATGAAAGACTGGCTCTCAGAAATCTCGAAGGGACCCATACACCGAGCTTCCTTTAGTCCTACGAAGCTAAGGAAATACTCTGGAAGGAAAGTGTATGTAAAATCTATTACAATTACATTGATAAAATTGTTCGGATTATGAGGAGACAGAATTTGTTTGTAAATTTGTATGGTGTGTGTGGGACCATGCCAATGGCAGAGCGGGGGCGCGTCCTGCGGTTTGCTTGCAAGCATGGCGGCAATAGCAGCTGTGCAACAGCACACCCGACGGCGGTGACACCACGGAGCTGGCAGCGCCCTACAGCGTCGAATTTCTTCCAATAAGAGGCTGGACTGCCTACCGACCTGCGGTGCGATCTCACTGTAAGGGTGAGGACTCACGCTTCACCAATCGCACGCGTCCAACGAATCTCAGGATTGAGGCGTACGAGATCGCCACCCCCTTACTCTGATCGCATAGAGGAGTGACTTCCCATCGACTTTGATGGAAAATATAATGAGACCGTATATATGGCAGCGATATGTTTCATCACAATTACTTCATGGGCCGGGCAGCGTACAGCTGCGAACAATACTAACCAACATCGATTACTCAAGGATGGATTGAGATGAATCAACTTCGTTGAGTGTAGGGAAGAGGGGAAATGTATTGGCTGATAAGCCATGATGGGGGCTCATGTACGCCACAATGCACAGTGAGAGGGCTAGTCATTGAACGACCTCACAACTTATATCCGGCAAAATGAACTGAGAGGCATGGTTCGCGCCCACAATGGCCAGGAAGCTGCAGCTTCATGCAGTGACCACGGGACTAAAGTCACGGCCAATGATAGGGAAAACCCGCCCATGAAATGCGGCTCTGCGGGCATAACAATTTCCATTCCTCCTGGTGGAATCTGACAAGATTCTCCTCTGGGGATAGTGAGCAGGAACAAGGCGCCAGTTTCGGTGTGCCCAGGTCGCCTCACCCGTGGGAGTGAGTGAAGGGCCCTGGACCGCGTCAGTACAGCATGGTACACTGAATATATACTACTTCCTTGCGGACCAACTTGAGTCGTATGGTAGCCGGCCCTTCTCACTTTTCGTCAACAAGACCTAAAATTTGATCAATACATGCATACAACAGCATCAACATGGTGTTGCAGTATATCAAAGCATACGGCATTACACCAGAGAAACTGCAAGATTACTTGCAGCGCCTCTTCCCTACACACAATATCGCAGTAAATGTAAGCAGCCTGCAGTTTATCCACTTTCTCCAATCTCTCCTCGAGGCGTATTTATGGCAAGTATGCCTAACGCGGAACACAGACAACCCAGGGCGACTGCTATGTCGTAGATCAGCCTCAGCTCCTTGATGAAGTAAGCCCTACTCATTCTGACGCGGATCCTTTCCAGTCCTGCCAGATTATGATCCATTAATTGGAGAAGGCACAGTTGAGGGACCTCTACAAGATTCTTCGTCGCCGACGCCATGGACGACATTGACGACTCGCTCAGACTTGTGGCGGAGATGAAGGTGGAGGGGCATTGCAGCGGCTAGTGTGGTGGTCGGGGCTCATTTCTTAGAGTACTGGAAACGGGCCAAACATGAGTCTTGTACGGGTGACACAAGGCAGGGCTGTTCCCACGCTCTGTTTCACAACCATCTATTATGTACTCTGAACACGACTCTGCCATGTTCTGGTCTCGTTTAACAAGATTGCATCGAGAGACGTATTTTATGAGAACAAGAAATGAATGAAATGTGCTTTCAGGTAGTTGAAAAATCATCGCCACCAAGGCATTCAAGTCAGAAAGACACATTGCGGCATGCAAGGAGGTGGAGGGCGGGGGCGGATGTCAGATGTTGGCTCACCGGTTTCCTGCCTGGCTGCCTGAACGGCAATCTGATAGACAGTGGCGCAGCATCCACCAATCATGTCAAACATACCTGCGCCCTGCTATCTTGTTCGTATGCAGTGTGACCATACTTCACTCTGCTTGATGTCCTGAGGCCATGGTCCAAGGGCTGGTCGCATTTGCTGCGAGACCCTGTCCCCATTGGGGGCTTTGCCATTTTGTGCTAGATATTGCAACAACGTCGGGCGTTCTCTCACCACGATCAACAGGTCGAAGAGCCCATTGAGGCTCAGTCAGCCAATTCAACTGGCTTGAGCGATATCGTCTGAGTTCAAAAAGGTAGGCATTTCCAGATCACGCTGAAGGACATCGCATACTATAGTTGAATCCAACAACAGCGATCGAAATGGACCCCTCCGATCAATATGATGATTTGAACGCCGCTCTTGCCAATTTCAATGAGTACCCTGCCAACCTCTTGCGATCAAAGTCCTTTAAGCATGACTTGGTGGCATACAACGAGGCTCTCCAACAGCACGAGTTGCGCTTATTCGATGATGACCCTGACTTCTCTGGGGTGAAGCTTCTCGAAGCGTGTGATGGTGGTGGTAAGTCGAAATTATAATCGAGTCTGATACATTTTGCTGCGTTTACTAAGGACTATGTATTCAGACTACGACCCAGTGAAGAGGTACAGAACCGTGGATGAATTGAGGGAGCACTTCCAGATTGAGGGCAAGGACCCGCAATGCCGGCATGTGTAAGTCTCCACAGCTTCGAGCGAGAAAAGAGAAGAGACATCATCAGCAAGGATACATATATACTTTAATCTAACAGTGAACCTAGCTTCATAACGGCTGACCATTCTCGTGCACCTTTGGATTGCTCGAAGGAAGCATTCGCATATACTCTGTCATTCTTACAAGCAATGCCCCGATTTCTTGACCTTGCATTCACCTTTGGAGAACAGGTGGAAGAGAAAGACTTTCACTACACTGCGTTCAACGCGGAAAGCTTCCTTGACGCCTCCGGTGCCAACAAGTTCTGTATCCCCAGACTGGGGAGATCAGGCCGTGAGATCAGGCACTGTTTCAATCTCTGGTCTGTTGAAAAGTCAGAGACTCCTCCCTACTGGCCGATCCGGCAAGCTGCGGTCTATCACTCCTTCGACGTGTGCACCGGGCGTAACGTGTGGATTAACATCAAGGGGAACGAATTGATGCAGACACGCATCGCACAAGCGCTTGGCTCCACGAGCCAGCTGCAGCCTCGATCACTTGAGACTACCAGTGATTCCTTCTCTGCATCTCTTCTGACACTTCTTATCGTGTTGGAATGGAGTGGTGAGAATTGGAGGTCACTGATCAGCGAGCTGGAAAGTCAGCTGAGCGATATACTGACGAAGGCTAAAAACGCCCCTTTCAAGAGCATTGAGGAGGCACTGAGCTTGGACCCGGACATTCTCATTCAGCATCTGAACTCCACTGAAGCAGCTTCTGGGAAATTGTCTCGTCGTACCAATTCGGACATCCATGCCAAGACACCCACGAGAGCTGATACCATTCGCAGCGTCTGGTCGGCAGTCACCCCGAAACGAATCCTTAGTGGTGTTTCTAAAGCTTCGACTGGCGTAGAAGCAGATATACAGGACTCTCCAGCACCAATTGAGACAAAAACTCCACCGACGCCGCTCAAGCCTCTCCTGATACCCTCTACGTTGCCACAGACACACTTCGAATCCGAGACCGTTTATCAGAGCAAGTTCAGTGTCTTCCAGGAATTCACCATGGACGGCCTGCAAAAGCTGACAAACATCGCCGCAAAGCTTCATGAATTGAAACTTGTGATGAAGCTCAATGCGGAAGTCATTAACGAAATAGTGGACTACTACAAAATGTTGGCTGGAAGCAATGACATTCCTGTGGATATCAGGAAAGATTGCGCTGCAGACCTGAACGATTTTTATCGACGCGCAAGGGCAGTTGTCCGAGGTCTGGAGATGGAGCAGTCTCGATCCGAGACTTTAATGAGAATGTTCGAGGACGGCAAGTCGTTGGTGAGAGCGATTCATAATCATTTGCACGGCCCTGAATAATTAACTGATGAACCATCACTAGTTCGACAATATCCTTCAGTTTCGCAATATGGAGATCAGCAAACTCTTCGCAGTCAATGCTCATCAAAGCGGGAAGCATGTGGAGATGATGACGAATGACATGCACCAGTCGAGCCTCGAAATGGAGATGATGACGAAGAGTATGAAGGGAGTGGCAGAGAAGACGGCAATACAGACCTCATCCATGCACATAATCACATTGGTCACGCTCTTCTTCCTCCCTGCCACATTTGTTGCCGTAAGAACTTTTGGGCTACCGCTTTTGAGTAAGTTGACAGAATCTCTAACACTACAACAGACGTTCTTCAGCAGCGGAGCATTTCAGTGGGACCAAAACGCCCCAGAGGCATCGTCGATGCCTTTTTGGAAATCGAAGTTCTTTGCATTATTTGCAGTTATCTGCTTTCCAATGACTGGAGCCATCATTTGTGTTTGGTGGGCTCTGTACTGGAGGGCAAAACGAGTAAACCGCCAGGTTGGTCCAGGGGATGAGGAGCAACAAAAAATTGTATGACTATGGACCAGCGCTGCAGGCTCGGTGGCAAGCTTTTTCAGTCAATTGATGTTTAAATTGCCTGGGACAGCGAAGCACGCTTTTTAGACCCGGAATGGGGGGTGCGAGTGCTGCTTTCATTTCGTCGTTGGTATACTCGTAGACTTTCTCACTGGCATACATCATCATATACAACGAGTGTCATACTTTCTTCTAAGAGCATATTATTCATAGTACATTCTAATGTGTTCTGAGGGAGCCTTGCTTGGTAATTGAAAAAGGGAGCAAGGGGAGTTGTGAGGCGCAGGATTACTACACACCTAGCGAGACTGCCTTGTGAAAGTCCGGTGTGGCTGAGCAACGTTGCCTCCAGCCTCCAACTAGACCGAAATGAGAAGCAGAAAAAGTCGAGAACGGAGATGGTGGGCACAGAGGTGACTGCATGTCGAGTGTCACAAAGGCATTCGGCGGAACCTACAAATGAGGGGCAGGATTTCTTCCGCTGACTTTCGCGATTGCCCCCGAAGCTCGAGAATCCGGATCAGCTGCGGAAAAGGAGCCTCAATATTTTCGAACAGAGACACCTACAAATGGTCTTTAGCACCCGGTTATACCTTTGCGAGGTCGGACATCCACCTATTGGCCAAGGAGAAAACGGGACCAAAGGAGCGATTGACCCTCATCCCAATCCGTTCCCTCTTCCCAACTTATCCTTGACCTTTGCACCACAGTTTTCAACTTCTTACTTCAATTCCTCTGTGTCGTGTTCTTCTGGAGCTCAACTATACCCACCGATTAATCAGCATGTTCCGGTGATAAGCGTGTTCCCATCGAGGTATCATTCATTCAACGACGTCCACGGCCACTGTATCACGGCATCTGCAACTCAGCATTCGCTTTGATCAAAGCCTGATAGGCTCCCTCCCCTGGCCAGCTTAGCCCCAATGTCTTCCAACTTCCAACTTTTCATTGACTTTCATGATTGGGTTGAGGACCACCTAGTTGTTGGGACCGATGGACTCGGCAACGATGCACCATACGTTCGTATTGATGCATTGCAAGAGTATTGGGAAGACCAAATATACCCCCTTCTGAGGTCATGCAGCCATGACGAACCGATCCATGTGCCGATTGAGGACATAAACAAGGGCTACTTGCGTATTTTCTCCGTTCTCGCGTACATATCCAGCACTCAAGTCGCAAGGCTCAACTACATCAAGAAGTTTATGGAGAAAGGTATCGACGACGATCTCCTGCCGTTCGAAGATAAGCCGGATGCATTCTCAAACGCACCTGACGCGATTCGAGCATTCGAAGACTTTCAGAACCAACAATATCTCTTCTCCCCAGTTGACTTTGGCCGGAGACGTTTTCACAATGAGGAGCTGCTAGCCCGAAGTGTCCTGCCTCTCAACGTTGAGGAGGTGTTGTCTGGAAAGAAGGGTGAGACTAGCATAGTCAAGAAGTGCAAGGTCCATCCCTCTAGTGGTCTCAAAGCTGTACGTATAATCACATTGGGCCCAAAACCCGTTTGCTTGTTTGTTAACGGTGCTGTTCACAGAGTTCAATTGTTCTGAAAGAGTTCGATTCCTCGGAAAAAGAGTATTCTTTCAAAAACGAGTCGAACTCCTACATAAATCTCGAGAACAAGATCCCCTCAGACGTATACGCAGAATGCTTCCTTACATACTATGGATCTTTCCGGAAAGGGGACAAAGCATTCATCATGCTTGAGTATACCGATCATGGCAGCTTGTTGGATTTCTTCAGCAGAAATGAATTGCCACTTGAACGACATGAGCTTCGTGACTTATGGTTGAGTCTCAGCGATCTATTTATCGGTCTCGAGCTTATTCATGGTCTCGAACATGAACACCAGGGCAGCATACAAGGCACCATTCGGGGCGTACACCAAGACCTAAAGCCTGCCAACATCTTTGTATTCAGCCGAAGTGATAGCACCCCATATCACTTTCGCTTCAAAATTGGAGACTTCGGAATGAGCAGTCTAGCTCTCGTCAAGACCAGGAACAAATTAATCAGGGGTCACGGCAACCCCAGCACGAAAATGTATGGAGCCCCAGAGCTGACTCTCCACTACCCAGCCTTAGATGGTGTTGGCTACGGGGCCCGATGGGATGTAGATGTTTGGTCCATGGGCTGCGTTCTATTCGAAGTCTTGGTCTGGACAACATGTGGGACCAGAGGAATATCGGAATTCTTCGAAATGCGACAGCGGGCCACCGACCGTGTCCTGAATCACACATCCCAAGGATATTCAGGCTGTTTCCACAATGGAACCTCCAGGATTCAGGCTGTCGACGACATGATGACACTTATAATAAAAAGGAGAAGAATATTTGACGACTTGTCGGAGCCGATTGGCACTCTGATTCTGAAAGAAATGCTTATACCCAACGAAAAATGCAGGCTGGAGGCCAGGTACTTGCTTCCACGTTTCCAGGACATTCTTAAACCGCAAGAGGCAGAAACAGGTCGGCGAGGGACAATCTCGGAGCAATATGAGACACCAGATGCCCAAAGTGGAGGCCGTTCTCGTGGTAGCACGGCTGAAAGAGACGGAAGCTACAAGGACTTTCAACGGCATCAGCAGGCGAGGAAGTCTCCAAACAGCCTGGAGACCCACGAAGATGACTGTCAGAATCAGGAGTTCACGGATACTCGCGTACTGAGCCCACCTGATGAGCGCAGCTATAGTCGCCGTCGAGCGTACGAGTCCTGGTCGAGTTACGAGGTGCATCCAACGCATGAAAGTTCAGCCTCGGGAACGCCAACACAGCCTTTTGACAGACAAGAATCCCGACGGTCTCATTTAGTGAGAAATGGTCCACGTTTGGTCTCACCACCGCCAGAGCGTGGCCATGGATACGCTCGAGTCACCATCTCCCAGGTGATCCGATGGATCGACGACAAGAAGAACAGAAGGGCACCCAGACCACTTCCAGATCATGACAGAGCCATGCGGGAGATTGATAATCGTGAACAGGTATGATTCGTTTGTAACCGAACCCAGTGGCTTCATGCTAAACGAAGAGCAGATATTCGTTGTCGACGACTCAGACACGATGAGGACTCATCACTGGGACAAGGTCATCGAGGCGGTTCTGGCGCTTGGCTATCTCGTGAAGCCGGCTGATCCGGACGGCATGGAGCTGTTCTTGACTTCTGACCCCGCAAAATGTAAGAAGTCCCGCGACAGCAATGGCCTTGTTCGCACCCTCGAAGACCATCAACGAACATCTTTCGTCGGCGCTTGCAACATGGAAAATAGCCTAAGCCCAATTTTCGACCATGTCAAGAACGGCCTGAAAAGTAAAAAAAGAACCAATCTTCTCCAACGGACACAACGTCGCGGGACAAACGTTTACATCCTCACCGACGCAATCTGGGAAGGAGGTGAAGAGGTGACATGTGGGGTGGAACGACCGATCAAGAATTTGACAACAAGGATGCGAGAATTGGGAAAAGATAGAACAACCGTGGCGCTGCAATTCATCCAATTCGGCAACGACGCACTCGGGAAGGAAAGGCTTCGGTATCTGGACGACACTTTGGGGGAACAATTGGACTTGTAAGTTTTACTGATAAAAAGTAAAATTTCTGCACGGCCAGCTTGCTGATTCCGACTTAGTGATATTGTGGATCACAGGCACTGTGAAGATGGAGTTTGGCACATGCTGGTGGGACCCATTAGTCGCGGTCTCGACAAGGACAACAATGTTGGAAGTTGAGCAGCTATTGCACGATGCACAGAGGCACTGAGGCATACTAAGCTGAGACCTGTACCAGCGAACTGAGTTCCGGAAGCCACCTAAACAGCTGTGAAGGCACAGGCAGTGGGCACCACGCAAGGTAAGTAACGGATACCGGTATGGTGGCGTATGTTGACCATATGGCTTTACGATCATTAACAACAAGAATGTTAGGTCTCCCATGGCATAGAATCACCCTTGTCATAAATCAGGCCCGCTGTTGCGGTATCCTCCGGTGTATGGAGATTAGAGTCCCACGTCCATTGCATATCGTCGAGGAAATAAGGCATGTACCAACACCAACGACATCCTCCTTGGATGCCTCCAATTTGGTGGGCCGAGTTGGACATAATTCTTCATACAGAAGTCATGTCGGTATCCGTATGTTGACGAGTGCGTCAACATCCGGAGCGTAACGAGAGTCATGGCTGTCATTCAACGAAGCATTCTTGGATGATTAAGCATATATACAACTCAGACCTAGTAATTAATAATAGGACTGATAAGCAGTCGGTAATTTTTCCCAAGAATCGCTTTTGTGACCTTATTTTGACAAGTTTGAGTCCGCACTCTTCACCAATAGAGGCAAATTTCAGACGGTAAGCAATAGGAATGGTATTGGTAAATTTGAGAACTCATTTGAACCCATAAGGCAGTTAGGTATAGACAAAAGTCCTGGGCATGAAAGCCTCTGATGGGAGTAAGATGTGCAGCTGTTCGTGCAATCTCATGTGAACCCGACCTGAACTCCTGTGTCTTCCACCTATCCTTTGAAATGGCCTTCTCACTTTCTCCCTCCCCAACTATACCTTTCCATGCCAACAACGCCAGGAGAAAAGCCACCCACCACCACGAAAAGAAAAGTCATCATTATAGTCGGTTCGCGTCAACACCAATGACTCCAAATCCTTTCTTCAATAAAGTATCCGCTGATCCCTACAAGACCTTACAGTCCAGCCCCACCGATTCCAACGCCTCCACCAACCGCTTCAGCGTCACTGGCCTCGTCAAGAACATATCCACCCCGCTAGCAACCGCGTCCTGCTGGATGCCCGCCCCCGCCAGGCCCGTTAAAGCTATGATGGGCGTCTGCTCGAGCCGGTTCGCCCGCTCGTGCTGGCGGATCCGGCGCGCCGACTCCAGGCCGTCCATGATCGGCATCGATATGTCCGTGAGGATGCAGCAGTAGTCGGACGGGCAGTGGGCGTACATCTCGGACGACTCGAGGCCGTTGATGGCCGTCACGTAAGGACGCTTCAGCTTCTTCATGTACGCTGAGAGGATCTAGACGGGGCTCGGTTAGTCTTTGCTGTCAGGCTCAATACGGGTAAATGTTCCGCTCACCTTCAGATTGATAGCGTTGTCGTCGACTATCAGCACGGACGGTGGCTTTCCCACAATTTCCATGGGGTCCGTCCTCTCCACGACCGGCGTCATGGCGGGCACATCGCCACCGAGGGTTGACTCCTCGGGCGGCGTCGGCAAAGGCGTAGGATCCATCTCGGCCGACGATCGCGGCGCCGTGTTCGCCACCACGGTCGCGCGCGTCGAAGTGACAACCGTGACGTCGTGGCCTTGATGCGCCTTGCGCTCGGGGACGACCGTGTCCCTGCTCACGAGCGTGACCTGCGTGCCCTTTGTCGCGGACGTGGGCAGGACGTCGACGGATGTCGTGTGATGCGGCATCAGCTGCTGGGCCGCCTGCTCCTGCTTCGTCTTCCACATGCCGAGGAGGTGCACGAGCGCTCTGGCGAGCTTGCGGGGGCCGAATGGCGGCGCGAAGAACTCGAAGGTGCGGATGCGGCTGGCGGCGTCGGGCAGGTTGTGTGAGAAGTTGCGGGTGGCCACAGTGGCCTCGCACACGAAGAAGACGGGGCACTCGGACTCGCCTGCGATCCTCTCGCCGTCGCTGAAGGAGACGTTGGAGTCGTGGTGAATGATGAGGTCAGGCTGGCTGGGCGACTTGCTGCCGAGTACCTCCATGGACAGCCAGTCGCGGCATGTGCTCTCGAGGAAGTGAGCCTGGGACTCTACTAGCTTTCCGATGTCCTGCTGGCCGCTAGAAATAAGCCGGCTTTCGTCAAAGTCGGGCCCGTCGAAACCTCGCAGCAGGACTTTACGGCCTCTTAGGGTCTGCACAGCCTCTCCGAACCCTGTCGGGTCTCCAGGTACTGGGGCATCTCCTGTGAATGGTAACGGCAGCGATACAGTGATGGTCGTGCCTCGTCCAACTTGGCTTGCGACTTTGATCTCGCCTCCTAAATTGACAGTTATTTGCCTCACTAGACTGAGCCCCAAGCCCGTCCCTGGGGCGAAATTATCTTCCTGGCAGAAGGGCGTGAAAAGGTGGTTCTGAATGTAGTCTTCGCTAATGCCTTTGCCCGAGTCGGAGACTGTGAGCAGTATCGTGGCCCCGACGTTGTGTTGGTACGGCTTGGCGGGTTCCTGCGTGAGGCTCACCTTGATGAACCCAGACCTAGTAAATTTGAGGGAATTCCCGAACAAGTTCATCACGATCCTCCGGAACGCCCCTGGGTGGGTATTGAATCTCCAAGAAGTCGACCGCTCGATGTCGAGGAATATTTGCACGCGTTCTTGGAGTGAGTCAGGGTGCCCTGAGACCGTCCGTTGAGCCACTGCGTCCCTGTACTTAGTGTAATCCAGGTCGTCGCGGAGTGAGCGCTGCGCAGACATTCTCTCGTGGCTGTAGCCCGCTAGCACGCTCTCGACAACCTCCTCAACGAGACAGTCCAGCTCGACCGGCAGAGTCTGGGACCTTGTCTTGCCCTGCTCAGAGCGCTCCCCCGGGTCCGCGTTCACCTTGCCTAGCACGCTGTCTTTCTGATCCGCCCTGTCGTTTTCGATGAAACTATTAATCTTACTGTAGTCCAGCAAGTGGTTGATGGTATCGACCAGGGTCTTTCCCGACGTCTCGATGATATTCAGCACGTTCTGCTGCACGCTGTCTAGCTTCGAGTCGTGTAGCAACTCCACCGCGCCCACCAGGCCGTGTAGCGGACTCCTCAACTCGTGAGAGATGGAGCCCAGAATGTTGCTCTTGATAGTCTCCTCCGCTTTCGTATTCAACCGGTAGAGCTCGGCCATCACACTCAGACCAAACACACGGAGGAAGGTGACTGTACCGTCAGTTGTGAAGACGCGCGTGGGGTTCCTTGTCCAGATAAAGCCCCCTGCAGACCAACGTTTCTTCTGTCCATCCCAGAGAGGGATCAATACAACACTCCTTGCACCAGGGAAAAGGTTCACGACCGCTTGCGCGGGATCCCAACGTTTCAGTGGTGTGTTTGTCTTCCTCTGCGCAGAATCGGCATCTAGATGGATGTCCTCTGGATCCTGGCTATCCCGAGACCACTGTCGCGTAGGCGAGGCGGGCCGTCTCGGTGGATGCCCAGGTTTGGCAGCTTTGTTGTCGGAAGGCGGTGCTGTCTGTATCACACTCCCGTCTGCGTCGAAATTAAATATTTTCCCATGGGGGTATCGTCTGAGAAGTCTTTGCAAGTTCCTGTCCCGTAATCCTTCAAATTGCCATGGTGAGCGGTCACCACCGATGGTTGATCCCTGCATTGTCGAGTAGCCGAGGACGTTGCAATAGTCCTCTCTCCTCCCTGCCGACTGCGTCTGGCTTGACGCGTCCTCATCGTTGCTGAGATAGCTGATGTTGTCTAGACCGACCGTCGATACCTTTCGTCCGCCTGTCTCGTTCTGCTGTCCTACTAGACCACCGAAGGAGCGCACAGTAGCGTCGAGGAACAAGACACCGTCGACCTCGACAGCCTGGCGAATTATATTCGCTGCCTTCGCGAACACCCGGCTCGACTCGGCTAGTTGCAGGTCGGCTGAGCTGACCTGTGCGACGGCGGGCTGCTGGGTGCTCGTGCTCGCCGCGGAGTGTCGCGAATCGGGCCGCGGCGTCGACGACCTCGAGGAATCATCAGGGGCCAAAGTCGACGAGGCCTTAGAGCTGGCGACCACTGGCACGATGATGGTCTGGGTTTCCAGCGACGGACTCTTGCTGCCCGGAGAAGGCTCCGTCGCCGACACAGGGGGGTTTCGCACGCCGGGCGATTGACCAGCTTCTCCTTCAACGACTTGGGGCCCGCAAGCGGTGCTGAGGGGCAACAATGCCGGCCGGCCGCCCTTGGCTAGAATTTCTTCCTTCCTCTTGACGCTTTCTGTGATATCAGCAGAGATTACAAGCCTCGATGCCCGCTTGCTCGCGCGCCCAAGCCCGCGAGTCGGCCCGTCGATGACAGGATCAAGCGAGTCCGAGCCCTCGACGAAGTTGCCCATGCCTCGGACCATCCTCTCAGACCTGCGGTATTTGCTGTACGAGGTACGATATTCGAGATATCCCATGATCGTCCGCGACATATCCCGCATGAATTTGATCTCGTCACTGTTCAGCCCTTGCGGCCGCGGTTTCGTGTCGAAGACGCAGTACACCCCGATGTTCACGCCGTCTGGTCCTGGGCTTCGTATGGGAACACCTGCGTAGAACTTATTGAATGGACGTCCCTGAATATACGGTCTGTTGTGGAATCGCCCATCGGACGCCAAGTCAGGCACAACAGATACAGGCAAGTCGTCGCCGGCGCCGGAGTCATACTCCGGGTCTGTTGCTACGTCAGCAGATCGACTGGCCGACGAAACGAGGACGTGCTCGCATATGCCAAAGGATCGCGGGATCGCCGTTCCACACAGCCAGAAGCCATCGTCTCCGCCATCGACCTCACAGCCGGGCTGCTGATCCCCTTCTGTTATGCTTGGGCGCCTGCAGCGCTCGCGGGCGCCCAGCGGAGACGAACGTGTGGCCTCGGCAACAACATGTTGGCGGTCGCGATCAAACAGCGAGATCAGGGATCGCTTTGCATTGAGCCTGTGTACGGCGAGCTGTGCATATGCGGTGAGGCTCGAGTCTGCCGCCGAAGATAGTATGGCAGGTGGCACGGGATCATGCGGGTCATTGAGGTTCGCGGACGTCCATCCGAGGGAATCGTATCTGCTCGGCTCGTGGAGCTGGTCAGCGCAAGTTGCCGGAAGGGTGGAGAGGACATGGTGTGTGTGGCTGCCGGATGACTAGTGAGGACAGATGGACGTACTTGAATGTTTCTCTCTCGCGGACATTCTCCGACACACTTGGGTCTGCCGCGGGCGCAGATGGAGCGTGTGCCCAGCTCGGCTGGTCGATCAGGTCCATAGCCCCTTGCGGCGATGGGTCGTTGGCGAGTCGGGGCTGCTACACGCTTCTTCCATGGACTTCCCGTTTACTGAAGCACATCATAACCGCCAAGCGGAATAGAATCAGGTCTGGGTTGGGCTGAAGTGGGCAGACTGGGCAGTATAGTACGATATAGGACAGGTCCAGGAAGGACAAACAACAGACGAACTGGCGAAAATTCGGAACCTGTCTGGGCGTCCCTTGGGTCATCTCCTCGGAACCCAAACCAGATCAAAGTCCTCTGGAAACCTTATTTTCCAAACCCCCTCCAGGCCCCTCGCCCTCGGGTAGCAAACCTGTTCCTTCTTCCAACTTTCTGTCCCCTTTCCCACCTCTGACTCGATCCACGCCATCCTTGTAGTGGGGTGGGGCGCCAGTGCCGATGAGCGTCGATCCCGTCTTCCGCCGGGCATAACAAAGATGGGGCAAGCTTCTAGGTCGTCGATCCGCTGCCCATCTTTCTCCCTTTTCTGCCAGGAGATGCGGAAATGCGGTATCTCTGTGGGAAGAATTGCATGTTTGCATGTCGCAAATCGGCAGATCCAGATCCGGATCCGCCTAGGCGCTTTCGACCTAATATATCTAGTCCAAGCAGCAGCTTTGTGCCACCAGCCTGCTAGTTCTGGCGCGCGATCTAGATCTCAGGGTCCAGCTTGCCTGCTTGCCATGGGTTGAAATAAGGGGTCCAATTTCAGGGTCTGCAGGGCCTTCACACTAATCGTTGAAGCAATCTCAAACCCGGTGCAGTTTTGCATATAGTGGGAGGACTAAGGGCTAACACGGCTAGGACCTCCATACTCGAAGCTACTCGAGGCGAGGTCGGCACGGTCGGGCCATTCTGGAGTTGCCGTGGCTACTGACTGGTAGCTACTGGCCACTGGCTGCCAGCCGTTGGTCTAGCGGGATCTAGAAGAACCCCGGTCGGCCCATCTGACCATCTCGTGCATGCCCTGCAGGCGTTGCGTTCGTGGGGGGCCCACGATGGGGCCCTCGAGGTGGCTTGGCAGTCTTTTTTTTCTTACCCTGCCCTGGCTGCCTGGCTGTTCGAGAGAGAGCACGAAGAGGGGGACAGCCCGACCAATGCCAACGAGACTGGATCATCGGGACACTGGGAACTCTTATGGTCGAGCTCACGGCTGAGTTGCCTGAGAGTGTACCGGGAATAAAAGCGGGGACAAACAACAGCTCTAAAGCAAGACTAAGCTGCTAGCTGGAGGCACCTTGGTGCTAGAGCGAGTACCACGGTATGCAGCGTCGCGTCTGGCGCTTTTTGCCCGCAATTTCTTCGTCTTCGGTGTTGTCAGTGACCAAATACGTGAGCAAACTGCCAATGCTGGCGATTGGTGTCAAGAGACGGATGTCTTCGAGGTGCCGCACACTTGACATCTCTCTGGATTTCGCATAAAAATACAGCCACATCTGTATCAATTGTTCTTATAGGGAAGACGAGCCCTCAGAAGGGGTGAGAAAGTCGCCACTGGCCAGGCGCTATGATTTAGTGGTTGAGAAATTGGCTCAACTGCATTTCGAGTCATATTCAGCGGCCAACTGGTCTTCAGATCAAGGGGGGTTTCTGTTCGTGCTTTTACGACGAAGTAGTGATGGACGGCAAGTGCCGAGCGTGGAGAAGACCCACAAGCCTCTTGAGTACGCTTACTGGGACAGCACTGATGGTTACCTGGGTGTTTGGGTAACCTATAGATGAAATCTACTTACGCAAGAATATTAACAGTTGTTTGAGAAGGAAGTGTCTGCGCTCGTGGACAGCAAATCACAGCAGAGCGCCCAGGCCATGATTGCGATCTGCCATAGACCGGATCAACGCCTCCGATTCTCGTCAGTTCGCAGAACCCATGACCTCCTCGGGTTCGACGAAAGGTGGCCCTCGACTCGGCAGTCACCCTCCTGAACGGTACACAAGGCAACATGGTCGAGCACATGTGAACATTGTCTCGGGCACTGCTTGTTTAACGAAGGCACACAATGACCAGCATGTCACAATTCAGATTCGTTGCAAGGCATCAGAAGTATGTGCTCGGTTGCGTGAACAGCAATGTGAAGGGCCGATATATGCGGGTGCTTGAGGTTCAAGCAGGCATGCTGCAATAAAAGGAGTATGCCTGTCGATACTGCGGCCCATACATCGTCTTGCAGAGCAAATACCGCTGCCAAAACGGATTTTGAACTCTCATACCAGAGGAAACACAGACTACTGTGCATTCTTTGGTTCTGAACTAGCCATGAACTATGAAGGTGTCCATGCACCGCCTTCTCGGAATGCGTCACCGTCATCACAGTTCATTCACAGTGGGATGTCACAAGCACTAGCACCTGGCCAGCCCCCAATAACCACAGAAGTCTTCGAAGAAGGTATCCGGCCAAATCAGCCCGGCGAAGCCTCGATTGGAATCAATACATGTGGCTGGTACGAAGGTATGCGCCCTGGGGGGTGGGGGGGACCTGAGCCAACATCCATCCCGCTGACAATATCGAAATAGGCAGGACAGTAACATGTGCCTCTCTAGCGACATGCGGCTTCTCCAGCACATTTCGCGCTTGCTGCGTGAATCACGCATGCTCGTCCAGCGTTTTCAACACTGCATGTCTTCCATATGATGACCCGGCTTGTTTAGCTGGCACCCATGGGCCAGCAACGAAGTGTTGGTCTGTCTGCTTCCGTCCTCTATCCTGCCACCGGATAGCTAATGCATAGGACTTCTGCAGCACCGATGCATCGAGCCCTGCGTGCTTGACCCTCCTCTGGCCCACAACACCTGGCACACCAGGCCTGACAGTCTACACAATGCTCGACTCCTGCGTCCCGGCAATGCAAGCTGGTCAAGGCATATTGTCCACAACACCACCGCTTCGGACGCCGACAACATCATTACCACACTCGCTCGACTCGTCAACCGTTCTTAAGCCTCCAGCCGGGGCGATCTTGGAGAGCATTCTTGGCGCGGCCGCTGTTTCCGTCCTCGTCATCATCAGCTGCGTCATCGTCATCCGAAAGATGAATGCGTCTCGGACATTGAGGGTACGGGCGGGTGCTTCGCGGAGTTCTCTCACTGTATCCGCGTCGTCTAGACAGGGTCATCGGCAGGCCGATATACCGCTGTCTACTCTGCCTGGAACCGTGCGTGCTGCCCAGGATTGCAAGGCGGGCAGGCCTCGCGGGGCCGAAGTCCGCAGCGGCACATAGATAGCGAGGGATAGCAAAGGGTAGTCCTGGTGAGAGCCGTAGCTACGCATGACCTACAGACATGTTCACAATCCCTCTTGGCGATATGTCATCTGCTGCCTGTGGCCTATCAAGTACATGTACGCCAAAGGAATAAATTGGGTGGAGCGATGCTGAGATTATTTCTTGGCTGTTCCAGTAAAGGGTCATTGTCACTGCAGACCCATTCAAAGGCGCCCAACTTGGCTTTCCTGACGCCGTAAGACGGCTCATCCGATTGCCGGCTAGCTGCAGTACTTAAGGCACTGCGGCTACTTGCGGTGCTGACGTAGGCCCAGAGGTCAGTAAGCGACGTAGCTATCGACGCAACCTTTAAAGACGTCTTGCCAGCCTCGTCTCGCACTATTAAACTGTTCTATCATATACAAGGCAACTTAGTTCATTACATCTGAGTGACTCTCACAAACCCTTCCTAACCTAGAAAACCATGGATGGAAAGGGGCTGTCGGGCCCTTCAACACATGCGCGGCCGATGCATCACTGGAGGTGGAAGATTCTGGCCTGGCCCATAGCTTCTCTCGTCCTCCTGCACACTCTCATACCGCATTCCCGGGTTCATTTTTGGTACGGTTGTCGGCACGAGACGGCTCGAGTCACATATGAAGGCGAGAGTATCTCATGGGAGCCATGTGGGGAGATCTCAGGTCACGCCTTGGAGTGCAGCAACATTACAGTTCCAATGGACCACTTTGAGCTTCACAGCGCAGGCCTCAGAAATGGAGAGGAGCAAGTGTTCACCATCCCACTGATTCGGATGCGCGCCAAGAACGCCACACAGAATCTCATCATCAATCCTGGCGGTCCTGGAGGAAGTGGCGTTGGGTTCGTCCATGCAATCGGTGGGGAGCTCAACACGATCCTTGGAGAAGGGTTTCATGTCTTGTCATTCGATCCACGTGGCGTGAACGGGTCTCGCCCCAAGGCAGAATGCTATCCTGACCAAGCTACGCGACGGGCACATGCACAGCCAAGAAGCGGCAAGCTATCTCGCAGTGGCGAGATGTATGCATGGAACAAGAATTTTGCCCGGGCTTGTTACGATACCATGGGAGAACACGCCAAGTATAGTGAGTGATGATTCGATGCGTTCTAGCGGCTGCTCGTGCGAAGCTGACAGTCAGAACCTTGTAAATAGTAAATACACCCCAAACCGCCGCAGACATGAACAGTATCCTAGACGCTGTCGGGCAAAAAGACATGATTTATTGGGGTTTCAGCTACGGGACGACGTTAGGCCAGACTTATGCTACCATGTACCCAGAGCGCTCAAGCCGCGTGGTGATCGACGGAGTAGCGAACGTCCACGACGCCTACAAGGTATTAGATACCGAGCAAAAGTGGTTGACCGACGCCGAAAAGGTCCTGTATGGCTTCTTTAACGAATGCAACAAGGCAGGGCCGGACCGCTGCCCTCTGGCATCTTTTGGAAGCAGTGCGGACGAGCTCTGGGAGGCAGTCATGTCGAAAGTGGACAAGGTGAAAGATGAGCCTCTGAGCATATACGTCAACAACACCGTACATGGCGTATTCGACTACCCAGACCTTCTGACCAACGCGATATTTTACTCCCTGTACGCACCAAAATATGCGTGGTACCCCGTGGCACATCAACTCGCCAGATTTCTGGAAGGGAACACGACCGACCTCTGGATGGCGCACGGTCGAGCGGATATGTTCGCCAGCCTCGGCGAGGCCACCCGATTCATAACGTTCAATGATGCGAAGTCAGGGGCGAAGTACTGGCCACAGGGTTGGCAAGACCTGCTGGATGTGATTACGCCCTTCGCAAACAAAACCCTCTTCTCGATGATTGACATGACCGGTTTCTTCGGCAGACAGCAGTAAGCACATTTCAAATCTGCGGTTGTCTTGCGCAGTCTGCATCTTTAATTCCGCTGACTTAAAATTGATTGTATGTAGGTGGATTGTTCCTCGCACACACAAATTCGTACCGCAGGAGAGGGTTGAGACCGCTCACCCCTTGCTCATCCTGGCGACCAGCTACGACCCCGTGTGCCCCATCAGGGGAGCACTGGCCGCGAGAGACATATTTGTAGGGTCCCAAATCGTTGAGTCAAAGGCATACGGGCACTGCTCGGATGCAATGCCGTCGGTCTGTGTTGCCCGGCATGTCAGGGCGTATTTTTACGAAGGGAAAGTCCCAGATAATTACACACAATGTGAGATAGATGGTGATTATTTTCCCAAGCACAATGAGGATGAAGAGATAGTACAGGGTCGTGGGTTATTGTTTGCAGATGACCCCGAGATGGAACGTGTTCATCAGGCGCAGAGCAGGCTGGCTCAGAAATGGCCAGCCTGGTAAAGTAAAACAGGTCTGAGGTTCCAGTCGCAGAGTAGAGTGAGGCTTAGGGTCAAAGACCTAGGAAATTAAAACACCCTGACCTGAAAGTCATGAAAAGAAGGCGCCAATTTCTTCGAATTTGATAACTGCATCGTCAGTCAGAGCCAGGATTGGTTAGCCCCATATTTGTCTCCAAAGTTGGGGACGCGCTCAATCCGAGACTATCGATTAACAATTAAGAGGAACATCGTGCAGAAGTCCGTTTGTTGTTCTCGGCAAAAGCATGCAGCTAGATCGCCTCCCCCGCACGGGTTCGTCTCACATGACGCTATGGATGAGCGCGCGGGCGACGGACACTCTCTCCCTCTTTCGATGCCCTGGATGGACATCTCCCCAGTCTACATATTTGCTCCCATCTACGAATCTAACTCAATCATCATAGCGTACTGCTTTACTGTCATTACTGTACAGATCGCCTGGTCATAACACAGAAATGGACTCTGAATTGAACATCACTGCATCAGACTCAACCTTCAAGGCCACGGCTCAGGATGGCGTCTTTCCGCTTTTCCCATTTTTACCAAAGGAGCTGCGACTGCAAATATGGGAGGAGGCGACACCGCGTGAGCGACTCATACAACTCACCGTCGCGATCCCAGATGATCGAGACGAAGATGAAGAGCCTCCTTATATACGATATCTAGAGAAGAATCACCTAGGGAACCCCGTCAGCGGCAGCGGCTATCTGCTCTATGCGAAAGATGCCAGTATAGGACATGAGCTCTTCAGTGTCAACAGGGAAGCCAGACAGGTTGCTCTAGACTTCTATCGCATTCATATGCCCTGCCAAGTTGAAGAGCCTGGCCCTTGGCAGAGGACTCTGTATCTCAACCCCGAGCACGACGTGCTTCAAATTCGAGCAGAAGCGCCTGTAAAAGAGTCATTGGTCGACTTTCTGTGGGATTTGAAAGCGTACGACCCTAAGGGCGTGGGGCTACTGAAGGTAGCATGGGACCTGATGGGCTTCTGTGGCAACGACCTCCAATATCGGAAGCGGTCGGACCTGCTCCTCATCCGGCAACGGAAAGCGCTCGTCGACACCCTCTCTCAGCTGCAAGAGGTTTGGTTCGTCTACATCGAGGCCAATAAGCACGGGTGCAAGAAAGCCACCGACCGGCCTGGCAATATCATCCCGTACGACGGTGAAGTGACGGCATTTGAGAGCATTGGACCTGATGCGAGGGATGGTGTGGAGACCGAGTTGCAGCAGTTATACATGGGCAGCGTGGATCCGCGGGAGCTCATTTGGCGGTGGAAAAGGCTGCTGCGGACGTGGGAGATACAGCACCAACCTGGACATGTCAGGTACCGGTTGATGGTTGCGCAAAAGCCCGTGTATAGTCCAGACGCCTGGAGGATCAGCAGGTTACCTCGACTCATGAAATCCTTGAGTATCCGGAACGAGGAGCGCAAAGACGACGTGGAGGTTACGGCCGACGCAGCCGATGATGGACCAGTACCAGGAGAAGGAAAACAACAGGGAACACGCACGCTGGAGCCTGTAACTGTTGGCTTCTGGTCATTTCCGCTTGACGCGGTAGGAGAAGTTGGCGAGGGTAAGCGTCTATGCGACATGGATTTCCGTCCTCACCGTGTCTTGGATTTGAGGAACTACTGGCCAGAGCTACTACTTGCAAAGGTTGCTTGAGGTTAAATTTCTCAACTAAGAGTAGACTATCGGAAATCATGTTCACGCAGGGGCAAAAAGGCCATCTGCAAGTATAGATGATCTCCTGCCAGGCATGGCCCACTTTAAACTGGAATTGAGACTAATACGACGTTATATACTGATGCTCAGGTTTGGGGAAGAGATATCAACTACGCGAGGCAACGCGAAGTTGGATTGTGACATTCAATTCGTCTACAGTATTCGGTTGCAACAACTACCCTGACCACCATACCAATGATCCTGTCTCCTGTGGCACCTGGGCAATATATCCATACGTGACATCGGGCTCCTGCTGGTGGAGCCATCCCCAGATCGACCTCGGACCTGATTTGACACGTGCATGGGTCTGCGGTAGAGCATTGCTGATTGAGCTTACCTCGAGCTTACGTAGACACAGTGAGTTATTCCAGGCTTGTCTGTTGTGGGCGTCAACCCCGCAAGAATCCCAAGGTCTTGGCAACTGAATGGGGGCTGGTCGCCGCGTAGATCGCAGCTACGGATGCGGCCAGGTTGCTTATCTCGACACGACCTGGTTAGGGTAATTTCACGCCAATTTCACTCCTCAGTTGTGGCTGTTTGGGTTCATCCCGTGTCGCGATGCACCTGTTAGTCTCCCAGCTCATCCGGCATGCCACCGGCTCACCATTGCACGACAATAACAGACTTTTCTTTTGAGACAACGAAGGCATCTCTCTCTATTAGAGTTGTAGCTAAGGTGCACACAACGCCCCTGTTCCACTGAGTCTAATCGCCTTAGGGCCGGAGTCAATGGCGAACGGCCAGAGTCGACTTGCAAGGCGCGATACACTTTAAACAGGCACCCTCCCTCCCTTTGAGGGCCGACTAATGACTCTACGTGTCCTACCCATCAATATTGTTCCGAGCTCTCTGGCTGAGGCATCGGGACAGACTGCACCGTGTCTCTTTGCCTAGTTTCAACAACATGTTCAGTCCGTCGCGAGGAGCTTTGTTCTTGGTGATCGCGCTGTGTCTTCTCTGGGGTTTCCACCTTGGCGCATACCTGGATCCCGAGACGTCGGACGCATCTGGCTCATATTTCGATTTCAAGTCCAGAGGCACCGGATCTCCTCTATCATCACACGTGCATACCTATTTTGAGCAGGTTTTCTCAGTGGAGAAGCCCCGAGATTACAAATTCTCTGCTGTCAAAGCTGCGTGCGAGCGAACGCAATGGCAGGAACAAAACAAGAACACGTATCTCAGATGTGATGGCATCAACGCGGGGATGACTTCGATCATCTCCCAAGTCAAAGTCTGCTTTAAGATGGCGATCGATACCGGTGTACACTTGATCCTGCCCAATATGCCCCTCCGCGATAGCGACGACTTGCTCAAGTTCAACCTCCTGAATGCATCCGCATATATGGATTACGACCAATGGTTCGACCATGAACACGTGCTGGCCTCAATGTCCAGAGCGTGTCCCCAGATGAATATCATACAAAGTAAAGACGTGGGCACACCATCCTTGCCGGTTCTCAACGAGTGGAAGATGGACATCGGGTCTGCTCCAGGGTTTCGGATGCTGTCTGGGTATTTCTGGGTTGGAAGGCCTTTCAAATCTTGGTTTGACAGCGAACTTGCTCAACTACGCTTCTTCAGCAGTGTGAGCTCTAAGGACGAAGTCGAGCAAGAGAACACGAGCGAGCTTTCCCGGTCGACAGCGGAGAAGGGCGCAACAATCCTCCAGATAGCCTCTCAGTTTCTCCTCTTCCGTCTGACGGATGACCCCACCGGCAGAGAAGTCGCCCTGTGGAATGATCTGGCGCACCTTGTACGCTTCACTGAGACCCCACGCAAGCTCACAAACAGGATCCTCTCGCACATCGACAGGCCATACTTTGGCGTGCACTTCCGCACCGAACGCGACAACATCTGGTCATCGTTCGAGAACCAGCTTCAAGTCGACCTCGACGCGCTTGACCAGGCATGGGCGCAATATGGCTCTGCAGCTCAGGAGAAACCGCTGGTGTACCTAGCTTGCGGGGACGAGGGCCAGATTGAGAAGTTTTCAAGGGCGGCGGCACAGCGCGGCTGGACTGTTACCTCCAAGTATGATATTGCGAAAGACTATCCTGCCACTTTGAAGATGATCAAGGAGATGCCGTTTGACTTCCAGGGCGCGGTGGATATGGGTGTCATGTTGGAGAGTCACTTCTTCCTTGGCATCACCGGGAGCGCCTTCTCGAGTTCTGTAGCTAACATGAGAGACACGACGGGGAGATACAGGGGGAGCAGCTTGCTTTACGCCGACGATGGTAATGCTCGGACGCACTTGTTTAATGACGGAGATGCTTCAGGATACCCTTGCTGTTTGTAAATAGTTATTCCGGCATTAGTCCTTTTAAAATTCATATGAGCGACAGAGGTCTGGATACGAGGCTTCTCTACAGACGGCGTTACAATCCGCTGCATTGTGTTTTAAGCTCTCAAGTCGAACCTATTGAATTTGTATCGTGCCTCGGCGTCCAACATTTTTAAGAAATGTTAAGGTATGGCCACTATAGAGAAAGTATTGTTCGGTTAGAGATCAGCAAGCCGTGCGTACCAAGACGTGGTGCCACTGTATCACGCCCAACGGGTGGTGCCACGCACTTCAAATATCATGAGTAGGACTATGGTATAGGCCGTAGTCATAAAATAGCACTGCTTTCTGGAGGACGCGGTGCCGTATAGACTACCTACACTGACGATTACTATCGACAAGATGCATCAGGTTGCCAAAGTCTTGAATTCCCCTGGTAAGTGATCCTGTTCACCGTCCCTCCTGCAACGTCTCGGAACACAACTAACGTAAAATATGATGTGTCCAGGCTGGGAATGTCTGTCGCCGATGAGACCACATGGTATGTGGATTCGACAAGTTATACATGTCGCATCTTCCTAACACGTCAACATTTGGCCACAGTGGCCGGTCACTTAGAATTTGAATATGACGTTGCTTCCAGCACGTGGAAACCCAGTCAGGGCTTCGAGGGCTCGTACTCGAATCTGAAGGGCATATCTGACGGCTCGCTACATGGTAAATCCCCGGAGACCATTCATCGCCTGTGTTGAAGAATACATGAGCTGAGACATGCTGGTGAGGTCCAGTTTCAAGGCAACAATGTCATGAAACCATGCGAGGTAATTGGGCTTCTCTGGTATTAGCGTGGAAATGTGTAATTACATGCTGAAATATTCGCAGCTTGTCTCACACCACAAAACACCATCATTCTATTTAGACCTTCTGAGCACGCTGCTCAATTCGCTAGGTCTTGCGAAGCCGAGTTCCTTCCTGCTGTGCCAGAAACAATATTTGTGGCTTCTGTCAAGGCAGCAGTCTATGCAAATGGATTCTATGTCGCACCACATCACTCATCCGTCGTTCTAGGTGAGCGCTATCTGGACCACGTTCTTAGATCCAAGCAAGGCCATCAAATCCAACCCTCCGTGCTTCGAATCATTGAAGTGATGTATGATATGAAGTGGTACAACAACAACACGTCCGTTGGCTGGAGTATGCTGACTACTGGTCACACAGATATCCGCGTATTAGCCTTCAGATTAGGCCAAGCTGTTGAGTCTGAACGCTGTGAGCATCCGAGAGCCAAGTTCCGTGTATCCGTAAATTCAGCTACTTTACGTCACAGAGTCAAGCCTTTGGACGCATTCGTTTTGGATGACTCTGACCGCCTTGCGGAACCTGGAGTGAATCTCGCCACTGGTTGTCACTATGCTGAGCCTCTGGAAGAGATCAGCTCTTTTTTACTCCCGCATATTGACAGCACGCACTCTTCAGGGAGTGATCGACCCTATATGTCTTCGTTTTTAGGCTTGACCGTTGGGGACGAGGGAGAAGTCATCCTGGTGATACCAGATGGAACTTGGGCCCCGAAGAGTGTCACAAGCGCTAGCTGCGAAGTGCTAGCCCAATCCCTCGGCTGGAAGGTAGAGAGACGACCGGTGAGTTTTCTAGTATCAGAATGATTTGAACAATCGTTGACTTATTTGCCTCCATTAGATTGGATGCAACGATCTCGCCAGCTTCTCTGAGGTCATGGTTACCGGTCCTGGTCTGTTTCCCGTGCGCTCCATCACTCGTGCTACGGATCAAAACAGATTCACCTACATGAAGTGCGAACAGGACTTCGGAGAAGGTTATAAGATTCTATCAAGTCTTTTGGACGACATTCTTCGAGGGAGGGTAGCGGATGACTTTGGCTGGAATGTCCATTCCGTCTACGATTCTAGGTTCGAAGCAATGTCTTCCGACATGCGGACTGACAGACAGCCGATGAAGAATGCGTCATTTATGTGCAGGAGCGATGGGGCTCATTCGAAAGACTTTTATTTCGCGCTGCTCCCAGCTAGGCGATATTGTAATTGAATTTGGGGATACGTCGAGGTCTTTATGAAGTACTACTCAATGCTGTTGTGGTTCAATGTATGCAAATTATGATAATGTGGCCCTAGATTTTCAGAAAGTGAGAAAATTGCAGCCAAAGTAAAGTGAAACGATTCTGTTTGATGTATGTATGACATGTGAAAACTATTTCGATGACACTCTGTCAATGGCCATCAAGTATTCGTGGGCAAATAGTTGGCATACGCTGTTTGCTTCTGTGAATGATCACTAACAGCCCTAGTAGCATTGTGTTCATTTAGTACTGTAACTGTTTGGCCTCCTGATGCGGGAGCCCGATATGCACCGTAGAACTTTATTATTCTTGGAATAGAGGTAGAGTTGTTTTATGAAACTCTATTCACTGGATCTACGGTGTCTCGGGTGGTATTCACAGGCACTTTACTCAAGATCTCGTTTTCCAACCAATAGATCGTCTCAACCGCAGTTCAAGCAAAGCTAGCCAGAGTTGCAGCATGCATCTTCAAGTGAACACTGCAGCAATGCTTCCTACAAGAATAAAGGCCATCAAACAACGATTAGCACCTAGCTCTCACTACAACAACGGCGCTCCAATTGTGGGGGCCACAGTGGCACCACCCATCCGCATTTGCCGGTGGCACCACCGGGCTGACACGAGCACTTTAGAGCGCTCCATAGGCAGTCAAGGTCGGAGCCCGCTGTGCGAGTATGCGAAACGACGCGTAGCTTAATACAGTGGGCCTTACCCACATCGGGGACAGGGAACGAGTGCGATCGTAAGGCATTTGTGAACAAGTGCCTTCAACTCGTCCACGAAGAGCGGAAATGGATAGCACCTCGTTCCCACGAACCCACACCAAGCCCACATTTTACCGGTTGTCTCGCCCCTGGCCTGCTATCGATCCCGCTACTGTGCATGTATCAACACCCCAGTCTTATTATGGACCCATTTGCCGGTCCAGCACTTGTCGAGCGCCGGTTGATATCGCTAAATCAAAGTTTGGTGTTCCTGCACGTGGGCTGTGGATGAGCGGATGGCTAAGGTCAGTATGGATTGTCTACTCGCTCTCGCTTCGACAGTGTCTATGCAAGCACTCGATATCGCACGTGGGAGGACGAACGCTCGGGTTGAAGTGGATTTGCTCGTATTCATAGCGAGGAACGGACCGGTTACGAAAGATCAGTTATCGTCAGCCACCGGATCTTATGCAAATTGGAATCGTAATTAGATTTGCCTTTTTCTTGGAATCTGCTTGAGCCTGCAATCATATGGTACGTCTCATCAAACTCTGGGTTGAAGGATTAGCTTCTGATAATAGCACTACCATTACACCACAGTTCTCACCTCATACCAGGAGTTCGTAGACCTCCCGCCCTTTTCTTTGGTGCTTGGCGCAGGTACTTAGTCATTATAGGACAGTTGTGTAGTCTAAGGATTTTAAAGTCGTATTTAATGAGTGTTTTGGAGCATATAAATTCATGGGCCGATGGGTTTACCACAAAATACTTGAGCCAAGTCTTAGGCAGATATCCCTAAACTTCAGTACGCAGTGTGGGAGACAACAGAGCCTGAGCGAAAGCCAATTTTGCACCATTGGGAGTCACATACTAGAAGTGCATCATCCCTGTAATCTACCCGATTCATGTTTACGTGTAGAAAAACGCGTAACGAATCATGCACGTCTACCTTGCCCACCACATGGCTGGATGCGGACAATGGCATAGTGTGTCGCAATGTATTCGTTTTTACTATTGAAAATCAAATATGAAAACTTAGATGAAAATCAGAAAATTCAGTGGTGGATGGTTGACTCCGACGCGATCTATCCACAGCCTCAATCACTGCCACCTGCAGAATTGGGACCATCGTCCAGCATCCGCTTTACCTCTCCAATAATCTCGTGCATCTTACGGAAATACAGACTGATGTGAGCTTCATCGTGCTCAAGCGTCAACTCGACATTTTGCATCGTACCCACAGCCTCCACCGCCATTCTGGCAGGAATATGGACATCTTTGGCCCCATGATATATCGCCAGCTCACCCTTTCTCACTGGCAGCGCCCCAAGATCAAATCCCCATGGACTGCCGAACAGTATCGCCTCGCACGTAGAGCCCTCAGGTCCATCTATGAAAGCCTCCCGTATGCTCGTGGCGAGGAGGTCGAGGACCTTGCCGTCGTCAGCCTCGGCCGTCTCCCGGTCCGCATCGGGCAAGCTCTTGAAGCCCTGGGCCAACGTATCCCGGAAACGACCAGGCTGCGCAGTATCTCGCGCGATCTTACCCATGCTTGCGTCGAACATATACGAGACGAGCCACGGCGCCCATGGGGCCAGGTTGAAGAGGACCCTGTTCGAGAGCATCATGCCACCCATACCAAGGCTGGCGGGGTACATGCCCGAGATGACCACGGCGCCCGCAAGGCGAGAGGGTGGGATTGAGTGTACGCAACCCAACACGTATGGCCCGCCGCCAGAGATGCCCATGACAGCGAAGCGCTGAATATGCAGGTGGTCGGCCAGGGCGAGGACATCGTGCGAGAACGAGAGAATACTCCGGGCCGGGTCGTTGGTCGACCCACCGTACCCCGGCCGGCTGACGGCGATGATACGTAGACCCTGGCTTGACGCTGGTTCATGAGTTGCGAGGCCTTCGTGGTGCGACCCGGGGAAGCTGTGGAAATAGAAGGCCGTGGGTGGCTCGTCAGGTCCTGGGCTGGCCTTAGTGCTTCCGTAGATGCTGTAGCAGAGCGTGCGACCATCTGGCAAAGCCAGTGTTTGTGTGTTCGACATGGTCGCGACGATTTGTTCACGAGCTATTGATACCCGCCTGGCAAGAATGGGAAAGAAAACCACGAGACTCTACCGTAGGGGAGACGAAACATATCGAGGTTCTTCCAAGCTCGCTTGCCCCCAAATGCAATTGTGGCCCACTGCCTTGGCCACTTGACTCGGACATATGTTGGTTTCCTTGAAAGAACCCAAGCAAGACTGAGGTGGCACACTTTATCCCCGCAACAAACCCGCGCACCAGAGGCGAGTAAGGTCAGGGGGAGGCTCTGCGGCTCCGCTTTGCTATTTAAGCGCCGAACTTTATTCGGGTCTACCCGCTTACACGACAACAGTGCTATAATTCCGACAACTTGGCGGGAGACGAGAGCCGGGAATTCGGAAGTCGGTCGGTGACAAGGACGAGCAAAGCCGTTCCGCAGGAGAGGACACATGGCCTAGGTGGAGGTCCCAAGGAGATTCCTGCCTTTCCAATCACACATGCATAACTTCGTTGTGATGTGCTAAATTTTGGCTCAAGTATTTACTTCGCCGTGTAGCTATATCGAGACCTTCAACTTTTCAAATGGAAATTCTGAGCTAAATCTGCCCTGTACCCTTGTACACAATTAGGCACGGTCACGTATGGGAAGTCCGAGCTCTGAGCCTATCTATCGTACGAGAAGCTCGGCTTTAAGAGGTTTGTCTGCCTTAATACGCTAGACTGCCAGCATGGGATGGCTGTCATTCCCCTTATTACCGCTGCCATTTCCCTGCTTAACATTCTTCCACTCCACAAACAGCGTGGCGAGCAGGGCCCCTAATCCGAGCCCCAGACTGACTCGGAAGGTATCCTGGAGGCCACGGGTGTAAGCATCCAAAACTGCCTGGTAGGCACTGCCCTGTCCGACGTCCTCTAGCGCTTTCTCGAGTCCCGTGGCTCCTGCGGAGAAAACAACCGCCTGATTTACTGTAGGGGCAAGTTGTTTTAGCGCCGTCGAAAGACTATTCTGAAAGACAGACTGGCCGACCGAGATAAAGATCGAGCCACCTAGGTTCTGAAAGAAAATGAGGGCCGAGGAGCCCACGGGGATGTCTTCCTGAGCGAGCACAGTCTGAACTGCGGCCTGCGGTACCTGAAATCCGGCACCAAGACCAGCACCGGCTAGAATCTGATAACCGATCCACTTTGGGTTTGAGATCTCCGCAGAGTAAGTCGTAATAAGACCCGCACCAACGGCAAAGATAGCAGTACTGCCGATTAAAAAGGGCGTGTAGTAGCCCAACATAGTGACCAGTGCACCCACAGCAAAGGATGAGACCACGAGACCCAACAACATGGGCAACAGCTCTATGCCGGACTGAATGGCAGAGGAGCCCCGTATGCTCTGGAAGAAAATGGGTAGGTAGTACATGAAGAGATATGCGGAGCCACCGAATAGGACGACGAACGCGCAAGCAGAGGCGACTGTCCTTTGGCTGATTATGCGGGGTGGTAGGGTGGCCTTCTCGCCGAGCCAAATTTGCGTCCCCATGAATACGATGGTAAGGATACCGAATCCGACAAGGAGACCGATAATACGTCCATCGTTCCAGGGGTACTCTTTGCCGCCCCACTGGAGAACCAGCAACAGGCAAGTCACAGCTGCTGTCAAAAGAAGCGCGCCGACAAGATCGAGCTCTCTGATTCGGACTAGAACGGGCTTATCGGTCTCCGACTTGGGTCGAGGGGGAGGGTTGAGGACCAGCAATACGACGACAGCCGATATGGCTCCAATGGGGAGGCTAAGAGGAACAACGGGGTCAGACTGACACAGAAACATGGGGTTGCCTAGCGCGACAAGCGGACCTACTTGATGTAGAAACACCAACGCCATGTTACATGGTCAGTAAATGCACCTCCTAGGAGTGGTCCCACCACAAACGCTATTCCCCAGACTGCTCCAAACAAGCCGAACGCGAGCGGGCGCTTGTCCAGGGGAACTGTTCCATCCTCTCGGTCAGCCTTAGGGCCAAGACTAAACGTAAGTCATGGCTGACCACTCACCGATGAAGGACATAATAACCGTACAGCCGGAGAATATGCCGGCAACGCCAAGACCTGCCACGGCTCTTCATTTCCCCTTGTCAGCGGACGTACGAGCGGCACGGAGATGGAGGCGAAATGGCCAGATTAGCTTACCGGCCGCCCACCAAGACGGCGCTCGTGGGAGCAGCTGCGCAGATCAGGGATCCCAGCTCGAAGAGGAAGATGGCGGCCAAGAACCCCCACTTCGCCTATGCGGGTTCATCCGAGTCAGTAGGACCCCGAGACGGAGCCGTGTCCCGCGGCGCAGCACACGGAGTACGTAAGATATTCGACCCACATCGAAGCTTTTGTAGATGCGCCCGTACGATGGTTGCAGCGCTGGGATGATGCCAGACACGTTAGAGAAGTGTAAAATATTATTTTGCAGCGCCATCTGTAGGAGTGGTCTCACTTACCAGTGCTCGTGAGGAAATAGGCGCTGCCATACCAGCCCACATCCTACAACAGGGTCATAGTTCAGCCGTTGTTCCAGAAGAGTGGAGAGTGTTGGGGCTGGGGAATGGAGCGAGCTCTAATTTGCGCTATTTACCTGAATTGTTTTGAACTCGTCCGTGATCTTGGGGATAGCGGTGCCAATGATGGTCTGATCCAGGGCCACGAGGAACACGCCCATGAACAAGCCGGATATGATCAGCATTGTCTTCCAGAGCGGAGGGTAAAGTGTGCCTGTCTCGTCGAACTGCAACGAGTCGTTGTCCCTGCCCACAGTATCGCCGGGCTGGAGACTCTTCTGTTCCATGCTGTGGGACCTTTGACTAGGAGCCGAGACCGACACCTGAGACTGTGCCTCTGTAGTGGTATGTGCTTGTTTCTGGTCGTTCATACTGAATATCTCGCCTATAACTTTGAAAGGTACAATTCGCAACTGCTGCGATATTGAGTTTGGTAGTCTTAATATACGGGGCGTCTTGATCAGTTCATCCCATCGGCGCACTCGTCTGTGCTGTATTGTAAACACTCAGCGGACGGTCTATTGCCCCGAGGGCTCGTGCGTCCTTCCATTGTGTGGTACCACTTGAGCGGGTTGACAAGTTCACTCTCAGCCCAAAAATCGAGGTTAAGCGAGAACCTTACTCCAAGGCTGAGAGGGGCGAAGGTAATCTGTACTGGATGCAGCTCCACCGCGTAAGGCATTTTCAAACAGGGGTGGCATCGCTACGTATGTGATAAGGACTGGGGTTCGTCTCCGCAAATTCACGACGGAAGTCTACCGACTCCCGCGACACTTTTGCCATCGACAGAGCATTTGACTCGCAGTTTCGAGCAAGCCCCTGACGAGACTTGGCTAATGAACTCCCAAGCAGGAATATTCGGAGCGATAATACGTAGCGGAGGGGAGCCAGCACTTGAGTCCGTAGCTGGGAGAATTTGGGCATGCGTAGATATGCAGGCAAGGGCGCCTAGAGATGCATGATGCGGTATTACAGCATGGCTTGAATTTTAACAAAGAAATATTTTCAGTGCCCAGAAGCTGTCGTAAGCTATTTGTTTTCCTGAACGACGAGTATCTAGCCGGTAAATACGTTGTAGACAATCACCGTTCCAAATGATGGTTCTCATGGGGTTTAGCAACGCCAACGAAACAAAACCATGCTTATCATCTCAATGACCCGTTATCATGAATCAGATTAGGTTCACAACCCCAGCGGTCCAAGAACCTTGGTCAAGTATCCACCAGTCCGGGTATTCGGGTGCCATCTGCACACCCTTACGAGGCGCGATGCACGCGCGCTACCTCCACGTGGTGGTTCGCATGAACTTAATATTTAGCATTGTTTGCCCTTAAAACTTACGGATGTTTAGCTCTCCGATCATCAAAGTAAAGACATACATCTTCTTCACGTTGAACTCTGGACCGACAAGACACGATGTCTTCAGCCACAATTGCGGCCGGCCAGAGGGCAAGTTCATCAACGAAAAGGCGGGAGCAGCTTATTGCGACTTTGGAGGCCTTGATATATAACGATGATGTGGACCTGGACCTTTTTCAACCCGGAGTCCCTTGGCCTCAAGCACGCGATATTACGCAACAGCCTCAGAAACCTTTTCGAGCACCTTCTCCAGAAGAACGGGGCAATATTCAGCCCGACTACCAACATGACCCAGCAGTAGACTCCGCTATGGTGGACGCTGCGAACTACTCTCAGCTATACGCCGATCCCTTTCACTTTTTCGATCCAAGTCCTGATGGTGTCACGGAAAAGACTCCCTCATGGTTTTCACAAGATCCTGAAATCGGCTTGGAGAGTAGTGCCACCATCATTTCCTCCTACGCCGCGCCACCACCACCAACACCACCACAACATCACGGGCATAACGACGGCTTGCACGGCATAGCAGCATCTCATTACGGAAAAATAAATTCACCTCAACATGGTGGTCTCACCCAATATGACTTTTCCAAGCCATTGGCCTCACCACCGACAAGCCAGCCTTCCGAAGTCTCCTATCCCTCAATCTCCAAATCATCAAATCTCCCTCTCTTTGATTTCATGTCTTGGGACATGTTCATGGACTACGGCAATGGCGTATCAGCTGAGGCAAACGAGATGAATAACAATGATGGCACAAACAGTGCAGATGATTCTTACGACGATCGCCAAGCGTCGGTGTCACCGCACATGAAACACAACCAGCGACCGGTGCAACCACCTCCAGAGGCCACATCGCAGGTGGCAAAAAAGCGTCGCGTTCACCACCACCGCCCTGGCTCAAAATGCGCCTCGCCCTCGCCACCGCCCTGCAGACGGCCGAGTCAAGCCTCAGAAAAGTTCTGTCCACCAAAGGGCCAACGGGCCCACTCAGCCATAGAAAAAAGGTACAGGGCAGGCATCAATGAGAAGTTCGAAGCGCTGCGGGGCTGCATCGAGTCGCGCAAGCGTCCGAAGCAGGAGTCCCTGGGGCAAGCCCTGCGGCCCGAGAGCAAGGAGGGCGAGGGTGGTGGTACCACCACTGCCCCTGAGCGGAAGAAAGGGGCCGGCGGGGATGCGGCCAGCAGGATGAACAAGGCAGAAGTTCTGAGTGAGGCGACCGAGTACATCCAGCAGCTGGAGGATGAGAACGGCGTGATGCTGGACCAGCTTAAGATGCTCGTCCAGCGTTTGAGGGCGACACGGATGGCTCTTCAGCCTATGACACCGGTGTCGAGTGCTTCTTCGACTGTCTAATGTCTATGTAAATCATGTACAATATTATAGCGGACATATCTTGGACTCTTGGAATTTGTGAAATAGGTTTGACGGTTTTGATGCGGTGTAAAAGACATAATGATAGGCAGAATCTGTACATGTGTAGAAAACGAACAAACTCATTTGATGTTGAGCATTTGACACACCAAGACGAATGTGATCCGGGTCTGAATAGAAAGTAAATACTTATGAAGTGCTTGTGAAGACTTCGAAATGCATATTTTGTGCGTAGGCGGACCAAAACTCTTCAACCCAGTGTCAAAGACAAAAGAAACATAGAGTCCAGATCTTACAAATCACAATTCACCCCACTCCTACTTCGATAGAGAAACGAGAACGACAAACCAGAGTAAAAAACGGCAGCTTATGTCAAAAGAAATTCCCATGTCTACATCGCAGCAGCCAGCAGAGCCAGCTTTGGGGAACCTGTCAGCTGGACGACCATGTCCAGGTATGCCTTGTCAGTCGAGAAAGGTTTGCCCGTCACATTGGGAATCCATTTCCCAACCAGATCCTCCGTCCTAACCTTCTCACTGTCGACTGCATTGACCAAAGTCCGCCGGAAGAGCTTTGCCATCGACGACATCGTGCTAGAGTGGAACGGCACGTCGATGCCAGGCAGAGGAATGAGTGCCTTGCCGCCCTTGAGAGTGACATCCGTAGCGAGTCGGGACGTAGCGTCGGCCGCATGCTCCTCGACCAGCTCATTGCATCGCTTAGCGATGTCAGGGACTGAGTGACTCGCCTGCAGCGTGTCGGTGACCACTCGCAGGATGTCAAGGCACCGCTTGTCGCCAGCACAGACATACTGCTTGCCACGGATGTTAAGGTTGACCATCTCCAGCACAAGCCCCGTGCGCCGAGCAACACCATCAACCAGCTCCCGCAGGTGAGACTCGGTGAAGCCCTTGCGCACCCTCGACGGATCAACAGCAGCCATACCAAACCCACTGCGGCCTCTCGCGTCGCGCGGGACAGCCATCTGCATGAGCGTGCCACGGATGAAGACGGTCTTCAACGCTGCCTGCAGCGACCACACCTCGGTCATGCACCCGAGCGCGGCGAACTCTCCCAGCGAATGGCCCGCGAAGCACGCATTACGCGGCACTCGGCCAAGCGACTTGAGGTGCTCGTAGGCGGCCCTCTCGAGTACGAGGATGGCCGGCTGCGCGAACTGCGTCATGCTGAGCATGCCCTCCTCGTGTCGGAAGGTGAAGGAGCGCGACTTGGCGTGGAGGCCTTCGAAGAGCACCCTCCTGTCTGATGGGTCGCAGTCCTCCAGGATGGACTGCGCTGCTAGGTAGCTCTCACGGACGCGGGTGCCTTGTCGGCTGCTAAAGTTGACAGTCAGTGTCGCGGGGTTGCGCCTGACAATGTCGCTGAGAGAGAAACCTGATGTGAAACGATGGTCAGCAGTTGGATGAGAGATGTTTGACGAATACAAGTAGACTTACCCCAGTTGTTCTCAAAATACTCATCTGCTTCAGCCCAGACCAAGCGACTTGGACGACTCTGAGAGATCATGTCTAGCCCCATACCAGCAAACTGACTCCCCTGCCCGGTGAACAGGAATGCAGTCGGTGGAGCTTCGAGCTCAACAACACCAGCAACGACAACCTCATCCGATCCTTCCCGTTGGGCGGTGAAGCTGAGCACGGTGCCACCGTGCTGCATGGCGACCTGCTTGACCGAGACAGCCAGCGTGTCGCCCTGATACACGACAGAGCGGAAGTCACAGTCGTAGCGCCGCAGCGTCGAGACTGACGCGCCGGGAACTTCTTGCCTGATGAGCTTGAGGACTAGGGCGGCCGTCTGGTTGCCCTGGCAAATGGGCTCACGCCAGCCCGAGTAGCGGGCAAAGGCCGCCAGCGTATGGTTCGGGTTGAAATCCTTAGTGACTTCGCAGTACGTGACACTGTTGCTCGGGACGGCGATCTTGAAGGCTTGGCCTGCCTGTGTCTTCAATGCTTTTGCTTCGGGTAGACGCACTTGCTCCTCTGTGCGTGTTGCTCGCCTGTTCATGAAATCCGCGACCAGGTCTGCTCCGTTGGATTCCTGGGATTCCGGTTGCACTCGTGCGCATAACACTTTCTTGTCTTCCCCGTCTTGCAACCAGACATTGCCAGTTGTCTTACCGCTCAGCTCGCGATCCAATTCAAGTTCCAATGTCTGACCACTTTGGAATGTCTCCTCGGGGACAATAGGACGGAACCAAGACTTGTTCAGGAGGACTTGTACATCTGCCTCAGTAGCAAGCGGCAGAGTCCATGTGCTGTGACCTAGGGTTCCAAAACATTGAGAGTCTGGGACTCGCTCATTGAGGACCGAGAATAGGTAAATAAGACCAATAGCTTCTTCTCCGCCCCGGAAGAATGTCATGTGAAATTCAGCGTCAATGCCCGAGTCAGTGTTATGAAGGCCAACCAACCCCCATTCCACGGTCAACTTGTCACCAATGGCCAAGGTACGTTGGCCGTCTTTCACCGAGATGGTAGTTCGACGATGGAGAAGCTTCGCAACATCCCAATCTCTCACTAGCAATAATTGCCAGATGAGCGTCATGACCAATATGGTAGAGTACTCGATCGGGACTTCGCCAGCCGCACCGATGTGGTTGGGGGATTGGATGTCAAGGCCCACACCATCCGTGGCTGTCATCCACTCGAGAACTCGCTCCTTGGTGACTTCAACCGCGATCTGAGACATGGTAGGAGGCAACCTCCCCGCCGCAAGACCACCTGGGCCAAAGAAGACACGCCCGAGGAAGTCGGTCAAGCGATCACCCTGGCCCTCTCGCTCCTCTGATATTGGAGAATGAGGGCGAGAAATGTCGTAGTCAAATTTGAGCTCGAATTGGTTGATCTGACCGTCAGCTGTGTAGGGATTGAAGACCAAGATGGTAATGTTGTTGCCGTCGATCGAGACTCTGGCGTCAGCAAAACCCTCCTTGCCTTGTCCTTGACCGACGTACATCTCAGCAGTCGAGTACCCATCCTTGGTCTGTCCCGAGAAGCGCACTAACGCTCCAGGTTGCGCTTTGAAAACCAACCTTGCCGGGTTCTCATACGCTCGTCCATTACCAATCAACTTCTTGGTTCCCAGAAGCTGTCTGCCCCAGTGGCCCAGCTTAGATCCAAGTAAGAGAAGCCACAGATCGTTGTCTATATCTTCCGGGCAGTCTTGGGCGATCTGCAACTGGTCTGGTTCGATGGAGACATATGAGTCCCCAATCAAATGAACGAGCTCGTCGGCCTCGTACAGGGGTGAGGCCAGAGAGCGTGCAGCCTGTGACAAACCAACGCTAGACTCTTTGTCCAAGTACCCTTGTTCGATGCCCTGGAGGAATCGGGCCACGGGAACATCGGCCTCTTTGCAGTGCTGCAGGGCCACCGGGCCGGCAAGAGTGCAGACCCTTTCTGCGTCGCCGTGGAATGTGGCGTCGAGGTTTTCTGACTGCCACAATGGGTCCTTTTTGAACCAGACAGGAAAGTCGGCATCTAGAATCGGGATAAATGGAACAGGCTTGCGTCCTCTTTTGCCGCAGAGATCCAGGAAATAGTCGGTGTCCTCCAGTGACAAAAGATGGTGGTCCGCCTCGGGAAGCGTGGTAGAGATCACCTGTAGTTGTTCCTTAGGGTTTGTAAGGGCGTTGATGGCCTCAGATGATCCTCCAAAACGCTCTATGATCCGCACCATCCAGTCGTCCACTATCCCTCGATAGGAAGGATTCATCCACGTCCCAGTACGCTCCGGGTGCACTAGGTCAATAAGGCGTCGAAGCACGCCAAAGTAGGTCATATCGCAGATGTCTACTGGCTCCATCGAGTCGAAGTCCAGACCGAACCAGACTTTTTGGTGGTCCTCGTTAAGCCTGCATATTATTTCATCCCGGCGCAGAAGGAGGCTGGCCAACATCTTCTCCTTAGGCAGCTTAAAGAGGGTCTTGTCCATCTCTGCCCACAGCATCATGCCTCGTGTTGCGAGTACGTGCATGGCTTCGCCCAGATGGGAGATAATCGAGATGACGCCTCCTGCACCACTCTCCATAGTAGCTGACCAGTCCTCATCAGGGACACCCTGAGCCTCGACCATGGCCTTTTTGACAGCCGAACTCGTCTTGGCTTCTCGGGTGGTCATAACGCATGTGCCGATCAGGGTGGCATCAAAAGGCATTGGTGGCCGCCCAAACGCCTGTGACCACTCGCCAGAGATATAAGGCCAAGAGCCCTCAGCGTCTCCAAAACCACTGCCGCCGACCAGAATGACATTGTTGACCTCCCGTATGGCTTGGTAGGTCTCAAGTATAGGTTGGTGGAAGTCCTCTCGCGAGTGATGGCCTCCGGCCCGGCCGCCGGTCCATTGCAGGAGCACTGGTAGTGTGGGGTGCACTCTTGCGATGTCCAAGACCTGAAGAATCGCGTCTGACGACGCTGGCTTGAAACCGATGTATGACAGCTCCATGAGCTTGATCCACTCACCAACCACTGCCGCATCAGGAACGCCAGCGCCGATTGTGATGCCACCGATGGGGCAGCCCTGGCGCACTAACGCTGCGATCTGGGGGATCATCCAGCTGAGTCCGCGTGGGTTGGCATAAATGATGTTGAGTGTTATGAGGCGGCCGCTAGGGATCTTGCTCGCCAACGACTTGATGGCTTCCGCTAAAGAGTCGGCATCATGGTACCCGCCCGTTGCAAACTCTACATAAAAGCCGGCATTCATGATAGCAGCGACAAGATCGACGTCGCAGGTGGTTGGAGTCATGCCAGCGACCAGGACACGAGGCAGTCCCATGATTTCTGTGAACTTCGACCCGGATTGCGTACAGGTGTCGGTGTTTGATGCAGGCAAACAGCGTTCTGCCAAGTCGATACGAGCGTATGTCTGAGGATTCGGGTCGTTGGAGACGACGGACAGTAGAGGCGGAATGGCAGTCGTATACTTGGCTGCGCCGAATGTGTCTGTCGGACAGACGGTGTACACCCTCGTCTTGGGGTCCGATTTCATTTTGTTGATGAATGCACCCACACCTCCGGAGCCGCCAGGGCCAAAGTCCAATACCTGCCAGCGTCCAGACATGTGTCTCATAATACCAGGCCAATTAACAGCCCTAGGATAGATCAGTCGGCCGATCAGGGGACAGATATTGTCCGTGAACTCGCCAGCGTGGGCATCAAGAAATGAATCCAGCTCCCAGACCGGGGCCAGCATATCGCTTTTGTTGATGACAAACCTCTCCATTTTCTGGGCCAGCGCTGGTGTGCAGTCCTGAAGATGAGGGCAGTGAAAGGGATTCGAGACGGGAATGAACTGCAAGGAGCATTGGCCCTGACGTTGGGCAATGTTTGGCGTAGGTGCTCGAAGTCGCGCACAGAGAGCAACGAGGCCTTCGGGACCACCGGCCGCGACAAAAGAGTCAACGTCGTTCGTCAGCGCGAGGTAGAGCTTGCGATCAGCCGGAAGTCTCTCATTAACTGCATCCATCTCTGCGGACAATCTGGCGTAATCTATGCCAGCTACAGAAAGCATGGGCGAAGGAGTGCCCTCGCCTCGCCGCATACAATCAGTCGCGGATGCCTGAGAGACGAGATTCTTGTTGTCCCATACGGCGCTTGCACACCGCTCTCCGTAGAATGTGCCCGTCAGCACACCGTCAGCGACGACATAGAGGGACTCCCAGGAGCCTGCCGCTGCCATGCCGATGGCGACGAATAGACCCACTGAGTGGCCGGTGAATGCGGAGCTTGAGCGGGCTACTTCACCAGGTGTCTTGTCCAGACGCTTGCACAATAGGACGTAGCGGGCCATCTGCAAGATGGTTGTCACTGCCATGGTGGTCGCATGTGAGACTGTCGGAGACCGTTTGGATGGGCCTGTGATCCATTCCATGAGTCCTTGCTTGACATTTTCAGCCTTGCCTGCTGCTTCTGCCTCCTCGATAAGCAGTGGCTGGAGTATGTTACTGCAGTGTTGCAGGAAGTCTGCCAGCTCATCTGTGTATAGCGCATACAAATCCCTTAGATCTCTGATGGGGCGTCTCGAGAAGCCCAGTCCTCCCCAAACAATGAGCAGGGGGGTGTCACCCCCAAGGCGGAGTGAGGTCGGGCTCTGGTCGTGGATGGAAAGAGGCCTAGGAGCCATGGTGCTTAGTTTTCGAGTCGACTGCGACTGACACTTAGAAGCAAACGAGTGTGATTAGTGATTAAGTGCCTCTGGGTCGAAGGGAGTGTTATTGTTGCTGCTTCGATTTGATTCTATTGTCGACAAGCCACCATTCAGGAAATGTCAATGAACGGCTGTATTGAGGTAAGGATAGAGGCGACACAAGGAGTATTAACGATTACATTCGGAGACTACTGGCAATATCAACGTATTCTGAGGGCAGGATTGTATTGACTGGACGCATCACCGTCGTGGCTGACTCGTTACGTGGTCGATTCGGTTAGTGAAAGACAAAGGTACGGGCCACTTAGTCTCAGATGGTGGTGTTGCACCACTCATGGATGGCCACTGCAGAACTGTTGCAGGTGGTGCCACCGCTACTTGTGTAGCAGGCTGGGCACCCGCAAGATCCACCACAATGCACGTGGCATAGTACCGACACACTGTTCCCGGCCAATATCTGCCCTTTCAGGGGCTTTGCCTTCACTTGCATCCATCCCGTGGGCGGGTCGACACATGCAGGAACGAATTGTTAGACCTCAGCAATTCATCCCTTGAGGTTCGGTGTGGACCTACACAAACTGTCGTGAAGTTTAACGCCACGCGACAGGTTTCTCATTGAGATTTTTTTTTTTTTTTAATTTTGAAGGAGCAAATTACAAAGCATCACACAACCTTTCTATGTAGAGCCAGGGCCTTGTGTAAAAGACAGAGGCAGAAACGCACGAATTGTGTTTGAAGCAATTCCCCATATTTTTACACCAGAAGGGTACAATTTGATCCCGGTTCAGGTTCTTGAGCCGCCGTACTATCGAAGTTTTATGATATCCTCTGTCTTTAACACCTATATTGGGACCGTGGTATCAAGAATACTGCATGTGATCTTTCCAAGCAACCAGCATTGCGCAGCCAATCACATTTTCTGCATCCATTCAGCTTGCAATTGTTGAGCTGCCCCAGCCCCAGCCATGAAGCCTGTAGCAGAAGCGATCGAAACATACTTGTGTAGAGACGAGCAGTCGCCCGCTGCAAAGACGCCTGGCTGCGACGTCTCCTGAAAAGCCCCAAGCTTGATCTCGCCATTCTCATCGAGCTCAATGCCCATGTCCTCCACCAACGAACTGGCTTGTTCGGTTCCCGCGTGGTACATAGCAAATGTGTGCACATGGCCAGGCGCAATACCCTCTTCCGCCCCTTCCAGCACCACGTGCAGCCCATCCTCCTCTCCGCCTCCTGGCATCTTGATCATCTCCAGACGCTCGATAACAGCATCTTCCACATCACAATTTGAGACCTGTGCCGCTACAGCCCGAAGCTGCGTTGCAACTCGTTTATTCCCGTTCGTATATATACGAATACTCGAGGCAAATTGCTTACAAGAGCGTGCAACCCGCAACACTGTGGACGCCTCTGCGAAACTGTCCAGAGCGAGAATGCCGACCGAAGCCGCCCCGCGCTGCTCGTGCCCGTGACACAGCAGGCAGTGAACGACGCCTGTTCCCCAACAGTCCTCAAAGCCGTCAATAAAAGGCAGCAAGTCGCGCACACCTGTGGCGAGGACAACTTTGCGGCCTCGCCACTTGTTCCCAGTCTCATCGCGCGCCTCGAAGATGCTCAGGCCTTGAGCAGTGCCCGACACTTTCTCGATGGCTGTGACCTCTGCTTCTACCAGCTTGCATTGATCAGGATAGCGCTTTGAGAGCTCGGCTCGACTAGCTGCGAGGAACTCGCGGGGAGGGCGGTGGTCCCACGTCGAGACCATGTGCATCTCGGTGGCGTATTTGTTGCGATAATCGCCAGAGTCGAGGACAATCACATTATGATTTTGTCGACAGAGGGCCAAGGCGGCAGCAAGGCCTGCTGGCCCGCCGCCTATAACTAGGGTGTCGGCTGTGTCTAGTACTGCTGAAGACATTGTGAGACTAATTACTTGGAAAGTGATGATGTAAATTGAGTGTTGTAATTGTGCAATGTCAGTGAGAAGATCTAACGTTGAAGATATCCTCAGCAAGGCTTAAATCGGTTTTCTGAATTACGAGTCCAAAGTTTGCTTGACTGAGGCAACTCGTAGCAATATCAGTATCAGCCCAGTATGGCTCTACTAGATCGTGGTAGGTCCTATGCCCTACTCTGAGCTGGCCCGTTTCCATCAAATTCAGCGCTGTAAAACAGCTGATTTTGCCCAGATACCCTCGCTTTGAGTGGCCCCATGCAAGATTTCAGTGAAATGTGCTTCGTTTATTGAATCCATACGTCTTGTCTGTGTCTACGTTGTTTATTTACGGATGTGGGTCAGAGTAGTGGAGTGGTACCACCCGTGGATGCAAACTGGTGGTGCCATTTATGGGCCCGAGGCCATGTGCGTGCACAGGGCAACAACCAGACTCTTGTCACCCACACGAGATCCACACCTGACTTACAAGCAGGCAGGAAAATGCATGCTGGTTAACTGTTCATCGAGTCCCAAGTTCGGGAATGTAGAAATTCGTGAATACTTTGATCTGTGACTAGGGATAGGTTCAGGTCCGTGAGATTCGCAGCTTCTCATCTCAATAAACAACCGTCGAAATAGGTCGCAGTTTTGACCAATAATCACAGCTTCAGCCAAGCACACCAAGGCGAAATACACACCATCTCATCACAATGGCACCCTCGTTAGACACACTCATTCCATCTCCACCCACCGCCTTTCAGGAGGTACACGATATATCAGAGATCCAGTATGCCAAGAAAGTTGCAATTGAGGTGTCGGTGAAGTCAGCAGATGAGTTCAGCGATGGACAACAATCTGTGGGAGAAAGCATGGAAGACATCTTGCGGGAGCTATGGGCGGATGTCCTCGATATCGACCCTGAAGACATCAGCCCCGATTCACACTTCTTCGAGCTTGGCGGCAATTCCCTCGCAACAGCCGAGCTAGTGGCAGCGGCCACCCACCAATATCCCGGAATATGCCTCTCTCGCGAGATGGTCTTCCAAGCACCCTTCTTCGCCGACCTGGCAGCCCTCGTAACCCTGGCGGGAGCTGGCTCTCCCACGGCCGAGACATCATCTTTGCAGCCGTTCGGGCTGGTCGATGACGAGGACGTCAAAATTGCAGCTGAACAGTGTGGTGTTTTGCGAGAACATATTGAGGACGTGTACCCAGCCACAGCACTGCAGGCTGGCCTGATGGCTCGATCACTCAGCATCCCTGGGTCGTATGTGTCACAATGGCTCTTCCACTGTGCCTTTCCTGTCGAGCCTCAGAGCCTGTGCGAGTGGCTGGAGCGGACAATACAGAAATTGCCTATTCTACGGACTTCTATGGCCACTTCTGCAGAGCATGGCTTTGTACAAGTTGTCCTTTCACGAAAAATTCAAGTTGAGATCGTCCGAGTTTCATCGCTAGACAAATGGGCCGAGGACTTTCCACGGCCTTCCATTGCTTTGGGAACACCGCTCTCGAGAATGAGGGTAGTTGTTGCCGAAGACCGAGAAACACCTTCGGTGTTGTGGCATGCTCATCATGCCGCCTATGATATGGCCACTCTCGAGCTCATCGCCAAACATCTTGGTGATGTCGCATCAGGAGCAGAGATGCTCCCACAACCGCCTAATTTTAATTCATTCGTCTCTTACAGTCTCGAGGTTCGGAAAAGCCCTGATGGGAAGGCATTCTGGTCGCAGCAGCTGCTGGACGTTCCAACTCCAGCCTTTCCCTACGCCGCTGAGGCTCTGGACTCATCTCCAGATCAGCTGGTCTCACCATTCCGCACCAACGCATTATACACATATCCCCTGCCTCACACGGACACAAAAATGAACTTTACCCAAGCCAACGTGTTTCGGGCAGCTTGGGCGTTCCTCCTCGGCTGCTACGAGCATTCTAACGACGTGGTCTTCGGTGTGACAAATGGAGGCCGGTATGCACCAGTGGCAAATTGCACCGGTATCGTCGGACCCATGATAGCGACATCACCAATGCGCGTGAAGTTGGACTACTCGTCAACTGTGTCCGAGTTTCTCCAACAGACAAGTTTGCAGGCGGTCCAGATCAACGACTGGGAGCAGGTCGGCCTGTCCGCCATCCATGACCTCGGGCCCGACGGCCAAAAGGCATGCGGTTTCAGAACACTAGTCAATGTACAGACCACAGACGCAATGCGCCGCAGCCAATTTTTAATGGCCCCTGACGACGGCCCTGAAGAAGCCGACGCAATGGACTATGGTCTGGTGCTGGAGCTGTTTCCGCGCGAAGGCAGCACGGTGCCCCTGCGCCTGTCCTACGATAACCGCGCCTTGCGTCACGATCAGGTGTTCGAAATTGCGAGGCAGCTCGAGAAGGTCATCGCGGCCTTCACGGCTTACCCGGAGGCCACGCTGAACAGCGTTTCAGACAATTTGGACGGCACATCAGATCGGGGTGGACTTGACGCCAGGATCAGAAAGCATGCGGCCGTCGAGTGTGGTGTCTTGGATGAAATGGTGCGAGAGGTCCACCTTTGCACTTCCACACAGGAATACTCAATGGAAGCATCGCTCCAAAATCCGTCTGCGTATTCATCACAGGTTGTTTTCAAGGTTTCGGAGGACGTTGGACGCGACGAGGTGGTGGTCGCGTTTGAAGTCTTCTATCAGCATGCACCGATCCTCCGGACGCGTCTTTTCCGTGCCCCCGGCGGACGGCTCATGCAAGTTGTTATAGCAGAGCCTATCGACTGGAGAGAGTGCCTCGACCTGGAAGACTACACCATCTCCGATGGTGAACTGGGCTTTAAGCTTGGAAGCCCACTTGTTCGCTTCGCGCTTGTACGTGGACTGCACCGAAACAGCAGAGTTCACTGGGTCGTCATGACCGCACACAGTGCGGTCTTCGACACGGCCAAGACTCACAAGATGCTCCAGTTCCTCAATGCAGCAATACCTGGGTCGGGCTTGTCTGTCCCGAGCACTCTGTTTACTCTCTCACCCAAGACCAGCTCAGAAGATTCAGTCGACCAAGCCGAGACTCAGAAAGCCTTCTGGGCTCGAACGCTGCAGGATTGTGCAACTCCAAACTTTCCTGAGATCCCAGCGGCACATGAGCCCCTAGCAAACTCCTATGCACACAAGAACATCATGTTGCACAAACCCGCTCCAGGCTCATCCTCGACACTGACCGCGTGGGTTCACGGTGCCTGGGCTCTAACCCTTTCGAAGTACCAGGACTCTGGCGATGTCATCTTTGGCGCCGCACTGGCATCTGATGAAGACGCGCAGCCGACTATTGGACCCACGCTGGCGGTTGTACCGCAGCGCATCAATATTGATGACCTAGACTGTACAATCTCCCAATTCGTGGAAGCCGTGGAGGCTGACATCCAGTCTGCGGCTGGCCATGTCGAGTATGGTATTGAAAGCATCAAGAATGTGAGCGATTCTTGCGCGGCGGCCTGCAAATTCCAAAACCTCTTGATCGTGCACTCTCAGCCCGGGAATGACCGGGCTAGCGCCAGCAGCGCATTCACTCTAGGTGAGGAGGCTGAGACCGGGAAGAATCCGAGCCAGGTCGTACGGGACTACGCGCTTGTACTTGAGGTCACCTCATCTGCAAGCGATGGTACACTCACCATGGAGGTTGGATTCGACCCCATGGTCCTGGAACAGGTGCAAGTCAGGCGTCTCTTGGACCACTTCGAGCACGTTCTGCTCCAGACCTGCGACATCAGCTCTGAGTCTTGCCTGAGAGATATCTACCATATCGCTCCATCCCATTGGGAAGAGCTGCAGAAGTGGAACGGCAACGTCCCGGAACCCCTCGAGAAAGGTGTACATGAGCTCTTCGAGAGTCGCGTGGACCTTCAGCCTGATGAGCCAGCCATTTGTGCCCGCGACGGCGAGTGGACGTACGCAGAGCTGGATGCTGTCTCGGAGAAACTGGCCAGGTGGCTCCGTTCCATGGGCGTGAAGTCTGGCTCTTACGTGCCTTTGCTATTTGAGAAGTGCGGCCTCACCATCGTCGCAATGCTCGGAGTCCTGAAGGCGGGCGGCGCCAGCGTCGCCCTCGATCCGTCGCATCCTACGAAGCGGCTCCAGGGGCTTGTTTCTGGCATGGGCGAGTGCATTGTGGTCTCCAGTGGCCAGAACCGTGAGCTGGCGACAAGCCTTGGGCGTCGTGTCGTTGTGCTTGATACCAACACGCTGCGGGCTTTGGCTGGGCGGCCTTCTCTTCCACGCTTGACGGAGGAGGTCGAAGTTGCACCCGAGACCACTGCCTTTGTTCTATTCACGTCTGGCTCGACCGGAATGCCGAAGGGAATTTTGATTCCCCACAAAGCCTTTTCTAGCAGTATCCGAGGACATGGTGAGGTCCTTCGCTTCACGACAGGTCCCGGATCGCGCAACTTCCAGTTCACAGCATACACTTCCGACGTGAGCATTGGAGAGATCTTCACCTCCCTTGCTCTGGGATCCTGTGTGTGCGTCCCGTCAGATTGGGACCGCAAAAACAACATCGCCGGCGCCATGCGGGATTTCAATGTGAATTGGGCGTTCTTCACGCCAAGTGTCGCGACACTGCTGCGCCCTGCCGAAGTTCCCTCTTTGAAGACACTTGTCTTCGGTGGCGAGACGGCATCTCCGGATAACTTCAAGACCTGGGCCCCATACTTGTACCTGATCAACAGTTTTGGCCCAGCGGAGACATCCATCTGGTCGCACTGCATCCCACGCCCTGTCGAGCTGAGCGACTTCGGCAGCAATATCGGCTATGGCGTCAGCTGCGCAACCTGGATCACAGATCCCGATGATTACAACAAGCTGCTCCCGATCGGGGCCATTGGCGAGCTGCTCACCGAAGGCCCTAACGTCGCCGCTGGATACCTGAACGCAACCGAAAAGACTAACGCGACGTTTGTGACGAACCCTGCATGGATGCCAGCTGACCGGAAGTCTATGAGGATATACAGGAGTGGTGATCTTGCCCGCTTCCTGCCAAATGGCATGGTTCAGTTTCTCGGCCGGCGCGACCATCAAGTCAAACTGAACGGTTTGCGAATCGAGCTTGGAGAGATCGAGCATCAAATCCGGCAGAAGGTTCCCGACAACATGCTTGTCGCCGTCGATGTGGTCACTCCGCACCCAGTGGGCTCAGCACGAATTTTGGCCGCGTTCATCGCGCCCAAGGATCCTCTCCAGACCACAGACCAGGGAGAGAACAGCGCCGCCATCTCCTCCTCAGCCGACCCGGAGGCCCAAAAGCTCCTTTCCCTCCTGGTGAGCGAGACCTCCGAGATAATGCACGACGCCCTCGACGGACTGGAGGACGCCCTGATCTCCTCGCTGCCACGACACATGGTCCCCACCGCGCTCGTTCCCCTGCGCGAGATGCCTCTTACTGCATCCGCCAAGACAGACCGAAAAGTCCTAAAGCAACTCGCGTCCATGGTCCCCACCGCGGAGCTGGTTCGCCTGGGAACGAGTGGCAAGACGCGGCAGTTGCACGCCCCCGGAACTGTGATGGAGCGCGTGCTCGCGAGACTGTGGGGAGTCGCACTCGGCCGCGAGCTTGAGCTCGACGTGCGGGACAGTTTCTTCAAGATTGGCGGTGACTCGCTTTCCGCGATGCGTCTTGTCTCCTTGGCTCGGCGTGATGGAATCAAGGTCTCCGTGGAGCAGATCTTCAAGCGCTCTGTACTTCAGGACATGGCGCAGGTGGCGATCATGGCTGACAACGAACGTGAGGACGATGGGGCTGCGGTTCATGGCTCAGATTCTCCTTCAAGCATTACTGTCGCCCCGTACGCGACTGTTGGGGGCACTGAAGCAGCAGGGTCCGGCCTCCTCCAGTCTGCGGCGGACCAATTGGGCATAGAGGAGAGCGACATCGAGGATATCTATCCTTGCACCTCCCTGCAAGAGGGACTCCTGGCCGTCTCTCAAGATGCCAAAGGAAGCTATGTCGCCCAGATGGTACACGAGCTGTCGCCTGACACCGACCTCCCTCGGTTCCAGAAGGCATGGTCCACCGTATTGGAAAATTGGCCGATTTTGAGAACTCGCTTCTTCCCTTGGCTTTTGGATGATGGCAGTGTGCGGCTTATGCAGGCGGTCGTCAAGTCGAAGCCCCGTTGGTTGAAGCCTCGCAGCCTGAACGACTACCTGAAGCTTGATGCAAGGGACAAGATGCAGACTGGTGACAGCATGCTCAGGCTGGCGGCTTTCCAAGACAAGAAGACTCAAAAGCACTACTTCGTCATGACCATCCACCATGCTGTGTATGACGGGTGGATGTTGGGTCTACTTTTGACAGCTGTTCGGCGCGCCTATTCCGGCATGCCAAAGCCAACGACTATCCCGTACAACGTCTTCATCAACCGGCTCGAGGCTACAGACGCCGAGAAGAGCCAGAGCTACTGGCAGCGCTACGTCAGTGGTGCTCCCCGACTGTCTTGGCCTGAGCTGCCAGCATTGGACTTCCGACCCAAGTCCAACTGCGTACAGACGATCACCTCATCTCTGCCCGGTGACAGAAGCGCCAAGAGCTTTACGCCGACGACATGGCTGCGCACAGCGTTCGCTATCCTTCTCGGGGCGTACTCATGCACTGATGATGTTGTCTTTGCCTCGACTGTGTATGGACGTGCGTCTGGTCTCTTGTCCTCGGCCGAGCTGGTGGCCGGTCCAACACTGGCCACTATCCCAGTCAGGGTTGGCATTGAGCGAGAGAGGCTGATAGATGAGCTCATGGCGGAAGTTCAGGCCGATTCAGCGGAGATGCTGGCCCACGAGCAACATGGCATGCAGAAGATCAGGCGCTACAACATGGAGGCTCTGGCAAGTGTAGATGCACAGAGTCTGCTGGTCATACAGATTGATGAACCCCATGCCGCCGCACCCCAGAACGTGGACACAGAGGCGGCTGATGGACTCAAGTTCACATCAACACCCCCCTCTGGGTTGGAGAATGGCTTCCTCAGCTGCGCACTCGTGCTCGAAGCCACCGTCTCGGGTGACGGCCTCCATCTCGTTGCAACTCATGACGACCAGGTACTTCAGCCTGATGAGGTGCAGAGATTCCTCCGCCAGATGACCCACATCGTGAACCAACTGTGCAACGACAGCTCAGAAGGTCGCCGCATCGCTGATCTGAGCCTCGCAGCGCCTGAGGATGTTGAGGAGATGCACAAGTGGAACGGTGTTGTCCCAGAACCAATGCAGGCTCTGGTCCACGAGCTTTTCCGCGCGCAAGCTCAAGAGCAGCCTGATGCTGAAGCCCTTGTCTCCTGGGAAGGAGTTCTCACGTTCAAAGAGCTGGATGATCTGTCTGAACGACTAGCAGGTCATCTCTGGGACTCGTGTGGGCTGCGACCAGGCATGCGAGTGCCTCTCATATTCGAGAAGAGCATGTGGGCGGTTGTTGCGATGATGGCTGTGCTCAAGGTTGGAGCAGCCAACGTTGCACTCAACCCAGCCCAGCCCCCTGAGACTCTACGGTCGCTCGTCTCGGACGTTGATGCCGATTTTGTTCTTTGCAGCGAGAAGAACATTTCCCTTACTCAAAGTAACTTCACCAATTTTTTCTGCGTCGGGCCATCGATCCGCAATCACGACGTCTTGGTCGGGAAAAATGATGCGCAAGGAAGCATTACCCCTGAGAACCTAGCCTTCCTTCTCTTCACCAGCGGCAGCACCGGCAAGCCCAAGGCCATCATGATCGACCATTGTGCATTTAGTAGCAGCATGCGCGGCCATGGTGAGACCCTGTGTTACAATAAAGGAGGAAGGAATCTGCAGTTCACGGCTTATACCTCGGATGTGAGCATTGGTGAAATTTTCACCTCGCTAACTCGTGGTGCCACGGTAAGTGCCACCCAACGGCTGACCTCCCGAGAGAATCTAACAAAAATTCAGGTTTGCATCCCTTCGGATGAAGAACGTATGAACGATTTGGCCGGTGCCATGGAACGCATGCGCGTCGACTGGGCTTTCCTCACGCCCAGTGTTGCGTCTCTGCTGAACCCAGATCACGTACCGAGCTTGCGAACGCTGCTGTATGGAGGCGAGACAGCCACTGTTACCAATGTGAAGACGTGGGCCAATAGGCTGCATCTCATCAACTCGTTCGGCCCGGCAGAGACGTCCATCTGGAGTCATGCGCACCCTCACTTCACCGAGGCGGACATTGGGTCTGATATCGGGTGGTCCATGGGCTGCGCCACTTGGATCGTGGATCCCGATGACTACGGACGGATCATGCCTATCGGAGCCATTGGAGAGTTGGTGGTTGAGGGTCCTAACGTTGCGGCCGGATACTACAACAACCCTGAAAAAACGAAGCACGCATTTGTCAAGAGCCTGCCATTCCTACCGGAGAACAGGCGCAACCGCATCTACCGCATGGGAGATCTGGCGCGCTGGATGCCGGGTGGGCGCGTACAGTTCTTGGGCCGTAAGGATACGCAGGTCAAGCTCCATGGTCTGAAGGTTGACGTAGGTGAGGTCGAGAACAAGATTCGCGTCGCCATGGATGGGGGAGTCGGACTCGAGGTGGCAGTTGAGATGATCGAGAACCCGTCCGACTCGTCCGACTCGCGCCTGGTCGCCTTCATGAACACCACGCCAGCTGGCCAGCCTCAGGACCGTGATAATGTGACGGTTGTCGCAGACGACTTGACCCTCCAGAGCTTTGTCGAGCGCACCAAAGGGCTCCGAGCTGACCTCGCCGCTGTCCTACCAGCCTTCACGATTCCCAGCTTCTTCGTCCCTCTGACAAGCATGCCTCTCAGCGCGTCAGCCAAGACAGATAGAAAGCGCTTGCGCGCACTTGTCGCGGACATAGGATTCGCCAGCCTTGCTCGCTTTGCTCTTTCTACTAAACGCACGGTACAGGCACCGCAGAGCAAGACGGAAAAGCTGCTGCACAAGATGTGGTGCACGGTGCTTGGTCTCGCCCCTGAGGACTTTGGCGTGGAGGCTGATTTCTTCGAATGCGGTGGTGACTCTATCGCAGCTATGAAGATGGCTTCCCTGGCGCGTGCGGGTCAAGTGTCGCTGGCTGTGCAGGATGTGTATGACCACCCCGTCCTCGGTGCGCTGTCACGGCTGTTGGAAGGCAGGTCGGCTACACCTCAGGGTGTGTCTCTGCCAGATGTTCCTCCTTTCTCGTTGCTTCCCAAGTCAGTCAATCTGGAGCTTCTGAAGATCAGGGCCGCAGACTTCTGTGGTTCACAGCCGCAGGGTGTGGTCGATATCTACCCACTGACCGCGACCCAACACTCCATCGTGCAGCAGACTCTTTCTCGCCCGGGAGCGTTCTGGTTGCAAAACGTCTTTGAGATCCCTGAAACTGTCGACATTGATCGTCTCGAGCGAGCATGGCGCCTTGTGGTGGCATCTCATGCGATCCTCCGCACTCGCATTATTCAGAACCACGACGGCGAGCTTCTGCAGGTAGTCATGGCATCGCCTGGCGAGATCATGCACGCCAACTGCCCTTCAACAAATGTCGACACTTTCATTGCTTTTGATAAGCACAGAGAGCTTGGTTTCGGACGTCCTCTGACACGTGCTACCTTGCTGAACAAGAAGTGGTTTATCCTGGCCCTGCACCATTCCACTTATGATGCCTGGTCGATGAGCAAGGTTTTCGAATCTCTCGAGCTAGAGTATGCTCGCCTGGCGGAAGCTGGCTCGGGAGAAACTGAAGTCACTCAAGAACAAGTCAGCTTCAAGCATTTCGTCAAAGCACTCCAGGACAAAGACCATGATGCAGCCACTGCGTTCTGGCGCAACACCATGGCTGGTGCATCAACACGACCATTCATCCCCCTCAAGTCAGCAGACGACCGATCGACAAGGTGCCTCCTGCAACACACCATCGCATTGCCTTCCACGACGTCCGCCACGCGAGCCCATGGTACTCAGGCCGAGCTGGCATACGCTGCGATTGGTCTGGCCCTGCACCAGCAGCTCCAGACCCCGGACACAGTCCTGCGCCTCGTGTCGACGGGTCGCACGTCAACCACCGTGCCAGGCATCGAGGACCTCGTCGGCCCGACGGTGACGAGCGTGCCCCTGCGCATGCAGCACACGGACAGCACCTCAACACTGGGCCGCTTCGTCTCGCACGTGCGCGACCAGCTGCGCGCCCTCGCGCCGCACGAACACGTCGGCTTCGAGGAGGTGGCGCGCGTGCACCCCGACGCCGAGGCAGCATGCGCCGTGGCGCCTCAGGTGGTTGTCCATCCGTTCGATCCGTATGCCGAGCAGGCTGCGGGTGGTATCGGTCTGAAGAGGAGGGAGCTCTCTGTGTTTAACGATGATGGAGCGCCGTTCACCATTGACGTGTCTCTGGTCTCGAAGGGCAAGGTGCTGGAGGGCATGAATGTGCGTGCCCTGTTTTCTGATTCGGTGATTGAGGAGCAGGGTGTGAGGAGGCTTGTTGCTGTGCTGGATGCCGTTGTGCGGGCTATGGTCGAGGCCAAGGATGACGTCTCCGTGGGTGAGCTACTGTCTGCTGTTGGGTATCCGGATTTGGAGAAGGCTCAGCGGGAGATGACCCTGACACGAGCCGCCAGGTAATCAGTGTCAGACCCTCAGTGCTTTGTACGATAGGCGACGCTGGCATTTTTGGAGTTTCGGGCATTGGAATTTGACTTTACTACGGAACTTTCTTTTGTTATTTTTACCCGATACTGTCAAGACTAAGGCAACTTTCCTTTTATCATTTCATGGTATGAAATTATTCATTCTGCTCAGAATTGTGGCTTGTCTTACTCTGGTTTTCATACAGATTTGGCTTTTGCACTATATCGCCCAAAATGACTGCCCCTGAGCATCAATTACATGTCCTATGAATGGGTGGCTACTTAGAGTGCAAGACCATTTTGACAGGTTTAGGTGAAGCATATGCCGAAATCTTATGGCCATTGAATCATCAGTCTGTCGTAGAATGACTCTTGTGAAGACGTTTTCAACAGGGATAGGACATTGGGCAGGAGAAAAACATTATGATCTAAGTCTGAACAGCTGCCATGAAGCTGTTTGTACTATACTCAAAAGCCTCCAAGGAGGCAGCTCTGCCAGATGCTCGAGACTTCATCAGCCACAAGCTGCGGCTCCGTTGCTATCACTGCATGCCCACTAGCCGACGCTTGAACGAAACGGCTGCTCGCAGACAGGAGCATCTGCTGCCGTTGCAACTCGCAGTCTAGGGGGTCAAATTTTGTATCCACAAAGTTACTAACTTTCGCCAACTCCCGCCGAGCGTCTCCATCCACAGCTGTTTGCTGAGTAGCAGAAATCACGCGGCGATAGTCTCGCTTGGTATCCCCACGAATAATGGTAATAGGTCTCATCATCAGGGCCATGATCTCAAACTGCTTCTTCTCAGCGAGCTCTTCGGAGCTGTCGGGAACTAGTTCCATCTCCTTCGCCCCAGTTCTCACTTCAGACTCCTTCTCGGCGTCCAATGTCAACAGGCGCAGTTCTTCTGGCGTATAGTGATCATGGCCCAACAGCAACCCCGTCATATCGAGCAGTGCCAGTCTTTCAGGGCCTGCAAGGGTCGCAAGGGGTAGCAAGGGCTCCCGCAGCGTCTTATGGGTGTTTTCTTGGTTCGCATCGACCAAGACCATGCCCACAATAGCGTCTGGCCCTGCCGCTGCAAGGACTTCTCGCGCCACGATGCCGCCGTATGAGTGCGCGACTAGGATGTAGGGCGGGTCGACCCCAGCAGAGGCGAGCACGTCCAGCAGCTCCGCGGCCATGGTGCTTGCCGAGCGTCTGGATGCGGCTTCTGGGCTGCGGCCGTAACCGGCTCGGTCGTAGCGGTAGCTGCGTATGCGGGAGTCTAGGAGGCGCTGCACTGGGAGCCAGCTTGAGCTGCTTGCTCCCATGCCTGCTTCAAATATGACGACTGGTTGGCCTTGCGTTCGTGCCGGGCCATTGCAGGCGAGGAATAATTCTATACCGCAAGCTCCTCGTACAATCGCTGCCACAGGAGTCGTTCCGGTGACCCAGTCCCGACCAACATTGCTTTTGGGCTTGAGCAAATGCGCGTCTCGGGGGGTCTCTTGTCCTATTGCCATATTGTTGTGAATATGGCCAATGCAGTCGTGGCTTGGTCGTGTGTGAATCAGTGAGGAAACCTATGATTCCTCGCTTGGAATGATCATCGATGGCCCGCCCTCAGTCGTTCCTGACGGAATTCTCACGTTGTCTCATTTTGCAATCGTTTACTTGTCAATATTGCCGCGCACATAATTGTCAATATCTTTGTTCTCAGTGGACTTCCCCAAACGTGCTGCTGTGCATGTCGCGAGTGAAGTGGTCCCACCTCCACGCGTTCGTGCACCCCCTGTTTGGTTATGGACCGACGGCACCGATACGCCCAGTCATTTACGAATCATTGACTGCAGGTGGTGGTGCCACGGTATAGGGGCAGAACATTCCCGATTCATCCCACCATGCGTAGTTATTATTAGACTCAGGATGGAGCTCCGTTCTTTCCCGGTTATGCAGTACATAGCACGGAGTGACAATTTCGCAATCTTTCTTGACACGATAGTTTGGAGTTGCAAGGAAACTCGGCCGATTCACTACCAGCATGGATACATATTCAAATTTCGCGGGACTTCCTGCCATCGATGCGTCAATTTTGAACGACGATCCCTCAGTCGAGCGCAAGAAGCTCCTCCAGCGCCTTGTCACCTCTTTCTCAACATACGGTGCGATTAGAATTACGGGCCATGGCATCTCTGCTCACAAAATACAAAGGGCATTTGAATCGGTGATTAGGCCCTAATTGAAGTATCAAAACTTTTCGTGTGACTAATGTTAGCGATTAGAGTAAAGAGTTTTTCAATTTGCCAAAGCAATTGAAATTATCAGCTGCAGGGTCAAGTTCAGAAAATGGGCTGTGCCGTGGTTATAGCGTTCAGAAAGCACACACAGGAGAGCAGTTAAGCACAGCATACGACCATGTGAGTAGGGCAAATTGTAGATGTTATGTCTTTGTCGACAATCTCGTCGACCATAGCATGCACTAATTTCGGTGTTCAGGAATCATTCGCGGCAGGCCCCTCATATGACAGGCAAGCTCCGACGCCTTGGCCCATAGGGGTGCGCGGCGATACCTTCAAGATGATAATGCAGGCGTTCCTACGAGAATGCGCAAGCCTGCATCACGATTTGCTTCAAATAATTGAAGAAGCATTAGGACTTTGGGACGAGGAGTTGGTGTCGCGTTGGTCCCACAGAAATGGCGAAGTTCAAACTAAGCACCGCACATCTAGTCTTAAAGGACAAGTAGAAGAGTTGGTCACAGTAATATCAGAAGGCAGAGGTGCTCACCCCATGCTGAAGTTGGTATTCCAGGAGACACGGGGCGGGGAAATTGTTATTGTATGTGGCACCAGGATCCGGAAATGGATTCAAAACCAGCTACTATCATCATCCGGCTCTAGGACGAGGTTGCAGGTTGAAGAAAGTACATACCTGCGACCTGCCAAGTACTCTTTGGACTTTATCGGTTTTGAGGATATGCATAATATCAATGAAGTGAAGATATAAAATCCATTCTCTATGACATAATTAAAAATAATCTTTAGTCGTTCTCTTTCGCTTGCATTACTCATTCGACTAGGCCGGGAATCTCGGTTTTTTCGAGCTCATCATGATGAAGAACCATTTAAAAAATCTACAATAGCTTCAACATTTTGTTTGAGGATGATTTCTTATTTATTTATTTTTTTTGAGGATCTGGCTCCCTGTCTCCGAACAATTGAAATCGCCTGGGTATTAGTAGTGTCAATAGTCACTTCCAAACGGACTTTCGACGAGACTCAATGTATTGCTATTGACCTTGTTACTTGAATCTAGATCATCAATACAGTTCGCTGCTTTGAGCTGATTTACGAGGCTATTCACAACGAGCGGGAAAGTCTTGAGAGCCCTAACAGTCTCCAGCATTTCGAATTGAGGGATAGCGCGAGTCAGTTTCTCAGTACATTTCTTTCTCTGTGTTGCAGGATATGGTTGGCTCTGGGCAACAATTGTAGAATGTGGCACCACTACATGCGTTTCCTGAGGTGGTACCACCATTCTCGCCTATGCACCTTATCCCTGCATGCAGCACATGCCATTCCTGGGTGGAACTACCACACGTTCGGAACCACCACATGCCAAGTGGCAGCAGATATTGACAACTTTGGTGGTACCAAGCAATGCGAGAACTGTGTAAAAGTAGTCGTGAAAATACAATCGTGAAATGAAATACTTCATGATAGTCTGAAAAGACCAAGTACTTTGAAACGCAACGAGCTTGACGGCAGGCACATCAAATAGTTACCTTCTTTTGTGTCTCGCATACGCAAACTCTGTCAAATTGATTTTTCACGGGACCAAAGCTTCACCGTAATCGTTTCGGTGATAACTTCGTGAGCATGGCTACGGAAGTAACACAGGAAAGAGGCCAAATGGACAACAAGGTGGCATATGAAATGGTGCTTGCCCTACTAGAGTACGTCTCCATTGCCATGCATTAGGGTACCTCAAATGTAGCATCATACTGACTTCTGCACCAGGCACCAACTTTCCTCACCAGTCCAATGGTAGGCTTTCTATACCAAGTCGCGGCACTTGGGGTATGTTGCTAATGAGCTATTGTAGGATCGCCACTCAAGACTCACTGCTGAGCATGCAAAAGCAGCACCAACGCTATGTCGAGATTGGGCCGTCAAACACTTTAAGCACGATGATGAAAAAGACCATGGCCCAAAACGGCGATGTCAATGGTGACCAGGAGCTCCCCCAGTGTCTGACCTATGCAGACGAGCTAGAGGCGATCCGGAAAGCATCCGAGCCTGAGCCTGAGGTTGAAGAGGAAGAGATCTCTGCCGATGTCCTGACGGACAGCGCGGCACCACAAGCGGCACCAGAGCCGGTTGCAGTTGCGGCTCCAGTGGTCCAAGCTGCCAGTGTAGCAGAAATTGAAGACGTGCCTCCTACCGCTGCAGAGGCCGTGGTGACGATGGTTGCTGCTGGACTGAAGATCGCCCGGGACGGCGTCGATGTCACCCAATCTATCAAGTTTCTTGCCAAGGGTGAGTTTAGTATCAGCCCGTACCAAATGTTGCGTTGTCGAATGAGATTTGGCTGACTCCAACTCACCGATCAGGGAGATCTGCCCTGCAGAATGAGATTGTCGGCAACCTCACGGCAGAATTCGGACAGGTTCCCGAAGCCGTGGAGACCACACCGATTACAGAACTATGCCAAGATCTGCAGAGGACATATTCGGGCAAGCTCGGCACTTTCCTGGGTGAATGGTTGACCAAAAGAGTTTCGGCAAAGCTTGCCCCATCAATATCAGTATCCAAGTTGCGTGCTCGCCTTCGAAACTCATACGGGCTGAAACAAGGCCACCAGGACTCGTTTTTCTTGACGGCGAACTTTGACGAAATTGCGTCAAGGCTCGCTGACGAACAAGAATCATGGAAGAAAGTGCAGCAATGGGCGGACTCTTTCCTGCGCGCACGCGGCCTGCAACGTGTGGAAGCGCCCGTCCAACAACAAGGCGCGGCTCAGCCTGGTTCCCAAACGGAACAGGTAAACAGCCCACAGCTCGCCAAGTTCGCTTCAGATCTGGCAGCGCTGATGTCAAAACATTTCAAATCCTCATCCGAAGACCAATCGCAGGACACCGAGGCCCCTTCCGCCGACGACGCCGAGGTAGCCAAGCACCTGGCCGATGAACTCGGGGCCGAGTTCATCTCTGGCACGAAATCCTATTTCCGTCCCGAAATGGTCTATAGGTATCAATCTGGATGGAACTGGGCTGTTCAAGACCTTTACGTCACCTTGTCTGGGGTCATCACGCGTGTCGGGACCATGCCTGAGGAAGACCTTCAACTTTGGATCCAGGCTCAATGCGAACGTTTGCGGGAACGACGGACTGACAGGCTCCTCCAATGCGCTCACTTCCTGCTGGAAAAATGGGAGAAGGAAAGCGACTCCAAGACGTCCCAGTGCTGTCTTCTGCTACTCCGAGACATTCTTAGGGACGATGAACCCCTGTCTGCCACAAATCTACAGTCATACGTCGCGCCCAGCCGCAAGACTATCCCCAAGACCAAGATCACCGAGGAAGGAGAAATTATCTATCGAGAAGTGCCGGCTGAGGCCATGAGCTTGAGCAACAAACCTTTGGTATCCGAGCAAAACAGCTCATGGGATTCTTTCCAGTCTGTCCCCACATCCGACAGCGGCGAAGACACTTCCGGATCATTAGTCTCCGGTGGACTATGGCCGGTCCGACTTCTCACGAAGGGCAAAGCTGGCGAATGGGAAACCAACCCCAACCTAACAAGCCAGCTGCACGAGGCCGAACGACACCTGGGAATTGAGAAGGCCCTCCCGGTCGAAGGCACAACCCTGATCATTGGGGCCGGGCAGCGATCTATTGGCTTCATGCTTGCACGCTTACTGCTTCAAGCGGGCAGCCGTGTGGCTCTGTGCACAGGTCGCCTTACGCCTGAGAACAGGAAAGTCATTTCCCAGATGTATGCAAAGTCTGCGAAGCCAGGGGCTGAGCTAGTCCTGCTGCCTTTTAACCAAGGGAGTGTTCAGGATATCAACAACATGGTCAGCTATATCAACGACACCCTCGGCTGGGAAATCGACCACCTGGTCCCCTTTGCCGCAATTTCCACAAATGGAAAGAATCTTGAGGACGTCGACTCAGTGTCCGAACTCGCGCTTCGCATCATGCTTACCAACACTCTCCGCCTGATGGGTAGTATTGTAGCTTCCAAACGGCGCCGCCACGTTCTCAACCACTCGACCCAGGTTCTAGTCCCCTTGTCGCCGAATCACGGTCAATACGGTAATGATGGGCTGTACGCTGAGTCTAAGCTCGCTCTGGAAGCGCTTCTCAACAAGGCCGCCTCTGAGCCTTGGGGTGACACCTTGACTATCTGTGGCGTGAGGATGGGATGGGCCAGAGGCACCGGGCTGATGACGACCAACGACGTCTTTGCCGAGAGCATTGAGAAACTCGGTGCCAGAACCTTTTCAGCGGAGGAGATGGCTACGTTGCTGGCACTCGTCATGACACCCGACCTGACCGAGGCTTGCATCATGGAGCCCGTCCTGTGCGACTTCACGGGCGGCCTCGGAGCAGTCCCCAACATGGGCAGCCAGATTTCCTCCATCCGTGCTTCCATCCAAGACAAGGTGGTTGTCCGGAAGCAGCTGAAGCAGGAGGCAGACCACGACGAGAATGTCCTTAACAGTCGCTCCAGGAGGACCCAGACTTTGATGCCGTCGGAGACACGGGCGAAGATGCACAACTCATTCCCTGCCCTCCCTGAGAGTTACAAAGATGCCATTCCTCGCAACGCATCTGACCTGAAGGACCTCTACGATCTAGACTCAATGGTCGTGATCACGGGATTCGGAGAGCTGGGCTCGGCCGGTAGCTCCCGGACAAGATGGGAGCTGGAGGCCGAGGGCGAGTTCTCTATCGAGGGCTGCATCGAGCTCGCGTGGATGATGGGTTTCATCAAGTACGAGCGACGCCGCCTCCACAACGGAACCGACGCGGGCCCGGGATGGGTTGAGATCGAATCTGGCTCCCCCATCAAGGACCTGGACGTGAAGGCCAAATTCGAGGCGCGCATCCGCGAGCACACCGGCATCCGCATCCTGGAGACTGACGAGTGGAGCAACCCAGACCCGCGGCTCCGGGATATGCTCCACGAAGTCGGCACGCAAGAGGACCTCCCACCCTTCGACTGTTCGTCCCAGGCGGCGGAGGACCTCAAGAGGCGCCACGGAGACGCTATAGAGGTGTTGAGCGACGATGGCTCGTCTGCGTCGGTGCGCATTCGTAGTGGTGCGACCATCTTCGTTCCCAAGGCGATGAACACAGCCTACTTTGTGGGTGCCCAAGTCCCACAGGGGTGGGACGCTGCACGGTACGGCATTCCTCAGGAGGTATCGGCGCAGACCGATCGTCCTGGCCTGTTTGCTTTGGTGTGCGCTGTCGAAGCATTCCTGAGCGCCGGAATTACGGACGTTTACGAGCTGTACCGTTACATCCACGTCTCCGAGGTTGGAAACTGTATTGGCTCAGGTGCAGGTGGTCTGCCGGCCTTCCAGAGGATGCACGAGCATCGGCTGCTGGGCAGAGAGGTCCCGAACGACAACCTGTCGGAGGCTTTTGTCGGCACTGCGGCCGCATGGCTGAATCTGCTTCTGCTTTCAGCGTCCGGTCCGCTTAAAACGGGTGCGGGAACCTGTGCAACTTCGTTGGAGTCACTCGACACGGCGTGTGAGCTAATCAGCGGCGGCAAGACCAAGGTGTGCCTTGCCGGAGGCTACGACGTCTTCACCAGGCCGATTTACTATGAGTTTGGCGAGATCAACGCCATCATAGACGCAGCTCATGATGAGCAGTGTGGAAGAGCACCTAAGGAGATGTCAAGGCCCTTCACCACGACGCGTAGTGGGTTCGTCCTGGGCGAAGGTATAGGCATCCAGGTGCTTACTAGTGCCTCACTGGCTCTGGAAATGGGCCTCCCGATCTATGGCATCGTTGCCATGACTCACATGGCATCCGACAAGCTGGGCAGATCAGCCCCAGCACCCGGTCGCGGTATTCTCACTGCGGCCAAGCAACCGAGCACTCTGAGCGCAGGCGCAAAGGGCCTGATGAACCCAGCCCTCCGATCCAAACTGGTCAAGGCGGCAGTGAATGACATTGAGTTCCGAAGCAGAGCGCAAGTCGATGCGGTTGGTGCTGCCGACGGCACACTCACAGCTGAGGACACCGACGGATGCATCCAGAGCCTCAAATCAGCCGCCGAGCTCGAGAAGAAGGCCGTCCGCCGCGCACTTGGTCAGGACTACTGGAAGAGCAACCCCAGCATCTCGCCAATCGCGGGCTCGCTGTCGGTCTTTGGCCTGACCGTCGACGACATCACATTCGCCAGTCTGCATGGGACAGCGACCAAGCTCAACGACGTCAACGAGGCCGCGACGCTGGACCACCAGATGCGGCACCTGGGCCGCCGCGCCGGCAACCCGCTCTTCACCATCGCGCAAAAGTCCGTCATCGGCCACGGACTGGGCGCGTCTGGAGCGTACGCCATAAACGGCGGGTTGCAGGCCATGCATGCGGGCGTCATTCCGGGCAACCGCAACGCGGACGACATAGACAAGAAGCTCGAGGACTTCGAGCAGCTGCTCCTGACCAACGAGAAGATTACGCTGCGCGGGGAGGACATGAAGGCGTTCTCGGTGACGTCCTTTGGTTTCGGGCAGAAGGGTGCGCAGGCGCTTATCGTGCATCCCAAATACCTTTTCGCTGCCATCGCGGAGGAGCGGTACAATGCCTACCGGCTCAAGCAGATCAGGCGATCTAGGCTTGCGGCTCGGGAGCTGGACCGCGGGCTTCATGGCCAAGGAATGTTCAAGGCCAAAGAAGAGTTGCCGTACACGGGCGACGAGTATGAGTACATGCTCAACCCGAACGCCCGGCGTGAATAGATGGAGGGGGTGATGAAAACGTGAATTAGGGAGGCTCTATTTCTAATACAAACTAATGTTTCACATGCGTAAATGTACAGCTCACAAGATTCCCAGATCCTCGACTTTCCGAGATAATGTGCAGGTGTAGAGCTCGTATGTAGAGTGCAATTTAGTTGGTTTGATGCAGGGGGAGGCAATAGACATGATCGACCGAGAGGGTCAGTAAGAAAGCTTTTCAATCACGTAGCAGCTATTTTGGACACGGAAATATGTTCTATTTCAGCGTGCTAGCACATAGGACATATTCTTGCTTCTAAACCGGAATTGACTTTGATTTAGACACACAATGAAAATTGTGTTTGATTTACTAGCATCAGTGGAGTACGAAATTCTCTGTTCCTAGTGCCGGCAGTATCAAGGCCAAGAGCATTGGCGGTGGCTGGAGGTCCTCTTTACCCTTGCTTAGCAATGATATTCAACTCCTCCACCCTCGTCCATAGATTCGCTTCAAGAAGTATGGGATGGAGGGTAAGCTTAGGGTCGGCGTATTGTTGGCTGTGGAAAAGGGTTTGATTGGCGTCCATTCGAATCCTGATTTACAATGATTCCAAACGGGACCTCTTACACTCGGATAAACTAGGATCAATCCGAAGAGGCGTCACTGATTTTGTAAATACGTGGGAATTTTGTGCTGCCGGGCATCGTAGTCTGTTTGCCAGGTGCAATTTGTAATAGGTGGCTTATTCAGTCAGACCTGAAGGGGATCGTGCTCATGCTCACATGCATTTGTAATTCTTATCGGCTTCAGTATCACGAATGTTCCCGTTCAACGAAACGATGTGGTCAGTAAGCGACACAGCGCATGCGATTCCCGAGATGGTGGGGCTGCACGCAGTACATCATCGTGACCGTCGATATAAAAGAGGGGAGGGACCACAAAATAGAAAATATCAAACCCCATAATTGAGCCAGGCTGCCATCTGTATTGAAATATTAGACTATACGTGCATACCTTGATCAACTCTATTTTGATTGCCCAGACAACTTTTCCAGCGAGGTCATTACCCACAGTACAGCAAATACCGCCCAAAATGGTCGACACACTCTCTCTCGAAGGCAAGGTGGCCATCATCACCGGCTCAGGCCGCGAGACCGGAATTGGTGCAGCCACTGCTATAGCTCTTGCTCGGAATGGAGCCTCAGTCACGATCAACTATGTGTCTGAGGCCACGGCTCCGAGGGCCGCCAATGTCATCAAGAGCATTGAAGAGGCCGGCGGTAAGGCCATCGCCGTCCGCGCGGACGTGACCAAGCCCGAGGAAGCCAAGAAGCTCGTTGAGGCGACGTTGAAGGGCTTCAACACGGACAAGATTGACATCCTGAGTGCGTATTCTATCTCCTGGATGCTGTTTCGAATCAGCCTGAACCAAGTTCCCCACATTATACGGCACTTACTGACTCGTTCTCCGTCCCTCAGTCAATAACGCTGGAGCGGTTTACGGTGGGCCGAACTTGATGAAAGTTACCCCGGAAGAGATCGATGCCACCTTCGCGACGTCTGTCCGTGGGCCCATCCTTCTGATGCAGGCCACGGTGCCACACATGCCCCGATTCGGCCGCATCATCAACATCTCTTCCGTGGCGTCCAAGCCAATTACCCTCGACGGCGTGGCGCTCTACGGTGGAGGCAAGGCTGCCATGGATCAAATCACTTTTGCTGTGGCAGCTGAGGTGAGTTCAGCACCATTAGGCTTGTTTCTTAGTCCACACACGTCTGAGGCTTCGACTGAAATCGATATCTAGCTTGGCAAGAATGGGAAGAACATCACAGTGAATACTGTAGCCCCGGGAATCACCACCACGGATATACTGCCCCCCGAAGCTATGGACGCCTTCGACAAGGCGTTGACGCCAATGGCGAAGGTTGAGGATCGTCCTGGTCATCCGAGCGATATTGCAGATACGATTTTGCTGCTGGTCCAGGAGAAGAGCCGATGGATTACGGGCCAGGTAAGGATACTTTGTCACTCGATAGCATCCAATATCTCAGCCCCAAAAAATCTCTTACTGCTTGCTGACCGACTTCGGAAACAGTACATCTCGTGCAGCGGTGGAATTACTGGCAACTGATTTGGGGGGCCACTTTGTTGTGACATTCGAACATGTATCAAGTAGACTTGCTCGTTAAGGGCAATGAACAAGATTTTGTTTCCTTGGCTACCTAAGATGACATCGAAAGTGAAGGTGAAAGTGAGAACTAGCAAGCAGAACTCGGATATCGTGGTATTGGATGCAAATAGTCAAAGCGCAAGAATTGAAATCCATGAACACGGGTTGTATCACTCATTGAATCCTGAATCAAAGCAACAATCAAGCCACATCCTTCACCTTCTTTGCTTTCTCCGGCTTCGGCTCGACGCGATCAGCAATGCCAGGGAAGATGGCCGAGGCCATCACCGCGTCGGAGACCTTAGCGACCTGGACAGCGACCTTGGCCTTCCACCCAGTCTGGTTCGACTTGCCGCGGAAGCGCAGGTGCAGCACCGTCTCCGTGGCGGACGCGGTGCTGTCAGCAGAGCTGCCCACCGCGGCGCCGCCCGGCGTCTCGAGGAGGAGCGCCCAGGTGAAGTTGACGCCGGCGCGCTCGCCCTTGTAGACGAGGGCGCGGTCGCTCTCGACCAGCGCCACCTCGATGTTGTGGCCGTCCGAGTCCTTCTTGCCCAAGCCATAGTCGGGCACTGTGTCGCCGACCTTGAGAGTCTGCCACTTGGGCACGATGGTGGGCGCGCTGCGGAACTTCTCTGGGAGGATCTTCTCCACCTTGGCCGGGAGGTACCAGCCGCCGCGGTCCTTGCCCCACTGGACGAGCCATGGCCAGATATCCTCAGGAGGAGCATTGACTGTCTTCAGGTCAGCTGCCGGCTCTTTCATGCGCTTGGAACCCGTTCATCGCAGAGGTGGCTTTTGGCATTTTCCTGCAGGGTCGGTAGAGCCTGTTGGTTGAGAACATGATCTCGCCGGAGGGAAAGACTCACTGGTGCGCTTCTGGTCGTAGACCATCTCGGCGTCGGGAATCAGATTGTCGCCAAGAAACGAGGCCGCAGGAGTGGCCGATTTGGCTGGCTGCTGGGCCGCGTCTTGCGGTGTTGCCTCAGCTTGCGCATGGTGGGCGTCGGCCGGTTGAGCAGGATGAACATCAGCCATGTTTGCGTGTTGTGGCTGCTGGGTAAAGGCTGGAATCGAGATTCTGAGCAGCCGTGGACACGTTCAGGGCGGTCCGCAAAAAAAAAGAAAGGTAAACAAGGAACAACTGCTTTTTTTGAAAGAGCTGCACGCGACATAAGATCTTTAATAATGCGCCTTTCGGCGTAATTAATGCCAACGCAGGAAGACTGCGGAGGGATATACCTATGTTGAATTTCATGTGTTGGCTGTTAGCCGAACACGTCATGTTCTTGGGAGTCGCTGTCCAACGTGTTCCCTGTCAGCCGTATCATGCAAATCCAGGGAGCCTCGTTGTTGTAACTAGGGCGAGCATAATTTCAGGGATGACAAAGACTGGCTAACACTAGTTGACAAGGACTGACACGGGACTAGATAAAATTCAACGGCGCATTTCTTCACCAGAGATCCGGGTGTATCGACTCAAGGCATGACGCCGACGGCGGACGAGATGATTAGAGTGGTCAGAATTAGAGTTGGAACCGAGAAACGGTTAAGGATATGTGCACCAGTATGACGCGTTCCCCCTGCATATCAGCCTCATTTCATGGATCTTGGCGGGCACTCCTTTGTTCTCCTCCTTCTCGAAGAACAGCACATGCCTGATGCCCAAACAAAAACGTCATCAGGTGCCCAGCTGATATGCACCATGTCAAACATGGAGTCGCTGCCCAGGCGCAATTGTTTTTTCGGGTTCGGACGATTCTGCCGCGATTAGAGTGGGCTCCTCGCTCGTCGCATCACTTTGGAATACCAGACTCCTCCTCGGTGTCGAGCTAGGCTTCCTCGAAGACTGTGCCAAGCTACTTCTTTTGTGGTCCGAGGAGGCACTGGCGCTCGTGGCTTTCATGGCGCTTCCGCCAATTGTGCGAAGCGCAATCAGATCGGGCGCTTTCCTGGCGCCATACGTTGAGTCTTGCTTGGTGTCTGTAGCCGGATTTGAGACACCTTCGATGTGGTCGGCAACGCGGTTGAGCCAGTCTTTGTACAATGGCCGACAGACAGTGACTCCAATGCAGAGAAGTTGAGTAGTAACATCCGCAGCATGCCAGATCAGGATGTCGACGATGGTCACTATCATCCGATTCACGACGTCAGTGAGATGCATTTTAGATAAAGCTTGTTTAAACTCACACAGAAAGTCACTATCGTCTGCATCTGCCAGTTTCAGTAGATTGAGGAGACGGAATACACCGCAAACGGCGGAGCTGTCACCACACGGTTGTCAACGTCAGCAAAATCACTTTGAAACATCATCGTACGGAAGTGTCCGAGCAGGAAAATCACAAACAAGTAACGGCCATCCTGACGTGACTCACATGTACGAGACGCTCATGCTAGTGCCTATCAAGATCTTCTCTCTCCTCGGCATCTGTAAACCCCGTATCAGATACCATGGGAACGAAGCATACCAAAGCTCGACGACGATGATCATCACACCAGATACCAAGCCTGCCCAAAACTGTGTGATAGGGTCGCAATGGCCCCCGGGAACTGTGATGTCCCACACGTAGCTCACGGGTGTACAAGAGAACCAGATGAGCCAAGCCGCAACGAAGACAGACAGCACCATGAGGGCCACGGGAACGATGATGGCTACCCGGTGGGCTGTGTTCACGCCGACGATACGGAGCAGAAAAAACGCGATAGATATCTTGATTGATATGACGGCGGCGGCGGTGACGGTCTGGCCGACAGCGACAAGCAATAGAGCGCGAGATGTTGCGAAAGATGCCGGATCAGTCATTGTCTGGCCGAGACCATAGCATGCTGCTACAGTCATGAGTATGACATAGACAAAGAGCCAGAACTGTGCGCTCGAGATCAACGTCAGCCGTTCGCATTCAGGTGTCTGATACGTGACCTCGATGTGCACTGATCACTAACCACACTTTGTAAGGTGGAAATAGGTGCATCTTCAGGGTAAATCAAAGAATGAGAAAGCAATGTGCTTACAACTGCAAAGTTGAAGAAATGATCATCAATCCCATAACTGTGCAGCACAACCAGACGAGTATACAGGCGAAGGCCGACGAGTGCGAATGCGATCACCTGGAATGTCCACATGATACCCAGCATCTTTGGAGCCTCCTGCCTGATCGGCACAGACATGGTGGCTTTCTGAAAAGTCGCGATAATTTTGAACAGTTGAGAGTATCCTGATCTGAGGCCGCCAGTGCCAGTCGTAATCAGGCGCCAATTTACAAAGGTTTGGCGTGCTATCGGTGGCGATGGCGCCGTTGTCGTTGAATGTCGAAAACGAAGAGGATCCTTACACGGCGGTCTTTGTATTGGTGGATTAGGATGTCCAGAGATTAACAACATTTGCTCCTATCGGCCAATACCTAGCAAGTCGGGCTGCCAATTTTGTCGTCGCCTCGCCCCAGAGAACAACGCAGTCGAATGATTTCATTTGAAACAAGCAAAGAAAAGGGGAACCCGCCATATGATGGATGCCGAATGATAGGTAAGGTGCTGGAATCGTGTTGTGATGAGCTCGGTCAAAGGAATGCTCTCGGCACTGGATCCGGGGGTCCTATTCAGAACGAAAAGGGGAATAGCCTCATTGACTGTTTGAGCAGTGGCTCAACATCCATCCAACCACAATGAATTATAGCGCATGATTCCAGAATTGCTGTGCTACTTGGCACAACACTATTGAAATTCCAATACCTTCGTACCCATGCAGTTAACAGCGTCGGCTGGTAACTTGTGATACATTGCATTTCCATGTGGGCCGACAGGTAGCCGCATCCGTGTGGTACCAGCATGAATAAGGTGGCTCTAGACGAGTCTTAAACCAGTGAGTCCAAAGTCTGGCTGGTTGAATTTAAATCGGGCCACAGCCTTTGTTATAAATTTACAAGACATTATAGGACATGAATTCACACTGCTGCCTCTGATGCCTCCTGGGCAGGATCGACTACACCCTCTTGCACAATAGTTCGCCCAGAGATGATAAGCGTTGGCTCCAGATATGATAGAGTCAGACTCTCGTATAGTCAAGTACATTGTGAGGTCGATTTCGTCTTTTCAACTGGAATTCTGCAATAACCTAGCACAAATAACATAGTGGAAGCAATGAAACCGATTTAGAAGTCTTCCAAGAAGACTATCAAATAGGAATGAAATCACAGTAAGGCCATGCTTGAAAGCTTTTGTGCAAATATATCAAGATTAAGGGCATGAGTGGAATGAAGGAAGGTCTGTGGTCAAATTCGTCAAATTGCAGCTCTTGAAAATTATTTTGTATGCAGTATGCTACGGAATGGTATAGAGACGACCATTGACCTCGCCCCGTCCTAGCATCTCCAGCCCTTTAGGAATATCTTCAAATGGGATTTCTTGCACACAAGGCTTCAGTGAACCCGATGCCAGAAGATCCAAGACCTCGCGAAACTCCTGTATGCTGGCACTTGTCGAACCCCTTAGCGACACGTTCTGCGTGACTAGGGACGTGGTGGTGATTTGGACCTTCTGCGCCGCGAGCCCGACCAGCACCACGCAACCACCAGGCCGAACGGTATCCACGGCCGCCTCGACTGTGGGCTGCGCGCCTGCAAAGTCCAGCACCACGTCAAAGATCTCATCCGCGAACTGAGTCAAGCTCGTGGCGCAATCGACAGCGCCCAGTGCGCGCGCCTGCTCGAACTTGGCCGTATTTATATCAACTCCAAAAGACCCTCGCGCCGCGCAGCGCAGCTATAGCGATGCCGTTCAAACCCAGACCGCCTAGGCCAATCACCGCGACTGTGGCCGACTCGGACACGCAGCCCTCGGCTACGACGGCGTGGTAGGCTGTCGCGATGGAGTCGGTGGCGACGGCGGCATCGATGAAGCTCACGGAATCTGGGAGCTTGACAAGGTTTTTGAGCGGCGCGACTGCGTATTCGGCGTACCCACCGTCGCAACCCACACCGAGCGCTTCTTGGAAATTGCGTTCTTGGATTGGATGACCGACGCATGCCACAGCTACTCGATCACCAATTTTGAATGGTGGCGAGGATGATGGGGTCGACTCTTCGCCTGATGAGGCTATCACGCCAGCGATCTCGTGGCCCAAGGTGACAGGTAGGGTACACATCCAAGCCCCACCGCCGCCGTGTAAGACGTGTGTATCCGAGTGGCAGAGCCCAGCAGCTTTGACCCGGATCAAAGCCTGACCGGGGTCAGGTGTCGGGATTGGCAGTTCTCGGAGGGCAAGACCCCCTTCGGCACCGAGGAATTGAAATGCTTTCATGGTAGTCCGTAGAAAGGAGTCAGATCGTAGAGAGAGAGAGTCAAGTGGGAGTACATTCTGAGAGATTGAAAGTCGCCAATCTATTGTCTATCGCCAGACTCAGCCATGAATTTTGTTTTATATATTCAAACTTGGTGCATTTCGAACTTGGTCACCTCAACCGCTAGTCATGTTCGGCGGAAATCTCGGTGCCGATTCCAAGCACTTACCATCCACCGATCCGGGAACAATGAGTATTCCGCTTGAAATGTGACTCATAGTGAGTCCGCAGGAGCTAGAGAAACCTTGTAACTTCGTTCAACCGGAGAGCAGACCGAGACAAACTGCTAACCACAAGAGGCTCGAGGCTAGAATCGTTATAGGCGGCTAATAAGTCTTATCAGATTTATTATCATGAATTTCGGTCATGACCATAGTTGCTGTACCGTCGATGCGAAATATATTTCGCAAAGCAATCATATTATTACAACGACACAGTACAATGTCTTTGCATTGACCGGACCTTGCCAGACAATCTGAACAACCTGAAAACTGGGATTGGGCGCCACATGGGCATGGTCCAGAGTTAGGCCATATGTGACAGACGGGCGAACGAGTCTCCGCAAGCATCCGGTTCGTAGGAAGTGGGGTGAAAAAGACTTCAACATCAACCCCATGAAATGAGACTGCAAGGAATGGGAAAAGCGGCTGTAGGAGATGGGGAAGTAGAGAAAGAAATATATTGAGACAAAGGGGTTCCTGCTATGTGCACAATGCTTTCATGAGTTCATTCACGAATACGCGTATACGTGTGCTTATGGGCTAAATGGTCTTTTGAGACGTAGCATAGTTGGCGGGAAAACATATACACGGTTCGGCCGAAAGCAGAAAATCGGAGGCGGAAGTTTCGGGCCGGTCTCCATTCAGACCTTGAGTACGACCCCATCGTCAATCACTCAAGGTTCCGAGAGCGAGACGGCCAAGGATTGGGAACAGTAGGGCCCTTGGCGGTCCGAATAAGCGCTGAGGTGGTACTGTGCAATCTCCAAGAGACGGACTTCCACCCCCCGAGCGGGTATGTGGGTTGATGCTCCCCACCAGATAGAACGTTTTGTACGGGCTAGAGGGGAATTTGATTGCAATTAGGCATAGATCAAGAGTGGTCTAACATATAAAGTGCAGCCGACAGGATGTAGTCAAAACGTAGTAGATCCTGAATTTGCTGCGTGTACTTTGAACAGATAGACAATGCATTCGAATTGTCTACTGTTGTTCTTGGCGAGCTTTATACTCGCCGCCAGCTCGGCCGCATCCGGGCCCAAGGGCATCCGGGCTGAGACATTCCAAAATCCTGTTGTCTACGAAGACTACCCCGACAATGACGTCTCCGTGGGTCCGGACGGAGCGTTCTATTTCTCGGCCAGCAATTTCCACTTCAGCCCCGGTGCGCCCATCCTTCGGTCGCTGGATCTTGTGAACTGGGAGCCCGTTGGCCATTCGATCCCGCGGCTGACCTTTGGCGATGGCTACGATCTCCCGCCAGGCGGCCCGAGAGCCTACCGCGGGGGGACATGGGCGTCGACTCTGCGGTACCGTGAGAGCAACGGCGTGTGGTATTGGATTGGGTGCACCAACTTCTGGATTACCTGGGTCTTCACCGCCAAGTCCGTCGAGGGCCCTTGGACCAATAGCGCCAACTTCGGGGGAGGGACCTGTTTCTACGACAACGGCCTGCTTATTGATGACGACGACACGATGTACGTCGCCTATGGCAGTGGAAAAGTCAACGTTTCCCAGCTCAGCACAGATGGCTTCAGCATAGTGAAGACCGAGCAGGTCCTCCAGGCCTCAGACGTCCCTACGGACTCGCTCGAAGGTAATAGGATGTATAAGATCAATGGCACCTACTACATTCTCAACGACCAACCCGGATCCACGACCTATATATGGAAGTCGAGTAGCCCATGGGGACCGTACGAGTCGAAGGTTCTCGTTCAGAACATCGAGCCACCAGTTGAGGACGGCGGCTCTCCCCACCAGGGCAGTCTCATCAAGACAGCTCAGGGAGATTGGTACTACATGTCCTTCACCTGGGCTTACCCAGCCGGTCGCATGCCGGTTCTAGCCCCAGTGACTTGGGGCGCCGACGGCTTTCCCGAATTCGTCAAGGGCTCGAACGGGGGATGGGGCTCGACCTACCCTGTCCCTCTTCCTGCACAGCCCCTGTACAACTGGACGCGGACGTACAACTTCGAGAGCGAGCTCGGACCGACATGGGAATGGAACCACAACCCGGACGTCGCCAGCTTTGAGGTCAACAACGGCGTGACGCTCCGTACCGCCAGTGTCACGGACGATATATACTCGGCTCGGAACACGCTGACTCACCGCATCCACGGCGAGTTTCCCAAGGGCACCGTAGAGATTGACTTCAGTAATGTTATCGACGGCGACAGGTTCGGGCTTGCAGCGTTCCGCGACCAGACCGCGTACATCGGCATCCGCCGCAACGGGAGCGAGTACACGCTCACAGCCGTCCAGAACATCACTATCGATGAGTATTCCGGGAACCCGGTTGGCCCTGGGCAGGAGGTGGCCTCCGCCCCAGTGCCGAGCGGTGCCACGAAGGTATGGTTCCGGGCGGAGCTCGACGCCCGGGCTTCGGGGACAAGGGCCGCCAACTTCTTCTACAGCTTCGACGGCGTCGAGTTCACGCAGCTTGGCCCGACATACGAGCTGTACAATGGCTGGGCCTTTTTCGTTGCGTACCGTTTTGGTATCTTCAACTTCGCTACCAAACAATTGGGAGGCTCCATCAAGGTGGAGTCTTTCGCGGCTGCTTAATGACTATGTTGTTTATCTTCGCTGTCAAATTGGACCACATTGTATATACAAGAAGGCACGTACTCCTACCAATCATACATAACAGCATTTGCGTGAAGAGAAAGGAGCACCAAACCGTGACTCAAGCTTTGTAGCTAATTATTATATACGTCTTGGTGGAAAGGTCTAATTCAAGGCCAAAAGTCCCCTCGCAGTTGCATAGAGGGGCCAATCAGCGTTTCAAGAGAGAGTAACAGAAGCATTCTATGGAAGACAGCGGGAAATTCCAGCGGGACCAGGGGCACTCACTGGGCATTTCTACATCATTTCTGGAAACTCAGGTACCACCTACAAGCTTCCAGTTTCATATCCATTGAAGATTTACAAGAAAGCTCGAGTTTCATCAACAAAAGCATTTGGAGAATAAAAGACAGAACCGTGAGAGCAGTAGCTCAAGAAGGAGGGTATTTGCTGGCCTATGGCCACCAGTGGTAAAACCAAGGTCAAAGGCTCTCCAAAATCCGCGCCCATGCATGAAGGTCGCATATACTCTGAAGTATAATTACAATTCACCTTGTGCCCATGATATATTCCGCTGCTTTTCAACATTGTTCTCGTCTACGCCCATCGTAACAAGGCCGAGCTGGAGGTGTTTGAGAGAATAATCGATGCCGCAGTATAGTATCAGCTACAGCCAACACGCAGGCTAGTTAAATACTGCAATTTGTCGGAGGTGCGACTGTCGAACATGGTAATCGTCACGATGAGGCATCCCCTCTTTTTCAGGCGATAGATTCATTTCTAGACCGGCATTTGGATTTATCTTGTTTAAGTTGCTAGTCACGGAATATTTTGGGTTTGGTTGTTTCAGGAATTGACTCGATTTTGATAATACAAAGACCCATCCACGTGCCATCTTACAGGCATGCCAACGTCCCTTTCCCGTACCTGACTAGTCTAGTTCGTCTAGTTCATAGACTACCTGTCAGGCGGCTCAAACGTAGCTCACTAAACTTTGATTTGCAAGCGCTGCAACATGCAGGGTCTTGGCGGGAATCGGCTAGGCAGGGGTCCGACAGATCATCCATGCATGCCATGCCAACTAACACGAGCGGCGTGGTCTGTCGGAGGCAGAGTCTGCACCACATTGTATTAAAGATGTGTAGGATGATTGGCACGGGGGAGGGCCCCCATCGTACTATCTGAGCCGGGCCTCGTCCGGCTGTAACGAATGAGGCCCCTTGTTCTTATCACCTTCCACTTATGGGGCCAGACGGTTACCAACAGCGTGGTGTAGTCTTGCCCTTGGCACTCGTCGGCTCCACCGAGCCCCAAGGCTTGGTCACTGATTCGAGTCACAATCACCCTCGGCTGAAATCTGGAAGCCTTGGCGAGAGTTTCTTGGCCAACTTAACCCAACTTGAAAGGGCAGGTCATTCCATCCTCCAGGATCCAGAACGTGCCCCCTAGCCTCTTCTAGCCACAAAAGTCCTACCATCTTCCACCTGCCCCGCTTGATCTAGCGAACATGCAGTGGACCCTTGGCTGACTCCACGACCAGCTGAAGAGCGCATAAAATACGGACGAACTCCTCTGCAGGCGCGTTTGACACTTGAACGTGTAGTCGTTCTGTTTCATCTCTTCTGGTCATCGAGGTCGTTCCTCAGTTGTGACTGTCAATCAACCAGGCACGATGGCGTCCATCCAAGCCCGCGACGTTAACACGGCTCCTGTCACTGCCCCGGCAGACGCGAAGACAGAGGAGCAGCTGCCTGAGAAGGTCGACGAGCGGAGACCTCACTCGGGTGGCGAGAAGGATGTCTTTGTAGACATCGACGGAGAGAAGGACCCCGTCGAGGAGGAGGAGTCCGAAATCCTCGACAACAGGTTTCCCTTCCCGCCTTTGAAAGGCATTCCCGATGAGGAGCAGCAGCTGTCCATTCGTGCCCTGGTCATTGGTATCATCTTAGGAGCTGTTGTCTCGGCATCAAACATCTACCTTGGTCTCAAGACTGGCTGGACATTTGGCGCTTCCTTGTTTGGCGGCATCCTTGGTTTTGCAATCATCAAGCCCCTCTCCAGAGTTGCCCCCAGGTTTTTGGGCGGAGGCTACTTCGGTCCCAAGGTTTGTGACGTGAATAATATCCCACCATGCTGACACGATGACTGACCATGGGATCTAGGAAAATGTCACTGTTCAGACCGCTGCGACCGCTGCCGGTGGTTTAGGTATTATTTTCGTGGGGCCTATCCCTGCTATGTACAAGATGGGTCTTATGTCAGAAAAGGCTGAGGATGGTAAGCTGTTCTTCGCGTTTCCTTTCTTGCTCTAGTCTCCGCTCTGAGGTGTGGTTGGTGGGCGACCAGAAAGGCTGACTTGTACAGATTTTGGAAAGCTTGTCACATTCTCTATCTGCACAGCTTACTACGGACTGTTCTTCGCCATCGCCCTTCGAAAGTTCTACATCCTCAAGCTCAAGCTCATCTTCCCCTCTCCTACGGCCGTGGCATACACCGTTCGAGCCCTGCATGCAGGTGGTGCCGCCAGTGAGGCTAGCGGCCGCAGGAAGGCAAAGGCACTCGCTATTGCGTTTGGTGGCGCCGCTACTCTGCGTGTTGTCTCCATCTACGCCCCCGGTATCCTGTGGGATCATCACGTCTTCTGGTGGCTGTATACCTGGGGATGGGACGGCATCATTGCCGCCGAATCCTGGGGCTGGGTCTTCGAATACACACCGGCTTTCATCGGTGCTGGTATCCTCTCCGGCATGAACGCGTCCCTCTCGTTCTTCGGAGGAAGTGTGCTTGCATGGGCCCTCATCGGACCTCTGACTGTCAAATACGGCGCAGCCTTTGGAAGCCCAATGTATGCGGACGAGGAAACTGGCGTTGACCCCTTCCCAGGCTTCATGTACTACAACTCCTTGTCAAACACGGAGACCAAGCCTTCTCCACGGTACTGGAACCTTTGGGTTGGAATCATGTTGATGCTCTGCGCTTCGTTTGCCGAGGTCGCCATGAACGGCCCGGTCCTGTACCGAGGCATGAAGAGGGCCTTCTTCGAGACCGCCGACAAGATTCCCCAGACACGGGCCTTCGCATCGAAGCATCTCACCAACGAGGAGCGAGAAATCGAGGACCCATCTCCAAAGTCGGAGCAGGTGCCAACCTGGACCTGGTCTGGCGGTGTTCTCATATCCATCGCCCTGTCCATGATCGTGCTGGCTCTTCAGTACCAGGTCAGCCCCGGCCTGACAATCTTGGCTGTGATCCTCGCTTTTATCTTCAGCTTCATCGCAGCACAGTCCTCCGGAGCCACTGACATCAATCCCGTCTCTACATGTGCCAAGAGCTCACAGCTCGTCTTCGGTGGTGTCACACAAGGCCAGGGTCACTACGGCGAGGCAGCACAGCGTATCAACATGACCGGAGGAATTGTCGCCGCAGGAGCAGCGGCCCAGTCCGTGGACATGTTGGGAGACTTGAGAACCGGCTACCTCCTCGGTGCCTCGCCACGGGTGCAGTTCATCGCCCAGGCTGTAGGCTCAGTCTTCAGCATCGTCCTATGCTGTGGCTTCTTCGTACTCTTCTCTGAAGCCTACCCGTGTATTATCGACCCCAATCTCGATGAGTGCCAGGTAAGAATTCCTCATTATATCTTATTTACCCCCTGGTCTCCAGACTAGCACCACAGATGTACTAATCCTGCCCACCTCTATAGTTTGGTATTCCTTCCGTCGCTGCTTGGCAGGCAACCGCCGTGGCTGTGACCGCTAAGAACTTCCCTGTCCCCTCATCTTCGGGCATTACTGCCGTCGTGCTGGGAATCTTCTCTATGGTCCTCGTTGCCGCCAAGTACCTCTGGATCCCGAAGAAGTACCATGTCTACGTCCCGAACATGAACGCCGTGGGCCTGGCCTTCACGCTCCCGCAGACGCAGTACAGCACTGCCATGGCTGTGGGTGCCATTGCGAGCTACTTCTGGCTGAAGAAGAGCCCGCGCAGCTGGGACGAGTACGCATACAGCATAGCCGCCGGAATGAGCGCCGGAGAGGGTATCGGCGGTGTGGTCAACGCTATCCTTCAGGTCGCCGGTGTCGCTGGTGATACTAAGGGCAGTGCCGTGGCTTGCCCTGCTTACGAGTACTGCGGTTAGAGAACAGCCGAGTACGAGCGCATGTTGTCTGCTTTGAAATAGCAGCTGACCTGCATGGGCTCCCATGGAGCTAATACCCATATGTAATGTGACATGAACGGTTTGTGTATGTCGACTGGGTCGACTTAGAGATACGAAGCTACAATATATTAATGAGCCTCCAACACAAGCCACGTGCCTATTTTTATTATGTCCCAGAAGCCCCGCAGCAATGAATTTCTCCGGTGTGACACGACATAACAGCGGCCGCATTGATGCAGAATTTGTGGGCAAATAGAGGTACCGAGTACCGGCTTGTCATGGAAATCAGCGTTAGTTGCCGTGATTATCCGTGCGATGCCTGTCTATGGCGGGCCCAAGCAGAGAAATCCAGACCTCAACAGCCTTGTGCTTCGAGACATGCAGAGTGCACGCTGTGATGCTCCTCTCGTGCACTCAGGTACCAAGATGGGGAGTTGAAGCACCCGTAGTGGAGCTCATCTATAATGACACAGGTCGCTCGTCATTTGCATAGCGTCATACTTGAGACTTTGCCTCGATCTGCGAGCAAGAAGTGATATGTAACAACAAGCAAGTCGAACCAGAGACCAACAATCTAAGAATGGAATTTGAGGCATACCAGACAGAGTCTCGAATATAGCTCTGAAGCACATGATGCGCTAGGCGTAGCCCCGCAGCGGATTGGCCAGAAAGTAACAATCGCTGACAGTGACTGACTGTCACGGTGTCATCGAATCCTTCCCGCTTAAGATCTGAAGGATCGGCTTCCTTACACAGTCTGTCAGCGCGAGTGCTGTCAGATAACCTGCTTATTCGTTCGTGTTACTTCGATAGTATCCCCTTACTCGCATAGCCCCACACTAGTGATCAATCTGGGGATCGGCATGGAATGACGTTCCCCCGGCAGAATCAGTCAAGCTTCAAACTGATCTGAAATGTGATACTGAATCAACCAAATTCGCGTCGCGTGACAGCGACCACCAGCTTCAGAACTCCAAATCGCGCAAAATCTGATATTTGACTACACTGCCATGCTGGCAGCAGTATGAGCGCCACAAGGACATTATTTGTCACCCTCATCCGCACCCACCACGTGACCAGCCGGAAGAAGCTTCAACGCGTCAAGAAAGCAGCCGCGCACTTCGACATCCCGTTTGTCCTGGTTAGATATGGCGGCTCCCCAGGCCTCATGTACGCCGAGAGCTCTGAGGACTCAAATCTGAGCTCGTGGGTCAGCGCCGTCAAGGATTTGAGATACAAAGACTTCCAGTGTGTGTGGAAGCCCGAGGCAACGCAGGTGAACGATGGCTCTGAGACATCAACTGTGCCTTCTGGGACCTTTAATGAGACCGAATCGATTTCTTCTTTCGGTCAAGTCATGGACCAGAAAGGACTGGGCGAGTGGTTCAAGGTTGGTCTGCTGAGCAAGCGGGCTGGTCAGTTTGATGAGGACGGTTGATGAGCTCCATCACTTCTTCGCACTGAATTCCGCGGACGAAAGGCATGAGATTAACCCCTCCCATCGATGAACGCCATGTTTTCAAGAGCTGGCGAGTCACGCGAAGATGTATGGGACATGCATCACCGTGCTGACGATTAGACGTGGTGTAAACAACAGCCAACACGATGCGGCGCCATGTTAATGCGTGGATCACAAACTTGAATACTGAAACCTGAGATTACGTCCCGTCATCTCTGGCCATCTTCCACGACCAACCGGATATACCAAATTACACCGTCAAGACAGCCCTGAAGCGGACCTTTCCACTCGTCATATGCTCAAATGCCTCCTGAACCTTTTCCAGCGGGAATTTCTCAATCAAGCACTTGACACCGTGAGTGCCAGCAAACGCAATAGTCTCCTCGCAGTCAAGCTGGTGCCCCGACGGCCACCCATGCACACTCGCCGCCTTGGTGACCATCGTAGCCGTGTCGAATTCGACGGGCCCGAGTGGCGCCAGCACAATCAGCTTGCCCTGAGGGGCCAGACCGCCCACCAGCGGGCTGACAGCCTTGGGGTTCGGCGCGGTGGAGCAGATCATGGCGGCACCGCCGAGCTTGGTGAGCGCCTTGACGGGGTCCTCCTTGCTGGTGTCAATGTAATGGTGGGCGCCGAGCTGGGTCGCGAAGTCCTTCTTGTCGCTGCCGCTGCTGATAGCCACTACCTCATAGCCCATCTTGTTCGCTGCTATGAGTTAGTCACCTGCTACGGAGCCCGAAACGATGCATCCTGAAAGATTCTAATGAAACACGGATACGCAACCGGAGTGGGAAAAGAGCTATACTCACCGAATTGCACCGCCAGGTGGCCCAGCCCGCCAAGCCCCTGCACCGCGACCAAGTCGCCCTGCATCACGCCCATGCGGCGCATCGAGTTGAAGGTCGTTACACCGGCGCACAGCAGCGGCGCCGCCTCGGCCGGGTCGACGTTGGGCGGGATGCGCACGGCAGCCTCCGCGCGCAGGAGTACGTACTCTGCATACCCACCATCCATTGACACTCCATTAATTTCTTCATTGTCACAAGTCTGGAATATCCCGCGTTGGCAGGAACGGCATGCACCATCGTGGCCTGTATTAGGCGTTCACCGCCTTGACGTCAGTGACATATCAGGAAGCGAATTAGCCTCCGGGAAGAGAGACACGGAGGCGGACTAAGAGCGGGGTCCTGTGGAATGGGACGTGGGAAGTGAGCTCACCGCCGTGCCATGGGCCGCCAACCCTCTCGCCCTCTTTGACGCGTGTGACTCCCTCGCCGACGGCGACGATGTCTCCAATTACCTCGTGGCCGGGGATTCGAGGCCAGGAGTTGGGCAAGAAGCCCTGACGAAGGAACTCATCAGTATGGCAGACCCCACAAGCTAGTGTCTTGATGAGGACTTGGCCAGGGCCGGGCAGCTTGAGGTCGATGTCCTTGAGTGTCAATTGGCTTCCCTTGCCGTCGAGGACGGCAGCCCGAAAGGTCTTGGGAAGGGACGGAGCCATCTTGGGATTTGGCGTGTCGAGTCCGTATAGTCAGTGTGGTTGGGAGTTCAAAATAGGGCACAGTCGAGGAAAGTGATCTTGTTCTAAAGTTCTGAGGGCAATTCGAGCAATTGGCAGAGTGCCTGCAGAGTAGAGTTATGTTGTCCCCGCAGTCGGGCTCTTCGCGAATTATATATGTCCGTCCACGCGATGGGAGCTGTCAACACAAGGCACTACGTATCTACACGATGAGTAATATCCTTCACCTATCTACGGTCTGCGGGGAACCAGTATCGGCCGCCGCCCATCTGAAATGTGCGTAGACCAGGAATGATTAGTGATTACAGGATGCATGTTTTACCGGTTGACGTTATGATGCGACACGGCTAGCAGGACGAAAACCAGTAAGTCGATGACGGGTGTAGGCGGATAAGCCTCCCGCCTGCAAGTGGGAATCCACCCCTGCAAGTCTAGGAAGCGGGACGGTTGACGTTCTACGTTTTCCTACTCAGGCAATGCTCATCAGCACTAAGCGCTCTGGTCTTGGTGTGAGCCACCACGGCGATAGCGTTGTTCCCGCAGCTTGTCTGCTTGTCTGTCGGCTTTTACGTGGACTCCCTTCGATGATCCGAACTGGGGTTTCTCCGATTCGCAGGCTCCTCTGGGGCTCTCGGGGATGGAGCACTGAGTTGTTGCATTTCCGACAGCCGATGCCACTCCAATGGCCTCTCTTAACCTGCAGATATCTGAGAATCTTAATATTCTCCTCGCCGTGGAGTGCTGCCTTGTGACTACGTATTCTTCCAGTCGCAGGCTTGTGGTCCCTCATTTCAGAGGCATTTTGTCGCGCCTCATGCTCGTTGCTCTCTTGGGCGGCTCTTGGCGACAGCAGTGTAACACGTACCCAGGCACGGCCGCGTCGACCGGCACTCGCGCAGCATTATCACAATCACAGCACCAATGATTTTGGTCACGTCAAATGTGAAAGACGCGTCTTTTCCGAAATCTCCTGCAGCTGCTTCTTCTCGTGTTGACCGGTGAGACTGAATTACAGGGCTTGGCTGAATTTCGCGCCCAACTCAGAATGGTGTTCAGACTTGCACAGGCGGCTTTGCTCGGGAAGTTAACTTTGGGGGGCGGGCCTAGATCACTGTCGTGCATGTGCTAGGCCGTCAGCCCTTAGAGCAGCCATCACAGTGACGCTCAAATGCCGAAATTAAGTTAGCTACACAAACGCGATGTGATATTGCCGGCGTCAGCCGAGCGTCTCAACAGCCTGCCGGTACGGAGGGTTATTGGTGCTCGCATTCACATGGCAGGACCAATACCTACAGCGCACGGGGCTCATGCCAACGAAGTCGGCAATATTACGCCGGATAAACAAGCGCAGCCGAAACCTTGTTGTGGTCAACATACTTTTAAGACGTAAGAGTTGCATGGGCAAGGCGTAAAAGATACCTGCCTCTTTGAACTTCGATTCCTTGAGCTAAAGCTTGACCGGATTGGTTCCTGACACATACATTCTTGACAAGACAACAACTCTGTGATATCTGATCGACAAGAGATATCTCGTCTTGTTCAATGATATGCTGCGGCCAGGAAACCAGATGTGTACATCTACGTCTTCGAAGCGCACGGAACTTGTCATGATCGAGAAGTAAGTAGCTTTTGTCATAATCCTGTGAACGTCATGCAGGCTGCAAGTAAGCTGGTTTAGCACATTGCCGTGAGGTGACTTGAAGCCTGTAAAATTATGGAAAATGTTTGCATTAATCATTGCGACTCATTCGGGACCTACACAAGATTGATCGCCAATGACCCGCTTCTAATTCGCTCGACCTCACAATCGAGACGATCTTGGAACCTGTTGTACCTGCATATGACACCCAAGATCCAGATCAACTGCCACGTTGAAGTAAGGCATAACGATATCTCAGACGTCTGCGTAGCTCCCAACTGCCCTGAAAATACAGCCCAAGGCACCTCTCATGGACCCATATTATCATACTCCTCGGCTAGGATTGGCGCAATGTCGACCTACCCAAACCATAATGCTTCTCGGAAATTTGCTGAGAGTCAACAGATCATGATCTCAGACATAGCGGCTATTGACATGCATTAGCACCGATGCAACAATGCAAAGCATGCTGTCGCGCGTAGCAGTAGCGCAGTATCTGGGCTTGGGCCTCGAAGTTGCTAACCTGTCGGATAAGCTCTAGAGACAGGAACGCCCGCCTGAAATCCGCACTTGGCGCGCAGGTGGTCCCAACGGCTTGGTCTCCCCAGTGTTGCCTCTGCGATATTACAATTTTATGAGAGTTGGACTTCTGAAGTATGCTTTTCAGCACCGGCCATGTTCATGGAGAAAGTCCAGGCTCTTCAGCCTTGTTTGCACGCAACTGCAGTCTTCGGTATTGCAAGCAGTGCTTTTCGATAACTTCATTTAATTGCTATTCCAGCACTTTTCGGTGGCTCACGATTGCAAAATCATAATCTTCGATAATTCGTATATTCCAGTGCACTTTCCCACGTCGCGATGGTTACCAACATGCCTCCCACTGAGAAGGACAAGGAACGTATTCCAATCACAGGGCCAACACTTGTCCGAATACCTGCCCAAAAAGACTTGTCCAACCATGGAGATCGCCACCGTGCTCGACGCAAGACCCCCAGCTTGACAGCCCTCGTCATCATAGCCATCGCATTAGCTCTTTTACTTGTCTCGGTAATAATCATTGGCACGACGCGCCTACAGACTTCGTCCCAGGATGCTCCAACTGATAACACGACAGTTTCGACTCAACCCGGTCCGCCGCCGCCTACTGTCACGACTGAGCCACCTGGTGGTGACCAAGGCTTGTCATGGTGCCAGGCCCAGGGCGAGGGAAATTGTACACTAGGAGTATACCAGAACTTAGATACCGGACAGATACGTGCTCAAGTATTTGACCATTCATGTTTGTCTTCCTCTCGATTCACGCAGTTGTGCTTTGGGCCAATAGGTTCAAAGCTAGGTTTCCAATAACTCTAGCTAACGCATTGGCTGTAGGTCGTCCCCTCGGGAACTCTGATCATATGCGAATCGATTCGGCTACAGCACTCAATTCTTCTTTGCCCGAGACGGTAGTCATCCTCATCCACGGTATTACGGGACCGACAGACGAGTTCTGGTATAATGGCACACACTATTCAGATGGCTGGTTTTGGCAGAACCCAGCCCCGGTCTGGTACGAGACTGAGGAGTTCCGATGTTTGTGACCATCGGGCACCAGTAATGGAGAGATTGATCCACTGCCGTCCATCGAAGCAAAGCCATGAGAAAAGTTGGAGGTAATCACAAAGGCAATTCTGTGTACTCAATTTCGTTGCGGTATTATAGAACCTGCTAGATCTATCAATGACAGCAAGAAAGATGACCGTGTCAGGAAGACAAGGTGCTATTTTCAGTCCAAGGTACGCGAATGATTTGTACCTCCCTCGTGTCATTTACTCATGCCTGTCCCATCAAAATCTGAGCTCTACCCTAGGTGTCAGACTGAACTACTTGACTGTACGTAGCGAAGCCAATAAAATTTCAGGCTCTAGGGCGATCACTGCGCATATAATATTGAACTGAGATCTTCTGTCGATAAATATTGTCATATTATAATGACCATTGTGGGTATCGTCCACCAATATGAAGTATCAGTGCCTCCCCGTTCGAGTGCACTGGTCGAAGTCCGTGGATTCCCTGAGTACAGACAACATATCCGACCATATAGAGATATAGCAAGTAATTACACTCATGATTCTGCGAAGACCTCTACTCAGAATAGAATCCAGGGGAATGTGCGCGAAATGGGTGCCGGTAGTTGTAGCAGCCATTGTGAAGAAGTTTGTATTTTCGACCTGCTGTTTGTAAGTGTTCTTACCCACTACATGCTTTGTTGAGGGAGTGAGCCAGACAGATAATGCAAGTGAGACTGACCCTTATTGTCGACAACCATAAGCCGTCGTCTCAGGCGGAACGCGTGCAGTCGCTGGCGTTGAGACGAAGCTTGAGACCAACAAAGTTTCTAGCGACAGCATCTGTAGGTCTGGATGTAATGATAAATGTGATTGGCATCATGATCGCAGATGGACTCAGCGAATACGAATTATATACGGTTCGCAATTGGCAATAATGCTCCGCTGTCATCGCTACTGCCGTCCCTTCTTTTTTCATCCCATCTTCTAATGGTCCCGTGGCATCGGAGTATTTAATCAATTTACGTCACCCGGGTTACTACCGGCACGGAAGACATACCGAAAGAAGCCCCGCCATGCAAAAGAAGAAATCGTTGCTTATTAAAACCCACTGTCTACTCCAACTACTTTTATGAGTGAGCCTGTCTGAAGAATTTTACAGACTTTCCTGCATTCCTGCTGCCATCTCGGTATCTGCCGAGTTCCTCTACAAGGGACCAGCTGACGCCTGTCTGCTGGTGGATGGTGAAGGTGGGGCTCGGCTACGACGATTTGGCGGTAGGGATGGAATTACATGATGTTCCCCAATCTGGATTCTGGTTGTTGCAACTCTCACAGATATTATAGCTGTATTTTGAATTCTTGACGCTAATGTGTGCATTTCGGTTGATTGGGGCCGTTCGGTGTCTTTGTTGACCTATTGTAGCCTAGCAGATGCTTACGTGGGATTCTGGTTCCGAGTCCAGTCGGATCGGAGAACCTTTCCATATCCAGACCGCTTCTGCACATTCGAATCGGAGGATCCTTCTGTATCCAACCCTCTGCATGTCCGAGTCGGCATGTGCACCCCCATTTAGGTCAGCACAGTCTGGTGCATCTAATAACTTACCTAAGTCCACTGGTAGATCCCAGTACGAATCCGTGCTATTTAGGCTATGAAGCTCATTGAATGTTTTCATCAAAATGCAGCGATAATGTCACCCTTTTGTCTTTTTTTCTCCTTTCATCGGTCAACAGACGATTCAGGGGGAGTTAGGAATCTACCACAGACCTTGATATCGACATCCTTGATACGCACGATTTTCCTGTGGCGAGAGCGAAACAAATGGCTTCAAAAATCACCAGCTCCGACCTCCTCCCCAACGCCTCTGCCGCACTTGGCTTCGTGCTCTGCTTTTTCGGTGTAGGCACGTTTTGGAACCCGCAAATCTTCTTATTCGACAATTGGGGTTTCCGCGGCGTACCGTCGGCCGCCGACAGGAGCCCGGAACAGAGACAGCAGCGCAGATCATTCCTAGCCCTGGCGCGCATCTACGGCTCCCGCAATTTCGTGCTCGGCCTGCTGACCCTGGCAATTCGATTGTCCGGCGACCGGAAGTTGATGGGCTGGAGTATGCTGCTTGGGACTCTGGAGCCGTTGGGAGATGGATTCATCCAGTTTTCCTTGAACGGGGCTGGCGTCATGAAGCACTGGATGTTTGTGCCGGTTTCGTTGGGAGTAGGCGCCGGTTTGTTAGGGTGGCTGTGATGCCATGGCAATGACGATTGACCTCATGTAGGGTGGTTCTGGTGGAGTCTTTTGCAGCGTATTAGATAGGAAGGCATGATAAGCGGTCTCTACCACGTGGTAGTTTGAGGTTTGATGGCAGCAGCCGAGCGCTCTTGCATTGCTTCAGATGGCATGTGTCTTCATGATAAATAATTCTCAAGCCGTGCGCTTGAACTATCAGCTGGTCCAACATATTGCCTGATTTGGAAAATAACAACGAGTGAATGGACAAATCGAGCCAGTGAGTGGCGTACTCAAAATAGGGTTCAAGACCAGCCGGACGATGGCAATCAGCGATTATGATTGAAATTGAACGCGGGAATCACAGATGACTAGGAGTCGTGCATGTTTCTTTCTGTGCGATGGGGTTTTCCGCTAAGTGTTCTACAGTGCTGATGAACGAATCGGCAAAAGAGCTAATATTGTGAACCATAGGACCAGCGTCTCTCTCTCCTGTGAGAGGGCGTTTTGCAACAACATGGTGGTGCTCCGCCAGCAAAAGTCCGTGCCACAGCAAAACGCTGGCCCAGAATGATGAGGTATCCTCCCAGGAATTTCGCAAGAAAAGAGACCACATGATAACTCATTGCGCGGAACCACGAGCGCGCCCGCTCAGGCCTTCTTTCTCTTCGGTCATCTTGCAGCCCATAACCGGGATCCGCGATTATAGGGCTTTGCCTTGCCATGTTCGATCATGAACTCGCGCTGCTCTGCTTTCGTAGCTAAGTTGCGATAGGTTTCTCCAAGCGATGAGTTGATTTCGATGTGATACATCGTCTCGCGGATAAGAAACGAGTACAGATTCGCACGTCTTGCTCGTTCCTTTGGCTTATTTTCCTCCCTATTCTCTTCCATGACAGCATCGTTGCCACCACCGTCGTCACCGTCGCCATCGTCAGTATAACCGTCCACAGTGGCACCGGAAATCGTCCACCCCTGTTCACCGCCATCTAGGCATTTAGTATCGCTTGAGTTGGTGCTTCTTGCAAACGTATTGCAAGGGCTGCGATTATTTCCTGAATAGATCGCAAAACTCTCCCAGCCCTCAGCTTGGTTATTTTCAGCGCTGTCAAACAGCTCGTTCCTCTTCTCACCTTGGCAACAATCGCCAAAAGGGATATCGCTGCATGTTACAGCTTTCGACCCGTCATCCCCAGCGTCGCATTGCAGGTTCGGTCCTTCATCGTCACTCCGATCAAAGAGACTTATCTCAACGGGGCCCTCGTCGTGGCGGCGCACTCCATCTGCCTGAATCTTCTCCATGTTTTCGTTGTCTGTAGTTGTTGTGACAACAGTAATGGGTTGGAGCAGCAGGAAAAGGATAAGCGCGAGGAGCCGCATTTTATGTCAAAAGTCGGCAGCATGCAATGTCCAAGCTTTTTCACTAATGAGACACTACCTAGATAAGTAGCGAGTAGGCTGCGATCGTACGGAAGTAATACACGGGTAGTGTGGGAATGATGAAGCGCTTGGGCACTAAGAAGTCTGATAACAGCACAGACAGACCACTATATTTATGTTAAGTGACTGGGAGTGGTCGAATAGAGCTTGCGATGTTTGGAGCCCTACTGGCATTGGTCCATACTGATATCTCCGAACTTGTTCGCAACCATGCGGATCGTAATCCCCCTGTGAGAATACAGCAGGAGCAGCCTAAAGATACTCTAAATCTTAGTGTAGCGCGGAGTCTGTTAGTAGAAGAGTGACGGAAACGCCATAGTACTGTATGTGACCGCCGTGCAAGGAAATACCCAAGTAGCGAGAAAAAAGCGAATGAGTGTTTTTAAACCTAGTGATAATTGTTGATGTCCGAAGAGAAAGTCTCTTTCTCTATCTGCACGGGCGGCAGAAGCTGTTTTTATGCACAGGGTTCATCCATGTATGCCAGATTTCCACATGTCCAAGCCGTCCAGCGCGAACCCTTTTTCAAGTAAACAAAACAAAGGTAAAAGAAAAAGTAAAAGAAAACGCATCGCCCCGCTCTCCATGCTCTTGAAACAATAGCGCGCCTCTATCGCATCTCAGCTACCATCCTAGGAAATACCAGCCCTCCACCCTCGTGACCCCCTCCGAACGACCGGACGAACGCAGCGACGGTGGGATGCATGCCCCGCTCAACGGCCAGGTCGGTCCACGCGGCGAGATCCATGTCCTCAACTTCTTTCCCGTCACTGTCAATCCATTGCCTCACATCACCCAGCGGCAGCTCGAGCTCACCCAGGTGATGCACGAACCTGACTCCATCGTCCCGGTGTCGCCCGGCACCAGCATCAACACCCGAGCTCAGCACCGCATCCACCACTCCCTTGACCACCGCATCCACTGTGACTGAATTGAGCGCCCCGGCATCCTTGCCCGCCGGCACGACGGGCACAGCACACAGTTCGCGCGCGTAATGCCGGATATTATGCACAAGATCCATCCCGGCGTCCTCGTCGTCAACGCGCGAAATATTGGACGGGCGATGCACCCAAACCTGCCAGTCAGGATACTCCCGCTTCAGCTTCTCGAGGAACACCTCGCTGGCCCATTTGCTGCTGAAGTAGCCCGGTGCGGCCCTCATGGCCGAGGGCGGAGGGAAGTCGGCCACAGACTCGGGCCCGCACCTCGCTCGTCCGGCGGCGGCTGCGAATGCACAGGCACCCACGCTCGAGATGTAGTGGAACGGGATCTTGCGCGCGAGACACAGCTCGGCGAGCGTCTTTGTCGCCGCCACGTTGGGCGCCCGCAGCGATGCGTACGTCTTGAGATACGACACGTCGGCCCCGTTGTGCACTACCGCGTCGGCTGTGTCGAGGATGGCACGCTCGTCGACGTCGGACTGCAGGCCTAGGCGTGGCTGCATGAGGTCACCTGAGTGGATGACGACTTTGGCTCGGGCTTTTTTGCTATTGGCCGTCGCGTCGATGAGTTTCTGCTGGTCGCGCACCGCTAGGCAGTGGATCCGCTTAATGCGTGGGTTTGCGATGAGGGATTGCAGAAGGCCGGTGCCGAGATATCCCGTCGCGCCTGTTAGGATGACGGTGAGCTTCGACTGGGAAGTGACACTGGCGTGCTCTGAGACCGCGCCACCGTCGTTTTGTTGGAGGAGAGAATGTGTGAGGGCCGTCTCCTGGTCCCAATCGATGATCTCGTCGAAGCTGGAATGGCCATTCACCTGTGTCGTCACCCCTTTTACCCTCTTGTTATCAACAGCAATCGCCATACTTGCCAGGGTGCTCGAGTCGAACATATCGATCAGGCTAAGCTGGACGTCCCATCTGGTCTGGATCCGTCGTCGCAGATCTAGCAACAGCAAGGACGTACCCCCGACATGGAAGAAATCAGTCTCGGGTCCCATGGTAGCATGGTTTAAATGGCCCATCTTGCCCGAGACAACATCCTGCCATATGCTCCTTAGCTGGACCTCCGTCTCATTCATGTCCACATGCTTGTCGTGCTCTTTCGGTAGATCATACCCATTCTCGGGCATTGGAAGTGCGGCGATTGCACGTCTGTCGAGCTTGGAAGAAGTTGTCAGCGGCATATGGGCAAGGGGAATCATGGCTGCGGGCGTCATGTAGCGCGGCAAGCCGAGTCTCGATAACAGGCTGCTGAGGAACTTGTCCGTATCTCCTCCATGGGAATGCGAATCGTATGCTTGGTCCAACACCACATGCGCGACCAGGAATGATGGGCCCTCGATCCCATTTTCGCCTGCCTTGCGTCTGACCGACACGGCGGCCTCGGCCAACATGCCTTCGGACGCGTCGAGCAGAGCTCGTTCAATTTCTTGCAGGTCGATACGCAGACCGCGTAGTTTAACCTGTGTGTCGCCCATCATGCGGCCTTCGAGAAACAGCTCGCCACGTGGGCCCCATCTTCCAAGGTCACCGGCACGGTGCAGCGTCCGCCAACCTCTTCGCCGCTGATCGGGGCTTGCAAATAAGTCAGGTACAAAACGTTCTGCAGTCAGGGACCCGTTATTGAGGTATCCAGACGCGACTCCAGGCCCGCCAATGTAGACCTCTCCTTGAACGCCGGGAGGTACGGGTCTGAGGTGCTCGTCGAGGATGTAGACGGTGTAATTGGGAATTGGGTGGCCGACGGCGATGCTCTTTGGAGGACTTTTTGCATAGTCTCGGTATGGCAGTTCCATGTTGGTTGCCGTCCAGGAGATCTCGGTGGGTCCGTAAGCGTGGTAAACCTTCAACTCAGGCTTCTGCAGAGCCGCGAAGTCCTTGAGGAGAGTATGGACCCCAGGCTCGCCGGCGATAACAGCCCTACGCCACTTGGACTTGGCTAGCCCATGCACGTTGCCGAACTTGAACCATGAGAACGTCTCGGATGCGCAGCTCATGCTGTAGGTGACATTTTTAGTAACGATCATGTTGACAAGAGCAGCCGCGTCGCCCCGGAGTGCCCTTGGCACAAGACACAGAGTGCCACCCAGGCACAGAGCCGTGAAGATCTGGATCATGGACATGTCGAAGCCGGGCGCGCTTTGCTGCAGGACGACCTCATCGTGCTTGAGGTCGTAGACTTGAGCCGTAAACTCGAGCCAGTTGCAGAAGCCCTCGTGCTTGAGAACGATGCCCTTGGGCGTGCCCGTGGAACCACTAGTATACAGAATGGTGACGACTTTGTCAGCTGTGGCTGCGATGCTGCTGAAGTTGTGTTTCTTTCCGTAGCTGCCATCAGGAACCAAGCCCGTAACATTAATGACCTTGAGGTGAGGCGCATCCAGCTTCTCGACATTCTGCTCCGTGTCGTTGTCTACCAGGACCATCTCGGGCCGGCAGTCTTGGGTGATGGTAGCCAGGCGATTCCATGGATTGTTTTGATCCAGTGGCAGGTAAACGGCCCCGAGATTCATGATGGCCAAGATGGATGCGATCCAGTCACCGGTGGGCTCCTGGAGGACAGCCACGCGCGAGGCTGGTTTGATGCCGGCCTCGGCCAAGGCCATGGCGATCTCTTCAACCCGATCGCGCAACTGCGAGTATGTGAATATTTCTTCACTGTTTCCAGCATCATTTCCACCACTAATGCTCCACCTCACAGCCATATCATCCCCCCTTTCCTTGGTTACCTCGTCAATCCTGTGCACCAAGGTCTCAGGCCAAAGCCTCTTCTTCTCCGCCCCCCTCCCAAATGTCAACGCCCGGTCAACTTCTGTAGGGTCGTAAACATCTGGCTCTTCCAGCTGCATGCTCGGATCCTCCACGAACGCCTTGACAAGTCTCTCATAGCTCGCGAGTAAACTCTCGGCATCCTGGCGGCTGTACAGATCCTTGCGCACGATCAGCATGAAGGTGCAATCTCCGTCGACGTCAGGATCATCTATCACGTCCAGGGCCACGTCGTAGGCCACTTTTTCTAGGGCGTACGACAGAAGCTCTAGCTCAATGTCGGCCGAAAGAGCAGTCTTAGGCCGTTGCCCGACCCGGTAGTCAACGAGGCATTGGAAGATGGGCGTGTGAGAGGCCGAGCGTGGAGCCCCAAGCTCAGTAAGAAGCACCTGGAAGGGCACACCCGAGTGCGCTAGGGCAGACAGCACTTTGCCTCGGGTTTCTTTGAGCATGTCTTCAAAAGTCTTTTCGTCTTCGTCCTCGCTTTGGCTATTCCTGAATCGCAGGGGTAAGAGGTTGACAAACGGCCCATACGTGCCCGCAAAGTCATCCTCGGTCCTGTGCGCGTCTGCGATACCAATGGACACATCTTGCACGCCATTAGTATCCGCGGACTGCGCCAAAAGGGCCCGGAACACAGTCAGGTAGAAGTGGAACGGTGTCACTCCAGCGCGTCGACAGAGCGCTTTGACACGCGCCTTCATATCCTGGCCCAAGTGCATTTCGGCCCGCTCGTTCTCGTATTTGGTGAGCTGCGGACGCGCAGCAACCTGCCCAAGCCGGAAGATTGGCAGCGCATCCGGAAAGTCGTCCGGGGGATACTCTGCGCGCCAGAAGCGGAGGTCGTCTGAGTAGCGTCCGGCTTGATAGTCTGCGTGCTGCTTTATGGCGTGTGCCGCGTATTGTGTCGGCGGTGGTGGAAGTGCGTTGGCAAAGAGCTGATGCATCTCTCGCAGGAAGATTTGAACTGACATGCCGTCCGCCACCAGTGCATGCGACGACAGCACCAGGAAATGCCTTGTCGGTGTCAGTGTAAGGAGCACAACGCGCAGGTTCTCGCCGCGTGTCAAGTCGAACACATGTCTCTCGAGCTCCTGGACCACCGGACCGACCTCTTGCTCGCTACGGATCGTTCGGTATTCGCCGTGCATGGTGCTCTCGGCGAGAAAGCCCTGCATCGGCTGGCCTTCGCTCTCGAAGAAGCAGGCACGCAGGATGTCATGCCGTTGAATGATGATCTGCAGAGCGCGTTCGAATTCGTCTTGCCGGATGCGGCCCGAGAGCTGGAAGGAGGCCGTGTTGTTGAGGCTAGACTTGTCTTTCAGGAAGGACAGCACGAACCAAAAGGTAGCCTGGGTGAAGGAGAGCGGCGCGATCTTGTCGAAGTGTTGTAGATCTTGGCCCTGCTCCGTGTATGGAAGGATGCCGGTGTTGGCTTCGGTCTTGTCATCGGCTACGTCCCCATCCATCGTAGCAGACCTCTTAGAAGAGACCGACGAAGCAGTGTCGTTGGTAGAGAAATTGCCTGCCAGAGTGCCTGGTGTATCGCACTCGGGTCCACTTGTAGACGAGGAATCTCCATCATCCGGTCCCTTTTCTATCTGTTCGGGCTGGAACGACACAGTCTTCTCCTCGGGAGCCGCATTCACTTCTGGCTCGGGCTCGTCCTCGATCTTCGACGAGACCGGCGCACTCTCCACCGGCCCAGCTTCCGTCGATGGAGGCGGGGGCACCCACGCGTCGGAACTCACCTTCAGATCCCCCTCCTTCACCTCGGGGATCAAGGTCGGTGGCAGCGTCTCGGCGGCAACGACACACAGTTCCTTCACACTCGCCCCACTCAGGATCTTCAGCACAGGGATATTCACCTGCAATGTCTTGATGAACCAGGTACGAATCTCAGTGGCGAGCAGGCTGTCGGTGCCCATCTCAGACAGCTGCAGGTCGGCCGGGTCCTCGCGAGCAAGATCATCTGCAGGCCGCTGGTACAGTGCCGCAAGCTTGGGCACGAACGCATCATGCACGGCGGCAAAGACGGCGTCGCGTGTGGGCGCCTGGGCGAGACGAGTCTTGAGCGGCACAGCGTTGTGCGTGCCTGAGTTCGCGGCTGCATTGGGACCGCCAGACGCGATGCTGCTCTCTTCGTCGTTCCATAGGAGACAGTGGCTCAACATAGGATTCGCAGCCCACAATGGCATCGACCCACTGTTCGCCCCTATGCGCTCCACGCCACTCGTGATTTCGATCTGGTCGGTGTTACCACCAGGACGTCCGGCTACGATCGCCTCGGCAAACTGCCGGAGAAAGTCGGTTTCGGAGACGAACCAGGTCTCGCGGGCTTCCACGCGCCGTCTGAGGTCGGTTCGTGCGTTCTGCGCAATGTAGCCCACGCCCAGCACGGGGCCGATGTTGATGACCGACGCCGCGAGCCCTTTGCGCCGCCGCTGCTCGGCGAGTGCGCCCATAAACAGGTTCCCCGCCGCGTAGTTGGCCTGTCCTTGCCATCCAGATACTGAGGAGAACGAGGAGAAGAAGACGAAAAAGTCGAGCGGGGGAGTTTTCTTGTCGTCGCCGCGGAATAGCCGCTCGAGATGCACGCTGCCCTCAACTTTCGGCCGCGTTACCTTGAGCATTTGCTCGAGCGTCATGTCCGCGATCAGGACGTCATCAAGAATCATAGCACCTTGCGCGACGCCGGCGACGGGCGGCATATTCTCACGGATCTCGGCATGCGCACGCCTGACATCGGCCTCGGAGGTCATGTCGCACGCCAGTACGCGCACGACGGCCTTGGTGGCGCTGGACATCTTGGCCATCCAGGCTGTATCAACGTTGGGACGCCGGCTCGAGATGGCCACGAAACGCGCTCCACGGCGGACCATCCATTCGCAGAGGGAAAGACCAAGGCCGTGGCTGAGACCGGCAAGCCAGTATGTCTTGTCAGGATCTAGGGTGACCTGAGAATCTACTGGCTGCACTTGCACTGTGACTTCAGAAGCGCCTGTCCAGTCCAGGATGGAGACGAGCTCATTCCCGTTCCGTCCCGCGTTTGATGCAGAGCCCAGTTCACCGATCTTCACCTTTTTCACAGGCTGCGCCTCTAAACCTCCCCCCTCTCGCTCAGCAAGGGAGTGCAGTGCGTGGTTGACTGCATCCTGCAACCTGAGGCGGACGTCTCCGACGCGAGACGCCCACCAGCTTTTCCCTTGACCGTTCTTGGCGCCGAACAGAGTACGCCTGCTTTCCAGACGGCAATGTGCCGGGAGCGCCGTGTGAATTTGCACGTGCTTGTTGTTATCATCGCCATGTTGGGAAGCCAGATCGACAAACACGACCACGTCCTTGGGCACCATCTTCTGTACGTCTCTCATGGCCGCCATAGGATGCACGCGCAGCCAACTAGAGGTCGCGGGGATATAGCGGGAATTATCGGAATCATACGTGATAAAAGTCACGCGCGCCCCAATGTTTCTCGCCCGCCACATTAACACCGTGGCGAACTCAGGGGTTGGTTCGAGAACAAGAACGCGGTCGTCCTTGCCAACGCCCTTGAGTATCACAGATGCGAGCATGTGATACGCAACATGCTCGAGGAACTCAGCCTCGAGGCCAGTATCGATCTCAATGAGCATGCTGAGGTCATCCCATGCTGGTGTGGCGTGGCTCGCAAGTTCCTCGGACAGGAAGACCGTCTGATCACCGGTTGCGGTACTCTTTCCGAATGCTAGGAAAAGATTGCCAGACTCGGCGACGCGGATGCCCTCCAAGAGTGAGTGAGAGGTGCGCAGAATGGATGCGCCAGTTGTCCCCTGCAGTTGTTGAGATGGAGTATGTCCTCGACGGAGCGAATGTTCCCCATTCTCTTGATCGAACTCAACACGTACACTGGTCTGCTCGTTCCCCCCATATCCGAGCTTGACCGTCTCCCACACATCTCGTCGCGACGTATTATACCTCTCGTTCATTCTACGATTCGGCACCACTCTCGGGATAAGCGGCCAGCCGTCCTGATCCAGCTGAATCTCGGGCTCGGCAGTCGTCAATCCCCCGCTTAGACCAGTAGCCGTCCCGTCACGCTGCCACGTCGTCACGGCTCTGAACCTCAACAACGCCTCGAGCACGACCCGGGGCTGTATTTTCTGCCCGTCGGCGAAGTCGAAGGACTGTACGTCCAGTGTGGGCATCTCTGACGCTGCCGACCTCAACATCCCAACCGTCATGCTCGCATGTGGGTTCTCGTCGCGGCGGGAATGTGTCACCCAAAGCAGAGTGCGGACGCGCATCAGTGTCGCGCACAGGGTTTCCCACGAAGACTCGAGGCCGGGCGATGCAAAGAAGGCAGTATCCAGGTCTGACAGGCTGAGTATCGTCGTCTTGTCGGAGACGATATCCAAATTCATCTCGCTCCACGACCGCACCGTCGTCACCGGGCCATTGCAGAGCGGCTCTGCGAGGGCCGAAATCTGGCTGGCGAGTCGACTAGCTCGAGAGTTAGGGGACTTACTCGCCACGATGATCAAGTCGTCGACCAATTGCCGAGTGTCGACTGACTGAGACGACGTTAACACGTCCCGCAGCATCGACACCCGATCGTCCACAGCCTGCGCCACAATGACCGCAAATGGGGCGACCACAGGCTCTGGGGTCGGCGTGGCAGTATCACAGCCCGCAAAACCTGTCTTGCGCAGCAGGGCATCCCAGCGATCGACATTTGCTAGGGGTGAAAGAGTAGAATCATTATTCTCGCTACCCGCCCACCAGCCGGGGAAGGCGCCGAAGATGGTACCAGAGCGCACAGCCATGTCCGGCAAGACTTCCAGCATAACTAGATATCCGCCAGGCCGTAGGAGACGCCGGACATTATTCAACGTCGTCTCGAGCGTGTCAGTGGCGTGCAAGACCATCGATGCCACGATGACATCGTACGAATGGTCTTGGAACCCCTGTGTGTGCGCAGGTTTGTTGATGTCCAACACCTTGAAGACCATTCCGTGCTGCTCACGCTCTTTGGTGAAGATACTTTGAGCCGTGGGCAAGAAGCCTGACGAAACGTCGGTGAACGTGTAGGAAGCGTACGAGGACCCGATCTCGTCGAAGATATATTTCGTCACCCCGCCGGTACCTGCGCCGATCTCGAGGAAGTGGCAGTGCGGGAACCGATGCACGATCTGTCTGACAGAACGTGCCAGAAAGGACGAGTACGTGTCCATACCCATAGAGTATTGGTAGTAGTCGGTCAGCAAATTATCTCGCATGCCGATCTCAATCGCCTGCTTCTCGCCCGTCGCAATGGCAACAAGTTCCTCGCCAAAGGCCCGGAGGAGCCTAACATCCGCGACGTGGGCATACGGTGCACATGCGCGCCGAATCACGTCGGCCGTGTCTGCGTTCCATTCGCGCTTCCAGAACGACAATGACCCGGCCTCGGCCTGCTTGACCCAGTGCGTCGCGTACTTCAATAGATAGGAAAAGGGAGCAGCAGGCCCGGGCTGTGATCGTGCTGGGTGAGCGGCCGGCACGCTCCGATCCAGCTGGCGCAAGTAGAAGATGGCCACGCGCTCCAGCAGGTGCGCGAGCTTGCGTTCCTCCGGAGTCGCCTTGAACTCGCGCGCGCCGATTCGGCCGGCGTCAGGGCTGGCGACATCCCACACCGTCGTAGAGAAGATGCCTCGGTCGTCCTTGGGGCTTGAGGGTGCAAAGGGAACACACAGCAGCCCCTGGACTTGAATCACGGCATGTTGTTGACGCTTTCCTGGTTCCAGTTTCGGGGAGTGATAGAGATCTATATCCCCTCCAATTCCTTTCTCGCTCCCCGACTCAGACGGCAGCACCGCGTCGAAGGAGAGTGCGGGAGCTGAGACTCCGTCCTTTATATGCGCCGCGCACAGAGACGGCACCACGCGGATGCTGCGGATCTTGCGTGGCACGTGTAACGCCCACATGCCGCCGTCGTAAGGGACCGCACGCGCGACGAATGTCGACTGGAAAGCTGCATCGAGCATGGCAGGGTGGACGAGGAGGCTGTTTTCCCGTTGAGAATCATGCTTGACACTGTAATCTGCATCGTCGTCCTGAGTCAGATTCTCGATGATTCCGGTTGCGTAGCCAAGTCGTCTTTCGATGTTGGTGAGTGCACGGAAAGGCCCGGAGTAGTCGTACCCCATCTTCTCTAGCGACTCATAAAAGTCGTCGGCTGGGACCTTGAGAAGATCGGTGGGCTTTGGAGCCCTTGCTGGGAGCACGTTGGTTTTGGCAAACCTGTTGTCGTTGTCATGGCCGGTCTGCTGCTTTTGCTCGTCATCCAAGACAACACGAACACGGCCACTGGCAAGCAATGCCAAGTCAAGATTGTCCTTTTCAGCAGCGGCATTGTAGCTGAAATCGGCAGCCATGGTGGCTTTCCCGTCTGCCGTCGACGACCAAGCAACATTACTGATCGTGAAAACAGCCTCGATGCTGGTATCGTCCTGGTCAAACGTGAGGGCCTTCTCGATTTCCAGATCCAAGACTTCCAACATGGTGACAGTCTGCTGGGAAGCCGTCACCGTCCTCTTGGGACTTTTAGAACCGCTTTTGCGCATGGCCGCCTCAAGCGCAAGGACGACGTAGCCCGCGGCCGGAAATACCGTCTGACCTTGTAGTTGATGATTTTTCAGCCAGGAAATCTCCTTAGGCCGCAGGATATTGCGCCATCGTGTGACCTGATCGGTGCTGTCGGGGGTGACGTGTCCAAGAAGAGGATGTACAGGCTCCACGCGCGACAGCTGTGCTTTGGTGTACCGACTCTCGTGCCAATATTCGTTCTCGTGGTCCCAAGCATACGAGGGAAGGCCGTGGACGACCTTGTAGCGCCTGGCAATCTCCCCACCCACCGTATCGGTCTTTAAGCTTGACGCTGATGCAGAGGCAGACATGAAGGCGTCGTAGGCGCCGAGGTCGATATAGCCCTTTCCGAGGCGTGACCAGACAAAACCAAGACCGTCAGCGAATGTCCCGACAGCCGGCTTTCCTCGCTGAAGCATGCCGGTGTATGGCAATTGGCCTCCCGATGGTGCGTTTTCTGGCACGGCATGAATCGATTGTATGGCGGGACTCTTGAGCGCTGGATGGGGACCGACTTCGACGGCAAGATCGAAAGGGCCCACGGTCTTCCACGCCGACTGCACCGCCTGCATAAACAGCACGGGCTGGTTCATATTGTCGTTCCAGTACTGGCCTTGTATCGCGTCGAAGAACTGGTCTGTCACCTCTACACCATCGTGAACGCTGGAGAACCAAGCACAATTTGATGTTCTTTCAACTCGAATATCCAGTGCAGCAAGCGCAGCAAGGTACTTGTCCGAACAGGCAAGCATGTGGTGTGAGTGGTACGCCTTGTCGACTTTCAACAGCCGCGCAAACTTGCTCTCGTCTTGCAGTATCAGCTGCAGCATCTTCACAGACTCCTCGTCTCCGGAGACAGTGATACTAGAAGGGGAATTGACAGCAGCAACGACGACCCGGCCGCGGAAACGGCGCGAGCTGCATATTTCCTGGATATCCTCGAGCGTGCTCTCAACTGCCATCATAGCGCCTACCTCGCCATTTTTGCCTGTGGCAAGATGCGAGAATAGGCCGCGATAGTACGCCACGCAAATAGCATCACCGGCGGTAATGAAACCGGCCGCGTATGCGGCGCCAATCTCGCCTGATGAATGGCCGACAACAGCATCGAACGAGACCCCGGCCGCTCGTAGCATATCCACCTGCAGGATCTGCAGCGCCGTGCATAGCGGCTGAGAGAAGGCGGCCTGCCCGATGCGCGATGAAGAAGCTGGCTTGCAAAGCTCATTGACTAAAGACCATGAAGGCCGGTGGTCGCTGGGGAGCTGCGCGAGCCGGTCGTCGAGATGCTGGACGATACGGCGGGCGGCGGACGAAGTCTCCAGAAGTTCGGCTCCCATGCGGGCCCACTGTGCGCCTTGGCCGGTGAACACACCGAGGGTACGCAGCTTGCGGGTACCTGTCTCGGAGGATGAGTCTTGCAAAAGGAGCGGTTTTACAGCGAAATCATCCTGTTGACTGCTGCCGCGCTGCGCGGCAATCTTCAACTTATCCTCCAGTTTGTTGCGGAGGTCGTCCAGCGTCGATGCCGAAACAGTTAGGCTGAATTGCAAACGCGATCTGCGAGAATGGAGCGTGTATGCGAGGTCTGAAGGACTGGGCAAGACCGTTCCGTTGGAACTCTGCAGATAGTCGCAAAACTGGCGCGAGTACGAAACCAATGATGACCGAGACCCAGCCGAGAAGACGAACGGTGCGAATGCGGTTGATTCCCGGGCTGCTTCACCGTCATTCGCAGCCTGTGTTGCCCGATCACGCACAGATGATCCGGTTGGCGTGTAATTCTCTAGAATGGCATGGCAGTTCGCACCGCCAAAGCCAAAGCTAGGTTAAGTTAGAGAGGTTATCTTGGCAAAGTATAACAGCACGATGATGAAAAGACTCACCTATTGATACTTGCTCTGCGAGTCTCGGATCCATTTGACGGCCACGGAACAGCCGCCGTCGGGACTCTCAAATTCGTGTAGAAGGGCTCAATCTTGGGATTCAGACGATTGAAATGCATATTCGGCGGAATGACGGCATTTTGAATTGCCAGCGACGCCTTGAGAAGTGCCGCCAAACCAGCAGTCCCCTCAGTGTGGCCGATGACGGTCTTGATGCTGCCCACATAGAGCTTCTCAACGGGCTCCTCAGTCGTCTTGGGTTCTTCAACTTGGCCTGGAAAGAAAGCCGTGGCAATGGCTTCTGCTTCAACCGGATCACCTGCTGGTGTTCCTGTGCCATGGGCCTCGAAAAATTGGGGACGCTGGTCTGGGTGCGTCAGGTCGAGGCCTGCTCGGGCGTAGCACTCACGAATAAGGCTTGCCTGCGCAGAGGGGCTGGGCCTGTATTGTTCAAAACGACTTTAGTGAGCTAGATATTCACAGTGAGGCATTGAACTCGATATCATTGCACATAAAGTGGGGATCGGTGTGGAAAGGACAAAATAGGATGGAGGCCATTAAAAAGGGGAGGAAAAAGAAAGGAGGTTACTCACATCGTCAACCCAGGTGTCCTCCCGTCCTGATTTGACCCGACTTCACGAATCACACACTCGATAACATCGCCATCTTTTTCGGCTTGGCTGAGCGTTTTCAGCACCACGGCCGCAACACCTTCCCCGCGGGCATAGCCGTTGACATCAGCATCCCACATGCGGGAGCGGCCGTCAGGGGACAACATCTTTAATTTGCTCATGCTCACGAACGAACACGGATCTAGTAAAAGATTCGCGCCCGCCGCAATCGCAACACGCGAATGCCCCGCCCGTAGCTGCTGTGCGGCCTGGTGCACGGCTATAAGGCTGGAGCTGCATGCTGTGTCGATAGTCATACTTGGACCGTGCCAATCAAAGAAATACGACACGCGATTTGATACCAACGCGCGAGACGTGCCGGTAGCGTCATATGTGCCAATAGTATCCTGATCGCGCCCCATCATCTGCTCGTACTCGCCCAGCATTGTGCCGGCATATACGGCTGTATCAGAGCCCGCGAGAGCCTCAATAGTATGGCCGCCTGACTCCAGCGCCTCGTAAACCGTCTCCAGCAGCAGGCGCATCTGCGGATCCATTACATGCGCCTCGCTTGGGTTGATGCCGAAGAAGCGGGCGTCGAAGCGGCGGTGGAAACCTGGAGCACCGCCGAGGAAGTGACCGTGTTGCACATTGCTGTGCCCATGATAGGTGCCGTCGGCATGGTAGAATCCGGCACTGCTGAACCGGTCTGCCGGTATAGGTGTGCGCAGGTCTGTCGGGTCGCACAGCAGTGACCAGAGCTTGGACGGGCTGTTGGAGGCCCCGGGAAAGCGACAGCCGCTGCCGACGACGGCGATGGGCTCCGGGGGGGATTGGGTGGTATGTTGGGACATGTTGAAATTTTGACCGTGATACAACAGTCTCCTCTATCGGCAAGGAAAGGACAGTACCTGGGAATCTAATGGTACGATTATCATGTCATAAACACCTGATTTGAGCGTGGCAGTTGTTCCCTTTCTCGAATTATATACATCCATATCATTATCCTCTTCAGCCTGTGTCTCTTCTCGAAGGCATCAGCAGCTACGATAACGACAACAGCAAACAATGTCGCAGGAGCAAAAAGCCTAACCCAAAGGCAGGAAATGTATTCCGTGATTCGGGTCAGCGATCCTTCGAGCCTTAGTAAGTCTCCGAATTGTACGAACAGGAAATTTCGGTCCTAAGCGACGGGGCACAGCAGTAGCAGCTGAGTTCTTATGTTAACACAGTCAGATCCCTATGGAGCTTCGGGCTCGGGATCCTTCGAGATTAGCGACCAAAACCGCGAGTCGAGACCAGGCATCAACAAGATTTTCCATTCGCGTGCCTGATACAGTCAACTCGGTATGGAGCTTCAATTTTGGGGGCCAGATGACGCAAGAGAAGATTCTTAATCTCCTCATTACCTACGCAACTTCAAGATCGTCAGAAAAACGCTACTTTGGCCACGTTGCAACCGCCAGGACGGCTTGGGGGCTAGACCCAATGGGCTGCCACCCGGAAAGGAGCCGTGCACAATGACAAATGAGTTCTGAGATATTGAATACACTGGAAAAGGAAGCACGCCTCCGTATCTGGGAGCATCGCACGAGCAACATCGCCTATATTGCACACTGTCCTAAGGGATCCTTTCATAGGTCTCTTTTTTGCAGAGCGGGACCAGAACACTAGCCGCAAGAACACGCTGACTAGCAACACAGCTCGTCTTATCTGGAAAAACAAACTTGATGTAAACAGAGATTAGAGGAGCTTAGAGGGCTGAGCGAAGAATTGTTTAACAGAAGAAACCGCAGAGGCTCTTATCCTTTTGGCTATTCCTTCTACCTGAGATTATAGGTTTGTCTATTCTTCAGTCCCAGTGATGAACAAGTGCAGTGATGCACTGCAATGTAGTATCATCATTTTGTAAAACATTGACCCAGAATGACAAGAGAATCTATGGAGCAATGCGGTCGCGCAAGAGCCGCTTCGCTTTTTTCATGGTTTTCCGCAGGTACTTGATTCCGCCCTGGCCTTCTTCTGGACGTCCCATTTCCTCTTTCCGGAGCATGGACTTGGCCACGTCGAGAAAGCCGTCACCACTAAGCAAGCCGCTGGATCCACCGCCGTCACGTGTGCCAATGTGGAACTCGCGAGGCAGCCCGAGTAGCCTCTCCATTCTCTCAAAAGTGTTTGTAACCATCTGAATAAACATGGTGGTTTGGAGATTTCCGGATTCTGTGCTCTTTAAGTTAGCCTGAAGTACAGAAAAGGCCACGGTCAATGAATGACTTCTAGTGATCAGTGGGAAGACTCACGGAGGGGACACTCATCAAAGCCACAGAAACCGGAAATTGGACTCATCCTGCCGTGGTCGCTGTCGGCTACAAGCTCAAGGTACTGCCGGATATGTGCGAAGACAGCAACGTGGAGCCGCAAGATGTGCACGTAGCAGACGAGAGCGAGGAATACCATGGGCGGGTCCGGCGGCGCCTTGGTCACAGAGCTAAGGCTGCTGGGCGGAGTGGACGAGGCACGGCTGGGAGAAGAAGAGGAAGATGTGGATGTGCTACTGGTGTCCGGCGAGACTGCCGCCGTGGTTGTTCCGCGACTCATCTTAGAGGCTTCGATGGAGGTGCCGAAGGTTGCCAACGGTGGAACAGCGGCCGCAGCCAGCAGATTATGAAAGTCAGCCGGCGAGGGGTTAGGAAACGGCCGAGAGTCGGTGGCGGTGGCTAGAACGTCTAGATAGCGCCGTGTAGAGTTGAGTATGTCCCCCAGCAGCGGGGTGGTGGTGGCGTGTCCTGAAGCGACTGGTCTCTCAAGCTCGGAGGGAATAAGTATTTTCAGCGTCCCGTCAGGTGGGCTTTTGACCATGCGTCGGAGTTGTGTTGCCAATTCCAGGTTGATCCGAGCTAGCTCTTCCATCAGACGATAGCGAGTCTCCTCGGTAGAGTTGGAGCTCGTGGGGAGGCCAAGCCCCCAAATGTCCAGATCTCCCAGAGACGACTGATCTAGAATGTCTCCTCCTTGGACAGCTTGAGGCCAAGGCACCCTCTGGTGTTGAACGTCCGCTCCTTCTCCACTTGCAAGTGAACTTCGCAGGCCAGCAGGCCATTCTGAGGGGTTCGCGCCTTCGGAGCCGTTCTTGTGGGTGAAATCACCGGCCAAGTAGTCATCCAGGTTGAGATCACTCGCATCCCAACCTGGAGTGGCCAATGTCGTCTGTGATCTGGGTGTCGGTCCACAATGCGGATGTGGTAGTTGTGCGGATCCAGCCACGATATCCATCATCGGGCTCCATTCGGGCGAGCTGACATGGCTTGACGCTCCTGCTGCTGCTCCTTGATCTGATTTTCCGAAGGCATCCAGGGACGGCCATTCGAATGTGGCAAATCCTGGAGTGAAGCTGACTGGAGATTGAGATGGTCGATTCTGGAGTCGTCCGGGCGAGTTCGTACCCGACGCCGTTTGCACTTGGAGCTGAGCTTGTGGCCGCGCTGGCCCCTGGCCTTGACTTTGATCTTGACGTCGATTGTCCCGATTATCGTTGTGATGTCGGCGACGCTTGTGGGATGGCATGGCCGCACTGCCAGTGTTGGTAGTAGTACTCATGCTTGTAGTCGAGCGGCCACCTGTATCGTGATCCCTGATTGTATAGTGCCGCATGTGATATATTGGGGTGGTAATGCATTTGGCATCAGCCTTAGCGCATCGATCGCACCGCCCGCTCGGGTCGTTTCCCTCACGCAGGCACCCCAGCTTCTGGCCCCGGCAGCGGTCACAGGCCGAGCGCCGCGATGAAAGGCCCGTTGTGGACGCCTGATCCCCTCCAGCTGGCATGGTGTTTTGTTTTGGGGATTGACCTGGTTCCTGGTGTCGGGACAGTGGGTGACGAGAGAACTTTGAGTGTTTGGCGCTGGATCCTGTCGGGCACTAAAGGCTTCAGGAGGACACTTGTGGAACAGATAGGGCGCTGATTAAAGTGACAGTTGGGATCGACGAATAGTTGCACAGCCGTGAGGCGGCTCCACGTACCTTCATGCACAAGCTTTGGCAAGAACATGGAACCACTGCCGGCAGAACGGATACGCCATACGGTCGGTAACAGTTTGACAGGTGTGAGGAAGCACCTCACGTCAGAATTGAAACAAGACAGGCGTCAGCTGACATGTCCACCTCATGCTAACAAATTAGTCATCGCACACCCTTCAACCTTGCAACTCCGCGGGAGAGAGTGCTGTAGAGTCACCCGGGATTGGGGGGGATTTGCGTGGATTTTGGAAGTTCTACATAGCTAAAACAAACCTAAGAGGCACTGTTGATCAATATTGATAGCAGGTTATTTAGTGGTTGGTGTGGAGATGAAGGAATTATGGGATTTATGTTGCCTGCGCGTAGCCTGCTCAGGTGTGTACGTTGGTATGCAGTCCACATTGTGGGTCGAGGTGCATATCTTTCTATTCGTCGTCGTACTGGCTGCGACTTGCTCCTAATTTACCCTCCACATAGTAAATCATAGCTCCATTCAGACACCTGGTTGCAGATATTCCTCTAACGAGTCAGACCTTCATGATATGTCAGGTAAGCACTGCTGCAAGAAGCGTGCGTATTGCTCGCGTGCGCCATCACTTCGCCGCCTTTTGCTTCGTCACCTTTTCCACAATTGGGTTCCTCCTCTTCTTTGGGTCCGCTCGAAGAGGAACAAGGCTCTTGATCTTGTTGCTTTCGATGCGATCTACGGTGGATACATCGTCTACTGTTGCCCCTTTTGGAAAGGTAGGATTGCCTTATTGCCAGCGGAACCGCACGCCCACTGATCTGCACTGCGCCTTTGGTTACAGCCATGAGTCTGCCTCTTCTTTACATTGTCGCGTATCTCACACACGTACACCTTGACGGACAAACATTTGACCCATTTTCACCCGATACGCAGCATCTTACCCTCCTCTATTTGTCAACTCCATGAAATTGGCATAGTATTTTCACTTTTCCACGCACACAATCTTTTTCATATCTGAACAAAGGTTCCCAGCATGAATGTAATCCAAAGCCAACAGTAATACCAGCACCTTTGAGCACCATAAACAAACGGAGGGTCTCAAAGAGGGCCCCTCTGGAGGAAGGAAGTACCTTGTGATACAGCATTAGTGGTGGCGGGCACGACTGAAGTGAGATTTTCCACAATACAGTAGGCAGAGTGTTCCTGTTATTGGGAGTAACGACATACTTCATGATGCAAAATGAACCATGAAAAATCTTTTTGAATCAGAAATTGTTAAGGATGATTTTAAGGCTGGGCACGGGCCGTTTCTACAGTAAGCATATTGCTGGGTCTTGTTGTCGCCATTACGTCGAATTCAAAATGTCGACACACTTTCACGGTCAGGGGAGGGTAAGATTCAGCTCAAACTTCGGCATGTTCAGCTATGATTTTTCAAACCAAATTTTGAAGGATTATCGGGCTCGGAAATCGGAGCTCCAAATAAGGCATGCCAGCCCGAGTCCGGGTTCCTGCTTACAACCACCCACCGGCTTAAGCCCCGTATGGCAACGGACATTAGTTTCATGGTGTGGTGACGACGTTCCCGTGTCGTCGAAAAGCGGAAAAGGACGCTGTATGTACATGAATAAAAGTGAGACTCGACTGTATGCCTCCTTGGACCTTTCTTGTCTGTGATTAACTACCATTCCTGCTATTTTCATTGATCATTGTCCTTTCGCATTGATCCTACTTACTCTCCTCATCCAGACTTAGTGAGGTATGCACATTGAGAGTAATTATACGCATGAAACATAATATGGGCGTCCTCAACATGTTAAATTGGGCAAGCTCAGGATGGGCTCCGCTATGGCTGGCTGCCTCGGCTGGGGTGATATACGCTATAGCGAGCTGCGTGTATCTCCTGTACTTCCATCCTGCCTCCCGGTTTCCTGGACCTAAGCTGGCGGCCATCTCCTACGTTTCCTACTGTTATTATTGGTGAGTGCGCGTTGACTCTCAATATGAGATTTCCTACTCACTTCAAAATGACACGTATGACTGACGACTTGTGAAGGATTGTTGGGCGCCACCCATGGCGCCAGGAGGACCTCATCCGCGAGTACGGCGACGTCGTGCGGATCGGGCCTAATGATGTTCTCTTCTACACTCCTCAGGCGGTAATGGATATATATGGGCCAATGTCGAAGGGCCAGGAGGCGTTTGTTAAGACGAACCTGATGGACTTCGGCCAAGGCGACCTGGGCTTCAGCTGGCAGCCCAACCCGGCGATTCGCAAGGCAACTGGGAAGAAGATTCTCCCTGCCTTCAGCAACAAGGCTAACAAGAACAAGGAGCCACTTGTGCATGCCTACATCGACCTGTTCATTGATAAGATGAGGAATTTGGGCGGCAAGCCTGAGGGTCTGCTCATGAATGACTGGCTCTATTGGCTCGCTGTCGACATGGCTGCTGATCTGGCCTATGGGCGTGAGATGACCCATCTGAAAGACGGTATATTACATCTTTTCACTCTGCACTCCATTATTAATAATACATTGAAGCCGTACATTGAAGCCGTACTCAAGACTGACTACCACTTCGTTCAACCAGGCAAAACATCCGACTTCGCTTCAAGCCTCCGCGCTACGTCCTTTTCCGCCCTGCTGATCCAGCTTTCCAAGAAGATGCCCATGATCGGGCTTCTCGCTCCGCTCTTCATACCGCTCAGGGTCTATCGAGCTGTACCCGCCATCATAGCCGCCAACCGCGCCGAGGTACAGGCGCGCATCGACCGGCGGGGCAAGACCAAGCACCCAGACTACGTGGACTTCCTCATCGGGCCCGACGACCCGCCACCGTCGAACAAGAAGGAGCGCGAGCACCTCGAGCAGGTGGCATTCCAAATGTTTGCCGCCGGCTACGACCCGATCAACATCATTACATACGCGGGCATGTTCTTCCTGTTGCAGAACCCCAAGGTGCACGCTGCCCTCACTGCCGAGATCCGCGGGGCGTTTAGCAGCTACGACGAGATCACCCACGACGTCCTGATCGGCCTACCTTACCTGCAGGCCTTCATCCATGAGTCGCTGCGCAAACACCTGATTGCGCCGACGGGCATGCCGCGCATCAGCCCCGGTGCGACTATTGACGGTAATTACGTGCCCAAGGGCGTCATTGTCGAGTCGAGCCCCTTCACCGCCATGCGCCACGAGCGCTACTTTACCGATCCGCTCGAGTTCCGTCCGGAGCGTTGGCTGCCGCACGACCATCCGCTCTACGACGCGCGCTTCGCCGACGACAACCTGCGTGCGTTTTTCCCATTCAGTCTGGGCGTGCGCCAGTGTGCCGGGCGGGAGATTGCGTGGACGCAGTATCGGCTCTTCATCGCCAAGGTGCTGTGGACGTTTGATCTTGAGGCCGTGAGCGGCCATGACAAGTCGTTCGATCAGGATGTCAGCGCACATGTGATGTGGAATCACCCGGATTTGTTTGTGCGTTTCTTGCCCGCTAAGGGACAGGAGTTGAATGGCCATCTGCACCCGATTTCTTGATCGGACGGAGGGAGACAAAATCAAGCTGGTCCTAAGTCCGGGGTTCGAGTGGGGGATTGCTTGGCCTATTGTGGATGGAGCTCTCAGCTTGTGTTGGACCTTAGAAACATCCACTGATAGCGTGGACGAGAATTCATAGAGCTTCACTTTACCAGATCATGAGTTCGACAGGAACTATCAAGCAATCATGTTGGATTGCCCATACTAGGTAGAACGAGATTGAATACATGTGGCAATTTCATGAGGCAATATGTTAGCCCTTAGACCCCTTCCTCTTTCCGGTCTTGTTGCAGTCGTTTCATCTCCTCTTAGGGTAGCTTGAGTGTATCGCCGGAAAATACGACTCGTAGCAATGCTGAGGCTCTTCTTTGATCTGCTGATTTCCTGTGACAATGTTTTAATTCAGAACGAGACGACTAAAAGATCAAAGAAAAGCATATAAATCTCACCAATCCAGTTATGCCCCCCTAGTATTTACTGCTGCACTGGCAAGTGGGCACCAAGATCAAAACGAACAAGACCAGAGTGACAATCCGTTCAATTATACCAACTCACCCCCTGTCAAGCAGAGACCTGTGATTTGTCTTGACGTTGCTAGACCGCTGTCAGATGGACTAACAGTACTAGGTGCAGTATTCGCACGAACTAGTTAGAGTCTACCTACTAGCGGCTGATTCGAGAGATCTTATCTGATCCGCTGTGTTGATTTCAGGGTCCGCCGAATGTGGTAACGCGAGTCCGACTCGCCAGGGGTTGCTTTCGAATTAGGAAATCCCAAGCCGACCGAGACTTACACGAGCGTATGCATATCGGAGATGTTGCCATGGCGCTCCAAATTACTTCCTGTGGCGCGTCAAACTGCAAGAGCTCCAAGTTCACATGTCGGCCATCTCGTTGCTCATTTAAATAGCCATCTCACTTCAAAATGTCTCCCAGGGCACTTCAAATTCGAAGAGCTCCAAGTTCAGTTGTCGAAATCACATTGCTGATTCGAGGAGCCTGATATTGCTCTTTCGTGCCCGTCCCATCCTCATGACACCTTAGACGTCGGACTCTAATTTTCAACATCACACCCAAACAGGTCCGTCTCCGAGACATAATCCTGGAGCGTCGCGTTGAATGCCGCTCTACATACGACCTTACTGACGCAGGGTTCACATCAGCCGCAAAAATGTTCCTCGACGCAGTGCGAAAGGACAAGGCCAGCGCCACGGACGGCCGCGATCCTATTCAAGAGCGGTCCGCGGATACCACGCCGAGCGACACAGACAAGCCCGGTCCCTCGGACCAGGAACAGGAACAGGAACAAATCATGTTGGAAGAGAAGGAACCGGCCGAGCCGCATTTTGAACGCGGCCTCCGGTTCTGGGCAATTATCGTCGTGCTCGGGATCTCGGGTCTTCTGGGCTCGCTTGAACACACGGTGGTCGTGACGGCCGGCCCATACATTCTGCAGGATCTCAACATGCGGGAGGAGTTCGTCTGGATCACCAACGGTTTCTTCGTCACCAGCACAGCCATGACGCCACTACTTGGACAGCTATGCAACATATTCGGCCGGCGGTGGGTGTTCCTTACCGTGATCGCTTTCAACACGCTTGGCAGTGGCATCTGCGGCGGCGCGACCAGCAGCGACATGCTGATCGCCGGGCGGGCCCTCCAAGGCGCCGGTTCGGGCGGTATTGTGCTGATTATAAACATTATCGTGTCGGACCTGTGTCCCCTACGCCATCGCGGACGATATTTCGCTGTGATCTTGGCTATCTATGGCATCGGCCTGGCTACTGGCCCGCTAATTGGTGGTGTTGTTGCCGAATACTCGACGTGGCGATGGGTCTTCTACCTGAGCCTGCCCATCGGTGGCTTCTCAATGATTTCTATGTTCTTCCTCCTGCGCTACGATACCATCGACAACACAACCATGGGCCAGAAGCTGCGCCGGCTTGACATCGTCGGCAACCTTATTCTTGCAGCCAGCACTGTGTCGGTCCTGTACTCGTTGACATACGCCGGCACAATCTACTCATGGAGCTCGTGGCATACTCTGGTGCCCCTTCTGGTAGGATTCTTGGGCTTCTTAATCTTCGGCCTCTATGAAGCCTCAGGGCTGCCAGTCGAGCCCGTCATGCCGATGCGGCTGCTCGCGCATCGCACGTCCATTATCGTCTTCATCAACACATGGGTCAACGCATGCATGTACCTATGGTTTCTATACTTCCTGCCAATTTATTTCCAGGCCGTCGCGCTATATTCGGCCACCCGTGCTGGCTATTCGCTTTTCCCGCAAGCTGCCGCCGGCGCTCCCGCCTCGATCGTCGCCGGCCTTATCCTCAGCCGCTGGGGCAAATTCAAAGCCCTCCACTTTGCTGGCTTCGCCTTCTGCGCCGTAGGCATGGGTATCACCTCCCTCGTCGACGAATCAACATCCATCGTGCACTGGGCTGCCTGTCAGATCCTTGTGGCCATCGGCGTAGGCGTCGTCGTCGACACGCTGCCGCCCGCCTTCCAGGCGCCCGTGTCCGAGGACGACCAGGCGGCCGCGACGTCGTGCTGGGCATTTATGCGCTCCTTCGGCGGCATATGGGGCGTCGCCATCCCCGCCGTCGTCTTCAACAACCGCGTCGACGAGATGTTGACCTCGACGGTATCGGACCCGGCAGCGCGTGCTCTACTGGGACGCGGCGGCGCATTCCAGGAGGCCTCGGCGAACTTCGTCAGGCAGTTTGCCCCAGACGTGCAGGCCGAGATCCGCACGCTCTATGCCGACGCCCTCGACCGCGTTTTCTGGGTCGGCGCCGTCTTCGCGGTTGTGGGAGCCCTGTTGTGCCTCATCGAGAAGGAGGTGCCGATGCGGCTTCACCTTCAGACCAGATACCACCTTGAGAAAGGGGAAAAGACTGGGCATGGGAATGAGGCGTAGGCGGGTTCCGAGATGAGCGTCACTCCTTGGTCCCAAGGCTGAGCCGGACCTCGAAGAGGAGATTGAAAATCAAGAAGCCACTCGGAGCCGAGCTGGATTTGAAAGAGGAAATTGAGAATCAAGAAACCGGTCGGGCCGAAAGTACCACCCTCTTCGCTCAGGTACGACAATTTACGGGAAGATCTGTACGTGTAAGATAGATAGATGAACAGTATAGATAGGTTGGCCTCCAAGTGGGTAAGCAGATAGTAAGATGGAACTCCGACTTCTTCGGCCTCGGCTTTCCCAATCTAGTTTGAGACTTAGAATAGACCGTTTAGGAAGTCTGCTTTCAATTTTTATGGGCAGCAAACACAACCTTCATTAGATTTAAGTTACCCAGGATCTTGATCTGAGGCTGATCATAGCAAACCCAATCGATCCCAAGTCCAGCCCGAATCCAAAATGCCATCCGCCGTATTCAAGCAGACATCTGTCCAGAAGGCTCTGGTGCAAGATTCCAAGGGCAAGCCCGTCGTCGTCGACAATGCACCACTTCCAAAACTCGGTCCCGGCGATCTTCTAATCAAGACCATCATGGTAGCCCTTAACCCGTTCGACTACAAAATGCCGGCAGCGACCCCGAGCAAGGGCGCTGTGATAGGCAACGACTTTGTCGGCACGGTAGTCCAGATACACGACGAGTTTGAGGGCACAAGCCGCGCCGACAACGATGATAACATACACATCCAGCTCGGCGACACAGTCTGCGGCACCGTTCACGGCTCCAACGCCGCCGACCCCTCCAACGGCGCTTTTGCCGAATACATTCGGGTGCCAGCGGATCTCGTCCTACGGGTGCCCAGTTTCTTCAAGCCGCAAGACGCCGCCACGCTCGGGTGCGCCCTAGGCACCGCCATCGTAGCCTTCTGGGAGAGCGGCGGCCTCCAGCTCCCCATCAGCCCGGCCTCACCCGCCTTACCCGCCTCCGACCCAGTCCCAGTGCTAGTCTACGGCGGCAGCACCGCTTCGGGTACCATGGCGCTGCAGCTCCTGCGTCTCTCGGGCGCGAACCCGCTGATCGCCACCTGCTCACCGCGCAGCTTCGAGCTCGCACGCGCCTACGGCGCCACCAGCGTGTACGACTATCTGGACCCGGAGACGCCGGCGCGCATCCGGGCCGAGACGAGCGGCGACTTGGAGCATGCGCTCGATACCATCACCGACGCGGGCTCGGTGGCGTGCTGCGAGGCGGCGCTGTCGCGCTTTGGCGGGCGCCTGGCGACCCTTGAGCGTTGCCCGGACGAGATGCGCACGCGCAAGTCCGTGGATGTGGATTTTGTGATTGCGCTCGAGGTGTTTGGAAAGGAAATCGACTTGGGCCTCGAGGGTTATCGACGGCCGGCCAGTGACGAGAAGCGCAAGGCCGCAGCGGGGTGGTTCCGCGTGTTTCAGAGATTGTTAGACGACCGCAAGTTGAAGGCGCATCCGGTCAAGGTGCTGGAGCCGGGCTTTGGTAGTATAGTCAAGGGATTGGAGATGCTCAAGTCGGGTTCTGTATCTGGACATAAGCTTGTTGTGCCTTTACATCCTTGAGGCGGACTTTTTGGTTCCTATTTCCCGGTTGTTATCGTACTCAAGCTGGGCCCATTATATATAGACAGGACTTGTATCATCCTTAGATATCTGAGATTATAAGGCGGGGATTACTACCTTATCTTTCCGGATGATTCCTCCGCTGCTTCACTTCCAATGCCACTTCAGCTCGGACAAGATGCCCTCTAGCTCATACCTTCTAATCTCATCTATCGAGTCGAAGTCTTTCCATATATGCCTGTACGCCATGATCGCATGCCGGAGTTCTGGATTGCACTCCTCCATGCATCCACCCCTGCTCAAAGAGCGTTCAGGTAAGGTCTCACAGTCGACCACCATATCTTGACCCAATCCAGGTTCAGGTCCCGGTCATCCGTGATGGTGACGTTTTCAATGTTTCTATAAGTTAAGAAGCAATCATATCAAAGGTAAAGCTGGGTACAGCTTTTTCTATGGGCAACTTGAAGCCCACTAAGTCAAAAGCGACTTTCCCGCAGTTTGGCTGCCCCTCGGCATCTGCCGAGCTCCTCGATCCGGGTCTTGTATGCTGGTGGACTATGGAGGTGGGGGCCGGCCGCGAAAATTCGGCGGTCGGGGTTGAGTTGCTTACAGCAGGTCAGGGCCACATGCTGATATAATGCATGCATCCTTGCAAGCGCTCAGCTCTCCCCGAAGACCCCTTGGGAAGCGTCATGCGACAGCCCGTGGCCTTGGTCAGGTTGCAGAGCCTCCACCACGACGACGAGTCAGCTGGCGACTGTGTCCGAACTTTATCATGAGACAGGCGGTTGGCCCCCCACGACTCGTGGACGGCTGTCGACTGGCAGAGAGGACTGGACAGGCGGGAGTGGGTGTCGTGTCTCAGACAACGGCGTTTTTGCCCGGGTGCGTTGTTACGGGACCACCCCGGCCTGGGATACTTCAGGGTCCTCGACTCAGATGGGGCAGGCAAAAGGTGGTGCAAATCCAGGGTCTTCCCCAGGGCCACTGCATACTTCCGACGGGACCCTAGTCCACTTGGCATGATGGCTTACTTTTGCCTCGATGTGAATGGGTGGGCGCCATTTTGGCCCCAGATATCCCCACCGCCTTGAAGAGTCTTATCTATTCCATCTTTGGGTGTGTTGTCTATCTGGCAGCTATCTAAACGACGGTCAGCTGGCTGTCCTTCGCCCAACCCTCCCTCTTGTCCGGTCTCACATCCGTAACATGATCTTTTGGCCTTTGGTTGGGATAGATTTGCATAGATTTTTTAGGTGACACTCCTTTTCTTCCGGCTTGACTTTTGTCGCCAACTGCTTACTTGCTTTTACGCCTGATCCGTATTTTGTCCATTGTCCTGCCATGGACGAGAAAACGCCCTTATTGCGACCACTTGTACGGAGAGAGTCTGGGAAGCTCCGCTATGAGCTGCTCCTCGCTCTCCTCGCGATTGCGTGCTTCATCACATTCGGAGTCGTAGTACACAAGTCCCCAAATCCTAGACAGGACGTTTACAGCATCGATATAGACATAAAGACAAAGGACTTCTCATGGGGTAACATAACACCCAGCAAGAAACTGGAGTGGCATAGCTGCTTTGATGGCGAGTATGATTGCGCTCGGCTGAAAGTGCCCATGGACTGGCTCGAGCCTGATAACGGAAGACATGTGGTCCTCGCGGTCGTTCGGCTGCAGGCCACAGAGAAAAACGACTACAAAGGTCCAGTATTCTTCAACCCTGGCGGTCCTGGTGGCTCTGGTATCTGGGCGCTGAAGGACCACGGGGCGCAGCTGCAAGCTGTTGTCGGCCGGAACTTCGACATCGTGACATTTGACCCGCGGGGCGTCGGGGCGTCGGTGCCCAGGATCGAGTGCTGGGACTCGGCCCAGAAGCGCCAGAACTGGGCCATGCAAGAGACGCCGGTCATCGACTCGCATCCGGGAGTCATGTACGATGTGTGGGCGCGCGCGGCGGCCTTCTCGCAGGCGTGCGAGCAGTCGCACAACGCCACGGGCCTCCTGCAGCACGTTGGCACGGCGTCGCATGCGCGCGACATGCTCGAGATCCTCGACCAAATGGGTGAGGACAAGCTTCAGTACTGGGGCTTCAGCTACGGCACCATCCTCGGCGGGACTTTTGCCGCCATGTACCCGGATAGGGTCGGACGGCTGGTCAGTGATGGCAACGTCGACTACGAGGAGTGGTACAATGGCCGGCACATCAACTCTGTCCGTGATGCCGACAGTGTCATGGCGGCTTTCTATAGCTTGTGTCACAAGGCCGGTCCTCTCAACTGCGCTTTCCACGGCAGTTCGCCCTACGATATCGAAGAACGCCACCAGGCCGTTCTCGAACGGCTACGCGTGCAGCCCATCATTTACATGCCGGAAACTGGCTTCGGATCCGAGCTGCCGGAGATAATCACCTTCTCGAAGATTCGCAAGCTGGCAGCAACATCTCTGTACCGGCCGAACTATTATTTCACGCACCTGGCCAAGATCCTCGCCGGACTTGAGAAGGGCGACGGCAGGGCCTACTACGACTTCGTCACCCGATACGGCCTGCCATTCTCCGACGTGTGTTCTGCACTGCACATCCCACCGGAGGAGCCACTGACCAGCGTGGGAGAAGGCAGCGACGACGCCTTCCCCATGATCCTTTGCGCGGACGGAAAGTCTCTGCCCACAAGCCCTGCCGAGTTTGAGGAGCACGTCGAGGAGATGCAGCGCGTGAGCCACAGCAACGGCGCAATCGTCGTGAAGGACCGCATCGCGTGCGCCGGGCGCCAGGTCCGGCCGAAGTGGAGCTTCAAGGGGCCGTTCGAGGCCAAGACCAGCCATCCCATCCTGTACGTCGCGAACATGGCCGACAACATCACGCCGCTGGTCAGCGCGCGGAACAACTCGGCCGGATTCGAGGACTCGGTGGTGCTCGTGCAGAACTCGTACGGTGTAAGTGCTTTCGGCCCTGTCTGGATGTGATGAAATTTTGTGCTGACTTGTTGCATCTGTGTAGCACACCAGCTTAGCTGCGCCTTCAGTGTGTACGGCCAAAGCTATCAGGGAATATTTCCAGTCTGGCACCCTTCCTCGGGATGGAACCACCTGCGAGCCAGAGACTCTGCCATTCGATCTGCCTGGCCACAGTATGGCAAGCGCCGGTTTTGAAGACAAGGAACTCGCTGAAGCATCACTGCTGCTGTCTCTCAAGGCGGACTTCGGCCTTGGCGCAAGCCAGAGAAGGCTTTAGAGCCGATCAAAGATAGGGAGATTGAGGGATTCAAATGCTTTGATTATGTTCGCTTCTCCCATAGCCATCAATCTGAACGCGGGGTAGGATTTCCAAGACGGAGTCACGGTAGAATTTACTGGGCGCTATACGTTCCACCAATGACTGATGAATGGGCATGGGAGGAGTATCTCGGGATTTGGGCGTTGTTTGGTAGGGATGGACGTGGGGGAGGTAGGATGGCAGGCTCATGTGGCTTTGGTGTACAGGTGTTGGACGCTATTGGGTCGGTTTCCATTTTATCGTGCATCGTCGATAAGCTCAGATAGACTGCCATGAATTCGAGCTTCTGCTTAGGTCTTGATAGGTCCGGCAAGGGATGCGATAAGCAGAGCATGTACTGCGGAAAGTCACCCGCATATTGCTGGTTTTGGATGCATATCAGTCTGTCAGATCATAAGCAACGTTGGGATTGTTCATGAGGGGATGAAGGCTTGGAAGGTCAGTTGGTAGAGAGCCGGCTTCCTCAGATTGTGAGATGTCTTGGAGCAAGGGAACAGAAAATGAGCCGAGAAATCAGATAAAGTTCGGGCATCTGGTCGAGCTCCAAAACTTTATCCAGTCTGTTTCTCAGCACCAGAAGCTTATAGCTCACCGTCGATCACGGGTCACCTATATTTGGCACCGACGGGCCGATCCGGGGGAGTTACTTGTGAATTGAACGCCCTCATTATCAGCCTCTGCAACAGTTGCCGGCATAGCAGATTCTCATTGTGATTTGAGAGCAGCCCTCTTGTGACAAAATATCTGTCATCTCTGATTCCTGTAGCTCAGTCTCGTTGTCAACATGGGCGTGCTTGAAAGGATCAAGGTCCAGCTTCAGCCGTCGGCAGAGCAGAGCAGCTCGACTACAGTGGATGATGAAGAGAAGAGCCCTGAGATGATACAAGACGGGGATGAAAAGGAGAAGTCGGCCAACGTATCAGCAACTGACCAGTCGGGAGTTGCGACTATCGAGGCAGCTCAGGCAATATGGGGCAAAAGAGGGCGGTATCTCATCATTGCCGGGTGAGTGAGCCTTTCTAGTTATATTATATTATTAGAAGGGTGATGTTTGAAGAACTGTTTCTGACAAAACTTACAGTCTGGCTCTCATAATGATCATATAGTAAGTCATTCCCTTCCCGCGGCCTCAGCTCCGTGTACTCAACTGCCGATGTTCAGGACTGACAGAATGAATAGTGAAATCGACAACACGACGGTCTACATTTACCTCAACTATGCAACCTCCTCGTTCAACGCTTTGTCCGTCATCGGATCTCTCGGAACAGCTAAAGTTGTGATCTTCGCCGCCGTGAAGCCGCCCTTAGCCAAAATTTCCAATGTCATTGGGCGAGGCCAGACATACCTGATCACCATAACGTTCTACGTCCTTGCATATATCCTCATGGCCTCAGCCTCATCTCTAAGCGTATACGTTGTCGGGTCTGTCTTCTACACAATCGGTCAAAGCGGTACCAACATCCTCAACGACATCATCATCTCGGATATTACCACAGCCCGCTGGCGCGCTTTCGCCATAGCTGTGTCCTTCACCCCCTTTCTCATCACTCCATGGTGCGCGGCCTTCATAGTCGATAGTGTCGTGTCAGATGGCGGTATAGGCTGGCGATGGGGAGTCGGAATGCTGGCTATACTGATGCCATTCTGCGCGAGCTTCATCATCACCACCCTGCTCTACTACCAGGGCCGCTCGAAGAAGATGGGTCTGGCTCCGAAGACAAAGCTGACCGTGTACGACTTCTGCTCCCAGATCGACTTGGGCGGCAATCTGCTCTTCACCGCTGGTCTGGTCCTCCTCCTGCTCCCTATGGCGCTCTCCGGCCTGACTCCCAGCAACTGGAGCACGCCATGGGTGATCGCTCTCATTGTCCTGGGAGGCGTGTTGTTAATAACTCTGCCCTTCTACGAACACTACATGTCCCGGTATCCGATCATGCCACCATCTTATTTCAAGAACATCACGATCGTCTTATGTCTGCTGCTGAACGGATTCGATTCACTGTCCTTCTCCTCTACCCATGCATATCTTTATCCATGGGGACGCGTGGCGCATGGTTTCAATGCGAGAAACAACACATTTTTCACGTACACCAATGGAATCGTCCAGTGTCTTATGGGTATACTTGTCGGTCTTGTCGTGGCTAAGACCAGGCGCTATAAATGGATCGCTGTTGCAGGTGCTTGTATTAGGACCGTCGGGTACGGGGTAATGTTGAGGCTCCGAGGTAGTCACAACTCTACTGGCGAGCTGTTCGCTGTTCAGGTCATCCAGGGGATCGGAAGTGTAGGTTTTCATACATCATTTGCCTCTCTATGCTGTTACACAAAAGTTAACTATGTGACCTAGGGCATGCTTGGAACAACCTTGCTAGTTCCCGCGCAGATATCGGTGCCGCATGCGCAGATGCCACAGATAACAGCCCTAGTTATCAGCGCCTCCTTCGTGGGAAGCAGTGTAGGTAGCTGCATCGCCGGTGGTATCTACACGAACGCCTTCCGGCCTGCGTTGTGGAACCACTTAGGTGATAGCGCCACGCCGGAAATGGTGAACTCGCTGTTCAACTCCATCACTGGAACGCTGCCTGCTTGGGGATCATCCGAAAGAGACGCTATTAACGCGGCGGTGAGTTCCTGTTTTCAAAAGCCATATGTTACCTCAGATCGCCGCAGCAATGTTTTCCACTCCGCATGCGACACTTAATCTTAGCTAACGCGCTTCTTGGTAACGAAGTACTCGGATGTCCTCCGTTATATGACCTATGCTGCTCTTGGAGCCTCTATTCCTGGTCCTATCATGGCGTTTTTCTTGCCAAACTTTCGTCTCCCGTAAGTGCTGTCCCTCCGATTCAGTGTTGTATGCATATTGACACATTTAGTGATCGCAACAACCTTGTGGAGGACTAAAATTGTCAACAACATGGTTGTTCTGTTCCGTACCCCAGGAACCACCGATGCATCTCCAGGTTTCTCCTCCTTGGCAACTCGAACTTGGTGCCAAGCCCGGCCGCCTCGCGTGCAGTGTGATTCGGTTGAATCATGCATATTCATGCAAGATGAGAAGGGACTTCAACTAGATGCGGTTATCAACATGGAATAGAAGCTGTCTTGCCAATAGTCAGAATCAGAAGCGGGCTTTTATGCAACTTGACTGCTCGATGGGGAAGGAAATGTCCTTGTATAGTGGGGCCGCGAATCATACGCACTCCATAGTAATTGCTAAAATGCACCATAAGAACGGACGATTTTGCTAAAATTGAAGGTCATCTGGCAGCTACATGACCACTGTAGCGTTGCATCTCAGGGGGAATCCGTGCACCGCTCAGGTATAACTCAGGTAGGTATAGCGCTCGATGGAACGGATTCCATGCTACCTCAGCTGTACTGGCCCGGTGCAGGCCCGAAGGGAAAACCGGTGCATCGAAGATAGCGGTCAGGGCATAGCTCGTGCATATCTCAGCCGTTGAAGGGTGTGGCTTTCGGACTCGATACTGTAGAATAGCTATGACTATTCGAACACACCATCATCAGGCTAAGACTGTTGGACGTTGGAAGCCGTTTGACTGATCGCATTAATTCCTGGTGTCAAGCCTTGACCCCTGACTAATGAAGTTTCCCAAGACATGTCAAAGTTGTCAGTAATAGCCCGCCCTCGAAGCAGCGATGCAGAAGCCTACTGGGTTGGTGTGAGCTGAGATAAAGGTTACTGATGGACGTCTAAAAGGCAATTCGCTACGTCTGAGCGGCAGGAAAGATCTCGGGCATATTGCTGGATGTGTGTGGTTTGGCGAATGCAGGGGGAAAGGAGTAAGTAATAGTACAGGCGAGCCGCTGGTCATTCCGAGGTGCTGAAATCAACTTTTTGAAATAGATAACAGGTCGTCGCCAAATTCGTGGAGACCCTAACTTCAATATCAAATATTGCCTCTTAATTTCTATAGTCTCTCTTTGCCGACTGGCTTCACATTCGTTTGTTTTCGAACAGCTCCACGACGTTCCTTCTAAGTCACTCTTTTGAAAGCAGACAAAATGAAATCCAGCATCCTTCTCACCTCATGCATCAGCGTAGCCACCCTCGCTTACGCCTACCCCGGCATGCACAATATTCTCTTCGAGATCAAGGTCCGAGAGGACGATGATACTGAATTCGACTCCAAAGAGCTCATCGGGGACCTAGTTAACCTCACCGAGTCGCAGCTTACATCCGTTGGTCGCTCCGTAAAGAAGATTATCACCGATGACGGCGAGGACGGGGAGTCTAACGAGGGATATTCAAACATCCCGGCTCGCGACACACCCCAGTGCGCTGCAGACACATGCTGCATTTGGCATTACATATCAGCCGACATGGCTGCTAAGTTCCGCGGACCATCAGGGAGGTGCACGAACCTTGCGCGACAATCAGTGCGGATCGGTTTCCATGACGCAGCGGGCTGGTCCAAAGGAACTGGCCAGCTTGGCGGGGCTGATGGGAGCATCGTCCTCGCACCAGAGGAGATGGCCCGCCCGGAGAATCGTGGAATGGAAGAGATCGTCGAGCAAATGGGGAAGTGGTTTGATGAGTACAGCAAGTACGGAGCTAGCATGGCCGACCTAATACAGATGGCGAGTACCACCGCTACAGTCGTTTGCCCTCTGGGCCCTCGCGTAAGGTCGTTTGTAGGCAGGAAGGATAACTCGGTCCCAGCTCCGGACGGCTTACTGCCCAGTGCTTTCGCCAGCGCTGATGACCTTATATCGCTCTTCCGGAACAAGACTATTGAACCACATGGTCTCACGGCTCTCTTGGGCGCGCACACGACTTCGCAACAGCGATTTGTGGACACTGAGAGGGCAGGTGATCCTCAAGACAGTACCCCTGGGGTATGGGACGTCTTATTTTACAAGCAAACACTTGACAACCATGCGCCAAAGCGGGTTTTCAAGTTCCAGAGTGATATCAATTTGTCAAAAGACCCGAGGACCGCGTCCGAGTTCAAGGAATTCACAGGCCCCGACGGACAGAAAGATTGGAACGAGGTACTATGATCCACGATACGTATGACGGAATTTTAATAATTCCAAAACTGACCCTTTTCACAGGATTACGCCCGGGAGTACGTGCGGTTGAGCCTTCTGGGGGTTTTCAACATCAACAATTTGACGGAGTGTACGAAAGTCTTGCCGCAACCCAGTGCGCCCTATTTCAATCCGCCTGATCAGCCTGTCTTGAACGTGTGGATGAACATGACCCGACACATCGAGCCATTTGCGAAGGCCGTCATGGACGGAGAGATCCTTTCGGGTCTGGCGGGTATGCTCACTGGCCAGCAGAACAACACACTGGCTGCAGCCGATTGAGGTGACCGAAGAGCGTGTAAAAGGAAGCTTTTGACGCGATCCGGATGGCTGGCTGATCAATCGCAAATTCTGCGTTGACTGGACCACAGAAGTCGAATTCATCGACAATGATTTGAAATTGCTTGCATATTGTTGTGGGCTGTGTAGGTCACGGGATAAATCTTATACCAAAACCAGCGATAATCATACGTCATTACCCGTGATTCCATTCGTTGCATAAAACAATTCTAATCAGGCGTAAAAGATTATTTGTTTGGAATCGGTTTGAACTGCGTGCATGGCTGTATGGCCTTCATGCGTGATAACAGATCCCTTATTTCAACCAGCAAATTGTGACTATCTCAGCAACTTATGGTAGTCGAGGAATGGTAGCTGACTTCTTATGTGCGACTCTTCGACATCGTTTCCAGATTCTCAGGGGTTGTGGTGATCTGATGCAGTTAAATTCATAAAGTCGTTAGCTATAAACTCCGTTTCCTCGGTCGCCGCCGCGGACGCTGCTTTGGGGACGGAATTAGAGCAGCAGAAATAACAAGATTTCCTTCAGCGTGTATTAGGGTTGGGGGAGGAGCAAACGTAGACTTCCGCCTCTTCCGGCTTGATCCCATTTAACTCGCTGTGCGTCCTCGAGAGGTACGAATGACGCATTGTGTTGCGGCCCCCAACAATCTACACAGCATCTCGGCTGGCCTCAGACAGTCGCAGTTGGTGACGAGCGGCTTACACGATTGGTCCCAAAACGTATCTCCTCTTTGGTATTAGGCCTTCCTCTTGGCGAATGAAGAAGTCAATCACCAGCATTGCAACCATTATAAGCGAGAAGCAGTACTACGGCCTGCGCCAGTCGATCCTGCGGTTCCTTCGTCTGTTTTCAAAAGTACGCCAGTGAAAGTGCTCTAGACTAGAGCACTGTCAGTCTAAAAGTCAGCCATGTCAGCATTTGCATGACCTAGACAATAAGCCATCTCTGACTGTCAGAACGCAAATTGCTAGACACCCAAATGTCTTTCGCCATCAACGCATTTAGAAGCCTACTTGGGCTCGTTCATCGCTACCTCACAACAATTCTCGCAGCGATGGGCTACTACACAAGGCGACCAACGAAGCCGGATCTACCATTCGGGAGCCTGTCGTTTGTCATTGTTGGTGCAGGTATTGCTGGACTCACGGCCGCACTGGCAGTGAAGAAACAAGGGCATCATGTTGTCGTAGGTTACCAATACCCATCACCAGTCACTGCATGGGCTTCATCATCGGCTGAAGAAACCCTACAGGTCCTCGAGAAGTCCAAGTTTGCTACGGAGCAAGGTGCAGCTCTCGCCTTGTCACCAAACTGTTCAATCTTGCTGAACTGGCTTGATCTCCGGCCGGAGAGCTTTGGATCAGATCTGATCCACCACGTCAGTACTTTCGTTATGCCCGATCCCGTCGTTATTTTTCTTCCAGCAGAAGCTCATTGTGTATTTATAGATCGTTCGCCATGATCAGGATGGCAATTTGTTGTTTCATTCAGATCTGTCAAACAGACGCAAAAGCTGGATTGCCGTAAGCTTTCGTGGTACCCCTTTCAATCCAGGACATGCCCTCGGCTGATTTGCGCTTTGCACAATAGGAATGGTATAGCGTTCAACGCCATTCTATCCATAATGCATTGAAAGAGAGAGCACTTCTTGAGGAAATAGTTCTACACACTGCGTGCATGGTATCCAAGATTGACGTCCATGAAGGAAGGATCACCTTGGAGGATGGCCGCCGATTTCACGGTGACGTTTTGCTTGGAGCGGATGGGGTTCACGTACGTCCTTTACTACATGTTGCAAACTTTGGCTGACCATGAGCAGTCTATGACCAGGAAACAAGTCTGCCTGGAAGCAAAACCCAAATCATCAGGTTTTAGTGCTTTCCGATGGCTTACACCAATAGAAAAAGTTGCCGCAGCTCTCGGCGACAAAGGACCTGTGGATGTTCTACAGAGCCCTGGTGCGATGTTGCAATGGGACGATACAAGTCGCAGGCTTCTGGCATACCCATGTGCCAACAATACGATCTACAACATGTTGGCTTATGTACCCAGTAGTGCGGTCGGAGTTATTGAGGAGGGCAGTAAGTATTTTCCTCTGCTGAGACTTCACCAAGAGATGCGTACTAACTAGCAATGTCCGTCACCCAGGCTGGAACAGTAACGGCAACAAGGGCAATCTGGTACAAGCTTTCTCAAAGTTCTCGCCCGAAGTGCAGCAGCTTGTGGGCGAGGCAGATGATAGTCTCAGAGTTTTTGCACTCTCTGATATCGACCCACTGCCGACTTGGGTGAACGGAAGAACTGCTCTGCTGGGTGATGCTGCACATATACTGCAACCATGTACGTGAACATAGTTTCGGCAATCATGATGGCTGCAAACTCACAGTGTGCTTACAGACGTTGGTCAAGGAGCATCTATGGCTATCGAAGACGCTCTCTCCATTGCTACGATGTTCCCTCTCGGAACCAGACCTGATGATGTTAATGCTCGCCTCCGACTCTACGAAAATGCAAGAATGAGCCGGACGAATATGGTTCGCGACTGGGCCCTCAAGAATAGTCCCGGATCCGTACCCTTAGCCTCAGAGGGATCGTGGTGGTTTTCATCCGCCGTCACGAAGCTGACCACTTGGAGGGTCTTGGCACAGACCGCGATGTTCATGCAGCAGACATTTGGTCACAACGAGATCGACCACTCCAACAAGATATTGCAGCAGGCTTTAGCTAGGCGACCGAGCTTGGACGTGGATATTGGCAGGAGAAAATCGAGCATCTGGTCTTTTGTACTTGGCGAAGGGCAGACAGTAAAGACTTGACCCATCATGAAGTTCTATTGGGAATGATGTGAGATATGATCAACACATCCATGGAGTTGCACATTTCAATCGAGTCTGTTTAGTCAAACCCACACGTATTCAAACAGTGACTCACGCGTTTTAAGGCGGCAACTCATCTTGAAGGAGTCTTTAGACGCCCGTACACAGTTGTTCTGTCAAATCATGAGACTGAAAAGATCATTCGATTGATATGAAGAATCTCGTCTGTCACTGGCGAAACTGAAATGCCGTGGCCGGCGAAGGGCACAATGATCCGATGCTGCAGAACGGCCCTACAGCCTTTCTTTGCTTACCTTGGGCCAGCAAGACATTCTCATGTTCGTGGCCCACCTTAGTGACAAATAGGGACAAAACAATCACCACAACAACATAATAATAGCCTCCTAGTGGCTGGCAATGAGTAAAGACCACAGATGGAACAATAGCTGCCTATTTAAACCCATATTCCGCCCCATCAAAGGCATTGTTGACGTCCGGCAAGTTCCCTACCGTCTCAAAAAGCCACTCTGCTCCGCAGCCAAACTTGAATTTCCTGTGGGTGGATAATTTCCAAGTAATTGCAAAATGATTGAAAGCGGTGAAAGACACACTGATCCGCATTATTTGTTCTTCACGTCCCAAAACCTGAAGCTCGACGAGGAGACGCGACAATGGGCAGAGGAAGGACTCAGAGAGCTAGCTGGGGGCAACGTACATGTTCCCCCGACCATGTCAGTCATACCGTCAAAGAAGCGAGTTCGAGGCCCTAACACAAGCGAGAATGGATTGGAGAGTCCGCCGAGCAAAAAGTCAACGCCCTCGTCATCGCAGCCCGTAAATAGCATCAAGCAGACCGCGGCATCGACTGCCGCTGAACACTCAACAAAGACACACGTGAAAATACCCGAGAATGCTGAGATTATTGTGATATCAGACAGTACCGATGATGGGAATACACCCGTAAAAGCTACTGCAAGGAAGCAGCACAACCAGCGTAGGCGGCTCTATCATCCGGAGAGCCACACAAGCACGTGTTGGCGCTGCCCTGTTGACACTTGTAGAAGACATGACCCCGATTTCGGTTTTCAGAACGGTACATTAGTCGAGAGACATATTAAGAACAGGCATGGAGATGAGTTCGTGTATCCGTGCATAAGTGGATGCACCATCTCGTTCAAAGATGGACGGACATGGGAAAAACATCATTGGGACTTCCATGGTGATGAATTATTAGCGAGTGTTACTTCGCCGTACGTGCTATTTGAGATTCATAGGGGATAGAACCAAATTTGAATGTAATCAAAATGCTGTCATAATGGCTCAAGCTTGCCTAAATTTCATTTAAAAATGCAGCAAGCGGGACCCCGGGGTATCGACGGTCATTCTTGAGTTCTGTTCGTTTTGAAAGCCAAGTGATAAATTCCATCTACGCACAATTCTATATGTATTCCCATCCTCTTAAAGCAAGTAACCCCAACACCAAGATATCTTCAGGGACATTGTGAAGAGAGCATGATAGAAGCTGTCCAAGTTAGGATTTGCATGGCCAGAACGCTGCCAGGCAACATGTCATGAGACTTTTGCACCCAGAATGTCAGTACTGTAATACTCTGTCATTTGTCTAGCACTTTATGCCCCCTGTCTTTCGCTCTGAATTTTCATCTGTGTCTTTATCCACTCATCAAGGGTTGTCGGCTCCCTTCCCAGGAGCCACCTCAAGACATTAGGGCTGCCCCTCAATCCGCGGCGATTAGAGAACAGTATCAACCTTTCAGCCTCGTCTCGAGTAATATCCGGGCGAGGTTCTCCCTCCGCAGCCGCGCCGCCAAATAAGTATTGCAAGGCACGGCCCACCCCTTCCTCGAATGTCGGAGCCCTGGTTTGAACCTCCTTGCCGAGGTGCTTTCCGACAATCTTAGCCACCTCGGTCTCGGGAATAGGCAAAGTAGACGACAGCTGGTACTGTGCAAAATAGTGCTGCTCGCCCTCGTTCAGCACTTTAGCAGCTGCTTCGGCCAGATCCTGCAGCGCAATCATACTGTTCGCTCCCTCGGGATTCCACAGCTTGTCCAAAACAGGCTGCTCCTGGCTAGCCAATAAAGCTATAGGAAAGAAGTTCATGAAATTCGCCGGCTGCAGAATCGTCCAGTTCAGCTCAATGCTAAGGTACAGCCGTTCCTCGACGTGCGATTTAAGGTCGTGCTGCATCAGGTTTCGGATCTGTGTGCCCATCACGCCAGAGAAGACGAAGTGCTTAAATACGTTGCCGGGCCTTTTCGTCTCGGCTACCGCGGCATCGATCATGTTGAACCCCATTTCACGCTCTCGAGAGTGGAAGGACGGGCCAACATGGTAGACGGTGGTGGCGCCGGTGAGGAGCGTTTGACAGTCGTGCAAGGAGTTCAGGTCGACTTGAATGATCTCGGCATCAGGGTATTGAGAGTGCAGCTTATCCTTCGACACCTGCGAGTGAGCAGCAAGACGGAGCTTCCACTTGCCCTTGTTATAGAGCAAAGGGATGAGGTGGTTGCATTGTTTGCCAGAGGGGCAGGTGACGACGAGTATTTCTGACATTTCTTCCGTTCGGATCCCACGCTGTTTGATATTTGCCGTCTCGATCTTCTGAACAGTAGAAGGCGTAAATCCTTACTACTGTGTATCCTTAGGGCCTCGGGAGATCGTTTGAGGTTTTGGGTGTACAAGCTTCCACCAATGCTGGATGTTGGCTTTGTGGTAGCTGATTTGAGCCTGAAAGTTTGGGATTCAAAGTACTGGTAGTTAGCTGAAGTCGATAAAAGAGAACATTATGCTGTTTAGTGCTGACAGGATCAGCTGACGTTATACTCGATGATGCTGGCCGTTGATACATCATCACACAGACCGTTACCAAATCTGGGGAAGCTCAATCGACTTAGTGAGCGGGGTCTGGCGTACGAGGACTCCGAGTGCCGCATCTCGCGTGTAACCGTCTGCAGCTAATATTTAGGCCAGGCCTTCAGCTTACGGGCAGGAACGGAATGAGAGATAATTCACCATTTTGATAGCGCGGTTTCAGAGGCAAGTATGTTTCCGGAACCTTCGGAAGCACCAATATCTCTTATTTCTTAGTCTTGGGAAAACAACAAACACAGGCCATGTTCCATCATTTGTTTGCTTCAGGATGTATTGACAGCTTCTGGAGAGGGAAGTAAAGGAGAGAAAAAACAATTCAAGATTTCAGGAAAATTAGTCGTGCCAAAGATCCCACTAGACTCGGCGTGGTGAATCTATTCTTGCCTCCGCTATAAGTGGCCAATTATGCTTCACCACTAGTAACCTGACGAGTTGTAGATAAGAAGTAACTACCAACATATGTACTTCTGTGTTGTGTGGACGCAAATGATGAGAGACTGCTTTGTCTCTTCTACCAAGCTACGACAAAACTCAAGATGTAGGGGCTAACCATCAGCTTTCCATTATAATGCCGTTCGAACCATAGCAAGTAACGAACGAATAATGTGAAAAGGATTCCCTTTCAAATAACACCCCAATGAACACGTTTAAGACTCGTCACTTACCAACGCAATCTTTCATTTAGAGCACCAGGAATAATATGCCTAGAAGCTTCCCACGACGCAGAGAAAGATGGAGTTTCTCAGCTGCTGAACACTGGTGTCGCCTTGCCGGTCTTTCGTGGTTCATTCATGGTGGCCAGTCGCATCTTATGCGTATTACTCTGTCGTTGCCTATACATCTTGCTGTTTACCTGTATTCGTTTCGAATGGCCGTGTGTACGCGTCCAGACAGCGTTTAATCCAGACGTAACTGAGTTGCACAGAGCTCGGAAACTGGATGTAAAAATGCAAACAATCAAAATGCATAGTCTCAAAAAGAGTGAAGGAGAGAAAAGGCGCAACAAACGAAGACCATTGACTGCTAGCTATAGGGCTCCTATTCCTATGTACCAGAGTGGTGTCTTCTAGGTGGATCTCTATTCAAGTGGAAGACTACGTTGGGAACATTCACTTGAAGTTTCAGCTCTCACAAACGACTCAATGCTTTCGGGTGTATTTGCGAATCAGCACAAACGCCACATCCGGGGACTCGAGTCACCTAGGAGTGAATTGATCGTGATCATGAGTTGCAAAATATAGGTCACCAGTCGAATACAATAAAACCGTACCAAGCCGTCAACAGCTTTCTTCCTCAATACCAACCCATTGCGACTGATCTCTTCTTCCTCTACAGATCTTGGCCGGCTTTGACAATCTTCATCGGTGCATCCAAACGCCAAAGGATCAATCACTCACTCAAGGCACCTTTGCTAGACCCAAGCTACCTTTCGTCCTAGGAGTCTCCCCAAGCCATACCAAATCAGCCAAAATGCCTGCCTTCTCATCTCATCACTGGTAAGCCTTGGAAGACAACAGCCTCGTCTTTGAAATTCGCCGACCCTGCTAAATCCATATCTAGTCCCAAGTGTGGTCGTGTTGGCAACAAACACTGCGTCGCCGTTGGACACTATCTCGAGTGCGAGATCCACCCTGGAAGCTTCCACTCGGTCCTTGCCCAGTGTGTCAAGTGCCATCAGGCCGAGCAGCGCGAAGAGCAAGATGGACGCCAGGCTTACCAAGCTGAGGAGGTGGCAAACAAGGAGAACGACAACCAGAGCACTAGTCAAAAGAAGAAGAAGGGCAAGACTCCCAAGGCCAAGCCGGACTCTCAGAAAAGCATGAAGCAGTTGCGGAAGGAGAAAAAAGAGAAGAAGAAGTCAGACTCCAGCGACAAGTCCTCTCCCTGGTAAGACGAGATCTGACATCTCATTCTTTCTGAAGCAACACGGTCATGTTACCGGATATAATTGACTGACAATTGTCCTTTGTGGGTTTTCAGAGTGGTAGGGGAGCTTATGTGCAAGACTATGCTTGTGGAAACTTAGGGATATGACACAATACGACGGTGGCAGTCCTCTCTGATGATCCAGACACATGGAAAGAACACGAAAGCAAATGGTACAAGGAGCAGAAATTGAGCCCAAGCAAAGATTATACATAATTAGTGGATTGACTAGAGAGACGCTCGCTTGAGCAGTTAATGGACAGTTTGACAGTACTATTCGAAGGGAACGTCACAAACACGAGTAAATGATCGTGTGAGAAACAGCACTTGTGATTGCGCCGAGGCAAAATGATTACTCATTTACTTACCTAAATATAGCCCAGGACAAAAGAAAAGTAAGACAAAGGAAAAGAGTAGAAGCCGTCTGTGCCTCCAGTAAGGCACAGAACTGTGGTTTAGTATGACGAAAAATTCCGTCACTCTCCATCTCTGCTTACAGAGTCTCTCCGTCATCTTCAATGAACAAATCTGCAAAGTGTCCTCGGCGAGGGATCCGCCCCTTGCCCGAATCAACAGCAGATGGATCGAAATTACTCACCTTCGTCCCATCGGGGACACCAGCGGTCGGGGTAGAATGATGCCGCCGTGATGAAGAAGATCTCGAAGACCCCGCCTTGCTGTTTCGGTGGTGATGGTGGTGGTGGCGAGTTGATGGCGCCTCCTTGCTGGAGCCGCGCTCCTTGCGCTGTCGTCTGCGCTCGCTCTCCCGCTCGTCCATCTTGCTTGCACCGCGGCGGACCTCCTCCCCAAGCTTCCTCGCATCCTCGCTTTGTCGCCGCTCACGCTCCGCCTGCGCCGCCTTCGCCTCCTGACGAACAGTCGGGCTGAACAGGTCCATGAAGGAAATGCCGCGGACCGGCTTCTGCGGCTGCGGCTGCGGCTCAGGCCGGCGCTTGACGTTTGAAGTGAGGTCGCGGCCATTGTCCTTGGGCGGGACCCGGGGTGCGGGGCGAGGGTTAGAGAAACGGCCTGGGAATGAATAGTCCATGGTGGCATTGGGAGCGGGCTGGGCCGTCGTGGGCGGCTGGGGCATGGGCAGTCCGCACAGGGCGAACATGGCGGGCGAGTCTGGGTGCTTCTGCGTGAAGGGCAGCCAGAAGGCGTTTCCGGTGATGATCCGGCACTCCGCCTCAGTCAGAGGCCCCGCGCCTTCCTCCGCGAAGCTGAGGTCCACGATGCGCTCCAGGATGGAGAAGATGTCCTCCTCGATGCCCTTCAGACGGCTTCCTGATGTTTCTTGCTTACGGGAGTGGTCGACCCACGCGCTCGCGCAGTTGTTGAGGAGGGCGGGCAGCGTCAGCACGTTAACCTCGGCGACCTGCTCACCGGCGTATGGGTTCCCGTCGTCGTAACGCAGCGCCATCTCAACTTTGGGCATGGCCTCGAACATGTACTCGGGCATCCAGCGGATTCGGATGCGCCAGGTGCGTGATGGGCTGTGGTTGCTGCCCGGAGACTGGAAGTTGAGGATGTCGGGCTCCGCCTGGGTGATGCTGAAGCGGCCGCTTGTGCTGATGCACCAGATCTTGACTGCTTCGCGGGACTCGATAGGGCACACGATTGATAGTCCGGTTTTGGCGCCGTTGGCACAGCCCCAGACCGCCATACCCATTCTCCCACTGATCGAGTAACGTGTGTGCTTGAGGGCATTATGGACGCTGCTGAGCATCTCGTACCAGGCGCGGTCGTATTCGTGGGCCATCGATCCGTCTTCGCTGTCGCCGCTCACCATATCATTGAGGTCTGCAGATGGGCGACGAGCTTTCCCCAGGTCGAGAGAGGCCCTTCCAGGAGGGTTATTGGGTAGAGGCTTGGAGATATCGGGTCGCGATCCCCTGGGCGCCTTCCGCCCACCTTTGTTCTCCAAAGCTTCTGCAAGTTTTTGTCCGTATGTGTTCCTCCGCGATGTTAGTTCGATGGGCTCTTGTGTCTTTCGACGACCGAGGCAGCCACAGCCGTTGACAAGATCCACGAACTTATTATTGCACTCCTCCATCTCTTCCTTTCGTTTTTTCTTAGAAATCTTTCGGGTAAGCTCTCGAGATTCGCCAGATAGCAACGCGCTTCTTGGTCCCAGACCTTGTTGGCTTGCTATGGCTGTATTGATTGGAAGTGTGGAGGGACGTCTGTCTTGATGATTATGGAGGACTCCATTTGAGACATGCAGGCAGCTCAGCCTGTTTAAAAAGTACGAGAAATGCTCCTGTCAATGATACCTCCAGCAAAGAGAAAAGCGGCTGAGGACTATAAGAGCCGGGTCCTGAACAATGATGTTGTTTCGAAGCTCGACAATGTCTCGCTATGAAGATGCCTGGGAAACAAAGCCAAAAGGGCCCGATGGAGGAAGAAGGCAATTGTCCGTGGTTTAGATAACTAGGCCATCTACATCTAAACCTTCGGCAGCTACGGCAAATCTGCCTTTGTGACTGACAAAGACCGACCGGGAAAACATTGATGTTCCGTGGACTTGAACTGGAGGCAGCAACGCTGGAAAGGGAGAACCAACACACGAGAACTGTGAGAGGATGGGCAGCCAACGACGTTTCTGTGCCACTCGTTGAGCAGTCGATGAAGTCTCTTTTCCAGGAAGAAGAACAAGGTGGGACCAACACCAAGTAAACCGTTTCGAGCTTGTGGAACGCAAGCTAGGCCAGACGACTTTGAAATATACGTCTACCTATCTACCTGTGCCCTTCCAAGCCTGATGCCGAGTCTAACGCCCTAGATAGTCGTACAATGCCATTATGGTATACCATGAATCGTGTCATTTCCTGCGCACTAGAGCTTGATCAGCTGTCGATATCCATGTCTCCACCGTTCGCGTTGTCTTTTGTGCCGCTTGCGTTCTCTTTCTTGGGCATGGTTGCCTCCTTGTCGATCATCTGCTTGGAAACAGCAACAATGTTGTCCTCGATGAGCTGCTGACCAACATCCTCCAAATGCTTCTTGGGGTCCAGCTTGCCGACATAACGCGTCTTGAGTTGGTCTTTTGTGAGCTCCGTCTCCTCCTTTACACGCTTCTCGTAGCCGTCGGCCAGGCTGACCAGCCTCTCCAATCTCTCCTTGTTGTGATCCGCCTCTATCCGGAAGTCGTCCATCTGCAGCGCCTCGGTCCAAGGGTGCTTGTGTAGGTTCATCAGCATGTTCTCCTCGAGCGCGGTCTTGCGGTAGTTGATGCCGATAGAGTAGTAGTGTCGGTTCAGGCCGTGAATCAGCGCTTGGATAGAGGGCTTGTTCAGATGACCCAAGTTCGATGTGCTCTGCCGAGGCTCCTGTCCGAGCATAAGAGACTGAGGGTTAATCAGTCGGAATGCATCGATGACGACCTTGCCCTTGACGGATTGGATAGGATCGACGACGACGGCGACGGCTCGCGGGGTGAGCTGCTCGAAGCTCTGTTGGGTGTTGATGTCGACGCTGGAAAGCCAGCAGCCAAAACCAGGGTGAGAGTGGTACCATCCGACGACGGACTCGGGCCTATCATAAAACATAGTCATCAGCATTCCAACATCCAGACATGGACCCAGCATAACCAAGCTTTGAAGCGTACCTTCCTGTTTGTCGCAGCATCTCCATCATCTTCATCTGGAACACCGGATCGACGGCCTCGACACTGACGCCGGTACCGCTTTGTGGCATGGCAAACACATCCACGACGCGGACAGTGAAGTCATCGACAAACTCGCCCAGCATCAGACCCATGACCTCCATCGGTACACCTGCCCGGCCATGACGCAGCATCTTGAGGAGGGCGAGGGAGGAAATGTAGACGGTCTCGGAGTTGTCGATCAGGGTGGAGTTATCCTGAAGAGGAGATAGTCAGTCAGCAGCCTGATCGCAAACGATGGAAGGCAGGAGTAGACACGAAGATGCACAGCTATCTAGGCTGCGTGGAGAGAAGTCGTGGGCGACATACCGATCCGGGCTGAGCGCCGCCCAGCTGGCCACGGGCGCCACTCAACAGTCCTCTAAACTGGTCCATGCTGCTCGAGACGTCGAGATGTGAAGGGTGAAAGTCGGGGATTGGAGGGCACGAGAAGATGCTAGAGAAGGAAGGATTGGTTGGGGTAAAAGATATGACGTGGTGTTGTGTTGAAAGGAGAGTCAACACGCGGGATGGCGATATGAAGGTGGGAGGTGGTTTGCGATGGATGGGTCCAACTCAAGTTGACGACAGCTCGAGCAGCCTGGAGCAGTCCGAGCAGTAAGACTAGCTCCTCTATCCACCCCCGTCTTGTACTTAGGTACCTCCCAAGGTACCCAAGTATCTTGGCCTCTTACCTCATCACATCTGCCAGCCGCTACCAGCTGGTCAACACATATCGCACTCGGCAGCAGGACCTGTCTTCTCCGACCTACCAATCAGATGGCGATCGCGAGAGCTAGTGCATCATCATCGACAGGGGTCCCAGCTCCCTACCCACCTTCCCTGCTGGATTGCCAGTCCATGGTCCCTCCCCAAATTGTACGGCAGGCAAGAAGGGAAGGAAGCTCTCTCAGCTTCGTCACCTTACAGTCGCTGTCGCCTTTTCTCGACCTCGGTCCCAACCTGTCCTTGCTTGCAACACCCATCGACTTGCTCCGAGCTTCTTAGTGAGCTTCTTTCAATCTGCCCCACGAGCAATTGTACTTCAACCCAAATCAACTAGTCCGAGAAGCTATACCAAATATTCCAAAACACCCAAAACACCCACAATTCCCGGATCGTGCTCAGTGGTCCCTGCTGCTGTTCAACTATGGCGACCGACCCAGCTGGAGTCGACCGGTCGCGGCCCCTCTTCTCCAAGCTTAACACCAGCAAGAAGAAGGTCGCCTACTTCTACGACTCAGATATTGGTAACTATGCCTATGTTACCGGTCATCCTATGAAGCCACACCGAATCAGGCTGGCACACAGCCTGGTCATGAATTACAATGTCTACAAGTATCTCGAAGTCTATGTCAGTCACCCGCCCCTCTACATCCCATACCCTCGCGCAGGCAAGATACTGGGTAGCGTCATTGTCCAGACCAAAGTACTAACGCGATTTATGAGCAGCGTGCGAAACCAGCGGTCGTTAATGAAATGACCCAGTTCCACACCGACGAGTACATCGAGTTCCTCCGGCGAGTCACTCCAGACAACATGGACAGCTACATGCGTGAGCAGACCAAGTACAATGTCGGAGATGATTGTCCTGTATTTGACGGCCTGTTCGAGTTCTGTGGCATCAGCGCTGGTGGTTCAATGGAGGGCGCCGCTCGTCTCAACCGGCAAAAGTGCGATATTGCCATCAATTGGGCTGGTGGACTACACCACGCCAAGAAGAGCGAAGCCAGTGGGTTTTGCTACGTCAACGGTATGCCTCCCTCCCTTGATCGGCTCCACGCTTCCTTGACTAATTAAGCTTATCACAGATATTGTTCTTGCAATTCTCGAGCTACTTCGATACAAGAAGCGTGTTCTGTACATCGACATCGACGTCCACCATGGTGATGGTGTTGAGGAGGCTTTCTACACTACTGACCGCGTCATGACATGTTCTTTCCACAAGTACGGAGAGTATTTCCCCGGTACTGGCGAGCTGCGTGATGTCGGCATTGGTGTTGGCAAGAACTACGCTGTCAACTTTCCCCTGCGCGATGGAATTACCGACGACACCTACAAGACTATCTTCCAACCCGTGATCCAGGCGGTGATGGACTATTACCAGCCAGAGGCCGTGGTTCTGCAATGTGGTGGAGACAGTCTTTCTGGTGATCGTCTGGGCTGCTTCAACCTGAGCATGCGTGGCCACGCTAACTGCGTGAACTTTGTCCGCAGCTTCAACCTGCCCACACTCGTTCTTGGCGGTGGTGGCTACACCATGCGCAACGTGGCCAGGACCTGGGCGTACGAAACTGGTCGGTTGGTCGGGGTGGAGATGGACCCTGTCCTGCCCTACAATGAATACTACGAAGTGAGACCGCCTGTCATATAAGGCCTGCTAGACTTCCGTTGCTAACAGATACTTTAGTACTACGGTCCTGATTACGAGCTCGACGTGCGCCCGTCGAACATGGAGAACGCCAATAGCAACGAATATCTTGAGAAGATCAAGAACGCCGTCATTGAGAACCTCAAGAAGACCGCTGCACCGTCTGTCCAAATGCAAGATGTCCCCCGCCAGAGCCTCGGTGGCATGACGGACGAGGATGACGCCGAGCTCGACGACTTAGACGAGGACCGCAACAAGGATGTGCGCATGACGCAGCGACGGTGGGAGCAGAAGGTCACCCGCGACGACGAATTCGAGGAGAGTGATGACGAGGAGATGGCCGAAGCCAACGGCGTGTACCAGACAAACGGCAAGCATAAGAGCATTATGGATTACAAAAATCCCCACGCCCCCGAAGATGACAGTCGCCAGCCTTCTCCCGAAGTCTCTAGGGCGGCAACGCCTGTTCCCCAAGCAGCGGACGAGGCCGATAATGTTGAGGGCGACGACACCATGGAAGACGTCGAGGCCGAGGCCCCAGCACCGGAGGAGGAGCCGGTTGCGGTCAAGGAGGCCGAGCCGGAGCCGGCGGCACCAGCTGCAGAGGCGACAATGCAAGTGGATGAAGATGGCGACGTCGACATGGCGGAGGCTGAAACTGCGCCTGTTTCTGCCGCCGAGGCTGTTGAGCCGACCGAGACACCGACGATTAAGCAAGAAGAGGCGGAGGCCCAGCCACCGACGGCTGCTGCAGACCCGGTCGCCACTAACGCTGAGCCAAGTGAAAAGGCTACGGAGGAGCCTACCAAGCCTGACGAGCCTGTAGAAAGTGGCCCAGAGGTACAAGACGCTCCGAAATCGCCAGCCGCCGCTGCTGAGCCGCAGGACCCTGCTGAGAAGCCGGCATCTCCAGCCAAACCAGCGGAGAAAGCCGACGACGCTGCGACGGAGGCGAAGGAGGCGTCCCCAAAGGGCGAGAATGCAGAGAAGCCAGCTGATGCAGCAGAGAAGAAGACGGAGGACTAGGGTTTCTCCGGCAGCGTGCGTGATTTAACACGGGATCGACTCGACAAATATCGGCGAGAGGGAAGGCCTCGAGACTCGTTCCAAGCCCTCAGTTTGCCATTGCAAATGACTTTGTGTCTCTATTGCAGACATACCAGGGTGAAAGGACGGCTTAATGTCAGCAGGGAGTTGTTTTGTTTACGTTTATGACGGTGCCCAGCGCAGCAGGGGAGAAGGCTTATCTATTGTCTACTGAACTGGCACCGAACAGCACTGAAAAGGGCGTCTGTGGCGTTGGATGGCTGGTCTCTCAAGAAAAGGGACGTTGAGGTAGCGTTTGTGCAGTTTTTGTTGATTCAAGCTAGGGGTTTTCTCCTAGAAATGAAAGATCATGCATCAAAAAAAAAAGATCGACACATGTGAATTGGTCGGTCCTAAGCCATACGAAGTATCACGACACGGGCAAAGGGTGCGACTGAAGAAGAGGTGGTCCGGACCCAACGCGCCGTCAGCTGATACCGCGTCTTCAGCTGTTGGTAATTCACCGACTCGTACAAGCCTGTTGGTGTTGGTGCGTACGCGACTTTTTGGCTTTCCTGGCAATGACACATCCCTTTACGACAACGCATCTCTCGTTTCCTCCACGCTCTGGGAACATATGCGCATCAATTGACGGCTTGACTGATGCACCGCACCGATCGGCGACATTTGATCCTGGCAGAAGAGCCCCGCTGGTAGGAGGGGCTTAGTTCAGCCAGCCGGATTCCTGTCGCCTCCGTCAATGGGTCACTGCCTGATGCTTATGGGCGGAGGCGGCATCGGTACCGAAGGTGAATTTGTAAGCTTTCCCCGGAATGTGCACTAAGCTGCAGCTTCTATAGTCTGCACTGGTAGAGTAAGCTCTGCTGCGTCAAGGGTTCTCTTAACAGTCGAAACATCCGCGGGAAGCGTGGACAAACTGCCGTGCACGCTGGCGTGCGCGGATGCATGGATGCATATGGTCTCAAACACAGGGCGCTGACGTGCTGCCCTTGGTCGTCGTCCAAGGTTCCTTCATCTGGACCAAACAAATCATGTCGCTGATGTGATCGACCCCGGATCTACACTAAGGGTATTGTCTGCATGGCTTACAAACAGGGTGTCGAATCCGGTGGGAACCCATGCTCACCAGCCAGCGGCAGGAACAATCGCTGCTGATGATGGATGGGACGGGCTATAAAGGAGCATTGTCCTTGCCCTCGATCCTCGATCTCTAAGCAGACATTCTTCCCAAACTCCAAACCCCAAACCCCAAATACACCACAGTAGCTCACGTTGCATCCCTCTCCAACCACATCATCACCCCATCAGCCACCATGTCCAGCCCGGAACTCAGACTCGCCATTGGTACGGCCGGCTTCCCCGGCCCCGAGAAGCTGCAGCCCGCCCTCGACGCCATCAAGGCAGCCGGCATCAAGGAGATCGACACAGCCGAAATGTACGGCACCAATGAGACCGATCTAGGGGCTGTGGGAGCTGCAGAGAACTTCATCATCTCCACAAAGAACCCAGGCGGCTGGGTCCCAGGCAGCCTGGTAGAGATCACCAAGCGGTTCAACGAGTCCCTGGACAAGCTCAAGACGAAGCAGGTCGACATCCTGTACATCCACGGGCCAGACCGCGACGTGAGCCTGGACGACTGGGTGCCGCAGGTCAACGCGCTGCACGGCGAGGGCAAGTTCCGGCGCTTTGGCGTCAGCAACTTCTCGCCCGAGGAGACGCGGGCGCTGCACACGTACGCCAAGGAGAAAGGGTTCGTGCTGCCGACCGTGTACCAGGGCAACTACAACCCCGTGTCGCGGCACATCGACGACACGCTGTTCCCCGTGCTGCGCGAGCTGGGCATCGCCTTCTACGCATACTCGCCCGTGGCGGGCGGGTTCCTGACCAAGACGAAGAAGGCGCTGCTGGAGGGCACCGCCGACGGGCGGTTCAAGGCTGATCACGAGAACCCCGTCGCCCAGTTCTACAACAAGCTCTACAACAAGCCCAGCCTGCTCGAGGGCCTCGGCCGCTGGGAGGGGCTCGCTGAGCAGGAGGGCGTGCCGCGCGCCGAGCTCGCGTACCGCTGGGTCTACTACCACTCTGCGCTGAAGCCGGACCTGGGCGATGCTATCATCGTGGGTGCCAGCAAGCCGGAGCAGATAGTGCAGACGGTCGAGGGCATTAAGAGGGGTCCGCTTAAGCCCGAGGTTGTCAAGGGTATTGAGGACGTCTGGCAGATTGTCAAGGACGATGCCATCGTTGATAATTTTGTTGCTGCGGGTGGTAAAGCGCCTGGCGTCCCCACGAAGTAATATGATAGCAGGTGGGTTATGGAAGGACTTGGTTGGCCGCACCGCGTTGGCATGGTCGATGTGGCGATGATGAATTGTTCACAAAGCAAACGTTATTCATTTCAATAGGCGAATCATCAGTGTTTACCCGCCTGAGTACACGTTCCACCAGTCCCACCATCTCATTGCAGATGCGTGTTCCCGGACTTTGTCCTACCTTAAATCCGGCCCATCATTTTTCATTCCCTATGCAAGTAGTCGTATGATCCCTCGACACAATCTCTGAACAGCGATGTGATTTATCTACAATCATGTCTAAACTCCGGCGGCGTCGGGTCAACTACATAAAATCCGTCAGCAATCTGCATGTGTTGGGCCTGTTTCCGGCAAGGTCTCAGTGCGGAGGAATCGGATGGGCCGTTTCCCGCAGCAAGGCGAGCAAGGGTCCTGATGTGATGTGTGGCACGTAACAGTGACACTGCTCGCTGTACTTCAGCACGGACATTGCTCACCACAGCTCCTCATCGGCATATGTTTTAAGGCGTTCCTCTCATCAGCCTAGCTTAATCGCTTCCATTGAGTTTATTTGCGCCAAGACCCGTAGCCTTCTCACCGAAAGTATTATCAGCCCCAGATATTTAGCTGGAATGGCCTCATTCTTGGGCGCGCTGCGCCGTAACTGGCTCATCTTCCGCCCTCCCGTGGCGACCAAGCAAGATGATGCCCTCAAGTTCGGCATCCTTGGGGCCGCCAACATCGCAGAGATGGGCTTCATCGTCCCGGCCAAGAGTCACCCGGAGGTGATCGTCTACGCGGTTGCGGCCCGGGACAAGAAAAGAGCCGTCGCCTACGCCAAGAAACACGGAATCCCCGAGGTCAGGGACAGTTATCAAGGTAAACAACACCTGCGTCTGCCCTGTCTACCTGCTATCACGGTGATGCTGACATTCCCTTCCCAGCAATCCTGGACGACCCGGCCATCGATGCAGTCTACATCCCCACACCCAACGGGCTGCACTTCGAGTGGGCGCTCAAGGCCCTGGCCGCAGGCAAGCACGTCCTGCTGGAGAAGCCGAGCACCTCCAACGCCGAGGAGGCGCAGCTGCTCTTCCGGTCGCCGCTGATCCTCACGCCGCAGAGGCAGCCCGGCCCCGTGCTGATGGAGGCGTTCCACACCTTCTTCACGCCGGCCTGGCGGCTCTTCATGACCACGGTCGACCGGCCGAGCATCGCGCACGTGCAGGCGCGCGCCGTGATCCCCTCCTTCATCGCAGCGGACGACGACATCCGCTTCAACTACGACCTCGCCGGCGGTTCTGCCATGGACGTCGGCACGTACACCGTCCGGGCGGTGCGCGGGGTCATGGGCGTCGAGCCCGAGGCGTGCGTCGGCGCCGACCTGCAGCGGATGCCGCCGCCGTACGAGCGGTGCGACTGCATGTTCCGCGCGCAACTCCAGTTCCCGGGCGACGCCGTCGGCGAGATCGAGGGCGGGCTGCGCGGGTCCAACTTTGGCCTGGCGTGGCCGACGCTTACCGTCCGGCATCGCGCGGTGGCCGTCACGGGCGCGGAGGTGGAGGACGGGACGGATGTGAAGCGGACGCGCAAGGTTGTGTTTGTGAATTTCATGTTCGGCCCAATCTACCACCGCATAGACATCGAGGATGAGTTTGTCGTCACGAAGGAGGGCACCGAGGAGGTGGTGCGCAAGTATGTCAAGAAGGAGACTAAGAAGGCGTATACCTTCAAGGAGATGGGCGTTGACCAGCCTGGTGAGATATACTGGCTGACGTACCGTCACATGCTGGAGCAGTTTGTGAACCGCATCCGTGGTCGTGAGGGCTCTGGTATGTTTATAACGCACGAGGACAGCATGGCGCAGATGCGGGCGCTGGACATGATTTATGAGAAGTCTGGCTTGGGTTTGAGGCCGACGAGTGAGTACAGGCCGTAAGCGGCTTGTAAAAAGGGGCTTCTTACAGTAGGAAAGGCGTTACGCATACAACAATGAATGGATCATGAATTGACGTTCAATCATCTGGGGTTGACTTTTTGGGCATCGCTTCTCCCCGGATGAGGTTGCAAGGCCATTAAATAAGGGCTCTATCCATCAAGACTCAGCGTCTCTCCTTTCCACGAACTCGGTGATCGCCTTCAAGCCCTCTTCTTTCTGCCAATCAGCCCCAGGCCAGCCAAACTTTTTATAAAGATGACGAACCCACTCAAGCTCCTTGAGATTATAGCCAAATAGCTCGCCAGGAATGCTCGGCTCGCCTTTCGCCTCGACTGCCTCAGCATCATATGGTTCCACATCAACGCTGGAACTTCCCCCGAGAGGGTCTTTCCCGGGAACAAAGACATGCACGAGACCACGGGAATCCCTTACCCTGTTCTCGAAGAACTCTTCAACCGGTAGTACATCCCCTGAGCAACACCTGATGATCTCCTCGAAGATATCCCCCGTCATCGTGTCAAGCAGCAGGTCGATGCCGCCACTCTCGTAGCCCTCGGCGATGACCACCTTGTGCTTGCTGACCGGTTCATCGAACCCATGGGTGATCTCGCCCATCTTCAGGTTGTCGCCCGTGAAATCCTCGGCCGTGGCTGTTGAGTAGTCGAGCACATTGCACTTGTAGTCGATGTTGTGCAGGTTGCTGCGGGAGTCGTCCTCGATGTAGGGTAGGTGGCGCAAGACATCGACAGCGAAGTCGGTCTTGCCGAATTCCGCGCAGGCGTCGGGAGTGATGTTTGGCCAGCCTCCCGCGGGTGGGCGCTTTATGGCTGACGCGGGGATGTGCAAGCTGGCGAGGAAGTCGTAGTACTCATAGAATGGGGCGACAAGGGTGTCTCTGAGCGACGCCTCTATTGGTGTTCGATAGGCGATGAAGAGGGCGTTCAGGTCCCGGCACGTCAGTCGAAGGGCCACGACTGTCCAGAGGTCAGGGAGCGCCTCGAATATCTTGACCTGAAGCTCGGGAGCGAGTCTCATGAGCTCGAAGTCTCGAGTTCGTGACTGCCCCTTGCGTCGTCCCATTTCTTGTGATCTGATGAACAACTGACAATTGAAACCTATGCGATTTTCCGGGGCGTTAATGGAAAGGGGTGAGGAGTGCTTATGAAGTCCAGTGCAAGCAGGTGGATGGTTTGCCTTCGGCCTAACAAGGATCACTGAAGCCTAGTGGATGGGACGACGCCAAGCCGTCATCGAGGGATCGTAGGACCAGGACTATGCTCACACGCAAAATGCTCTTCCGCGGATTAGGCTTTACATTTCTTTGTAATATAGAACTCGACTATTTGGGAGGAGATAGATACAAGGCCTCAAAGCACCAATTTGATTCATAAAGTGCGCGTAGCGATGGCGATTCTGGGAACCGGAAGGCCATGATATTTCCATGAAAGACACTAAATACATTGAAGCACGCGCTCTAGCCGTTGACACTTGCTCTCATGTGTCCCACAGCACTTTCAGCTGCCTCCTTGATAGCCTGGTCCTGTTCTTCTTTGCTCAAGGCGAGTAATTTCTTTTCCCAGAACTTCCAATGTCCGTATGAATCATCAAACGTCATAGGTGAGCCCGGGATGCTCCGCAGATCCCACCAAGCGATCTCGTTTTCACGCAGGATGTCGTGCAATCTCTGCCCACAATGCTGCATCCAGCGAGCAGTGGCCGGGACCCGGAAGTCCAGTCTTAACTGTCCGTCAGCCGAGGCATCGTCTGGGGCGTCTTCACTGTCATCGGGCCCAGCTGTCCGCTCGAGCGTTCGCGCCACATATTGCAACGCTCGCGGGAACGTCAGCGGTCCTTCTGCGAAAAGCTGTGCGGCAACTAGCCGTGCCTCTACGTCTTGCTGCTTGACGTACTGTTCACGCGCATGGTGCCGGGCCGCATCCTTGGGGCAACGCCGCGCGATCTGCCCCGGCGACATCCAGTGGTTGTCGGACCAGACCCGGGTGAAGTAGGGCAGGTTGCCCCATGACAAGGGCTTCTCCTCGTCATCTGTCGCCTCTCCCCGGTGGATGTTGCCCGGGCTCTTTTTGATCGCCTTCAGCAACGCGACGAGGGAGGGTGTTTGGCTGGATGGCCATTCTATCAGCGCCTCTATAAGCAAGGCCCAGAGATGGCCAAGCGCTCTCGACTCATCCGAATAGGTGCCTAATTGTGGTACCGGAGAGTCTGTGATTGGTCGCGTGATGGACTTGGCTGCGTCGTCTGTCGAGAGGGAGCAATTATGGAATGACTTCAGGGCTTCAACTTCGGAGGCCAGGAGGCTTTGGAGCGCTGGGTCTTCGCTGGAGACGCGGTCAAGACGTGCTTGAAACCAGCTGTCTGGGACAGCCGTGATATTTTCCTCAATTAAATTGTACTGTGCCATTTTGATTGTGGTTGGGTATGAGATGGATGAGAATCACAGTCGACTTCAGGATGGTTTTTTCTGTCGACTTTAAGGACGGGGCCCACAAGCTATGACGTCCGAGCAAGATTTGGCCTCAAGACTCAGCCTTACAGTCATGAGGCCGCCGTCCAGTGGCACTGTGGCACGGGGGTTCAGGTAACAGGCAGCAACGACCGATAAAGAGCCTGACCGGCATCTGAACCAGATTTCGTGCTACACAACGCCCCGCGCCCTTTGAATAGGGCCAATCGTCCAGCATCCTCGAAGCGCTTGGCAGTCCCACAATCAGCTTACATAGGAGCATCTCCTCCACTGCTTCCGTTGGAAGCTCAGCTATATTCATGATACCACCAGTGGAGAAGCACTTGAGAATTTTAAGCAGACTGGAGATGGTTTATTCTTTGAGAATCACCCAATACATTACTACTACCGCGAGTGGCCAATGAAAGATATTCCCTGCCAGATGCGGACCCTGATCACCCTGGGTCGTAGAAGTATGGCAGCAACATCCTAAAGTCTAATTGTGCTATCAGAGTTCGCATTGAAGAACAAGAACGCCCCGAGCCTCAGACTATTAAATTGATGTCCTTTCCAGGCTGCGATTGAACTCAGCATGGTAGAGAATGATACTACGTGATACTGTGGCGCTTGATTACTGTCTCAATTCACCGGTATCACCATCTATAATTAGTGAAATGGATACTTATGACCAACTGATTACGATCCTTGATTCTCAGCTTGGGCGTAATTCTCCTTGACGATCTCGATGAGCAGTAGGACACTATTATTTGCATTCTATCACTTCTGGTAATTCATACAGCTGTCGTGATCGACAATAAGCAGCAGTGAAGGAATCAGTTGGCCAAGGCTGTTCATGGCTCTCAGCTGATTACACTGCCTTGTCTCCGCAATGGGGTCTGAAAATCAAAGTTCTGTCTTCGATATGACGCATAGCAGACTGGAAAGATGATGGATCCATCTCTCGTGTCTTGTGAATATAAAATGCTCCTTTTCACTACTCTAAAGTCTGGTGAATATCAAGCTCATCAGTCTTCCCAAGAATTACAATCCGATATCACGATACTGAGCACCATTCACCACATCACTTGTATTCAACTCCCAGACACAATGCAGAACATTCTACTCCTTTGCCTTCTCCCTCTGGCCGCCTTCGCCGCTCCTGGGAGGGTTGAGCAACGTGACCTTCCCTCCCATACCCCCGTCAACGTCAAAGATCTCGACAGCGACTTTGATGTCAAGTGCGGTAAGGATGGACCTCTACCAATGCGATGATAGATCCATCAATTTCCTAAGTATTATTCGATAGGAAAAACGACAGTCACGGGCTCCTCCATCTTGAAGGCCGTATCTTGGGGAGTGAACCTTCAGCGAGCAGATCAACAAGTCGGGAGGGACGGTACGTGTCACAATATCGCGGTCTTCAGCATAATGCTAACAGTGTGTCATCCAGGTGGCTCCCAGTACCCGCACTACTACGGCAATGACCAGAGCCAGGCCAACCCACAGCCTGGCCGGTTCAAGTTCCCCAACGCCGACTGCAACAAGTACCCCCAGAACTTGCGCAACGAGTTCCCCATCACGAAGGATGGCACGTACGAGGGCGGTGACGAGGGCCTTTATAGGGCCATCTATTTGCACGACAAGAACTCGGACACGGACATCGAGGGAAATCCCACTGCGTACTACTGCGGGACAATCTACCATTCCGGTGACAACTTTGAGGGCTGTGATGTCACGAAGAACTAGAGAGGCCAGTATAGGTGCTGGAAAGTATATATGGGGGTTTTCCCAATAGGTTTTCGAATTCAATTCTTGGTGAAAGTGGGATGACTTTTAGTTTTGCAGGAATTTTTGCATGTCAGAAATAGATGTTATAGACATGACTGTTCAAGGCGATATAATGGAGACATGCTATGGAGAATGCTTCACAGCTAAACTAGCATCTCGAACACTCTTTTTAAAAATAAATTTGTTACATTATATACTGTTTTATGGGTTCAACATTTCTGTCTGTTGCTTGACAAGTCTAACTCACCAAAAGGGAGGTACAGTGAAATTCATATCGAGGTTGTGGTTGTTGAAATGGCAATCCGATACGTAGGAAAAGCCACAAGAGCCCCACGACCGCATGGTAACTCGTTTATCAAAACTTGGGAACGCCATCATATATGCCTATTGGTTGTGCTTTTATATCTGGCTGATCATGTGAGATAATTTCGTTTGGCTTATCTATCTTGCTACCTAGGCCTCTTCATGAACATCTGAATGGGGAACTTCATGATACAGCATAAGCACCCTTTCAGACACTAAGTGATTTCTTGAGCTGTACCCTTTTTTGGACTCCACTCTCCCTGGGACCATAAGTCCCAGCGTTTCTGATGAAATGAGAGCTCATAACTGCACATGTCATTCAAATTGGGATCTTTGAGCTTCCTGTGACTTACGATATGACGGGGTTTAGTGGCAGTGACTCACATATGTCCTTACGAAGAGGCATGTCAAATCGTTTGTCACAAATTCATTTTGCAGCAGACAGAGGTATTTCGGATACTTCGGCTTGACTAAAAGGAAAAGGCACAAGCTAAACACTGGATTTGCAGATCGCCAAGCCCCTGCAAATTTCCAAAGAATGATAAGGTTCAAGCTACACTCAGCAGCCTTAACGACGGCCTATCTATCGAGAGATAAGAACCCGAAGCATTACTCGCGCTGTTTTGCGATCTCAATATCTATTGCATCTGTAGAGATCCCCTCGAAGTGAGCGCACGCCAGCGCTGACTTTTCTACTAATGAACTTATGTGCTGACACAAACTTGGAGTCAAATATCCGCGACATTGATCAAACAAGTGAGGATGAGCACGAAGCTGCACTTGGGCCCGTGGTCACTTATGAACGTGGACTGTAAATAGATCCGCTGATGAATTAAACTTTCCTGATGGGAAGCGAACTGTCCCAGCTGCGCGGTTGACTCAGGGACAACTGACACCAGTCACCAGCCCAGACTGCCGACCCCTGGCATGACTTGGAGTCTCTTTTATCCTCCTTACTGTTCAGATGCTGTTGCGTGATTCTTACCCTTCTGAAATCTGTCGTCAAAGTCACTAATTCTATGTGAGCCAGACTGTATCATACAAGATCGCTGTACACGGGTGTGAACTTCGCCCCGAAGACCACTTAGGCATTGTGTTCCTTACCAGTGATTCCCCCAGATCCTCAAATACAATCTGCAAACTTCTTCCTCTCTTTTGTCCTCTGAACAAATGGGCCGGCTTAGCATGAGCTCAAAAAGCAGCCGCTTTACGCAGTTGTGTGCGTTCTTCCTCCTCGTGCTTCTCGCTCTCGTGTGGTCGATAAAAGGAGATATTTCGTTCTCAGTCATTCGACTCCCAGAATGGGACGATTTGTCTACACCAGCGGCAGTGGAGCAAGCTGGTCTTGCGCCACGGCTCAATACGTCGTGGCATAAACAGATTGCGTTGGAGATGGGCAAGGACAAGACGAACCTGACAGCTGTGGAGACACCACATGGTACACTCGACCGAACGCGAGTGGCCTTATTAATGGAAAATAGGCCACTGCCGTACCTTGTGCCTCTCCTAATACATTTTATGTCAGTCGTGCCCCCGGAATGGTCCTTCCGCTTTATGGGATCCGAAGAGTCACTTGCCTTGATGGAGTCAAACCCCACGATACGTCGCTATATCACACAAAAGAAACTGTTCATAGACATGATACCCTATGACATTGTGGAAAACATCAACAGCTACGACACTGTCAACCACCTGCTGACAAGACCATGGCTGTACGAGGAGTGGCTCTGGCCCGCAAAGTGGCTGTTTCTGTTCCAAGACGACAGCATGATCTGCTCGGCATCGAAGCTCACGCTGAACGATTTCGTGGACGAGGACTGGTCATTTATCGGAGGCTCGGCATACAGCACCACTGTGCCTAACGGAGTAAACGGTGGCTTCTCTCTGCGCAAGATACCGCATCTCATCCAGGCCCTGCGCACACGGTCATTCGAAGAGTTCGTCGCGGACGGTAATGCCGCCTCCGAGGACCACTACTTTTCAATGTCGATGTGGGACCTTCCCGGGACGAAGATGCCCATCGGAACGGAGGCTATTAGGTTCGGGGTGGTCATTCACTACGACCCGGACCCCAATGAGATGCCGCTGGGATTCCACCCTTACTCATCGGATGGGCTGTTCAGGGGCCGAGAGGGCCAGGCGAATCAAGATAAGGCATACGCATATTGCCCGGAGTTGGGCATCATCTCGCTGGGACGCTGGGACTGTCATTGCAGTCCGAACAAGAAGAGACCTGGTGGGCTCGGAGACTAGGCTCGTTTCTCCCAAATGAAGCGGCCACTTGGGAATGGTCAATTGGAGGTTACCCAGATACCTGGGTAATTGCCTAACATGTTGATTGGCATATCAGTGCCAGGTCAGACCGCTTGTGGTAGTATTGCGGAGCGGCAGAGGGAGAGCAAGGGTCACGGTTGCTATGCCGTAGCATATAGACTGCTCTCAATGAATTTTGACAAATGAAGTGGAGTGCAGTATACGTGTGAAAAATATGCGACGTTGGATACAGCTGACTATTCTTCGGCTTATGCCAGAAGCTACTGTCCCTGACCTACAATATCCTGACAGTCCCGGGGCTGCCGCTGCCAAGAGGGCCAACCCCTGCACCTGGGCACGCGGCATGAACTTGTATGGCATCGCGGCTGTTCCCTGGTTTCCGTCTGAAGTGCTGAAACTCGCGACGTCTGATGTACAATAACCCCTGGACACATTCCCAACAGACACTAGCAAGGCCACTGCAAAATTAGAAGTCAAGAAGTTAAGAACTTCACAAACCCTGCGCCACGATGGTAGGAATCTTCGGACGACACGGTCGCAGTCTGTCAGGAGACAGGCCATTGATGTAAATAACCATGCTACAAGATAGACGATGACCCGGACCCTGGGCACACGAGTCAATGCGAGTGGGCTGTAAATGGGAGAGCACCGCCCCTTGGTAGGACGTTCAAATAGCAGAGGCCTGCAAGACTTCGGACGACGAGTCTCTGATATATCGACTCGGCTGGACTGCCATCGACAAGACAAGCTTTACCGAGTTATTCCCTTGACAGGCCTGCCATGAGCTGATCATTCTCTTCCACACATTCTTTTTTTGACTGTCCTTCGCTTCAGACCACAACATGTTTTTTAATACTTTCGTTCTCGCTGTGACCCTGGTGGCTACTGCGGCCGCGCAGGTGCAGTTTCTCGGAGTGGCCATTGCAGGCGGTGATTTCGGTTGCCAGATCGACGGGTCTTGCCCGACGGGCTCGACCCAGCTGCCCCTCGGCAGCAACGGCGGAGGCGGTGATGGGCCTGGGCAGATGCAGCACTGGACGTCCCTCTCCAAGCCTCTGAACCTGTTTCGGCTACCCGTTTCGTGGCAATTCCTCGCCAACAACCAGCTTACCGGAAATCTCGACTCCAACAACCTCGGGAAGTACGACAAGCTCGTTCAGTCGTGCCTTAGCACCGGGGCACACTGCATGATTGATATCCACAACTTTGCGCGATGGAACGGCGGCATCATCGGCCAGGGCGGGCCGACTGATGACCAGTTTGTCGCGCTGTGGACGCAGCTTGCGACCAAGTATGCGGACCAGGACCGGATGGTCTTCGAGCTTATGAATGAGCCGCACGACTTGGACATCAATCTCTGGGCAGCGACTTGTCAGAAGGTCGTGACGGCAATCAGGGGCGCCGGTGCAACTAGCCAGATGATTCTTCTTCCTGGTACGAACTTTGACAGTGCCGCGACGCTGGTGTCAAGTGGAAGCACTGCGGCTTTGATGAATATTACGAATCCGGATGGGACGACGGATAATCTTCTGTTAGATATCCACAAGTATCTGGATGAAGATAACTCTGGGACGCACAAGACATGCACCACGGACAACGTAGATGCTTTCACCACAGTTGCGGACTTTCTGAGGCAGACAGGACGGAAGGGCATCGTGAGCGAGACTGGTGCATCCAGTGATTCCACAGTGAGTGTCCTATTCTCGTCAACTGCCCTTGCATCCTCGTGCCCACCATCACTCGACCTCACCTGCGGGCATGGGCTACCGTCCGGACACTCAAGATACTAACCTTGCCCCCTCTCCAACAGTGCTTCACAGATTTCTGTTCGCAAAACAGCTTCATCAACCAGAATTCAGACGTCTTCATGGGACTTGTCGGCTGGGGAGCCGGCAGCTTCGACACGAGCTACATCCTCAGCCTCACGCCGTCTAAGCAAAACAACCAGCTCGTCGACAACCAACTCATGCAGCAGTGCGTTATAGCGAAGTGGGTCGCCACCGCCGGCAGCGCTACCTCAGCAGCGGCCGCCCCTCCCGCCTCAGCGTCCCAGGTGACGGTGACGAGCAGGCCGATCGTGATGACGACGGTCAGCCCGACCCAAGCCCCGGCAACAGGTGTGCCCACATCTCTCGGAGACACGACTTACACCATGACTATGTCGATGGTCACCGGGACGGCGGGTGGTGACGGGGAAGGCGAGGGCCTGCTCACTGCGTCGGGAAGCCCGACTCCAGTATCGACTCAGCAGCCTTCGAGTGAGGTTGGTGGTCTCGAGACGGCTTCTGGAAGCCCCAATGCAACGGGAAAGATCAGTTCGCCTTCGGGGTCGGGTGTTGTGACCGCTTCGGGGGCTGAGGAGTCTGCACGGTCGTCTGTTTGGATGACAATGTTGGTGATGACTGTTGGTTTGGTCTTCACTTGCAACTTGTGTTTTTAGCGTGAGCGTTTGTTCTCTTGAATATGGGTGGAAGGAAGTTAGGCAAATATTGATACCCCCTTTTCTTTACTTTTTGCAAAGGTGGTAGCGAGACAATAAGGTTCTCGATTGGTCTTCATGAGGTATGCACGGAGGCTACAACAAATGCCCGAGGATGAAGACGTCGGGCCCTTCGGAGAGGGCAAACAATTAGTAAGGTTCTATATATGCTATGCTTTACTGTGTTTCAACGCGTACCATGAAGAAGGCTGCGCCAGATAGACTTCGTATTTCTGCTCAAGAGCTGCGAGTGAAAAGATGACGCAGACAACGTTCAGGGTCCATCGCCTCGCACTCACTCAAGCGTCTGGTGCAGCACATCATTTCTGTACCTCTCACACCGACCCACAAGCTCCTCATGCGTACCACGATCCAGCACGCGCCCGTTCTCAATGACAAAGATGACACCCGCCTTCTTGATAGTCCGCAGACGATGCGCAACAGCAACGATAGTGACCCCTCCCTCAGCGCGGATCGTCTCGAGAGCAGCCTCCCATTTGGCCTCGCTCTCAGCATCGAGCGCACTGGAGCTCTCATCAAGCAGCAGCAGGCGCGGGCGACGCACGAGGGCGCGCGCGATGCACAGCCTCTGCTTCTGGCCGCCGCTGAAGAATTGCAGGCCGGCGGACGGCCCGCAGGGCGTGTCGTACCCCTGCGGCAGCGCGGCGATCGTGTCGTGAATACACGCGAGCCGCGCCGCGGTCTCGATCTCGGCCTGCGTCGCTGTCTGTCCCGGCCGCGCCCCCAGCCCGATGTTGAAGCCCACCGTGCCCGAGAAAAGCACAGTGTCCTGCGGCACGAGTGCGATATCGTCGCGGAATGAGGCCTGCATCGTCCCAGGGGCGGCCTCAGGGGCTTGGGTGATGTCGAGCCCGTCCAGAGTGATGGCACCCGAGGCGGGCACATAGAGCCGCTCGAGCAGCGAGACTACAGTTGACTTGCCTGCTCCTGAGGGTCCGACCAGGGCGGCGAAGGAACCGGCGGGGATATCGAGGGAGAGGTCAGTTAGGACGGGGACTTCGGGGCGGGATGGGTAGGCGAAGTTGACATTCTTGAGAGCGATAGTGACTCCCTTCCCTGCCTTCTCATCCACTCGGGGTTCTTCGGGTTTGAGAGGTGAGTTTTTTCCCTGTTCAGGATCGCCAGCGGTCCGTCGGGCTTCTTTCTCTACGCGGGTTGCCTTCTCGCCTTTAGGGAGAATGAGGCTAAGAACTCTCCGACTCGCCACGGCGGCCTTAGAGATATCCGGGGCGAGAGAAAAGATCTGGCCACTGGACTGCGCAGCGAAGAGGAGTGCGGTAAGGACAATGAAGAATTGTGTCTGGGTGTAAGTGCCGTTGGCGGTCTGCTTGGCTCCCCACCAATATGCCAGGGCGTAAACACAGTTTCCAATACTGAAGCTGACTCCGAGGTAGAAGTTACCGAGCACAATGTTCTTCAGTGTTGCCTTGTAAGGTGCACGTAGACTCCGTATGAAGGTGTTTGCCGCATCTTTCTGCAGCGAAAAAGCACTAATAATCCGGATCGAATCGACAGCCTCAATGGCGATGGCCACGCTGTCCGCGAAGGCCTTGGCATGGCTGGCTGCAAACTTGGCTTGGACACGGATACGCAGGAAGCCAGACATGAGAAGCACGGGAACGCAGGCGAGCAAGACGAGAGCAATTTTCCAAGCGATGGCGTGGGCGAGGATGATGCCAGAGAGCAGGTTCACCATCACGGAGAATGTGATTCCGAGTATGGTTCCCGTCATCCCAGACATGGCGATGGCATCAGCGCTGATGTACGCCAGTAACGTGCCAGGCGTGCGGCCTTCAGAGTCGTGCCAGTGCAGGGACTTGTTGAGCAGCGACCGCAGGCTGAGAATTCGGGTCTTGAACAGGAGCTTCTCGGAGACCCAGCCGAATGAGGCGGTGCTGATAACGTTGGCGAAGAATTCGAGCAACGCGAGGCCAAAGAAGAGACCGCCAAAGAGGGAGGCGCTCTCGCGGATTTCTGAAGGCAGCTGGCAGCTGTTGAGACGGCCAACCACGTTTCCGAAGATGACGGCCTCCCCTGAGTGGGAGCCGCCCACGATGGTGGCGGCGATTATGCCGAAGACGATGAACAGAAACTGGGGGCGGGCAAAACCAAGGATGGCGCCGAAGGTGGAAAAGAACCCCCGTTCACTTGTTTTGGTATCTTCGTGGGCATGGGCATTTGTGCCATCACCACTTTCCCCGGATTCGGATTGTTTGTCAACATCAGCCAGGCTCTCCTCTCCATGTCTAGCGCGTTTCTTCTCGGTCTTGGTGATGTCGGAGGTTGTATCACCAGAGCCTCTCGGATCCAACTCCTCATTATCAGAATTTAGGCTCTGCAGCTTCACAAGGGAGGCAAAGACGCCATCTCTTTCTATGAGGGAGGTATACGTCCCCTGCTCCACCACATTTCCACCACGCTCCATGACGAGGATGTTATCAGCGTTCTTGATAGTAGAAAGACGATGAGCGATAATGATAGTGGTTCGATTTGTTGAGAACTTGTCCATAGCATCTTGGATCTTGGCCTCACTAGCCGAGTCAAGAGCAGCAGTGGCCTCGTCGAGAATGAGAATCGAGGGGTTTCGAATCACGGCGCGGGCGAAAGCAGCTCTCTGCTTCTGGCCTCCACTGAGCATGCTGCCGCCTGGACCGACGGTGGTCGCCAGTCCGTGCTGTAACCTGCTGATGTACTCTGTTGCGCCAACCAGATCGGCCGCCTCACGGGCGAGCCTGACGATAGTCTGCAATGCAGGATCCTTCTGAGCAAGCGTATCAAGGTCACCACCATTGCGGCCATCTTCTGCAAGCTGCGCGAGCGCGCCGCCGAGGAGAGTTTCCTGCAGATCTTGGTGTTCTGGCCGGCCGGAGTCGACGAGGCCCTGGGCGATGTTCTCTAGGACAGACCGGTTGAAGAGGGTGGGCATCTGTTCGACGATAGCCACATGACCACGGTAGTTGTTCACATTGAACTCGCGGAGATCGGTACCGTTGACGGTAATTTTGCCCTCGTCTGGGTCGTACAAGCGCTCGACCAAAGCGGCAATGGTAGACTTCCCACTCCCGGATAGGCCAACGACGCCAGTCATCTTGTTACTGGGAATGGACAAGCTGATCTTTTGCAGCACAGGGACTTCCGGGCGAGACGGGTAGTTGAACGACACATCCTCAAACGCGATATCGCCTTCCATGTTTGAGCGCTTGATACCTCTCTCCCGGTCGGTTCCGTCGATCGGTGCCCGTCGCTGGATGGTTAGGAAGAGCTTCTCAGATGACTTTGACGCGTTGGCAAAGATAGTCAGAAAAGGAGCAACCTGGCTGATGATGAATGAGGCTGTGATATTGTCAGCATGATCATAACTCACAAATGTCCGATGCAATCATTACTTGCCATCCACGAGTACGAAAATCACGGTATATACGTTCCCGACAGTGATGCCATTGCCGCCACGCGTCGCCACAGACTCAGCAATTTGCAGACCACCCTGCCACATGGCCAGAGCACTAGCGCAGTACGCGATGAAATACAGCAGGCCCATCTGAACTGACGCAGTAAGGAATTTGCCAACTGCGGCTCCCTGAATGCTCCGGAGGTGACCAACAAATATGCTCTCGATCCTCCCAGCGGCGCCAAAGACCTTAATTAGACGCATGTGGGCGAGCGACTCGGAGGCGATGGCGGTGGCCTTAGTGGTGCCATCACTGACACGGGAGACATACTTCTTGGTAAAGTAGTTGCCGCCCAGGGCCATGAGGAAGTAGCACGGCACCAGGCTAACGAGGATGCCGGCCAGCTTGGCGTCCTTGAGAAAGGCGACGATGTACGCCGTGACAAAGTACGACACGCTCTGCACAACGATGCCAACCTTCTCCGACGTGCCGGACTGCACGGTCGTCAGGTCCGCGTCCAGCCGCGTCGCGATATCCCCCGCCGGCAGCGTTTCGAAGTAGGCCAGATCCTGCCGCAGCAGGGCGCTGAGGTAACGGTAGCGCAGCTTGCGAACAACGCGCTCGCCAAACAAAGACCAGCAGCCGCAATTCAGCCATATCAGGGCGAAGTTCGCGATGGTGACATAGATGACGAGCAGCAACTTCCGGTTGACGGCAGCCTGCATGGCTTCGTCGTCCGCGCTGCTGGTGCTACATGATGTGGAGTTCAGGTCGTCGACAAGCTCACCGAAGAGGATGCCGAGCAGCGGAAAGGGGATGCCAGCGCCAATGGCTGCAAAAAGTCCGACGATAATCAAACCGAAATCGAGCACCGAGTCCCTAGGCGTGAGGAAAAGAAGCCGAAAGTAGCCCTTCGTCGGCGCAAGACTGAGGCTTGATAGGGAGAAGCCGTTCTGCATGGGTAGTAATGCTGTCAGAATACACGACGGGATGCCAACATGATATTGATCGATGACGCGGTCACGACGAGATGTAGATGATTCTCACCTTAGTCTTTTGCTCGCCCGCAGTGTCCTTTTCGGGATCCATCGGGCGACCTGCCGAAGCAGCTTCAGCATCCAGCATTATGAAGTGAGCGGGACGGCTGCTTCTGGAGTGGAAACACAGTGCAGTGGTCAGGAACGAAACGCGTATTCTCAAAAGAGCGTATTGGATAAATCCACTGCGAGAGGCCGGTACCGTGTGGGGAGACGCGTGTGCGAGATGGGGTACAAAATGGGGAGCAGAAGACTTCTAGAAGCCAGAGAAGCCAACTATCGGACGGCAAGGAGGCCAGGATCTGGGACATTTGGTTGGTCTCAGGATGGGAGTACGCGGGCGAAGACAGCACATTTGACAACACTGCAGCATGGCAATATCGACGGGCGAGATGCAGGCGCCGCGGCAGGCCAGGAGCCGCTGAGCCTGCAAGATGGGGGATGCATTTGTGCAAACCGATGACCGGAGGGGCGATACCAGAGCCAAGAACTGCAGAAATTTGGAAATTCTGCGGACGGTTCTTTTGGTTACGACCTTCGGAAGGGGTGCGACCTCCACTTTGGGATGACAGGCCGTTGCGTGAGAGGTTGATGACCCGGCATTGTGCATAGTAGCCCGAGGCGATACCCCTATGGGCAAGAGCAGTGGCTACCGGGATTATTTCGAGCAGGGTAGGATGGCGTGTGAATGTGCAGATGGACCTTCAGAATGTGATCGTTGTTGGGCGGCGGAATGGGCCATTAGTCAAGGCATCCTGGGTCTGTGGTCGGACTGATGTGGAAGTGATCGTTGCAGTCTGTTGTCGGTTGACTGTTGTCAAAGAGAATTTGAGCTGCCCATTGCTTGGCCTGTTCTTATTGCACATAGACTTTCGTTAATCGTCTCAGTGCGGAGCGGCGAGTTGCACTGCACATGTGCCACGCGTACATGTGCTCTTAATCTCTGCTGTGCCGCTTGACGCACCAGACGTCTTTGCCATCTCATCCTCGTCCTCGTCCTCTGTTGTGTATTCTTTGAGCCCTCGCCATAAGCGTGACGAGCAGAGAGACTGCCTTCGACAGATCGTACTAGAAAAGTTCTCTCGGAGGATGATGCTCACTAGAGAGGACTGGTGACTTGCGAGTGGATGGGGACACGGAGACCCACCTGTTAGTCCGGATCAGATAATGAGACTCTTAAATCTCACTGGACGCGACGAGCTTGGCTACTTCTGGGGCGGATCAGATAACTCTAAGCAGGCATCCCTTCCCTCTAGGCCCCCTGTATCGTGCAGTAGGATCGAAGCCCTGCCTCCCTTGCCGTAGATCCTACTCGGCCCCGCTACAATCTGATGATCTGATTAGATCAAGGCCATCATGAACGAGCCCAATGCATCATCTCGCATGCTTTGTTCACTGTCTACACCGAAGTGTTTCTGCCCATCTTGCCCAGCTTGGGCTCTGTTCGGAAAGCGACAGCCGTGATTTGAGAAAAAGAGGGGTGAAATGTAACGCAATGCATTGATCGTCCGTCTGTGTTGACAAGTACGGATATCACATGTGAGACCCATTTCTCTCATGATGATTTTCAACGGTCTGACAATATAGTGCATCTTTATTGGCAACAGATCACCTACACCTCAAGTAGGAGACTTCACACAAGCTGCGGGAACGACAGCATGAGTTTCCCGCGACGAGACTGATCTCCTCTCAACAGGGGACGAAGAGTGACTTCCTCGCTCCTTGTTCAACGTTGTGATAGTGCGCAGTAGTCCAGGCACCAGCCAGGGATGCTGGCATATATCTCTTCGTCACAGCAACCCGCCATGGCCCTTGGCGCTGTCTCTTAATGCTTTTCCACCCACTAGAATCGTGATGACTGCGTCACTGGCTACCGATGCCGAATTCTAGAGCCAACCACAGTCTTTCTCACCAGCTCACTCACACCACTACACGTATACTCCTTCCACTTCTGATCGATCTCCGTTGCAACAGTAACTCTGAGGTTGCGCTGCTCGGCCACTATAATCTGATGCAATTCCTCTGCTAGCGCGGTACATTTCGATGACCACTGCCGGCTGCCATAGACCAGATCTTCTCGATGCCGGCAAACCCGGCAGCTCCTTGCCCAGAAAGACTGGTAGATGGCACCTTCGCGAGGTTGAGACCTATCGAAATCAGGCTGGCTGACTGGTCGCCTCACTGAACTAAATTGTTATGGCTGGGTTACCAGCGATGTCGGTGCATCGTCTTGCATACAATTTGATCACAAGTCGAAGACCCGAGATGATGGATCCCATATGCAACTCCCAGAATAAGACCCTGATCTGCGAACCCGTTGCATAGGATCTCGTTGGGTCATGTATGTACCGTAGCTTGGACGGTCTCTCCCACATGTATCTTTGTTCTGTTTTTCACCACCGAGCCTATACTATCCAGCCTGTGTGGCCATCGTCATCGGACGAAGACTACATGAAAGCTGCTTGACACCTCCATGACAGTACCGCGCTCATCGCCATCGCATCGCATCACGTCGATCCCGTCTTCATTTGCTGCACAAGATACCCATCATGACTTTTTCTCTACCCAGTCCTTTACCTGCGACGGTTTTCCCTCCGCTGACCAGCTTGGTCGTCACGCCCGATTCATCATCACGCTCATCAACATCCTATCGCGAGGAGCGTACAGTCAGATGCTGCGAGCTGCCCCAATCAGCCGCAGAAAACAAACCTCAAGAGCTCGCGTGCAGATATGCCGACTTCCTGCTGTCCTTGACTGGCGAAGATGAGGCCATCTTCATACTACACCATGCCAATCCCAGTCCACAGCGCTCACCTGAGACCCAAGATGCCAGTGTGGACTTACTCACCGCCAACCACGTTGTGTATGCGACCAGGGACCAGTCACAAGATTGCACGATCAACGTAGTTGAACGTCCCGAACAACAAATTGTGACCGATTTCGCCCTGGTTTTCGGCGAGGCACAATCAGAAGCTCTGAAGGTATGGTCTTAGTTCTCAGTCGCTAGTGACGGTCTTAATGACCCAAGACTGACGCAGTCTGAAGCCCTTCACAGCAATACTATATCAGAACTCTCTCACCATCAGCTTCGCAACTAAGCTCCTTCCCGTCTCATTTGAAGAAGTCTTGGTAGGTCAACTGCTGCGCTCACTTTTCCCGAATATGAAATTTGAGCATGAGCTACCACTCTCCGTGCTCAACTACCCACCGCTCACCACTTCTTTCCGCGGAAAAAATGCCGAGAACTCGCATGGATCGAATTCACTCCATGCTGAGTTTTTGGAAAGACTCAAGGAACATCCTGACCGGCCGGCTCTGGACTTCCTGCGTACACTTAACTCTGACAGTCAATCCGGTGAGCACGACATTTACACATACGCCGATTTAAATCGTTTGTCGTCGGAGCTAGCTGGCCACATTCTTCATCTCACCCAGTCCACCACCTTGAACTGCGGACACTTGATTGTCCCCGCATTCCTCTCAACCTCTCCCGAGTTATATATCTGCTGGCTGGCTGTTCTGAAAGCAGACTGCGCATTCTGCCCGCTCCCAACCGATGCGCCTCTGCAGAGACTTCAAGGCATCTTGGAGGAGACTTCAGCTACAGTCATCCTTGGCAGAGGACCTGCGCCGGACTCACTCTCTTCGCTTATCTCCTTGTCTGCAGAGCCTTCACGACAGTGGGTCGATGTGACAGCTTTCGTCAACAGCCGCCGCCACAGGAAAGACACTGCGCTAAGTGACCCAGCTCTCGGCCTCCCACCCGTCCGGGGCGAAGACTTGGCCTATGTGATGTACACCAGCGGCTCGACAGGCAAGCCCAAAGGCGTGCAAATAACCCACCAGTCCGCAGCATGCAGTATCTCCTCTCATCTGCAGCACGCACCGCGGCTCATCGACGGCAAGCCAATAAGATGGTTCCAGTTCGCGGCGCCGACGTTTGACCCATCGGTAATGGAGATTTTCGTCACACTCTCGGTGGGCGGGACGCTGTGCTTCTGCGAGCGAAGCATATCCCTTACGGACCCAGATTCAGCAATCACAGCCCTGTCTGCGACCATCACGATGGCGACGCCAAGCTACGCGGCGCTCCTCCGGCCCCGCAAGGTTACCACGCTCAAGCATCTGTGGACGATGGGCGAGACGCTCGGCCGCAAAGTAATCGAGAATTTCGCATCCGACTCATTCACAAGCCGGGATGCAGGAGACGTGCGCAACCTGCTCAACGCCTACGGCCCGACCGAGGGGAGTATCAACTGCACGGTGCAGGCGAGCTTCTCGGCCCGGCAGCGCGGGTCCATCATCGGCGGTGCGCTGCCGACTTGCTCGATGCTGGTACTGGACCCCGGATCGTGTAAAACCTGCCCTGTACCGCTCGGGTTCAACGGCGAGCTCGCCATCGGGGGCCCGCAGGTCAGCCCTGGATACCTCAACAGGCCAGAGCAGACGGCTGCGGCGTTCGTTGATAGTGCGACTTACGGTCGGCTATACCGCACTGGAGACCGGGCTCGCGTCGTCCAGGACCTGGATGGGAGCCTTGTGATCGACTTTCTCGGCCGCATTACTACTGATCAGGTAAAGCTAAGTGGGCGGCGGGTGGACTTGGGCGATATCGAGGCAGTCATCGCAGTTGTGCCAGACATTGTCGAGTGTGCTGCTGTAACACACCAGCAGCGTCAGGGCGAGAAGGGGAGTGAGCAGGTCGTGGTCTGCATTGTTCCCAGGGAAGGCTGGACCTCGGAGCAGATTTTGAAGGACTGTCAGGGAAAGGCAGACTCGCAGCTTCCGTCGTACATGCACCCGAAGCGATACTTCGTAACGGATGTTATGCCGCGATCCACAGCAGGCAAGATTGACCGGAGGACAATATCAAAGATTGTGGAGACGCCTGAATACCCTGGGTTCACCGAGCTCATACCTCCTGGCAGTAGCCTTCGAAATATCCCCTCCAGATGGCGAGAAACTGAGACCGATCCTAAAGTTTTAAGAATCCTGGCTGACATCAGTGGCATTCCTGGAGAGGAGATTAATCCTGATGTAAGCCTTCCTTGCATTGGTCTTGATAGCCTCCGTGCGGTGAAGTTTCTGCAACAGATCCGCGTACTAGGAATCAATAGCCTCACCATTAGTGACGTTCTTACATCGGGAACCGTTGCTGAGCTGGTCAGGCTCTGCACTGGGAGCAACGCAGTGGAGACTCAACCCAGCCTGTCCAGCGAACGAGAGGCAAGGGCAGCAAAATGGGTCGAATTCTTGCAGGATTACCGCAAAAAGCACCTGAAGTCATGTATTGAGTCACTCTCTTTGGATGAAGATGAGATTGAGACTATCTTGCCCACCACGTCGACGCAGGCTGGTACGCTCGCTAGCTTGTTGAGAAGTCAACAATCAGCCAGCAGCGGTGATACAGCGCCAATGAGCTATATTAACCACTCCGTCTACGAGATCACCCCTGGGCTCGACATGCACTTCGTGTTAGAAGTGTGGAAGGAAGGATTAACGCGAAACGAAATGCTGCGCACTGTCTTTGTCCAAGTCGACGAGGAAGTCTCACCCTTCGCTCAGTGTGTATTGTCGAAATCAAGCAAGCGCGCACTAATTGATGTGCGAGAGCTCACTGGTGACCACTTCGAAAACACCGTGCAAAAAGCTCTCAAGGATGCCGAGACAAGCATTACTCTCGAGAGGCCCGGTTTCCAAATTGCTCTTGTATCCGCTGCCGGAAAGGCCGCCATCGTCCTCAGCTTGGCACACTCGATCTTCGACGGCGGGTCTCTGCAGCTCATGGTCCAAGACATCGAGCGTGAGTTTCGTGGGAAGAATCCACTGCCGCGGACTTCCATTGCCGAAGCTACCGCCAGGCACTTCCTCGCAGATCGTGAGGCATCCGCTGCGCACTGGCGAAAAGAGCTGGACGGCAACTCGTCCGAGCCGTTCCCGTGCCTGCTGAGCCGCGTGCCCGGCAAGGATAAAGACCTGCCTGACCACGCTATCGTTGTCTTTGACCTGCACATCGACGATCTCCGCAACAAGGCACGACAGCTATCGTCATCTCCGCTTGCCGTCCTTCATGCTGCCTGGGCTCTGATCCTGCTCGCCTATACTGGGACCACAAGTGACGTGACTTTCGGCAGTGTCATGTCAGACCGCCTTCATGACGAGACAGCTCAATGTTTGGCACCTACATTCGTCACTGTTCCCATGAGGGTTTCTCTCCCGCTCATTAATACCAGCACCCCGGCCACTGTTGCAGAGGTCACTCAGAGACTTACCATAGCCAATATTGACTCCTTGAACTACCTGCACACGCCATTGTCGTCTGTGCTGAACGCCGAGGGTGGACTTCCGTACGACACTTTGTTTGCCTTCCAGGATTTCCCAGCTGACAATGCTTCCGACTGTGCTATGTACGCCAAAATTACGTACCCGCCAATGAAGAACGACTTCGCGGTCATGGTGGAGGTATGGCCAACTAAGTCCGGGAACATTGAATTAAAAGCTACGTATGACCGGAAGTTCCTCGACGCGGCAGCAGCAGATTGCATGATAAAGCAGTTGGACGCCGCTATCAGGTTCATACTTACCGCCCCAGAGGCATCGTTCCTGGAGGGCAAGACCCAAATGCCGGCCGATTTGCTGTCTGGTACACGAGCGGGATGGTCAGTAATGGAAGACGAAGAAATGATTCTTCACCGACCATTTGAATACAATGCTGCTGAAAATCCAGAGGATCTGGCACTGCTATTCCAATGGGACTTGGAGGACACCTCATCAGCTCAACAAATGACTTACCAGGAATTGAATCGGGCTGCAGAGGATCTAGCCCAAGTGCTACTCTCCAAGCTTGGAACACTCGAGAACAAGATTGTCCCGCTTTGCATGGAGAAGTGCCCTGAGTTATATATTGCTGTGCTCGGTGTTCTCAAGGCTGGCGGTGCCTGGTGTCCTGTTGACCCCTACTCGCCTCCCGCCAGACAACACGACATCATAAAGAGGGCCGGAGCCTCGGTGGTGCTAGTAGCTCATGCCATGAGCAGACTGGGCAATGAATCTGTTCCAGATGGTATCGAGACCCTCGACATCACATCCTGCTGGACGAAGTGGGACGTGAAGGACACATTTGACGGCCCTGTATTATTTCCCAACCACGAGCCCTCCAATATAGCATACCTGATATTCACATCCGGCACCACTGGCCCCCCGAAGGGAGTGCCCATCACCCACGCCGCAGCCGCAGCATCACACAAATCCATTAGCGAGGCGCTATGTCTCGACCCCCCACACATGGCTAGCCACCCGCTCCGCTATGTGCAATTTTCCCAATTCACCTTCGATGTCTTCGTCCAGGATCTCTTCTACACGTGGCGCTGCGGCGGGACGCTGGTCTGCGCGACACGCGAAATCACGATCGGGTCCTTCGCCCGCCTAGCCAACCTCACCCGCGCTACGCACTCGCACCTGACCCCCGCTTTCGCGGGGACCCTATCCCGCAGCGACTTTGAGACCTTGCGCGTGGTCACTATCTCAGGCGAGAAGCTGAGCCAGAGCGTCGCGGATGATTGGAGCGTCGACATGGTCGCGTATAATACCTATGGGCCAGCCGAGGGCGCCGTCACCTCCACTGTGCGGCAGTTTGGCACTGACGGCCCGAGGACGGATGTCCGCAGCTCGAATATTGGCTGGCCTTTGCCATCGATGGGCGTGTACATCATTGAGAACGGCCGCCCTGTCATGACGAACGCTACTGGTGAGCTGGTGCTTGCTGGTGTCCAGCTCGCTAAGGGGTACTGGTTGGCGCCGGAGACTAGTGCGTCCAAGATGGTGTACAACGAGGCCCTTGGGCAAAATATCTACCACACAGGTGATCTGTGTCGTCAGCTTGCGGATGGCAGCTTTGACTTCGTTGGCCGGAATGACGACTTGATCAAGATCGCCGGCCAGCGGGTTGAGTTGAGTGAGATCGCGCATGCGGTCCGCGATAGCCATCCTCTTATCAACCAGATCGAGGTTCTGTATCCCAAGCGGCTGGATTCCAATGAACGTATCCTGGTATGCTTCGTAGCAGCCAAGGCACTCGAAACTGCTGATCTAGCCGGGACAGTTGTACAAGATCAACGTGCGGCAGGAATCGCTGCGGCTGTGCTTGCACGTGCCGAGTCGCTTCTGCCCAAGCATATGGTGCCCGCCATCACATTGGTGTTGACTAAGATTCCACGTACACCTTCTGCAAAAGTCGACCGCAAGGAACTCGTACGTCTGTTGTCGAAGGTAGACATCCAGCAATGGGACAACGCATACAAGGGCAACCAAATAACCACGGTCTCGGCAGAGGAGTTACAATGGGTTGAGAAGAATGGACTGCTGATTGAAGCCGTTGCTGAGATCACAAGATTGCCGAGTGGTGATATCAAGTCTTCGAGTAGCCTCGCTGCGTTGGGCATTGACTCTATCAAGGCGATTCGTCTCACAGCCAAGCTCAGGTCTGCTGGGCACAAAGTCTCGGTGCTAGACATGTTCAAGTGTCGCAACTTGGGACAAGTTGCGACGTTGACTGTGGGCTCAGATGCTAAGTCCACTGAGATGACACGGGGTGACAGCCTAGAACGCGCCGAGGATTGGGTCGCATCACTGCTCAGCTTTCAGGAGAAGTGGTACGGACCAACCTGCCTATACCTGCAGAAAACCCGCTTTAAGGTCGCACCCACTAGCACTTCGCAGGAAGGTATGTTGACAGAGAGCATGCGGCAGCCTCTTTCCTACTGGGGTGTTCATTGCTATGAACTTAACCCAGAGGTTGATGTTGAGAAGTTGAAGGGCGCTTGGAACTCTACTGTCTCACAGACAGAGGCACTGCGCTCCGCGTTTGTTCCTATCGCTGCTCTTCCAGAGGCACCAATTGGTGAGAAGATCATGTCGACGTTCATTCAAGTCATATACCAGAAGTCAAGTCTCTCATGGTCAGAGGAACATGCAGATGATGGCAATATGGCCGAAGTGATCCGGACGAAACTGGCAAGTGTCGCTAAAGCACACCACAATGATGGATACTCACAGCCTCCGTGGCATATCATGCTTGTGAGCCAGGCTCAAAAGCGTTACATGGTGTTGAGCTTCCACCATGCGCTTTATGATGGCGAATCACTAGGCTTCATTGAGCGTGATGTCTTGGCGGCATATGATGATCTCAAGTCCGGCAATCGTAGATGCCAGCTGAGCCAGGCCTTGACACGAGCCACATTAGGTATCAACGAGGAGGAATCGACCGCTTTCTGGAGGCAGGAGCTGCAAGGCTTCGACAGCATCGAAGGTGGCAGACTCATGACCTCGAAGAAGCCCCATCCCTCGGGCTCCATCGTCCACAGGACACAAGAGATACAAATGAGCACTTCTAGCGAGGAGCTGACCCGGATCTCAGCCAAGATCGATGGCCTGTCCAAAACAACGGTCTTGCGTGTTGCATTTGGACAGATGCTAGCTGAGATAATGGAAAGCCCCGACGTACTCTATGCCGAGATCAAGTCGGACCGCGTGCTTGATTCGGGGCTAGAAGACGCAGTGGCTCCGCTCGTGTCTGTCATTCCCGTGCCTTTCAGGTCGATCGGCAGCCCGAGGGCTCTCATCAAGACGCAGCACCGGCTTTCAAGTGAGGGCCTGCGCAACAGATTCGTGCGTACCAGCGTGATACGGAGTTTGACGGGCAAGTCTGTGTCCGAACCACTCTATCCTGCCGTGTTCGTGTTCCACCCTCACTCGGGCATGAACGAAAATGCAACGAAGAATCTATGGGCCCGCATGGATGACTTTGTTGACATCGCAGTTGAGCACCCTCTTGCTCTAAATGCCTTTGAGAAGGGTGATGGAACGACAACCCTAGCATTCTCTGTCGACGAGACGACCATGAGTGCAACCCAACAGGATGTTTTCCTACGACAGATCGATGCCCTCGTATCCGCACTTGTTTCTCATCCAGATGAAGAAGACATTAGTAACTTGACCGAACTCTTCCCGCGGGAGCTGCAGTCCATTTCTACCCCGCGCAAGAGCGATGGCTGCCCTGCAAACCACATGCCAACTGTGTGGCTCGAGGAATACGCCCGTGAGCACCCCGAATGGAACGCCGTCGAAGTCGCCTCTGTGATTAATGACGAGGGCGCCGAAACATTATCCTGGACTTATGCTGAACTGGACAAGCGGTCGAATCAAGTTGCTTCATTCATCTTATCACATGGCGTTTCTTCGAAAATGATCGGCATGTGCCTCGAGAACACGCTCATCTCGTTCGCTGTCCTCGCTGGCATCATGAAGTCAGGAAATGTCTACGTGCCCATCGAAAAGGACCTTCCGCAGGAAAGGAAGATGTTTCTCCTACATGATAGTGACGCGCCTATGCTATTCACATCTGGCAGTCTTTTCGACCGCACTTCAATGCACAACGTTGAATACATCATCGATGTTGAGGATCCGGTATTCCTGCAAGCCCTAGATGCGGAGCTGGATACTCCTCTTTGCAAAGAAATTGACCTCGACGGGAACTCCTATCTTCTGTACACATCCGGATCCACGGGAAAGCCCAAGGGCGTGTGCGTGAGTCGCCGCAACCTCAGCTCCTTCTTGGAGGGCCAGAAACACCTCATTTGCACGGAGGTACCATCAACCCCGGGTTTGGCCGGCAAGGGCAAGTATCTCTGTCTTGCAAGCCGAGCCTTTGATGTACACTTGGGGGAGACATTTCTGGCCTGGCGCCACGGCCTATGTGCCGTTACCGCGTCGAGGACGATGCTGCTTGACGACTTGGAGCTCGCCCTGCGGAATCTGCATGTCACCCATGCTAGCTTTGTGCCTTCGCTGCTAGATCAGACCGGGCTGCGGCCTGAGGATGTCCCAGACCTACGCTTTCTAGGCGTTGGGGGCGAGAAGATGACGCCGCGTACACAGTCGATCTGGGCGGCGCCGAGTCCTGGCTCTGGGGAGGACGCGGGCCACCAAGTGTCCCTGATCAACGCGTATGGACCGACAGAGGCAACCATTGGGTGTTGCTCTGGGAGGCTGTACAAGGACTCGGAAACGCAGAATATCGGAACTCCAGTCGGGGATTGTGCAGCTCATATCTTGATTCCCGGCGCCTTTGTTCACGTGAAGAGAGGCATGCCGGGCGAGCTGTGCTTCACTGGCAGCTTCATCGCCAACGGGTATCACAACCGCCCTGACGCGACGGGCTTTGTTGATGACTTCCATGGGGAGAAGATGTACCGCACTGGCGACATTGTGGCGCTCATGCCTGACGATACGATCTACTTTCTCGGCCGGAAGGATGACCAGGTCAAGGTCCGCGGACAGCGTCTCGAGCTTGGTGAGGTATCTGAGGCTATTCGTGCTGCTGCATCTGAGGCTGCTCAATGGGAGCACGGAAAGATTGACGTGCAGACCTTGCTGCTCAAGCACCCCGACTTCATGCGTCAGCAACTTGTTTCTTTCGTCGCTGCGGCGGGTGCTTCCAAAAAGTTCAAGAGTGGCGAGCCGCCTCTTTTCCTCGAGGATGAATTTGCGCAATGCAATGACGCGTTGAGGCCAATTGTCCAGCGGACACATCCTGCCTACATGGTCCCTGACCTGGTGGTGCCGGTTTCCTACATGCCTTTGACTCAGACGTCTGCCAAGGCCGATACGAAGCTCCTTAAGAGCCTTTTCTTCTCTGCCCCTGCGGCTCAGCTATTTGGTGGACATCACGGCCGAGCCCAGATCGCTGACGTGGACAATCCCAGCGTGAGACAGCTCACGCCTCAAGAGCATACCGTCGTGGAAATAGCCCAGAGCTTCGCCTCCACAAACCCAAACGGGCTGGTTATCCGCCCCGACACGACCATATTCCAGCTCGGCATCGACAGCCTTGGTGCGATCAGCGTATATGCACGCATGAAGAAGTTGGGATATGAGTGTTCCGTGGCCACTATCCTCAGCGGCGCGACGATCGAGCAGCTCGCCGCGCTGCCCATGAAGCACCGCTCAAGCAAGTCGGAAGGGTCCAGCTCTGCATCGCCTGTATTGACCGGGACAAACACGCCCTTGACTGACCTGGGTGAGTCGATTTTGCTCGATACAAAGGTGCTTGCAGGTTTGGACTCGGCCAGTGTTGCAACAATACGGCCTTGTCTCCCTCTCCAGGAAGTTCTCATTGCACAATCCATGGACAGAGAGGATGAGAATGATGCGCCCTACGTAAATCACATCACTTTTGATCTCCCAAAGGATATCGATATCGCACGTCTCATCAACGCCTGGGACAAAGTCATCGCGACCAACGAGATACTGCGCACATGCTTCAGACACTCTGACAAAGGCTTCATGCAAGTTGTGCTCAAACCTGAGGCCGTTCCACTCAGTTGGTGCCAATCCAAGAAAGGTGATCTCAAGTCACTGCAGGAATCGCTGTCTCGTGAGATCGTCAAGAACATCGAGTCCCAACCGCCTATTCGACTCGCTTGGGTGTCTCCTGAGAATGTCCTCCTCGTGTCTTTGCACCATGCTGTCTATGACGGCGAGTCACTACCAATGATCTTGGACGACGTCAAGGCAGTTTATCTCCATGGCTCAGCAACGCCCCGACCAGTCATCGGCACTCTCGTGGACTTCATTTCGCACGAACGAGTCAATTCATACGAGGCCACGAAGAAATTTTGGACCAATCTACTTGCAGGCTGGACACCCACCGAGCTTGCCACCGGTCCCATATCGGTCACCGCAGACAGGGCTAAGCCCACCATCATTGCCCGCACTTTCGCCCGCCCCCTCAGCGCCCTGGAACAGGACTGCGCCAAGCAGTCTCTGACCCTGCCAGCCCTGCTTCAGGGCATATTTGGTGTTTGTCTGGCACAGTCGCGCACTCACGGCGCAGCAACCTTCGGCGCAGTCTTCTCAGGCCGCAGCGTAACTGTCGAGGGCGTGGAGCGCATGATGGCGCCGTGCATTGTCACGCTACCGCAACGTGTCAACCTTCGCAATGTTGAAAATGTGGCTAATGCGGTTTTTGCGTCTCAAAAAGCTGGCTTTGAAACACTCAAATACCTGCACACTGCTACCAGGGACATCCAGTCGTGGGTTGAAGCGGATCAACCGCTTTTCGATGCTATATACTCCTTTTCTAGGAATTCAAAGCAAGATGATGGTGAGGATGGCGAATTTTGGAAGGAAAGGGATAGTCAGATGATGTTGGACTATGCTCTGGCTGTGGAGGCTGAGGCAGATACCCAGCAGGGCAAGCTAGTCATTCGCGCGGGCTTCACACCTGCATTCGGATCATCGCTTCAAGCGGACACTTGGTTGGAAAAGATCGAGGTTCTGGTTGGGTCGGTGTTGAGAGGCGAGAGCACACCTGTTGGCGAATACCCGGAACCAAGTTCTGCTCCAGAACCAATTACCGGCGGAGATCCTGACGAAGGAGACTGGACGCCTTTGGAGGGCAAGATCAGGGAGGCTGTTGCGACTTTCTGCAAAATCTCTGCTTCGGGCATCGCCAAATCGACTTCTTTCATCCACATGGGTATTGACTCGGTCACTGCCATTCCCTTTTCAAGAAAACTACGTGAGAAGGAAGTCAAGGCTACGGCTTCGCAGGTGATCCGCGCGCGATGCATCGGGACACTGGCACAACAATTAGAGGCCAAGAGGACAGCCAAGGATGAGACAGAGTCACCTGCTGAGCCAAAGGTTGCGCAGCTCCAGCTCACTGTCAACTGTAAGACATGGTCGGATGGAGACGAGATTGAGACTTTGTACCCCTGCACACCTCTGCAGGCTGGCATGCTCAGCTTAACACTTGCTGCTGACCCTCGGCTTTACTCTCATCACCACGCTGTCATTCTGTCCGACAAGGTTGACGCTGAGCGTCTGAGGCAAGCCTGCACGAATCTGGCGGGGAAAAATGATATCCTGCGAACGACTTTCCACTGGCATTCTGGCGTCGAGCCGCGCTGGGTTGGTGCTGTTCACAAGAAGCCCCTGATCCGCTGGGACGTGGTCAAGACTTCTAACGTCGGCGAAGCCCTGAACCATTTAGACAGACAGACGAAATTCCTTGCTCACTCCGACTTCGAGTTTCCGCCAGTCAAAATGACACTTATACAGGATGGCTCAAAGGCCGTGCTCGTCATCTCCATGCACCATGTCACCTACGATGGCATGTCTGTGCCATTCCTATTCGAGGATTTGCGACGTGCATACCTCTCGCAGCCGAGAATCGAGCGGCCGCCGTTTTCCGAAGCAGCCCTCAGCATTACTAAAAGCATCAAGGCGGCAACTGATTTTTGGACTCGCCAAATTCAAGGATATCAAGGCGTCGAGATCCCACTTAGCGACGTCGAACGCAAGATCACCACTCTGACAGCCCAGACTCTTTCCATCTCGTTTGACGCATCCAAGCATCAGCTTGTTGTCTCGGATATCGCACTACTGTCGTTCTCCAAGGCTCTCAGCTGCCTCCTCGGCACTCGCGACCTCGTCTTCGGCCAGGTCGTCTCAGGCCGCAACATCGCCGTGGAGGGCGCAGATGCCATCTTGGGCCCAATGTTCAATACCATCCCTTTTCGAATGCGTCTTTCGCAAGCCATTGAGTCTAATGGTGATGCTTTGGAGCAGATTCGTAGGATCTCTGAAGAAGCCATCGATTTCCAACATGCATCACTCGCCGAGGTGCAGAAAGCGTGGAGGCAGCAGGCAGGAGGCATCGCGGCAGCAAATTTATTCGACAGCCTCTTTGTGTTTCAAAAGACAGGAGGTCTCGCCGGTGAAGATGAGACTGAGCCTCTTTGGACTCCGTACGAAGGTGAAGCAGGCGAACAGGCCCCTGCAGAATATGCCATGAACTTCGAAGTCGAGCAGACTGAGACGGGTGCCTTCATCAAAACTTATTCCAAGCTGAGCAGCGACCGTCTAGCTGCGTTCTTGGATGATTTCAAGTCATCATTCGAGGATATCGTCTCCAACCCGGACGGACTTGTCCTGGATACGCCTAAGTCTCTGTCACAGGTCCCTCTCGCGCTGATCCATACAGCAGCAAACAGATCCACAAGAACAACTTTTGACCAGGCTGCAACTGAACAATACAGTTCTGTCCTCATCCAGGCTCTCGCTGATATTGGCAACATCTCTCCCGACCAGCTCACTCTCGATAGCAGCATCTTCTCCCTAGGCCTTGACTCAATCAGCGCCATCACAGTTGTATCTGCCTGCAAGCGCAAAGGCGTGAAGCTTAGTGTCGCTGATATCATCCAAGGCATTACCATTGGAAGGATCTGCGAGCTAGCTCACGCCAAAGCCACCAAGCCAGCTAAGCCTGCCAGCGAAACTGTGTCCATAGAGCCGCTCCTTGATGAAGATACGAAACGAGCTGCACTCTCCAAGTTAGGCCTCGAGCAAAATGATGTGGAGGATGTACTACCTGTACTGTCCGGCCAAGAGTATCATCTTGCTGCGTGGCTCAAGTCAGGCAGGACCATGTACGAACCGTCCTGGGTGTTCCGCACCTCACACTCAATCGATGAGGATCGCCTGCGGGAGGCGTGGACCATACTCCGGCGAGAGCATACAATTTTGCGGTCAAGCTTCGTAGCTGTCGGCCCAGACCGTGCCGTCCAAGTCGTCTGTGTTCCAACAACAATCGGCAACGGCAAGCTGAACTTCTTTGTGTCCGAAGCAGGTCCAGAAGGGCTCGAGACGAGTGCTAAGAACATTGTTCGTGGCATCGCGGGCAGTCCATCAGACCTTTACACGCCTCCTGTCAAGCTGCACCTCGTCCGCGGCGGGATTGCGGGGGACGCAGTGCTAGTGACAATACATCATGCAGCATACGACGCCTGGACTATGGTTCGCTTCGTTGGTCAACTTGAAGCCCTATATATGGGCAAGCAAGTTCCCACCGCATCACCGTTTTCTGATTTTATACGCCATACCATCTCAGATAAAGACACTACCAACCTCGACTTTTGGCAACAGCATCTTGACGGCGCGGAGCCAACCACCATCACCGCAGCACGCGAGCTCGACGCCCCAAACTCCAAGAAACAGACTTTCATCATCGTCCACGGCACAAAAGTCGATGCCGCCGTTCTAGAAGCTACAGCGCACAAGCACGGCGCGACGCCGCAGAGCCTGCTGGTGCTCGCATTCGCGCGGCACCTAAGCCGCGCCACGGGGACAAGCCAGCCCATATTCGGCATGTTCCATCTGGGGCGGTCGGGCACCTTCGAGGGGATCAACGACGTGTACGGTCCCACGATCAACATGCTGCCGTTCAGCGGGCCGGCCTCGGGCTCGGATGTCGCTGCGCTGCTCACGCTGACGCAGAGTGCCATGGCTGCGCGTGTGCCATATGAGCAGAGCCGGCTGAGGGATGTTTTGGCGGCGACTGGTGCTCGGTTTAATACAGGGTTGAATATTTTGTGGAATGATGCGCTCATACTCACCAAGGACAAGGAGCAGGCGGCACTGTTGAGGCCGTTTGAGATCGGCGTGCCGACAGACTACTCCTCTCCAATTGCGATAGAGGGTCATACTGCTGTAGATGAGCTGGATACTTCTTGGCTCCCGGCAGAAAGCTTGTTTGTTGATGTTGGACCGAACAGGCAGACAGGATACATTGACTTCGGAGTACGATGTGATGCTACAATCTTTGATGAGAAGCAGTTGAGAGACTTCATGGAGGGCTTTGAGGATGAGATCAGAGATGTTGTGAGGAAACTGAATGGTTAGACCTTTGAGGAGAACAAGTTCTCGCAAAATAATAATAGGGGGGGGATGTGCATATTAGACAGATATCGAGCATTTTGGGTGTGCATTCAATGCTAAATGTTTACAATATTTGGGTTTAGCTTCCGCCACCGGCTTCTTCAATTAGTCCCCTTTAACATATACTTGGATTTATCTTCAACCGCCTTACTCAACAAAGACTGCTTGGTATACTCTTCATCGTTTTAATGAGGGGGAATCTTATCATGTCATTTCCCGGTGCGACCAGTCGGTCGACTTAGTTCGAAATCTCATACTCGCGTTTACCTTCTGTGCAAAAGAGCACGACTGTGGCACCTTGGGTGATACCGAGTTCATCCCGTGCCTCCGAGCATGCCTTCCGCAGGGCTGCCAAGGTAGCAGCACCACACGGCCCTGGCTGCAGGGCCATCGTCGACAGCTCATCTACAGCCGCGTGTGCCTCTTGATCAGTGACAGTGACATCGGCATCAACACCAGCAGCGAGGGCGGGCCAAGCCGTCGATGAGACTGTACCGCAGTTCATGCCGCACATGATGGAGTCCGCGGTCTCAACGCTGGTCATCTGGCCTGCTTCCAGCGATGCTCTCAAGCACGCCGCACTGGTTGGCTCAACTGTTATGACTGACGCCCTGGATTGGTGGCCAGAAGGGGCTTTCTTGTAGTGTTGGGTGACAGCATGGGCTATTGAGCCAACGCCCACAGGGATGAAGGCGTGCGTGGCTGACTTTCCCCCTGTGGCCTCTTGGATTTGCAGATCGGACTCATTTAGCATCGTGCTGTACCCCTCAACTACCCACTGCAGCAATGTTAGCAAGATCAAATTGACGGAGGGGTGGGCATGAACAGCGTACGCCGGGAATCTTGTGATACCCTTCCCAACCCATGTCCATGGTCAGTATGGCGCCTGGGTTGCTTTCTGATTCCCTCCTAGCGGCATCAACGCCGTCGTCGTAGCTACCATCTACCACCACCAACTCGGCACCCTCGGACCTAACACGCGCCCGCGTCGTCTCGGGCATGAAGCTCGGGACGAAGATATTCACCGGGATGCCGATATACTTGGCCATACGGGCGACAGCGCGGCCCCAATTGCCTTCTGTGCAGGTCACAAGGCTAATTTCTTCGGCTCTTGCCATTGTCCCCAGGCGAGCCCAGAATTCACCACCCTGATTGTCGTGCATGAATGCGACCGGGTCTAGATGCAGTCTTTCCGAAATGGCCCTGAATACGGCCCATGATGCGCCAAGAATTTTGAAGGACGGCAGGCCGAAGCGGTTGGACTCGTCTTTGACGAAGACATGGCCGAGTTGTAGCTCCTTGGCCAGCTGGGGCAGCGTGTGCAACGGCGTCTTCTCATAGTGAGGCAGGTTCTGATGAAAAGCAAGGACTTGGGACGCCACAGTGGGACTCTGGCCGTTGATGACCGTTTCCGCCGCTGACTTGTTCAAGAAAACTGGGCTCATTTCGTGATAGGTTTGATGTTCAACGGAAAAGCAGTCGGTAGTACAACGGCCAACTGTCGCGCCAGTCCGGGAAGACTGGCTTTGGATGTGGCTTGGGCTGGAGCGGCTTAAGCAAGACCCGTGTCCGAGCTTTTCCGTAGACTATACGGACTTGGGATAGTAAGACAGACTATGAGAGCTACCGATGGAATGAAATTATGGAAGACAAAGGACAGTTCCGTTTAGTCTTTTGGATCGAGGCGGCTCACGCGAATAGATCGACGGTACTAGCCGACAACGCAGCCCCGAGCCCCGAGCACCGGCTGAAACTGGAGCTACCGAAGCGCGATGTAGAGAGATCGGAATTTTGCAAAGGACCAATTGCGCCTAGACAGCAGGACAGATAATGAAAGAGTTGCCGGTTTCACTGGAGTTCAGGTGACAAGATGGCTTCGAAAAGGGGGAGCGCAAAGGAATCCAGACGTGCACCTCTGCTGAGGGGCGGTAAGCGGCCAATACCCGACTCCGGCCCGGCCCGGATGAGTCCGGGAGGACACGGTCCAGAGCCGGACATATTGCCAGCGGACCGTGACCGACATGCCCGTTCGACGTCCGGAAATAGAAAAGACTAGCGATAATGTATATGAGCACAGCAAAGAGTGCAGTTCTAGAACAGATCTGCTAAGCCTTGTTTCTGTGGAGACATTTTCATTTCTGTGCATGTGCTGGGCACTGTCATGGTATGTTTGTCCTGGTTTGTTTGATCCGTGCAAAAGCGATCGGAACTGACCCGTATGGCTTACAATTTCTGGTGCCGAGCTGCATTTTTGGACTGCTCCTGTGCAGAATGCAGTGGTGTCCTGAATCGGGTATCTGTTGGTATGCGTGTGCTATAAATAGAGCAAAATTACGCGTCGAAGACCTTGCCGTTGTGGGTTAGGTGTGTGCTACTGCGCCTGGTTCTTGGCGGTCTGCTTGACCCTAACATGAAGCATATAAACACCGGGTGCCCTCGTATAACTTGGCCGTCCGGTACGAACCGTCATTTGAGCATTCTGCTTCACATTCCCCCGGCGTTGGCAACGACGACTATAAACTTCTGGGTTCTCGGATCTGGTTTGAGCAGCAACGGCCCGTGATGTCAGAGCGGACGCCGACGGTGATACGCAGGCCACACAAGAAGGCCAGAACCGGCTGCACACTCTGCAAGAAGCGCCGCGTCAAGGTCAGTAGAAATGAATCAAAGACGGCGGGTAGCCAAGTGAGAATCCTAATGGATCGGCAGTGTGGAGAAGAGAAGCCGCAATGCACGAATTGCCGCATCCACAGCGCCACGTGCGTTTATGAGGTGGTCAAGTCACGCCGCTCATCGCCGAAAGCCCCGGCGCCGGGGCCGGCCACCCCGAGCAGCCAGGGGGATTTTCCTCTGTATACCCTGGAACACATGGAGTTACTACACCATTACACCGCATCGACGGCCCTGACATTATCCTCTACTGCAGAGGTGAGAGAGGTGTGGCAGAATCGCGTTCCCCGGCTCGCACTGCATGCAGATTATGTGCTGCATGCGTTGTTGGCCCTATCCGCGCTTCATCTTGCCCAAATACGACCAGAATCTAGGCAATCTTACTGGGCCACGGGCGTTCACTTATATCAAGAAGCACTTGGCAAGGCTCAAGCGGAAATGGAGCATGTTACTGCGAAGAATTGCACGGAGCTCTACATATTCTCGACAATGACGTGCTTCTACTCCTTGGCTCAGAACTGCGAGCTCGCAAGACGTTTGGACCAAGGGGAGAACGTTGATGACGAGGAGATGGACCTTCTCAGCTGGGTCTTTCTTCTTCGAGGCAACAGGGCACTGATTCTGCCGCCTCATGGAATAGTCCTACACACAGGAGTGCTAGCGCCTATGTTCGAGGCAGGTGGAAAACGCGCTACCAAGCTCCGGGCTTACTCTACACCTGATAAAGGATCTATCATGGAAGAGCTGTGCGATATAGTCCCCGATGACGCAGAACAGGCGATTTACAGAGATGCCGTCCAGCATCTTCAGCAGGCGTTCCATGCCGTCTATAATCAACCAGGCGGGGACATCCAGACAACAGAACTTTTTGTCTGGGTTTTTGAGGTATCAGATGAGTACATGGAAAGGCTCAAAAGAGAAGAAGGGCCTGCCCTGGCCATCTTCATCTGCTACTCGCTTCTCGTGGGTAACTTCAAGGGGAGATGGTGGTCAGAGGGGTGGGGCGAGTGGGTATCGGGCCGCTTACGTGCCAGACTGCTCGATGGAGAGCGGAAATTTTCAGACAAGCTTATGGAGTTGCTCGCTGGAGCGAATGACGACAGACTCGATGCTGCATGAACAGCCACTCTGTGGGCTGAGAGCAAGGACGGATCAATACGAATATCCGTATTCTCAATGCGAATGAAGAAGTGAAGCTAACGGCTGTGAAGTCACTGCCAACTGTGGCAATTGAATTAAGCGAATTTGCAAGTCTTTCTATCACAAATACCTGAGTTCGGGGGATCGGAATCATTTAGGAGTATCAGTTTTACTGGGTTCCACAACGCTATCGATTGATGATATTGAAGATCCACACCGCCTCGTACCGACTCGTACCAGGCTCGAATACATCTCGCTTTGGCGTTCAACAAAAAGCTCCACCTGCCTTCGTTGTGAGTAGCAAGAGTGGATCAACCCCGCTTCTACATTACGTGTATTCAGTATATGTTCCTAAATCATGCATACTTGGGCTCTGTCTACGACATGACCGAATACAAACCTGTGGGAGGTTGATTTCGAAGCCTCCAAAAGACCGGGTTCAGAAGGAGTCTCCTGCAAATCTAGGTCGCTTTGAATAAACACTGCTGCTCCCTCCGCTGCCACCACAGAACCTCACCCCTGTAACCCTTCTGCAAACCCATCTTGCTTTGCTCCCAGTTCCACATCCTTGTGCCAGATTTTGCCTTTTCAGCCCTTCGAGTGTACTTTGAGAAAAAGGAGGAAGAAGAATGAAATAGAAGAAGTCACTGCGGTCCTGGGCATCCGCCACACTGATAAACGAGCAATTATAACCCCCTATTTATAGCCTAGCCTCAATTTACCAAGGCTCCTTTACGATATGCATCCTACAGACTTTATGAGAAAGAAGATCTTGCTTTAGTGCATTTACCTTCTATTCTGCGGTCTCTTCCCATAGCCTCTTAGTAAAGACTCTGTTCCTCCTCGCTTTCACGCGACATCGTTTCGGCTACCCCTGGAGAATGAGATGCCCAACTTTCCATGTTGTGTGGCTGACCAGCATGCCCTTGCGACTGGGCAGCCTGCGTGTTACTGGAGTATAGTGATCCAGCATGGGGCATATCATAGCCTGTGTTGTGCTGTGGAGTTGAGACTGTACTGTACACAGGTGGCATCGCCGCCGAGGCAGGACTGAAAGGATTGCCCTGGCCCATCGTGGTGTTTGGCTGCATTTGCCGGGTTTGGGCTTGCGCATGGAACGCAGCGGGGATAAATTGAGGCTTCGGGTCAGCGGCTTGTTGCGGGGGCATGTTCTGATGTGGCATGTAAGAAGGCCCCTGTGGGCCACCCTCGTGTTGTGCAAGATTTCTGGGCGTGACGGGAGTGCGAGGAAATGACCCTCCCTGCGGGTGGGCCGGCATGTACGATGATGCGAATGAATAACCCCCGTGGCCCGCCGATGCCGCCGCGGGCGGCTCACCAAAGACGTCCGGGACGGTCTGCTGAGTGCTCGGTGCAGAAGCCTGAGGGAACCGATTGTTTCGCATGTGGTCAGACCTCTCCCCAAGTAGGTGTGAGAGGTCGGCATCTGTCCAGCCTCTTGTCTCACGCATATACTTGTCGAAGTTCTGCGTCGCATGTTGGACTTTCTTGAACAAGCTACTGTCCAGAATTGGCGCGCCTTGGAGATTGTCTTCTGGACTGGAGCTGGCCTGTGACTGCGTGGCGAAATGATAATAAGCCAGACCGGATGCGATCTGGAAGGCGTTGCGAATTTGACGGCCATTCCAGCGTCCTAAAGAATCCACGGGGTTATTGTAATGTTCTTCTGCGAACCTAATTATATCATCCTCTTTGATTATAAGTTCAGGCTTCGCAGTGAGCTCAGACCTTTGGCGCTCGATGTCGCGGAGCTTGTTGATATTCAGTCGAAAGATTTCTCGCGTCTGCGTTAGATCCAGTGGGGGATAATATAGTGATAGATGAATCCTGGACTTAAATGCCTCATCGATAGTACCAACACGATTGGTTGTCAAGAATAGCAAGCCGTTGTAGTATTCTAAAACTCGCAGAAACACTGATACGAGGGCGTTTCGCTTCATGTCGAACCTTGACCGTTGAGAGAGGAATACATCAGCCTCATCGAGAAGCAGAACACAGTCCCACTTGTGTGCCAGACGAAACATATCTGTCAGCGAAGATTCTACTTCCGAAGCAGTAAGTCCTAGATCTCCACAAGTAATCGCGAACAAAGGCTTGTTGTTCTCCATCGCCACAGCTTCAGCTGTTGCTGTTTTGCCCACCCCAGGGGCTCCATGAAGCAGTAGTACTAGACCTTTGCCTTTGCCTTGAATCAGATCTTGACTTAAGCCTTCAATTGCATTGCTCGAGTAAAGACGTTCGAGCTCTTTCTTCTGGAAATGCGAACTGACAAGCCCACGAACAATGTCCTTATAGTCTTTCCATATCATCAGCCGCGCGAAGACCCCCTCCTCCCTGAGGATAGGTCTCAGATAATTGACATCTACTGCTACGAACTTGCGTTCGCGTAGCGTGTAGGCAAATAAGCGTTTTGGTAACAGAGCAATATCTTCATCGCGTAGGTCCGTAAAGTTGTAGCCAGTGCGCTCCCACCGAGAGCCTTTGGACCGATTCAGCAGGAAGAGATCGTTATTCAAGATGTTGTCGCGGCGCTTTCGTATGTCGATGCCATCATCATACTGAATGAGTTCCGGAATTGAGTACAAGAGCTTGCTTCTGGATTTGTCGTTCCAGATTTGCATCGGCCAGCCATCAAGCTTGGTTTCGAGTGGCGAAGCTTTCGAGATGCTTGGTTTGTGAAACTTCGGTCTCCACCTTGGATTCGCCCTGAACGCCTCGTCCAGATCGATTATGACCTGACTCTCAATGAATTCAGCCAGAACAGGATGAGTTGCCTGCTTTTTCTTGCGCTGTTCGCCCTCAGAATCGCTGTCGCTGTCTTCCTGTGGATTCACAGCCAGCGACCAATTATTGTAAGCCAGATTACGCTCGCTCAAGGCATTCTGGTATCGAAGACCTTGCTCCTTCATTGTCCCCAGTAGTTGTTCATGATTCTCAACAAAGCGCAGCGGATAGGCATCCAAAGATTGGATGTCTCGTTCCCCCGGAAAGGCCTCGATGTCGAATTTGCGGCGCACCGCACCATAAGAAGAACCATCGTGCCCAATGTGGTAGCAGAAGAGTGTGAAAGACGTGTCGGTATCGACATCAAATCCGTCACTCGGTTGCCCCTGCCATGGTGGGTAGTATGAGAGAAAAGGCTCCGGGCCTTTAACGCGATAAATGCGCCAGATGTCCTGGTAGCTATCGTTCTCTCCCCTCGTAATTGGGGCAAATACCAAGCCGCCTACATCGTACAAGCACCACAAGTCATGAAATGCAACTTTTCGTGCCTCGGCACCCTTCAGAAAGTTGTAGTGCGGCATGATTTCCTTATCAACGAATTCAACATAGCATCTCATATCTCGCAGAGCTTCAATGCTGTCCATGATTTGGTTCATCCTTTCTGTTGTGCTGTCGTCCTCAGATTTGACAGAGCTGATGTCGTCATCATCGGTCTCGTTTGTCTTTCCAGCCTCGAAACTGCAATCCTCGGCTGACTGGTCAGATATTGCTGGTCGATCAGCCGGTGGCGCATCGTGTATCCTGATAGTTTCAGTTTGTGACCCTGCATTTGGTACTCTGTTTATTCCGGAATCTTGGTCGTCCTGCTCGTGTTCCTTCTGGCTCCACTTCTTCTCAAGAAGAGTCAGGATCTCTTTCATTCTCGGCTGAAAATAGATAAGAGGCCTGAAAGGACGGAAGAACGTTCGATAGCGATAACGACGGCGCGGCTCCCCAAGAAGCCTTTGCAGATAGCCAAGAACAGGCATAGACTGAATCCTCACACGATGGATGAACATGTCGTCAGACCTTGAAGATACCTCCGTCGTTGGACCCAAACGTCGCTGCTTGGAGAACGAGGATGCCCACCTCCAATTTTCGTCTGTACGTCTCCATTCGTCGAACAATAGATCCTGCGATGCAAGCCATGCATATTGGGCAGAATGATTGAGGCCCCGCCTTCTTTCGTCTTCGGCTCGTATTTGGGCTCCTATGTTTGGCGGGCCTACTAGCACCTCAACGGCGTAGCCAGGCTTGTCGTCTTCGTAGCTGTTTTTGAAATGCTCCAAATCAAGCTTCATTACTTCGGGCAGCTTCGGACGCCATCTAGCTTCAATAGAGCGGCGGTACTTCAGGATTCTCTCGCGCCGCTGTTCTGGAGTTTCGATGGGAATACCAGGTGGCGGAGGAACGGGCATCGGAGGTGGAAAGCCTCCTGGAGGACGAGGAGGGGGCATTGGCCGGCGTCCATATGCCGAATGTTTCATATCTAACCTGATAATTCAGCGACTTGGAGAACGATGAAACGAAGCTTACGATGTCAGTAAGTGGGAAGCCTGCTCGTGGCGATCAATGGTTGTGAATGCCATGAGAACGAGGGAGAATAAAAGGCGAGTAGGGCGGGGACCCAGATACCTAGTTGAAAGCCGCCGCTAAGCTGTTTCCAACACATTTCTTAGAGCTAGTGTTGTGTGACGATTCAGCCTGCTCTAAGGAATCAAACTACAGGGTGCACACATACATGGATGTAAGCAAGCGGCAGCTGATTGGTAAAAAGTGGTCGCATTGGGTGTCTAATGACGCAGGGGGTTCACTCCATGTCAGCTCAGACGTCCTAATCGACGAGGTTGCATCAAAAGCTGAAATTATAGTTGAGGGAATATATAGCATTGCATTCCTCACATGTACAATGTGGCATCGTTCACCCTATTCCCATGACGTGGAGCCCGTTTAGGTCGTGTAGCCAGAATGCAAAGCCCACAACTGGAAGTAGGCTTCCTTAGGTCAGAGGGGGCCGAGATCGATTCTGCTTTTGGCGTTTCCTCGGAACTGAATTTTCAGCGAACAGCGTTCCACCCGAAAGAACCGATATAGTTCGTCACGTATCCCTGAACGTCACAAGGGCAACGTTTGTCGATTGCTAACTTGCTACAGCCAACTTGACAGCGCATTGAAGCATTATAGAACCCTTGAGATCGACTCTGGCATCGCTTTTGATACGGAAAAGTGCACGTGGGACGATGTGTTCAGGCTGCTTTCCGAGGCTAAGAGCCAGTATCAAGCCAAAGAGAAGGGCTTCCGGGGAGCTTTTGTTAGCATGGCACGAAAGGCTGGAGATCATGCGGATGCCATTAGTCCAGCATTCCAGTTGATACCAGATCAGTATGGTCTGGGGGTTTTACGAGCATCTTTGTGCTGGATGTTTGTTGTACGTTGATTGACATATGAGATGCATTACTTGCTGAGAGAGAGCATTTGCTTACAATGGCCTCGTATAGCTCCTGAAGACGGCAGCAAAGAAACGTATGAAAATTCTGAACGCGTTTGAAGATATACCAAGAATCATCACCGTCGCTGAATTGAAGAGGACTCATTTTCCACATGACATGGTCCTAAGAGATTTGGCCGATGGTTTGAACGATGCTGTAGTCGAGGCTTTGACAAGATTCATAGCATATTTGTTGCCGAAGCACCAAGGCAAGTCAGAGCACATGAAGTCCATAGCCTCATATCGCCCCAAAAAGTCCCTTCTCAGACGTCGGCGCTGATGCTCAAAGAACAAAATAGTGGCCAAGATCTTCCCAATCTTCTCAAAAGTGCCGTCGGGAGAAGATGTGGATGTTATGATCGAGAAGGTTGAAAATGCAGTCTTGCGTATGAAAGAGCGCTCAGATATTTTGTCGGAGGCCATCCTAGTTGATATGCACGAGAAAAATGAGAAACAGCACGAAAAGGTCCAAGCTGCGCTAAACATGAACCGTGCCACAGCGGCATCGACGTCCGCAGGTCTTCATGCCGTCAGCCGACAGGTCTCACAGATTGAGGATACTGTACAGCCCATGCCACAAAAGATGGAACTGCTGCAGAGCAGTATGGACGAGCTCAGAGAGGATATTGCTACGAGAGAGCGAGCCATCATCAATGGCATCTCAGCAATGGCTAATCGCGGTGCTCTGGACGCGCAGAACTGGATGTTGGGGATGCTCACTGAGCTCAGACTGAGCTTCGAGACGAAGCTGAACGCCGTGGAGCAGAAACAAGACAGGCTGTTGCTGGGTGCGGCGCAGCTGCTAGACCTGGAGAACCGCAGATCACGAACTCCCGGACTGCTTCAATCGGCCCAGCAGCCGCTTCTTGGACCTAAGGAGCTTTTGGCAGTTTTGGCAGTTCCTTTCGAGGCAACTTCACGAGACTTGGAATATGTCGTTCGTCAGGGTCTCCATTTAAATCCATCTGAACAAGGTCAAGCCCAGTGGCTTATGAAGATGGACCGCTTCTGGACGTGGTTTTCATCCACGGATTCTGACATGTTATTTGCTGATGGGGGTCTTATGGACCCTTCTCAGCATCAGCTCAGAATCTCCAGCTTATCCGTCGTGTGTGCGACCATCGCGGCAACTATTGCACATACAAATTCGGATGCCATCGCTCTACATTATTTCTGCGCCCAGCACGTGTCCTCGAACGACACAATGAGCGGACCGCAAGGACTCATGAGATGTCTTACTGCTAGGCTACTTGTGGAGTTGCAAGGTAAGTACGGCGCTCTCCCCAACCTCGACTTCCTGGACGCCATCTCGATTCAAAACCTCCAGCATCACGATGTGGGACAGCTCTGCGACCTCTTCTGCAGTCTACTGATGCAGATCCACCCAAATGCTACGGTCTACTGCATAATAGACGGTATATGCTGGTTTGAAAGGCTGGAAATGCTAGAGGATTTGTTTAAAGTTATGCAGAGCATCTGTGGCATGGTCGATGATCCGGGCCGAAGGGTTACGCTGAAGGTCTTGCTCACGAGTCCCTTTAGGTCGAGGCATATTGCCCAAGGCGTACCCATGCACAGGAGGATTATATTGCAGGCTGATTCGCCCTTGCTTGCTGGTACACTACAGACGATGCCTTTTGGAGGTTCTGACTTGGGCCTTATGGTCCAACAACAGAGGCACCGCACCCGGTTTCAGGAAGAGGAATGGACGATTGAGGACTATAAATAGAAGCATGCAAGATTCAATAGGGTGAAAGAGACTGCGGCGTAGTAAATTGTGCTTTGACTCCAAAGCAAGTATAGCACGTCTTCAAGGATAATCAAGGGTCCATTCAGTGCTTATTTCATTACTTTTGAACCTTTCACAATCTTTGCCAAATGTGACCGTAAATGAGGGACTCACCACGTTGCTGCCGCTGGGCACAAGTCACTTGTATTTAACACGAAGTGCGGTTTTAAGTTGCATTCATAAAGTCATGAATTACTTGCATCACATATTGCAGCGTTATCAGGTCTGTAATTTCCAGACGACGTTAGTCATAGCAGCGCTGTAAAAGAGGCCAACCCTAATGATGTCTCGCGTCATCGAACGGGATCGCGTGAATTGAGAAAACATACATTGGGCTGCATGAGGGGAAACCCTTTATAAGATCTGAAGCGCCATGTGGTCTACAGGGTAGGCTTGGTGGGATTGAGGTTGTTCACATGGCCGACTATTGAACAACAGTGATACAAGATGTTGGGTCGTTGACGGTGAACTTTAAATGATAGCACCCCAAGCAGTCTTGAATCACACAGAGAGCGTCTTGATAAGCAAGAGCTCCGTCAAACCGGCAGTGGCTATTATGCCATCAAGCCCAGTTCGCCGAGCGCCTTTTTCGCCACGCCCTCCAAGAACTTTCTAGTCTCGCCCGGCGTGTATTCCACCTCAAACGCGAAATTCTGGCCCACAAGTGTACCATCCATGTAGATGGTGAAAGCTGATTGTCGACTGGGATCCGAAGTGATGACGCCGCGGAGGTGAATGTTACGTATGTCGCACAGCTGAGATGCTGCAGTAACGAGCTCGTCCAGAGTCTTATAGGTGGCTGTCTCGATTGCCTTGACCGCATCGAGGCCAGCTTCCGCCAACTTGAAGACGGCGGTGTTGTTCTTGGCTACCTCCAACGCGCCTTCGGCGGTCGCGACTGCGAGACCCGTCGCGCTGTTCTTTAGCTGCTGGAGTTGGATGCGTAGCTTTGCCGACTCTTTCTCCTGTTCGGCGGCATATGTGTCATAGAGACGCTTGGCGTCGTTCACCATCTCGTTGGCTATTCTCTCGGCCTCGGCCACATCGCCCTTGAGCGCTGCCTCTGCAGCTTGCAATGCTTTGGCAGCGTTGGCCAGTTGGTCCTTGGCTTGTTGCACCGCCAGCGCAATCTTGCGGATCACAGTGTCCACGAGCTCGCTTGCCCGATACCAGGCCTGTTTGGCAGATTCAAAAATGTCGGAGCGCATGATGTTGATGATGGCAGAAATGACACCCTCAGCAACAGCGAGGCCAATCTTGGCGCCAACATACTGCACACCCAATGCGCCGAGCTGGAAGTTCTGTGGCCTCACTGTCATTAAGTTGCCCATCAACGATAGCCTGTTTCACTTACAATATCAAGTGCGAGCGCCTTTTGAAGCCAATTGAGCCCTTCCTTACGCCTTTCCAGTTCATCCATCTCTCTCTTCAGGCTGTTGACATCGTCTGTGAACATATTAGTCACGCTTTCCCACTGAGCAGCACGAGTGGCCTTGAACCTACTACTTGCACGTTGCACATCGTTTCTTCCGCGCTCTAAGGATGCCTCAGTGTCTCCGAACTGGGACATGAACGCCCGCTTTCTCTGCTCGCTTTCTGAGACAGTCTGGTTGCGCTCCGCAGCACCATTACTTTCCTGGTTATTTACCTCCGTCTCCTTCGCGTTGAAGTTTATCCTGTTTTCCTCTACCTCACGGCCTCGCTTCGTGCGAGTATTTTCAATCTTGGATGTGCCCTCGTCGTTAGCCTTGTTGATTTTGTCGCGCCTCTCATCCTTGCCCTGCTTCGTTTGACGCTCGAGCTCATCAAGCTGCCTGTCCAGCGCATCATTTTCTGCCTCATACGCAGCTCTGGCTGCCTTGAGCTTCTTCTGCGCCTCCTCTACCTGCTCCTTGTACCTACGCTCGGCGTCCGCTACCGCTTCCTTGGCACTGTCAAGCTTCTTCTGGATTGCTTCATGCGTGGCCTTGAGCGCCTTGTGCAGGCTTTCCGCGATCTGTTGAATGATTGTCTGCTGGAAATCGGCCGAGATGACGAAGTCCGTGGATCCAGGGTTATCAATTGCCTTCTGGTTGACCATCTCGGCATGTACCTTGAGCCTGAGCAGGTCGGTCCAGGTGACCTCAAAGTCAAAGTAGAACTTGGGTGTCGGACAGATCTGCATATGCACGTCGATGGCAGCCCTGATATTGAAAATTTCCACGAAGCCCTTGAGGATGAACTTCTGTTCTTCCCAACCCAGATTCATGTCAAGCACGGCGAATGTGCCAGATTTTCCGGTAATCACCGCATCGCCGCCGACACTCAGAGGACCCAACTTGAATGTCTGGATCCAGGCCTTGAGTTTGAAGCCCTCCGTAGTAAGCGAGCAATCCATGCCAGCCTCATGATCGAATATGACGATGGTGCCCTTCATTCGGAAGCCGGCAGGATAGAAGTTGCCGCCAAACGATGCCCCCATGCTGCCGTAGATCAAAACGTCTCTAAACTCGAAGATTTTGACATCGGAGAGCGGGATTTCTCTCTCCATGGCGGCGGCCACGAACCTGATAATCTCTGTATAGCTCATAAGAGGTGATTTCACCTCGATCAGCATATCCTTCGGATTCTCGCATACGAAGAGCTTCAGAGAATATGGGTCGTCTACTCTACCATCCAGGTAGAAACCCCCTCCTAGTCCTGCTCCAATTGGCAGACCGGTTGATGCTAGTTGCACCCAGTTGAAGTTCAATTGAATCGCGAGTTCAGGCCCTGATACAGATCATATTAGCTCTGTCGGGTTGCGGTAGCCTATATCTGCCCATACCTATGGTGAATCGCTTGCTCAGACCGAACGGATCATTGATGTCGCCCCTGAATACACTACAGTAGTTCTTAGCCTCTTATAAGCAAGTTTCAGAATAACACTGAGCCTACAGTGATCCAGATGCCCCAATCGGGTCTGCTTCCAAGTTGAGGGCGAACTCGTAGGCTGGGTTCCTGTCGTCGACCTTGACTAGGAAGGCACCAATAAATGCGAAGGAGAACCCCTTCTGTCCTCTTTTGAGATCTAGTTGAAAGCGCTTCGACGTGAATCTGGGGCCCAGTTCAATCTTGGGCAGTATTATCAGCTGAAGCAATTATTGGCAACGAACACGTACTTACATTCATCGAGGAGGGCAAGAAGACAGAGATCGATGGGAATTTGGACCCCTTGACCCAGCCTACACTGACATATGTGTCGTCTCCAGGTGCGGGCTTTTTCACCTTGCCTTTAACCTCCATCAAAGGCACTGCTTGAAGTCTCGCACAAATGAAGAATCCTGCGTTTCCGTCAGCTTCTGTAAATATGAATGGTATGAAATATCAGGTCCAGCGATACCTTTGCGGATTGTATAGCCATTAGTGTTGAGGCTGTAGTCGGGCTGGTCGATGCTCGATGCAACCAGGGACACTGATTTCAGGCTGAGATCGACGTCTGAGTCCGCGACTATACCTGGCACCAACTTGCTGAGTGAGAGGTCTCCATTGTAAGTCCCACATAGGACCCAGAACATCTTGTCGGCCTGCTTCCCAACCACAAGCGTGGCTTGGAGAGTGTGTGGACTTTTCCCTTCCTTGACAGCATCGCCGTTCAAAAGCACCTCGCCAGTGACGTGTAGCCCACCAGTCCATCCTTTACTGGGAGTCTGCGGTGCTTTGAACTGGACATCATCACCAGTTCCCGAGCTGGGCTGGGCTGCCACGGGCTGCGAGGGCTTCTTCTCTTCGCCCTGGCCCTCTGGATGTTCAGCCTCCTCAGACGCATTGCCCCCGGTGCTAGCTCGGCCTACAAGAAGCGTAAGAGATGCATTATTAATGACGATCAGGCCATCATCAATTTCCCACTTATCGACTGACGCGCGAATGGCCACTCCGGATTTCGTGATTGTGATCTTCGCGTCGAATAGCTGGCGGCCGTTGATTGTCAAAGAACCTTGTAGAACGAACGCAGCCTTGGAGACTCTAACAGTGAGCTGTTCACATGTTATGTCGTGATCGCTATCCTTGAGATCTTGGCTATACATATCAGAGAAAATGCGCTTAATATCGTTCCAGGTCAATCTCTCTATCGTACCCTGGAAATACGAAAGATCTTACGAGAGTCAGTGAAGCCGTATTATCGTGGTGTACAGTCTCAGCTTACCAGGCCGCCCTTTGTAAATCGCTCCTGAAAGATCAATGAGTTTACCACCGGTGCTTCGCCATCTGGCGCTAGCAGTGATGGAGAGAAGTGATTCCGCGGGTGATGCCATAATACCCTCTTGACTGGTGTCACTCGAAGAGGGCAGCTTCCCGGTCGCTGCCTCGCTTTTCTTGCTACTTCCCCCTATAGGGACTCGCAGTGTGAATAAGACACCCTCAAGCTGAAAGAAAAGTCAGAGACGTGCCCTCATTTCCGCCTCATTTACTTACACGTAGGGAGTCAGCTCCAAGTGCGCTATTCCAGGATCCATCACCGGGAAAAGTCATGTCCAATTGCATGACCTCGTCTCTCTCGTGTAAGGTTGCGCTGAAGTTGAGCCTGGTAGGCCCAGTAACACCTGGGAGCTCCAAAAGGAGTTCACCAAAGAACCCAAACGAGATCCCATCTGATCGTGGGGGCACGCCAGCGGGCGGAAGCCGAGGCGTTGAGATATCAGTTTGACCACCAATCTTCAACCTGACGCCCAGTGAGACGACAGTAAGCAGTTGAATGACGGGCGGAAACGGAGTCATGAGACCATCCAACGAGCCGCTGAGCTCCAAGCCATTGGCTGTGTAGCTATTGTCAGGCATGGGCGTCACTCCTAGGAAAGCGGAAAGCCTCAATGTCGGTTTGGCGCCATCGCCCAGGAAATGTTTGAAGACGGAGAAGATCTCATCCAGGGCACCGTTCATAACAACGCTGGTCCTGAAGTACAGGCCGGCGGGTTCCGCAAAGATATCTTTGGAGCGGAACTCGATCGCAGACTTTTCGAAAGTGACAGCATTGAAGGCCGATGACGAGAGCGAAGGAAACAGTGACCCTATGGCCACGGATTCGTCGACTTCGTACTTCCAGAACTCCCGCTGCTGTCCAGGCGGTAGCCGTTCTCGGCGGCCCGTGACCTTCTCAAAGACAGGGTCGGCCCAAAAGCCTTCCCAGCTTCTAAATTTCGGTGCATCATCTTTTAGCAGTTCGGCCTCTCGTTCGCTAAGTTCGACTGGAGGCACTGTCTGTTTCGTTGGGATCTGGTCGGCGGCTGATGGAGCAGTGGAAGGGGCTGGGGCTGGGGCTTGGGGCTGTTTGCCACGTTGGACCCTAGCAAAGATGGGATCGTTCCAAAAGTCCTGGGATGCCATCTTGGTTGCATGAGAACAGTAGTTTTTCTTTTAAATATGACTACAGAGGAAATACGTCTCTCGAGTGCTGGTGGGAGCGGGCGTCTTATAGAAGATCTATCGGAATGCTACAGACATTGAGGCTTATGCAGTCCTATCACATCGAGCCAAAGTAAATATCTTCTTGGCATCGATCTACACTGCACTGTTCACTATCAAGCGGAGCATGTGGGCTGGTCTAGACCATTTTTATTCTGAGCTAACGAAAGACTCTCTCCAGGGCAAGCAATCTCCTGCTGTTTCCAAGATAACAGTGGTGGACTTCCACATGAATGCCTCCTAATGGACTAGAAGGTCTTCAAGTAGTCCCCAACGAAGCGCGAGGCAATGTCTTCAATCTTGTCAGCCGGATATCCAAGACCGGTGATAACGTCAACGGCCTTGCCACCAGCCTGCTTGATGAAGTTTTCCACAAAACGGTGCTATATGATATCAGTTGGGGGAATCATCTCAAGGTATTATTGCGGAAAAAGTACCTGGTAAGGCTTGTTGTTCTTATCGTGATACACGAGGAATCGCTTGGAACCATCCTTCTGCTGACCATATTGCCAGGCATCATCGATGACAAGGGTGTACTTCTCGTCACCCTGTGACTTTGCGGCAAGTTCGTTCAGCTTGCTGGCTTGAACAAACACCAAGTCTTCACCGTCTATGCGGCTGAGTCAGTCTCACACATACAGCAGAAAGGACTGAGGAACAATAGACCTACTTCCAGACTTGTTGGTGTACTTGCTCACATAGTAGTCCTCTGAGCGATCCTTGAAAGATTGGGACCACTTGACGGCGACCTTGCGACCACCAGCCTCACTGAGCGTGTCAGCGGGAATAAAGACCTTGTCGCCCTTCTCGACGCCCATTATGATTGATGTTTCTGGTGGAAAATATTGAATGCTGACTTGCAAAGCCTCTTCTGGAGATGTGTTTGGTTTGTGATTGAATGATGATTGCTGCTGATGGGATTACTTGACCTGCCTACATTTGAGAGCGCCTTTTATACACGCGATCCTCTTCACATGATCACACAGTATCTATTGGATATTGTCAGGATTTGGGAGGTTGCAGGTGGAGTGGATAGGCAAATGCAGCAATGGCGCAGCGTTGGTATGGAGTGCATTCCGGCGTAGGAGATCACATTCCAAGCAGCGGTCCACTCGTGCGGAAGCAGTGCCGGTGATACTAGCAACAATAATCCCTGACAGAATTGAGATATTCAACAAGTTCACAGCTGAAGGCAACTTAGCCAAACGATAGTTCCTTTTGCCAGCGGCAATATGCTGAGCTGTGAATATTCTAGACTCTGTCGCATCGGGAACAGCTGACCTTCACAACTTCATGGGCGTCGTCATTCCCAAGTGTGGCGTCTAGGCCTTGGGGAAGAATCGTCGTATAATGGCTTGCTGAAAACCTGTGCGCTATTCCGTACCTGGGCATGCGGGGGCGGGACTAACCGAGCCTATGGTCCAGGCACCCCTATTCTCTACCTTTCAGTGCCTTTCCAGGGTCGCCCTAAAGTAGCGCTGCCTCTAGTGCCGAGCTGAATGCTGCAAAAGATCCAGGCCGAGATTCGAAGACGGTGAACTTGGCCGGCGACCGCGCGGATCGAGGCGTTCGGTAGGACTGGGTATGGCCTAACCTATGCTGATTACGGATTCTTCTCATGCCTCGATTGGGTGTAATATGCTGGCCAGTAAGTTCGGAAATGGAAAGAATCTGCGCACGCTAGGAAGAGTCTACGCTTGCCCTTGTGGCACCTCTTGCAACCTTTTATCAATATTGTGCTCACTATCATGGGATGCAACCGGGAAATGCAACCAGAAGGTAGACTGTTCCAGTTAAAGAATTACAGTGTCTCAGGTATCAATATTACGCACCAATTCATTATCTACTGCATTGAAGGACCAAGAGGCAACTTTAACCGTGAAAGTCATCCTCATTGTCCTGACGATTCAACAAGACCGCCGTATCCGTCATTTATACTTGGCTAGACGAGAGCTTCACAAGGCGGCCAGTGCCACTTTGGGCCCCTGGCGAGTCAGCCGAGCACCCTCTGGGCTTCGTTCGTGTCACGGTGGCGGTCTGTTCACTCAACATCCATGATCCATGTATTCCAACCTGTCAACCAATCTGAAATTCTCATGATGAGACCATCAGCTAAGCCTCAATGCTTCTGGGCTCCGCAACCTGTAGTGCTGGCCTAAGCCGTGGTTTGACTAACTGTCGACGAATGGGGAAGACGCTTGTGCTATCTTGCTTAAAAGTCCGCCCAAGCTTCTCTACCATCTTGTCTAGATCGTCTAAGTAGAGTCTCTCGTCGAGTAAGTTACACGAGTGCGAGCGGGATGTATGAAGGTCCAGGCAAATATGATAGGGGGCCCCGCTCCGAACTTTGTTTGAATCCAGCTGGTGCTGAATACTGAACAGGGGAGAAGTCGGAGGCGAGCACATCTTCGGGCGAGATCACTGGTCGATCGGGCGCCACCAAAACTATACTCATTCCAGGACCAGGTGAATCGTAGCTGGGTGGTAAGGATTATCCACCCCAAATGCTTGAGTGCGGCTCCATGGCCACACTACGGGCGATAATAAACAAGACAAATTATGATACGCGGGGTCAAGAATGACTGTTCAACAAGTGGAAAGCCTGACCCGGGAATGTATGCTATAGAGACCCTGCTCCATCTTCGGGGTGCCATGATTATCATTCTGTGGCACGTCTTCAGGAACAATAGACGGTCTTTTCGGTGTGCGGACATTCCAAATATGATTGACATAGAAATCAGCATGCTGTCTCTTCACGAACGGTGATGGTGGAATATGTGGCTGGACAAGTGGTGGTACAAGAATATTCAGCTCAAGTTCCCTAGGAGTTTGGTCCGAAATTGTCTGTGGTCCTTGCATAAGAATAATGGCTAGCAACGTTCTGCGCCATTTCAGGCCTTGGAAAGTTATTTTCTTATCAGATTCTAAATTGCTTGTATCCGATTCTCCGCCAAACCGGAGGACGAGATTTGTGTCTTTATCAGGTCTTCTAAAGCTTGAATAAAAGCTGCCATCATATAAGCGCTGGAAACTGAAGGACCGGATTATTGAAATGGATATGAATTTTGTTCCGCTGTGGTGATCTGACTGATCCTGCTAGCGCGTCAGGCGGACAGGTTAGATATTTCATTGACAGCCTAATGTAGCATAGATAGTCATCACGATGCCGTGGGAGATTAAAGTACATTTCTCTATAATTCTTGGAATCGAATGCCCTAGTGGAATAACGAGCAACTCAGGGGCTTCGGACAGATCTTGCAGGCCATGGGGGTGCATATCGGTACGAGGGAGAAGTGATCGTCCAAGTAAGGGTAAAAACGACTTCTGGAGTTCACAGATGTGAATATTATGGTTCAAAGAAGGAATGATAAGCGAGCGGAACGAGAATAGGACTAGACGCGAAATATTGCTTCATATAATCATATCAAATTTATGGCACATCGTCCAACCATTTGAACTACAGGGATTGCTACTGTCGAGTCAACGATGGAATCAAAGGTTTTTACTGCATATATAAGTACTGTATTTATTAGCTGACCAATGGGCGTTTGGTTTAGGGGTATAATGTTCGCTTCGCACTTTATAAGCTTGCATGCGAAAGGTCGCCGGTTCGATTCCGGCATCGTCCATTGTTTTGATTTTGTCTTTTTAGCGGGCCGTCACATCTAGCCTCGAGGGCTCCATTGATCACAGTCCATCAGAGTCTGTAGATTTGGCGGCGTCATTTTGCGAGGGGCTGTACGTCAACTTTTTCTGCCTAAGTAATGGTGATTGCGGTCAGTCATTTTGAGCTCTTGTACGGCTGGCGCTTACTCATGTTCAGTCTTCACGTACGGAGTATCACGTTTGACCTAATTCAAATTGTGAATCAACTTTGATCAGATGGAGGGCGATGACTTGACGTAAGTTAACTATGACAACATCTGGCAATGGTATACTATGTGCTCAGGTGACGGCTTATGCATAACAAGGCGAGCGTTGTTACTGGCCTCAAACTGAATATTAATGAAGCCAGCCTTCAGGGTTTGAACGCCAACATGCGTTGCCTCACCTCCAGTATGCGACAAGACGGCATTGGTAATATTTAGTCGAAGTCCTATGTTTCGAATCGTTGGATTAAATTTCATATTCGTGGCGATTCTTGTTGTTCCCTTGATATTGCTTGTTATCTGAATCGTACTTGGCGGGCAGCTGTGTACGAAGTTCAGCGTGTAACTCAAGATGAGCATTGTTCATTTAAACACCAATGAGCGATTTTGATGCACATCCAACTCATTTTACTCAACCACTGAACGGGTCAACATATTGTTCGGGAAGCTTGGTTCAAATCTCTTCGCCTGACAGATGGCTTTGGGAAGATATTCTTTTGGGGGAAGTCGAGACAAAGGGTCAGACCGGAAGGTCGAATGTCAACACAATTGAGGTCGTAGTCGTGTTCTACGTGTTTCATTGGCTCGGAGGCATCACTGAAAAATCATTCCAGCCAGTACTGAGACTGTCCGAAAAGTGCTCTCTGCGGCGTTGAACTTTGCCGGATACCCGTGATGTGGATAACGTTCTCGAAGGATTAATACCAAGAAGTAGGAGGCGACCACTCCGGGCTGAGAATGAATGCAAAAATGTGGGTATCAAGGTGTTAGGCTGACGGATTATTCTGGTGCCTACACATTTCGCACCTCATCCCGCACGCTTATAACCAGTAAGCGCTGGTGCTCCACCTTCAACCTTGTCATCGAGGGCCGCGAACCGTCTTGGCTGCTTCCTATCAGCCCATGAAGTCTTAGAATTCTGCACTCGTGTTACCCACGATTATCATAAAGCAGGACAACACCCACAGATATTTCAAGTCGCCATATAAATGGGTTTGTGTCCCATCTACAGCATTTCCGTGGCAACTCTGTAAATTCAAACATCGCCATCGCATTCCCAGACCTAATAATGGCTGTTTATGATACCGTAACCACGATTTTCGAGCCAGACCCGACTTGTTTTGAGCCTTCGAACTTATGGCTTTCGTCTATACCATGTAGCACAGAGTATCCTGCCTTCGAATCAAAACCTGACATCACATTGACTTCTCTCACTTGTCCCATTACCTTGCTCGGACCTCCACGTACCATTGGTATCGATGACTATTCATGCTATCCCTACAACATCTATACGACTGGGGGAACCGCATGGAGTGACTGTCCTATGAGCATGACTCCAGCGATGGAGACGACCAGCGAATGGCCGAATGGGATCAAGGTCGCAGAGACTTGGTGTTGCCCCTCGTAAGTGCTAATAACCAAGGTGGCTTAGTTTATTTTCTATCAGCCACAAATATTTCGTCTATTTATGAGCCTGACCAACTTCTTAGAGCATACGAATTCTCTTCAAACTTCAATCCAATTCCACTGACTGTCTCGGGTTCAACCTATTCTGTGAAGCTATACCCCGAGTATGCCTGTCGTGCAACCGCTGTTGAAGCACTTTCCGACCAAACAGTGACCCTCACAGTATCAACAGCACCTCTCATTACCACCGAAGTGTCGTGGAACGACGTTAGCATGATCCATGCAGAAGCAGCAAGGATTGGCAGGTACATCTACGAAGCCTCAGGGACGACATCTGAGTGTTTCAATAGATGTCCTTCTCTTTCTAACCCTCTCGTACTGCCAACTCCCACGCCAACGCCAACTCCAGTGCCAACAAACTCATATATCCCGCCTCCCTCGCACGCAACCACCCAATTCACTCCCGCTCCATCATGCCTGAGTGAATCCAACCTGTGGCTTGTCTCCACCAGCTGCCAGCTTCTGGAGGACCGCCAAATCATGACACCTCCTTGGCTCAAATGCACCATAGCAGAGTTTGGCGAGCCGGACGTATACAACGAAGCATGCTACAAGAGCGGCTCGGCCACGGCAGGTGACGATGGGACGACGTCTTTCTACGCGGGCTGCCCAGTAGGATATACTACCGCCTCAGAGTCCACATATCGCCCGTTCGACAGCACACGATATGGAAAAACCCCGCGGGCCACAATGTCTTACGATGTCGTCGCGAGCGTCGTGATGTGCTGCCCAGATGGAGACTACAGCTTCCAGTACAGCGACGTCCTGACAACCACGACCACGTATGACTACAGACAACATCTCGTGGACATGTACCCAATGCCCCTGTGTGTGGCCACAAGCGTAGAGACGCTTTCCGGCAAGGACGTCGAATTGACTCTCACCGTGGACTCGCGGGTATGGGACAAGAAAAGGAGGCAGGACGCGACGCCAGGTCCGGCAGTGACTACCCGGCCGTGGGACTACGAGAGCGCTCTACTATTCGCTCAGGCGGCACACGCCTCAGTGACGGTCTTCCATGGCACGTATTCGTGTCTGGAAAGCTGCGATAACTACTTCACCTACTCGTACAATAACACTGACCCCAACTATACCCCACCCAGTACGACATCCACGGCCGCGGGCTCGACGAACAGGGGCTCAACGATCGCAAGTTCAACAAGTGAAGCAGGGGAGGCGGGCGAGACTAGCCAGGGTAGTGATAGAGGCGCTGTAGGGGTTTCAGGGGCGCCTAATCTATCGGAATACACATTGTACGGGAATAATCGAGGAGCCACCGCTCTTTTGGTAGCGGTCTTTATAGTTCTCTGCCGGACCATATTGTAAAAGCTGGGATCGCTTGTCTAAAGAGCAAAGCCACCGTATTGTTATTAATCTGCCAAGATAATATTATTGAACCCGTATCAACCCTTGCCTACGCATTGATTCTTACAGCTTTTCCCTATGGGCCTCGTAAGCTAGATTAATGGCCCGGCCCGAGGCACTGCACTCAGTTTAATGGGTTCCCCGAGGATCCTTCCTGCCAGGATAATGACTCAAGTTTACCATTCCGTTCTGAACTTCCCTGCAATTAGTAGGTCTTCCACATAAAACCCGTCGCTTTAATAAGAATTTCAGTTGGCTATAGCTGGCTAAGTTGTCACAGAGCCGATCTCAAGAGCAAATAGTGACCAGTTTGCATGACCGGTCGACATTTTGGCCGGCAAAATTTCAAATTTTGGCACGATCTGTACCATCGTCCCCTTTTGTACGGGAAAATGTCGAATTCAAGGCATGGCTGGCACGCCATCATTACGGCAATTATTTGTGCCGATGATGTGTTCGTGGCCGCTTCGTCACATGGCTTGCCGATTATACCATGGCGTATTATAGCGAAGACAAATAAAGTTCAAAGGATTTCTTGTGGCTTGACTCGTTCCCTCTCAAGTCTAGAGCCAGTCTGGGGTGGCATGCAGCGGTGGAGCGTTTACCTTGGAGATGGAGAACACGTTACAGGGACATAGCTACGGTGCAATGATAATGTCCCCGGCGCCCGGACAATGCGTGGTAGGGTCTTACCGTTGCAACCTCCATCCGGGCTGCTCTCCTCTTTCTGGGAAACAGCGGGGCAGCCTTGGAGGGACAAGGTTTGTTGCCTTCCCTTCCTCCATGCTTGGACTTGGATCCGAGATGATGCTACATCTCCGCCGGGCTCATAACAATCCTTTGGTACCATGCTGACGAGGGTGTGTTCCAAGATTGAGGGTTAAGGAAAACCTCATTGGACACGCATCCGCGTCTCCTTTTTGGCTAGCAGCGCCGCCGGATTCAATCTTCGTGCCCAAAGTCCGTGACTGCCCGTCGATGAACTGCAAATTCCTGGAGGTGCCATCTAGGTATGAAATCAATTGAGTCCTGCTGACGATATGAAGGCGAGGCGGTCCTGAAGCTCAAGCAAATGTCAGTACTACTCCGTGGCCACGAACCTTTTCCGCCGCCATTGCATCCCTCATTCCATGGCTTCACTTCCAGATCCCCCACCGGGGTTAGATCTGACCGAGACGAACGTGCCGCGGTTTGTCGCCTCGACTTCTCTCACCTGGGCAATGGCAGTCGCGTGCGTTGGTATGCGATTTTGGGCTCGGAAGCTCACGAGAAGCGGCTTCTGGTGGGACGACTGGATCATCCTCACATCTATCGTAAGAAGGCCCCGCATCGTTGCATCTCACGAGAAAGACTGACAACGAGAAGATATGGACCGGCATATTCTTCTTCACCGCGACATGTTATAGTAAGCTCCCTGCCATACGATCCGTTACCGCACAAGACTAGCGAACGTTTCGAGTATTAGCTAACAGTGGCTAGTTGTTCCTAGAGGACTTGGCTTGCACATATGGGCTGCCCCTCCCGGTGCGATGAGAGCGTACTTTTTCGGCCTTTACATAGTTGAATTCGCCTATGTACTCGCTCTTTTCAGTGTGAAGTCGTCGATACTTGCCCTCTACTGGCGAATTTTCAGCGCGGATCGCAGAATCAGGTGGCCGTTAATGATTTTGTTCTCCATTTCCCTTACGTGGGCAGTTGCACTTGTGAGTAAATGCACAACACCTATTCTGTTCGCACGACAATGGAAATAAGTTGACCTTTTTGGTAGATTGTGGTGATCTTGTTACAATGTCAACCGATCAGCGCGTTCTGGGCCAGATTCGACGTCAATCCTCCCGACCCGTCGGAATACAATTGTGGCGTCAACCTACACCAGTTCTTTCTTGGGAACTCCATTCCCAACATCCTCACCGACATATCATTAATAGTTGTCCCAACTCCATTTATTTGGAAACTAAGCCTTCTCCACTCGCAGAAGATAGCCATCCTAGGCATCTTTGCTGTCGGCCTATTGTAAGTGCTTCGAAGAGCAGGTTTTGCCTTAGCATCCTCGACTAAAAAGTATTGTTTTCTGGATAGCGTGACTATTGTATCTGTGGTTCGACTCCACTTTATCCTAAATCTCGATTTCAAGAACCCCGATGTTATCTGGCTAGCGAGCCAAGAGATGAACTGGACCATCACGGAAATAAACGTTGCCGTAATCTGCGGTAAGTCCCCTTCCCTCCTTCGCTAGCCATCATTGTCCATGCACAGCATCACTAATGCCAGCCTTAGCATGCCTCCCGTCCCTCAAACCAATCCTGAACTTGATCCTGCGCGGCCGACTCCATAGCACACAATCTGCGAACAGCCAAGGTCTCCATGATTCATCCGCCAAAGATGGAAGCAGGATCGATTTAAGCAGAAAATGGAGCAGCAACCTCCTACTCAATCCCGCCGCCAAGGGAACCTCGAGTGTGTCCGTGAGCACATCGAAAGACATCCACAACGACACACACCCCTTCGCGAAACTAGCGGGCCACGAGCTCGAGACGTGGCAATACACAGAAACCACAAGTACAGGGTCTAAGACTTCGGGGACCGAGGTGGAAGGCGTTGAAGAGTCTGTTTCACATGGAATAATTGTGACCAAAACCATTCGGGTAAAAACTCAAGGTTGACTGCCAGCATTCCTGGCCATCATGTTGTGTTTCCTCGGAAGGAGCGCGTTGAAATGGGTGGCCAATTGGTAGAAAAATTCCGATTTGGTAGTCTAAATGACAACCATACTTCAAAATAGTCTAAGGTTTGAAAACTGTACTATGTATACTAATATACCAACCACAAGGTCCGTACCACGTATGGGGGGTTCCATCAACAATCAACGAATCGTCTTTGGGACCGTGTGCTGTTCTTCGGGGGGATGTTCTCCCTTACATTGTGCGCGAACAAAATGAACCGACACTAGCAGTCACACACCATTCGTTTCTTATCATCACCCGGAGAAGCCAACCTAGGCATCCCCCTGCATGGAAGGCTTTCTTTTCCATCACGTCTGAGAGCACTACTAACAGTCTCTAGTAGGTTGTGGGTGGAGATATCTATATTAAAAACTTGACCTAGGGGTGGGGTGGGAAACAGTGAAAACTTCAACATGTTGCTGGTGCTGATAAAGCTGCAGCCAACTTTGAAACATTTGAATACAAAAAATGCCCATAATGCTGTTCCATGAATCGTCGGCTGACAATCGCGACCAGCGGAATCTTTCCTACAGCAACCACCTAAGCCTATCTTATGCATCCTCTTTGGAAAAGTAACGGTAAGCGGCATTGGCGTAGAAAAGCGTCTCCATGGTCCCATAGACGGAGAGAAAGACGATGATGACGATTTTGGTCGTCCTGTTCGCACCCATGCGATCAAGCACGGATATACGACCTTCCTTCCTCGCTGAAGCTGTTTTTTCTGAGGCGGTGGCGGAGGCTTCGGCGCGGGATTTGGGATTCTCGCTGAGGTGGCGGAGCTGCGTTGCGGTAGGTGTGCGAAAAGGAAAGTGCTGGTGGAGGATGGGCCGATTCACACCGACACGATTCACATGCCCTCTTCTCGGTACCGTTGGGAGGAGCGAGGCGAACGGTGCTGATTTCTTGAACGCTATGGCTGAAGACATGGCTTGCTGGCTCATCGCCGCTTTATTATATTGTTACCAGGGTTCGGCTGCGAAAGTCTTGGTTGTCGCGCAGAAATGAATATGTGACCAGTGAAAGCGTTAGTCCAGGTGTTTTATTACATCTAAAGCAGATATGCACAATAGCCGAGTACCATGACAGGAGTGCACTATCCAGCGAAGATGAGGGATCCTAACGAAGTCGGTCGATGGTGACTATAATGAGATACGCGGCGTTTTGATATAACGAGGGCGATGTCAGCCGGGCGAACCGAAACCCGACCCTCACCAACAAAGGCTGACAGTGGCACATCACATGACTGTAACGGCCAGCCACTATAACAGAACCACTGAAAAGGCTAATGGCTACCTTTCTTCAATAAATGAATTGATCTTGTTCCCTCGATATCAGTCTGCGCGCCCATTCCTATCTCCTCACCATCTTTTGTATCCGATTCAGCAGCCCCAATGCCGTGCTCCTCGCCGTTCCTCCCATCACGTCTCATTTCAGAACCCCAATTTTGACACAATCTTTTCAGCCATGATTACGACCGCGCTTACCAACACCCGCACCTTCTGAGGCTTTTCTTGATCCTTAGCTGGCGTCTGCCCATGGAAGACCTGATTCAAAACGTCCTGGGCAGAGACCGTTGAGTTCCCAGCCTTGCCAAGGGGTCCGTAAAGACGGTCATTATCCCGCCATCCCTTCGATGCCTTAACCATGATCATATGCACATCTCCCGCCTCATTGCTGTTCAGGAGGTTCTCCAGGCCATGATACAGGGCGTCGTATATGGCTTTACAGAGTTTCTCCCGTTCCTGAGTCGTCCGCGCAACTGCGCTGAGCATCTCTTCCAGCTTTTTCCAGCTTGTCACCGAGGGCGTTTCCATGTATTCATACAGAAGTCCTTTGAAATATTTGTTGTACTGACTGGAGGGGAACGTTGTTTCCACGACAAAGGGAAAGCCGCCGATTAAAGCACAGGAGTCGCCCTTGCCTCCCTGTCTAATCCAGGCGTCAGCGGTCGCCCTATTGCGGCAGAACCGGGGGTTATGCGCTGCTTTGAGTAGAGTGAGCAGATCTTTCCAGGATAAACTGCCCCTTGCAGGTGTCTTGGTCTCCTCTAGGACAGATACCGCAGAACTCGGCCTGGGGGTTTCAGGAGGAGTAGTGGCTGTTCTGAGAGCAGTGCTTGGCGCTGAGGGTCTCGGTGTTACTGGACGTGACGGTGTTGCTGGACGTGAAGGTGTTGCTGGACGTGACGGTGTTGCTGGACGTGACGGTGTTGCTGGACGTGACGGTGTTGCTGGGCGCGGCTGAGGGGTAGGGGGAGGTCTGGTTACGTCCCAACCACCAGTTTGGATCATGTTAGGCGCCGTAGCTGTTCCTGATTCATTGGATGAACTTCCTTGACGGACGCTTGCCTGTTGCTGGAGGTTCGACCTGGAGGGTGCTCTAGCCTGAACTGACACGCCCGCGCCAGAGGCTTGAGCCATGAGCGGTCCGCTATTTGCGGTCGTACTGGTTCTTGAGGGTGTGCTTTTAGTGATAGCTGAGCTTGCTCGAGGAGTCGCGACCTTTTCTGACGGCACCCGTGGCTGATTCTTGTTAACAGATCCGGACATTATGGTAGTGCAACTTGGAGAAGGAGGAGAAACCAAAGTAGCAAATATAGAGGCAAAACGGAAGGTTTCGGCGAAAGTGATGATGCGATAGAATCCGTATCTTTGAGTTAGAAGCTGTTGGAGAGCTGCCGAAGACGACTGTGATAATTCATGGACTGGAGACCTTTTTATCACAGCCCACGAAGTCTTCCCATGTCATTCAGGTTCGAGCTCAATCTGACAGTGGGCGATTACACACGATGTCTGGAGCTGAAGCTGATGCTGTCAGCAGCGACCGTGGCCTGCCCCCTAGATAGGCCACTCAATACGGCCCATTTCTGCTCTGAATGCAGACTCTTGAGACGGAAGCCACTCAGCTTCTGTCTGGGCCACGGCCTCAGGGATGGCCGTGCTTATACATCGTTCTGATATTCTTGTCTTGCTTTTCTTTTTGTAAAGACTGGGGATCTGGTGGTCCGGGAAGTAGAGCGTGATCACAGTTTCGCATGACAGCGCAGCGGCCTGCAGCGGCCGCTGGCTCGGTCAGCACGGCGCAGAGAATCTGGTGCAGCGCGCCGAAACTCATCGTTAAACCACCATATCTGCTAGAGGTTGGTATAGTGCGCACATTTGTATGTGGTAGAACACGGAGCAGGCACTTATTGGATACTTCGCATTATCGCCGGCTTAGCATCTATAATACAGACAGACACAGGCTCACTTATTTCGATGAGCTTATTGGATAAAGACATGGCTGTCTCTATATTAAGCGGTATACACTGTTATACGCATCGTCGCTTGTCGTTAGCAATGAACATGATCATTGCTTGGTCATCAACAGTCGCAAGAACCTTCCGATGCAGTGGCGCTCGCGGCAGCTAACGGCGAATTGTCCAGAGGGGGGTGTTCGGGCAGGCTTCGGCTTGCGGACACCGAGCGGCTGCACAAGCTGGCCTTGGACGAAGCGACAACTGTGCGGTGGACGGGCATCGCGTACGGGCTGCAGAAGCTGGCTGTGGACTACGAACCGGGCGGGCGCGTGGGTGTGATTGACGTCTTCCACGCAGAGCCGCTACGGGTGGCGTCGCCGACACGCGAAGCGTGGGTAAGCCGGCATCTCAGCCTCTGGCAGGACTTCTGCCGGACGGAGCCGCGCATGCATGAGGCCGGTGGTGGCCACTACACCATACTTAGGCCCGACAGCGTTGCATCGTTTGCCAAGACCCTAAGAGCGGCCTCGGAACCCCGTGGCATGTGAGAAGAAGTGCAGGGGTGGTGCGGATGAACATAGGTGCATATCTTGCCTACTACGATGTGCTACTCGTGTCGTTCTTTCTTGTCTGTCATTTGATGTACTTGGCCGTACCTACGGATCGATGTGTACCTATTTTTATTTGTGGCTCTATCGCGATAATTGGATGTGATGAGATTCCGTCTAACCTGTATCATATCCAAAACTAAAGAGGACTGCGTTCGGCCAGCCAGTCAGCGAGATAACTGCGCAGGCGCCTTATTCGTTCATCAGGGGGTCAGATACGTCCATGGACTTGCCACATATACTATATAAAAGGCATGCTCAGCCATATCTGGCCATTGGTTTGTATGGAAAAGCCAAAGTCATTTTGAGCTTTTGTGCCATCTGAGCTCATAGAATCTAACAACAGACAAAACCTACGTGACAAAGCTAAGTCTATGACCCGAGATTCAACCTAGATCTGTCACTAGGGGAGACGTAGAAGAAGGAAGATACAAATGTCCGAAGAATATTGAGTACTCGCTTAGTGTTCTGATTTGGAGTCTGATTTTCTCTGTAGTCTGCCTGAGATGCCTGTGAAAGACTTTTTGGCAAGGGGCTTTACGGTCGGCTGGTGTAATGTCAACGGGAACTGGACAGACCCTAAGGAGAGTGGCGGATCAACATGATATATGATATATGAAGCAAGTATAGGACAAGAGGCAACTCGATTTCAGTAAACGCCAGCCAGCCAGTCCTGTCATAGCCCAAATGCATCAACTGTTTCTTCTAGCCGCAATGCAAGGTCAATGTCCCAATGAGCTCAATTTATGACTTCTGTATTGAGGACGCTTTAGATAGAGTCTCTGCAGTATAGGAGAGTGATCAGTTTCCCCATTTTCAGCAGCAAAGCTCAAACCAGCATTCCGGCCGAGGCGCTTCAGCAGCACCTAGGTCGACTTCTACATAACTCAATTGGATAGCAGCCAGACCTCACTCACCCAGATGACTGCAGTCCTTTTTGAATAGAAATGAAACAATTTTTTTAATCATGAAGATACTCTCAACTTCATACGTGCGACGGGCCACCCTGAAACGTGGTGTAATTCCAGCTTCTGGGTCAACACACTGCAGGAAAGAAGGACTTCAATGTTGCATCCCAACTATCCTTGATTCTCTTTTGTCGGCACCGTCACCCACGAACCAATGCCTCCCGACTCTAAACCCAGAGCGCATCTCCGAGTGCCCAGGACGAAACAAAAGAAGCGATGTTAGGACACAAAAAGGAATGCCGCAAGCCCCTGGCTAGCACGCATGCAGGATCGTACTGCCCACCTCGCATATAAAGAAAGAAGAAATGGGCAAAAAAAAAGTGCATGAAATTTTTCGTGATAGCTGCAGTCGGCCTTCACCGCTCTCCCATCTCGACTTGGACCTTAGCTAGTGTGAGCCCGAAGAGCTGGGCGCCAGGAGAACACAGTCCGTGCCCTTCCTATCGTGCCGCCTGATTGTTCTCAAGTGAGTCTATCTTTGTGTCTATGGTTTCTTTCATTGGCGGATTCACGTTGTCGCATGCGTCTGTCAAGGCGTTAGTGCAGGTCCCACGTGTCGTCGTGCTCGGATGTTTGTGTCAAAACCTACCCAGGCCTAGGTAATCGCCAAGGCATCTCAGGATCATGCCCTAGTGTCATTACATCTACAATTATCCACATGGGGATCATTTTGGAATATCATTGTCAGATAATATTTGAGATCTACAGCCTCTCGATGATTCTGACATATCTATGACACCTACAAAGAACCACAGAACCAAGCGACGTCTTTTAACAGGCGACACGCGGCGCACTTAAAGTGGAACTGTCTCAGCGCACTGATATCCATTTCTTCGATTTCTTCTATCGTGTTCTCTTGTTGCCTCAAAAAGGATAATGGGTCCAATTTAAGTATTTAATTTGATAACCAACTGTCTCACCAAGTCCCAAGCTTTTACTTCTGGCTCAAGCAAACAAAAGCCCTCTCTTTCTGTGCGAACTTGGTCTTCCGAGCCCGACCGAGGGAATACGGGCCGGGACTTGGATGCTCACTTTTGACAACCGCCTAGCTGTGGCGGCGGTGGCGCTTGTCTCGCCAGTTTGACGTCCAGGTGTCTGAGATTGTGGGTTGTTAGTGAGACTAGGCACATTATATCTCGTAATGTGGACCGTGTGTTGTTGTCTGCTCGTAAGGCTGCAAGTCCGGGAGGTTCTGGCCCATTCCTTTCCTATAGGAGAGGGAAGAAGCTGCCTAATAAAGGAAGACATTCTGAATGTTCTATGGCACGGGATCAAAGTGTCCTGCTGGGCCGTGTCACTTGCCTACGCGTGGCTTGATCGTGGGAAGAGATAGTTGAGGCCTGGAACCCCCTTGACAGGCTCTAGAGGCAACGGAGGCGTGTACGCGTCAGGCAAAAGCAACTCGAACGTTACGGTGAAGCCACGAAAGAAGCAAGAGGCATGGAGTACGAGGATACATGATCGCCGCACTAGCAGGTGAAGATGAAATTGCAGCTGTGACATGCCGGTACGTGGCTGGGAGCGCCCATCTGGGGCTGTACGACGCCGTGAACCTGTCGCACACCGACTCGCGGTAGGTGACTACCATCAAGCTTGGAACCCTGCACATGTGCTGGGCAGCCCGTAGGACGAGCCGTGGTGCAGTTTCGCGTATCTGGGGAGCCGGTGACGATCCTGCATGGACCCTCGGCCGTCAGGGCTCGCACAAGCGACAAGCGACGACGAACACCGTTGGGATGGTTCAGGTGGTCTTAGATGCAAGGTTCCCGTAGACGTGGTACCAATTGGGGGACTCGAAATGAACAACCCCCAGTGTGCTGCTCGTTCCACAGCTACACGGGCAGCCACACAGCCACGGGGTTGATCGTGGTTGCGGGAGAGACACTGGTCAATTGATTGATTGACTGACTACTGAGCGGCTGACTGGCTAGGCGAGTGAGTGATGGGTTCAGGCGGAGCCGGGTCAGGTTACACGCGAGGCCGGGGGAGTGAGACACAGGCATCGATGGGTGTCAGATTGCATGCTGGCTGTTGGTGAGGTTGGGCAGGGCAGGGGTGTGGAAAATTGATTCCATGCTGGCTGATTTGCTTCGATAATTCTTTTCCCTCCTTTGCTTTGAGCATGAGGACGGGACTTGTGCACCAACAAAATGAATGCGATATGCAGGACGCCCTTTTCGGCGATGTGGGCTTGAATTGGTGGCCGCCGTTGTTAGTCTAGGAATTGATTGACTGTAGATTGAAATTTGTCCCCAGGTGGCACCAACCATCCATTTGGTTGGTCATGGGCAAGGAGAGTGATGAGAAAGACAGGAATAGACGAGGACGAGGACGAGGACGAGGACAACGAAGAGGAGCACGGTCTAGGAGACATTGTTGGGCCCGTTTTGGTTAGCAGCATCGGGACGGCAGGCGGCGTCTACCACCACGAACTAGGTGACGGGCATGTACAGTTACGTACTGTACGTACCATTCTGACGGGCCGATACCACTCGTACGTGTGCGTGGACGGCAGGGACGGCCTGAACGCACCTGCAGCACGCATCACCACTACGGGACTGTTACTTGTGCGTGCATGTACATAACTGGAGGCAGGAGCCAAGAGGCACAAAAAAAGGCAAAAGAGGCAAAAACGGTAAGAGTGCAAGAGGCAATTTTGGGAGCAAAATGACTACGGACGTAGGTCGTTGCCGTTGCCGTTGCCGTATGCGATGCGATGCAGGGAGACCAAGACAAGACAAGGCAGTCAAGGCAGTCACCACCTGCGATTGCGATCTTGGGTTGCCAATGCCTCTGTCCTCTATTCCTTCTTGCCTGTTGCCTTTTACCTGTTGCCTCTTGCCTGCTGGCTCTTGTGTCCGTTCCCTCGGTCGCGCATCTCCCCGTGTGTGTGAGCAGGTCATATGTAGATGAGAATTTACAGTTGCAGGTGCAGGTGCAGTTGCAATTGGGGTTACCGTTGCATTCACGGGTGCAGGTGCAGGTGCGGGTACGGGTGGGTAATGGCCCCAAGCTGGTGGGTGAACGGAGAAACGTCTTGAACGTGAGATTGAAATGGGTGACTCGATAGAATTGAGTGAACACTCCTTCTTTCTCGTCCTTATCTTACCCAAGGAGATACAGTATCTTATCCCGGATCCTGCTTCCCTGTTAGCTCGATCGGTCCTGCCAAGAGTGCTCCACCCGCTGCCACTTCGGGACAGGGCTCGACTATCGATTGCAGTCTGCAGCTCTGTGTTTTTTATCCCTCTCTCTTTTTTCGCACGGCATCGAGTCCTCTTTCTTCGTCTCATGCAGCTCAGCTGGAAGGGGTCTTCATTGATTGTTCCAGGGCCTCATCTCCCAAGATACTGACCTGTCCGGCAACTTCCTGCAATTCCTCCACCCTGTCTGTCCCTTCTCCTCCCTCCCCTGCCCTACCCTTACCACGCTAGGAAACGTGGGGGAGAACCACACAAACACCCATACACACAACCAGATCTCCTGTGCCCAGCCAGACCAGGCCAGAACTTGCACACAGTCCACCATTCTCCTACATACACTACAGTAGTCTGGCAGTCTGGCTACATCCCGCCGCGGCACCTGGCGACAGGCAATTCGGATGGCACCGGCCCACACCTCGTCGTCCTCCACTCCCACACAGTCCTGTCGGAGGGTCCCCTAGCCCATGCAGATAAGCACTATCTCCCGCAGCTGAATGACACGGACGACCAAAAAGTACTTAAGCCCGTTTTTCTGCCAGTGATGTTTATAAGAGCACTGACATCTGGCTTCTCCTTCTTAGGTGTTGTCGTCGTTGCCCTGCCATCATCTGCTCTGCTCTGTTCTGTTCTGCCCTGTTCTGTCCTGTCCTGTCCCGTTCTGCCTGACCCTGTCATCGTCATATTCGACAGGATCCCGACGTCTGGGTGCTGACCAGGATCACTAATCACCTGTGACCTCTCACTCACTGCATTTCTCGGAAAAGCTGGGTGACTGACCTTCTCCACCGACACCATGGACGAGGATCAAGGACCTTCTCAGGTCGTCCCAGAACATGGAAAGAAAAGAACCTTTGGCGACCGCGGCCGTGCCTTGAAGCACATGTTCTTCACCAGGGACGGTCTGATCGGCGACTATGACTACGGCTTTCTCTTCACCCCGAATATCCCGTTCATGAGGAAAAGACCACAGGCAGCCCCGTTCTTCGGCCTCAACGACAAAATCCCCGTCGTGCTCGCCCTGCTGCTTGGCTTCCAGCATTCCCTGGCCATGCTTGCAGGCCTCATCACTCCACCAATCATCCTTGCTGGTTCCAGCGGCGCCAACCTGACCCCAGAAATGACCCAGTACCTCGTTTCGACTGCTTTGATCGTCTCGGGCTTCTTGTCAATGATCCAGATCACGAGATTCCACATCTTCAAGACACCGTATGAGATACCCAACTACTGCCTTCTCCCCGATTAGTCGGCCGCCACCCCGCACAAGCTGACACCTAGACGCAGGTACTACATCGGCACTGGTGTAATCTCTGTGGTGGGAGTGTCATTCTCCATCATCACCGTGGCATTGGGCGCCTTTAAGCAAATGTACGCCAATGGCTACTGCCCCTCCGCTGACGATGGCACGCCCTTGCCCTGCCCGGACGGGTACGGCGCAATCATCGGCACTGCGGCCGTCTGTGCCCTGCTCGAGATCCTCATCTCCTTCCTCCCGCCCAAGATAATGCTGCGAATCTTCCCACCCATCGTGACTGGCCCTACCGTCATGTTGATCGGCATCAGCCTCATCGAGAGCGGCTTCCAGGGCTGGGCCGGCGGCAGCGGCACATGCATGGCAGGAAGCGACGCTCCCGCGGGATTCCAGCTCTGCCCGTCTGACTCTGCGCCGCACGCTCTTCCTTGGGGCAGCCCAGAATTTCTTGGTCTCGGCTTCTCCGTCTTTGCAACTATCGTCCTCTGCGAGCGGTTCGGCTCTCCGATCATGAAGTCCACCTCGGTCGTCATCGGTTTGCTAGTCGGCTGCATCATCGCTGCGGCGACAGGGTACTTTGACCGTTCCGGAATCGACGCCGCTCCAGTCGCGAGCTTCATCTGGGTGCACACATTCAAGCTCACTGTGTACGGGCCGCTGGTGCTACCCATCATGGCTGTGTTCATTATCTGCGCATGCGAGGCTATTGGCGACATTACGGCCACGTGTGATGTGTCACGTCTTGAGGTCGAAGGCAAGCTGTACGAGAGCCGCATCCAGGGTGGCGTGCTTGCCGATGGTGTCAATGGTGTCCTCGCCGCTCTATGCACCATCACGCCTATGACCACCTTCGCCCAGAACAACGGCGTCATCGCTCTGACGCGCTGCGCCAACCGCAAGGCCGGCTACTGCTGCTGTTTCTTCCTGTTGATCATGGGCATCTTCGCCAAGTTTGCCGCTGCGCTGGTTGCCATCCCTGCTTCGGTCATCGGCGGCATGACGACCTTCCTCTTCACGAGCGTCGCCGTCTCGGGCATCGCCATTATCGCAAAAGGAGTGCCCTTCAACCGCCGCAACCGCTTCATCCTAACCGCCGGGCTCGCCATCGGCTACGGCGCCACCCTAGTTCCAACGTATTTCGCCTCCGTCTTCTCCTATTCCGGCCCCAACACTGCCCTGCGCGGCTTCCTCGACGCCATCAGCCTCGTCATGGAGACTGGGTTTGCGGTCACCGCCTTCGTCACCATGTTCCTCAATCTGGTCTTGCCTCTCGAAGTCGAGGATACGAAAGCCGCCGACGACGGGGCCTCTTCTAGTGTGCGCGCGTCTAGTGTTCGCGCGCCTAGCAATACGGATGTTGAAGGGGCGCCTCCTGGGGACCTGAAAAAGGCTTGAGCTTTTGGTGGGAGGGGGACGGCGTGATAATTGCATCGTATGGAATATCATCCTCGATGGGTCCGATTTGGACCATTTGTTTCTTGTGGCGTTTCCTGGTAGATATAGGTCCCCGCTTCAATGCGAAAATTGTTGATATTTATATGGCTCGCGGTTTTCGACTGTTCATGATTACCCTCCATTTACAGCCATGCTCAATATCAGCAGATTTTCTGAATGAACACTTTCACCCGAAATTGGAGGCAATCGCTGTGATGACCACATAGGCACCCTTTCACTTGACGAAGCCGGCAAATAGTATTTTGCTTAATCATTTCTCAATTAATGCCCTTCCATCCGATCTCAAAGGTAAAATGCTCACTGCTGATCAGTGCCCCTTCTAAAACACAATCAACCACACAAAACCCTATAGGAGCCAAACCTGCTGTCGTTTGGTAGGATGCGATGCCAACAATGATGTCCATCATGAGTTGCTAATGACGGAGGTAATAACAAGTGCTGTGGGCGGTTGAAAGCTTTTGTGGGTTATAGCACCGCGGCAACACTTACATATGTATCTAGCTCGCTAGACTTTTGTTTCCATGACGTGTAGTACGAAGGTCGACGCTCGTTCGATAAGGGGAACGGTGCTTAGGTTGAGGCGCACTCGAGGCAATCCACTAAGTAAGCAAACGGAGCATTCCAGTGCTGCCTTGTCACTTAGCTGGTGCAAAATGCTGTGCCTCGTGTGATGCTATTACAGACACAGGATAGTGCTAATCCTAGGGCACGAGGGCACTTCAATGACCGAGTACCTCCTAAGAGCGTGATTAGTCTTATGAGATGATGCATTCCAGAACGTAGAGCTTGCCTGTGGCTTTCTGGATCATCTTGCTCTCTTCAACTACACCTAGGGAATGCACCACCGCTGGTCCAACACTTGAGCACTGATAAGTCTGCTAATAGCATTGAGACAGGGCCGTCTTTGGAGGTCAATACGCCGGATTTCCCCTCCAGATCAGACAAGGCAGATGACGTCCAACTTACGAGCGAAGACAACTTGATTTCCATGGCTTCGCTGACGTTTGTCAACAAGCTAACAAGAATGCCTCTGCGGGTTGCTACAAAAGACGGCCCGGCATCACGTCGGGGTAAATTCGGATACTAAGACGAGCAAGACCGGGAGTAATGATCTAAAGAAATCTGGATTCTTTGTGACAATCTAGGTGACTGGCGTTGCCCGTGCGACTCGGCCCCAAGGGTAAGTGAAAGCATTTCAAGGTCAGAGATCAAAGAACAGGCAAGTATCCGGTGGTCAGCGAGGTTCCCCACGATCTTTCGGCTACAGCAGTCGAAGGGAAGAAGAAGGTTCCTAGAGACTGACCCTGTTTACTTCCTCTCCCTCACTGTTGCGGTCACGTGTTATAGCAGTCTACTTTACACACAGGTCTCACCACCAGGTCTCTTCTGGTTCGAATTTTGTATTTCCCTATAAACTGCCATTCAATTCACCTGAAAATATCGGACGCATATCGAGCGCGAGATGAGTAGAACTATAGGGTTGCGCGAGGGAGCTGCTCAGCTTTGCGCAGCCACTCCCCAACTTTTAAGGGCCTGAGTCACGTTTGTAGCTTTTGCGTCGCTCAAATAGATACGGAGGCATTGAATAGAGGCTTGAACTGTGTATCATTCATCAAGCTAACGCGTCACCTTTGGATTCAGATATTCATACCGGGGTCCTTTCTCTCTCTCTCGGACTTTGACAGCAACTGAGTCCCAAAGATTGAAGAATATAGCCACTACCTCATCCCGTTTGATTGCAGAACTGCGAAGACATCCCTTAGAAACGGTAGTAGTGCATTACAGACCGTCTATTCACCCCCCTCCCCGTCCTCCCCCCCCCCCCCCCGGGGATCTGACGGCGCGAAGAAGTCGCGTTCGCGACAGCTGGGGTGACAATACTACCAGACTGGAACTGGGAGCTTGAAAAAATCATCCTGTCTTTGTTTCAGTGAATCGCCGCCTGCGACCTACAACAAGATGGGTGCTCGCAGTATGAAGGGACAGCGTCCATCTGGTGCAGCTCAAACCTGTCTTTCTAATGAGCAAGTGTACATTGCATGTTAGCAGTTGATAGTGAAACGTTGAGACTCTTCATTTTACTGAGCCTTTTGATCTGCCTGAGTAGTACTGTTTGGATCACAGCCGATGTCTTGTTGGAAGTCCATTTGTGAAGCCACTGACAACTGCTTAATACACGTGCCAAACCGCGAAGAATAACATTGCAGTTGAAAGTCAAACACAATGTGTGGGGGCCGGGAGGTGAAGCACAATTAGAAGGCTACATTCACGGAGTGAAGACAGGCAGGTGATCAAAGACAATAGACAAGCAAAGATGGCTAGGTCGACCTTTTCCCTGTGTAGTGAATCCCCTGTTCCCCAATACTTCAGATGAATCTATGTGATCGGAGCCTCGCTGCTCAACTTCAGGTGAAGGATTGTGTCGGAGAGAGACCCACCGAAATTGAACTGAACCTCTGATTTCTGATATTTAAAGCACCACCTTGATCCCGTCCGATTTTAATTCCACCCTCACCAATCACCTCCACCATTTTGCAGCCGCAGAAATTCTCAGCCTCGCAGCTTCTCAGCCGCAGTCATGGCAGACCGAACTCCCTCCAAGAGCCCTACTCAGGGCAAGCATGATGATTCCCCGCCTACCACAGGACAGGACAATCCTGACCTGCAAGATGACACTAACTCCCAGGAAGACCAGGATGTGGAGACAGTTCGCGAACAGCTAGCCAGGGAGGAGCCAGGAATCTTCAACGATGGTGACAACAGCAGTTTCGACCTGATCGAAGACGAAAACGGATTCGAGAGATACATTGGAGCTTACGAGAGACTGAAGAACACTGGTCTTTCTGCGGAAGACTTGCCATCTGACAACCCGATCATCAAAGAGTGGATCGAGCCACTCGTTCAGGCCATGACCACATGCGACGACGCGATGGACACGAAGACCCCGAAAGGAAGAACTTCTACTGCCGTCAATCGTATAAAGCGAATGAAGAAGTTCGAGATGGTGCTCGTGGCCTGGAGAGTTGCTGTAGGTTTCCCGACACTGCAAGCTTGAGTTCAATTATTGAATTATACAACGTACATTCCAATTCAAAATCAGGCTGACTATGTACAGCGTGCGGTGCGCGACGCACAGAGTGGCAGAGGTCCCGGTGTTTTGGGGGACAAGAATCAATCACCCGAAAAGTTTGAGTCCTCGGATGACCGACTCCTTGGAGTCATTTCAGTCTTGATGGTGAGCTACCTTTGTGGGACCACTGGTATTTGAACGTCGCTAATCATGTCAAAACAATCAAATACAGGTCTGGAAGAACGCCGTCATTAACCTTATCGACAACTTCGAGAAACATGGTCGCTTGCTAGCTGCAAGCCCGCACGCGGCATTTCAGCGGATGAAGGGCAATCGGAAAACCAACGACGCACAAGCCAAGGTGATCGCTATAGGTCGGAAGATGGATGAATCCAAATCGAGCACTCGGAAGAACCAAGACGAGCGTGTGCGGGAAACTCAGGCCAGGAAGCTCGAGCATTGGAATCAACAAGCCCGCAAGACAGCCCCTACCTCCACCAGCCATCCTTCGACGGGTGGAACCATTCAGCCGGACATGACTCACAAGAAGAACAAATCTGGTTCTCTCTCGAAGACCTTGTCGCTCACGTCTTCCAAGCGTCCCTATAGCATCCACGCCGAGGAGGCCTTGTCCCAAGACGACGAGCGTTCCGATCAGAGCTCCAGCGCCACAACCGCCTTCAAGGGTCACAAGAGACAGAAGCTTGACCAACGAGAGGGAGATAGTCCACTGTACCTCATCGAATACGAAGCTGATGACGAGGAGGGAGACGAGGAGGGAGACGAGGAGGGAGACGAGGAGGGAGACGAGGAGGGAGACGAGGAGGAGTACGAGGATGAGTACGAGGAAGGAGAAGAGTGATCCACCTCAAGCATCTGGAATCGCAGACATCTCACGCTCAGTGGCCGGTAACAAGGCCCGTCGTGACGGGCAGAGCTCGGCGGACTATTTTTTTGGTCGCAGTGCAGACTCTGACTCTGTAGCGCAGCAGTGGGTGATGGAAGCGACCAATACGACATCGAGAGAGAGAGAAGGGGGGAAAAGGCGTTTTGAGCTGTGGGCATTGGGCCTGCGGTATAGGTCGGTTGACCAGAAGTGAGACAAAATTTGGCGAGCAAGAGAAGAAAGCAGAATTATCACAACGCTATGTAGCGTTGGGTTCGGGGCAGAGCGCAAGTCAACTTGGCGGCGTACAGCTCTTTTAGGGGCGGGAGGGAGGTTCTCTTGAGAGATGCGGATCATCGTGTCCAAGTTGATAGACTTTCTCGCCCTCCATAATATAGTAAGGCTTAATCATGATACCAAGTCCCAGCTGCTCGTGAAACCATCGACCAGCCATTTTGATATACCTATTGACGTTCCATCGTCTCTCTAGGGGAGCAACTGACAAAAGCGAGCGCATTTGTCGGAGCCAGCTCTCAAAACTGACACTTAGCCGGAGCCTGAGCATTGCAAATCATTTCAAAGTTTGTAGCACTTCCTGATATTCATAGCCAATAGTAAAAGTACGAGGTTTAAGCACACTACACACACCGAAGGTATGTGATGAAATCCCTCAAGATACAAGCAATGTCCGGACGCCTAGCCAGCCACATATAGTACATCAAACGCCTTCTAGTCATCGCAGACATGAATCTCACAGTGCCTCGATAGCCTTCAGCAGCACCTCTACACCCCCAGCACGGACCTCACTCGTTCCTTCCGCGTCCTTCCGCCCCTTGAGCAGGGACGCAACATCGCTAAGTACACCAAGCGGGATATAACACCCGGTCTTGGCGCGATCCAGGCTCTCCTTGAGGCGGGAGGTGTGCTCCCACTCCTTGGCGGCCACCTCAGCCCTCTCAATTACCTTGTCTGGGATGCCGCACATTGCAGCGCAGTGCATGCCGAATGAGCCTTCGGCCACGCCCTCTTCTAGTTTGTACAAGAATGTTACCCTCCGATTGGCTTCGTCGACGTGGATCTGCATACGCCGCGGTGCAATCTCTGGGTGGTTTTCGAACTCAGTCGCTAGACTATGGTAGTGCGTTGCGAAGAAGCCGACGCAGCCCACGTGTGTTGCGACCTGGTGCAGCACAGCCTGCGCAACGGCAACACCATCATAGGATGATGTGCCGCGGCCTAGTTCGTCCAGGATCACCAGAGAGCGAGGAGTGGCCTCAGACAGGATCTTTTTGGTTTCGGACAGCTCGACGAAGAAGGTAGACTGAGCTGCGAAGATATTGTCATTGGCTCCCAGCCGAGACATGATTCGATCAATTGGTGTCAGCCGAGCAGATACAGCCGGCACGTAGCAGCCGATCTGGGCCATGATGACGGCAACACAAGACTGTACATCGTTAGAATGTTGCTCCAAGACATGATATGGTCTCCTTAAGAACTGTCAAGGCAGAGGTAAAAACTCACCATGCGCAACACTGTAGACTTTCCAGCCGCATTGGCACCAGTCAGCAGATTGATCTTGGCCCCTTCTCCTCCAAGCTTGACGTCGTTGGGAATGAAGTCGTCGACACTATTCAACATGCACGGGTGGCGCAATTCCTCGAACTCCACGACGCTGCGCTCGTGATCAACAAAGACCGGACGGCAGCTCGGCTGGCCTAACGCAGTCGATGACTTGGCAAGGCTGATGAGACAGTCAAGCTGGGCCACGACCCTGATGGCCCGCAGCCAGGTCTCATTGTCTGTGTCGAAGCGCCTGAAGAAGCTCGCGGCCACGTCCTTGATCACTTGCGAGTGAGATTCCTCTGCCTCCTGCAGCTCACGAACTAGCGTTAGAAGGTCCTGGAAATAGTAGCGTTTGACCGCCGCCGTCGCTGACATCTGACGCCAGTCCTTGGGGACTTTCACAGCTTTAGGAACCTCGATCTGGTATATTTCCTTGCCGACGTCGCAAAACTTGAGTTTGGAGCACTTTAGGTTTCCCTTCTGCTCCGCAAGCAAAGCATCAAGGTCCTTTTTGATCCGCTTGATGTTGTCCATGCTATTGTCGAACTCTTCCTCAATACCCCGCTCGGGAATGAACAGCTTGTCTTCACGTGCCTTTCTCTTGTCAAAGGCATTCTTCCAAAAGTCCAGAGGGTCCTTCAGGCTGGGCATTGTTGAAATTAGCCGGTCAACCATGGTGTTGCCGCCCCCAAAAGCGCTCATGAGCGTCATTGTGTAGTCGATCTGCTCGAACCCATCGAGGACTCTGACAAAGTCATCTGGCCTGCAGACGCCCGCATGGATCCGAGAAATCAACCTCTCAAGATCTGGCATCTTGGTCATCTCCGAAGAAAACTGCTCACGGACAGTGCGATCGGCGTTCAACAGGTCCACGGCATCCAGTCGTTCGTTGATCTTGTCGATGTTGCAAAGGGGATGGCAAATCCACTGTCGGAATAGGCGCTTGCCGAATGGTGTAACACACCGGTTAAGCAAGTTGAAGAGCGTGCCCTCGGATCCGCCGTTCACAGTGTTTGAGAAGACTTCGAGGTTGATGAGAGTCTGGCCGTCCAAAATCAGGGTACCGTTCTTGTGAATGGGCGTATACCACTGGAAGTTGCCTTGGGACAAGAGACTTTTCTCCAGCTTTAGAACTCGTAGGTAGTGTATGAGCGCACCCAGTGCTGACATCAACAAGTTCTTGTCTCTGGACTCCTTCAGCACATCTGGCCAGACCTCTTCGTCGACCCCTTCCTGTACAAAGTAGCCACTGCAGTCCAGCTCGCGTCGTGTCTGGTCAGAGCCCCAGAACTCAGTGTTGGATTTGAGGTTGTTCCAGATGGTTGTAGGCGTGGTGTTGTTTTTGAGGATTCGCATTGCCTTGACCGAGATGTGCGACTTCTCCAGCAGAATCTCTCGAGGAGAGATCTGGGCCACAAATGTCTCGAATTTGGTGAGATCGACGTCATCCACGAATTCAGAGACGAAGAACTGTCCCGTGGCAGCATCGACAAATGCAATGCCAAAGGCGGGCTGTCCGTCGATGATACACTCCTTGATGGCGGCACAATAGACGGCCATGTCGTCTTGGAGCATGCTGCCGTCCACCAGAGTTCCGCCAGTGAGGATGCAGGCCAGCTCTCGACGAATGATTTTGTCCTCCTTGCTCTTTGCCGCCTTGGGCCCCTTTCCGTCACGTTCACGCATTTCCTTGCCGAGGGCCGACTCCATCTGATCAACCCGGGCAACCTTGTAGCCTTTCGCGATGAACTGATTGACCCACATGTCGAGTGAACCTTCAGGAACACCGACCATGCGCATGTTGACGCGATCCGTCATCTTCAGATCGAAGAGCTGGTGGCCGAGAGTAGCATCGTTCTCATACAGCTCATAGAATTTGCCTTTTTTGAAAAAGACGACCGTGTCCCAGAGCTTCTTCTTGATGTCCCAGTATTGTTGCTCGAAGGCCGAGAACTTTTGGCTTGGGGGGACATAGAGGGTGCCCGGGTTGAAGTCTGGGTGGCCGGGGGCATGTCGGTCGGCGTCAAGTGGTTCTGCAAGCCAACGGTGCCGCATTTCTGGCTCCTTATCGCAAGCCCTTTCTTTTGATTTTGGGGCTGATGCGTTCGCTTTAGGGGTAGGCGTGATGGCGTGGTGCTGTCGCGTTTCGATATTCTCGGGGTCGTAGCGCCACTGCTGGGCTGTGGATGTTCCCGAGGGTTCGTTCATGAATTCGTCATCATCAATGTCCTCCTCCTTATGACCGGAGATTGGTGAACTCGACGAGGGTTGGCGCTTTCGGGGCGCTGGCGCCGACTTGGGAGCAGGCCGCTTCCTTTTCTTGGACTTCGAAGGAGCATCGGATTCGTCAGACACGACGAAGTCGGCCATATCGTCTATTCAGAAGCGTTAATCGGGCCGCCACATAATGCCTTATCCCATCGCAGGTACATACCATCATCATCGTCGAAAGCATCATCAATGGGACCCTCATACTCGTCCTCGTCCTCATCGTCGTCCAGAACGGCAGCACGAGCACGATTCTTATTCCGTGTCGGACGCGTCTTACGCGACATGATCACTTCGTCTTCGTCGTCGGACGACTCGGCGTAGTTGACAGTTTTCTTGGCCTGGAAATAGTATTGTCAGTGCCTCTCTTTTGTGTGAAATGCTCTTTGCATGAGGACGTACCTTGCGTGAGGGGCTGCTGTTTGCGAGCACCGTGGGAGTGGCTGCTGGCTGGTGGTCGAGCTCAGCAGGTGACTTGGGTGACGGCAAGGAGTCGCTGGGTACCTTGGAGTCAACAGCCATGACGTCGACATTCTCCTGAGAGCTCAAGGGTTCGACTGCATCACTGCTAGGGACGGGAGTAATGTTGGACGGGCGCTTGGCAAAAGACAATGAGTTGGCCTTTGTTGTCTCCTTGAGGCACGACGACGAGACCTTGCCTGCCTTGGAGGTGGATGGTGTGGCAGAGGCAGCTGGGGTCGAGCCATTGGCACTGGAATTGGGCTTCGCCTTGGGCTGGCTGGCCTTTGAGAAGAAGCCCAAGATGCTTTGCTGCTTCGAGGTCGACGAGGGCGTCTTTGCCGGCGTGCGAGCCGAGGCGCTGGCGGTTTTCTCGCCCATTTTCTCGCGGATGGCAGACCAATTCGATTCGATTATACACACATCTGACAGGAATTCAACGCAGAAAGACAAGCACCAACATGCAAAGACCAAATACGTGACAGTCTAGATGTCGCAGGAAGACAATGGCAGGAGAAGGGAGGCACTGAGACAGGCCCTATGCCCATATCCCCAGAATAATGGACCCGTTAAAGTTCACGACGCGGTCGCGGAAGGCGCGTTGTTGGACGTGCAGTCGCGTCCTGCAAGGGCCCTTGTAACGGCATCTAAACGGCGGTAATAGCAGAACGGTGGCCCAAGCTCCAGCTCGAGCTCAACTGGGCCCCCAATTCTCATCGCCCCCAACCCACTCCACCTCTGCTCGGGTGGAGAAAACCCCGGCTCCACCAAAGACGACAGCTCTTACTGTGTAACTTGGACCCAATTCGACTTCAACTCACCTGCATGTATATACACTGCTCTTCCCGCGACAACACCATTTCAATTGCCACGGCAGGGTCTTTGTGTCCTTATCGTGCTAAGACGTTTCGATGTGCCAGCGACGATTTCATCACCAGCAAATAGGTCTCTCTATTCAAACTGTCCCAAAAGAGAGAGACTCATCGAGTCCGCGTGGTACTGCCTCCAGAAGATACAAGTTGAATCAATGAGGAACGAATGCCGTATTTATTTACATAATCCATCACCCCGAACTATTTGCATCTCTCTGATATTGCGAAATGGTCAGGTAGCCATGGACTGAACCCAGGCGGCTCAACCGTCCTGTGATATCACATCGATCGAGTCTTAACCTTTCATTATGGTCTGATCGGACTTCTCGCCGGTTGCTACATTCCCAAATCACGTTGTTTCGGAAGAGCAGGCCCGGCCACGCCGCGTGGCCCCTACGCCCGATCAGAAGCACCTAGCACCCTAGGGCATAAACTCGTTGTGATTGAACTGCGTCTGCATCTGCAACCTCACCTGGTTCCGCACGGAGGACCTTCTGGCGCGTCAAACCATTTATCCTTCATTCACCAAGAGTCTAGTGACGCTGCCGTATTTCTGGGTCAGTGCCGCAATTCATCTTATCACATCAGCCCAGCCTGCCAAGGTCCCAAATCGTTATCCCTTCGGATCTAACGAGGCTTTTTCTGCGGGATTTCCGGGCGAGTTGATACTTTTTGCAAGGCTGAACGCGCCGCAGTACGGAGTGTTCCCGGCAAGTGTAAAATTGTACACTTGGAGCCTCTTGGTACTTGGTCGAAATAGCCGCATGGTACGGTCCTTGTAGCGGTTTGGCTACGTAGACCAATTGCCCACAAGTCCGGTGCCGATTACGTCGAAAATGAAGGTTGCACGCTTATACGTTCATACCCAATACACAACTGGTTAGCCCGGGCTACGCTTGAGGCGGTGTACTTAGTTCATACATCGGCCTAGTCTAGTGGTCCCCGAACCTTAACGTCGCGGATCCGCAACTGTTCTCATGAAAACAGCAAGACCTGGATTTAGTTCCTGGCGATAGACCAACCGAATAAGCCCAATGGCAGTAATATATGCTCTATCTGGATGACAGTTCGATCTCCCGAAAGCATGTTTCGCGAAAAGGAAGAGACAGATAATTCGGCGTTGTCCCATCGACTCTACTCATCAATCTGGGAAACTCTGCAGTCCAGCATTCTCCAGGTGATGAATGACCGTGGCCACGACACGAAACGCGTTTTGAGTGCAAATTTTGCGGTATCAGGAAGCAATATGCCAGACCACACTACATAGAGAACATTGAGTGTTATCTATGTTCGCCGCAATGTTGATCTTGTTCGCCAGACCATTAACGACATGCGAGGCCCGACACAGCTAGTAATTCGTCAACGCTCGCAACACTTTACAAATGGAGCAATCTGTACTTCCTTAGGCGGCATGCAAGAGTGTGGCCTACGCAGGATCCCCTGGATGCACGACGTCGTGTAGTGTCGGTAGGCGACGCCGAGACGGGCCCTCCCCGGTGCCAATCTGGCGTGGTCGCAGTCCTAGGGTAAATAAGGTTTGTCTAACTTCGCGTGTACCGATCCGACTTCCCACACGCCGCCCTCCCCTGCCCTTCCTTGCCCTTCCTAGCTCTTTCTAGCCTTTGGGTAACCTTTCGGTCTCTTGCTACTTCATCACAATGATGGGCTCTTGAGCAGACCTTGGCAACCTTCGACCACAATTCGAGGACGTGGGCGATTCTGTGGAAACTTCAGACCGGAATACAGCTTGCGCCTGAATCGCCCGCGCCTTTCAGACGAGGCAGCCAGAGACACCCAACCAGACTCGATTGCGAGCCCGAGGAAGCTGTTAATCATGCAGTATGACGCCTCGTCCAAGTGCTGCGGTACACTTGCAAGTTGATGATACCTACCTGCCCGAGGTCTGGGTAAGTTGTCTTTTCCGCCCCCAACGGAGAAGTGTCTCCGCCCAGCAATCCGTACCGCAATAGGCCAAAACAAATCTGATCTGCTCTCAGCTCTGGTTTGCAATTGGCGTCGCAGTCATCTTCGCACGGTGGACAGTACGAATCAGGACCGTCGGCTTCAGAGGACTGGACGGTGACGATCTGTTCTCAATTCCGGTAAGTCAATCTGAGGAATGAGGGCGGAGTCGAGGCTGGCCAAACTCACCGGTTCTGATGCACCGATGTGCTTGTGGTAGTTTTTGGGGCTGTGGACAATCAACGCCTTCATCGTCTACGCGACTTACTACTCGGGCGGAAACATCGACGTGACGGCCGAACAAGCTGAACAGCTCTCCGATAGGGACGTATGGGTCCTGGAGTACGGCAGCAGATGGGAATTCGCGTCCTTCTTTACCTACTGCGCGATTATATGTGCGTAGGCAATACCACACAGCTGCACAACAATTTTGTTGGACGGCTGTAACCAATTGGACAGTCGTTGCAGCTGACAATCCATTCACAGGGTGCCTGAAGTTCATGGTTCTCTTCTTCTACCGGCGCCTCAAGGCAGATGAATGGAGGCAGACCGTTCTGACCGTCAAGCGACTATTCTGGATAAACGGCCTGGCCTTCCTCGCCTTGTTCCTGACGGCTATGCTAGGATGCCGACCGTATATTAACCCGACCTCCTTCTCCCTTCCACAGACTCGAGCTGACCTTATCTCCAAGCCTCCGAAATAATTGGGTCGTACGGCCTCTGCCCAGCCGCCGCTGTACGTTTCGTCCTCAAAACTTCTGGGTCCTCGTAATCTTGAACGTCCTCACCGACGCCCTCATCATGACCATCCCGGTTCCCATTCTGTGGCAGCTGAGGGTCTCGAAGCTCCGGAAAGTCGGCGTCTCGCTCCTCCTGTGCTCAGGCGTGTTTGTCATCTCTACCGCTGTGGTGAGGGCCGCCTTTACAATTGCTGGTGCCCCGTCGGTGATTACAATTAACCGTTGGGGATGTAAGTAAATGGGAAATAAGCTTCTTACTTGCAACCTTTATTCCTTCCTTCCGCCTTCGGTCTACCTCTGATAGGCATTTTGGTGGCAAAATTGATAGAAGGGAGTGATCAAGAATTTGAACCTCGGCAATTTCCCAAGCTCTCTTTCTTTTTCAACAATTGTCGAAGGGGCCGACTGCTAACAGAATTCCAAGTTCGCGAGACAGCCGTCGGAATGCTAGCCGTCAACGCCCCAGTCCTAGTACCACTCTTCTCGAAAGCCTTCTGGGCGCGAGGCCCATACCGACCCGGAAATAGGCCAGGCCAAGCACAAGGGGCGGGCGTCTTCGGCGGTGGCAACCATGGGAATAGACGCAGGCCAGCAGGAGCACCCAGGCCGACGGTCTTCGAGATCCCCAGCGAGATGACGTGGACGACACAAGGGGTGAGTTACGGCACAAGCGAGCAGACGGAGCTCAGCAAGATGAGCAGGGCCAGCAGGCCCGGGCACACGAGGGATTTGGAAAAGGGGCCGGATACGATGCCTGGGGCGATTGAGACACAGACGGCAGAGCGCCATGCGGAACCAAATCAGGACGACTTGGCTATTTCACCGGCTCAGGGCGTTGGATGACTGATTGCTAGCTAGGTACACGAAGCGCCAATAAGCCCAAGTTGAATCAATTGCTGTTTGTTGAAACAGGCCTTCTGGTCTTGGCAAGTCTTGAACTTCAACCCCGATCCGTTGAACCTCACACTATATGACGTGGAAGAGTTGGAAACACGGACCATGAACCCAGCTTACAAACCGATAAATAGGGACTGAAGAAGCTAGCAAGATCTGTTCGTGGAATGTGCGTGGCGACTATCGAATTCGACCATTCTGCCCTGACTTCGAGAAATCCGAGACAGATTCATGGGTAGAGGTTTCTTCACGTTGAAGCATTGAAAGCGCCGCTCGTAGAAATGCCTCAACCATTACCACTTGCCGAATACAGTGTCAAATAACAGCAAAGTCGACTCGCAAGCCTTCACGGTCTTTATGGGCCAAATTGGGTTGCCAGCACCTGTTCAGAATACCCGGTTGACACGAGGATGCGATGGAAACTTTCGGGGTTGGTCTTGTGGAAATGCAGTCGAAGTATTCGACCGTCTATCCGTGGATGGGATGTGTCGCGACTTGCACGGGAGTGCGGTGCCCAGTTGTTGATCCGCCATGGTCTTTCGCATACAGAGATATCTAGATATCCTTGAGGATTTGTTGAGAGTCAATGTCACAAATTTGACAGTACATGCTATCCAGGACGGAGTGCAAGACCCCGTTGGTATGGTGGATACATCGAGTGCTAGGGATTGTTCAAATCTTCTGAAGTCTATTGTTTCGCCAGGGGTGAACTAATTTCTGGAGTTCCTGTGTAGATGCTCTAAGTGCTCTAAGTCTATGCAAGTATTTAAAACGCCGAACAGCCCCCTCCCCCAATATTCCCACACTTTTAAACCGCAGATTTTCATTCTGAGCCCGCAACCAGCTTACTCTTCTCAGCAATCTTGCCCGCAAATGTTGCCATCGGCACGGCAGCCAGGATCTCCAGCAGGGCGATGTTCGCCTTGAGCTCCCTCGTAATCCAGTTCCGCACCTCGAGGGCCACGAGCGAGTCAACGCCGTATCTATACATGGGACGGCTAGGATCGACCTCGGACGCTGGGATCTGCAGCATGTCGGCGATCTTGTGGACTAGCGCGTCCAGGATCACTTCGGTCGCCTGCTCGGGGTTCCCGCCAGCCTCAGCAAGGCGCGACGCAAGCGACGCACCGGCGCCCTGCCCGTCTGCCGAAGACTGAGTTGCGACGCTCGTCCGCACGGCCAGGGGTCCCAGCCGCGGGTCGGCAAAGTAATACGGCAGGGACAGGCCATGGGCGGCGATGAGGTCCGCAGAGCCAAGGCCAGTGCAGACCTGGGCGGGGCATTGGTCGGCGGCCGCGTTGTCGCCGTCGCGCTGACGCGCGATCAGGCTCTTGATAAGCGCATGGAAGGCCGGCTCACGGATTCCAATGACGTCCTCCCACTGCGACAGGTTGTTTCCGACGCCAGCTGACTCGGCGATGGCGCCGACGTCGCGCATGATGCCTAGATTGACGGCCACGGCCTTGAGCCCGCGTGCGCGCCGGTACGATGCCAGGGCGTCCTGGTACGTGTTGCCAGCCGCGTACTGCGCTTGCCCGGCGTTGCCGCATACGCCTGACACAGATGAGCAGGCGATGAAGAAGTCAAGCGGCCGCGACTGGTCGAAGAAGCGGTGCAGGTTCCACGTGCCTTGGACCTTGGGCCGCAACGGCACGCTCCAGTCCGCGTACGACATGTTCTCAATCACGCTGTCGCGCAACACCATGGCCATCTGCACGACTCCGCGGATGGGTGGCAGCTCGCGTGAGCACTGCTCCATGGCGGCGAGGAATGATGCCTCGTCGGCAACGTCGGCGCGGTAGGTCCTGACCAGGGCACCTCGGGCAGAGAGCTCCTCAACAACCTCGCGAGCCTCAGCGCTGGCAGCGCCTGACCGAGAGATGAAGGCGATGTGTTGTGCACCGCACGCGACAAACTCTCGCGCGAGACTTCGGCCCAGACCGCCCAGACCACCAACAATAAGATAGGTAGCACGGGAGTCGAGCTTGAGGGCATCCTTGGCACGACGATAGACCTTGGCCTGGGCGCCGTCAGGGAATGACAGGGCGAGTTTGCCACGGTGCTTGCCGCGCTGCATGGTGCGGAATGCGGACTCGATCTCGCCGACAGGGTAGGCGGTCAGGGGGCTCGGCGCATAGAGCACGCCCTTGTGCACGAGGTCGAACGTGTCCTGCAGGATCTGGCCGGCGATGTCTTTGTGGTCGTCGAAGAAGTTGGTCAGGTTGATGAAGGCAAAGGTGGTGCACTTAATGAAGGGTCGCATATCGAGGCGCATGTTGTTGGTGATGTCGCGCAGACCAATCTCAACAAACGTGCCAAACATGGCAACGCACTCCCATGACGCTCGCAGGAGCTCGCCTGAAAGAGAGTTCAGAACACAGTCGACGCCACGCCCGCTGGTCACGCGCTTGATGGCCTTGACGAAGCTGGCATCTCGCGAGTTGAAGATGTGCGTTGCGGGCACGCCGTACTTCTCCATAACTAGAGTGCGCTTGTCCTCGCTGCCGACAGTCACGTAGGCCACGAGGCCAAGGTGCTTGGCCAATTGCAGCGCAGCCTGTCCGACTCCGCCCGCCGCCGCGTGAATCAGGACTGACTGGCCGGGACGGAGCTTCGCGACGTTAACGAGGGCGTGATACGCTGTTGCGTGTACCGTTGGCAGGACGGCCGCCTCCTCGAAAGACATTGTGTCGGGGATCTTGACGGCGAGGCGGTGGTCGCTTCGAAGCCTGGTTGCGTGCATTCCCTCTCCGGATACGACAACGCGGTCTCCGAGCTGGAATCGACCTGCAGCCTTGCTGCCCACAGCGACGATGGTGCCGCTTGCTTCGTGGCCAATGAGTGACACCTCAACCAAGCCCATGGAGGCCATGACATCTTTGAAGCTGCACACAGTGTTAGCGATTATCCCCTATTGAATGTGTCCAACAATGGATAATAGACCTACTTGACACCCGTTGCCTTGACATCCAACTCGATTTCCATCTCCCCAAGCGGAGCGTCAAAACGCTCATCGTGAATGAAAGCCAGCGAGTCCAACAAACCCGGCTTGCCAATAGTAAGTCTGAGGGCCTCAGGCGTGTCGGTGTCGTTATTTTCTTTCAAAGGCTGCACGCGAACGGAATCCTCAAGGCAGTAACGGACTGCCTTATTCCCCTCGACGCTGTTGAAAAAGCGGCTGACGGTGAGCAATCCGTCCTGCTCGCGGAACTCATCGTCTTTGGTCTCGCAAGTCACGAGGCGGGTGGCCAGGGACGGCCCATGTCGCAGCGCCGTGTCGGGAGTACTGAGATGCATGACCTGGAACTTGAGGCTGGCGTTCTCGTTCCTCGCCGTCCGCGAGAGACCATCGATCACGGCCATGGAAGGGTTGTCACTGCCAGTGACCCAGAGAAGGCGCTCGCTGGTGGAGACTAGCTTCTTGACCTTGTCGAAATCGGGCTCAGAGAGATCGTCCAGCAACGGATTCTCCAGCTCCACGAGGGAGATGAAGGTCTTGCCCTCGGTCTCATTGGCACCTTGGATGCTGAAGTCTGCCCACGACATGGCTGCTGAGCTGTGGTTTTCATCCCTGAGAGCCTTCTGCAAGGCGCTGGAGAAGGACTTGATGGGGGTCGAGGGTGTAGTCGGCTCAATGACGATGAAATCGCGTGTGCTTGAGGACGTTCCATTGACTCCGTTGACGCCATTGCTTTGCTGCTCCGGTTGCTGCTTGTAAAGCGCAGCGCCCTCGACTCCGAACACAGGGCGGAAGCCCTTGGCCTCCAACGCAGGTCCGGCTTTGGCACCGACAGAGAGAATTATGGCCGCATCCGGCTTGGAAAGGCCAGCCAGGCGAGCCAAGACTTTGTCCAGGTCCTTCAGTGTACTCACTGACTGAGGGACCACCAGCAGATCAGCTGGCGTGGTATCAGCAGGCAAGGCCTCGTCGGCACCGCCGAGCGAGAATGCATCACCGAACAAGGACGACTTGTCCAGCTCAGCATTAACGCCCGCAGCGACAGCGTACTTCACCTGGCTCGGAAGGATGGTACCCTTGGGAAGCCTTGACACGATCGCATGAGGGAGCGCCTCGCTGTCGGAGACGAGTTCAATAACAGTTGCTGCGGGATTGTCGTGAATGAGCATGTGAAGGAGCTCGGCAGCCCTTTCTTCCTTAGCAGCTGCTGAGACGACCTTGGCGATTTCATCGGGCTTCATCACCTCGAGCGCATAGTTCCAGCGAACCTCGGAGGTGATCTCAGCCGGGTCGACCTCGATCTTGCCATCGTCCTGCTTGTCATCGTTGCCCAGCTCCGTGAGACGGAAGTCGGTCATGGACAGGAATGTCTTTGAGACAGTGTCATCGAACGAGACGATGTTCGAGGAGAGCGCATTAAAACCGAGCTTCTTGGACACGCAAGATGTGTGAAGCACGTAGCCGACGTCGTCGGGGATATCCAGAGAAATTTCCATCTCGCCGATGTAGGTGGGCAGCAGCGGCTTGTCCTGCTGGAACGTCTTGTTCTTGTAGGTGCCGCCGAGCGCGCCGTGGATGATGGCGTCGAGGGCGGCCCCGTGGATCAGGAAAGGCCGCTCCAGGCCCCGGCTGTACGTCTCACCAATGTCAGCAAGCTTCACGTCGTATGCTGTCTGGCCGTCGCCGAGATGGACCTTCTCAACGCCCTGGAAGAGCTCGCCATAGTTCCATGAAATCTTGGCACACTGGGCGTAGAACTCCGTCTTGGACAGAGTGTCGGGGCACTCCTTAACGATGCGGTGGAAGTCCGTGATGCGGGCAGTCTCGAGCTCAGCATTCTCGTGGGCCATCTGCGGGCTCGTCGACTCCTTGTACTCGATAGCGATCAAGCCACGGCAGTTATCACGCAGCTGCTCAACACCGACACCCGACGAGATGGTGAACTCCCACCACGCAGACGAGCTCGAGCCGGACGTGCCGACAAGGTGCGGCCGCAGAGTCGTAATGACCTCGGTAGCGGCGTCTTCGGGCAGGGCCATGGCTGCGAAGAAGGAGACCTCGCGAAGGCGCAAGGCGCGTGGCGTCTTCTCGGGCTCGGCCAGCTGCTGTGCGGCCGCCAGTGCCATGCTGACCATGCCCGCCGCCGGCAGCAGCACCGTGCTGCCAATTGTGTGCCCGCGGATCCACGGCTCGTCATCCAGCCGGATGAAGTTGCGCCACACGTGCTGCGTCTCGTCCATCATGGCATTGTGCGCGCCCAAGAGGCTCTTGTTGGGGAATTGCCGCGTCATCAGCTCCCTCTGGATGCGCGTCTCATGCCGGAAGGCCTTGGTATGGTTCCATTGGTAGGGGGGCAGGTCGACAAGCTGGCGCGTGTACAGGTCGCCGTTGACCTGGCTGATATTCAACGGAACGCCAGCGAGGAATAGGTTGGAGGCAAGCTTCAAGCTTGTCTTGAGTGCGTCCTTGCCGCGAGTAAGAATGGAGTCGTAGTCAACCTTTTCGATACCGTGGTGGCTCAGGATTTGCTCGACTGGCCCGCCAAGAGCGCTGTGAGGTCCAACCTCAATCAGGAGGTCGACCGTGTTGCCCTCACCGTCGTCATCTGGGGACACGAGCTCCTTGACAGCGTCGGAGAACAGCACAGGCGAAACCAGGTTGCGCACCCAGTAGTACGGGCCCAGTGCCTCAGGGCTAATCTCGAAGCCCGTGACACTCGATACCATCGTGCCCTGGTCCTCACGTGCCGGAAGGGGCTCAACATCGGAAATGGTCGACAGGTAGTGATCCATTACCTTGTTCATGTGCGAACTGTGGTAGGCCATCTCGACCTTCAGACGCCGCGCAAAAACCTTTCGCTCGTCCAGCACAGCTCGGAGAATATCCAGTGAGTCCACATCGCCCGACAGCGTTACGCTCGACGGGGAGTTGACGCAGGCTACTGTAGCCTTGCCGCCGCCACTGTTGAGCTTAGACTGCTGCGCAATCAGCTCATCGGCCTCGTCGCGCGAGCAACCTACAGCCATCATGCCGAGTTTGAGGTCTGGCGACTCGGTGCGCAGCTTAGTAGCAGCCACACCTCTGAAGTAGGCAGCCGCAATGGCATCCCGGTGTCCCAGGGCGCCAATACTGTAAGCCGCAGCGATCTCACCGCTCGAGTGCCCGACCACCCGGGACGGCGTGATGCCCCAAGCTCGCAGCTCGTCAACCAGGGCGATCTGGAGCACCGAGCAGATAGGCTGACTGATCTCAGGAAGGCCAAGGCGCGAGCCATCCTCCTGGCTCTTGAGCAGCTCGGTCGCGGGGTCCCATGTGCAGCCCATGTCGCTGAGGAATTGGGCTGATTTGGCCACTGATGCACCGAAGACGGGGCGGTCTAGCATCTCGACGCCCATGCGTGCCCACTGGGCTCCTTGACCCGTGAAGACGAAGCCAATGCGCTTTGAGCCGGTGCTTGAGCTGGTGTCTCGGGTGGCGCCATCGCCTGGGCGTGTGGTCAGGTAGTCGCGAAGCTCTGTTGCGCTGTCCGCGACACAGGTGGCCCTCCATGAGAGGCGTGATCGCGCCCCGGAGAGGGTGTGGGCCAAGTTGGCCAGGAATTCAGGGCTCGAGGCTGCCGGGCCTTGGCTTGCTAAGTGCTCGGCTAGCGCCGTAGAGTTGCGCTTGAAGCCAGCCTGGTCGTAGCTGCTGAAGGTGAAGAGGCGCGCACTGCTCCGTGGCTTGGACAAGGGACCACTGCCGTTGAGCAGCTTCACGGTGCCGTTACCATTGATCGCGGGTGATGGATTGAAGGCTTCCAGCACTACGTGGCCATTCGTACCACCCATACCGAAGCCATTGATGCTCACACGCTTGGTGCGGGCCATTGGCCATGGGGTGAGCTCAGTAGGAACCGCCATGTTCCATTTGTCGAAAGGAATGGCAGGATTAGGGTTGTGGAAGCGGACGTTTGGCGGGATCAGGCCGTGCTCCAAGGCCAAAACGCCCTTGATTATGGATGCTACACCGGCAGCAGGCTCCAGATGACCGATCTAATTCGGGCCGTGTTAGTTGAACGTTGATTTACATTGGACTGTGGGTGGAGATAATCTCACGTTGGGTTTGGCGCTTCCCATCCACAATTTCCCTCGTCTGGACGCCCCCTTCCCGATTGTGGAATAGATTGCCTCGGCCTCAATGGGATCTCCAGCCTTGGTGCCAGTGCCGTGCGCCTCGACATATTGAGTCGAGCCAAAGTCTAGCCCATGAGACTCGTATACATGCTTGATGAGGGCCGCCTGGGCCTCAAGCGAGGGCATCGTCACTGTAGACGAGAGACGGTTATTATGGTTGGCTCCTTATCATGGCTTGAGTAATGCCGAATACTTACCTCCTTGTGTATAGCCATCAGAGTTGGCGCCAGTGGCTCGTATCACAGAGCGGATGTTGTCGCCGTCTGCGAGCGCCTTGTCGAGTCGCTTTAAGATGATGATACCACAGCCCTCCCCACGACCATAACCGCCCGCGCTTTCATCGAAGGCTCTCGATTGTCCGGCTGGGTTGAGAAACGACAGGTTCGCCAGATGCTATATTGAATTCATGTTACTATAATGTTCTTTTGAAATGGAATTGAAATAGGTCTAGAACCATATCCAAGCAAGGGATAGGAATTGGCACTGCGAGAACAGGAAGTTGGGGCCGAATATGTCGACGTAAGCACAGCAGGTTGAAAACCATGTATCTAGCTCTCGACGTTTTGGGGGGTGGATAGAAAGCAGAAGATGGGATTTTGCAACTCACTGTTGTGAAGTCAGGTGTGAGCATCAGACCAACACCGCCAGTGATAGCCATATCTGCCTCGCCCGACTTGATGCTTTGCACAGCCATATGGGTAGCCATAAGGCTGGACGAGCATGCCGTGGCAACGGTGGCGCTAGGGCCGTGGATGTTGAGGAAGTGCGAGATGCGGTTGGAGATCATCTCCTCGCCGGTGCCGAGAAGATGGTATTTTGGGTTCTGCATGAAGTCTCGTATCACAGAGTCCCTGTAGTCGCTCACCGCGGAGCCGATATAACACGTCGTCTGGGTGCCCCAAACGTCCTGAAGGCTAAGATTGGCGTTCTCGAGGGCCTCGTACATAACTTCCATTGCAATTCGCTGCTTAGGGTCCAGAGCCACTGCCTCGGTTGCTGTGATGTTGAAGAAGGCCGCATCGTAGACGTAAGGGTCTTCTTTGAGGAAGTGCCCGCCCTTCGTTGGGATAACATTGGTGCGGGTGGTGTTGGGGTGGTAGAAGGCGTCCGAGTTCCATCTGCTCGATGTTGGGGAGTAGGCATCTGGCTTCATATCAGCAAAATTTCACTATCCAGAGCCCTCAACCATTGAGGTTGAGTTGCTGCTTACCTCTGCCCTCCTTGAGCATGTCCCAGAACTTGGACGGGGTGCTGGCGTCGCCGGGGAACCGACATGCCAGCCCTGCAACCGCGATGGGTATGTCGTTGGCCATCTTCGCAGAAGGCATCTTAACAACAATACTCCTTGAACTGCAATGGCTTGGTCGAGATGGCAATCAGTTTGACGGACGAGCGACGGCATATATGTCTAAGTGCCCTCTTTTCGTCTCCCCTGAATGGATGTGGTATCCTGGGCCTATTTTCCCTGTCCTACTCACGCAGACAGCATACTTCCACTACTCAGCACATTCCGTATGACTGCAATGTGTCTTGTCTCACTCGTTTGCCCTCGGTTGAGTAATCCCATTGCATCAGCAACAGCATTCCCGAAAATCGATCGGGCACGCATATCTCATCCTACGGCCGGCGGCTGAAAGAAAAGCGAATGGATAGACGGATACCTGCGTATGTCTCTGAAAGCTTATCTTTGATCACAGCATGCGCATCGCCACATGGCGACTGAAACAGCTGAAATAATGCCCAGGTAGGTAATGATTGCTATACCTCAGCCGCAATTTTGGGAGAGAAAGCCCTACGCAGTGTAACGCGGGATCCCCGTCGGGAATCCCACCAGGCGAGTGGGTCAGCTGACATCGGCAACGTGAGAGAAAAGTCGGGAAAGGATATCAAAATAATGGGGATTAAGAACAGATAAGCGCTGAAAAGGACGCGGGACGCTTGTCCAAAAAGGGCCGGAAAGATGTTGTAAGTGCGAAAGGAACAGGAGGGTTGAATGAAATTACAATAAACAAAAGGGAGCGTATGCTGCACTTCACTTGACTGTCTATCATGTTGTAGTCGACATCCGCAGCGATTCATCGCACCCATTCAGCAACAATGGGCTCAACTCATCCTACTGTCCTCCTCTTTGGGGACGTCACGGAGGCATGGGTTGATGGCATGGATTATGTCTGTGGCCAGGCTATCACAACGCCATGGCTTCAGTCCTTTTTGGGAGACCTGTTCTCTGCCTTCACGGTCGAAGTGAGAGGCATGGAACGCTTCTTGCGAGAAAGCTTCGGAGTTTGTTCCAGTTTCCAAGAGCTCGCTCAGAAATATCGCGACTCGGGTGACCAGGTCGGCATGGTCCACGCCATGCTTCTATATGCCGTGAGAGCGGCACTGCTTTTAGAGTGCGTTTTCTTATCCTCTCTAGCCCGGGCCCTGACTTTGAACAAAATTAGTCTACTCGCTTCAAGTCGCTGACATTGTGAAGGACCGCGAACCGTGAACCACTATTACTCAACCCAGGCGACGGCAGGCCAGAAACACACCTGATCGGTATCTCTGGCGGTCTGTGGAACGCTGTTGCTGTACCAACTTCAGCCAACTTCAGCACCTTATACGATACATGTATCGAGGCCGGTCGGGTGTACGCGCGACTGTGCAACCTCACTTTGGTACGATCAAGAGCTATGGAGGACCGCCCTGGCGTATGGGGTTGGGCTGTCGTCGGCGTCGCAGCAGATGAGCTGGAGAGGACACTAGAGCAGTTCCAGCATGCTATGGTAATTAACCTTTTCCTCTTGGCCACAAAGAAGCGAATGAGAATTAGTATACTGACCTGAGGTGCATGAACAGGGCGTTCCTTCTTCCAAAAGAGTCAAGATTGCCATTACAGGAGACCGATGGAGCACCATAATAGGGCCGCCTTCGGTCTTGGAGCTCGTCTTCAGCCAGTGCTCTGAGCTGAAAAGAGTCCCAAAGAACGAGCTCACTGGCATCCGTGCCATGCAGCACACCCTCGACGTCACTGAAGCTGATATCGATTATGTCGTGGGCAACTCCACACTCTTGTCCACGCCCCTTCGGCCTGGATACAAATTGTGGGCCTTGGCTGGGGATGATGCCAAAGCCACCTACTCAAATTGGGGACACCTTCTGAGGGTGGCGGCATTGCAGACCTTATCACAGAGATTGCACCTCGTACAGACCATTGGCAAGCTCAGCGCCCACCTCGGAACGTCACAGCATATCGACGTGAAGATGATGGGCCCCAGCGGCCACGCGCCTTACCTTGTTAATATTCTTAAAGCTGGCCTGGGGGCGTTGACAAGGCACGTGTCAGTTGACGATGACCTGGCTGCCCATGCTCAAGCCCAGATACCATCGAGCGACAACATCCGAGAGGGTGCTATCGCCGTCGTGGGAATGTCGGGGAAAGGGCCTGGCAGTGAGGATATCGATGAGTTTTGGAACGTCGTCGCGACCGGTCAAGACTGTCACGAAGAGATTCCCGCCGATCGCTTCGACCTCAACGAATACTACTGCGTCAAGCATGGTCCTGGTGGTCCAGGCAAATGCACCATGACTTGCCGGCACGGATGCTTCATCAAGAACCCGGGCCACTTCGACGCCAAATTCTTCCATATTTCGCCACGCGAGGCCCTGCTGATGGATCCAAATCACCGCCTGTTTCTGATGAATGCGTATGAAGCTCTCGAGACAGCTGGGTATTCGGCTGGCCAAACCAAAAAGACAGACCCAGATAAGATGGCAGTTTTCTTTGCCCAGAGTGCCGACGACTGGCACAAAGTCAGCCACCACGCGCTTGGGTGCGATGCGTACACGATGCAATGCATCCAGCGCGCCTTTGGCCCGGGCCGGTTAGCCTTCCAGATGAAGTGGGAGGGGCCGACCTACGCGCTGGACTCTGCATGCGCGGGAGCAACCTCGTGTATACATCTCGCCTGCATGAGCCTGCTCTCGCGGGACGTTGATATGGCCGTTGCTGGTGCCACAAACGTGCTGTCAGACCCACACTCCTTCACTATCCTCAGCAAAGCGGGCGTTTTGTCCGAGACAGGTAACTGCAAGACATACCGCGACGATGCTGACGGCTACTGCCGAGCTGACTTCAGCGGTGCCGTTGTTCTCAAGCGGCTCGAAGACGCGATCGCCCATAACGACAACATCCTGGCGGTCATCGCATCGTCGGCCAGGAACCACTCTGGCAACTCGACATCCATCACCACGTCGGATGCGAATGCTCAAGAGCGACTGTTCAACAAGGTGCTTCGGAACGCGAGGATGGCCCCTAATGATATTTCGTATGTTGAGATGCACGGAACAGGAACCCAAGTCGGTGACAAGGCAGAAATGGGTGCAGTTTCCAAAGTCTTTTCGCCTAGGCCAAATGGCGAACCTCTGCCAGTGGGAGCCATCAAGGCCAACATCGGCCATAGTGAAGCAGTGAGTCACCTTTTTCTTGACTATATGGGAGGTGTGTCGATACTAGACGCTGACCCGAGGGTTGTATATAGGCTGCTGGAATGTCCTCGGTGCTCAAGAGCGTTCTTATGCTTCAAAAGGACATTCTCCCGCCTCAAGCGGGCATGCCGCATAGCATGAACCCTAACGTTCAGAAGTTTCTGCAGGAAGACAGCAGCATTGTGATCCCCACGGAGCCAACTGAGTTTAAAGCGGTGGCTGACAAGCCAAAACGCATTCTGGTCAACAATTTCGACGCCGCGGCAAGTCTTCTCCTTCACACAACTTGGTAGTTGTCAAACTAACCGTGGCTGTGAATCTCCAGGGCGGAAACGCATGCGTAATTCTCGAAGAATACAAGCGAGATCCAACAAGTTCAAAAGGAGCGGATGCCCGGTCGACTCATGTTATTACAAGCTCAGCTAGGACGCCGTCGTCGCACCTTGCCAACATGCGTCGACTTGCCGGGTGGATGCGAGCCAACCCTGAAGCTCGGATCCAAGATATCGCCTACTCGACTACAGCCAGGAGGGTACACCACCCCATCAGGTTCGCGCTTGCAACATCCACGCCGCAGGAAGCCCTGACCAAGCTCGAGGCCGAGATCGAGCGCGCCAGCTCCGCCAAATCCACGCCCGCCAATGTAGTCTTCGTCTTCACTGGTCAGGGTTCCCACTATGCTGGTATGGGCGCGGAACTGTACAGGACGAGCCCCGTCTTCCGTAAGACTGTCGACCTGTGCGTTGCGCTGTGTGCCAGCAATAAGTTCCCGCCTTTCCTGGACATCATCACCGATAGCGACGTCGACGTATCAGCTAAGGACGCTGCGCAGATCCAGCTCGCCGTCGTCACGCTCGAAATGGCACTGACTGCTTTCTGGCGATCTGCTGGTATCGTACCTGCAATGGTCATGGGCCACAGTCTGGGAGAATATGCCGCTCTGCACGCTGCGGGCGTCCTTTCGCTGACAGATACCTTGTACCTTGTCGGCCAACGGGCCAAGCTGCTCTTGGAGCGATGTGAGCCCGACTCCTGCGCCATGCTCTCAGTTTCTGCTCCGGTTGCAACCGTAGAAGGCCACCTCGCCAAGCTCGGAGACTCTTCCTGTGGCATCGCTTGCATCAACAGCCCGAGCGCCACCGTCATCAGCGGAACGACTGAAGATCTGGCACAGCTTCAGGGAAACATAACATCCCAGGACGCAAAGACGCGCACCAAAATGCTTGCTGTGCCGTTCGCATTCCATTCGTTCCAGATGGATTCCATACTGCACGACTACAAGGCCCTGGCAAGCGGCGTAACCTATTTGCCGCCCAAGGTGCCCGTGGCGTCAACACTGCTCGCATCTCTGGTCGAGGGACCCGGCGTCTTCGGCGAAGACTATCTCGTGCAGCAAACGCGCCAGGCTGTGGACTTCTGTGGAGCCCTCAACGTTGTCAAGTCGGCGCTGAAGGACCCGGTCTGGCTCGAGATCGGCCCAGGGCCGGTATGCACCTCGTTTGTGCGAGCCACCCTCTCGCCTCCACCAGCCAAGATCAACCACACCATCGATGCAAACACTAGCAACTGGGCATCCATTTCCAAGAGCCTCGCTGCCGCTTATACAAGCGGCGCTGACGTCGATTGGCTCGCCCTGCATGCTCCGTACGAGAGCAACCTCGAGTTGCTGTCGCTGCCGACCTATGCATGGGATGTCAAGGACTACTGGATAACCCATACAGACAAGAACAGCGCGCTGGTTCCTGCCGGCAGCCAGGCTGCAGTCCCATCCGAGCCCTTCCTGGCCACGACCGCGCAGTATCTAGTCGAGAAGAGCCTCGCCCCCAAGGTTCAGGTTACTTTCCGAGCCGGCATTTCGGACCACGGGTTCCTGGGCCTCATTGACGGCCACAAGATGCAGCAGATAGGACTTGCTTCGGGCAGTGTGTTCAGTGATGCTGCCGCAACAGTTGCCAAGTATGCGCTCGAATACAGTGGCAGGAAGGACGTGACAGCAGCCCATCTCACATTCCATGATCCAGAGCTTCTAGCTCCACTGACCAGAGATCTCGTCGGCGTCGATGGCGAGCTGCTCTCCACAGCCACCATGGACAGCGCGTCTGCCGACAATGTTTTGATTACATTCAAGGCCACTTCAAAGCGCGGCGAGTCCCACGATCTCGGGTCGATGAAAATCAAGTACCGCAACCCTGAGAGGGCCAAAGCCGACCTGGACCGCGTATCATTCTTCATCAAGGCCAAGATGGAAGACCGCATCCGGCTTTCAAAGGAGGGTTCGGGCCACCGGATCCAGCCCGACGTCTTCTTCGCGCTCTTCGCCAACGCAGTCGAGTTCTCGCCCGACTTCCGCGGCGTCCAGGAGGCGTACATATCCAGCGACTTCCAGGAGGCCGCTGCGACGATCGTGCTTAAGCCAGACCCGATGGGCACGCGCTTCACTTCATCGCCATACTGGGGCGAGGCCCTGCTGCACCTTGCAGGCTTCATGGTCAACGGCAACCCTGCCAAGCCGGCCCAGTCGACTTTTGTCGTCATGGGCTACGAGAGCGTCGAGCAGCTGGCCCCTGTTGAGCCTGGCAGGCAGTACCTGACCTACACGCGCATCTCGCGGTGGGAGAAGGATACGGCCTTCTGCGCTGGTTATGTCTTTGACCCGTTGACTTCCAAGATCGTCATGCAGGCTGTTGACCTGCGCTACCAGGAGTTCAAGACGGCCACCTGGCGCCATATTCTCGACGGACCACATGCCGGACCCCAGCATGGAGCAGCAGCTCCGCGAGCTCAAGCCCACCAGCCGGCTGTCAAAGAAGCCAAGGTCCAACATGAGGAGCTACCTGCTGCGTTGGCCGCGACGACTGCGGAAAAGCAGTCGAGCACTGCGCAGGATAATGGAGAATTCCAGATCATTGTGGACAGTCTCGCTACAGCGACCGGAAGTGACCCTTCCGAGTTCACAGATGACACATTGATAGCAGACATCGGCGTCGATTCGATCATGGCCATCGAAGTGGTTGCTGCTGTCAAGGAGTTGGGCGTCGATCTTCCCGCCGCGTTTGTTTTCGACTACCCCACAATCGGCGACCTCCGCCGCGAGTTTGGCGGACAGGGCGCCCAGGCCCCGGAGAACGACTTCAGTGACACCTCTTCTAGTGAGGATGAAGATGAAAACGCACTGTCTCCCACTCCAGATGCAGACGAAGACTTTTCACCCATCTCGGTGCCGGAGTCGGTCACTTCCTCGGCCTCAAGTGTGGTCCACGTCGAAAAGGAGCCTCCCACCCCAGCGCCTGAGACGGACGGTGACGATGGTGACGATGAGAACGACACGTCGCCGCAACCCAGCGTCAGGATCACCCTGCTACAAGGCCGCCCGAATGCCGCCAAGACACCATTGTATATGATGTCAGATGGCACAGGTACCGTGGCGTCCTTTATTAACTTCCGGCCCTTCAAGTCAAAGCAAGCTGTCTACGGCATCGACTCGCCGTTCTTCCGATGCCCATCCCGTATGACGAGCAAGGTAGGCATCGTCGGCGTAGCCAAGCTAGTCGTCGATGCACTGATCAAGGCGCATCCAACGGGGCCCTTCATGATCGGCGGGTACTCGGCAGGCTGCCTCGTGGCCTTCGAAGTCTCACGACAACTAGCCGTCGCAGGCCGCAGCGTTGACGGCCTCCTGTTAGTGGACATGTGCTGCCCGCGGACGCGGCGGGCGGACCAGCGCACGCTGCTGGCCGAGGATGAGTTTAGCTACGCGGTGTTCGAGGCGGCAGTGGCGCGCGACGGGCTGTGGACCTCGCTAGGGTCGCAGCGCGACCACTTTCGCGCCTTCTTCGTCGCCATGAACGAGTATACCCCGGTGCCCATGACGCCTGCTGAGAGACCGGCCCGCACGGCTGTCATTTGGGCTGAGCGCGGGCTCGTCAACCGCGTGTCTGACGACCCGGCGCTCATGGAGAAGCTGGATGGCCAGGGCGTCCCTACCAAGCCGTACGCGGGCTTCATGGAGGATCCTAAGCTCGGCACGTTCGCGTGTCTTGTTCCCGACAAGGGTCAGAACCTGGGCCCCAACGGCTGGGAGAAGTATACTGGCGGGGATGTCATGGCTCTGTCTGTGGCCGGGGATCATTTTGAGCTGCCGATGCCTGGCCATGTCCATCTGCTCCAGGCGCAGATGGAGAAGGCCTTTGCGTATTTTACCCCGAACTAGGATTTTAGGAGACTGGATATTCCATTGATACTGTTTTCTTGTTATGTATGGTGTTTTGGGTTTCTATATAGACTGAAGACTTGAGCTCTGGCGGACAATCGAGCATAGATAGATTAGATGAAGCTTGCCAGAGCGAAATTGATATGAATAGATGTCATTGGGTGCTGTTGAGATCTGTTTTGGATGTTTGTACTTTAATACATAAAAGATTTCCAGCCTTGGCTCCGCGTGTACAAGTTGATGAGGTAAGATATAGTAAAATGCCATGAATTCCTGATGGACCAAGTTACGACAAATTATATAAATTGTATCAAGGTTCCAAACGTGATTCCCGAATCAGAACGCTGAAGTTCGCAGGCAATCTCATCTGAGGTTCAGGGAGCAGCGAGAGCTATGTGTCATATCGTTTTCCGATCATCAACTCTCACGCCTGGATCGAGCACTGGTCTCCCTTGTCCTATATATGAGCGTATTAACCATGTGAGCAAAGAGGGCAGGTAGAGAGCCATTGTCAGTCGCTGGTAAAAAAGGACGGCCAGAATTGAACAATCAAACAAGGCGACTTGCATTGCGCTACCTTCGATGTCCCACTTGAAGGCAATTCAACATCTTCTCCCGCGGCTGTGAACGCATAATTGACACCTTCTTAAGTAACTGGCTTGCAGCAAAACATGATGTCTTTATGTACGTAAGACACTTATTGCACGAAGGTCTGACCGTGATAATATACACTGATATCCTTGAAAGTGCAATGTGGCACCTTGGGTCCAAATCAAACGGCAGGACGACAGGTCTGCACAATTGTACGGGTAGCTGAAAGAAAGTTTACTGAATCCTTCGCTCTGGAGTGGCCAGGAAGCAGGATTTCGGCAGTCTTTTGGGACCCGGCATTAATCAATATCAGAATGCTCGGAATAGATGTGTCCGATCCCGACACGATTCCTGAGAGCTTTCAGGTCTCTGAGAATGTGACAGTCAAGCGGGCGTTCTAGACTTGATTGCTATTGCGGCGGCAGTCGCTGCTTGCTAATAACCAAACACGATATCGAGACCTCTTCTTCACGTAAACATGTCGCTTGAGCACAAACGGTCGCGATAGATGAACGGTGGAAAAATTCGATGTGCCTTTCCCAGGTGAATGTACGACCCTAGCTCGATGGCAAGAATCGATGCATTTCACTCCCCGGATCCCTGCATCATTTGAATGAAGCGAAATAATGCCTGTCAAAACATTTAGTACAATGTGATGAAAGATTACTCCTGGGTCATTGACTCAGTTGTGTTTACTCCTATTCACAAATATCTCCTCGCCCCCTCAGCTTCTTTCTTCGTCTCAGGAGACTGGTTGCCCATGTTTTTCGCGATCAGTATTCAAGATTTTCATTGGCCCGTTGGGTGGTGTGACCTTAGGCAGCGGAAGCCTGAACGGTTGTGATTTGTTTGCAGCACGTTGGACAAAGCACTACACGACTGCGTCCCACCAATCACCGCCCTTCAAGTATCGGTGTGGAAGGTCATCCTGACACATGGCCATTGCGAGCGCAAGCACACTCGCGCCTGCGCTTGTGAATTAACTATATATAATTTGCGAGTGTTCTAGTTGAGGAACTTCACAGGATTCGACTTCAGTCTCTATGATTTCCAAGAGGCCTCTTCGCATCTCTCTGTGGCCCCCACCCAGCTACCAAACCAAGTCCGTGAGTAGCGTCTCGACCGGATAGGGTATGACATGTGTCGACTTTCTAACCTCAATTTTAGAGCCATGCTTCTGCAAAACACTGAGAGATTGGATCGTCACTATTTGAGATCGTGTCATTGTCCAAATGCTGCTGCGCAGGGACCATCGTGTCCGCAGCGAATGACGAACTTGGACACCCAAATGCATCCGCAACCTGGGGAGCAAGATACAGACTACGACTTCGTTCTGCGGACTTGCGACAAGCGTCAGGTGGCCCCGTCAGATTGCAGCACTACGAGTATCCCTCAATCTGGAACCAAGAGGAGCGAGCAAGCATACTCGAGCCCTGGCGATAGCTTGATCAGTTCGTCATGGGAGAGCCTGTATCATTGCTCCGTCTCACCCGTTTCGCCTCACAGCATCAACGACCAAAACGCATCGAATTTCCGAGTAATTTCTCGGAGACGATCCGTTTCAGAGTTGATCGAGGACGTGGATCAAAGGAATAATTCAAGAGCCCTAATTACAGGAGCTCAAAGTGGATCTCTTGGCCAAGTCGAAAGACCTGCCTCCCGTGGCCTAGATGTTGAAGAAAGGACTGAGACGTCAAAGAGGGAATGGCCTACTACAGGGATTGAGACCGATGGCTTTCGAGATGACGGGCTTCTTTTCCAGGGTAGTGGATCCACGACTTGCGTGGATGATGAGGCGACACTGGAGGCCGCTAATTCAACATCACCAACGCTCGGTGCAGACCACCCATTCGTACACGATGTGTCAATTTTCATTGACTCCCTGGTTGGAAATTTTCTTTCCCAATCATCTCGACGGTTCGCAGAGAGATCGGCCGTGGGCCGAGGAGGGCCAGAAGAAAAGAGAGCCAGGATGACGTGCTCTGAAGCTTATATCGATGTCAAACAGACCTGTGAACCGGAAGACCTCGACACCGTGGTCCTACAAAATGAAGAAGAACGGACCGAGACTCTGGCATGTCCATTCTATCTCTGGAATAATCAGCGCTATCGAACCTGTCTGACAAGGTATCATTTCCGAAACATCGACCATGTCAGAGAACACTTGTGGGCAGTTCACCAACGGCCTGCCTTCTGTCCAGTATGCGGACGGACGTTCTCTAGAGTGGCCGAACGCGACAGGCACATCCGAAGTCGCAATTGTGGTCCTCGAAGCTCCACTCCAAATGACTTTGAAGGACTCACAATCAGCCACGTCCAGGAGCTTGCACGGCAAGCCGATTTGCCTTCATCGATGGAGGAGCACTGGTTCGGGATGTGGTCAACCATCTTCCCCGATGCAGAAAGACCACTCTCTATATTTTATTCGACGGAAGGAGAATTGAGAGCTTTTGCTCTGCGTGGATTCTGGAACAGACATAAGCACAGCATTGTGCACGACTTCATTAAGACTCAGTCACTTCAGACGCATCCATCAAGCTACCAGAATGAAGATCTTGTCGCCTTGTGTAACACGATTCTGAATGGAGCGATTGACAAGATTTTGGATGTTGATAGTTTTGTCTGAATGCTTGTACGGAATGGAGACACGCGAGTCGGTGTCGATCGGTGGCTCTGTCGCTCCGGGATGGCTAATCCTGGCGCCGTTGATGCTCGGTGAAAAGAGATCGAGAGGGCTCGACTTGCTGAGGCGTTGTGCATGTTCAAAATGCAGATCCTGATTTCCCTGTCCACCTTCCCCATTCGATGCGGGCTGCATGCAGAAGGGCGCTTTGCCGAAGATGCCATTGGTATATCTGCCATATCTGCCTGGTAAAGAAGATCCCGACCAGGATTGCTTCCCATTCCGCTTCTACCCCTCAGGTTACATGATGCTCAGGGCTAACAGGCTGTGGGGGCAACTAATGTGCGAGAACGTTGGTAACCTGATTCCAAATGTCATGGGGCAATATGCGGCCAGCGCGGGATTGTGCTTTAATCTAGCATCCTGTAGCATGGGGACATGCACATCTTGAACAGGTTGATAGCTGGTTCCAATAGGGTTTAATCTTGAGATCTAAGGAGACCATTCTATAAACACATTATAAATGACCAGTCTAGCGGCTCCATTATCATTCTGTTCCTCAATTCTTCAGGAGACGCCAGTGGAACACCCCCCTCCCCAATCCCCCCCAAATAAAAAAAAAAGGGTAGGAAAAAAAAACCTGTTTCGATCTGTCCAGGTGTGCGGAGTATAGCCCAGGTGCTTCGTACAAATCACCCACAGCCATTGATGTATGGGGCGGAGATGCTCCCACCGCACGGCCTCCCGCCAGAGGATTTGTGCACGCTATAGGGGAGACACCTGCCGCGATTTCTCTGCCTGCACTGGGCTCTTGTGAGGTTGGAAGCGGCAAGACCTTCGGGGCGTCATGACCCTGAGTACTGCATCACGCTTAATCAATTCCCTGTGTATTCCGAGAAGGAGAACCCTGGATTGGTCTGCTGGGCAAGGAACAAGTTCTCTAGAAAATGGGCCGAACGACGTTGTTGGTCGGCGGCAGACTGGCTTGAGCCATCGCCAAGTAGGTGGTAATATTGGTATTCCATTTCTGATACTGGATCCTCAACATCTCGTGGTGGGGCTTGGGTCAAAGCTGGGACTTGGTTTTGGGAGAATGTAACTGCAGGGAAGAGGGGCATGCCCTGGCTGCCTGCGTGGGTGGGATCGAGCTGGGCCGAGCTTGAGGATAGCACAAAGTTGCTGTGCCCTGGAGGAGCATGGCTTGTTGCATGAGTCTCATGCAGTGTCTGCATGGAGTCGAGCAGTAGCGTAGCACCATCAGGGCCGGTCTGGAGCTGCCTGGCGATATTGATAAAATGGCGGATGACGGACAGCTCGACAGGTCCGGGATTGATCAACAGCGTGCCTGGGGCGCGTGCTGGCCAGTCTTCACTCGTGATAGTGTCAAGTACATCGAGGAACCACTGGATGTAGGCCGTTTCCCCAGAGGAATACGGCGAGTCTGGCGGGGGTGCGTCTGGGAAAACGATCCGCCACATCACTAACCATTTATCCACCGGAGTGAGACGATGGCGTGGGCCAGTAAGCCTGTCCATCTCGTTGAACTGATCCTGGGTGATCCCTGGAAAATCAAATCGCCGGCTTTGACATGTTCCAGCGGCGATGTGTTCATCCAAAAGCGTATGGGACAGATCGTTGTCAAAGGTAATGCCACAGATTGTGCAGTGGGCCGCCTGCGTGTGGACTCGGGTAAGGTGTTGTCGAACATCGGAGATACGCGTGAGCTTGCGCTGCAAGCACTCGCGCCATCTATGCCTGTACCGGTAATAATAAGGGCATAGGAACCCTGGACCGTCGCCGTCTCCTTCACGCTTGGTAAACTTCTTCCGAAGGCCCTGCTCATCATCGTCACCAGCGCGTTTCCGCGAGTGATGCGGGCCAGCTCGCGTGGAACTTTCGTAACCCTGTGAGCGGCCAGCGTTGCAGGCCATCTGCATGTCGCTTGAGCTGGTGGCGTGCGTCTCATGCGGTCCAGCGTCACCGCTAGCTCCCGTCCGATGCCCCCGGCCATCTGATCCAGAGCTTTGCGGTAGCGGGAAAGAGAAGGACCAAAAGGGAGCTTCCATGGCGCCGCCGCCGTATAATTGTGCGCGTGTCGGGGTGTGCCACGGGCCGGTATGTCGTGTGTTGTCGAGCCAAACGAGCCGTGACAGGGCGACCACGGCTGAGAGCGTGTTTACGAGAACCAAGAAACAGAGGACAAAAAGAGCAAAGGAATTTCAAACTTCCGAATGGGCTTGGGAAGATAGAGAAGCCCTTCTCAATAAAAGCTCGATGCGAGCCACAAATTTCGAAGTCTTCATCAACACGTTGGTGAGCGCACACATCGGTGTAGGCCACGGTTGGCTGGCGGGCATCACCGTCACACCTTTGCGTGGTGAACAAACATTGCTGTCCAATCCCCCGCCAAATTGCAATCCATGATGAAACGGAATGGCGAAAAAGCTACGTAGAACTCAGCCTGCATTATTGTGATGGTGTCCTGGTTGCCTTCTTCTGCTGCGGATGCTCTCCTGTGCCTGCGACTGTGTATCGAGGTCCTTGAGCGTAGAAGCAGCTCCGCGCAGTGAGCAATTCAATGTTGAGATCATAAATTACCTCGAGGCTCAAGCCAAATGCAATTCTTGGTCTATATGTCCTGGATTCGGGGGGGGGGGCGGCCAAGTGGAAGGATACCTCCCTCAGAAATGCTCAATTGAATCCATCCGGCATGGGGGCATGCCCACGCATCACACCACACGCATCTGTGTATCATGCAGAGGCCTGCATAGGGTCACTGAGTACTGGGCACAGTGATGAATCTGTACTGTTTTTATAAGTGCGATTCCACGAGCGTGTGTCCGAATAAGCATATAAGGGAAGCGTCAGGAACAGATCTTGAATGACCATAGTTCATAATCTGGGACGAATGGTTCGAATCGCAACTCTTTTACCAAGACATGTCTGCGACTGAGCTTCCAGTTCAGCGTGGGTATCATCAACGAAGATGGGCCGTCCTGCAGGTGAGCTATACCCATGTACCACCCACCTCCCCACTTCCGCTTGTCGAGAAATGGAAAAAGGGCTGGCTTTCATTGACCCCTACCGCTGTAGCGGTCTGAGATCGAACCTATCAGAAAGATTACTGCACCATTGGCAGCAGGAGACCTCGGTTCCGGTCAACGATGTGATGGTCGGGCGAGAGCTACAGGTCGGTTCAGATTCGAGGATTGGACAAAGGATGGTAGAGGTGAAACAGGAGTTGGCTAAATTTGATAAGGTATTCAATGAAGACGTGCCTCACGGCTGCATCGAGCTTTTCTAGATAGGTACCTAGGTAGCGAAGAGTGTTCTCCGGCAAAGTGATAGAAGATCACGGCCTGGAGAAGATACCATTCTGCTTAGTCCCTGAGTAATACATACATAAGGAGTGAGGCTGGAATCAAGAATCAGTAATAAGAGGCACAGACTGGACTTAGATATAAATCACAATGCCCATCTACACAAAAGATACACTGGCCAGAACAAGAGAAAGGCTTTCTCGCCTGCTGTTCTCCAGTCCCGTTTTGGGTGCTTTCGAGTACAGTGACGGCCATGGTGCGCCTAGATAGTGCGGTGCATTAGTTTCATCTCATCTGCGACATTCCTGGGCCAAATTGAAAGCTTTGCCTCCTTGGCTACGCAGTTGTGTACCTCCCCATGATTGGGCTACACAGATGCGTGCCAAAACCCCTTGTTGCGCCACCCCTCTGTTACAGCCACCAAAGACCGACGGCGTATGAAAGGGTCACTACAGTAGGCTTTTGCGTACGATGATCCGCCAGGTGACTCATTTGGATTTCGGCCCAACGTCGGCAAGAATTCGTGTCAGCATGCAGTTTGCATGTCTGAGTCTAGGCGTGAGAAGGCTGGCTGAGATGCCGCCCACCCTGAAAGCCCTTCTGATTGTACCAATCAGCAGATGATTTCTCAGATGCGATCACGTGTGGCACAGTGATGAGAGTTCTTGGATTAGAAGTACTGACATGGTTAGCAGTCATGTCTTTGTCCGATATCTTCAACTGCTGCCTAAACCTGAAGCTCTGTCCTCTCAATCCTCTACAACTACTAATTCCTGCTGCGATCGATTTCCCCTACACTTGCTTGAGGAATGAAGTTCTCCTGAGGTCACGATATCATGGAAAGCAATGAATTTAGGCATGCAATACAGATTCCGCGAATCGCGTTCGACGACCGCTTTCAGGGAGTGGACGAATTTGACAGGGCAATTTTCGATGAAATATGGCAAGACAGCACGTTCATGGATCCTATCCTGGAGTGGAATGATAAAGATTCCGCGGCTTTCTGCGACGACACAGATATCTTCCCATCAGTCTTAAACATCGAACAGCCTCACGACGATGTGCCTATCAACGAGAAATTTCTCGATTTGGATGGGCGCCCAGAAATTGGTCCCCTGAGCCCTACGACGAATTCCGACTGTGAGAGTCCAGATCCCGTTTCTGAAGAAGACTTTGGTAGTGCTCCATCAGCACAATCGAGCATTCCTGCGACTTCGATGAATTCTCAACAGAGGCCCGATTCACATCGCATTTGCGAGCGACAGCCAGCCGGGACTCTTGTTGGGTTGAACATTAATGGACCTTGTAAAAGACCTGGGTCGGCTTTGTCCAATGAGAAAGAGAATGGCCAATATCGGCAATCGAAACCCAAACCATATCAAAACTACGTGGAGCAAAGACGCAGTCTCGCCTGTCCATACCGAAAGCTCGACCCTCACCGGCATCGCGACTGCCTCAAGTACACCCTTCATCGAATCAAGGATGTGAAGCAGCACATTGACCGCCGCCACAGAAAGCCGGACGTCTATTGTGCACGCTGCTACGCAACCTTCCCGTCCCAGACCGAGCGAGATGAGCACACAAGGGACTCGCGCTGCGAGATTTTGCCAAGGAAGTGCCTGGAGGGTGTGACAGATGAGGAAAGGGCGAAGTTGAACAAAGGTTCTTGCCGCAACGTGCCCCTAGAGAAACAGTGGTTCATGATGTGGGACGAATTGTTCCCGGGAGAGGCCCGACCACGGTCTGCTTTCTCCGGCAATTACATTGAGGAGGTCATTCCTCTTATCAGACACTGCTGGGTTGACAAAAGCTCTGCAATCATTGACAGTGCTATGAGGGGCTATGAAACCACCCAGGTCGATAGAGGTATATTGCACAAGCTCATGAATAATGTTTTCGACCGTCTCGAGGATGAAGTGTGTCGCAGGACACCTTCTGGAGGCTTGGAATCGAATGTGGAGGACGCTGAGCAAGAAATTCGCGCAAAGAAACCAAGAACACATTGATGGCCACCAAAGCTACTAGCTATTGCTTGCATCCAGTTTTGCTCGAAGTCAACACAGGACTGTTGATCTTTTTTTTGTCTTTGTCATGTTATTTTATTGTTATCCGACGCTCGCGCGACCAGTCTCTTCAGCTCATATCTATTAGAATATCTCTTCGTTCACTATTGTCAATGAATATTTCTGGTTGCTCGGAGGCTGCTCAGATTGTAAGATTATTGCTCAGGACAGTTGATTTTACTCAGATTCTGAAATCATGAAGCAGGATCCCAGTAATTGAACTTAATGACTGTTTCTTTTAGAAGGACATCAATTCTGTTTGGAGATTGTTCTTGATTGAATGGTGGAGGAATGGTTTCCAGCCTGGTCACGTTGATAAATCATGTCTGCGATCCTACCCGGTGGAGAAGAAGGAGGAATTATCCAAGCCAAGTTTCACATTACGTTGCTGTAATGTTCGAATGAGTATTGACAGAGGTTTCTTCCTTATGCCAGCTTTGTTGTCTGGCCTGCTGTTAATACCGAGTTACCCAAAGTGAATGAAAGCCAACGTTGACATCTTTGGACACGTCACGTGTACGAATTGAAACTGATACTTATAAATCAAAGCATAAGACATGAAATCTTGGCCGAGTAGTCATTCTGGTCCCGCTCAAAAACGGCTTTCATAATCGGTGTGGGCTGGTATGTCCTTCCGGTCTCAGAAAGATCTGCTTCTGTGTTCGCTCGCCCGCTTTGAGGCCAATGACTTCCAACACCGCCTGCCAAGAAATAACAATGTTTTCTTCTTCTTTGATAGCTCAGAAGGTGGCATTAGCCGGATTTAAGGTTTTATTGCATGTTGAGGTCCAATTGAGACCAGAGTCACCATTATAGATTGACCTTGAAAAATATGTGTTTGGAGCTTTCTTTCTTTTTCGAGAATACAAAATCAAGTCTCATTGCGCAAGTTGAAAGTATCAGAATTGAGGGCCAAGTATGCTGGTGCAGAATCATTCCTTAACTGACCAGCCATGAATACTGCAGGACACGAAGTGGGAGACACTCGCGACGTATTTCTTAAATGCTGTCGCTAAATAGAAAGTTCAAACCCTCATCGCTGGCTAATGATATTGCATACACTATGCCATTGCACCATGATTTATATGATTACTGGATCCACCTCATTTTAATTAACGCGTAGAAAAGAAAGATTTTTCTAAATCGGCTCGTTGTCCAACTAATACCGCCACTCGAATCACCCTTGCGACAAGAGTACAACTCGCAGACACTCACGTCGCCGCCCCTTATCAATCCCACAATAGCGGTATTAGTACAACACAACACATCAGAGTCAGTCTGAGGGCACTACCCTAGTCTCTGATCTGAGCAATGCAAATTGAAGGTATTTACCAGTTAATGTGGCCAATCTGCAAATTGTCTCAATGTACATGTGGAGCACATCGTATGCATTTTACGGCAGCGAAAAAAATGATACATGGCACTCTTTCATCAGCAAAGTAGTCAGCTGCTCAGAATCGCTCTGAGAGCCTCTCTTACATCTGCAATGTCATACGTTTTAGAACCTGGCAATTATATCGAAGCATGGAGAACTTTTGTAAAACACTGAGTCTGAGGCGCATGTTGCACAGGCACCAGTAAGGCCCCTCACTACGTGTACGAAGTCAGATCGTCGGGAACTGTGACTCCAGGTGGAAACAATGGTTTGTTGTAAGTTCTAGGCTTAAGCACTCGGAGATGTAGTATTTTGAGGTTCCATCAGCTCCAACCCATGCACGCTTGCGTCTTATTTGCATAGGGAGCAACGGCAGCCAAGCAAAAACCGTCGAGCGGTCTCGAACATGCGGCGAGACCCGTCTTACTGTGTTATCTATCCCTGGTGCTTACAACCCACCACCGCTTCCCTCGTGGACCTTACGAGGTCGTAGTCGTGTAACATAAGGCATAGGAGTCGCTCCGTCAACGGTCCCCGGAGGACTGACAACACACTCAAGGATGACATGACTTGCATGAGCTCCCCGAAGTTCGGGGAGTCAGCTCTCAGCGTTGAGTACCACTCGTCCGTTCCTTCGGCCGAAAATCTCTCGATTCTCATTAAAGAAATGAGCCTGTATCGGCCGCCGAGAATGGGTATTGACTGAGACAGCCAGCCTGCTTCGTGCATGGGTGCCATGCCGATATGTGCTGTGGACTTAGTAGCAATCCCGACATTATGTGCCAGACAGAATAATAAAATGGAAAAGAGAGACAGTCACAAGCTTCTCAAATTCATCTGTGCTACCCCTGGTTTTTCCATTCACGTGAGAGGAGTTTTCACAAGCCCGAGATCCATATTCAGCAGGACCCCGAGGATATGTAGCACAGCAGCTCACTAGAGGTTCAACGAAAAGCTGGCGTCAATTATCAAGCACGACGTAGCCAAGGGACACGGCTAAAACTAGGAGCCTGAAGACGATAGGAGGATTCCCGTGGGATGAATGCCGATGAGTAAACTGCACCCATCAGGTGGACCGAATCACAACGCATTTCTTCTTTGACGATTGTCATACAGAGTACATAGTGAGACAACATCGATAGGCCAGCGTACCCGTACCAGGATCACCTAGGAAGACGGTGGCCGTCTTACCCCTCCGTGAGATCAGAGCACCACATTAGTCGCTGGTGAGTGAGCCCATGAGGGAGCAGGACCAAAATACGTGGTAGTATGTATCCCGCTCATGGCGGCTCAAGATATTCGAGGAATTGTGTTTTCTTGGGAGGATCGAAGCGGCTTCCTTTGATTCACCTTCCACTTCATCGTACGAGGGAAGTTCCCGAAATTCATTTCAGCTCAGCCACAGAGGCGCTGGTAAAATCATCGGGGAAATCAATGAAAAGCTGTAGTAGAGATGAGTATGTAGTCGTATCCGTATGGATAGTCTTTTCGGTTTCTTGCAATGCAGTATTTACCTTGGGTCGCCCCAACACAGGAAATTCTCCGGAGTAACACTCAGAAAAAAACGCTTGTAATTGTTTGGCGTCTACTGATCGACGACGAACTTACTCAACACTGCAAAATAGCCATCCAAGTGCTTAAGCGACGGGAGCCATGGAAATCATCATCGTGGGAGCTGGCATTGCCGGCCTGGGAGCCGGAATTGGCCTGCGCAGGGCAGGCCACAAAGTGACGGTTGGCACCCAAACCCCCATCCACCTACGGCAAGGTACGCCCTTTGACACATGCATGGTGCCAGATTCTCGAGCAATCATCGTTGATGCACGAGGTGGGAGCAGCCATCACAATCAAGCCTAACGCATCCCGGGTGTTGCAGTCGTGGGACTTCTCTCCGGAGCAGTCTGGCATGGTTGCTATACGAAAGGGGAGCTTGATCGACGGCACTAACATGGAGGTAATGGTCCCAAACTACTACAAGGACTGCGAGTCGACTTGGGGCCTACCCATGTACGCAGTGCACCGAGTCGACCTCCACAGTCAGCTCAGACAACTCGCCACGGAGAAGGATGGCCCCGGACACCCTTGTGATGTCCAGGTGCGGTCCAAGGTTGTTGACTATGTAAGCTCAGGAGTGACGATCTCAAGCAGACATGCTGCTGACGCGCATGCACCAGGATGCCGAGAACGGCAAGGTCACGACCGAAAGTGGCGAGGTTCTCCAGGCCGATCTCATTGTGGCCGCGGATGGCGTGCACTCGGCAGCCGTGAAGCACGTCCTCGGAGATGATGTCGTCCAGGCTGGAGATACGGGATGGGCCTGTATGCGATGGCTGGTGCCGAGGGAGGAGTTTCTCTCAGACCCAGAGACAGCGCACATGATCCAGAACTCGTCCACGAGGTACTTTACGGCCGCCGGGGGAGCGGCTGGCTTGGTGTGGTATCCCTGTCGAAAGTGCGTAGAATCGTGTCTTCCAGAGCTGATCTGGCAATTTTGCTGACTGGACCTTGTTGAAATCTAGCAATGAGGTGCAGAATTTCCTGTATCTGTCACGGGAATTCGACACCTCCCATGTCGGAGAGGGTATGCATGAGCCCATCTGCAAGATCAATAGAGTGACAAATCACTGATGCTTGGCCTAGATTTCCGAGCGATGGTGGAGCCAAGCATGCCGCTGGAGTATGCCAAGAAGCACTTTGATCCGGCTCTACAAAATGCAATCAAGTGAGTTTAAGTGGCTGGTGAACTCTTCGCTTGCTGACACTTGACGCAGAAAAGCCAGAGACGTGAAGTTTTGGAAGCTGGTCGCCAGAGGCCCAATTCCCAAATGGCATAAGAACAGGCTAGTCCTTATTGGCGATGCAGCTCATCCCATGCTCACATGTAAGTGTATTGACCACGCCGGCTAGTGTTTGCAAAGAGCGTGCTGACTTCAGAAATAGTCCAGGGCCAGGGTGGCGGTCAGGCCATCGAGGACGGCGCAGCTCTCGGTATCCTGCTCGACCAGGTTGATGACAAAGGGGTCATAGAGAAGCGTCTGCAACTGTTTGAGCAGGTGAGACGGAACAGAGGGTCGGCGCTGCAAATTCTTTCCAACACCAACCCTCCGGCACCGCAGAGCGTTCGTGATGCTGCCGCAAAGTATGTTCCTAGTGGGAGGCTCGATTCCACTGACGAGATCAACGACTATGTGTTCTCGTTTGATGTAATTGCAGAATCAAAGGCAGCGCTTGCCGCTGCGTAGAATGTTCGCGGAGAGCTTGAAGTGGGAGAGGGTGTTCTAGGTTGAACGACGGAATTGACCGATTTTTGGGATGCCTCATCTCGAACGATGATCTAAACGAATTCCATATCTAATTATTTGTAACACTTGTCGCTGTGAATAAGTATTGTCTTCCAATATCTCTGAACTTGAGACATTCGGGGCGACATTTCTTGCGGCCTTTATCTAAATGACACACCCAAGCATATGCCATGTCGGAGAGCAATGTGATATCGAGTCCCTTTGAGATCAATCTAAAACTACAGAGATGGTCTTTGTTTGACTGCATTCGAGACCGTATTATACAGAATTTTCAAAGTTTGGACCTGGGTAGGTTGAAATATTTTGGCCGCAACTTTCGAAATTGCCAGTCTTCTTATAAATATCGAGATCAAGACTATGCGCTCAACGTCCGTCCCCAAGAGTCTTGAGACTATCTGGGATAAGTGTTTGTTATTCGAAGAAAAGAAATAGAGACACGATTGACCCTTTCGATGAGATCTATTAGTCTCAAAGCCTAGTCATCCAAGGTTTTGTTTGGCTTGCCGAGCCGGCGATGCATCTGGAATTCATGTAATCGGTTTGTGGTGTCAGGGCATTTTCTGACAGAGTAGGCAGCAATGAGCCAGTACTTCTGACAAGAGGGCTTACACCTGATCATATCGGGCCGAATCACTTGGTACTGCGGCCATGGGCTGCAACGTGGGCGGCCGGCTTACGGGGGGCTCACGGACAGTGACTAAGAAACATTCGGGGATGGCCGCGGCCGGATGACTTTTGCGGAGTGGACTTTCCGGCCGAATCGATGGAAATGGGGGCATGACGGAGGACGAGCGGCGGAGGAGCGGCGGACGAAGCAGCGGACGAAGCAGCGGACGACGACCTGATTCATGGAACGAATGATAACTTGCTCTTTTTTGTCAGAGCACACTAAGAAACAGTATCTGCTCGACAAAATCGGCCACATGCCTTCGTTAGGATTGAAAATAGAATAGGTGAGAGTCACAAGAGTATTCGACGTCTTGAAATTCTGGACTCTCCCGCCAAATTGCGTTGATACTCGGTTTCGTCCGAATCATTTGGAACCCCGACCGAGAAAAGAAACCAAATCCGAAATTGATTACCAACATGGAACTTTTCCAACCAAAAGGCCTAGGGGCGCCATCCTCCGGCTAATATAGTAGCGGCTGATAGCGTGAACAAGTGATCCTTTCGGATTTGCCAAGATTGCCCAGCCGCCACATAACATCTGCAATTGACCTGGACCTCCCTTTGTCTAACACAGATGCAAAGAAATCTGTCCCAACAACCGCAGCTGGACGAGCTCGGGAACCTGGCCTGCCCGAAAAAAAAAAACATTTTGTATCCAGTCACCAGTATTTCCACACCCGTAGGTACTTGTATTGAATGCCTCGACCGCTGTATCTGACGTATGAATGCATCGACAGGTTTGGTCTCTGAGTATGTAGATACAAGAAATTTGAGTTCGAATGGATATTGCATGCCTAGCAACGTGCATGCGGCTCATTGTATGTTGCCCTTCGTAAATGGGTCTTCGGGACCTTGTATAACACCGTTGATTCAAAGAAGACACTCGCTCGGTGTCTCACTGCATGTAGCAAGCTTACCTTCGTAAATCCGAGATTTATCAGCCTTCTCCCTGTGTCTTTAACAAAAGCGTGAGTCTTTCCTTGCGACTTGCCCATCGTCTATCCGTTGTGGACTGCGTAGCCTCATTCCATATTCGATTCCATCAGCCACCATGGACAGTGATTCGAACAGCAACACCACGAAAGTGCCGTCCACGGCAAGCTCCTTAGTCGAAAAGAAGGCCAGCCAGGACGATCACCTGAGTTATACCACAGTTCCCGAAACTACTGGATCCGAGAACAATTTGCAAACCGGCGAGAAGCCAGGGCAGCCTGGCGATGATGGCCTCTTCGAGCCCGCGCCGGTCGAGCTGACTCTCACTCAGCAACGTAACGCCGCCGAGGCAAGCCAAAATTATCCCAGTGGCCTCAAACTCACCATCATCATGCTTGCTCTTGAGCTCGCCGTGCTGTGCGTTGCCCTCGACAACACCATTGTCGCCACGGCGATTCCGAAAATCACGAACCTCTTTCACGCACTAGACGACGTCGGCTGGTATGGCTCTGCGTATCTGCTCACCCTGTGCGCTTTCCAGCTGTTCTTTGGCCGTCTCTACCAGCGCTTCAGCGTCAAATGGGTCTTTCTTCTCTGCCTCTTTGTCTTCGAACTCGGCTCTCTCATTTGCGGCGTTGCCCCGAGCTCAACTGCCCTCATCGTCGGCCGTGCCATCGCTGGCGTCGGCGCAGCAGGTATTTTCTCGGGCGCGCTCATCATCATTGCATTTTCGACACCCCTGGAGAAGCGCGCTATATACACGGCCCTTGTCTCGGCCGTGTTTGGTATCGCCAGCGTCGTTGGCCCGCTGCTCGGCGGCGTATTCACAGACAAGGTTAGCTGGCGCTGGTGCTTCTACATCAATTTGCCCCTGGGCGGCGTGACGGGTGTGGCCCTCGTCTTCTTCCTCGACACGCCGCCGCGCCAAGCACAGCCTGTCACCAACGAGACCTGGCTCCAAAAGATAATGCATTACGATCCCATTGGCAACATCATCTTCCTCCCGTGCATCGTGTGCATCTTGCTCGCGCTGCAGTGGGGCGGCACCACATACCCGTGGAGCGACGGCCGCATTATCGCTCTATTGGTTCTCTTCAGCGTGCTGCTTATCGCCTTCGTGGGCGTACAATTTTGGATGGGCGAGGATGCCACCGTCCCGGTGCGCATCGCTCGTCAGCGTAGTGTCGGTGCTGCGGCCATCTACACCTTCTGCGTCGGCGCCGCTTTCTTCACCATGGTCTACTATCTGCCCATCTGGTTCCAAGCCATCCGCGGCGCGTCAGCCACCCAGTCTGGTATCGACACATTGCCCATGATGATCTCCACGACTGTCGGAAACATCATCGGCGGCGTGTTTGTCTCCGTCACGGGCTACTACACGCCCATGATGTGGTCGCTGCCACCCATTGCGTCCGCCGGCGCCGGGCTCATGACGACTTGGACTGTGGACGTGTCCGCAGGCAAGTGGATCGGCTACCAGATACTGTTGGGCCTCGGGCTCGGGCTCGGCATGCAGCAAGGCATGGTCGCCGCACAGGCATCGCTGCCGCTTGCTGACACGGCCATCGGCACGGCGCTGCAAGTGTTTTCACAGATGTTCGGCGGCAGTCTCTTCGTCAGCGTCGCCCAGAACGTCTTCATTACTGGCGTGCTAAAAGGTCTCGCTACCATTGATGACCTGGGCATGACACCTCAAGCTGTAGTTGACGCCGGCGCCACCTCCCTGAACAATTTGTTTGGTGACAGCCCGTCGCTGCTGGCCGAGGTTAAGTTGCAGTACCATGGTGCTGTCATGTGGACCTTCCGCACTGCGTTAATTATGACGTGCTTGAGCATCTTAGGGGCTATCTTCGTGGAATGGCGGAGCGTAAAGGGCAAGAAAATTGAGATGGTGGCGGCGTAGTCTAAGTCCAGGAGTTTACAAGCGTGGGTTTTCTTTCTGTCTTGAAGTTGGATCCATATTTCGAATCCCAAGAATTAAATTGGTGTTGGATGATTTCATAGTTGATCCTTTGTTATGTATTAAATGGTGCTTTAGTTGAGAGGAGCATTCTAATATATCACCACTCAAAACTTTGAAGCTTCAGCTGTGAATCCCTATTTTGGAGAACCTTTTTAGACCCAGATTAGATCTCTGTAATCTGTGTCACTTAGCCTTCATCGTGAAATCCGGACTTCGCTTATCTTGACCTACCACTCTCCCCCCTGGGTAAGATTGTACAGCATGCTGCATTCGCAATTCATATCCGAATTTTCCCACCCACAAATTTGGTATACATATGACCCGACCTAGTATTCTTACCCCCAAATTTTATATCTCTAAATATTCTGCCTCGATTGCATCAAGCAAGAGGCCAAAGAGCTCCGCAATTGGGGGTGCTCAAGACCTGTCCTCTCCTGTGTGCTGGTACGTTTGCGAAAACTTTCCGAGCTTAGAAGTCGGCCGATCGGCCGAATTTCGGCCGCCGGAGAGGGCGATTTCTAAGTGACGCACTCGCTCCAAGAACAGGAATTTGCGTGGGTGTTTGACAAGCTACGGTGTGTGTGTGTGTGTGTGTGTGTGTGTGTGTGTGTGTGTGTGTGTGTGGGTAGGTGTGGGTGTGTGGACGGGTGTGTGGGCGGGTGGGTATGGGCGGGTGCGGGAGTGGGAGTGTGCGCTTGCGTACGCCCGCGCGGGATGATCATCCTTCCCGCTGATGGACCCGAAAATAAGCCGGAGGCCTGGCCCTCGTACGTTATTGATGGGGGCGGAGATCAGGCTCATGTACATTATGCAGGCTCTCGAGTTTGAGTCCCGAATTCGGAGTGGGAACACAACGAATTAGGGGGAGGAAAGATCAAAGAGAGTAATACGTAGGTAAGCGCTAGCAAAATGGCCCTTTTAGAGTAGACAATATTATTCAAAATAACACAAGAGATGATCAGCATTTCGCTTGCCTTGCTGGGTAAAGCAGTGAGATTGCTCATGCAGGTGAAAAGGGAAATGTGATGATGTTCCAAATGTGGATCCGAAGAGGCATCGTGTGCAGGATGAAGCCTCCACATGATACCTAAGATTACAACTGTTGAGGGCACAACATGATAGGCTTTCACCAATGAAAAGTGTAAAGCACCGTGGATTACATAGCAAGTAGTAGAGCGTAAATAAAAGCATTATTATTCTAGCTAAGTTTGCTTTAGCAAAGGGCAAGCCCTTAAAGCGTAATTTATAAATGCTCCGGTAAATACGCACTCCCTTATAATAGCTTCCAGCAGCTTATATATATATTAAATTTACAATATACCCCTTAAATACTATTAAGCTTTTACTTAAAAATAATTTAAAACTAATTATTATAAATATAATTAATTAAAAGGAATTTTAATAAAAGGAATATTAATTTAATAAAATATAATACTTTTTTTTAAAAAGGTATTTAATAATTATAATAAGGTATTTAATAATAATAACCTTAAAGTGCTAATAAACCTAGTAATAGTATATACTAACTATTATTCTAAGTATAAAAATAATTCTTTAAAATATATATTTTAATTTTTAATTTCTTTTATTTATAACTATTAACTATATTAATAATAACCTTTTTTTTATTACTTATTTTATAATATATAATACTTTTCTATTCCTATTTATAAAAACCTTATATATAGCTATTTAAATTACAATTTTTATAAGCAATTAATATACTTTAAACTAGCACCTTTATAAAATAATTTCTTTAAGCTATTACTTATATATTTATTAAAAAATTCCTTTATTAATTCTTTTTTATTATAAATTATATTAATAAAAACTATAAATAACTAGCCTATTATATATTAAGAATTACTAAATAATATACTTTTTAACCTCTTTATTAACCTTAAAATATTTTACTTTTTTTTTATTTATAAATACTTTTTATTATTATTTATTTATTAAAATATTATTAATATATTTATTTAAATATAATTAAGCTTTTAGCTAATAAAAAAGCTTATATTGCTATTAAAAGTAAATATAAAAATATTATAAAGCCTTAAAAAAAAAGTATTAAAAAGCTAAATATAAATAGCCTAGCTTTTTTTAAAAAACGCATTTTAAAAATTTTTTATTATATTAACTTAAAATCTTAAATATTTAGCTATATTTTATTTATTATTATTTATAATTATAAAGTATTTTATAAATTATTTTTTAAAAATAAGCCTAAACTTAAAGCTATAATTTAGTATAATAAACTTTATTTTATTTATATATATTTACTTATTAATAGTAAAAATAATAACAGCTATTTTAATTATTTTAATAATAATAATTACTATTTATAATATATTTATAATAAAAAATATACTTTTATTCTTATTATCCTATATACTAATACTTAAACTTTTTATAATATAGCTATTAATTTTAATAAAAAGGTTTTTATAAATACTTATATTATTTAAAAAAAGCGTTTAAAATAATACTTTATTAGTAAATTTAATAATATTAAAAGTAAATATAACTTATTTTTTATACCTTTAAATAATAATTTTAAAAAGCTTAATAATAATATTAAAAATATTAATATAAAAAACGCGTTTAAAAATAATAGCTTATTAATAAGTAGTAATATTATTAAAGCTATTAATAAATATATTAAATTATTTTTAAATATATTAGCTAATTTTAATATTAAAAAGTATACTTTTTAAGCTTTTTATAATTTTTTAATTAAAAGCTTTAATAAAAAAATTGCTTATTAAATTTAAATTATTAGCTTTAATAGCATTAAAAATATTAATAAAAAAAATTACTATATAACTAATTTTAAATATTATATAAAATATATTTTTATTTATATAATAAAAAATATAATTAAAAAGGTATATAATACTTTTATATAAAGTTTTATAAATTATTTTTATTTAATATAATATTATTTTTTAAAATTATAATATAATTAATATTTTAAATATTTAGCTATTAATAAACTTTTATAAGCTTAGCTAAATAAAATTTATTAGTATTAGTATATATTATTTAATTTAATTTACTAATACTTTTATATTATAAAGGTTTAATAGTAATTAAAAGTACTTAAATTATTTTTTTATAAAGTTTTTTATAAGCTTATTAGCTAATATTTTATTAGTTTTAAAATATTTAACTTTAAACTTTCCTTTTTAATATTATTTTTTTAATTATATTTATTAAATATTTAAATACTTTAACTAGGTTATAAGCTTATTTTTTATTAATATAATAAACTAAATAGCTTATTTATTATTATAATAAATTTTTTATAGTTTACTAATATTTAGTAAAATATTAGTAAAGAATTTTTAAAGTATTATTATATTTTTAATTATATAGTTTAGAATTATAAATTTAGCTTTTATAATTAAAATAGCTATTATACTTTATTTAATTGCTTTTTAATAAATTAGTTTACTAAATAATATAATTATAAACCTTTAAAATAACTTTTAAAATTTTTTATTATTTATAAAAAAAGTATTTTTAATAATTAAAAATATATTAATACTTTAAAGTCCTTCTTTATATTTAATTTTTAATATTCTTATTAAATAAAAGTATTATATTAAGTAGCTATTTATATTAAAATATATAAGTTTAAGGTTTATAAAGAATTATAAAAGCTATATAGCTATATATGCTATATCTAGGTAAAGTATTATTATAATATATAATATTAATCTTATATGCTTTTAATATTTTTTAATTTTAATATATATAGCTTTTTTAGTATATTTTTATAGCTTACTAGCTAATAAAAGAGTTATTAATAAGAATTTTCTATTACTTATTAAACTAAATTTAAATATAATCTTTTTAAAATATGTATTATATATTAGGCTAATTATTTTTTTTTAGTAGTTCCTAATTATTTATATACTTAAAAACTATTTTGCAGCTTTTTAATTTATTATATTATATATATATTTAATACTTTTTTTAATTTAAAAAGCTTTTATTTAATATTTTTAATAATAAAATATTAAAATATTATTTATATAAAAAATTACTATAATACTTTTTATTTAATTTATAAATAAATATAGTTTTTTTATTAATAATAAAAGCTTAAATTAATTAAAAGTATAGTTAAATTTTTTATATTATTATAATAGTAAATTTTAAAATTTATATAAAGCGTATTTTAATAATATATACTTTTTTAATTTTTAAAAGCTATTTAGTAATTTATAAAATATTAGTTTATAACCCTTTTTTATAATATTTAAAAATGCTTTAATTATATTTATTTAATTAAATTTTAAATTAAACTTTATAGCTATTATAATAGCTATTTAAAAAGATTTAGCTATAAGTATTATTATATAGGTATTTTATAATAGGTTAAACGTTTAAAAATCTTTTTATATATAAATCTATACTTTATATTTTATAAAGTTTTTATTTTTATTAAACTTATAAATAAATACTTATTTTAAAAGTAAAGGTTTTAATATTATCTTTTTTCTTTTTATAATTCTTTATATATTTAGCTTAATTAATATTTAAATTTTAGTATATATAGTTTTAATAAAATTATTTTTTATTAAATAGTTTTTTAAATCTTATTATTTATTTAATAATTTTATAAAGTTATTTTAATAATAAAAATTTTTTTTTATTAATATATTTATTATATAAATTATAATTTTAATAATTAAGTATAAAGTATAATAATAGTTTAAGTAATATTCTTTTATATCCTTTATTTATTAACTTATATTAGCTTATTTTAACTATAATATATTTAGGAAATAAATATTTTTTAGTTTTTCCTAATTTTTAAGTAATTTTAAAGTATTTAGAAAATAAGTTATAAATACTAGGAAATAGTTAAATCTATTATTTTTTTATACTATAAGCTAATAGTTTACGTATATTAAAGGTTTATAGTTTTT